TGAAAAAACGACGACTTTGTGGCTCTCCGGCGACTATCACTCGGCAAAAAAGAGTTAGATGGAGGTGGGGCGTGTGTTAGAGAGCTTCATCATCAAGTCCGCACAACAAGGGGAGGCTCTTCATCGCATCTGGTATGCTCTCAAGAGGTAGTGACTCGTCTCTCGGTGGATCGTCCTCTTCCCGATGACAATTTATTTGTTGATCAATTAGAGATATCTTACTCGATGGATTTATAATCCTTTTATTGTAAATCGTTCAATAATTTTAGTAACAATACTTCGCAAATCATGTTGATGAGATTTTTGCTGATGATCCAATGATTATGGTTGCTTAATCCTACACTGACGATCTACAAGAAAGTCACGATAATCAGATAAAAAAAATATAAGTTTTGGCTCTAGGAGGATTCGAACCCGGGCTAGTTGCCCACCCTTTCTAAGGAAGGCCGGTTTAGTCCCACATCGATTGTGCACCGATTTTTCGAGTGAATATATACTAATGTTATATTTCTTAGCAAATCCCTTCTCTCGTGTGTACGACCACTCATTGCCTCACAATCGGTTAGCCACCAATGATGTGGAAGGAGAGTGACGCACATGTGCCTTTATCGATCTAAGCCGCTCGAGCCCCTACTCACGGCTACTCCCCGACTGAGCTTCTAACCAGCTTGCAGTCCTCCTCGTGTTGCCTTATTTTTATTTTTTATTTTTTTCTTCATTTATCTCAAAAGTAAGATTTTAAAAATCATATAAATTTATGTAAAATCACATAATTACCCAAAATTTATATTAATCAACTAAAAATGACTTTTCACACTTTAACTTAAATATAAGTCTATTTATCATGAGTTAAGGCTAAAATTATATTATTTACTAATTATTAACTCATGATAATAAAGACTTATCAGTAGTCATCCAAGAGGGGAGGGTGGAGGTAGAGCACTTAGAGATTGTAAAAATAATAAGTGCACATATTGCAGCAAAAAAAGGCACACAAGAGATAAGTGTTATGCACTTCATAGTCATCTTATTATGATTGTCAATGTTGTTACATAAGGAGAAGATAAAAGATCTCAAGGTATATATCACATGTAATTTTTTAGTAAGGAGTATATTCACCTACCCAAATTTTGAATTATCTAACAAGCATTAGTGTCAATCACCACTTCAAACATACTTGGGGCATATACACTGTGCTTTTTTCACACATCCATATCCTCTTTAGGTAAATCATTCAGTTTGGTTCTTGACCCAAGTGCTACTAATCATATTATAGGTATATCTAATAATTTTATATCATATTTTAATCATCATGAATTTTCTATTGCTACCTTATCGGATGACTCTACTACACTTGTTATAGAGATAGGGTCCTTATATCTTAACCCCAATCTTCATGTTATATTAATTTTACACATACTTATTTTTCTTTTTAACCTTATTTTTATTAGTAAATTCACTTGATCCCAATAAGCCATAATAGTCTTTCTTCTCGATCTGTGTTTCATTCGGTACCTAAAGACATGAAGGAGAATTGACGAAAGATATAAAGATGGAGGATTATACTAATTGGAAAAAGCTTCTTCAATTATGTGTACTGTTGCTTCACCTCTTCAAGTCTATAATTGATTAGGTCATATATCTCTAGAAAAACTCAAGTTGATGGTGCCTGATCTATCTAATCTAAAAGTGTTAGAGTGTGAATCATGTCAATTAAGTAAACATTATCTTTCTAACTTTAGGTTAAGAGCTCTTTCAAGAGCATAGTCTATTTTTTATTTAGTTCATTCTGATGTGTAGGATCTTGATCGAGTCACTTCTAAACTTGGTCCTAAATCTTTTGTTACTTTTATTGATGATCACTCTTGTATTGACTGGTTATATCTCCTAAAAGATGAATCATAGTTATTTATTATTTTTTGTTAAAATTTAAAATTAATTTGACAATAATATTTAAATATTTTATTATAATAATGTAAAAAAGTATTTTAGTTCATCTTTTACACAATATCTAACTACCATAAGATTATTTATCAATATCATGTCCTCATACTCCTCAAAAAAATAGAATAATTTAGAAGAAAAACCATCATATCATCAAAACAACTCACACATTATTTTTACATATGAATGTCCCACTTGAATTTTAGAGTGATATTGCTCTTATAGTCACCGACTTAATTAATCAAATGAGATCATGAATTTTAAGTCGAAAGACTTGATATTCTTGTCTTTATCCTATTAGTCTATTATATAATGTACCATTGAAGATTTTTGGATGTATATGTTTTGTCCATCATTTAGATATAGGTGAGATAAACTTGATCTAAAGTATATGAAATACATTTTCTTAAAATATTATTGTACTAAAAAATGATACAATTGTTACTGTCCTTCACTTCATATAATTTTTATTTATGCAGATGTTACATTCTTTGAGATTACTGATTTCTTCACTATGTCACAATATATTAGTTTTCTAAATAACTCACCTTTATCAATCATTATAGAACCCATCTTGGTGGATAATCCTAATACGATTATTGAATAATTAGATGATATGGTGGAAGATACATGTCCTCCAATCACATAGGTGTACATGTGACATAATACTCCCTTAGTACCTCGAGGCATCTACTTTTCAACCAATCCTTCTTTATGTCTAAAGGATTAGTAACATACATATCAATATTTAGTAATCTTGATCTCCCTATTATCTTATGAAAAGAAAAATATTCTTATATACACTATCTCATATCTAACTTTGTATCATATCATCATTTATCTCTTACTTACTCAGTTCTTATATCTAATTTATCTCATTATCATACTCTTATGATTATTTTAGAAGCACTAAGTTATCTTAGATGACATGTTGCTATGATTGAAGAGATATATGCACTTGACAAGAACTGATAAAGTTTATTATTGACTGAAAATAGATCTTTGCTGTTAAAGTTGGACCTCATGGTATAATTGATTGCTTGAAAACTCCTTCGGTGGTGACATAGTACTTCACTCTCTTTATAGTGAAGATTATTTAGAGACCTCTCATGATGGTAAAATTATCGCTATTTGTATTGTGTTTTTACTTTAGTGATTCACTTCTCTTACTCTCTCTATCAATTTAATATAAAAAATATATTACTTCATGACACTATAGAAGAAGATATATATATATAGCACAATCTTTAAGATTTAGTACACACATGGGCTCTAATATAGTTTGTCAATTACACAACTCCTTTTATGGTTTGAAGCAATCTCCTCAAACATAGTTTAGTTGGTTTAGTAACACTATGAGTGAGTTTGGTATTCAAAGATGTGGCATTAATCATTGTCTTTTATCAACACTCTTTAATTGAGTGAATCTTATTATTTTCCTATGTTGATGACATTGTTATCATTGAGAGTGATTATATTAGTTTATCTTATTTGAAGACTTTTTTACAAAGTCAATTTGCATATATTTTACTTGTTATCATTGAGAATACTAAGAATCTTGACAATCTCAAGTTCTTCATTGACATAGAGGTTGTTTGTTCTAAAGAATAGATTATTATAAACTAACATAAATATATTCTTTATCTACTTTTAGATATATATATGACTAAAGCGAAACCAATTAATACTCTTATGGATCCCCTTTTGAAGATTATCTAATGTAGAAGGAGAATTATTAGATGATTTAAGATGATATCGACACTTGATTGGCAAATTCCTCTACTTGATTATCACTCAATAAGACATCTCATTCGTTACAAGTATTGTAAGTCAGCTTATAAATCAACCTCATAGTGGACACTTTATAGTTGTTACATGGATTTTATAATATTTTAAAAAAAATCAAAGCCAATGATTATTATACAAGAATCATGGTCACCTTAACATCTAAGATTTTTCTAATGCTGATTGAGCTAGAAATAGTATTGATAAGATATCTACAAATAGTTATCATATTTTAATTGATGGCATTCTTATTTCTTAGAAGAGCAAGAAGTAATTAGTGATGTCACAATCTAGTGTAGAGTCTGAGTATAAGACTATGACACAAATCACATGTGAACTCATTTAAATTCATTATTTTTTTGAGAAACTTAAGCTTTTTCCTCATATCTCATGAAAATTTGATGTGACAATGAGTAGGAAGTGGTTTGGTGAAAAGGCCTACAAGTTAGTATTCACTAGATCATGATTATTGTCATACTTATTTTTTACCCTTTTTCACTTTCTATAATATTTTTTAAAACATAATTATGGGTTATTTTGTGAAAATAATGTGTAACTAAGTCAGTCAATCTTGAACACTATGATCACCAAATCATTTTGTGAAATAAATGGACCTCTACTACATCCATGACTATTTTCTTATAATTGAGTATAATATTTCCTTATAATAATTTTTACTATGACAATAGATACATTTATATTTTTACAAAGATGTAAAATAAATAGAATTTTCACAATATTATGGATAAGTGAAGCAACACCCATCATAAGTACATTTCCAAGTACATTAGTAGAATGGAGAGATCACAAATGAGTATTATTGGTAATTAATTCACTAAAAATATTTAAAGTAGTATATAATGGAGATCAATATAATACAGATCCATGAACATTTTCAAAATCATCTCAAGAGGCCATTTAAAATTGTACCGCTCTTGATCACTTTGAATAGATTTTTGTTTTATGAAGACGAGTTAGTCCCACAATATAATAAAATAAGACTAAAAGCTTGAAAAGATTGAGTGCTTTGACGAACAACTTGTCTCTTACCTTCAAATTAATATATTTTTTTGTAAAATTAGATTGTGTATAAAGACAATTCATTCCACGTATATTTTTGAAAAATTATCGCCTCCCCCGATTTCTCTCTGTGTGAATACTTTCGGGGCAACTTTCCGCCAGTAATCCCCGTCACGGGTGGTGGTCTCGTCCTCGCCGGCCGGCGGAGCACAAGTCTGCCGGCGTTCTACTCTCCGGCGTCGAGGACCTCGATGTGGGCGCAGGAAGCGGTGGCCCGCGATGTGTTCTCGTCTGCGATCACTTCGGGGGTCGCATTGTTGCTGCTCCGGTTCTGGGAGGAGCTCGCCAAGCGTGGCGTCTTCGAGCAGGTCAGCCACCAGATCTGACAATTTCCATTCTGAGAAAACGCTTCCATACGGCAGGACGAGTGCTGGGATTCTATGGTGTGAGCTTAGATCCAGCCATTTAGACAAATTCGAGGACGCCTCGTGGAAAGGGTATTATCCTGCCGTCATCCGGTCGGTTAAATTTTTGAAAGTAATCGTGTGAAGTCCGGTGATAATGGTCGGGATTCAAGGGGATGTGAGTTTTCGGTGGCCTCGGCCGCTCCTCTGTCAGATCTAACCGACGCCGAAGTGCTCATGTGCTGGGAAAACAGCATGGATATACTGGATTTGGCAGATTAAACGAATGCAGAATTCCTCGGAAAACATCAAAGAATTAGAGGTTTGTTAGACCCTCGTTGCTCATCGGATTATTTGGTGAATAGACGAGGATCAATAGGATGATATTTAATCACTGATCATCTTGTTTTTCTTGAGCTTGCTTCTTAACGCACAGAAATCTACTATTGATCTGTGTGGAATATATTGCTAAAATATCGTCGATAAAGCGTGCGCTGGGTTTGCCTTATTTTCAGGAAACTGTAGAGCTAATTTTTGTGGATCGAAGCACAACTGATAGACCAGGAAGGGATCCGCGGGTTGTTTTCTGACGGCTTCAAGGGTGCGATTCGTTCTGTCCTTGAAACATAAGACGGGCCCGTTGGAGCTGACCATCCCCTCTGACTTGTAGGTTGGAATCCGGGGAAGTAGGGAAAACTAGGGATTCAGAAAAGACCCCCAGGGCATGCATCTCGTCCTCTGTAGAGGACTCTTCCCCCGGTAGGATTATGTCTTGGAAGGAGTTCTTCGTAGATCAAGCCCAGAGGCTGGAAAGAGTCGAATGCCATGCATTTTTTATTTTTATTTTTTTTAATTATTGGTTGAACTGACAATCTAAATTTCCATCTAGATGGATCGAATTGTTACCCTGAACAGCCCTTTCTTCTATCGACCTCTGCGACTTATGTGGGCCTCCGATTTTAATGCTTGATTAATTGAGTTACGACTTTTTTGATGTGTCTGACAGAATACTCCAGCTTGTAGACATTGATTCTCATCCCGACGTCAATGTATTGCCTGCATCTCTCCCTGAGTTACAGAGGTCTGACCAATTCGGGAGACCTTAGTAGAGATTACTGCATCAGAAGACCTTAGTTTGCATATTTTCAATTTTCACCTGGGGGACGACAAGATGACAAGTTTGACAACTATGTAATTCGGGATATGCTCATGTGAGAGTAAGATTTAAAAGGGTCGTATTTTGCAGTCTTTTTTTTTCACATAGTTGACGAGATTAATGGTATCACCATCTTTTGTTCTTGAACGGCTGACAAATTGGGATAATCGTGTTGTTTTCTTGTAAATGACCAGATTTATTTTTGAGCAAGTTCACAACATGGAAACGCTCTCTGCTCTCCCTGGTTGAATCCATCGTGAGGCCGTCAGTTCCATCCAACCCCCAATTTTCTGAATCCTTCCTCGGGGAACAGTCACCGCCACCTTCTTCCCATATCCCCGGGGTGCAAATAAGGAAGTTGAAGCACTTGTGAGCGAGTTTTTATGTGGGTCTGTCCTGGATCTCTGGGGTTCTCCTCATGCACCTGGTGAAGCCGAAATTTTATATATATTTTTCTGGTCCACTGCTTCCGCTGAATATTTGGTCTTCTCGCTGAATATTTACAACATTTTTTCCTTCCGCTACCTTCTGATTTCTTGGATTCGTTTTCTGTTTCACCTGCCGCCGCCACTAACGCCCCCTTCCTCGTAACCCTCGCAGACTCTGAGCAGGAAGCTGGTTCACATCAGCGTTGGGTTGACTTTCATGCTCTTCTGGCCAATGTTCAGGTATGGATCAGTGTTCCCTGACCCTCCTGGCTTGTATTGACTGGACCCAGATGGGTTCTTATGGTTTCCTTCCGCAGCTCCGGAGAGCTGGCCCCATTTCTGGCAGCCATTGCTCCTGTCTTCAACATAATAAGGATGATCTTTCTGGGACTGGGTATCTGGAGAAACGACGCCATCGTCAAGTCCATGAGCAGATACGGAGACTACAGGTTTCCAATTAGACAATGTCGACTCCCTGATTTCGCTCCTGACACAGCCGACTAAGTGAGATCAGTCTTGCTTCTGGGTTTCCAGGGAGCTCCTCAAAGGACCTCTGTTCTACGCCTGCACCATCACCCTAGCAACCACTGTCTTCTGGCGAACCTCCCCTGTCGCCATAGCTGCCGTCTGCAACTTATGCGCAGGAGACGGTATGGCTTTGCCTTTGTTATGCCACCTCATGCGAGTAAGAAACAATCGTCCTTGAAGATCACCTCTCTCTCTCTCTCTCTCTCTCTCTCTCTCTCTCTCAGGCGTGGCCGATGTCATCGGAAGGCGATTCGGAAGGGTCAAACTCCCCTACAACTCCAGCAAGTCCTACGCCGGCAGTGTGGCCATGGCGGCAGCGGGATTCCTCGCATCCGTCGGGTGAGTACAACTACCGCGGTATATCTCTCTCTCCTGGGCTGCTCCTCGCTCTCACGATTTCATGGGTTCTTTCAGGTACATGTACTACTATTCCCTGTTCGGGTTCGTCGAAGTGAGCTGGGGGAAGACTCTAGGGTTCTTGCTGGTCTCCCTGGCCGCCACTGCGGTCGAGTCTCTCCCCATAAGCTCCAAGTTTGACGACAACCTCACCGTCCCCTTGACCTCCTTCCTGGTGGGCTCCCTGGTCTTCTGACCTGCAAAGCCTCCCTGTTTCTTGGATGCCTGAATCTTGTTCTAACATGCCATCTACGAGTCGACGGAAAGAGCTGAGTGAGAGTATTAATGGCAGCTTATTGACTAGGTAGCTTGTCATCTTCTTTCACTGCGCCATTAAGATACAAGCCCATAACACACACTCTCAGAAGATGCCGACCAGTTCGGCCTCCGCCACTGCGCGCCCTGCGACGGCGTCCAGCAGCTTGTCCTTCGTCACCTGCGTTGACACATCCTCAACCCAGTAGATCTCCAAAAAAGTAAGAGGAGGAAGGAAGAAGGATGAAGTGAGGGTTGACCTTGTGGCCGAGGTGAACGAGGTCGGGAAGGGCGAAGAGGCGGAAGCGGTAACGGTGGCCGGAAGTCGGTGCCTTGGGGCCCCGCCAACCAGGCTGCTTCCAGTCGTTGAGTCCCTCCAAGATGCCGGCGTGGTCTCTTCCGCCGTGCTCGGCTCTGCCGGAGAAGCCCTCGGGGAGGCCCTTCGCAGCCGGCGGGATGTTGACGACGACCCAGTGAGTCCACGGCACGATGGGCCTCTCCGGCGACGGCGCGTCAACGTCCTCCACCACGAGGGCCAGGCTGGCGGCGCCGCCGGGCACACCGTACCACTCCAGCGGCGGGGAGATGTCCCTCAGAGCACCCTGCCCTTCGCCGGTGTACTTCCTGGGGATCCGGTGGCCGTCGTGGAACGCCGGCGACACCAGCTTGAACGGCTCCATCGTCGCCGCCTCCACCACCCGCCGCCGGGAAGGCTCCTCTTGTAGCCTGCATATCGGTGGCCCGCTGCGCGACGTGGCCGCTTTCGCGGGGATTCCCTCGGCACACGTGGCGAGCTTTGATGAGATGGCCTGCATATCGGTCTGATCCACCTCCCACAAAATGGGCTTCGGCCCATCAACTGTAGCGAGAGAGAGAGAGAGAGAGAGTCTTCCAGCTGCTACTATTCCGAAGGCTGTCAAGGCGTAGGATTTTGCGAGTGTAGGATAACCTGGGCTCCGTCTCTCATCATTGCCTTCTCCTCTAATCTCGCCTCTCATTGCGAACTCTGCCGCTCCGGCATGGACAGTGACCGACTACTGCTGCTGCCACTACTACTATCACCAGAACTTAGGCTCATTTGACGTTAATCTTTGATTGGAGCTTGGCATATTAGGGTCATTTCTGACGGGCCACGAAGGACAAAGAGCCCAGGTCATCCTACGGGTAAATCCTACATAGAAGACTGTCAAGGCGTAGTAGCAAATTGGAAGCTCTCTCTCTCTCTCTCTCTCTCTCTCTCTCTCTCTCTCTCTCTCTCTCTCTCTCTCTCTCTCTCTCTCTCTCTCTCTCTCTCTCTCTCTCTCTCTATCTATCTATCTATCTATCTATCTATCTATCTACCTATCTCTCTATCTATCTATCTACCTATCTATCTATCTACCTATCTATCTATCTACCTGTCTATCTATCTATCTATCTATCCATCTCTCTCTCTCTACCTATCTATGTATCTATCCTCTCTCCCTTTCTCTCTCTCTCTATATCTATCTATCCCTCTCTCTCTCTATCTATCTATCCATCTCTCTCCCTCTCTCTCTCCCTCTCTCTCTCTCTCTCTCTCTCTCTCTCTCTCTCTCTCTCTCTCTCTCTCTCTCTCTCTCTCTCTCTCTCTCTCTCTCTCTCTCTCCCAATAAAGCCTGCTGCTCCGCCATGGAAGTGCCCGACTACTGCTGGGACGTTAATATTTGATCAGAGATCGCCCATATTAGGGTCATTTCTGGAGGAGGGGCGAGGATTCTCCGCCGGCGGCGGCGGCGCCAGATCAACCAAACCAAACTGTTCGATCATCACCGGCCGGGTTCCCGGTCGAGTTGTCGTCCATCTCAGTCCACGCCGCCGAACGGGGAAGGGGGAGCGGAGAAGGTGATGACATGGACAGCCCCACCTGCCGCGTCCGTGGCACGTGGACCTCCCGGAGGCGACCGCTGACGCGACCGCCGTGATCGTCGGCGAGCCGCCGTGGGCATAATAAGCCCTCCTTCCTTCCGGACATGACGGAGCAGGTGAGCTGGCGGTAGAGTCGTAGGCCGCCGGTCTACGGGAATCGGGTCGCCCTCCTCGCGGGTCAACAGGTCGCCGCCGGAGGAGGGCGGCGGCGGCCGTCGTCACCCGCCTGTTACGGCGGACGTTTCCGGAGCGAGCGCAGAGGATCCGCACGATCCGCTTAGTGTTCGATGAAATGGGAGAATCTCCACTGTGGGAGATCTCGATGAGAAGTGAGTAAACAGAGAGCGGGAGGAGGAGAAAAAAATAGTGCCGTTAATGCTTTGGCACGTGTGGTAGGGCGGCGGATCCAGTGCCAATAATTGCCGAGGAAGGGCGGCGCCACCCCCGACCGACGGTGTACCTGCGCGAGCCGGCCATGTCCGCTTGTCTCTCTCGGGGGTGATGGCGCTCCAACCCACACGTGGACTGCGCAGAGAAGGTTTAGCACGGGCCGCATGAGGACGCCCTAGGGAGACTACGTAAGGCCTCTGTCCCTCTCTCTCTCTCTCTCTCTCTCTCCCACTCCCCTTCCCCCTCAATGTCTTCTATAGTCTAGCATTCTCGATTTCTTCCGCAAGGCTCGGGGAGGACATTGGTTTAGCGGATCTCCCTCCGCCCCCACCTCTCTCGCTCTCTCTCTCTCTCTTCTCTCCCTCTCTCTGTCCCCCTCTCTCTCTCTCACTGGTTCGAATAGAAGTAGCTTGGGTGCAGTCCATTCCTCCCACTTCGACGATCCATGAAGCCTTCCGGGGGATCTCTCCTGGTTCAGTATGCTTCATGGCATTCTCGGGCTTCTCCGGCTCCCCTTCTCTGACCGTCGACGGAACCAGAAAACCCTGCATTGTCACGGGCATAAAAAGTTGACATTTTTTCGCTCACCTCTCAGAGAGCCCTTGACGAACGTATTTCCGAGACACGCCACCGGAGCTCAGAGACCTCCTTCATCTATTAAATTCAGGCGGAAGTCTATGGTCGTCCGGTCTCCGCCGCAGCATACAGCAAGCCGTGGGAGGAGGAGAGGAGTATTGATGCTTACCGAAGAAACCCTAAAACCCCCAGATTTATATTATAAAACTACACGTCTTTTGATAATTCAGACTATAGAATTCGATATTGTTCGAGGAATTCGTGTTTTTTATCACATTCCGTCTCGAATCGGCAAGTCCGGCTAGCCTGCGGCCTGGAGAGGAGGGCCTCACTAGGTAGCCTGTGTTCGTGGGAGGCTTTCGTATTCCCGGAATGGTTTCGTGAAGATCGTTGCCTTGAAGTAAGCCGGAAGCCTACTTTTATCTGCGACCGGATAAGGTCATCTTGCCGGAGCCACTTCTGGGAGCCGCCCGAACCCTATTTTTGTCCGCAACTGGATAAGGTCACCTCGCCGGGGTTCACCTCCGGGAGCCGCCGGAACCCTACCTATATCCTCCGGTGACCTGTCCCAGGAGCCATCGCCGGGGCTTTCTTTCATCGGCTCTCTAGTGAAATATGGCCGTACATATACGCCATCTCTATCACCTGTGAGATATCGCCGAAACCCTATCTATATATCCGCCGGTGATCTGTTCCTGGGGCCGTTCCGGGGACCTCGAGTAGCTCGGAGGATCGCCGGGGCCTCCTCTCGTCAGGTTTTTGGTGAAATATGGCCGTATCTCTATCCTCCGGTGAGATACCGCCGGAACCCTATCTCTGTCCTCCGGTGTCCTATCCCAGGGGCCATTTCCCGGCGCTCCAGTCGCTCGGAAGATCGCCGGGGCTTTCTCCCGTCGACTTTCTGGTGATGTATGGCCCCCGTGGGACCCAAATCAGGGAAAATTTCTCCGTGGGGATGCCAAACAGGAGGGAATGAAGAAAAGTGCACTCATTTCCACAGTGGGCGGTCCCGTTTGTATTGACCTTTATCCCTCTCTAGCTCTCTGTCTCTCTCTCTCTCGCTAAAACAAAGAAATAAACACGGCTGACTGAGCGGACGTGCAGTATAAAACGATCGGGGTTCGGACAGGTCTTTTCATTCAAGTGTCAGAGAGAGAGAGAGAGACGTCACGTGAGCTAGCGATCGAGGTGATATCTGGGAGGGCAGGTTACTGGGCATACAGAAAGCTAAGAGGGGGCCTTGTCTGTCGTCCGTCCATGGGAGAGTGGAGGCGGAGAGAGGTTCGAGGAGGAAGAGACTCCCAAAGCGACCGGTGCTGTGCTTGTGGCTCTTCCGCCCCAGAGTGCAGTTTCCGATCGCCTCCTTCCTTCTTGCGCCATCTCTCTCTCTCTCTCTATCTCAAGCTCTCATTCATGGCCGGAGTACGGAATTCTGTCGTCCTCAGACGCCCATATAAAATTGCACCCGATGGCGACTTGAAGGGGAGAGGAAGAAGGTCTTAGGTTTTAGGGGAGGCGTGACCAGACGTACTCCCAAGCTTGGACTCCCCCCCCTCTGTACGGCCACAATCTCTCTCTCTCTCTACTCCCCACCTCGAGAGGCCGTATTGTGCATGGATATATAAAGGGCACCGGAAGAGCTTGAAGAGGGCCATCGCATTGAGCCTGCTTGGAGAGACAGCTCCCCCGCCCCGCCCATGGCAAGCTTCGCCTACCAGCTGCAGGCCGAGGACCACCACCTGCTCTCTGCCGCCACGGAAACTGGGCCCGCCGCCGCAGATCCGGGGGGGAAGGGGAAGCAGCGGAAGCGAGGATCGGGGGTGAAGCTCTCCACCGACCCGCAGAGCGTGGCGGCGCGGGAGCGGCGCCACCGTATAAGCCACCGGTTTAAGATCCTTCAGAGTCTGGTTCCCGGAGGAAGCAAGATGGACACCGTGTCCATGCTGGAGGAGGCCATTCACTACGTCAAGTTTCTGCAGGCGCAGATCATTCTTCACCAGTCCGCCGTTGCCTCCGCCGCCCCCCTGGCGGCGCCACCGCCCGCCGCCGCGGTCTTCTTCCCCTCCGACTACGAGGCTACTTACTTCGCCGGCGGTATCTCCCCCGACGCCGGCGCGTCGCCGGAGTTCCCTCCACCGCCGCAGGGCTTCAACTACTCCCTACCCCCTCTCCCTCCTCTTCCCGGGCGGCCGAGCTGCACCTTCCCGGAGGAGGAGCATCTCTTCCCTTGGGCTTCCTCGGTCAACCATTACAGTCTCTAGGACCCCTCTCTCTCTCTCTCTCTCTCTCCCCCCCCCATCCCTCCGAGGCGGTGCTCCCTTGTCTCATGCTGTCGGAGCTCCGGTCCCGTTCTGTACCGTGTGATCTACGATAGTGAAGCGTGGTCAACTTATGCGCACTTGAAAATGGTCAAACCCCATTGTGCAGACTTTGCTTGATGGGCCGAAAGCCCACTTCGGACTTTCTTCTTCGTCGGTGGGAACCAATCTGATCTTCCCACCGACGGAAAGCAGTGCCCTTTTCTGAAACATGTGGTTTGTGAAAGAGCACCAAATCCTCACAAAGGCTGATAGATGATACGCATTATTTAGGGTCAACCAGTCGTTATTCACAAAAGCTGAGAAAACCCATCTGGAATCTCAAACCACAGAGAGAGAGCGATGAGAGGGAGAGGAAGAGCTGCTTCCAGAAGATCCTATGCAAACAGAGATACGCCTAGAGAGAGCATCGTCTTCAGAATCTCGAAGACTTGGGCTTGCAGTCGATGCAGCTAGAGAGAGATGCGGTCCATTCCAAGCTGCAGATAACCAGTTGACTTCTGAGAACAGGCAAAGACAAGTTACCATAAAAAAGTAGGATAAAATGTTTGAGATGATCGATCGACCTTCACAAAATCAACGAAAAACCCATCGGGAATCTGCCATTCGGGAATCGAACAATCGGAAATCAACCTGGAGTTCTTCCTTTTGCAGCAAAAACGTCCTAGAGAGGAATGAGAGTGAGAGGGAGAGGGAGAGGAGATCTCGAGGACGCGGCTAGAGAGAGCATTACCTTCAGAGTTTCGAAGAATTGGGCTTGTAGTCGATGACGATGACCTTTTCCAGAGCAGGAAGGAAGATGTTGGCGAATTCCACATGAGCGGGGTGAGCGACGTACTCTGAGACGCCTTCAACGCTCTCGAAGGTGGACTCGAACACGTGAGTGAAGCCTTGGTGAAGATTCTCCTTGCTCATATTTGTTCCCCTGCGTTCCCAACAGTATCCATCGTCACAACATGAAACAGCTGGACCTCGAAATAATTAGACAGATCTTCTCAAAAGCTTCGGTGAAGGTCTAGATGCCCCTGATTTCCGCACTTTTTCTCAGTGCTTCTCAAGATTTTTAATGCCTATATGAGGAAATATCTGAAGAAATTCCATGTATTCATACTTCTGCACATCCAAAATGATGATAATTATCAATCGAGCAAATCAGATCCCACCGAAGGCCAGAGATCTGTGGCCAGTGGGGATGAGATTTCCACCAAGAGAGAAGATGAGAGACGAAGAGATCACAAAGCATGTTGACTTCGGAAAAAAGAGGTCTGGCATACGGTGTAGGGTCAGCGGATCTCCGCTTCGAGCTGAAACCAGAACCAGGGTACAAGCAGCCCTATACGCTTCAAAGAAGCAACAAGTCAGGATGAGCCCACCTATCCCGAGAAGGGGACCTTTCTTAGCCGAACTTTGTTCATCCTCGTTCCTTGGGAACACTAGCTGTTCTCATTTAGGAGAGTTGAGTAAATAGACCCTACATCCCACTGCCTAGTTTCAGCATATTAGAACTAGTCTACAGTGGTCCTTAGGGACACGGTTAAAGGTAAAATAGTTATTATTATGAATATAAAATTATTTTATATTTTAATCTGTATCTCTCTATTGAATGAATGGACTGATTGATTGCCCCAGCTCAAAAGTTCGGGTGAGTGGTGGGCTTCTGTCTTTTTTAATCTTTTATTTTTCATTTACAATGAAGTCTTTTACAATTCCACATATGTGTCAGAATCTCTCCCATGAAATTCCACGAATCCCGTCGGTGGATAAGTCCGACGACTCAGCAGCAGTGCGGAATTGAGTTTCTCGTCCGGTGGATCTGATCTATAGTTAGGGGGCTATACATAATACCAAAAAGCTTCGAAGAAGGAACGCGCAAAAGAGTACATAACCAACCCTCCCGCATAACCTAAAAACATTAGCGAAGCGGCTGGATGCATAAGGGAAATGCACCTTTATGATACCTTAGTCGGGATGCATAGGGGAATTCAACCTACGAGCACGGAAGAACGTGGGGTACCACTGACTGTGGTAAGATTCTTAGCCCTGCTGGCTGTTAAAATTAGGTCGTTTGGTACCAGTCCATAACGATCAAAGTCGAATCGCCAACCTATATAATGAAGCAACTCCATAGAGAGGCGGCTGGGGAGTCTTGACTAATTCGAAACATCATTCGATGTAGTTGAAATCACTTAAATACACGTTACATCAACGCAGCACGACCAACGGAAACCTAGTGGCATGGGTTTGGCGCCAGTACAAAAAGAGCGGTTCGGTTGGTATGCCGGAATCACTTCGTGCGATTGCTATTAGAGTGGGGAGAGAGATGATCCAGCTATTACTGTAAAAGCTATTGGACATCAATGGTATTGGAGTGCGCCTCTTTACGAGGGTGATTTAAGTGCAACGAAATGTACCGGTGGTTCGCGAAGCGTCTGGCTTACCGGTAATCTCCCATTCCCGTCGTCGAGAGACTATAAGAACTATAGCATGCCAGAAACGGGGAGTTTAGGTGATTAGACCTATTCCCAACTCCCAGCATAGGAGCCTATGGTTCCATTCTTGTTGTTGCTGAACATCTCAAAGAGCTCCATTCAGTGTCAAGTCAAAACTCAAAACAAGGGAAGCAGTGATTTCGAACATTAACTATGATATTTTCAATAGTGAAAAATCATCATTTGAGTTCTTTGATAAATCTGAAAAATGTAGTTTTGAGTTTCAAATTATTTGGAGTTCCCTGTGACCACTAAGGAATGGGGGGGGGCTGACCTGCTTACACAGCACTGCTTCGTCCAACAATACTGAAATGGGGCATATGGTCAAGCCAAGCAAAGAGGGAGTTCTATGTTTGTATCCTTTAGTCTATAAAGAGTCAGAGTTTCTTTCATCTTTGATAGTCTGGAGATAGTGCATTAGCCTCCGTTGACCAATTTTAAGCTTATTAAATCTTTTTCACAAAAAAAGACAATACTCATTTTCTTTTTCAAGTACCTATGGGTGGTCTATCAATCAAGACGATAACATATCCAAAAAAAAGTGGCTTAGAATTGAAATGCGAATATAGCAACACTCTAAATCTGGGGCCCAAGGGCACTGGGTATTATACGGGAGAATGGGATGATAAAGACTAGAAAGAGGAATCACTTATTAAAAGCGGAGAATAATCGACTTTTTTGGGGGTTACCTTAAGGATGTTGTCGGAGAATCGTCTATTTTAACGGGTGAATCGTCTGATTTGGGCACTCTGAACCTTAGCGAAATTCAGACGAACTGAATAGGATGTCGAAGACACGATCATTCACATAAATTTCAACAGGCAGGAAGAAACTGTTACATTATATGCTTTAACAAATCTTCCTGAAATTCAGGAGTGGAATCGTCTACATTGAAGTCGGTAAAAAATAGGAGTTTGGGTGGATGGAAATGATTCAAACATGGAATCTAATTCCATCATGGTAACATTTGGCGAGCTGTGCGAACTCGTCCCCTCCGTTTGGCAGACTTCAGTTCTTACACACTGGCTTTCTTGGTGTCTGCCAGACACTGGACAGGGGTTAGCTCTGTAAATGTGTAGAGCCAAGTGTAGTGTGGTGTAGTAGTAGGTACTTCTAGGCCCCTTCCCGGCTACTACCCACCTCGCAGTGTCCCGCCCCCACCGAATGATCGGTGCGGCGGTTAGGCATCCTTAGACGAAAGAGTGGTCTTTCAGGATTGGTCGTTGTGTGTCACCACCTCCCACCTATCCTACACATTCGATCAAGGTTGTCACTGCGAAGCTAGAATGAGCTGGTACCCACGTTCTTCCGTGGGGTATAGATTCAACCAATCTGGGGTGAGATCAGCTTAAGCTGATCTGATTATCTAAACCTGGTTCTTGGTCGCTCCGGCTTGATCTGACTAGGTTCCCCACCGCAACAAATGGCATGAATTTTTGGTTTTCGAGTGTCCTGCTACAACGCACTAACCTACAATTTTCTCTCCGGAAGAAAATTTCCCAACACGTGGGCACAACCGAAACCACGGGAGCATATCAGGTTGAGGATTTAGAGATGACGATTCCTGTACATGATCTACATGTTCCTTCCGATCGCTGTCTGGAAAAGTACACCAGATGCTCAGAAACGTCGATAACATATCGTTACGGAGACGCAGAGAAAAAATGGGAGATATCTACATACATCGGCGGTCCCTGGGAATCTCAGATGACTTCGTCATCCAGCCCTAAGCACAGAGATAACCGATCAAAGAGAGAACACCAGTACGCGGATCAATTAAATCACGGATCACCGGCCTCTGATGTGCATTAATCACGAAGTCATCTCTAGAAGATACTCCAGTAGCAGAACATTCCACGGAGAAATTACAAAACAAGGGCGCTCAAACCTATCCTGAAAACGCATTGCATCTGGATCCAAACTTCAGTAAAAACAGAGCCAAAAAAGAAGAATACATCGAGGAAAATCGAAGAATTCCGAGACGAAAACGCCCAATCCGAGCGGAAACATGAAGAGGCATGGAGACTTACCAGTGGAACGCCTTCATTGGATCGATGAGAGGAACCAAATTAGCGTATCCACGGATCAGTTCCTCTACCTTCTCTGTCGTTATCTCATCCCTGAACTTCGCTAGGAGCATATGCTTCACTGGCCCCTTCTCCTCCTCCATCGTCCTCTCCGTACCCTCGCCGCCGCTTCTTTCGCAGATCCGATACGTTCCTCCCCCAGACGTGAAGCCAAGGACAGCGGGGTTAGTTCTGGAACCTTGGCATAATGATTGGTTAAATAACAGGCAATCCGAAACTTTCTTGAATGATATATTCACGAGAAGAACGTTCTAGAAAAATTCATAGAATGAGAACTTTTTCTGTTGGACGAAATGTACCTTCTAGAGACTTCCTGCCAACCTTGCACAAAACAGCAGGTAATGAAGGGCCCCGCCCACACTGACAAGTGAACACATGGTCACCGACCACCGGGCCCATTTGGTCGTCCTTATCAGCCCATACGCCTCGCTAACTTCGTGATCGGCGCAGATAATATTCCGCGAATTCAGCGATTAACCAATGGTAATGTTACACGTAGTGCCAATGATCTGGCCTCCCGTTATAATATTTCGTGGATGATCCGCGCTTCTGCTGCACCGTCAAATTCCCACGTGCTAGCCCCGGCCCCAATCCTCTGGAATCATCGAATCCAACGGCAATTGCGGCCGCCCCCATCAAAAGATCCCCCGGTGTTGGACCGGGCACCGGCCCACGATTTCTTGGAAGTCGAAACGTTGGTAAGGGGAATGGTCCGATCTGAGCCGTCCGGCTCGGCCGCTCTAAACCCGTGGGCTCCGGCAAAACCGGACCCGCGGCTGAAGCTCGGATTTGGACTCGGTCGTAACTCGGCTGGGCCACACGGCGTATCGGAAATATCTGGCACTTTTCTGAGCTTCCTGATTTGGGGCTTATGGGCCGCACGCGTGGCGTGATGGCGGCGTCCGGTTGGACCACTCCCCTAATCCCTGCGGGCCCCGCCCGGGGATGCTTCTCGTGAATGCTACCGAGATTGCGGTAACCTCACCTATTGATTTGATATCTCGCAAACGAGTTCCCACAGCATTCGGGCATCCCGCCCACTGCAGAGAGAGGTGGCCAACCAGGAAACCGCCGTGGTTTTGAGAGTAGTCTATTATGTTTTTATCCCTATAAAAAGTTTATATCTTAGTTTGCCGTTTGCCCTCTCTCGTGGGCAAAGGCACAGCTGGCCAGATTAATGAGTTCCCTCCTCGGGAGAGGCCTCTAAAGAAAATATGAAAAGTGTGGGGGTTATGGGGGTGAAAGAGAAAAGGTCTCCTTTTAAATATCCATCCCTTCTAATAAAGCTCGACCGTCATCAACGACGACAGGCGTCAAAGTAGTGAAGCAGAGAAGAGATCGATCTCCCTCTTCTTCTTCTTCATCTTCTTCGTCTTCTTCATCTTCTTCCTCCCAATCGCTGCGGTAGCCCTGTTCATCGCGCTCGATCCGTAGGGTTTCTCTGGTCGATCGCGTAGCCATGGATACGCACATCGGGGGGTTCGACGTGGTGAAGGCGCCGAGCATCGACGTGGGCGCCCTCCCCTCCAACAACTGCCACACTGTCAGCCCCTCCTCGTCCCCCGTCTCTCAGGCGGAGGCCACCCTCGGTCGACACATCGCCCGCCGGCTCGTCCAGATCGGCGTCACCGATGTCTTCACCGTTCCCGGTGACTTCAACCTCACCCTGCTCGACCACCTCATCGCCGAGCCAGGGCTCACTAACATTGGCTGCTGCAACGAGCTTAACGCCGGCTACGCCGCCGATGGCTATGCTCGGTCGCGTGGCGTAGGGGCCTGCGTCGTCACCTTCACGGTTGGTGGCCTGAGCATTCTCAACGCCATTGCCGGGGCCTACAGCGAGAACCTGCCCGTGATCTGCATCGCCGGAGGCCCCAATTCTAACGACTATGGAACCAGTAGAATCCTGCATCACACCATCGGCCTCCCCGACTTCAGCCAGGAGCTCCGGTGCTTCCAGACCGTCACCTGCTACCAGGTTCCCCAAAATAAATCTCATCTGAGCGCGATGCAGAACGATCTATAACTCAAACTTGTGATTTCTAATTGTCGCTTAATTCAGGCCATTGTGAATAATCTGGACGATGCTCACGAACAAATCGACACTGCGATCTCAACCGCGCTGAAGGAGAGCAAGCCGGTATACATCAGCGTAAGCTGCAATCTAGCAGCAATCCCTCATCCCACCTTCAGTCGCGACCCAGTGCCCTTCTACCTCTCCCCCAGGTAATAATTAAATCTTTCCACCTCTGATCATGTGGGAATCAAAATATTCTCGTCAGGAATCGACCCTATCATGATCTATTTGTTTATTAATTCATTCGTAATGCGCTCGCCGAATCCAGGGTGAGCAACCCCGCCGGTCTGGAGGCCGCCGTGCAGGCCGCTGCCGATTTCCTGAACAAGGCTGTGAAGCCGGTCATGGTGGGCGGGCCCAAGCTCCGCGTGGCCAAGGCCACCGAGGCGTTCGTCGAACTGGCCGACACTTCCGGCTACGCAGTGTCGGTGATGCCGTCGGCCAAGGGCTTGGTTCCCGAACACCTCCCCAGGTTCATCGGAACCTACTGGGGCGCCGTCAGCACGGCCTTCTGCGCCGAGATTGTGGAGTCCGCCGACGCCTATCTCTTCGCCGGGCCCATCTTCAACGACTACAGCTCTGTGGGATACTCCCTTCTGCTCAAGAAGGAGAAGGCCATCATCGTTCAGCCGGAGCGGGTGGTGATCGCCAACGGGCCCACGTTCGGGTGCGTCCTGATGAAGGACTTCCTCTTTGCCCTATCCAAGAGGTTGAACAAGAACACGACCGCCTTTGAGAACTACCAGCGGATCCACGTGCCGGCGGGAGTCCCTCTGGAGTGCGGACCCGACGAGCCGCTGAGAGTCAACGTGCTCTTCAAGCACGTTCAGGAAATGTTGTCGGGCGGGACGGCGGTGGTTGCCGAGACTGGAGATTCGTGGTTCAACTGCCAGAAGCTCAGATTACCAGAGGGTTGCGGGTAAGCTAAAGCAGCGGCGATGCTTCGTCGTCGTTCGATTCTCCCAAAAATCTATTTGCAACTGACCTGAAGCTTCTTCTTCTTCTTCTTCTTCGTCTTCATCCTCGTAGATATGAGTTTCAAATGCAGTATGGATCCATCGGCTGGTCGGTGGGGGCAACGCTGGGGTACGCCCAGGCAGCTAAGAACAAGCGGGTGATTGCTTTCATCGGCGATGGCAGCTTCCAGGTACGCTGAAATCATATTTCTTCATCCCTGTTTAATCCCCTTCCTCCTGATCAGAACTCATCTTGCTTCTTCCCCCGCTGAACCCAGGTCACCGCCCAAGATGTATCAACAATGCTCCGCGCCCAGCAGAACCCCATCATCTTCCTCATAAACAATGGCGGCTACACCATCGAGGTGGAGATCCACGACGGCCCCTACAATGTCATCAAGAACTGGAACTACACCGGCCTCGTGGACGCCATCCACAACGGGCAGGGCAAGTGCTGGACCACCAAGGTATGTCCATGGTCCCTCCTCCCCATTTCTCACAGCATGGAACCTGCCGCGAATCCATCGGTCTGACCATCTGCTTGTGCAGGTACGCTACGAGAAGGAGCTTACGGAGGCGATCGAGACGGCGGTGGAGGTGAAGAAGGACTGCCTCTGCTTCATAGAGGTGATCGTGCACAAGGACGACACCAGCAAAGAGCTGCTCGAGTGGGGCTCCAGAGTCTCCGCCGCCAACAGCCGCCCACCGAATCCCCAGTAGCTTCCTCCCCTCAACTGAGCCGAAGCTGTGTACCTGGGTCGTCCTCCTTTGCCGTTTCATTCTTATCATCAGAAACTCTCTCCGTTCTCGCAGTTTCTGCTGCTTCTCTCTCTCTCTCTCTCTCTCTCTCTCTCTCTCTCTCTCTCTCTCTCTCATCGCCATTGAATGCTAGGAAAGAGGAAAAAATCGCAAGCCTTCACTGATGTGGATATCGGCTGCTGGACGACTTGAAGCCGAACCCCAGAGAGTGTGAGAGTGAGTGACAGAGAGAGAAAGAGAGACGTCGAGAAAGTTGATTAAGCCACGTGAAATGGAATCAAAACACGTGATGCGCATTTTTTAGAGGGGATTCGTTGGTAATTTTCAGCATATTGTGACAATATTTCCGAATTTTCCCAAAAATCGATCGGGAAATTCTGACCGTCCGATCAGATCAAACGTGTCTCAGTAGCCTCGTTAACCTCGAAGCTGCAAAAGCTGGCCATTTTATATACGGGGGTGGACGTCGAAGGGAGCAGGCAGGACGCTACGCTATACATCTTGTTCACGAAACGACAGCGGAGGGGCCTGGCGGCGCCGACACCAGCCGGTCGCCGTGCATAAGATGGGCGGGAAAGGGGGCACGACACTGGGAAATATGGGCCTTGAGCTTGGGCACGTTGGGATGCGCGCTGCGGCAGCGGTGGCAGCGCAGCTCCGCCGAGAGGAGCCGCTCGCTGGCGAGCTCGGCGGCGCCGTTCCTCTCGACGGCCTCCAGCACATCGCCGGAGTCGAGGAAGAAGGCGGTGTTGAAGGAATTCCAGTGCTTCTTGTTCTTCAGGTGGTCCGAGTCGAAGTCCTGGCTGATGACGTGGAGGTGCAGCTGCCGCATCGACGGAGCCTTTTGGAGCGACGGCGTCAGTAGCGGCGGCAGCGATGGAAGAAGAGGAAGAAGAAGACCAGAGACGGCGGCGGAGAAGACCTACCGAGTGGTAGCCCAGCCGGAAGGTTAACGAGGGGTCGTCGCTCAGGAACTTCGCCGCGCACCTCATCCCCGCTTCGTGCATCTTCCTTAGCAATGGCAGGTGCTCTTTCCGCACGTCGGCGAGCTGGTCAACGCCTTCCAGTCTGGACACAACGAGGACGTGCTTCTTCGCCTGCGAGGAAACAGAACAAGAAGAAGAAGCTGAAGAAGACGAAGAAGATGGAGCCGAAAGAAGAAGAAGAAGAAGAAGCTGACCTTGGGGTAGAGGTCGGGCAAGATGACGAAATCGTCGGATATTTCCATGGCGACGTCCCCGTGCTTCTCGGGCTCCATGGCGAATCGATGGAGGGACTGCGCCCACGAGCCCCAAGCTTTCTTCTTCTTCCTCTCTCCTGACCCGTCTTCGTATTTCTGCTCCTGCTCCCCCTTCTGCTTCTTGTTCCTCTCCGAATGGGCCTGTACGACGGAGATGAAGTTGCAGAAGAGAGAAGAGTAGGCGGCACGGAGGACCCCGCAGCCTTCCTCGTAGTCGCCTCCGAGGCAATTGGGCCTCTGCGGGTTCATGTTCGGGCCGAGAACATGGATTACGTGCGTGACGCCTTCTCTCTGGTGCAGAGGGGAGCTGGAAGGAAGATGGACCGCGACGGAGGAGCCGGGGACTAGGGTTCCAGCTTGTTCCTTGGTCGCCGCTTCGAGGGCTCCGCCGGCTGCGCTGAATATGGCCGCGTTGACCCCTCCGCCGCCGGGCTTCAGCCTCCTGCACGGCCATTTCGCTCAACACGTCTTGAGAGCCATCAGGAGAATAATAATAAAAAATATATGTTTTCCTTATCAGTAATAACAAATAAATGCATGGAATCTTACCAATTGGCGGCGTTCGCAATCACACTGCAGTGCAAGCTCCCGCGGCTGAGGAGTCGAGTTATGTCTCCCACGAAGGTGAAGAACCTCCTGGAATCAATTTTCCTCATTGAAGCCTTTGACTTTACCAAAGATAGGATGTTTGAACTGGGAGTCAAGTCCACGAGGACAAGCCTGACGCCGTCGTATCTGGCCAGAAAGTCTGCCACACTGTCGACGATGATATCTGATGCTTTCTCATGATCGAACTGGAAATCGGCGGTCGAGATTGAAGGGAAAGCCAGAGTACGGGAACCATCATCCGTCCCCACCTCCTCCTCGTCCCTGTTTTCTCCCTTGACTCCCAGAATGCGGGAGCTCTTCCCACCGCCGCCTTCATCTGGAATGGGTTTCTGACAATCACTTCCACCAGACTGAAGCTCCGTGGGCTTCTCCACCTTCTTCAGGAATCTCATTATCCCGAGCTGGACTTTGGAATCTGGGTTCCTCTTGCCAAAGCAGCCATGGGGGAGGGAATCAGATGGGCCGAGAGAGCCGTATGAGTTGACCAATTCCCGCACTTCGGCGTCGCTCTGGCAAAATGTGATTCTAGAAAAACCCTCGTTGACTTCAGGGAATTCCTGACTGTGTAGCATCCGGTTGACGACTGCAGCTGCTCTTCCGCCTTGCAGATTGCCTTCGTGTCCGCTTCGCTTCACTGACCGAGATATGCAGACTCGGGCAGGGAGATTGAGAACTACTGCATGCAGCTCTGCCTGAGGGCCGCCGAGGGCCACGAACTCGGCGCGTTGCTCTCTATCGAGGTTGCACCTGTCGATGAATATGCTCTTCCCATCCTTCAACGCCTCGGTCGCAGTTTTAATGCACTGTGATCTTCTACCAGGCTTCCCATTGGCAATATTATCCTGCAGCGAGATCAGAGATTGAATCTTCGTCAGAATGGTTTAATCAAACAGGTCAAACCAAAAAGATAACAGCTCATCAAATCTGTTACGAGATCTGCGTCCCTGATTTCTCCTGGGTCACAATGCCATCGGATTATGAACTAGAAAGACTTCGCGGATTTTGACAGATAATTTCACCGGCGGCAAGATACAGTTGGTCAACCATGGCAGATTACAACGTGGAACTCTAAGAAGTACGGGCAGATACAGTTCACCCCTTACCTCTCCTAAAAGGTTCAGGAAACGGTTTAGGACAACTTAATCCAGTATTTGATCCGATAAGTTGCAAAGTCAAACTGTTTATAGCTCATAGAAGAAAATATCGATCATCTGCAGAAGGACATCCATGAGACAAGTCGTGATAATCCCAAGCATTCCAGGGGTAATTGAGACTCTGAAAGATGGTGAATCTACCGAGATCTCTTCAAACGCAATCATCCTTCCTATTCGTGATCTCGACAGTCACCCAAAAGCCCCTTCTTTCTTTAAACATGGAAAAAAAAGGGAAGATAAAATGGTAAAAGAATATGGAAAGGATCTTAGCTCGGCAAGCGATGTCATTAACAACACGATTAAGCCTTATTTTTGCGAGTGTAATTAATAACACAGTAATTAATAACTCGAGAATCAAATAATCCCTATTCTTCATTCGAATAAATTCTATATTTATTCACATGAAACTCTATTAAATCGAATGATTATTTTGAAAGTAGACAAAATCCCCGTCAAGTGCTCACCCTTCTGGCATTGATCGTCCCCACTTCAACCCACGAAGGCACAAACCTGGCAGATTCGCACCCAGGTACGGCGACCGGCCCGCATGACGTTCTCGCAGAAGGTACTCTTTCCGCTGCCGGGGGCGCCCATCAGGATGACTACCAGAGCCTTTCCCTTCTCTCCATCTCCATCCCCTGTCCACGAGAAACAATTAGGCTGATAGAAGGATGAAGACAACCCTAATGGAAGATCAGACACACGGAGAAGTGAGCTCCGAGGTTTTGATTATTCGCGCGGGGCGATGGAGGGTAGAGAGAGAGAGAGAGAGAGAGAGAGACAGACAGACAGAGAGAAGAAGAAGAAGAACAGACCCTGCGAGGTGGGCTTCCCCTCGCCATCCATCACTCCCGGGAGACCAACGCACTGAGTCCTCGGCAGGACGGGGGAAAATAAATAGGGTTTAAGCGACGTGGCCTCCACTTGAAGCCGGTGCACATATTGGGCCTTAAAAGCAGCACAAAAAAAGGAGCCCATTTAAAATATCCCAACTTAAAGCCTTACCAAGCCCAATAACACCAGCATTGAAGCCCACTTTTCTGTTAGTTAATGGTCCATTTAAAACGAGCCCATTAAAAAACAGGTCAGCCCATTTATATGTTCTTCATATGTTGGCCTCACGATTATAAATGCATTATTTAATTACAATTTTCCATCTCATTTTGTAATATCCATGTACATTATTAAATAATCTCTCTCCCTAAGAATCCAAAATAATTCATACCATTTTATTAGGAACTTCACGGGCACTATCTCTCTCTCTCTCTCTCTCTCTCTCTCTCTCTCTCTCGCTCTCTAAGAATTTAAGAAAATGCATGCCATTTTGTTTGTAACTTCATGGACTCTCTCTCTATCTCCCCATCCCTCTAAAAATTTAAGAAAATGCATACCATTTTATTAGGAACTTCATGGGAGAATATCTCTCTCTAAGAATTTAAGAAAATACAGACCATCTTATTAGAAACTTCATGTGAAAATCTCTCTCCCTCTCTCTCTCTCTCTCTCTAAGAATTTTAGAAAATGCATACCATCTTAGAGAGAATCTCTCTCTAAGTTACTTACCATTTTGTAAGTAACTTCATGAGTTCTCCTCTCTGAGAATTTAAGAGGATGCATACCATTTTGTTAGGAACTTCATGGGCCCAAACATAACTCCCCATCAAAGTAATAGGACGCAAGCCACATATGGGGAAAAGAAGGAAACAATGCAGGAACTGCAGAGACACTTGAGATGTTACCCCCCCACCACACGGAGGCAGATGAGACCCCGTCATTGCAGTCGAGCTCCTTCAACAAAGAAGCAATGCCACAGAATGCTAGCAGATATAATCACATACAGAACGGAAAACCAGATCAATCACATTGATTGGAAGCGGATGGGGGAAGCCCTATCAGAGTAACTATGACATTAGCCACATTTGGGCACCAGCCCATAGAGCTTTCAAATCATCTCCTCACGTAGGGCATACTCATCTCCTCATATCTCCTCTACTCATGAAGAAGCAAAAAAGCCACAAAAAACCTGAATGAAAGCAGTGCCATCTCAACCCCAGACCTTCTCCAACCCGAAAGCTAAATCCTTTAACAAAACCAGGAGGTGAATGATACCCAGGAAGAGAGGGGGGGAGATATTTGGAACAAATAATTGAAGTCATAGAAGATGAGCGAAGAACAGGAAGCCCTATCAGAGTAACTATGACATTAGCCACATCTGGGCAACAACCCATAGCTTTCAAAATAATTTCCTCATTTAGGGCAAGCTCTTTGCTGTAAGATATCAATGGATAAAATAAGCAAAATAAACTGGAAGAAAATGAGAAACCAAATGGATCCCCATCAAGGCTTGGAAAGGTGTCCTACCCTAGGAACTACACCTGCATGGCAATCATGAAGTGCATGAATAGATTTGAACAGAAAATTTGGAATCCACATTAATGACCAGAACCGTGCAGTTTTTTTACTGTCATCACTCTTCAAAAGAGTTCAATATCTCTTCAGGGTGGCCCTCTTTTCCAGGGATTCAAAGTGTTATTCTCCAAACCATTGGAAGAAAGACATCCAGTGGCCACCCAACCTGTTCAAAACGAGAAATGTAGAAAGCAGTGGAAACATTGGAAGCTAGAGTCAAGTGTAAGATTACACGTTATTGATTATTTCAAATGCACGTAGATTTCACCACCAGCCTTTGCCAAGGTAGGTAGGTGAACAGAACAAGCCGGAAAACAAAAAACGAGCAGTGACATTTAAGACCAAGATATTGCATGCTCCCTCTCCAGGTAGAAATAAGAGAATTCGAAGAAGGCCCGCTTCACTAGCACAATGCGACGAAGACACTCATCGTACGCGGTAGCAGTAGCGCTTCCAAGGCCATCCCTGAAATGTGTTCCGGGCTCAAACAGCGACTGACGGGCGAAGGTCGTGTCGCACGAACAGAAAAATATGATTCGGAGAAAAGATCAGAAGTCAAGAGACAGAGGGAAGCAGGGACCATGATAACATCGCCAGCGCTATGCATTTAGGTGACCAGGGCGGGGGAAGATAGATCCAACGCCTCTTTTTTCCTAATCACTTGGAGAATCCCTAGACTCGAGTCTCTAAGAACAGATGACGATTCAGGAGCAAAAAATGCCGAACACTTCTATAGATGTGAATTCCCATACACATTGCACCACGATTTAGAAATCCAGCACCCAATGCAGATAATCGGCGTGTCTGCAAGACGAGAGTACTCGTACCCTCCTCCACCTTCCATAGATCTATATGCCAACAGGAGAGAGAGACGCCTGCGCAGCCAAAAACCCTACTTCCCCCCAGCCGCGCCTTCTTTGCACTAAATAGCATCCGTGCCGCCGGCCAGGCAGCGAGCCCCTCGGATATCTGGGCAGTCACCGGGGGTCCGAACCGATAAGACTTTGTCGGAACCCGTTTTTTTATACTGATAATTTATTTTTACCGAAATGACATTAAAAGATTCTCTCTCTCTCTCTCTCTCTCTCTCTCTCTCTCTCTCTCCCGCCCATCTTGCCATGGCAGAACAATGAACAAAGGCAGCCAATAATCGTAGAAATTAAATAAAGTGGTCAAATGAAATGGCCCTAGTTTAGACCTAAAAACATCGAGGTACTACAGGAAAAAATCCAAGGCATACCACCCATCCATCCATCGTTGACCGCTGCAGATTGATTCATATTCTGGAGATCGTGGGAGGCCAGAAAAATAGATAACTTCCAAGGTTCCAATGCTCGAGGCCAATCAGTACCAAAGTGGGAAGTCTCTCGAGCAGTTGTCAAGAACAATGAGGAAGAATCAAACTCGTTCGGGGCGGTGGCGCCGGCTACCGTGGTCCGTGCGGCATGTACACTGTATCAGGCGATGATTAGGTCAAGACCTGCGAGGTCCTACGGTCCAGGAAGAATCGATCCCACATAATTTCACCGCAGCCTCAACGGCGCCCAAAAAACCACAAAAAGAGAGGAAAAAAGGGAGAGATGACCCCGCGACTCGAGAAAGGAAAGGAAAAAAAAAAGAGGGCTATAGAGCGCCGCCGCCACTGCCGGCAGCTCGAGAGTTGACCTGTTTCGGACAGACGGCGAAGCTTGGAGCCGGCTCCCCGTCGACCGACATGTTGTGTGGGCTTTGACGCGATCAGTAGCCGCTCATCGGCGGCATGCCGTACGCGGGCATCGGCGGCATTCCCATCGGCGGCACCCCCATCGGCGGCACCCCCATAGGCGGCGCTCCGTAAGGGCCGCCCATGCCGGCCACCGGCGGCGCCGGCAGCGCGAGGGGCAGCAGCTGGGCGTACATATTCTGAGGGGGGGAAGGTAGGAGGAGGACATTAGTTGGGGGAAAGTCAACTACCAGGAGGAAGGAGGCCCTGAGAGTTCAGAAGACTTCATTTATTACCTGCTGGGCGACCATGTCCTTCTCTTCCTGCTCCTTGGATTTTACTTCTTTCTGGGCCTCAAGCTTGTCCTTGATGAGCTCGTCCACTTTGCCGCTGTACTCGCGGATGAACTGCGGATGCACGACGTATAAGAGAAGATTAAACAGAGAGAGAGAGAGAGAGAGAGAGAGAGAGAGCAGGGATGATTACCTGGAGGAGATAGGGGAAAGCGAAGTCGATCATGTTGTTCATCCACGCAAGTTCCAGCGCGACGTCGGGTCGAATGAGATCGTAGCAAATGAAGAGGCACGACGCGAAGCATTCCTTCTTTCCCTGCACATTCGGGCATGGAGTTGTCTGGTTAAACAGCAGGGAAATGGACAACATTCTGACGTTTCGATTCTAAAGGCAAAAAAGTCAAGGTATTGGGCGGCGACTTCTGAGGAGTACCTGGTCGATGAAGTAAAGGAGAAGCTCTTCAGAAAGCTCGCGGTCGCCGGACTGGGAGCATGTCTCCATGGCGTCCTTGTACAGGTTGTCCTTCTTGGACAGAGCGATGGACTGCTTCCACCTCCCGGCCTTCTTGTAAATATAGGCGGCGATGCGCCTCATCTCGAGAAGCTCGTGCTTTTCGGTCTGCCAAAGTCACGCAGCACGAGAGATTAAAAGACCAGATTTTCGATTTTTCTTTTTCTTTTTATTTCTTTCCGAAGGGGGGCGGGGTAGGGAGTTGAAGATGAGGAAGGAGAAGTTCTCACCTTCTGGGCGAGCCCGATCTGGTCAAAGTTATCGTGCATGTCGATCGATTCTCTCAGCCTGTCATAGTCCTCCTCTTCGACGTAGATCTCATTCAGGGCCTCATTAACAGCCGCCACGTTGTTACTCTGTACTGCGACCATGTATGGCTTCACAAGGAGCAGGTGGCCAGCCTGGGCAAGCACATGAAAGTCAGCGCAGGACTTGACGGTCCTTATAACGGGAGGACGAAACGAAAGTCGGGACCGGGGGGCGGATACCTTTCTCATAATGTCAACGACGCGGGCATGGTCAACGCGGAGGGCAAGCACGTTGAGGAGGTCGTTGATGAGGTCCGGGTGTTCCTGCAGGTAGAAATGGACGGCCTTGTAGTAAAGCTCCACGTTGGCGACCTTGGCGACGACGTCCTTGAACTGCATGTGATCCCAAGCATCTGGCGAATGGTTCATGATGGTGGTGGCGGCATTGTCGAACTCATCGTACTGAATGTAGAGATAAGTCAGCTCCTTCCAGTGCTGCTGCTCGTCGCACGCCCTTATGAGCTTCGGGATGTTCAGGCGAGTGGAAAAGAGCTTGATGTGCTCCATGAGTTTCTCAGAGCGATATCTCGCGTACAGGACGCCCAGTTCCGTGAAGATGCCCATGTGGGCGCGTTCCAGACCGAGGCCGCTCTCCATAAGAGAGATGATCTCATCGAAGCAGCCCCTGTTCTGATAATACTCGCTGACTTCCTCCATGTCGTCCACCTACACGAGAGAGACCGAAACTTTCAAGCTTAGGGATAGAGATTTTGAAGAGAGAATCTTTCAGGAGGGGCGGGGAAGGGGGGGGAGGGGTGAGGACAACCTGAACGATGATATTGAGGCCGGCTATTTGGGCCAAACGGAACTCCTCAGCATCCACGCATGCAAAGCAGACTTCCTTCCAGGTCTTCGCACTGTTGGCTTTACGAGCAGCGTCAACTGCTCCTTGGAACTGCCTCAGCTTCAGTAGAGTGCTGGCCAGCTTGGCCCAGTTAGAGATGAAAGCAAATATTATCTTTGCAGCCTCATACAAGGCTTCGTCATAGAGCCGATCGCCCACGTTTTGCAGGTTAGCCACATTAGGCATGAGAATGAATTCCTCAATCTCACCCAGCCTGTCGATCTTTGCATATGCGTAGATGAGCTCACTGTCCACCTTGGGCTCCTTTGCCTTCTGCCGGACCATGAGCAGGTATTTCACCAGGTCATGATACACATTGGCATCTTCAGCGGCTTTGATGACATCCAGGAATTGGGTGGCGTCATCTGCACGGATGAATGACTCGATCGCATCACTCACAAGACCTTCCCTGAGCTGAGCCTTCGCGACCTGACTCCACACGGCATCCTCTTCCACGCGGAATGCGAACTCTACAGCCCGATCGATGCTTCTGATGTTATCGAGGAGAACATTGACTGCCTGCACGTTGAGGTCGAATTTCTTGAAAATGGCGAAGGCCTCTTCGTAGAGCTGCGCTTCGACTGCCACCTCCCCAACTGCAGGCCCGTCAAAGTTGTCCAACCTGTTCACATAATCCATGACCCTCGATGCATCGGCTTTGATGGCCGTCAGGATCAGCAGATTCTGCAGATTGAAGTTGCCGCTGAAGGCAGAGTTTTGGAGGACGATTTTTTCCAGCAGCTCGATAAGCTCGTGGGGAAGATCTGCAGTCATGAAAGCCTTAACAGCACCAGAAACCTGCTCCGGGCTCTTGCTCTCGGGCAGAGCAGTAGACACAACTTGGTCGATAAGCTGTCTTCTGTATTCATTATCGGGTTGGAGCACCTTATCCCACAGATCTGCATCCATCCTTTCCACAACGTATCTGGAAGAAACGAGCGATGATATGAGGATTTGTCAGAAAGGTATCCCTCCTCTACCACGTTGTTGCACGCGAATCTATGCAGGAGGAACAAAAATAGCAATAAAGAGGGGCGGATGGATGGTACGGACCTCGCCTGCAGCTTGAACAAGGAGTTTTTGTTGGTGACGCTGATGAGCTCTTCATCACACTGCCCTCTCCTGTAGGCAACAACCGCGAGTGTGGGGTCCCTTTTCTCACAGTATTTGCCCACAACGCGTGAATCATAGTAGGGGTTGGTCGTGAGAAAATGCTCGGGGTTGTTGTTGCTGTCGATGATAATTTTGCCCAAAGCGTTGTGGACGTGCACGTCTTGGCTGCCTTCGCTCACCAGATGCTCCAAGAACTGGGTAAGCAGTCGGAGACGATTCCTGACATCCACCAGATCCATTGACATTGACTCAGATGGAGAAACAGACTAAAGAGAGGCGTACAGACGATAAAGTCAAACGTTGCTCACCTCTTCTCGCATTCATCCACAAGCGGCTCCACTGGAAGGAGAGACCGCACAGAAAGAATGAGACCCTTGATGAAATCTTCAGGGCATTCGTCGTCCAGCAGTTGACCAACAACCAGAGGAGCATTGCCAGGGTTGACCTGTCACCAAGTTTTCAGAAAAGGAAAGGGAGAGACTTTAGATGCCGAAAAAATTAAAAGAGGTACCGAGCAATCATACTGCAAAAGAGATCATTAAATTTTAAAACAAAACTATTACCTTCTGAACATAACCTTCGATGTACCGAAGCATGTTGTTCGAGTACAAGTAATGAGTAAGATCAGGGACAAAACCAAAACGATCACAAACATTGATAAGCGGTCGTGCATCAGGAAGCTTGGCTTCCATCAGAAAATTTTTAGTCTTCTCGGCGTCATAGAAGTTTGATTCCCTGGTGACGCGTTCTACTTCCTTAATTTGCCCAGTTTTTGCCGCGGCCTCGATATATTTGAAGTGTATTTCCGGATCCTCGCTGGATAGAAAAATTCATAACGGAGAAAATTAACCCAAAATACAGAAAAGGAATAATAACCATCCGAAGTGTAGAGAGGTTTCTTTACCTGGAGCTTAAATACGATCCCAAAAAGAAGTATAGACCTTCGTAGGATTTGAACTGCTCAAAAAGCTTTATGCATGAATCAACACCCAGTTGGTCGGAATATTCTTTGGCAGCCTACATAGCAGAGAGTTTTCAGGAATTTCCACGTCATCAATCACCGAGAATACACTGTCGATTACAAAAAAAATACCTGCACGATTATCTGAAGATTTCCCCTGAGATTTACGATCAGTAGATCTTTCATGCACTCCAACGCCCATTCTTTTGAGAGAGTCCCAAAGAACTCCACGAGCGCCTGAAATATTAAAAAGTTAAGTACCAAAACCAAGCTATGCAAGACTAATATAGCATTTGGAAACAAACCTGGGGCTCAATTGCGTGGGTATTCACAATGACGCGCTTGATATCGGGTAACTCGGAATAGTGCTGTCAAAATAAACATGCGGTTGTTCATTAAGGGCATAATCGAAGGCTTCGGCCACAAACAGAGTTCGCATGAGATAGAAAGGCGACCAACCTGAAGCGCTCGCACGTACAAGCCAGCCTTTTCACACAGCTGAGCAATACGCGGTCGATCATAGTGACTGAACATTCCATTTGCTAATATCGCGTCCGCAACATTTGGATAGGTCACCAGATTTATCTCTAAGACCTGTCACGAAAATAAGAACCAGGTTACATAAAAAGTAGAGACAAAGCTTAGGGGATCGTCAAAAGCTAAGCAAGAAGCACCGATGACCTTGGTCTGAAGGAAAGCATGCTCTGGTAGATTTGGTTTCAGAACGTCCAATAAGAAGGCCGTGGCCTCTCTGATCAAATTCCTCTACAGAAAACAAAAGTAAGCAATAAATAACTTCAGTTCATTGCCAGGGTACACCCCGTGAAATCCCAAATTTCGTGAACTTTGGAATCATAAAAGACATTTTAGAACAGTAAGCATTTAAATTTCCCAAGTAGTTCTAGGGAAATAGAAGAGGACTTAAGGAAAACCTGAAGAAAAAGATCTGTGATTGTATTGTAATCAACTGGACAGCCCCCTTCCATTTGTGACATCATCAGAGCAAAATTAACGGCACCCTGCAATGAAAATCTTAGTGAAAAAATGCCCAGGAAATTGAGAAGCCATAGAAGGTCATAAAGAAGAGCAGCAGGAGGTGAAAATTTGAACTGAAACACCTGTTAAAGTCTATTGAGCCGCAAAAGCCAAATCACACCCCAAAAATATCTTTAAAAAATGTTCCATATGTTTACTTTCTACTTTTCAGAAAGAACTAGACAACGTGAGAAATTTATTAAATACTACAAAATGACCAAGGAATAAGTAAATGAGACGAGATACCTGAGGATCAGCCCGTAGAATTGTTTGCAGAAGGAAAAGATAATCTGGTGTATAGCCAACCTGTGCTCAAGAAAAAAGGGAAATTCAGTCAAGTAAATCAAACGTCACTTGACACTGAGGATAAATAAACACATCAACACCCAAAGTGAACCAAAATTAATCAATGATTTCAAAGAGCGTCTGTGCTCCAGAACTTTGTCACAATGCAAGCACTGGCATATGTGAGCCAAATACCTGCTTGGAATATATGAGGATCTTATCAAACTCCCTCCTTTCAGCAAAAGCTGCAACAACCTTGGGGGTAGCCCTTGCCTTGATGTATATTTTCAGTGCAAGGTCATTATCCACAGTCTACAAAAAAGAAATAAGGACGTACAAATGATGATCTAAATCAGAAGTGAACAAATAACTATGGGAACATAACAGAAGATCATAGATAATAATAACAATTATTATTATTATTATTAAGAAACCACGAGTGCTAAGAATCTCAATACTGACCTTTACAAGATCTCCAAGCTCTTCGCTGCACTCAAGCTTATCCTCGGCCAACCAATTCTCTAAAAGGTTCTTCTTATTCTGGTTAACAACAAGGCGGGATAACTCAAGGGACTCAAATGCATTGAGTTTTCCTCTTGTTAATAATGTCCCAAAATACTGCAATAATGGTGGGGTCTGGCCAGCTTGCACTGGAACACTCTGTAAAAACAAAATATTTAAATCTTGAAGAAAAATGAAAACATAAACATTTTGACAAAATGTGGGCAGTCATACTGCAAAAGCCCAAAAAATAAAATGGCATCATCAAAAAAGATAACTTAGCAATTGGTATAGGTGTCTCTAAGAACTGTAGAAGACGTGCACCTGAAATTTTGCAACAGTGTCCGGAGTGCGAAGAATGCCTTGAGGAGACTCGGCAGCAAGCTCTGCAGCCTCCTTGTATTTGGTCTGGGAGAACAACTCTTGGAACCGCTGCACAACCTGTAGAACAGAAATGGATTCAGAAAAAGAAAGCACAACAGGAGGAAGGCACAATAGTCCATGGAAACGAAAAGTTACTAATAAGCACCTCTGCTATCCAGGTGCACTTCACATATCAGAGGCGCATAAAAAAAATGCAAGAGGACGCACACAAGAAGCATGCTTGGGGACTACTTTAATTTTTTTTAGCCTTGAACACTAAATTAATCGACGGATAAATCGGGATGAAACATTGCATGTTTTAATGTGAACAAGTGAAACTAAAACCACGAAAGTATAAAAAAACATTTGGACAGTCTGGGTAGGAGAAGAAACTTGGTCGAAAAAATAATCCAATATGATTATTTTTATGACAAAAAATAGTCTGCAACTAAACATGAGAAACAGAGATAATATGACGTCAATTCTAATTAGAAATTATGTCCAATTTTTTTACAAACTTTAAAATATTATGAACGCAGCATTCAGATCAATCATATATTGGACAAAACTAAAAACGCTTCATCAAGTAGAAGAATTCTTGATTCCTTTTAAAAGATTAACAGTAACTGCAAGACGCAAGACTTGATAGCTCTCAATACACATGATCTGCGATGGTTTAGAAATAAACTTATGAAAAAATATAAATTCAAAATAATGATTACCAAGTTCTCAGCTCCCGGAAGATTTCCTCTTTTCGCAATATTAACAGCCAGCTCCAGATTGTTTAACTGAATATTCACATCAGCAGAATCATGTTTGAATCGTTGCAATTTACAGAAAAGAAGGGATAAATGTATTTTCATCTTTTTTATACTCAATAAATATGTGGTTCTATCCACTTTCAAATATTAAAAAAATAAAAAGAAACATAGCTATAGGAACATACTTGACCGCTGATAAAGGGCACAATCGTTGCTTCATTAACAGTGGCCAGAAGAACTTGACCTCTCCTGTTAACAGCATAAAAGCCTCCAACTGATGAAGCTTCAGAAGTCAAAAATATAGGATCCGCACTTATGCGATTTCTGTAAACAGCTGTGGCCGTTTCCAGATCATAAACAAATAGAAGGCCAAGCTTTGTGATTACATATATCAAACTGTACTTATTAGAGATCTGCACAAAAAATTAACATCTTAATATTTTAATAATAGAACCATAAAAGTCCACCGAGTAAAACTAAAAATAAATGCATCACCTGCATTGATACTGGGAAGTCATCAGCAAAATCTGGTGGGAAGAAAAGATCAGCCTGTTTCTTTGTAAAACCCGGTTTACCTGGTAAAAGCATATTTTCGTCAGCTCAACGAACGAAAAAGAGACAATACGATGCATAAAAGATCATTTAGATAAAGTCGAGCATAGTATAGAAAAATTCTTAACGGACTAAAAAATAAGAAAGATGCAAAAGCACTAGTGATACCCGGCTGAGCACCAAGTTCAATCACATGCAGCTTTGAGGTAACTTGCCCAGCATTGACAGTCTTTGATGCAAATGAAATAAGAATAGAAGGACTCTCATTGCCCGCAACCTAGTCAAGTCCAATCAAAAATCCCATCTCAGTACTTCAAGAGCTGCTCATATTAATATCGTGCAAAAGAAACACCAAGGAGATGAGAAGAAACTACAGAAATATTCTCACCTTAAAGGATGCAAATGAAGCAGCATGTGCTTCAAGTGCTTGACTGCGCTGCTGATCAACAGAGAAAAGCTGCATGTTCCCTTTCACCAGCTGTGGCCGCTGCAATCAGGTATGATGGCACATTTTTACAGCATGCTTATTATAATGAACACTCCGAACATTTTCAAGTAAAAAGAAAGATCGGAAGACCTCATTTTCAATAAGAAGGGACATAATTATTATTATTAATTTATCATCATTAAAAAATACAGCTTCTTCCGTGAGTGAAAAGGTTAATCATTATTGTACAGCAAAGAAACACTAGAAAGGAAAGTTCAGTTAAAAGCCAAGCACAGATACTATGAACACAAAAGATGTGAGTACTCTAAATATTAACGATTTATGCGCTAGATCTGAATTTTTCAGGAATGATTTTCCTGCGTATTGCACATTTTAGATGATTTAACTGATGCCCAGCCTGTCTTTCACAACTCACTTCATTCCGTTGAAAAATGGAAATAATCAGAGATGTAGAACACGGTTTTTTTTTTAGGAAGACAACCGTATAAGCCTACAAAGTCAGCACAGAAATGGTTTTTCCCGTTATACCTACATTATCAATATGAACCATTGCACCCAGCGGAATACACGGAATCACTGAATCATATTAAAGTTATGCAACATACGAAAAGGCTAAGGTAAAGCACATTCGGTAACGTACCTCTGGAGAACCAGGTGCGATACCAATCAAAACCAGCCATTTCTCAGAGGGATCACAACGGTAGTTGATAATTTGATTATTTGCCAAATTAGCAGTTCTTTCAAACATCTTCACAGGTTCAGAGTCACCTAAAAAATACAGAACACGGTTCATAGAAATTTAACGAACCTATGCAATAAGCTTTTGATGTAAGATGTTACTGCCATTGGGAAATATTCAAAATGAAAAATCCGGGACAGTTACCTTCAATTGACCAGTGATATACTGAAGATTGGGTAACTAGCCCCAACATCTTCGGGGTAATCCATTTCCAAAAGACAACCTAAGCGTGATTTTAGACACAAAGAATGATTCATTTACAGAATAAGTTCAATATAAAGTGCAGGAAAATAAAACAAAAACCTGCAAACAGAGGCATCATATCCTTCACCTGCTCAGGCATTTGGTGTGATTTCATCTTAGCCTTTAGCTCAATATTGAATATTTGTAGGTGGTCCTGGGTAGTCCCTGGAAGTTGAGCTGCAAAGGAAAAGCCACTCAATACTTAAATTGGCTTTCAAATCATTCTTATGTCATAGACATAGCCTACAGAACGTGCCAACACACAGAAGGAAAACAACAAACAGGCAAGATGAAGCTACGATAACTTTGTCCAAACCTAATAGCCAAGGAGTTTGGTTAATGCATGAAATTCAAATGTATGGATCAAAATACTAGTAACAGAAGCAAATTAAAGGTCACCGACAGCTCTGTACTCACAGGTATCCACACATGACAAAGTGGTGGTCATAAATAAGGGTATGCTAAAGTTTTCCAGTCACTTGTGTCAGTTTCAAACAAGTCAAATAGTGAAGGATGCGAATTTGACGGAAAAATGGATTACACAAAATTAAAGAACTTTCCATGAATCATCCTTATGAAGCTAACTTTTATATATTCCTCTTCTCTCTTTTAATAAAACTCCTGGCTCATCCACTTTACATATTAACGAGAGAAAGAGAGAGAGAAAAACAATTCTTCAGCAGTTTCTCCCCATTAACTGCTCTCATACGACTTTAGATAGAACCCTCTCTTCTCCTTGATAGCGCCACTAGATTTGAGACCAGCAGCATTGGCATTGTCTTCAGAACCACATCTTTAAACTTACAGCATGAACAGTTGTCTACAGATACATATCTGTGTTCATATATCATCTTCATAGATGTATACACATGTAGAGAAATTGATCAGAATGTTTTACGACTTTAGTTCCGAAATCGGATCTAGAAAATGCCAATTTGGCACAAAAAAAAGTTAGAATGATTTTCAATCTGGCAATGGCATCAGATATGCAACACATCGTTTAAAGATGACAGAAACTGATCGTCTCAAAAGAAATTTCAGCAATCTGAAGAATAGTTACAGTTAGTCATTATTTTTGTAGAAATCAAAGTGCATTTTTGTAATTCCACTGGAAAGAGCTATTACACCTTGGACCAGGTGATTATTTTTTGTTGATTGGCATTCTACTGGAGATGAGTAAGCACATAATCTACTTTAACAAGAATCATATTACACCTCAACCAATAAAGCTCTCCAACTTTTTCAAGCTTCGAATATTACTAAATAGAGTTGTATTGTTGAACCTAATTTACACTCCAAAAATGAAATAATTCCAACGCCTATGTATCAGACAACTTCTACTTAGTGCAGACATGTTGTTTTTCCTTCTTTCCCAAATGAATTTACTAGTCAACAAGAAGTAACGTACACGAAGCTTATTCACTAATTGATATAAAGTGCAAGGTAGCCCAAAATCACCAAAAATTGAATTCTTTTGAACAATGAGTGTGAATTTCATCCGAATCTTGCAACTGGTTCTTGAGACGACAATATGTGCCTTGCCAACCACATATTCACATACATCTAGACATTCAGTAAGTTCAACGGCCAAAATGTCTGCCGTACATATGACAGGGAAAAATGGCATAAAATGACTACGAGGCTCCAAAAGATATTAAAAAAATCATTTCTGACAGTCCTATGACATAAAACTTGGCAGCACATTCTAGAATCCCTCCAGCAGATAAGATGTACTAGATCGGCCTCCTAGACTTCACCAGCACACCTTCCCCCAGATTTAAGTGAATTGATAAAAACACCAAGCTGATCCAGATGGTCCCATGGTGATGCCGAAATAGAATCACATTCATAACAGCAATCATGAAAGGTGGTACGCAAACTAAGTGATCGATACACTGCAGCAAAATTTCCGGGGATAACAATCAGCTGTGTTGACAGGGTATAAAATCACATAATTTAAGTTACTAATTATGCATCTTCACTAGGAACTCAATTCTAATGTATGTAAATCCTTCTCGTTCCCCTCTCCTATCTTAAAATATTTAGCAAACAAACACGTACGTTCATATTAACATTTATTGTTTCAGGCCAGAAGTGTCGTAGTCTTAAACATTTGTATGGAGAAATAAGTGAAGCGGTAACTTAAACCAACCTGGTTTCGACTGACTGACACTTTCTAGATGGCGGCTCTTTAAAATACAGCGATCTCACAGGTCCCACGTGGTTCAAAATCAAAAAGTAAAACAGGCAACGACAAAAGAGTTCGGCTTGGGGATATTTCTTGAAATTTTATAAGAAACTGAGAAATTGAAATCGAATTTAAATTTGGAAACTGAGAAAAAATCAAGCCCCAGTTTTCATTATATGTTCCAACTGATTCATATCAACTCGTGGTCCTGGCTAATAACATGCTCAGTTCGTAGATTTTTCCCCCTCCCGACAGTTCCTCCTGTGCTAATAATTTTAAGTAAACTCCTTCCAAGGTGCTTAAAATGATGCAACATATACTAGAAGTTGGTTTCAGAAACACCAACAGAGTATTTTTAGCTCGTACAATGAATTTACAATTCATAATTATGCCTGAAAGAGTTTCTGATGAAGAAGGAAAAAGATAAATTTAGATGCCGATAAATAAGGGATGGTATTCGAAAGCGGACAATCAGTAAAATGCATAAACGCTACAAACACTAAAAAGACTTCCTTAATAGTAACCAAACGAACATGTCGCCTCTACAACGATTCACCCTAAAACGATGACATAACCAAATTGTGTGCAAATAAAGGGGTGAGGAGAGCCACGTACAAAGAGAAGCACGAACATTTAGATGAAGAAAAAAAAAACATGTCACATGAATCTGATAACGGCTAACATTGTCAAAGATGCTACCAACGAATATAATGACAAAATTACATCACCTCCGTAAAAAATATCCCTGGCATTAGTACAGCATATGTGAGATAAGCAATTCCATAAGAAGAACATGGGAAGAGGACATCAACATGGAGTCCGATGTGAAAACATGCTTGTGCAGAGAAATTATCAGAAGAGAACCTTTAAGAGCGAGAATCCTAGAGTTAGGATTCATCAGAGCTGAATCTGCGGTGATTGGCCTCCTCAATGGTTGCATCGGCATGTTCATGTCCACGATGACAACACTGTTCTGCGGTGAAGTCTCTCTGATGCATATGTAGCTATCCGATTCCATTGTGACATGCGTGAATGTGACAAATTGCGGATTTATTCCGAGGCTCGTGAGCTACGAAGACGAAAAAAACAAAGAAAATTTATCCATTAATTGTAAACAAAGGAAGAGCGTGTAAACTCCCAGCCTAGGTTGATTCAACAGTATCTGACAACCCGCAGCAACCGGCGGAAAAAACTACATAATTACGATTCAATATGTACAAGTTCATCCCTAAAACGCACGACGCACACGAGATCACTATTTTCACCTACAGATCTGGACAGATCCGAAATCCCCGAGCAAATTCCCGGAGGCCAGAACGAGAAACCGAGCATTGAACATATTCGACATGGAGGTTCTCTTTTAAGCTCAAATTGAATCCTGAAAATTTAAATAAACGAGAAAGGCGGAATCATTGTGAGATCCTTACAGTGAGAGCCTCTTTCATGGAGATCGGGGCGTTCGCCGCAGCCATGTTGTGACCGGACCGGTGCCACCCTCGAGCGTTCCCTAGCTGAGGACTGGAGCGGGGGGAGAAGACCTCGGCGTCTCCAGGCGTTGCTAGATCTGGAGCAGCGCGGCACTTCCAGCCCTACCGACTATGGAGAGAGAGAGAGAGAGAGAGAGAGAGAGAGAGAGAGAGAGCAACCGAGAAAGCGACGACCGGGAGGGTACATATGCCAGGAGCGGACTCGACACGAGGCTTGGGGAGTGAAGTGTAATTTCTTCACCTTCCATCTTCCAAGGCTTCTTTGCAAATACGCCCTTAGAAAGTATTAAATTCAAAAATATGTATATTGAATTTATATCTTGCGACAAGTGCTGGAGGCAAAAGTTTCATCATTCACGTAACCCAACGGTTTCGCAGCAAAAGTTTCATCATTCACGTAACCCAACGGTTTTGGAATATATAAATATTATAAGGACTTAAAATAAAATCACCACTCTCAGACATTCCTAAAGCGTAAAATGATACCCCCCGACGTCCACAATCAGCTGTCGTTAATTTGAACCATTGTAGGCCACGTCGGCATCCAGCAGGTGCACTCCGCAAAGCTGGTTCTGTGAACGAGCCAAGCCGTCTGATTGGTGTTCCACAAGCGAACGGTCAGCCATGTTATTCCCTCGGCCTCTTCCACGTAACTTCCGCTCGGCGCCATATCACTGAAGGTCACAAAAAAATATGCTGCTCAATGAATCTCGACTCTTTCGGCCTCCCCTCACAGCTCTCTCTCTCTCGCTCTCTCTCTCTTCCAACCTGACCCGTTGACTAACGTTAGTTCTGCACTGTAACTTCTGAGAAATTGCTGGTACGATGCTCTGAAACTCAAGTTGTTAGCAAGGCAGATGAATCCTAGAGAGAGAGAGAGAGAGAGAGAGAGAGAGAGAGAGAGAGAGAGAGTGCGGCATCTTGTCGATTAATCGAGTTGACCGAGTGGAAAATGACGGATAATTTACATTCAGTAGGGTAGATGAGCTGGAACCGCATTAATATTCATGGCTATTTCTCTTAATAAATCCCCAGTTTCAAATAGAAATATGTAAAAGTCAACAGAGGGGCTCCAAAGGATAAGTGAATTCTTGAGTAACGATCTCGTCTTTCGACTCAACGAAGCCCTCTCGCCGCCGTCGACGACGCGGTGAGTTTCTTCCGTTGATCGCCGGCGAGCAGGAGAGGCCCACGACGGTTGGCCTTCAGAGGAAATCTCTCAGCCTGATTATCATGACGCTGACGTCGTCGTTGGAACCCCGGGAGATGGAGAGATCTGCGAGACTTCTGCAGGCGGAGAGCAGCGAGAGCCGGCCAGAGGAGTCCACGCAGGAGGGGCGGGCGAGGTCAACAGCCTCCTGGTTGCTCACCTGCAAGAAAGGCGTCGGAGTCAGCTTCTCTCGGTCGATCAGTATAGAAGGAACAGGGATTCGAGGGGGAACTTCACAGATGAAGAGAGATATATAGATCTTACGTTTTCCCATAGTCCATCAGAGGCGAGGATCAAGAACTCGGAGTCGGGTCCGATCTTCGTGACCGTCGTCTCCGGTTCGGCGGTCACCCATTGTTTGAGATGTCGATCTCCGATCCCCCTGGACACGGCCAGGGAGCCCTGCAGCCTCAGCAACCCACCGCAGTGATCCAGAAAGCCGCCCTGGAAAAATGGAAGAAAGAGAGAAGGGGGGTTCAGGTGTGAGTCTTACTGAGATTTACTACGGATTTAGTCTCTTTTCGTGATCTGTAAATCGGGGGAGAAGGTGTACCAGGCTTTCGATTCTGGCTCTCTCGTCTTCTCTGGAGGGGCGGTGGTCGGAAGTTAGGGCTTCCGCGTCTCCTCCCCTGCTGATGACGGCGCGACAGTCCCCGGCGTTGGAAACGACGAGATCGCCATTGTTGATTACCGCAGTGACGCAGCAAGTTCCGCCGGCCCCTTGCTTCTCTAAGAACTCCCTGTCCGTCCTCAGATAACCTGATCTGACGGCGTACTCGTACCCGTCGCTGTCTTCCTCTTCTCTCTTTGCCACTTCCCCCATTACGTACTCGACCATGTTCTCCGCAGCGAATTCAGCGGCGGCTGTGCCACCGTGCCCGTCGTAAACGCCGAAGAACGCCTGAGGCGAGAAATAGAAACCAGATTTATTCATCAGAACACTAGAGAGACATATCTAAGGCGCCATAGCCGATCGATCAATTGAAAACAGATCGGGATGGAGTGCCAGCGCATACCGAATGAGGATTTCTCTGAACGTCCAACGAAGCCTTGAAGCGATCCTCCATCTCCTTCCTCGTCTTCCCCCGTTTACAGAAAACCGAGAACCTCTGAGACTCCACCTCCACTACCTCCACGCCGGAGTCCGATTCTGCGGCCAATTTCAGGGGCCGCATAGCAGGAATGACGATTCGAGCCGGCCTCTTCCGCTTCAGAAGCCCGGTCTCAGAAGTAGCCCCAGAGGTACTCGCACCAGACGAATTATCGACGACAGGGGAGCGGGTTCCCTTCGAGGAGGACCGTCTGAGGGTGCTCGAGCATCTGTTCGGACGGAAATTCAACGGAGAAGGGGATGATGACGACGACGAAAGGGTTGCCTCGGAGGAGTAGTGATCTTGCGCCATGAGAGAGGGGTAGAAAGCTTGGGAGGCTCCTGCGGCGGCTACACTGCAGGCCATCCTCTCTTTTGCGTGACTCTATCGTAACGAACGTCTTGTCCGTCACGGACTTTTATAGAGTCCGGAGGCGCGGCTGCTGTTCGTGCGGAGCTAACAAGACCAGGAGGAAGCCTTACTTGTCACTAAAACGTGTGAAGCTCTTATTCGTTTAAAATCAGAAGCCCAGATTTTGTATTTGTTAAAACAGGAACATTATACCGCAGCCGTCGTCCCCCGGTCGGTCTCCCGACGCGTGAACCGGGTCGAGCGACTTCCTAATGGAGCTTCCTCGGATCTTCTCCCGTCCTCTTCCTTCGCGTCGAAGCTGTCGGGCACTCCACGTGGACAGATCTCCCCTGCAGAAACAAAAACAAACGGACTGGATCCTGAATCCGATAGCGCGTCTTAGACTTCTGACCAGCTGGCCCCAAACATCTCAGTTGGATCCACTCCCCGGAGAACGGGAGTCAACCTTCGATGACTGATCAGCCGGTGACTCCTCCGGCGGCGAATTCCAACGTGTCCACCGCTCTCCGCTCTCTCCCGGCGGCGGCGGGTCGCCACCGGCAGTTGCACCGTTGCGCGACGTTACTGGCCACCGTCGCGTGCCCTACGGAATCCCCGCGGCGGGGCCTTCCGACCCACCCGTTGACCGATCGCCAGCGCCTCGTCCGCCATGCTGCGTTCACACTGTAAGACTAAGACGCGTTAACTAGTCCGAAGTGGCTACGTTTTTCTGAACCCAATAATTAATAATATTTTCCCATTAAATTATAGCCGATGCAATTTTTTTATTTCGATTAAACCGAACAAGCAGATTTAAGCACGTGAATATTACAACCATGATTGCGTCGTCCTCGCCGTCACGTCTGTCGGCATACGCATGCATTGATCTCATACTCTCGGCATTTCGATCGTGTCAATTTTACAACCCCCGACAACATATATATATTATTCGAAAGTAAATAATAAATACATTATACGCATGCATGACGCGTTCCTTTTTTAAAAAAATTCGATACCCAAGAAATAACTTTTTGAGAGATTTTATGAAATTTATTGCAATCATCCGGACGGTGCCGAAAGCTCTTAGAGGACCGGGCCAACTGGCGGCGTTAGGATAGGATCCGATCTCGAGGATGGCCGGCGCATTCTAAGTCCGACTTGTCCAGTCGGGAGTCGACGGACTACGCGTTTAGAAGGGACATAAACGGTGACGAAGGGGTTCCGCGCAGGGGACACGTGGTCGACCTTGTCTCGGACGCTCAGTATGACGTGTACTTGATGACCTGTATCCGCCGAAGCATGTGTTGACCGGATTTTGAGGTTCACACCAGGAGCACATATATACTATAATTAAATGAGTAAACATATCTTATTTATTAAAAAATATAATACCATTTTACCTGGCGAACAATCCCGCAACGCATCGTATAAGTGCAATTTATTATATAATAACAATATATAATATTTTATAAAATAAACCCTTAAGTCAGTTTGAAGTAAGTTAAAAAAAATACCATTTTTTAGCTAATTTTTACGGTCTAGAAACAGAGTAAAAATAAATATAACTACATCGGACCTATTTCATTAAAATATAATAATGCACTTCAGAGAGAAATACTGGCCTTAAGGCACGGGCCGTAATTGGGATCCAGAAGCCCACGAAGAAAAGGCCTATTTAAGTTTCGGACTGGCCCGGAATGTCAAGTGGGCTCCCCGTTGGCCGATGTCTTTTAATAGAAAATAAATGAGACCTCAGAAGTCAATGCGGTAGCGACGACTGGGCTCCAGTGGGGCCCACATTGGTCTCGGGCTTCGTGGACTGGCGAGAGTTTGAACCGAGAAGTGGCGACCTTGGTAGCGCAAGACGGATGGAGTTCGTAATGGCCGAACGACAACGGTTGACTGAACCAACATTGGATCAAGCTCAGCCGTCTGATCCAACTCTTCTCAGGATCACCCGAATCCGACCCGTTGGAGCAACTTTCAGTTGGACCGACCGAGTGGAAAAAAAAAAATCTTTTTTAATTAAATGAGATAATTTATAATATGTGCCCATTATAATTCGAAAGACGATTTTCAAAATCCAGAGCTGACTTCATTGCACCGCCTTATCAATGGCCGGCGTACAGTTGCACTGCGCCTCAGTCGTGATGATCGCTTATCCGGCTCCATCATTAACACTGCAGGGGTCAACTCGGCGTTGACTTGACTAGGGACACCGATTTGCTCCCGGCCATCGTCCTCCCCTTCCCCTCCTCTGCGTTCGGAGATGCCAAGGCGGTACTTGTTCTCGGGTCCTCCCCGAGCTGCGGGAAGATGACGTCCACCGCCGTGTTTCCGGCGGCGGCGGCGGCGGAGTCGGTCGACCGGGTTCTGGCGGAGATCTGCGGCACCGACGGTGAAGCGGAGGAGCTCCAGTGGGAACCTCCCCGGCGATTCCACGGCTACGCGCAACGGCTCCGCCATATCCTCGCGCAGCTCCTCCGCTCCTCGCCGCCGGGAGACCTCTCCGGGCCCTCCGTCCACACCGCCCTCCACGGCATGGCGGCGGACCTCGACACGGCGGCGGCGGCCTTCTCCAAGCACCGCGGGAAGAGCCAGATATTTGTCCTCCTCCACTGTAAACCCCTCTGCAACTCGCTGCAGGAATCTGCCATCTCCATCGGCAACTGGCTCGCCCTCCTCCTCGACTCCCCTCTCCCCTTCTCCAACCCCGACATCCGGAAGAAGGCCGCCGACCTCGCTCTCGACCTGCAACAGACCAATCTCAGAGTAAGATGAGTCCCCTTGGATCTTCTTCATCTTCTTCTTCCTCTGCCTGTTTCGTGCTCATAGACGCGAGGGAGCAGGTGACGGAGAACGAGGAGAGGATATTCTACACCCTGCAGAAGGAGGGGGAGCTGCGGGTGAGCAACAAGGCGGTGCAGAGCGCCATCGTCATGGACCTGGCGAGGGCGCTGGGGGTGGAAGCCGGCGACCACGAGAAGCTCGCGGAGCAGCTGAAGCTTCTGAAGCGGGACCTCTCGGGGTTGAGCTCGGTGGCGGAACGGCGGATCCTGATTTCCCTGGAGAAGATCTTCGACGGCTGGGCGGCGGAGCCCTACACCGCCGCCGCCGCGCGCCGCTCCAACGCCGGTGGCGAGGAGGAGGACAGCGCCCACGTCCCCCCATACAGGAACTTCCTCTGCCCCCTCACCAAGGAGGTGATGAGAGATCCAGTGTTGCTGGAGTCTCTCCAGACATACGAGCGCTCCGCCATCGACCACTGGTTCGAGCGGTGCCTGCAAGATGGCCGAGAGCCGACCTGCCCCGTCTCCGGCCAGGTGCTCAAAACCCTAGCGCTGAAGCCCAATCTGAGTCTCGCGGGGGCCATTGAGGAGTGGATCAGCAGGAACATCGAGTCCCAGATCAGGTCCGCTTCGCAGATCCTCGCAGAGGAGGGAGATTTCCCATTGGAGCGCCTTGAGAGGGCCATGGATAATGTGTACATGATCTCCGAGGAGCACCCTTCCAGCAGGTACAGAGTGAGGAATGCGGGAATCGTCGTCCTCATGGTTAGGGTTCTCGAGAGCCGGAGGAAGGCGACGGAGTCCCACTTGAGAGCCATCGCTCTCATGGCGCTGCACAGCATGTCCAGGGACGAGGAGAGCAAGGTGAGATTCATCCTCCTCTCCGCTCCGGTCTTCATAGAAGGGTGAAACCCAGAATAGGAAAGATCTGACCCACCTCGGAACAGGACCTAGTGCTGAGATTCATGGTGTTCTTCCTTCCCCCCTCCTCCTCTTCCTCCAGCTGATGATGCTGCACGAGGGCATGACCCGGCTGGCCATTAGAAGCCTCACCTCGAGCCTGGAGGACGAGAAGGAGTTCGCCGTGAAGCTGCTGCTGGAATTCTCCCGCGACGAGGGATACTGTGCGAAGTTAGCCTCTGAGAAAGGGGCCGTGGTTCTGCTCTCGAGCATGGCCGGAGATCCTGAGCTTCCTATTCTGTCGAAGATCGCCGAAGATATATTGAAAAACATGGAGAAGATGGAGGAGAATATCCAGCCTCTGGCAGCTGCAGGAAGATTTCAGCCCTTACTTACTCGCCTCTGCGAAGGTAAATCATACGCCGCCCACCTCCCCTCTTTCTGCCCAACATTATCTCATAAATATTCGCCGCCATTTCTGGGCCCTGCAACTGCTCCACGGTGCGTCGCTGTTCTCACTGGAAGCTGGCTTCGGATCGAATTCGCAGGCACAGAAGGTCTCAAGATCGAGATGGCGTCCCTTCTAGGGGGGATGAGCCTGGCGAGCGGTGATAAAGAACACATCGCTAGGAAATGCGGAAGGATTCTTATCGTCATGCTTTCATCCAGACTGGAGGCTCGAGCAGCGAGCCTGAGAGTGCTAAAAAATCTGTCGACCTTGGACGATAACGCCGCCGTTCTTGTGGATTTCGGCGCCCTCCCCCCGTTGACTCGCATTCTCTTAGAGAGTCAGCAAGATGAACCGCCGGGCCTGAAGGAGCTGGCGGCGTCAACAATGGCGAACATAGTTTCCAAGCCCGGCCACTGGGAGCTGGCATCTGCGGACAGAGAGAGGAACCGAATGCAGTCGGAAGTCAACGTTCACCGGCTCCTGGAGTTTCTATCTTCTTCCTCCTCCACCTCCGAGTGCCAGGCGGCGGTCCTTCAGATCCTCTGCGGGATTGCATCCTCTCCCCAAGCATCAGGTACCGCCTTCTTCTATCCCTCGCCGGCATATATTATACTCTCCATGATGCTTCTGCGATCTTCCTCCTCTGATACTTCTGGGGCGGCGCAGATTCGGCGGCGAGCTACGTGAGGAGCGGCAATGGCGTAGGGGCCATCGTCCCGTTCCTCGAGCATCCAGAGGCGGATTGCAGAATATACGCCTACCAACTGGCGAGTCTGCTCTCGGAGAGGGTGGGCCAGGCCATGGCCGAGGAGCTGATAGCCTCCGGGAAGCTCGCGCTCCTGAAGGAGAAGCTCCTGGACGCGCGATCGTCGAGCGAGAAGACCGAAGTCGCTGCCATCCTCGCCAACCTCCCCATTCCGGGAGATCTCGTGAAGAAGATCCTCGGCATGGATCTCCTGAGATGGACGGTGGTGAGCCTCAACGAGCAGAGATTCCGCTCAATGGGGAGGAACTCCCGCCGCGCCGCCAGCATGGTGGAGGGCCTCCTCGGCATTCTGCTGCACTATACCAGAAGCGGCGACCCGGAGATCATCGCCGCCGTCTCCGAGAACCAGCTCATGGCGGTCTTCAAGGAGCACCTAAGCAGCCGGTCCCAGCCCAGGGAGAGGCAACGCGCTGCCCTCGGCCTGAAGCAGCTCTCCCACTCCGCCGCTGTCGCCGCCGCCGCCGCAGCTGATTCAACCAGAGTGGCGGAGCCACGACGGCGCAGCCTCTGCGCGGCGTTCCTCGTCCTCTGCGGGGCGGCGGCGCCGGCGGGCCCCGCCGCCTGCGTGCTCCATGGCGCGGCGTGCGGGGAGAACAACTCCCTTTGCTTGGTGAAGGGGAGCTGCGTCAAGCCGCTGATCTACCTCATGAATGACGAGGACACGCAGGTGCAGATCGCCGCCGTGGAGGCCCTCTCCACCTTGGTGGCGGAACCGCAGGGCCTGAGCAGCGCGGCCTCGGAGCTGGCGGCGCTGGGCCTCTTCAAGTCGGTGGTGGACCTATTCAAGCGGGTCAGAGTAGGGGAGCTCCATGAGAAGCTGATCTGGATGGTGGAGAAGCTCTGCAACTCGGATGAGCTCGTGCAGAGGTACTCCACCGATCAAGCTCTGGTGAGGTCGCTGGTCGAAGCCCTGAAGCACGGCACTCCCAACGCGAAGCGCTCCGCTCAGGAGGCCCTCACAAGCCTGCAGCAGCTCTCGGCCATCGGAATCAAGACCGCAACCAATCGCCGCCCCCGGAGGCTCAGCCGCTGATCGCCACCATTCACACCATCTGGGAGGTCTTCTCTGCTGGTTTATATATCTGGAAGATCCCTGGAGCTTAGCTGTATGTAGAATCTGCTCCCTCTCTCTCTCTCTCTCTCTCTCTCTTTCTCTCTCTCTCTCTCTCTCTCTCTCTCTCTCTCCTTGTTGTAGAAAAACCATGTATTTATTTTTTGTATAATTAGGGAGCGAAGACTGAATAAATTCGTCCTTCAATTTTTTACAGCTCCATTATTTTTCTAAGGAAACTCGACGGAAAAAAATACCCTCTTTGCCCGAGTCTCGGCCAGGCCCGGCCCATTAGCACCCACCCTCGTTGCTTATTATGGAATTCAACCCGATCAAAACTGACAAACTTTTTAGGATAAAAAATGGTAAATACTACAGTTGAAGTCGTAGTGAGAGAAAGTGAGAGAGTGAGAGAGAGAGAGAGAGAGAGAGAGAGAGAGAGAGAGAGAGAGAGAGAGAGAGATAACGGGCCGAAGAGTGCACTGAAAACTGAGCTCTTCATTAGAGAGAGAGAGAGAGAGAGAGAGAGAGAGGAGGCTTTACTGTGCCACGCTTGCCGTTGACTGTAATGATCGCTGTCTTCTTCAAGTCTGGATGAGGCATTGTCTGTCGGGTGTGAATAAAGCTCCGACTTTATACACCGGGCATCAATAAATCGACAAATACGTCGTCCAAAACCTTACCCCGCTCTACTCCTCCGTAGCCCTGCCGGTCAACCCAGCGGGGTGGGGAGGGATCCACCCTTCTGTGGTTCAAATTTGAATCTGCCCGTCAAAGAGAAAAAAGGAAAAGCCGAACAGGCGAAAGCATGCCGTATAATCTCTCTCTCTCTCTCTCTCTCTCTCTCTGTCTGTTCAAGGGTGCAAGTGGAAGACAGACCCTGGAGGTGTCTTCTTCTTCTTCTTCTCTGTATTTGTTGAGAGGGGGGGAGGTTTTTGGGGCGGTGAAGATGAAGAAAAGACTGTGCTTTTGACTGCGTTCAGCTCCCACCGACAGCTACCGGCGAACTCCACGGAAGCCGCCAGATCCCGCTCCGCCGAGCACCGCCGTCAACGTCGGCGGTCACTGGTTTGCCCACGTTGCTCATATATATACATAGAGAGAGAGAGAGAGAGAGAGAGAGAGAGAGAGAGAGAGAGAAAGAGAGAGAGAGGGGGTAGTAAGAATTATTTTAATGTATATGTACAATTGTACAAGAGATGGGGGTTAATATGTGAGTAGTATTAAGTTTTGGGTGTGAGGTGAACTGGCGGGCAGGGTCGGTGGAATCGTGCACGTTACGGCGGGGGGCCACGCTTCTCTCCCCCCCCCCCCCCCTTAATCTCTCGAGAACGCAGAAGAAGCAACCCCGCTGTGGCGGGTCTCGCCGTTCAAACTCTCGGGACCATCCACCTTCTTCTTCTTCCTCCTCCTCCCTCGGTGGACCGCCGCCGCTTTCCACGGCCACCTTCCTACTCCTCCCTTCCCTCCCTCAGATTTTCAAATCTCCCTCATTTATAGCGCCGCCACCTTCCCCTTCCCCACTTCGCTTTCCCCCCCCATGAAGACTCCTTCTTCTTCCTCCTCCTCCTCCTCCTTCGGACTGAATTCTGGTGGCAGTGCCGCCGGCTGTCTGCCGGGGGTCCTCCGCCGGCTCCTCTGCGGAGCGCTGGACGCCGGCGACGGGGAAGGTTTCCTCCCGACGAGCCCGGCGGCGGCGCCGCCGGTGCCTGGGCTGGTGGCGAGGCTGATGGGCCTGGAGACCTTGCCGGTGGTCGCTAATGGGCCTCGAGGCCCGGCGGCGGACAGGTGGCCGGTGTTCCGGGAGGCCGGCGAGTTCTTGCTGCTGAGCTTCTGCGCCGACGATGGAGAGGAGAGCTTACAGTCTGAGAGCAAGACCGATATGAAGGAAGCGTCTGTTAGAACCAGAGCAGGGAAGAAGAGGACGGAGAAGAAGAAGAAGAAGCAGTGGTCAACGGCCTGCAGAACCATGGCGGAAGCTGATTCCGGGTCCTCACAGAATTTGAGCCCGGTCTCTGTTCTCGTTCGCTCGCCGGAGCAGGACGGCGAAGAGCAGACCGATACCAGCGCCACCATCTCTGGTAATTCCGCCACCGTGGATCCATCGTTTCCTCAACTGAAACCGGCGGCGCTGGTTGCTGATCTCCCTCCCTGTTCATGCAGATGCAGAAGAGGAAGCGGCACCGGGGAGGAGCTCGAGGAGGAAGCTGTCGTCAGAATTGGACTGCATCGACGGTCCACCGCCGCCATTCCCTTTGACCCTCGACGAGAAGAGAGAGACGGCGACCGCCGTCGCAGACCCTCTCTGCTCCGCAGATCCATGGGCTGAAGCTCGCCGCCTGGCGGAGGAAGAAGTTGACAAATCCAAATGGGTTCACAGAGATTCTCGGAAAACAGAGGACTCCCATGAAATCGCCGTGGAGCTCGGCCTCCACATTCTTGACTCCCTCATCTGCGACGCAGTGGGCTCCCTGAAAACCTGCAACTACCGATCAAGCTCCAGCCCTCCTCCCCACTCCCTCCACCGAGCTTCAGAAACCCTAATCGTAGAAACCACGGCCACCAGGGGGATCACAGGGGGAGCTCCAGTGGGGAGGAGACTGTCCACCGACTGTAAAACCCTCCAAGTCGGAGACTTGGAGCTCTCTGTATTTACCATGAAAGTATGGAATTAATGGCGGAACGGGTCCTCTGATCTTCTTTCTCTTCCCCTCTCTCCCTCTCCTGCCGCTTCGGCAGCCGCTTTTTTCGCGGATTCCCGCGAGAAAGTGGGAGGAACTGTCCCCGTCGGACCCTCGCCGCCAGAGCTGGTCCCATCCAAGTTGGTCCTTTTCCAGACACATTTAGTCCCCTTGGCCGGCCTGGAACGTGGGGAAAATATGCCTTTTTTTTCTATTTATGGGACGTTATCGGACATGGCGGGTGCCGATTTTTTATTTTTTATTTCCCGTTCTCCAGCATCACTGAGATAGACAAAAAGGTAAGTATTTATTTAAATGGTTCATATAGACAATAAGATGGAGGGATCTTGGGGGGCGTAAATGGCCTGAAAAGCTCAGAGTCAGACCCAAATGGGCCCGGTATGGGCTCGCTTGTCTCGAATCTGTTTATCAGCCTATTAAGGGAAAATTAATCATTTATTTTAAAAATAAATTTTGAAAGAAAAAATACGAAATGTCATTAGTTCACACATATAAATTTGGCATTATATTTATTTTTATATAATTATTTTCAGCATTTTGGATCCATGCCTTATAAACGTTTATTTTTTCTAGAGTTTTTTAAAAGAAAATTTACGAATAAGTTATATATTTTTTGGCGAGCATAATTTATTTCCTTATTGGGAAAAAAGAGAGCCGGTTGCTTCCACCCCTCGTCTCTCGGATGGGTCATGCTCGCTGTTCGCCTCACCATCGGGAGCGACTGCCGGAGCTCTTGGCCGCGACGGTGCCGCCGGTTCCCAGCGATAGTAAGCTAACGTTTCCTCCCCAGTCCTTGCTCTCGATTCTTCTCTGATTAAAGGGAAAAATCTTCGGTGTGGTGATGTTTCTTCTACGCATAGATGGATTCATCGCGAGTCGCCACAAGAACGCCTGTGACGGTGAATCTAAAGGCCATTGAGGCCACCCCGGAGAGCTTCGCGGAGTTCGGCCAGGTGATATCGGTCTCTCCGGACGGGGAGGAGTTCGGGCCGAATGATGCACAGCTGGAGCTCCACCGCGGTGTCCCAAGGCATCCTCATACTTTCTCTTCGTGGTTTTGAATCTGCAACTTCTTTGCCGTATTTGGCGTTCTGTTTCGGTTTCACCCCGTGCCAGACTGTTCTTTCTCTTCTTCTTCTTCTTCTTCTTCTTCTTCTGACTTCCTCGCGGTAATCATCTCGTTCTCAATTCGAAGTGTACACACGATGAAATCTCCACGGTGAATTGTGAGATGTTTGATGAGTATTATCAAATTACCAGGGGGTTCTGCTGGTTCTACTCCCTTGCCTCTCGTCCTTTTGGCTGATTCGACGAGTTCCATTGGTTTCCTGACAAATCAACAGACAAAATATTTGGTTGGAAAATGATTTGTTGTTATTTTTTTGCTCGCAGATCCTAAATTTTCTTAAAAAAATATCCTGCCAACTGAATGATTCAATCTCCTTTGATTCCTCGAACTTTCCACAATCTCTCCATGAAGGGAAGGCACATCTCGGTCAATCACCCGCTGTTGTTCTTCAATTTCCCTAATATTTCTTTCATTCGTAATAGGTTCTACATCATGCGTCTACAAGAGCGCGAGCTCAAGTTCGCTAATATCACTCACCATGCCAGTGTGACCCAATGCCTCGGTGCCATTGGCGGTGACGAATGGTATCTTGGAGTGGCCAAGGCCTCCATCTGTGATGGGGAGACGGCGAGCGACACGGGCAAGAAGGTTTCAAAGGCGGCCTCTGGGCACTGCTATTTGCCTCCCCACCCTAACGATGTAGTCGCCTTCAAAATAGCCGGCCCCAAGTTTCTGAAGTTGAACGTCGGGACATGGCATGCTGGGCCCTTGTTCAGAAAGAAGGCCATGGATTTCTACAATCTAGAGCTCTCAAACACCAATGTAAGTGCTTCTTCTTCGTTAATTCGCTTCCCTCTCATGTGTACTCCTAAAGTGGACTTTATCTTTAGCTGCTTGGTTTAGGATTTAAGGTTGTGTTTATGTTCTTAAAAATTCTTCTGATTTTCTTCAGCAAAAGTCAATACCGATAATGAGATCTTCTGTTTTTTAGCATACTTTGTATATGATCATATACTGTCTATGCCCAATTATTTCCATTAGTTTCATCTCCTGTTAAGTAGGCTGGATTTTAGGCATTTGGTTCATGTTCTTCTTTATGATTTTGATTCATGCCAAGATAGAAGCCTTTTTTCTTCAAAAATCTCTCCAGTTCCTTTGATATGAATGTGAGGCCAATAATAAAAAAAATCCAGTTCTTTCACTTTGTTCCTTTACCCAGAAAAGTGGTCTGGATTTTACTCATGCATTTGAGATTTCTAGAAATCACGCAGAGATACTCTCGTACCGAATTGGGCAGTTCATCAGCATTCCCGGCTGTTTAGTACATACAGTAAAGAGATCTCTGCTTTAATAGCTACCCAATACTAAAAAATAACTCAAGAACATGAAGAGTAAGAGGAGAATTTTGCATGGTTCTAACCTATACTTACCACAAAATAAAATAAAATAAAAAAGTATGCCTACCTGATCTGAACGCTTCAGCCCAGCTCTGAAATCCCCTTTCAGAACTGAAATCTCATGGCCCAATCTATCCAGGGAAGCCCAGAGGTGCTACTAATTTCTTCGCACGTGTGGTTTGGCCCTGCAGGTGTTGGATCACACTATGCACAATTTCTCGAAGGAAAATGGGGTGGTCTTCTTGATCGAAGACGATTAAAGCTTGTGTTCCTGGTGCAAAGGAGGACGAAGAGGAGGACGACGATGATGCCATGTGAAGGTCAACCTGAGATTTGTGACGTGGCGATTTCCTATTGAATAAATGAAGACAATGATGTGGTCACCCGGTAAATATTTCCAGGGAAAAAAAAGATTTTTCCGATGAATATGAATCGGGTTTCTGGAACAATGGTCACAATTTGGGCCCAGATGTTTTATTCTGCCGAAAATCAAAGCATGGTTCGGCCATGATCCGCCAATAATCAGACCTTGTTCCTCATGGCCACTAGGAGATTTTGACTTTATGGCCCATTGGGTTCGCTTCCTGGACCGTTTAACGGCCATCAGAGCTCCTGCCCGGGACTGGCCATCATCCACATCCGGCTAACCGGTTCACCGATTCGTTCTCGGATGGATAAGATGTGAGGCGAGAGAGAGAGAGAGAGAGAGAGAGAGAGAGAGAGAGCAGTGAAGTGGAGCTATGGTGGCAGTCCTGGACCTGGTGCCGTCCCTGGGGAAGAACTTGGTGGCGGGGACGAGAGCACAGGTGGGCTCCTCGGGGCGCGGGAAGGAGCTGATACGAACGGGCGCCGTCCGGGCCATCCCGCCGGCGGAGGCGGCGGCGGCCCTCGCAGGCGGCGGCTTCCGGCTGCTCGACATCAGGCCGGAGTGGGAGCGGAGCAAGGCCCGTGTGCGGGATTCCCTCCACGTTCCCCTCTTCGTTGAAGACACCGACGGCGGCCCCCTCACCCTCCTCAAGAAGTCCGTCCACTTCGGCTACATCGGCCTCTGGACAGGGCAGCTCCTCACCACCTTCAACGGCGACTTCCTCGGGCAGGTCCAGACGGTCGTCCCCGACAAGGAGGAGAAGCTTCTCGTCGCCTGCGGCGAAGGCCTGAGGTGACAGCACCGCCGCCCCCTACCTTTCTCTCTCCTCTCTTCTACTCTCACACCCTTCCTTTCTCTCTCCTCTTCTATCTCTCTCAGGTCGATGATCGCGGTCTCGATGCTGCACGCCGGCGGGTACAGGAATCTCGGGTGGCTGGCCGGCGGGTTCAACCGGTCAAAGGGCGCTGACTTCCCGGAGGTGGAGGGGGAGACCGAGCTGCGGTATGCCACCGCGGGCGGCGCCTCCTACATCTTCCTCCGCCTGCTCCTGCTGCTGCAGGTGCTGGGGAAGGACAGCTAGGCAGCGGCTGATGTGATGGATCCATCACCTGTTCATCCGAGAATTCAAACCTTTTTGGGCGGATTCATATGATTTATTCGGAAAGAACGAAAATTTCCCAGTTTTCACGGATGCCCACGAGAGATCCACAGCATCTGAGTGTGCACACATTGATTCCACAGATATCTAACAGTTGCTCTAGCTAGTTGTAGAAGCTACCGAAGTCAGCTTCCTGAAGCCCACTGCAGACCCAGTTCGGTTCCCTCTGAAGCAACCGCTGCTGCAGACGGTGATGGATGAAAACACCGGCTAGCCCTAAAAGCTTCGCCTACACATGCAAAAAAATCAAGATCAATATCCTCCTCGTCCATGGGTCAGAGGATATGAATGAGATTGTCGCCGTGAAATTCCCATCGAGATGGACATCAGATGCAAGAATCTCAAGGATCAGAAAACTTGATTGACAATAAATGGGTCACGATCGAAGATCAGAAAGACGATGATGCTTGATGAGTAGGATACTTTGAAGATAAAGAAAGACTCACGAACTCAAGATAGATCCAAACCCTAATTCCTACCAACCCATATTCCATTTAGAACCGAACCCCCTACGCATCAAACCTGCCCAAGATAAACTATGTGAACTCCAATAGATCCACATCATTAATTCAGCCTTTCAGCGCAAAACCCAAGTCAACCACAGATTGCAAGGATGATCTCTAAAGTTCATCAGCCTTGATGGTTATGCAATATGAAACCCATTATCTAAAAAAAAAAAGTCGAGGTATCTGATCAGAGATGAAAATAACCAACTAGAACAGGAAAACTGATTCGTCCAACCCATAATAATTCAGCTGCAAGGCTGTGAACTTTTGCTTGTGTTTGCCAAAGCTGAACAATTACTTCAATGAGCTAGTCCAGTTATCATCACGATCCAGCAGAAATCATGGAATCGGAATGAGACCAAAATGAAAGACAAGAAACTTTGAAGATATGCTGGTGAAGGTTTTCATAAAAAAGGAAGAGAGGATAATGTTTCTTTAATGATAACTTTTACGCACAAAAAATCCGTCCACTTTTGACCTCTTTTTTTCTTCTCAGATGGCGGGCAGGATGAGAACAAATGATTGTGGACACGATACTAGGATGCCAGAGGTGGGAAGAAGGCCAAGGGGCTGGTAATCTTTTATGTGATCCTCTTTCGCCTGATTCAGATCATATTTTCTTTTTGGCAGAATGTGCTCCCCCCCTTCCTCCCCAAAAAGAAGAAAAAAAGAGTTAGGTCGTGAGAGTTTGATTCCTATTGGTTCCAAGATCTGTACAATCCAACTACACAATAGAAAACATAACAGTGCCCTATATTGAAATACTGATGATCTGAACTCTGTGGGAAACCAAGAAACAGGTCTCAATCTTTAAGGCATTTCGGGAGGAAATCATAGTTTAAGCAAGCACAGATTCTAGATGATGCACACCCCCACATTACAGGATATTTATTTGACTACCATAATTGCTTTTCCAATCAACATAAATATGATGGCTAGACGTGAAGGAATGATTCAAATGAATATCTCTGACCTACTAAAAGTCATTCTGAGATAATCAAACACCTAATGACGAAATAATCAAACCATTAAGATGAATTTTACAAGAATATGGAGGACTAAAAGGATATGCTGTGATGCAATTCGGACTGCAACTTAAAGAAACAATTGAAGTGATTCATCGAGTTATAGTACGGAATACAAATATCTGAACTCTCACAACTAACCACGACATAATATGCAATACGAGATCATCTTGTAAATCAGGATGTAGTAAGCTCTCCATTCAACTGTTAAAAGTATGACCATCGCAAGAAATGCGCCAAGAACACCTATGACCTAATTCAGACTATATATAATTCAAAGAACAAATAACATGACTCCATGAAAAGGGAGACGAAGTCGAGTCCTCACCAGGAATCAAAATATGACTAGCAGTGAAAACAGTGTGTAGATTAGGAAGCAGGCGTACGCTAACAGCCCACGATGCTCATCACCACAAGATGCTAGATCAAGAAGAAGCTTTGTGCATGTTCTCGTCGACCACAGAACAAAAGCTGCTTCCATCGCAAAAATTGCGACACCTCTTTGCGGTAAAACTAAAGCAAGACCCGAGAATATGACTATTGGCAGCATACAATATCCAATGAGGCTCACACAGCGATAGAGATCCAAGTTCCCGTTGCGACCTGCCAGCATGTTGAACACGACGTAGAGGAAGAAGGCCACGACGGTGACCCATCCTAGGATTATCCCAAAGTGGAGCTTCCCCGCTAGGAGCTGGAAGAGGCCAAAGGCCATGAGGAACAGAAAGGGACCTGAAAGATCGGCGTCCTCGTGTAGACTCGCATTCACACGGATAGGATTCAGGATCGATTTTGTCTTGCGCCATATCTGCCGGGTGTTGATGCCCAGCTCTTCGAGCAGAGGCGGCTCCTCTTCAAAAAAGGATGCACCTCCGGGGGCGTAGATGCTCCCGGCGAAGACGGGGCCGGAGAACGAGGAGGACGCGGAGGCCGACCCAATGTCAAAGGACATGAAGGGAATATCGGTGCTGGCGCCCGCGTTCGCAGGGCTAGGCTGCTGAAAGCTCGGGGCCACGTTAGGGCTCCGCCGCTGACTCTGGACGCTGGGATTTCCATCGTTGGACGGGAAGACCACAGGCGGCACGTTGAATTCCCTCGCCATCAGTAGAAGCTCGGAAGGCGGAGACCCCGATCGGACAAGAAATCAATACACAAACCGTTTTCTCCAAACAAACCTAGAGAGATCACTGAAACATAGAACCGCATAGAACAGCGTACGCTGGTAAGGTCAACCCCAGACTTCCAGCTCCTCGCGATACCTTCGCCGCAGAGAACGCGACATCCAGAAGGCTTCTCCCCTGAGCGACCTCCACACTGTACCAACGAGAGAAGGAACGGAACTCCGGTGGCCGGAGGCTGGTACGAAGCTCGTAGCACGACGGAGGAGTCGCCGGAGATACGAAAAGAAAAACCCTCCTCGCGGGGAAGGACGGCCTGATCACAAGTGGTAACCGTTTCCTCTGTGGGAGACATACGATAACAGTAGCCGTCGGATTCTCTATGATCTTTTCAGAAATAAACTATTTGAACCGTCAGATCTTGTTCAATATAGAAAAAACTGTAGCTGCCATCCTAGCCGTCAGATCTTGTTTAAACTTAGGAAGAGACGAGCCATTTCTGACCATTGATATGACACATAATGGGCCTGATCCTGAAGGCCGCAGCCCAAAATTTATCCAAAATCGGCCCGGCCCGTTATGCGTCTAAGAGACGTCGTTACATGAGGTTTCAGACGCCTATCAAGGCCACTGCAACTGTTCCTTCCCACAACAACAGTGGCCGTCGGATTATGTTTGGTCTTTTAACAAAGAAACTATCTGAACCGTCGGATCTGGTTCGATCTAGAAAAAACAGTAGCGGCCGTCGGATCTTATTTAATCTTAACATGTAACAAGCCATTTCTGACCGTTGATATACCACATAATGGGCCTAATCCTGAAGCCCAAAAAAACCAAATTGGGGCCAGCCCGTTATGCCTTCACGTGACGTCATGACGAGAGATTGACAACGGACTTTGGGCCCATTAAGGCCACTGTCGCTGTCCCTTCTCAGAATTTTGACTTCTTGCAAGGGTAGAACAGCAAAATCAAGAAAAGAAATGCTAAGACAAAAAGAGGAATCGGGTACCCCGCAGGAACAGTTGGAGAGGGCCGCCGCTTACTAGCCAAAACTCTACCAAAAGTCAACCCTCCTCTTCTAACCTCCCCCCCTTGACAATTGCTTAAAACCCTCCCCCTGAGATACACTTTTCAGCCTACCCAGACCCGACATGTAATCGAGTTGCTGTCCCCATGAAGATCCAACTACTTCGAGGAGATTCCCCACCTGCGTAGATTGGGGTCTACCTTCAGAGTCTTCACTGTGCTTCCCAGCGTGAACTTCATGGTTAGTTGATCCCAATCTATTTCCACTACTCTCAGCTTCCGAAGCCACTGCATGCCGAAAATCATGTCCACATCGTAAACCTGGAAAGGTAAGAAGTCCTCTACCACTTGTAATCCCTGCACCTCCACTGTTAGTCCTCTGCAAATCCCCCTGCTTGGTACTGCATCTCCGATGCTCATGGTTACCTTCTAGTTGTTGGTTGGTGAGAGGGGCAGCTGCAGCTTCTCTACCAAGTCTGAAGAAACAAAATTCTGGGTAGTCCCGGTGACCACCGTGATGGTGACCTCTTGAAACCTCAGCAGCCCTCGAAACTTCATGGCTCCTGGGTTGGGCAGCCCTGCAATGGAGATCGGTGGTAGCTCGACGTTGCCGATCACTTTGATGACCTCCTTTGTCGGTCGAAGTCTCCTGCTCAATGGTCCTCTTATCTCTGTCCCAGCCTCTGAGTCCTCATCGCGGACCGACATGATCTGCAACTCCCTCATGCATGCATGGCTCGGGCCGAATTTTTAGTCGCATGAAAAGCAAAACCCTTTTTGTCGCCGGTAGTTGATCTCTGCTTCAGTCAGGTTCAGTCGTCTTCTTGCTCCCTCTCGCAGAAATTTTTGTGTCCCATCTTCCGCTGTAATGGGATTTGTTCTCCCATTATGTGTTACCTTCCCATATAATTCAGGCTCGGTTGTCCAGGGTTTCTCATCTTCTCGAATCAGTCCAGTCATCCGATTCTTCACCTCGATCAATGAGCTGTCTCCAGAAGAGCATGAAGCCCGACTGGTCTTAGTTATCGGATCACAGCCTGAATCTCTGCCTTCAAGCCTCTGATAAAGATCTCTTCCAGCATCTCCTCCGATAGCTCCTCCATGGATGCGGCAATCAGCTCAAATTCCTGCCAGAACTCTGCGACGTTGCCCTGTTGCTTGAGTTCCAATAACAGCTCCCAGAGACTGCCCTCCTGAGAGGACCCGAATCTACTCAGTAGCTGGGTCTTCAATTCCTTCCACGAAGCGAATGGTCTCCTGGAATCAGTCCATCTGAACCATATCAGGGCTTTGTCTTCAAAGCTGACGCCCGCTGCCATCAGACGCTCCGCCTCGGATAGCCGGTTCTCAGAAAAATAAAGTTCGGCCCTGAGGATCCGACCATCGGGGTTACGTGCCGTCGAAGGCGGGCAGCTCTAGCCACCGCGCTATCCTCCCTGCACCTCCGTCATCGACGGAGCCAGGCGCTCACGCCAGGTTGGATCGCCTGTGGCCGTCGCCGTTGACTTCCGCCCTCTGCCAATGCTGTCTGGATCCTTGCCCCTTGGCTGATGATGTCCGCCGCCGTGTTCCGTCGTCTCTGTCGCCGCCCCCGGGAAGTAGGTGTTCCCCGACGCCTGTTGCCACCGTCGGTTGGTTGCGCTCAGGCCGTTCGTCCCTCCGCTGCAGGAGCTAAGCGACGCTTTGGGCCTAGCTCACCATGCCTGGCTCAAGCACAGAAAATTTCTGTGCCAACTCTGGTAAGCTTCTCAGGCCTTCGCGCACCTCCTCAAGCCCTGTCTCCAGTTTCTCCAGCCGTCCGTCAGGGATCCTGGGCGCCATTGCTCGCCGCAGATCCCTGGTTCGATGTGGCTCTGATACCAGTAATAAAACTCCGGACCGTGCGAGGGTAGAGCAGAAGATCAAGGAAAGAAATTCTCGAATTATAGAGGAGAATGGGGAGGAGGAAATCGAGGCCCGCACCATATTATATACTCGAATTAAATAAATTTCTTTAAACCGCCCGTTCTGAAATACAATTTTCTTTGTACCCAGATCCGACATATAATAACGCTAGGGTCCTTGGATTCCTATCAAGAATCCGTCGATGTGCTTCCCCAAATTTCCTCCGTCGGCCATCGCTCGATTTGATCTCGGGCGATGGTTCCTCCCGTCGTTCCGTCATCTGCAGGCGAAGGCGAGGAAGAGGGGGTAGGCGTAGAGGGGAAGTGATCACAAAGAAGGGTGACCATCCCTCTCGCGGGCAGTTCCGATTGGGGAGGTCGCAGGCGTTTACTGGAGATCATCTTGATAACATGCGACGCGAAGAGGAAGGATACACACGGATATAGGGTTCTCAGATATCAGTTATTGGTGAAACTGTCTTTGGGGTACTAAATCTTGCCGGGATGACTGAACCGTTCAATAGGTAAACTAATTCCACGGCGAGGTGTCAGTTTTTGTTTTAATCATGTCGCCGCTTGCATCTCGTCAATCACCGAATATTTTTGCAACTACCGCGTTTTTGAATTCGTGCTTCTGGTTCCACCTGCTGAATCCTACAGGTTGGTGAAACTTGCCGCCCGTGCATTCTACGATGATTTCACCACGAAGGGCGACAACCAGCCGAAAACGGGGAGAAGTGACAATCGCGGAATGGCTGTTGTAGTCCTCGATGCTCTTACCAGGTACAATTTCTTCTGCCATTTAATTTCATCTAGACTTTTGATACGGGGAGGTGAAAATTCAGAAATATAAAAACTTATATTGATGAGTAACTTTTGCCTTTATGCTGCATTGCCTTCTTCTTCGTGTTTTTTCCTCTGTGTTCTTTAGAATTCTTCTTTTTCTATTATGCTGAAGTTTCAAACCTATATACTCGATTATTATAATTGAACTTATTTTTTTCAATTTAATGTGTTGCAAAATGAAATTTGAAACCACAGTTTTTTTCAATATAAAATTAAAGTAAAATATTTTTCCTGGTTTCTCATGATTTTTTTTTGTCAGGCGTCAGTGGGTTCGGGAGGAAGATTTGGCTAAGTCTTTGAAGCTGCACACCAAGCAACTTCGGCGCACATTACGATTTTTTGAAGAAGAGAAGCTGGTTACCAGGGATCATCGAAAAGAAGTATGCATCGTCCTTAAACTTATTTGAATAAATAATCATATTTATGGTTTTAAAACAGCTTTTAATTGAATGTGAAAAGTCATTATTTGTCTCATTTGAAATCAAAATGAACTAATCTTTTTTTCAAAACTTTGCACAATGTAGAAATTGGCTTGGCATATGATATCCATCGTCTCAGTAAACCTGACCAACTTTTTAAATTTGCTGTAGCCTAAGTTAAGCTCCAACCTTGTGGAATGTAAAGCCGCATTCTAAGCATAAACTAATTGAAAGTCAGATTTAAGTCTTAAATCTTTCATCGATTGAGATGTAGAGAGCATTCCAAACGTAAAATCTCTCATCTGGTGTTTGCCCAATCTAAATTGCATTATCTGACCTAAACTCTGCAGTACATGCTGTAGAAAGTTCACCATGACTTTTTGTTTCATTGCCAACTATTTTTTTGGTCTTTGGGGCTCCTTATCACTCTTTGCTTTTTGAGTTCCCTTTCCCAATGCGCAAAAGTTCAGTGCATGGAGGATGGCGCATCATTAAAACTAAACCAAAAACCAATTTTCAACTTTTTGAAGGGTAAGGAAAGTAACAGGAAGCTTTGCTTCTTCTCGCAAGTGTGTAGTGTTGTGTATTTCATTAGTCCTTAAATAGAAAAGGGAATGTGCTCCTCTAGTCTCAAGTATGCTCTGAGATACCCTCTGTAAAAAAAGTTCTATATTCCATATCATTGGTTAAGACCGATACCGTCCAACCCTTCTCAAGTCCTAGTGTTTTGTCATTCTACGTTACAAGAAAGCATAGCCTATTCCCGTTTGACCTCGAGTAAGTTTCACAGCCCTCACTGCCTTTGCTGTATCCAATGTTTCCCCTTCTTCCTTATTGCCCCAAATGATTGCAACACTTTTGGGCCAGTCTGATTTCGGTTCAAATTTGCAATTGTTAACTCAGCATGACCAATTTTTGGTTGCTTTCTAAAATAGGTGACAGTTGTAGGATTTCTGAGGTTCTCGTGTCTTAAAATGCTTCTTTCACCTTTAACTGATTTTAAGAATCATTATAAAATGTATCATGTCAATTTCTGTTTGCTCTAATTTTACCAAGTTGTTGATTTATGAGAAACATTCCCTATCTTTTTACTCCTGAGAGTGATGAAGTTCACCCGCTTGGAATTCAGATGTATCTGTCTTAATATCTCAATACTAGATATTTTATAATTTTATGTTTTAACTAACAGGTCTTTTTGAGTCTCATATTTACTGAAGTGGTTGCAATTAATATTTTAACTATTGGTGGACCATATTTAATATTTTAACTTCTGGGCCAGTCTCATATGTATTTGTGCTAGCGTTTTTGCTTGGGTGTTTAATGTTTTTTTTCCTCTCTTGACTTCATTGATTCAGCAATATGTGTAATGGCGATGCATTTGTTTCATAATATTCATTATACATCGACTTGTTGCAGACAGCCAAAGGTGCAAAGATTTTTAGTGCCGCCATTGCAGCTGCAGCTGATGGTCAACAAGTTGGGAAAGAGGGCGATGAAAAGACAAAGATTCACACCCACTCCTACTGCTGTTTAGATTATGCCCAGGTTGAAGTGGCAGACTTAAAGTACCTCTCTCTTTTCTTTCTACGCTTGAAGATCTATAAATTAACATTTAGTTTCACTTTTCACAATTGTTTCCTTATAGTGCTCTCATGTGTATATTCATAGTATTGTTTTGGGATGCTTGTGAATCATTGCACTTGTGTGACATTGGCTGTGGAATCTATATCTTACTGATGCAACTATGCTAGCATCTCACATTTAAATTCTTCAAAACCATGTCTGAATTATAGTTATCTTTGTATCTTCTTTCTTATAGCACTCCCTAGAGTTTACCTCTAGGGGTTTATAAAGCACTTCATAGAAACTATATTTTTAAAAGTTCCATCTTTTTTAAGACAGCTTTCGAAAATCTGTCTAACTAACATCACTGATACCTGTGCCCGGGAAGGCTTCCTACAGATTATCCCGTATAGGATTTGAAATTATATTCTTACATTAACCAATCAATCACAACCCTTATCATTGCATTTGGGGATGGCTGGGGATCTCAATATGCCATTAATCTGCACCTATATCATTTGACCCAGGTACTAGCTGTTCAATTCTGATACAGGTTGATAGGCCTTGCAGATGCATATTAATTGAGGATTTATTTTTGGCTTTATTGTGCAATTAATTGGATGTAGATATATGACGTTGTAAGATACCGACTGCATCGGATGAAGAAAAAGTTGAAGGATGAATTGGACAACAGGAATACGATTCAGGAATACATATGCCCCAATTGTAATAGAAGGTGATTCCCTCGTGCTTTTGAATTTTCAGACTAATTTACTTTGACCAATGGTAGTTAAACTTTTGAACTTATGATTTCCTTTCTAATATTTATTTGCTCAGGTATTCAGCTTTTGATGCGATGCAACTTGTGAGCATGGAAGATGAGTACTTTCACTGCGAAAGCTGTAATGGTGAGCTAGTTGCTGAAAGTGACAAACTAGCCGCTGAGGAGATGGGAGATGGAGATGACAATTCTAGACGACGACGGCGTGAAAAATTGAAGGACATGCTCCAAAGGATGGAGGTAATTGAACATGATCACCCTTTTATGCCTATGGAAATTGTGACTTATCTATGCCATGCAGAACTTTATGTATCTAGATTGTAAGTTTCCTATGATTATGAGGTCTTTTCGATATGGAAATATTTTTATAGTATGGCGTGAAAATATGGAAACTGTATACATATAAATGCATATACTGACATAACGATTTTATATGGAAAGGGTATACGTTTTTGCAGATACTCTAACATTTTATGTTAGAGTGCCCTTGTTAGCCACCTCAGAAAGGCAAAAAGACATGACGATTTCCATATGAGCATAACTATTTCGCACGGTGCGAGGAATGAATTGATATATTTGGAATAAATCTGGAAAAAAATGCAGGAGCAACTGAAGCCATTGACTTTACAACTTGCTAGAGTAAAGGATTTACCGGCTCCCGAATTTGGTACTCTACAAGCATGGGAAGCTAGTGTGAATGCTGCTGGTCGTGGAGGAAACAACAATGGAAGTGCAACTGATGCCTCCAAGTCTGCCCAGGGTCAAGGATACGGTGGCACACCTATGCCATATATTGGCGAGACAAAGGTTTGCCAATTTTTTTTAAAAAATATTGTCAGTGATTACTCACAGATATTTTGTTAACCTATCTTTATGTATCCGATTCTTTTTCTTCTAAATGCCTCCATATTTTCTCCCGTCCATTGGCAATATGGCCGATTCTGCTTAACTTTGAAACATAATTTGTTGTGTGTTTTCTTGACCAGAAGGCAGTTTTTTGGACTTCCCATTCTTAGTTGAGCAGCAAAGACATAAACATCGCTGTGAGAGAGATGAATGCCCCTTTTGACGTAGTTATACAATGCATTGCCTAGTTGTCTTACCTCTTTGGCTATGCGTTGCTTTCGCCATCCTGCTCGTCCAGAACAAACTTGCTCCGAAGAGATTGTTCATAAATTCTGCTTTGTTACCGAAAATGCCTACTTAGATCATATGGTCATCAAAACATAATGATGAGGAAATGACCCTGGATTATTTATCAGAATTTGCACTTTTGACACACAGTAGTAGATCCACATACCGGTGTTGATCATTTCTTATACAACTATCAGTCAGGATTCGTGTCATATTTTATCATCATTCATCAACGGATATCCATCCTGTTATTGCTTATTTGTTGATCATTATCAGTCCTCGGTTGGGAACTCTCCCTATTGACTGCTACTCATTGCGATCTATGGCCAGTAATATTCTCACAAATTACTTTTTCCATTTCTTCCTCCTTGATTACACACTGAGAATGCAAGAAATCTACACCCTGTCTTGGTTTTTTGTGGGGATGAGGAGTCCAATCTTAACCTATGCGGTAGCCATTCATGAGAACTTTTTATAGTAATCTTATTTGATATCTCGGTCTTCATTCTTTGGCCTAATTTGAAGTTGCCATTGATTTGAAATGCTTGTGCCTTATTGTACGCATTTCTAGGTCGAAGTTACAATCTTTGGTGCGGACGTTAAGGACGAGGGTGCAGAAACTGAGGCAGCCACCGCATCCTTGAAGGTTTTACCTCCGTGGATGATCAAGCAGGGCATGAACCTTACAAAGGAACAACGTGGAGAGTTGAGACCTGATGCCAAGGTGGATGGCAGTGAAGCGTACCGAGATCAATCCGATGAGAAGAAGCAAGAACAAAAACAGGAAGATGTGAAGAGCTTAGAGGTTAGTTGGCGAATAATATTTACATTAAGATTTTCGAGCCATCACCTGGCAGATCGTTTTTTGCTTGACATGAACTCCCACAGGAGGAATACCTCACAGCCTATTATGAGGCTTACGCTAGAATGCTAGAAGCTTCCAAGACGGCGCAGGGGGAAGCAGAAGTGTCTCAGCAATCCACATCCAGTTATCTAAATGGAGTCTCTGATACTAATTCTGCTCGTCAAGTTGGTATGAAAGTCAAACGGGAGGATGACGATGACGGTGGGATTGAATGGGAGGAGGATGTAGCTACAGGTAGATAGATATAAGCGTATTAAATACATGTTAAATTCATATGATGTGGGGCATATTTTTTCAGGTAGCCATGGGTCTGATATGATTAATCATTCTTCCTCAATTTAATAATATGCATCATAATAGAAGATAACCATTACAGACCATATTTCAGCTTATATTTTTCTACTCTTCCCCATCAACTCTGAATATGTTGGCACTATTTCGCAGGCATTTTGAATGAATTATCAATTGTCAACGATCCAAACGCACAACCAGATGGTTCTGGGGATGAAGACGATGATATAGACTGGGAGGAAGGTTGATTTGTGCCAGAACCATGAGATGGTATTTTTCTCAAGATTTGGGATTAGGGTATTATTTTTCAAAATGGTATTTTTGTTAATCCCTGAACCTCAAACTTAGAACCCTAAGTGGTAGCATTGACTTAACGGGGTTTTGTGGTACCATTGGCTTAATTCTTATTGCAGGGAACTCCTATCAACTCTTTATGGCACTTTGGATTGCTTTCAGAGAAGCCTGTGTAGATTATATTACCCTTTGTTTTTTTTTTTCACTCGAGTACCCTCGGCAGCAAGACCTCCAATGTATTCTCTCTCTCCCTCTCTCTCTCTCTCTCTCTCTCTCTCTCTCTCTAGATGTCACTCAGAGCTCTTTTTCTATACTTCATACCCAAGCTAAGTCTGAGTCTGAAACAAGATCCCTAAACTTGAGGTTTAGAGGACATCTGTGAATGAGAAATTATGCTCCCAACGTGCAAACTCTTGATCATGCGTTTTTAATCTCGTGATCAGATCCAAACCCCCTGCATCACTGAAGGATCAAGATAATACAGGGCACACTGTAACAGTTCTACACAAACACAGCAGTCTCATGCGATCCACACGATCAAACGGCTTATATTGCATCCAAACATAAATCATATGGTTTCCCAGAATCATAACTTATGATCGCACACAATTGCACCATAAAAAAAAGAAGATTTCCAACAATAAATCTTGACGTGGAACTTTGTCAAAGTCTAACCTTTCAGCTGGAAATGATATTTTGCACGCATAAAAATCCTGCAAGAACCAATTGGGGAGATGAATTTCCTTAGTAGGAAATGATTTTTTTCCAAATTAAAATTGCGGTAAAAAAATAGTTCGGGCGTGGGTAAGAATCATAGTCTTTACCTTAATAAACAAAGGTATCCCAAACGTAGATGGTCATCTCATCTTCACCAAGATGGCAGCATTGCGAGTTCCATCTACCAAGACAAAAGATCCAAACCCATGGGCTGGATTAATGGCAACAAGAAGAAAACAAGGCAGCTAGATGAAGCTCATTCGACGACTTACTTGTGGGTCTGTTGATGTTCTTATCCGCATTGATCTTCTTCTCCAGACGAATATTCTGACTCTTGTTGACTTCATCTCTGGTTTTTCCAGTTCTCTTCCCCCGGAAATCAGACGTTGACTTAGATTTATCTGAGGCTGTAGTACTCCCATCGACAGATTTCCCGGTTCTAACTTCCTTGCTGGTTGTCGAGGAGTCGTCAACGGAAAAACCACTGGCCCCGTCAGATTTCTCGATCACGGCTTCGTCTGCTGTGGAAGTACCCGTCATGGAGTCCTTGTGGCCAGATGAATCGACGGCACTAGCGTCATCACCCGTGTCCTTCAAGGCTTCTTCGGAAGGAGTCAACGAAGCGTCAGCAGAAGAGCCACTGCACCAGTCTGACTTCTCAACGACGACTTCTTCTTTTCCAGGGGAAGTAGCCGTCAAAGGGTCCTCATGGTCAGATGTGTCAACAGCATTGACATCATCAATCATTTCCTTGGTCAAGGTTTCATCGTAAGGGATCGAGATTGACTTGGTCGCATCGTCGCTATCTCCGTTGACTGTGGTGATATCAAGCAGCGGTTCTTCGGCAATACTGTTCATATCGAGAGAGACTGGATCAGAGTTCTTGGTGGGTTTCCTCATTGGACCATGCTGTGGCATGCCGCCGAGCTCGAGCTTTCCCTTCTGCGCAGAGGATCTTGGGCTCTGTTTTCCTTCTGCAGAAGCGGCCACTGAAACGAAACTAATCAAACCAAGATTTGGTTCCCCACCCAGTAAACCATAATCACGGGAGACTTCTTTCCACATAGCTCGAATTGGGAGAGAGCTGTGGCGAGCCAGGTACCGTTTGAGCTCACTCTTCAGACTCCGCATTGGCTAGGGACAGGAAGCAGAAGAAAGTCAGCTCATTTATCAATGTGGAAATCACAGATTTGATTGATAGAATTTAGGAGAGAAATAAAAGATGAGTGAAATAAATGCGGGGAAATGAAATAGATGAAGAACAAACCTCAGCATTGCACTCGAAGGCGAGGCGGAAGAATGCTGCAGACGCAAAGTGCTTCCCGACAGACTCTGCCAGCTTTATCTGGGTGAGCCAGTATGGAGCATATTCGAGCTTATCAAACCTACACTTGCTGCAACTCTTCGCGCTGAAGTACGGCGTTCCCAACAAAGCGGACTTGATTAGTGATTTGGGAGTGAGAGGTCCCTCCTCAGGGATGGGGCTCTTCCTGATGTTCTTCTCAACCGGGCGCTCCTGGTCTTGGAAACGAACGGCGGATTTGTTCGCTTCCGATTTGGGCTTGCTCGTAGCATCCTTGCCTTCTTGATCCCCTGACGCTCCCGTAGGTTCTCTGTTGAATTCGATCTTCGTCGCATCCTTGTGGGGCGGTCTCCTGGAGATGGCAACAGGCTTCGACTGCTTCAAACTCTTACTGTCCACCGCCGTTGGCCTTTGCAGATTCACGTTCGTGCTTCTGGTGGTGCCGAAGGCTCGATTCGTCCTTTGGAAGAAAAGACAACGGGAATTAACTACGGACATGAAACGTAAAGCACAGATGATTGAGAGCTGCAAATAAGAGAGGAAATCGGCCTCCATGCCTGTGGCGAGGGGCAGCGAGAGCAGCGAGGCGGCTGGATTCCCTGAAACTTCTGCCCTCACCCTGCAACTTCTTACCCACTGCCGCCGGCCGGAGCTTCCCTGCGTCACAAGCCCAGATAGCCAGCCATAGATATCAGAGAACCGGGATGGATACCAATGCCAGAGGTGGAGAGAGGCGGACCTGGGAAGGGGGCGAGGCGGCGCTCCTCCACTGCCATGGCTGAAGATCAGGAGGGCGGGAACCGAGGAAATCAGTAACTTTCGAAATGTTTTTGGAAGATGAATTCCATTGGTAGTATAATAACCGCGCGAGGAACGAGTTACGACGAACGCTTCTCTACGTGGCCTTCGTACTTCCCTCCTAGTCTCCTCCGAGTACAACACCACTCTCAATTCTTACCCTGTGACGCAGGAACGTTTTAAGGGCCGGAAAGGCAACTTTTCAGACATGCAATGGGCACTGATGGTCCAGCCGTGTCGGGCCCGGCCCGATAGTAGAAAAGCCCATATCATAAACGACTTAAATGGGCACCCGGAACCATGCCCAAACCTGGCTAGAATGGCCACGGACTCCGGGCCGAACTCGGTCTACTCAGAGCGCAGGATATAACGTCTTTTTTTTCTTTTTTTTCCCTCTATTTAGTCTCCAGTAAAAAATCAAGACATTAATTAACCCGAATTTTCTAAATTAGGAAATTATAACTGAAAGTCCATTTTAAGGGGGACCCAGCTGTTCAGAAGAGGAATACTGGTACATGGTTACAATAACCATATGGCCCAGGTGTAGATTATAATAACGTGCTATATTTTACTTTTTTCTCGATTTTTTTAATAGGAGTGTGTGCTATTTTTAGTCACTTATCTTGTCCTTGCAATATTCCAAGGTTTATTATTACATTAGGCTACGGTTTCTTGAATCGGAAATAGGAGTCAAGAACAATGTATAGTAGATTAATGTAGTTTATTCGAGGAGAATTTCAGCATTATTTTGGCTTCGTTTTATCTCCTGCGAATATTTATCCAGTTAATTAATTCAATTTAATATTTACTCGGAATTTAACGTTGACCCTTCACTTCCTAAATGAGGATATCACTTCCTAAACGATGACCCTTAACTTCCTAAACCGGTTTTCATGGATAGAAAGCCGCATATTGAGGGAAAAACCTGAGATTAAATTTTATGAAAAAAAAGTGTGATTTTATCGAGGAAGGTACCCCCTGCGAGGCCTTATCCCTGTCTTCTCCGGAGATTTTGGAGCATGGCCGAAGACGAAATCCCGGCACGATTCTTACCACAGAGATGAACAATACACGATGATTCTTGCCCAAAATGGGTTATCTTCATCCTGTTTCAGTTGACCATTTTTTTTCCCTCCCCTTCAATCTGCCGCCATAAATCAATAAAAAAGGCACCAACGAGGAATGAGAGCACCGGCTTCATGGTCTCCTCCTTCGTGGTCAACCATGGCGGGCCTGCCTCCATCGGCAAAAATTGAGTCGAGGCTTTGACGGATCGCCAAAGTCAACCCCCAGGAAATTTGACTTCTTGATGGTCAGATGTCTGAAAAAGTGAGCTGCAGATCAATCCTCAGTCTGAATCCGAATCTATAGACAGGTAAAACCGTGGCCTGGTTGACCTCGGTCTTCGAATGGGTGCTCTTTCGGATCCACAGCTGGTTGCAGCAGGTGGCGGAGGAGCTGCAACCAATGAGCACATATAAACATAACCCAGCCTACTAAAAATGGAAGCCATATTAAAATAAATAAATAAATAAAATAACCTGTTCTTGCCCCAAATGGACTTGATCCATCGGGATGGCCATCATCGACACCAAGCCGGAGAGAGATCCAGCTTTTGGGCTGGTTGCCATCAGAAAAATTCTGCTGAGGGAGAGAATCTCTGGTAAGATCATTGGGCTGAGAGGCGAGGAATAGCTGCATGGAGGGATCATCACCGACAAAGGCCGGGAGGCTGTGGTTTGCTTTAGTGGCAGAATGAGTTTTTGGCAACCCGTAGCTACTACTGGGCAGGAAGCTGGCCTCTGAATCTGCGTCGAAGAACTGGAAGCCAGTTCCTGTCTGAGAACACACTGGCAGGGGCCAGAAAACCCTCTCAAAGTCAACCCCATTGCTGAGGTGGTCAAGAGGCGGCACTGGGTCCACCCCAAGATCTGGGTCAACTGGGTCGGTAGCCATGAAAGGATCCAAAGAGCCATACCCAGTATCCAGGGGCACAGAGGGAATATCATCATCGTCTGAGTCACTGAGAACAATGACTTCAGGATGTGCAGGAGGCCTCTGACCGTCTTCAGAAAAGTCAAAGGGCATGATCATATCGCCAGGGTTTTCAAACTTTGGGAGATTTCCATAAAAGAGAGGAGTCCCCATCAGATCTTCAAGCTGGGGGTTGACCTTTTGAATCCAACTCCGGGGTCTCTTGGTGCCTAGTTTTAGCTCCTCATGCCCACCAAGGTCCTCTTCTTCTTTGGTCCCCAAGGGATCCCAGTCCAATCCTGCCTCGAGATTTGGAAGAGCCTGAGCAGTACCGTCAGGCGAGTGCCACACTCTGAGGTCACTTTCAGCAGCATTCTTCACCCGCCACGAACCATCGGGCTTCACATCCACCTCACTCACGTCTCTGCCACAGCTCTGCAACTGCATATAGAGGCCGAATTACCCTTGACTCGACTCACAGGAGACAAGAACTAAATCGAGAAAATTAAAGAGAAAAACATGCATTACCAGACGGATGATGCGGTTAAAATACGGATCAATGATCAGATTTTCTACAGAACAGTTCTTGAGGCAAATCGGGCACTGCCACTGCATCAAAGATAGGGCAATATAGCATGTATTAGTATCAGAAAGTAAGAAAAAATAACCACAGATTTATGTGATTATGACAACGTACCTTTCTTGATCTCTGACTAAGTTCTACAAAGGTTTCGAGATCAAAACAGCCGATATGAACACAGGGCTTGAACCTGGCAGCAATTTTCATCATAGAGCCACTCATCTGCATGGGAAGAAAACAAGAATTTGCGCTAAAATTGACTTTCTGATCTGTGCCCACTCAAATACTTACAAGCACATGCATGCATGCATGCTACCTATTTCAGGGAAAATAAAATAAAATTCATTTGGATGTTTGCTTCATGAAATTGGTAGACTGAATAACATTTAGTTGGTGCTATCCCAATAAGGACCCTATACTGGACGTACTCACTGGGGGTGCTCAAAAAGGAGATTATTTGTCAAGGAACGAAGAAAAGAGGAAAGATATCAGGTCCACAGATTTGATCATCCGTTCAACGGAAATAGGCCTCTGATCAAGGAAATTAATTCTTAAAATGATGATTCATAGAGTAATGGTACCACATTAATTCATATTTTAATAAAATAAAGCGTTACTTAAAGGTATTTTTTAGTGAAGGATTTTCATGATTTTAAAAATTGCCCGACAAAGACAGCTCATAATCAGGTGGCTCCAGGGGAGGCTTAACTCTAGGAACTACTGTAGCCCAAGATCAGGCCGGTCAACCAAACTACCCTTCTTTGGGTTCTAATCATTCTCCATATCTATGGATTTGGAACCTTGGCAAGAGACAGACCGGAGTCAAAAATGGCTTTGCATGCGAAGGTCGAAGTTGAGGGGTTGCTTGTGAAAATTAAAAAAAAAACATGAGGTCACATTAGTGACTGCTAGTGCAGGAGACCTAAACACAAACTAAGAAGCAAATGTCAACAATAGTAAGGAAATGAAAGGGGGCGATCAATGATACTGCAAAGTTGTAGGATGACGTCCAAAGAGTCTTTACAGTCCATATAGTGTCATTCATAGAAATTAGATGGGTGGGCTTTGAGGGAATGGAGAATGTGGGACTATGATATGGAATCGTTGATTGACTTGAATAATCAAGTCAAACATACGAGTTTTACCAACACAACAAAAGAGAACTTCATTGACAGGCCTAGGCAGATATCTGTTTTTTGGAGGTAAATGATACAGAGAGATTCATCAAAGCCAAGCATGTTCATCTACAGCTACTTACGGGACAAAGGAGATTGACGGTAACAGAATCAGAAATAACTTCCAAGTCACTATCACTGTCTGAATTCTCTGCAGCTGCTCCACCACCAAGGCACCGAGAAACACGGGCAAGGGCAACCTCAAAATGCTCCCCTTCCGTTTCTTCTGGCACCAATTTTAAAACCTGTTCAGGAAATGAAACCACGAAATGAGGTATAGATAGGTTTAAGGAGAGGGAACACAAAGGGGTAAAAGAATACAAAGTTATATCAAATATTCTATGGGGAAAAAAGGGCAACAAAAAATTGTTGGAAACATTTTCCGAAAAAAATGTTGAAAGTAGATGGATAATATTGAATTTAGGCAACAGAATTACGATACCGATGAAATATGGAGATCATAATAATCAATCAGATCTTCAGTTTCCATACAAATATTAAAATAAAAAAAAGTAAAACCACCTATTTCAGTACAAAATTAATAACTACAACGTATTTGGAAGATTTGCATTTGTTTTAATGAAAGAATCACCACTACCTGCTCAATAGTCAAGCGTCTTGCGATTCTTACACCAAAGCAGAATGTTCGGGCATCACATCTTGCAAAAGTAACCTTGTTACTTCCTTCTTTGCAGTGTGTTTTGATCTGAAAATGAAAATGCAACGTGAGGAAGATGAAAAAAATGATAATACTTTCCCCCAATCCCAAGGGAACAGAACAAGAAAAAAGGGAAAAGAAGACTGAAACCCCCTTGGATCAAATCAGAAACGGAAAAGGCAAGGCTAAATTTGAAGAAACTAAGGTTACGAAAAAGCAACGTGAGAATAGTGTTTAGCAGAAAACATCAAACCTCCAATGAATTCATCAAAAAAAAAATTCAATCATACAATGATTAAAGATAAATTTTTCACTGTAGATCAGTAGCTCACCAATGAAACATCATCACGACCATTGATGCCAAACAACTGAGAGTCATGTCTATTTGTTGTTCGTACATGATTACCTGCAGAATAATGAAGACTGAAGAGATGGGAAAGAATAATATTTACAATCAATGGTACAAAAGCCAAAAAAAGTGAAAACTCTCGAGACATCAGAGCCTTAGACTATTCACAGAGGCGACATTGAGACCACAAGTTACATCTTGAAATTCATGTTCCATTCTATTAGGAGATGACAGAAAACGTGCTAGCTAGAAAGGCCTGGCAATGATGGTGAGCTAGTGAGAAGAGATAGAATGGTAATACCATTGTCCAGGAAGAATCAGACGTCCCATTTCAATTCCAAGAGCAAGGAGAACAACAAACAACTCATTTGCTGAGAATGCACTTACTTCTGTTGGATTATTTATTTGAACAGAAGTTGATAACAATTTATTGCTTGGCATCAGTAAGTAGCTAAGAAAAAAATTATTTCCTCTTAACGGATGAGAACACGCCAAATATTAAAACTAAACATCATCCCAAAAGTCTAAGGCCAGCAACAGAGGTCGTATCTTCCGTACCATTGATTGATAGATTTGAAGACTGTGGCCACTGTATCCTAAAAGGAACTTTATCATTAAGAAGGATACACCAGACCTGCATGATAACAAACCAAAATACTTTAATATTTAGACCAAACGAAAGATATAACCGTCCTTAAAGACTGACAAAAAATCCACAAGAAGGAATCCAATTGCCAGAGACCTGTAATAATGAGTAAAAATCCTAACAAACATTCTTAGGGATGATGATATAAAATATGAAACTAGAAGTCGTAGACAGCACCACGTTGAGGAAAAATAATCTCAATTTCAACATAAACGGGAGGCCACCTAAATCAGAAATCATATTCATTCTACGGTTGTTACCACCCCCGAGCTAACATTTATAAGACTAATATGAGAAAAAATCTTAAAGACAAGTTAGACTAGCTTGGTTCTTTACTTCTCACCATCCAAGATGCAAAGAAATTGACATTTTGACCTTGTAAGAAATTAATAAAAGAAATGGAACTTATTTTGGAATTCATAACAAGCAAAAGAGAACTTTGAATCTCAAAGAATAGATATAGGATATTTAAAGATAAAAAAATTATTGATTAAAATCATCAGTGTCCCTAATAACTGAGGATGGTAGAGAACCTGAAGATCATATTCGGTTTTCTGTAGCAAGTCTCTGGCCGCCCTTGTCAGGTAGAACGTTTTCTCCACAGTCTGTGATGTATTTGTACTGAAACATTCTTAAAAAGGGAAGGAGATAATCATGAAACAGAAAAGGTTTTCATCACGTACGAAAAAAATAACTAACTAGGGCAGCTGTAACCATAAATAATGACTGTAAGCAGTGGCTTACCCACGAAACAAGACCAAAAAAATATCCCACTTAGCCACAGAATTGAACATATATTTTAAAATACAGAGATAAATAGAAAAAGTAGACGTATCCATCTGCACATTGTAATATTAACGACCAAATTCAAGACGTACCCATCTGTTGTAGGTTTTGGAGAAGTTATCTTGACTGGAAGCAGCGGATGTGACATAGTCACCCAAAACCTTCAATATGGGAAATAATATCACTATGATAAGTATTACCCAATCAAAGACATCAATTAGACCAAACAAAACTCAGAGTATGATTTTTCTCAAAGGTAAATTTCCTTTATGAACAATGAATATAACACCAGGAGAAATACCTCCAAAAAAACAATCTTCCAAAAAGTTAAACAATCGAATACAAAAAATACAACAAAGAATTGGCATCTGTCGTTGTCAACGGACAGTCACCATAAAATATTGTTATAAGGAGAGTTTAGATCGAAAATTAGAAAAAAAGGGTTTTTATAAGCTTTTCAGGGATGCATTGGAATCGGAAAAACAGCCTGGATCACTGTCTCACTATTTTTCTTAATCTTACTCGCTTTCTTGATTGTATCAGATTTTTCATTGCATAACCTAACAGTGCAAAAAGCAAATAATGGGAGGACTGGGGACTTGGCAGCTTATCAATTGAGAAGATTTGCAAAATGTGTTCAATAAGGTCAAGAAATCAGAGTTCTCTAAAAATGGTCCGACTTCAGGTGGGGTGCAAGATAAAATAAAATATATCAAATTGAAACTTTTAGAAAGATAACTGGGGCATGCAACCACAAACACTAAGATGTCAGGGGCAGCAAAAAAAAATTCAGGTGGCTGAAGAGGTCACAGGAAAATCTAGCGTGATAAAACAACAAAGAGAGAGACTCAGTGGTGGTAGAGAAAAAGGGCAAAGTTCTCTCATGGGATTACACAAGAAACAAAATGATACTTTGAGGATCATAACCAAGACAGCTATCACATTGACAGTCAATGTCTTAAACTCGACTCAGTGAAACAGACATGTTTATTGGTCACAAAACTCTGCATTGGTATGATTACACAGGATTGAGAAGCAGCATAAAAAGGAGAAACTTGAGTGAGCATGACAATGCGGAAAAAGGGTAACAATAAATGAAGGACGATATAACAATAAATGACTAATTGCGTTGCCACGCCTATGACCACAAGTTATGTGTTCCACATTTAGCGGCATGAATCAAGAAGAAGAAAGGTAGCATAGCATATAGTGTTTATCATTCGTTGATGAAGTCCAACCGGAGGAATAGTCTTGGAAGTGGCTTCCAATGGCTAAGGACATCCCTTCAAAGTGCACAGTTTAACAGCAGTGTTAATTTTTGGCTTGATGGATCACCAGCCAGGTCATTCAAGGCAGCAACAGGCACCCGACATTACCTACATGATTGAGTACTTTTCCCTAAACATTTCCCATCGTTGTAGCCTCTTCATCTACGGTGCACAACATGATTATAGTCTGTATAGCCAAGATGATCCGAACCCACGGAATTGTCCTGGTCCAACCCAAGCAAGGTGATCCGGGCAGAGGCAAAGCGGTGACTCGGAGAATAGAAGATAAACACCTATATATATGGTGTATAAACGTATTTAAAATAAAATAGAAAGGAATACAATGACGATTCAGATGGGGCATACTACCATTTCACAAGGCCGCCCCGATCCCTTTCTGGCACAGGCAAGGACAGTGTGTGGGATAGATATTGTTTTCTCTGAACCTGTCTTGCCCTTTTTTTGGGTTATCCAACCTCTGCCAAATGCCACATTTCCAAATTCGAACTCCCTCTCTCCAAATTGGGCTATATCATGCTAATTCAATCAATAAATAAGTTGACATGACTGGATAAGATGATCATTTAGATATTCAAAAGGAAGGGAAATCGAATGAACCATTGTACCATATCTAAAACATGCCTCATCTTCTTCCTAATCATTGCAGCAATCCAGATTGAGAGTTCATTGAGCTCCAGCTAATTGGTATGAACATATTTGGAGAACTCAATCAAAGAGATAATAATTGGACAGTTCTCCCATACGAAACCATGGACCTTATGCATATCCTGACATTTACTGGTTTCTCGGCATCCCTGACCGGGAGGCAACAATTTTTAAACATGTACAAGCCATAACTATAGGTGAGCCCATCAAATGCGCCCCTGAAGTCTAAATGAATCTGGAACAACGGGACCTTTATAATCCATAAACTTTTTTGGCGACAACAACCATACAACAAGCAAACCTTAATAACTATTTCGCGTGGGAATCATGCTAAAGAATCGAAGCACATATTCGCCAAATTTGAATAGAACAGATAATACTAGCAAAAATAGGAGTACATGTCACGTACGGATCAGCTCTATTTATCCGACAAATTTCACAATAAAATTTTGGGGGAATCTCTGGCTGAACACCATCCGAAGGTTTCTCACATATGATAACACAGCCTTTGTGTTGTACAGTGCGGCACTGTGGATCTTCACACTGCATACAAAGTTACAACAATAACCAGTAAATGATATAACCATGAAAAATCAAAAAATACTTTCGAACCCAATGAAAAAAATAAAAAATAATCTCCGAGAAGTAATCAGAATAATGTTGATGTCAAGTAAAATGTAGTAGCGAAAAGCATTCATCAACAATACAGATTAAAAGGAAAAAAACAAGGAGAAACAGGCAAAACTTGTTATCTGAGCACACATTGAACAGCAACGCGCAAAATATGTTGGGGCAGACTTAGTTCAAAAACAAGAACAATGAGCTGATGCTACAAATAAGTCCCAATAACTCGATTCCCAACTTCCCAACACCAGCATATGTTCTCTGACTCCTAAATGCAGGAATCATTTGAATGATGTAGGCATCATTCTTTCTTGCGAGAGATTACCAGATAAAATACTCAGGGGTATAAGCAGGCACAACTAGAAAACAAATGTTAACTTTAAACGATCAATATTAAGATAAAGTTCTTCAGAGGATTGAATCTATGACACTTTCTTTAAGAAACTTCGTACAACTCGACCCTGTGAAAAATTAGATATTTTAAAGTTGGAATTTAATGCCTAAGGTACGCAGAACAGAATATTACAGGACTCTCAGTTCTACAAATTGTTCAGCTACAAGAAGAGATTTTTCTGGGCTAATACCATAATTGTGAATTCTTAATCTAAAGCACTTAAAGCTTCTAAACAGCCAAAGAAATAATTGTGAATACGGTACCTTAATCGTTGATTTTGAACCCAACGGATTACCACAGGGGCACCGTATCTTCACATCTAATTTGTAAGAATCTTCTTCTTTCAGGCTCACATAATCTAGAGTAGGACCATTACAATGGTTTGACGCTAAATCAGTTGCCCCCTGCACTTGCATTTTTCTGCATGAAATGTACAAGCATAAATGATATAAACAGAAAAGAAAGGGAAAGTTTTTCTTCTTTTGGTGACCAAGAAATGCATGCTAGCAATTTAAAAGGCAAATACACCTCTTGGCTGCAATAAAAGACTTAAATAAAATCCAAAAAAGGCAATTAATTCATTATATGTCTAATATATAATCCAAAAAAATAGAAACAAGGCCTTGCCTAACACCAAAAACTCATCAGGACAAACTTTTGGTAATATTTGCCTCCCAAAAAAGAACTATAAGATTACTAATTGATTCTGTCCAAAGCCTGTGGTTTGAAAATGTGTATGTGAAACACCAACATATAAATTATGAGTACATCAATATTTCATTTGCATAAATTTAAATCGTGCACATAAAAATGTACGCACATGCTCTCAGCTAAAGAGGTTTCAGATAAATGTGATATTTACCTGAATGTGTCGTCAATTACTTTTGCAACTCTTTCCTTCAAAATAGAATTCTCGTTCACCAAGTCATGTAATCTGGGCTCTACATAAAACAAAAAAAATGGAACAAGACAATGAAATAAGAACAAAGTGAAAATAACTATTTTCTGAAAATCGATAGATCATTGCATAAAACAAACATATCTTAATATTATACATAAATACATAAGTAAAATATTAGAGTAGCGAAGACCAAGACTGAGGAAACATTTCGGACATAAGTTGTGAGCATTAGAGCTTCTTACATAATTATGAGTAGGATTCGGAGTTTCGAATTCCCAGTCAAAACCAAAATTTCTCATCTACTTTCAACTAGACATCCAACATCCAACCACCCACTTGTGAGGCCATAGCCTAGTATTTATCAGTCACAACGGGGTGGAAGGATAAGCACTTGGAAGGAATTAACAAGTCCCTATGTTTCCTTCATTGGAAATGAGTACGAAATTGCCATAACCACATTCAAAGGATAAGCACGGCATCACAATATATCAGACAATTACAGAGACAAGGAAACAGATACTACTGACATATCTATAGAGCATTTCGAAAAAAATAGTCTTATTAAATAAAATTTTTAAATAACGCAGAAAACAAGTTCTTGCCATACACTTCAATCTTCCAGAACAGTTCCAACAGAAGAGGACTACAGAGTTGAGCCTAGTTCCAAAGAAATCACCAGATTTTGCCCAATTTGAACAAATAGAAGATGACTTGAGCTAATTTAATATGTTTCTATACTAAATGTGGCCGACTGGAGAATATATACTAAATGTATATAGCCAACTGTGATTAAATTCTACATTTCTCCATAAATGTCTCGATGGCTTCATGTATCTTTTTATGGCAGTGAATAGTTTTTAGATCTGTCCCCTGACTCACTTTCTAAAACATAAGTGCCATTAGAAACCAAGATGGAATGGACTATAAGCATCAGAAAGCCTACAGCCAACATGCAAATTGGAAAGATGATGATTTTGCACGAGAATATACCATAATGACTTCAGCAACCAGAGGTGAGAAATAGACATGTGGAATCTAGCGCATCCAGCTTTAAAAAGTGTAGAGTGTGGGTTTTGGACAGATTCTCCATTTTTACTACTATTTTTCACTCATACTCGTATACAAAACTCAAGATACTTTGAAATTCATCCTTCCAGTCTTTCTGCCCATCAACGAAATTGTCAGGAGGTGGATGCATTTTACATTTCTCAATGAACTCGGCTCTGAATACATTATTACCATGGACAGATTCCTTGTATCCTAACTCCATGCAAAAATCAACGTTAAAAATCAGGAAGGTAACTGGGTGCTGTCGACAACAGCCACCTCCTTGAAAACTTCTGTGTGAAGTATGTACCGTCCTTCACCTTCACGTCAACAACCTGATCTCAGGTCATTAAGACAAGAGGATTCTTTGTATCGATGCCCAATCATCTGCCATTAAAGTAGTTAGTAAGAAGTTCCTTTGCATGAAGGTTGAAATCTTCTTCAGGCTAAGGCTCTAAACCTGTGTTAAGCACATAGCTTCTTTACATGAATACTGAGGCGATCCTCCCATTCTTAATGCCAAAAACTTCTTTATAGGAAAATTTGGCCACAAGCCATTTGATATCAGAGTCCTATTAGCATTATGATCTAGGGCTCATGATTTATCCTCACTTCCACCTCTGTCTGCAGCGCCACCTGAGCCTTTTAAGTTGTGAGACTTCTTCATATTAAAATGTTGGCACCACAATATTAAGCATAAAACTTCCATGTGAAAGCCAAAACCTTATAAAGATATTATTCGAGCCTTCTTCATGCAACAGTCATGTTCATGAGGTGTTCTGATAAACTCTGCATTATTAAGGTTGGAGCCTTCTTCACATTTAAGCCACACCCACACATTTTTAAGGTTAGAGTCTTCATAGTACTAAGGTCTTGGCTCCACATCATGAAGGCCACAGCCTTCAGTGGATTAAGGTCAAAACCTCTCACTTTAATTCTTGACTGCCAGTCCTTACGGTAAGTACAATCTTTGCACTAAAGTCCTGCCTCCATATTTATTAGGTTGGAGTCTTCTTGGCATTAGTGTCATGAGCACTAATGTCATCTAAGCGTATAAATCTAAAATTCCATATGAACAATAAGTGGAACTTAATTTCACAGATTTTCACAGTAAATTTGAGGCCAATCCTAGTTCCGTGTTGATGAACGAAAAAATATTATTCTGATTTTATACCCCCTTCCCATTAAAGTGATGTTCATGAACGAAAAAAGAAAGTAACGTAGACAAAAAATTGGCTTTGGTTCAGGATCAAAAAGCTTATCAACTATTGATATAAAATTAAAATTAATTTCAACTATTCTGTCTCAAGTTAGCAAGGAAAACAATACCGTGTTCATCCCCCAGCAAGTTTAAAATTCTATCCACCAGATCCTGCAAAATACAGCAGCAATTATTCAAAATAAAAAGAATCGAGAATGACTGCCTACTGAGAGATGCAAGAAAAACAAAATAAATGACAGAGCTCATTTAGAAAATTAAATTAAAACCTAGAGATGAATCAGCTATACGGAGAGAAGCCTTCTAATGAGCCACGAGATACAGTGAAGAAGAGATAAGACCGGAGTAGAGAGAGAGAAAAGAGAAACAAACACACATGGAATTTTTATGTAAATAGGATGCATTGAGTACGCTATATCTATATTAAAGAAGTATTAGCTCAAGCAATAATTGGCCCATTAAATATGAGGTCATGAGGAGCTTTTTGGACATAAAAGTCACTGATAATCCCAGAAATTTCCCTCGGGTGCCAAGCCAACAAGGGAAAGTGTACCAGGTGATAATCTTGCTCAGCAACACTACAACAATAGCAATCAAACAGATAAATACACAAACTTTACAAGAATTAACCTTTTTGAATGAAATTAAGATAATAGGTGAAAGTTACAATTAAAGAGTATATTTACTGTAAACGGCAAAGAAGCTACATTTTGAAATATAAAAACCAGAATTCGACCGCAATTATCATTGTGTAAAATTAAACTGTAATGTATACTCAATTTTATAAAAAAATGATTAAAAGGATTCTCAACAAAAAATATTAGTAAAGCTAAGACAATTACTAATAAAAAATTAAAATAAAAGTATACTTGATTAGACCTTCCACTTCATTACTCTCAACAACTTCATTTTCTTTTTGTTTCTAAATTTAGAAGATCTGATATGAATTGGTTGTGTTACCACCAAGCTTCCAAATCCAGTATGGATTCTGGCATATCAGAGATAACTTGGATCTCATACACAGAAGCTAACACTCAGAATACGAACAAATTCTGATACAAGTCATTCAGTGATGATAGAGAGGATCTATAATATAAAAAAGTCTCAGGTGAAAGACTTTAAGATTTCAAAAGAGTCATTAGAAACCAAATAAATTTAAAATAATGCAAAATCATCCATATTCCCACCTAGAGTCTTAATGTTACGATGACACATAATTTTTCTCGAAATTCAGGAGGTTCATTTTTGGCGTAGCTACAGTATTTGATGGTGTACAGCATTCCAGAAAACATTTTGAAACATCAAAGCACCAAGGTCATCCTAAACGCTTCCAACTTAACAAAATACTCCAACCAAAAGAGGATATTACGCGCTGATAGAAAATCTAAGAACAAATGAAAAAAAATATTCGATTGTAAATGCTTTAAAGATGAACTATGCACAAGATGATGAGAGTCTCAAAATAAGAACCTGCTTTTTCCCTTGCCTGGCAAGACCTAGTTGACTCAGAACATCCTTGAGCTCTTTTATCCGAAAGTTAGACACTTTGCTCTGCTATATGCCAAACATATTAATACCTCTACTGAAAACACAAAATACCAGTCCACAAAAAATTTAATAAAGACTTTTCATAAAGAAAAAAAGGTCATTAGACAAAACATAAACTTAATCGTATGCTGATAACCTAATTTCAACCTCTCAATGAGATGATCTATCGCCTGGCAAGTATTCTACACAGAAGGTAATTCACAGAAACGTAGTCTTCAATAACTGTACTAGAAAGTAAAATGCACAGCATCTGATGTGCAGCTCATTTTTCAGAAAAAATCTCATGACAGCATGGCCTCATAAGCAAAGACTGAAATAAATTTATCATAACGTTATAAAATTCGAAATAAATGTGTGGTCATTTTCCTTAAAAATAAAACACAGAATGATCTATAATCTTAATTAAATGCTTACAAAAGAAAAATTAACAATAGGGCATGTGGACGTAAGAGAAAAAGATGTAGACACCGAACATGTACCACAAAAGAAACAAAAGATAAAAGAAAAAATAAGAAGTACGAACATAAAGAAGATTTTAAAACACATGATAGGTGTATATATCTCAAAACAAAGTAAAAGTGAAGCAGAAAACCTGAGGAGCCAAACTATGGCAAGCAAATAAACAATAGACTTAGGGTCTTTGATATATAACATATCAAATATTTTGCAGCCGTTCAGAAATTCTGCATTTTGTTTACTTTTTGGGCACTGTTTTCCTAGATAAATATTACATACCCACGTCCATCAATTTACTTTTTTCTCTCTCTTCTTCCGGACTTTTTTCATGGCGCACGGAAACCTTCGAGTGTTCTTCCATGAGCGTGAAATAAATCACAAAAAAAAAATAGTTTTATTCCTAGCTGGCTGGATAGGATTTTGGCATATCTTCTGATGTTGATGATAACCTTTGACGAAATGCTTTATCAAACTCGAGATTCAAAAGTCCCAAACTGGAGATTCAGAGTCCCCACTAGGCAGTCAATCAAAGACTTCACTAATCCTTAGGACCTTTCGAGAGCTACAAAATAGCCAACCCTAAAATGATCAAAATAAAACATAGCGCCCAACAAATGAATGTACTATCATGTACCCACTCGTGTATGGGTGTATATTCTGATTCACAATAGCACTTTACTAAAAAAAGCGAAGAAAAATCAAGGCATCAAACAACAAGCCCTTTGAAACAAGAATATTCAAAATGAAAACTTTCAGACGGTCAACAGAGCTTGAAACTGAATGAGGATTCCAAGAAGCGCAATCATCAGCATACCCTGCTAGCGGAGACCATATCCATGTGTTCTTTGATATACTGGACGAATTTTGATGATATGGAACCTCCAACGTCTAGGAGGCATGCATCGGTATCACTTTCTATCAGAATTCGATTGAAGCTGAGCACCTCCCGTTAGATGATAAATTATAAAACCAGAAGGCAGGATCCAATTCATAATATTTCCGCCAATTCCAACGAATCACGGTACAGAAAAAAGTGAGAGTTAGAAACAACAATTCTCCGTGGGGGAAGGCTATGCGATGCGATGCCTTCAAGAACGTATGGAGGCACCATACGCAAAGATTGAAACAAAAACCCTAGGAGGAACCAGACGACGGAAAGGGAGCGGAAGTCTCTCGAAGGAAGACATCAGCACTCTGCTGCCCCGCTTGTCCGTACTCTCCCTCCTGGTGGTGACTGGTTCATGTCCTCTTCGGCTTCTCTTCCCTGCCTTTTGCCGTTTTATAGGGCATACAGGTTTTCTTTTATTCACACCATCGCAGTAAGGCGGCAGGGACGGACGCGAATCCCTTGATTTGAATCCGGTTAATTATTCTACTCCAATCCGTTATCGCTCTCACGTCGGTCGCCACGTGTCAAGCGCCGTCCAGAAGCCCGTTCGTTAACAACGGTCAAGAAAAGTTACCTACGTCCCCAATAAATTTGTCATTGACTAAAAAACACATGACATCACTTTATTAGACATACATCCGTTTCTTAATCACGTGATGCTCACGTGATGGGGCCTCCTTGGACGGCTTAGTCGCCACAGTTTCGTATCAGACGGACAGAAGTTGGCCTCTCTCCTCTTCCCCCCTTCGCCGTCGCCGGCCGCCGCCCCGTTTACAGCCCGTTGAAGCTCTCCATATCGATCGAGGGAGGCTGAGGAGTTGTGGGCGCCTGAGGTGGGACGGTGTCTGCTGGGGAGAAATCCCTACCGGTGGAAAACCAGGACGAGGGGGGGATCATCGGAGAATCTGATAACGTGATGACAGTGTGAGCTTCCCGTTTGCCGTCGTGGCCCAGGTATTCACCATCCGGATGCGCAGTCTTCTCTTCAACGGAGGAGTATCTCGGAGATGGTGAGTTAACCATCTCTGTCTGCCCTAACTGTCCCCTTCCCGCTAAATTACCTCTCTCTGTCTGTTTCGCACCTTGGATTTTGTGGCACGAGGTATATCGAATGTCATGTCTGATCGGAATAAAGTCTTCATCGACCTACGTGCACGATAAAATCGGTTGCACCACGATCTATGCAGCGTGTTGGTCTGGGGCAGAGTCATATAAGTTACAGAGAGCCTGTGAAGGGTTTGTAAATTTCTGTTCGCATTCCATATGTTGAATGGGCTTTAATTGTCCCGAAAATCAGAGAGCCACAAGCCGGGTGGACTACTTAAGAAAGAAAATTTAGATGCAGTTTTAAGAAAGTATTCATGATCTTTTTTTTCAGGAAGATGGTAGTTTGCATCAATGAATTGATTAAGAACGTTATCCTTCCTTCTTGGTTGAAGTGACAATGCTAACCTTAGATGCCCATCAGCGAGGTTGAAATGAAGACAATATCCAAACTGGCTGTTACCACTTTCAATATCTGTGTGGATATCTGCTACTCGCTCAAATTATCTTGACCTCATCACAAACTTCATTTCTTTTCTATTTAAGCGTTTTACCTATCCTTTGATGTATCTGCCTATCTGATTCTTAGATTCCTATGACGATTTAGATTATATTGCCAATATTTATCGAATACCTTGTAAGTTTCAGCGTAAAGAGTGACTACGTGGATCTTCGGTGGAAGAGATATATCTTTAATGGTGTCGAAACAATGTCACTGCTCTCACTATGTGATACTTATTTTCCTCCTTTTTGTTAGTCCACAGAGTCCGATGGAACATATGATGTATTTTCTACGATGTTTCCCTTCACTTTAAACTCCATGTCATGCCCACTTCTCCATGCCCATGCAGGCTTCTCCCTTTATAGCCGGATTAGCAGTAGCTGCTGCTGCTCTCGCTGGTAGATACGGAATTCAAGCATGGAATGCATACAAGGCACGACCGGTTGTTCCTCGAATGCGCAAGTTTTATGAAGGGGGCTTTCAGTCCACAATGACGAGAAGGGAAGCTGCTCTTATTCTTGGTGTCCGGTAAGTCCAAGTCACAAACAGAAGAGAATGTAAAGCTACTCCATCTTTCTCGTTTTGTATCACAATAGCATTTAGCTAATGCGCTGACATCTGGCCGACCCTAGTAGATAGCTAGCAGCTCTCATTTCATGATCTTGGCAGTATTCAAATGTTTGTACAATTGGGGCATTGATCTGTCTGTGCGTGTAAGTCAGTGAGGAGAATGAAATCTGAACCACGGTTGAGTGGTGAAATTTTAACATCTCTACATAGATGATATACAGTCTTACAGAAAAGAATCTGGGAGAGTAATAGCAAATAGGGTATTTCTTGACGGAGCTGGTATAATCTCATATATAAAGGAGCTGGGAGAGGAGATAGAAAATTAAGTGCATGTTCTTGGGTCTCTGATACAAAGATGTAAGAAGGAATCCACTTGTGGAGTAAAATACAACTCATTGGGTCCTCTGGTGTTGGGCGGTTCATATTTAATCATTGGGAAGGGTTTTTTTATTATTATTATTATTTTATTTGAGGGCCGGGTTCTGAACTTTATCACTTATTATTTTCCTTTTAGTCTATTGAAATCCACACGAGGATGTTGCTCTGGGGATTAAACTCCCTTCCTCAAACATTTCAGTCGCCTTGCCTCTTTCCACTCTACTCTGAACTTTTCTCCACTCTAATTGTTGTGCACCTTCCTGCAATAAAATATACCTCAAAGCTCTTTCTACGTATTTATTTCACTGTGGTCTATGAATATGTATAATGAACGAGAAATGAAACTGCAGACCAATCCAGAATATTTTCTCCACATTTTTGTACAGGTTATGGTGCCTTTCGAAAAGTTCGAAACTTCAGAAGTTACTAAAATAGTGCCATTTGCCCTGTCTATAATCGCCTCATTGACAGCTTCAAGGCCCAGCCCTATTAGCCACTGCCTGCTGATCTGATTTCAGCTCAGACTGTCTGAGCATATTTTATCATCTGCTGGTCTTGAGATCGCATCTTTGTTGTCTTCACAGGGTTTGACTTTATTATTGCCTTGTGGGTTGACCTTTTCACATATAATCAGGGAAAATGTCAGCGCTGAGAAGGTAAGAGAGGCGCACAGGAGGGTGATGGTGGCCAACCATCCGGACGCAGGGGGAAGCCATTATCTGGCCTCCAAGATCAACGAGGCTAAGGATCTGCTGCTTGGGAAGACCAAGGGCGGGGGCTCCGCCTTCTGATTCGCTCCTCCTCCTGCCGATGGCTCTCCACGCCCTCTTGATGAATTCCTAATTTCTGATTTACCCCTTGTTGAAAAACACCAGGCTTTGCCCATTCTCTTCAGAGGAACCGTTAGAGAGTAGCACTTTTATAAACATGCCCCTGCATGCGGGCTATTGCCCAAATTCGGTATAAAAGGAAAGTAGGAGGAGGTGGGTCTGGGCCATAAAATCAACAGTTGGGCCGGCCCACTTAATCAAATTTATTGGGTCCACATAATTTAGGTGAAAAGCTGCCGTCCCTCGTACTCGGCGAGGTAAGATCGAATCAGCCGACGCCGCCGCGCCGCTGCGCCGCTACCCCCTAGAGAGAGAAAAGAGAGAGAGGAGAGAAGATAGGGAGAAGACAAGACAGAGGGAGAAGAGAGACAAGAGTCGAGAGAGAGACAGAGAGAGACAGAGAGAGAGAGAGATAGGAGGGGGAGAGAAACGGCCGAGGTGGCGGCGGCGGTGTGGAGCGGAGAAAACGCTGGAAAGCAACGTGATTTTGCTATTAGGATGGGGACGCCGACGGTGGGGCCCGGCAGTTGTTGGGGGAGGGTTTATTTATAGGCAAAGGGCCCCCCACCATGGCTGCTGTAGGTCCCTTGTAGGGGAACCAGCTGTCATCCCCCCATCTACTTGTGGACGGCCCCCTCCCAGTTTCTTCCTAGATCTACGACGACCTCTCTCTCTCTCTCTCTCTCTATCTCTCTCTCTCTCCTCTCTCCCATCCTCCTACCGTGGTGGGGAAGGCAGTTTTGTGGGGAGGATAGAGATCAGACACCGCGATCTGGCCCGAGCTACCCGATCCCGTCGCAAAGTTTCGGGGAAGGAAATGCAGCTTCACTGGGAGTGAGAAAGGGTTTGGGAGATCCTCAGATCGGCGTGCCAGTCCGCCGTTGTTTCTCTCTACCAGGTACGTGAATTCTCTGTACGCTTACGCTTTGTTCTTTCGGAGTAATGGGGCAGGGACATGAGTTCTGCCTGTATGTTTATCTTCCTCTCCTGGAAGATCCAAGAGGATTAGAGGTTTTTCCTGCGTCCTCCTTGATTTATTTTTCATTTTATCCGAGTGGATGAGATCTTTGGTGTGTCAGTCCTGTGGCGCTTCAAAGATGGATTCCAACTTGTTCTATTTGTTTTTGGTTGTCCTGCATTGGGCCACTGCATCCTTTTATGCCAGGAAACCCGTCGGGATACTTCCTCCCCTCCCCCCCCCCCCTCCCCCCCCTAATTTGTCTCCTCCTTTCTTAACATGGTATGGGGTTTCCTGAATTATCCGTTTTGTGTGCTTCTATTGCTGAATGTGGGAACTGATATAAAGGGAGGAATGCCATAGAAGGAAAATATGGGAAAGAAAGGGAAGTGGCTCGGTGCTGTCAAGAAGGTCTTCAGCCCTGAATCAAAGGAGAAGAGCGATCAGGTTCACTATGCTTTCTAATCTTTTTTTATTTTTTGTTTAATCTGTATTACTTCATTTTATCTGCAGTGATCTCTCTCTCTGATATGAGTTCTCACATTTATCAATTGGTTTCTGTCAGAAAACCCACAAATCCGAGAAGAAATGGAGTTTTGGGAAATCAAAGCAGCCGGAGTCGGATTCTTCCCCTTTGGAAGCATCTGAGGCTCCTGTTGCAGATCCTCCGCCTCCAATTTCTCATGATGAAGCCAAGCAGACAGAGGGGGAGAGCAACCGTGCGCAGTCTGTTGAACTCACTACCGTAGAAGTATCTGAGCCTGCTGAGGTAGCCACCGAGGCATCTGCTGTGGTTGTTCCTCTCACGGGAGATGCCAGAAGGTTCCCCGGCAGGTCAACTGAAGAGATTGCGGCGATCAAGATCCAGACGGCATTCAGAGGATATCTGGTACAGTTTACACCCTAGTTTAGCTTTTGGAAAAGCATCCTTGAATGCATCTCAGTCCCATTTGGGAATCTTGCGAATAAGCAATAGGCTCTTGATCACTTGCAGAAAAAAAACTCATCCATCTTAAAGCATCACTCATCACCATTCTTCTGTGATTCTGCTCCTAATTTATGATGATTCCATGAATCAGAGGCCCACTCTTGATGATCATGCTCTTGACTATATTTGTTAACTGGGATCTGGCCTCCCCATGGTGCTCTGGTCATGCCTAACCACTCAAAGAATGAATGTGATGTCCATCCTGTTCCAGAAAATCCTTCATCGTAATCACCTTTCCGCAAAAGCTTACCTCTTCTCCATCATTTTAAGCTGAAGTTGACCTTCTCCTTCTTTCCTCAGAGCCATTAGTAGGCTCATCCAATCCGGGGCAGGGAAAGAGTTGGCGCCTTATGAGCCTAAAAAAATGGTAGCCAACTTGAATGTTCCTAAGCTCAACCATGTGGCATAAACAGTTATAGTTGCATTGATTTTCCTGGCAAGCGGAGGCTAGTTCTTGACCTTCCCATTTGGTCTGCACTTACCTTGTTCAACCCTCAGGCAAGGAGAGCATTGCGAGCATTGAAAGGATTGGTCAGGTTGAAGTCACTTTTGCACAGCAATGCTGTCAAGCGTCAATCTGCAGCCACATTACGCTGTATGCAGACTCTCTCTAAAGTCCAATCTCAGATCCGCACCACGAGGATCAGGATGACAGAGGAGAACCAGGCTCTCCAGAGACAGTTGCAGCTGAAGCGTGAGAAAGAGCTTGAGGCTTTAAGGGCATCTGTAAGTCGCCTTCTATTCGCTTATTATATTTATGGCATGTGGACTGTGGGCCTTCTATTCGCTTATAATCTGAAGCTGCTTCCAAGCCTGTAGGAACTTTCACTAGTCGTTAGATTTATTTCTGTCAAGTCCTAATATGCCGCAACTTTGGTTTCTGATGGGTGTAAACCAATCCAAGCATGAACACAGTTTCATTAATAGTTCGTTGAGATCTTTTTACCACAGACCGGTGAAATAGATTGTGGCTATTCTGAGAACCCTGCGTCTGACTTTTGCAACAGATGGGAGAGGACTGGGATGACAGTCTGCAGTCCAAAGAGCAGCTCGAAGCAAGTTTATTGAACAAGCACGAGGCCGCCATAAGAAGAGAAAGGGCACTGGCATACGCGTTTTCTCGCCAGGTACAAGGGGATGCATTTTCTCTCTCTAAATCTCATAGCTGATGTAGTTAGTTTGCTATTTCGTCCAAGTTTACCCACCCCACCTTCAGTGGATACAAATGGAAAATTTTCTTGACTTTTGTTGGGCAGTGGAAGAACTCATCGAGGTCGGTGAACACGCTGTTTACCGACCCGAGCAATCCACACTGGGGTTGGAGCTGGTTAGAACGCTGGATGGCAGCCAAATCCTGGGAGACACGGAGCACAGCGGGGAAAGAGCTCAACAACGACAACGCCTCCATTAAAAGTGCTTCTACCCGCATTGCCGTTGATGGAGAAGCGAAGAAGCCTCTCCCTCACAGAGACATCAATCTCGACAAGCCCTCACCCACCACGGCCCAGAGACTGAACAAACCGCTCAGCCGCCAGTCCCCCTCCACTCCGCTCTCCAAGGCCTCCTCTTTTGCGGGGAAGATCAAGCCGCCCAGCCCAGGCGGGGCCCATGGGCCCGCAGAAGATGACGCCAGGAGCCAGGTCAGCATCCATTCAGAGAGGGCTCGTCGTCACAGCATAGCTGGGTCCTCGGTGAGGGACGATGAGAGCCTGGGGGGCTCCCCTGCCATCCCCAGCTACATGGCTGCCACACAGTCAGCAAGGGCCAAGCTGCAGTCACAGAGCCCGTTGACCGAGAGGCTCGAAACTCCTGAGAAGGCGTCTCTGGGCTCGGCGAAGAAACGACTCTCGTTCTCTTCTAGGGATAAGAAAAACTCCTCACCGGCTATAGCAAGGCGCCACTCGGGGCCCCCGAAGGTAGACCTCAGCTCAGTGAGGGCCCCACCCCTCCCCTCCTGAGCTCCCCTGAAAGAGCCATGAATCTCTCTCCTGCTTCTCATTTGGCAGCCAATTCATTTATTCCGCGGATTTATCATTATGTAATTTTATTTTTTTTCCTACTTTGGATGTTATTTTACGTGTTTTCTATCACTCTGTTCCTTCTCTTATTGGTAATGCCAGGTTGTTGCGAATGTAAGCTGTTTGGACAGATCCTGTTTATAATGTGTTGATGCGAATCTGAGCTTCTGCAACTCTTCCATTTTATGATTTCTGTGAAATCAGTGTTTTTAATCCTGTTTGCCTGGTCGGCGTTGACTTTTAGGTTGTTGGAATTTTCTTGAAAATTATTGAGTATTACTGGAGAAGAATCTGTAATTCTTTCCTTTAAGAAGTTCAGAGAGAGATGGAGAGAGAGAGAGAGAGAGAGAGAGAGAGAGCTTCAATAGCCACAAATAGTCAACTTCTGGAGAAAAGTCAAATGAAAAAGACTCCGAAAATATCTCTGACTACAATCATTGAACAATCCTGTAGTCGAAGAAGATCTCACTAGTAGAGTGATGCTTCAAAATAATGCTGTGATTGGTTTACTAGCAGTTGACTCGGACCACCTCGTGAACACGAGCTTCCAGGTTATGCGAGGGAGAAAGATGGGTTGATCGGTACCCTGGAAACAGAAATGTCCCAAGTATCTGACTTTTGACCGTGAACTCCCAAAATAACCCATATAAGCTGCCATTTATAAATAAAATATGTGCAATATATATATATATACTTTTTACAATATCCACCCATTATATATATAATCACGTCTGCTGTAGATCTCCCCTATTTTGTCATATATTATTATATAATAATATAAACAAATCGAAAAGAGAGAGAGAGAGAGAGAGAGAGAGAGAGAGGTGAATAAGAAAGTTATATCAGAAGCACGTGCAAAAATCCCTAGGACAAAAGGTGAAGGTGGAGGATATATTTCATGGAAAATAAACGTGGAAATTGAAAGAAAAAAAGGTACATCAGATCATAGCGCACGCCCAATAACAGACAGTGACCACATTTCACATGAATTAATAATAACTCAATTCGGGCAAAAAACGTCACAAAGGTAACGCGTAAATCCTAATCTAAAAAGTCAAAAATTTCCTTAAATGGGGGAAGACTCCCCATTTTCTTGAAGAACAACGAAAAACCCCAATTCTCATTTGCTGGCGTCACATTCCGTACTTCCACATAGTCAACAAAGTCAAATCCGACGTGGAAATAGGGAGGTTACGATTTTGAAGAAGAAAAACCGGTGTCAGACAGACATCCGTCCCCGCCCACCGCCCCCCTCCTCCCCCGAGATGACGTCATATATTCATGCCTTATCCGGAGGCGCCTCGAAGCAACGGCAAAAAGATCCTTCTTCTCTGCCCGTGTGGGGGAACACGATAAGACTATACTTTTCCGTCGGCGTCAGAGGAGAGGAGAAGAAACTGTTCCAACATAACTAATCGTCTCCCTCCACCACTCCTCCCGCCGCAGCTCCGCCGCCCCTCGCCGACGGCCGCCACGTTCTCCCTCATCAGCTCCTCTCCGAGCTTATCCACTCTTCGTCTTCTTCTCGACTCCCACCCTGTTCCTCTCGCTTCGGCTGGAATTCTCTGTGTCTTCTTCTCTCCATGGCCGCTTGCCATTGAGGTTCCTGCGGCAGGGGGAGGGGGGAGGATGTCTCCCCTCAAGAATCTCTCTGGTCCTGAACCTTGCCTAGGGCTGTGAGATTGGTTGGTCTGCTGGTCGCCATGCAGGATCCCTTGGAGTCCTTCTTCAACTCGATGCGCGCCGCTGAGTGCGGCTTCAGACGGGCCGTGAAGGATGTTGAATTCCAGTGGCGGGCTCCCCGTCGGGGCGGCCATCGCGTAGGTTTCTTCAGTCAACGGAAGGAGGTGCCTCAGTTGGCGGAGGAGGCAGAACAGGGCTGGGATATGACTGTTCCCGCCGAGGAGGTGACCGGGAAATGGTCACTCGCTGTTTTCTCTGCTCCGATCGAATCTCTACCGTGGAGAAACGTCCGTAGGAGCGAGGAGACGAAGAGGGCGCCGACACGGGGTGATGTTTCAGGGGAGGACAGTGGCTGGTGCTCGTTCTGCGTGGAACTTCCGGCGGCGCTGTCTTTCTTCCTCGACGGGTTTCAATTACCGAGAAAACACGTCCGGAAGCGCTCTGCCATGGAAGACGGCCATCGGCATCATCTTGGCTTAAGAGCCAATGGCGAAGGTTCAGATGGGAAGTGTAGTGTGGATAATCGGCATAAAAGGAAACCAGTAACTCCAGGATTCCTGACGAGCTGGCTGCTCGAGAATTTGCTGCGGAAGCTTTATATGCTCGATCAGAACATCCAAGATGGTGGGGCTAAGCCCTCCGGGACACCAGCTTCTTCGGAGCCTCTTCCAGATGATCATCTGAAGATAATAACAGGCATTATAGAACGGAAAAAGTCGGATGTGGGCGGCTTCCTGTCGCACATGAGTTTTGCCAGAGTCGGAGGACTGCCGGCGACCCTTGCCGGATTTACCGTTCCTATCAAGGGTGTGGCTCGGCATCATCCCTCCAACAGCGGAAGGGATGAACCAGAGACCAATTCGGTGCAAAAGCTCACGCGTGAACTGTTAAGCATCCCCTTGTCGAACGTTGAGCGCTGGCTATCCACAGTCTCCACTGTTTCTCTGGCGGGGCTCGTAGAGTTTCTGCCCCAATTGAGGCGATCCTCTAGGGAACATCCCGACAAGAAGAAGCTAATATCCGTTCAGGACTTTTTCAGGTACACGGAGACGGAAGGTATGGCAATTACTTCTGTCGTATGCTCTCAGTGCATTTGGAAGATAACAAGAATTTAACAGTTTCATTGTTCTACGATATCTTCTGTATGGTAATCTTGTTGAATTATTAGCCCCTGCTTTTCAACTTTCTTCATGTTTGTTGACTTTTGATTCAGAAAATGCATGTGCGCATGTTTTCTTCCATTCTGTTCCCTGTGATCAATGCTCTATATTAGCTTTTTTGCCTGGGCCTACTTTGCTTGAAAGACACTATTTTTTCCTCGTCATGAGATATCTTACGGACTAATCTTAGTAGATTAAGCCTGCTGATGCTTACATGATATAAAGCTTTCAACCTTCATGGTGTATGTCTTCGAGGAAGATATTATATTTTATCGTCATTATTTTTCTTTCAGAGAATGGGATGAAGAAACAATGTCAGATTATGTTTGTCTCCAGTAATTCAACCTCATGACAGTATGTTAGGATAAACCTAAAGGGTGACGAGATAAAACTATTATCCTACCCGTTCGAAAGGTCCTTTAAAATCCATGATCTTGATCACACATATTACATTGAGCGAATGGCATCGTAAAGAATTTTTTTTGAAATTTATAAGGAAAGCATTTTTTCTTCAGGTTCCTCTGTTATCTTCATATAAGATTAGTGCGAGGGTGACATTTTGAACAGCATCTTATTCTTTTATTTAGCTTGTGCATTTTTTAGTTAAATTGTTGTATTATAAACTCATAATTCGCTTGACGGAAGTTTGGGGGGGGGAATACGAAGAGGTCCGCTTGAGCATGAAACTAGTAAACCTATATTATTATCATATTCAATAAAATAAAATAATTAAGTAATAATGATCTTTGAAGTGCCAACTATAATGTCACTGTTCTATTCATGTCAGAATGGGACTCAACCTCTTTTTGTATCATTTTCTCTTTCGCTGATTGTAATTACATGACGACAGGAAGACGATTCTTTGAGGAATTGGATAGGGACGGTGATGGGCAAGTAACACTTGAAGATCTAGAGATTGCCATGAGAAAGAGAAGGCTCCCTCAGAAATATGCTCGGGAATTCTTGCGACAGACCAGAAGCCACATGTTTTCAAAGTCAATTAAATGGAAGCAGTTTCTGTCTCTACTGGAACAGGAGGAGGCCACCATCCTCCGAGCCTATACTACCCTTTGCTTGAGCAAGTCGGGGACATTAGAAAAAAGTCAGATTATGACCACACTTAAAAGCGCAGGACTTCCTGCCAATGAAGACTCTGCTGTTGCCATGATGCGCTATTTGAATCCAGACACTCACGGGTCAATCTCCTACAGCCATTTTCGAAATTTCATGCTTCTTCTTCCCTCAGAGCGCCTTGAAGACGACCCTAGGTAAATGGTATTTCTTGACCGGCTAACTTGCATCATTCATTTCTAATGTCTTACCAATGGCAGTATTCCTATATGTTGAGATGTATTCGTAAATATTCTGATCCGTGGAATTTTATTTTGTCTATTTTATTACTTTAATAATACGCCAATGGCTTCGAATTATGTAGTATTGTTTTTATCATAAGGCTACACTGTAAGTGTGATTATTTTTGAAGTCTTAGTTCAACTGACTGTATTAATAAATAAATTTTGATCCATAAAGAGTATTTCTCCTCAGAACCAGTTCATACCTGCTATTATTTTCATTTCTAGTCTCTATAATTATTTTTCTTACTGTTATTTTTCTCTGTATTTCTAAGGGACAATTAGCTATCTCGATTCCTCTCACTTCATAGGTAGCCGTTGGATTCCAGAAATTTAACCATTAATTACGTTCTAATATAGTTGAAACAGTCTTATCTGAAGTCAGGCAGTCATGGGTATGTTTAACGGTTTTCTTTCACGGAGATTAATTTCTAGCGCATCGAATTTTCACCTACAGGAACGTCTGGTTTGAAGCTGCGACGGTGGTTTCTGTCCCCCCTCCCATGGCGATTCGTGCTGAAAGTGTATTGAAGTCTGCTTTAGCAGGTGGACTCGCTTCTGCGCTTTCAACTTCCCTACTGTACCCTGTGGACACTATGAAGGCAAGCCTCCCCGTTTTTTACCCTGGTTCCCGTACTTCTTCTATTTTATTTTCTAATTATGCAAGGCAGAACAGATTGACGAAATAAGAGAGGAAAAGGCATTTTATTTTCTAATTCTGTCACGCTATTTGGATCACTGATTAGCTTGTATCTCGAGGAAGCCATTTATTTTGGTATTCTAATCTTTTATCTCGTATGTCAGTTTTTGTCAAAAGTATCATATCAAGGCATAGTTTCTAGCTTTGAAAAACCAAATCTCCTGCTGAAGTAAGATCATCCGAGTCTCTGTCAAATCTACCAGTACTGGAACTTTCCAAATACCTGTTCTAGAAATCAGCTCGGTTGCTACTTCTCCACACCCACTTTGTAGGCGTTGATGGTTTCCATTGATGTTCTATGGGGAGGTCTTGATGGACAATACGAGATATGAACGCTTTAGATTATAAGGACTAGTAATAGTGACAGATCTAATGTGCCATTTAATGTTAGATCTTCTGTCTCAAGCTCTCTGTTGAGTGTCTTCATGCGTATTGAGTGTTAGATTTTCTGGCCGGCGGTTAAGGTGACATGATGTTAAAATATCAGACGAGGGTACAAGCATCGACTCTCTCATTCCCAGAACTCGTTTCAAGGCTTCCACAAATTGGGCTACGAGGGTTATACAGAGGCTCTGTGCCAGCTATTCTTGGGCAATTCTCAAGGTCTTCTTCTTCTGTAGCATCGACTAATTTTCTATATTTGGTGGCATAAATTCACGTGGCTGAATCCTTTTCTGCTTATGATGGCAACAGCCACGGGCTACGGACGGGGATCCTTGAAGCAAGCAAGCTTCTGTTGATAAATGTTGCCCCTTCACTTCCAGAAATTCAGGTGATAATCGTGCCTTAAGTTGCTGTTCTAATTCTCTGACTACAGGTTTGCTTTATTATGTGCGCATTTTCTTCCCTAATTGGATTCAAGATAAGTTGACTTCTATTTTTAGTTAATTTTCTTTAAGAATAACCAAAGAATCTGCGTTTTCTTGGGGAAAAAATCGATTCTTTCACTCTTGTTCATCTGACCCAAATGCGATAATCTGAAACTTTATTCACAGTTTTTTTCCCTGTTAAATACGTTTTCATTAAATAAATTGGTCTCTAGACGGCTTCATATAATCACTGCTTAATCATTGAATCTGCCCGACTTTCTTTTTAAAAACATTTAGCAATTTATTACCCTGTATAAATTACGTCTTTTATTTTATTAAGTTCTATTTTTTCCCCAAATTCCCTCCTGAACAAATTTTCGAGATTTTTTTTTAAGTACCAAATAATTAAATCTGTTAATCATCAGACCTCTTAAAATTAATTAATTTATTCAAACTCTGGCACTGGCCAGATGTCTGTGGCTCATTCTGTCTCGGCCATAAAAACTGATAGCTGAGAGGAAATCTGTGCGGTGTGTGTCACAGGTGCAGTCCCTAGCGTCCTTCGGCAGCACCGTCCTTGGAACGGCGGTGAGGATTCCGTGCGAGGTTCTGAAGCAAAGGCTGCAGGCCGGCCTCTTCGACAACGCCGGCGAGGCCATCCTCGGCACCCTCCACCGAGACGGCCTCGGTGGCTTCTTCCGCGGCACCACCGCCACCCTCTGCCGGGAGGTCCCTTTCTACGTCGCCGGCGTCGGCTTCTACACCGAAGCCAAGAAGGTCTTTCTCTCTGTCTCTTTCTCTCTCTCGGTGGGCTGGGTTAAGTGGATAACTCAAAATCCCAATGGCTTTGATTTGTTCGTACCATTCTGTCATCTATCACTTGCAGGGTCGGTTTGTGAGTCACCCAAACTCTCTCTCTCTCTCGCTGTCTGTCTTTATTGAATCTCGGATGGTCTTTCTGATGGGTTCAGGCGACTCAGAAGATGCTGGAACGTGAGCTGGAGCCGTGGGAGACGATCGCCCTGGGGGCTCTCTCCGGCGGGCTCGCCGCCGTGGTGACGACGCCCTTCGACGTGATGAAGACGAAGATGATGACGGCCCCCGAGGGGCTTCCCCTCTCCATGTCCGCCGTGGCCCTCGCCGTCCTCCGCCACGAGGGCCCTCTCGGCCTCTTCAAGGGGGCCGTCCCCCGCTTCTTCTGGATCGCCCCCCTCGGCGCCATGAACTTCGCCGGCTACGAGCTCGCGAGGAAGGCCATGGACAAGTCCTGAAGGAGAGGAGATGACTCCCCATAAGATACAGCAAGCTCCCCCCTCATCCCACGTTCTCTGTGGGTTTTTTCTATCATTTTCGAAGATTTCTATTCTATCAAATCCACGTTCTTGGGCCGGCCTTCAACCCTTCACTTTTTTCGCGGACAGGAAGGTTTTGTACATGTCCCCCCCTCCCCCATTAAAGCAAGCATGAGAGAGGTTACTGTCATCTCTCTCTCTCTCTCTCTCTCTCTCTCTCTCTCTCTCTCTTTCTCTCTCTCTCTGTCAATCTACAGAACACAAGTTTCATAGAAATAGTAGTAGCACCATACCCCATGCTGAACACCCTTTTCCAAGTCTGTAAAAACCGAAGCAAAAGCATCACTGGTAGCTGCACCTAGAACTGGAACCTGCTGGGGTGGCTCTTGGTCATCCGGGCCACCCCGAAGCCCACGCCGCTGTCATACCTGCGGTTGTTCCTGACCGCCACACAGGCTAGGACGTAGAGGATGACGAGGAAGACGATCACCACGATGTTGATGAGGACGACCCTCCTCCAGCTTCTCTTCAGCATGGCCGCCACGCCGGCCCTGCAAGAGTCGCAGTCGTAGCAGAGCTCCTCCTGGTTGTTGCTCCACCTCCTGCAGTCGACGTCCGCCGCAGCCACCGCCAACGCGCCGCCGCCGGTATCCCACACCGTCTCGTTCACGTACACGAACCCGCAAGCCGTCGGCGGCTTGCAGCAACCCGACTGAACAGCCCAAATAAAATCCTTAAAACTCCGCTGGGCATTGGATAAGTCATAAGCCGGGATATATAATATGTTATTCTCGGCTTATCCTCTCTCTCCCGTAGAATACAGATACGGTCGGCGTAAGTCAACGTCAACCGGGTTATTGCCACGAGGAAAGGGGCTCCATGGTGATGAACGGCCCCTAACAACTCTGGCAGGCCCCATATCAGAGCAGCCATGGCGAATCCTCTCTACTCTCTTCTCCTTCTTCTCCTCCTACCCTATCGTGATGAGGAGGAGAAGGGAAATGGGCTGAAAAACGCGGCCTTTCTTGTTCCTAGCTAACGATGGTTAAAAACAGTATAATCGTTCGGGAGAAGCGCAGAGATTACCTCGATGGGGGAGAGGTTACGAGTGTAGAAGAACTCGGCCGGCGCCGGCGCCAACGTGCCGCCGGTGATGGCGACGTAGCGGCCGATCTTCCGGCAGACCTTCGTTTCCTGCACGCAGGATCTGATCTTCCCCCAGTACCCGGAGTTAGAGACGCGTTCCCTGAGCCAGTCGGAGTAGTCGGAGAGTTGATACTCTAGGAAGGTCCTTCCGGGCACCTGCTTCCCCTCGCCCTGGTTGGTGACGACGAAGGCAAAGATGGTGAATCCGATGAGGACGGCGATGACGATGAACATGGCGAAGAGGTAGAACTGGAGCAACCAGCTCATGTAGCAGCAGGCCCCTGCGAAGCCCGCAAGGGAGATAATCATGAGGGCGATCCCGATGATGATGATCGGCCACTGGAGGAACTTCAAGCAGTCGGTGGTCGCCTTCGTGCTCAGCCATATCCCCGCTCCCAGTATGGGAATCGATACCAGGAAGGTCAAGAAGTTTATCCCCCCCACCACCGCGTTGCTCCCTCTCACCATCTTCTTCCTCCCCTCTCTCTCTCTCTTTCTCTCTCTTTCTCTCTCTTTCTCTCTGTGAGATCCTTCGCTGGCTATATGAGGGGAGACTGGCTGACGGGACTTTTTTTTTCCTTCAGTTTACAGGCGGTGGAGCCCTCTGATGTAGTTTCCGGGCAAAGACAAGGTACCCAGTTGCTAAACGACGCCCCCCTTCTTAGAAGGCCGGTGGCTCTCTGGCGGAGACCTGGGCGGCGCTATCGCCGCGGTGATCCCGACCCACCGCCACCGGGCCCATGACCGCGCTAACCTTCTTAACTAACCAAGTCAACGATGTTTGAGTCAAATACTATTTTTTTAATAGAATTTATGGATTGATCAGAAGTTGAAGCATGGTTAGAGAGGAGGAGGTGGGGTGGGCCCCTACTGGTCTGCATTTTTCTTACGTGGTTTCTCTGTAAGGAAACACGTCAGGACCCACGACGGCGTGAGTCTGACGTTGACCTTTCCAAGGAAGCTGCCGGATTCTCTACGCTAAAGCGGATCTGGAAGGGACAGGAATTATTGGGGAAAGGTCGGTAGGAAAAAAGGAGATTCGGATCCTCCGTTTATCCTCGATACCCGTGGCATTTTCACGTTCCCACACCTGGCTGCAAGATAGGCCTCATTTTCTCTACGTGTAGATGGGCCAGAAAGTGGCCCATTAAGACACCAAAGCAGGAGGAGACGTGTCCTCCTCCTTCCTCCTCTCTCTGCTTCCCGCCACGTTTTCGTTCTCGCGTAGGAACAGATGGACTCTCCGACTCGACGCCACCGTCCTAAATTCCTCCCATTCCTGCGCTTCTCTCCGCCTCTTGCATTTCCTCGTTCTTTGCATCTCGAACAGCGGAGTCGCCGGAGATGGGATCGGAGACGTTCCTGGAGGTGATCCTGGCCATTCTCCTCCCGCCGGTGGGAGTCTTCCTTCGATACGGCTGCGGAGTAAGTTTCCTCCCTCGCGCATCTACGCCGCCGGTGGCGGCGATCTTCGATTTCTCTGCTTTTCCCCCCCTGATCCGGCACGTGTCGCAGGCGGAGTTCTGGATCGATCTGCTGCTGACAATCCTCGGATACATCCCGGGGATCATCTACGCCATATTCGTGCTGGTCGGATAGATCGCAGATCGGTGTCCATTCGTTCGTTTGCTCATGTATTTGTAGATCGATCTTCGTTTCCAGAGGCGCGTGTTCGAGCATTCCTTGTATGTCTTCAGCGCGTTAGGGTTTACCTTCTCCCTCAGCTACATGTCATGTTACTGTGGATTCCTCAGAGACAATCTCATCCTTCTGATCGATCCTGAGGCTCGCACATGGATAATTTCTCAGTAGATTCATACTCTTCACGTATTCATGCCTCAGATCCGAATCATACACGCGCTTCATTAAATGACCGATCAGATCCATATCAAGTATCGTCGCTTTCTAACTTTCTTCTTCCAAGAAACTCCTCTTCCATCGATCAGGGATGAAGACAAATGGCACATTATCCGATGATCCGAAACAAGCGAACATTAATCCAGAGTTACTGTTCATAGGAGATGATGCAATGGAGCTGTATGACAGATCAGATAATCTCTGGGACCGGCAGGAGATTTTTTTCTCAGGTGACGAGGGGCCACGGAAAGAAAAGCTCGATGCACGTGAAGCCTGCGGCAGCCTTGCATGGTACGTCTATATCAGACCTAAAAGCTACCCCATCCCCACTTTCTAGCTAGCTGTGATCAGTGAAGGCACAAACCGACCAGCTTAATAACTTCCACTGTTCCCGACAGTACATGGTGCAAGTTCCGACATGAATGGAAAACTGCTGCATACGAACGCGAGCGAGACTCTCCTCGTCAGCTTGCCAGCCGCTCTTCCATCGAAGATCATCCTGTAAATGAGAGGGAACACGTGAAGATCTGTGAGACAAAAGACGGAAGAAGAAAGAGATTTGAGGGCCGCCGAACCAGGTAGAGCTCAACCATCGGCTACTTCTGGGACTTCTTCCAGAAACCCCCGAGCTTCCTCATGACGGTGGTGTTCTTCCTCTTGGGGGATCCCTCGTCCACGTCGTCGTCGTCGTAGGGCGAGCTCATTAGCTTCGAGCCGAGTTGGGGGTAGCCCGAGTCGATGGACCCGGTGCGTTCCATCATTTTCCCGTGGCTGCCGGCGGAAAGAATCGCCGCCGCCGCTTCCGCTGCCTTCCTCCACTGCTCCGATTGAATCCTCAGCCTCCTCAGCTCATCCTCCATCTCCCGATGCGCGGGCTGGGCAACCCTTCTCCCTCCTTCCTCCTCCTTCCTCATCTCCGCCCTCAGCAGATCGTTCTCTCTGGAAATCCGCTGAAGCTGAGCTTCGATCTCCGATCCCGACCCGTTCAACTCAGAGACCCTTCTCAACTCGGCCTCCTTCTCCCTTAAAGCCGCCGTCAACTCCGTCTCCTTCTCCTCCGAATCGGCCCTGACTCGCTCCGCCAACTCGCGGGAAGACCAGAGCTCCGCCGTGCTCTGGACCTGCCCCTCCAAGAACATCATCTCCGCCGCTTCCAGCGCAGACTTCAACCGCTCCACCTCCGAAGCCAAGCAACTCGTCTCCACCACCGAGTCGGCCCGAGACCGCCGCAACGCTTCCAACTCGGCGCTGAGCGTCTCTATGGTCCCTCTGTACTTCGCTTCCATCCTCTCCCAGTCTTCCTGCTCGGCCCTGAGCGTCTCCATGAGGGAGACGGTCTCCACCATGTCCTCCTTCAACGAGTGCAGCTCCGAGTGGGCCAACTCGGCCTGCTTCACCTGGGCCGACTCGTTACTCACCACCATCTCCATCTGCAACTTCAGCTTCTGGATCTCGTTCATGGCGGAGGCGAGTGCGGCCGAGTCGACCGAGCTCTGCCTCTGGACGGCCTCAAGCTCGGACTGCCACGCTCGGTCCCGCTCCTGAGACAGCTTCCGGAGTTCTTGGATCCTCTCGTCCTCAGAGACAGAGAGCTCCAGCATCTCCCGCTTGGTCTCGTCGAGCTTGGAAGCCATGGCCAGGCACTGCTTCTTGGCCTCCTCTGCTTCCTGGAGGGCGCGCCTCTTGCATGACTCCGCCGAGCTGAGCAGGTCCTTGGTCTTCTTCAGGTCCAGCTGGGCCTGGACCAGCTGGGACTCTAAATCCGAAACCCTACTGGTTCTCTTCTTCTGGAGCTATTAGAGGGGAGGGAAATCGTCAAGCTCCATCACAAGAACCTTAGGAAGAGAAACGAAAAATACGATGATTACTTCAAAGGGAAAACCTGAATCCTCATGGGTTCGAAGAAAGGTCAACTTTTGAGCTAAATTTATCAAATGCAAAGACATTTGAACGATAAAAAGTTGAAAAAATATGTACAGAGAATTCGAAACGATAAATTCAGCTCAAAAGTCAACTCTTCTTGAGACCCATGAGGAGTTCAACCGTCGAAAATCTCAAAATTTCTAGCGTCACGAACCTCAGATGCAGGGCTTCTCGGTGATCTCCTCTCAACAAGTTTGGGACTTCCTTCGGTCGGAGTCCTCACCAGAGAGTTCATGGAGGCAGCTGAGCCAGACTCAGACCCCGCAACCTTGGCCTGACGTGTAGACCGCGGGGTGATAGGGGAGGTCTTCTGAGGCATGTCAGAGGACCCGCTCCTGCTCCAGAAAAACGAAGGAAATGAAAACCAGAGGCCTCGTTCAAGGTGGTCAGCGTGTATAAGCTGGTACGGTCGAGCTGAATTCCATTCATCAATCCCTAAATGGGGAGCCCAACACTCGTGCATGTCCACATCAATCATAATTTGCAGGGAAAAAAAAATTAATGGTTCACCGTCTAACCAGATGATGCATTATTTCTTCACACAAGTAATACAAAAACCCTAAAAATATCCAAAGGCCAGCTCACATATCAAAAGCTAGTTCCCCAAACCATGGTTTTCTCAATGGCTACGCAGAGTTCCTACAATCGTTCATGGAAACCAGGAGGTAGATGGATATGAAGAATTTATACGGCTAGATAAGTCACTATTTTTTTTTTTAAATGTCCATTTTTCTGAATAAAAATGCTTAACCCCTTAAAAGCTGGCGATAATTGCTGAAACCCAAACCGGCAGATTTGAATATCCACTTTATGCGAATGGTTTGCTAGAAATTATCAGAAAAGAATATGCTCGGAGGAGGATCTCCAGCAGTAGAAGCATTACGATATCCTGATCAACCTCCTAAAAGCAGATATCTCTAGACGAGAAAGGAGAAGGAAGAGAAGACAACCATTTCTGGCTCCACCAATTCGATAGCAAACTGACAAAAGCGGGAAGACGAAGGCTGGAGACAGAGGAGCAGAAGATTCCCACATCCGAAAAAGTTTGGATGAATCCGAAAATCCTCACCTTTACGAGTAAACCAAAACAAAATTCCAACTCGTGTGACTCTACAGTTGACAGTAGGTCCAAGCCCGGAGAACGCACCAGTCTATCGCGCGCAAAATGGCCAGAGGAAATCGTGAGGACTCACATGCACCAGAAAAATACAGGAAAAGGAAGCAAACAGAACGCATTGGCCTCGTCAGCTTCCTTTGAGGGCATAGAATTCCAGGAAACGTTCCAGTTGAAGAGGAAAGAAGCTAATATTTTTATGATAAAAAAATCCCCAAAAAGGCCCACCTGGTCTTGGAATTCTGCATAACTGTCGGCTGCGTGGTGCTCTTTCCTCAATCCAAGCCTGCGGCTCCTGCTGATTACCATATAAGTTGAAGGGTTAATCGCGAATGGCTGAGCACCATTAAACCCTATGGAACTACCAGACGAGATCCAGCTCCCCTAAAAAATATCGGCCCATCTCTTCCTAAAGATACAAAAACGAAGAGCGTCCCACGTTGTCGCCAACAACGACGAAGAGCTAAACAGGAAACTCGGAAACGGGTGCCGACGTTATCCACAAAAATCCATGGCCAGCATGATAATGGTCATCTTCATGGGCAACGGGTGCCCGGGGGGAGAGGTCATCCAGCAAGGGCACGACGGCGACCTTATCACCAGGTCATTGATTTTCGCCTCATCGGGGAATGGAGTGCAGAGTCAAAAGCTACAGACACCGATCAACACATCACCGCGAAGCCCCTTAAACAGGTTTCGCCCCCACCGAGAAATAAGAGAGGAACATAAAATAAATTAGATAAAATAATGAATGAACAGGAACAGTGAATAAATTTTTTTAGTCCGTATTCTATTCGAATCTGTGAGAGGAAGACGTTTAAACCACAAATATGGAGATTAAAGCTACTGTTCAACTCTAAAATCTAGCCGTTTCTGTATCTCGAGCTTTTTGTCGTTTTCGAGTGGCCAGTGCTTTGTCCCGATTTTCCCAGATACCAAAGAGGAAGAGCATTAGTTTCATACATATACACAGCAAAGGGGTGTTAACAGAAAGTGGTGCCCTGTTCGTGAGGCAAGGAGATCGGAAAGGATTGGTGACTCGGGGAAGATGCAATGAGAAAGCACTATCGTCATTTCTCTCCAGACCAAAGGGGAAAGAGAAGAGCAGACGAACGAGAGAATGTTAACAGAGATGCCCGGGGATGAGAAAAATGTTCCTGAGGCTTGTTGGACGGAACAAGTGACGGGAGAAGATGGCCGAGGAGTGGTCACTTGACAAGGAGAAGATGATGAGAGAGGACCGATCACAGCGGAAGAAGCAGTAGACAAAACTATTCGACTCATTAAACGACATCGTTTATGCACGATTCTACACGTAATCTAAGAACGAAGGAGAAAAAAGATACGGCAGTATCATTCCGGCAACAGCATCTCCGAATAAAGCGTCCAGGAAGACCAATGAAGCGCACAGAAAAAGACATTCCTCCGAGAGAAAGAAGAAGAGGACGTCAAAGCTCCAACACTAAAGGAGATCGCAGAGGCGATGAAAACCTCGGTTCTACTCACGTTCCCTGCTCCGTACTCTGGGTCGGCTCGGAGAGGAACGAGCAAGCTCCCCGGAAGTATCTCCTCGCTCCTCGAGCTTCCCTCCTTCCCGCGTCTTCTAAGAGAAGAGAGAGAAGAGAGAGAGAGAGAGAGAGAGAGGAAAGGGCGGAAGAAGCCAACTTATGTTAGGGTTTGATTAACGCAGGTAGGGAGAGAGTGTTGCGGAGAGAGAGTTCTTGTCGTTACCCCCGATACTTACCACATCAGGTTGAAACGTGGATTTGGTTCAGGGTTATGGGTGCAAAAATATATAATATAATATGATATCAATATAATATAAAACAGTATAAGAGATTACAATATAAAAAGGCACCGATGGCAGACCCAACGCCCGACAGTTCTCCTGTCACCCCCGCCCCCCCGGTCAGGTCACCGACGACGACAAAGTTGGTGACGGTATCTCCACCTAACGGGGGCATATATACAAGAAACTGAAACATGGAGGAAGTTGTGCACCCCAAGAACAACGAGTCACTCATCTCTGGTTTGAACAGATGAGAGAGAAAGAGAGAAGGAGGGAGGAGAGAGAATTCATATAATTTAAGAAAATTCGTTCAAAATGATGACGGAGGAAGACGCGTTTAGTTCGCCGATTGCACTAGAAAACACCGCTAATGAGAGCAGGTTTGAAGACCCATCGCCCTAAGAAGAACGATCGAGAGAGGGAAAGGGAAGTCGGGGGCATGTCTTCTTCAGCAGAGGTGAACACTAATAATAACAAAAAACAGAGCGCTTTCGTTCTCAAGAACGCGGCTTCTCCTTCTTCTCCTTGAAGAGAGCGAGCAGGGAGACGCCGGAGACCTTGACCACCTTGAACCGGACTCCGGGGATATCTCCGACGGCGTGCCCCTTCCGACCGAACCCGGCGATGAGCACCTCGTCCTGCAGAGAGAGTGAATAGAAGGGAAAGAAACCCGTTCAAACCCAATAATCCAGAAAGATTAGGAGACGTAATCTGGATGATTATAAGATTCGATGGGGCGCCCACGTTTTCCTCGATGTAGTTCAGGCAGCCGTCGTTGGGCACGAAAGCGGCGATCTTCTTCCCGTTCTTGATCAGCTGAACTCGGGCGCACTTTCGGATGGCAGAGTTGGGCTGCTTAGCTTCGATGCCGCTGTGAGTGGGAAGATGGCCACAGCAGGGAGAGTTAGTTCTGTACAAGAGGGGGGAGAGAAGAAGGGAAGCTCACATCTTCTCCAAGACGATGCCCTTGGCGTGGGAAGAGCCCTGGAACGGCTTCTTCCACTCGTTGCCGAGATGGCTCTTCTTGTAGGCCTTATCGGCCCATCGCTGGGTCCTGCGGTGGTTCTTCAGCTTCCTCGCGGCTCCCATACCACGTGTCTTCCTGCAAAGATCCGTATCTTAGCATCTTGAGCCATTGTGGCAAGAACCACTACATTCGGCATTGGACTAAATCTCGCAAGAGAAAAAACCACCACCGTTTCCCAAATCAACCCACATCACGAATTCCATTTCTACTTTAATACATAATTAAAATAAAATAAGGGATAATAAAACTAATTAACCAAGAGTGATTGAATCTAAAACCCGGCCAGTAGATATGCAGAAACAGTGTTTCGCATTAACAACAGTGCAACGGAGCAATTCAGATTCACACAAAGTAACGCATGCTAACCAAACAGAAAAAGGTTGGCTGTCATAAATAAATCGGATCAACAGCTTGACTCGAAAAAAAAACACAAGTCAACTCAACTACGAATATAAAAATAAGAGATCTCACACGAGACGAGCAGAAGCAAATAAATTAAATCCCGAAATGATGATTTGACTGCCATCTAAATAAATAATCACGAGCATCGAATAGTAAATCAATGATCATAATAAACCCAATAAGAATTCACATGTACGATACCAGCAAAAAACCAGAAATAACGCTTATAGCCAACATCACATCATAACAGTTACTAAAGACTATAAATAAATTAAACTCGTGCTGAGGTTGCAAATATCGGCCACCTAATGCAGAGATCAACCACAAACAAGAGCCTGAAGATCTTCGCGAGTGCAAAGGCGGCCGAGAATCATTTTAGCTTATGATTATGTTAAGCACTGGCGGCTGGATATCTAACCAGTGCTGGACCGTCAATAAGCATATCCAAGAAAGTATATTGAAGGCAGAACTCTTAGAACTTCTCTTTCGCAACACCCATTCAGCCCGATTACAAAACATGAGGTTAAAAACCTCGCCCAAAAGTTTGAAAACTAGTTGACAGATACTACTCAAGGCGTGATTTCAAGTCTCTAAAAGAGACTGCAAAAAAAAAACTGCGAAAGCATAGCTCAAGCATTGCTCGGGCAGCATTCCGCTTGTATGGCTTTCGGCACGGCTAAGAACCCTACAAACTTCACCCGAGTCCTAGATGTCAGTCACATTATGCAGAGACCATTTTGACGAATGGCTCTGACGAAAACAGATAAAAGTTTAGTATCGGCAAGAATGCCAAATATTATTATATGCTAATTATGTAAATGCTGGCGTATAAATCTCTACTAAATGCTGGACCGTCAATAAGCCTCCTAATATACCTTAGAATGAGGTACAATCAGTTCATGTTCGTGTTATCTCTTGACTCAGATCTAAGAAATCACTGACTTTAACGTGTTGAGGGGATAGATGCGTCAGGCTAAACCGGGCAATCCCATAGTACAGGATCAATCGAAGACACAGCAATAAAACATAACGCTACAATCGATTAGAAAAACTCGGACCCTACGCTGACACTCAAAACCCATACTTCAAAAACTCAAGGGAGGAAACGAACCAGAAACCAAGTCAAAGAATCGAAACCCTAGATCATAATCGAAAGCAGAAGATGAACACCAGACAGAAAAGTAAGAGCAGCTTGACCAGAGAGGAAATAGAGAATGGCAGATTACCCCATCTTGGCGGGCTAAGCGGTCGTCCTCCTCGGCCCTCCGATGCGCGCGCTGGGAACTCTGAATGCGGCCGCCGCCCTGCGAAGAACTAGCCCTCTCTTTGCACAGGTATATATATTCTACCGGCTTTTCTCCGTTAGGGCAAAGGCCGCTTCGCGGCTCTAGTCTGCATCACACAATCGACGCACCTCTACCATTCGATGCAAACGCAACGATCACGATTTACGCTTTTCACAACGTTTCGTACGGGCACCATGCCCGCTTCCCTTTGACGGTCCGCATCCTCCAATACCTCGGGTTATCGGATTATATCGGGTAAATTTAACTTATGTAACTATATGGGCTCACACGTGACTCCATTAGTTATTAGTCCGAGGCAGAGATGAATGAAGCCCATTAATGTGGCCCACAATGTCCTCGAGTTACCCAGGCTGGGCTGGAACAATCCGTTCAATAGCCTGATCTTGTCAACACAAATTGAAGTCGGCCCATTATGAATTTCTATGCGGGCCGCGTGATTGGGCCCCCATGGCCAACAACAACCAGAATCTGTCGGCCCATCATCAGACAATACGAGGAGGTGAAGCCCACAGTAAACCTACCGACCAATATGCGGGCCCAGCACGCACTAAAGTTTGGGTTTTACCACGCCCAAATTGAATTCGGCCTATTTCAATCTATTTGGGCCGGGTTATTGGACCACATGTCCAACAACAGCCAGAACTGTCGGCCCAATAGGATATGTAATCGAGAGGATAAACCCACAGTGGACTTCCAACCAAAATGTTGGCCCCAAAAGTACCAGATTTGGGCTTGACAAGCCGTCCCATTTGGAAGAACCATTTGGGCCAAGTTTTTGGAGGCCCCATAGCGAACAAACGACGTTGGCCCATTATCGGACTACGGGGAGGTGAAGCCCACAGAGGATTTCCAAACAAAACATTTGGCCCTATAAGTACCAAAAATGGGCGTCGTTAAGCCCAAATTGAAATCGGCCCATTTTTTAATACATTTAGGCCAATTTATTGGATCCCAATGGCCGATAACGACCAGAATATGGCTGCCCCAGTATCGGACGATACGAGGAGTGTGAGGCCAACAGAGGATTTCTAAACCAAATGTGCCGGGCCCAAAAGTACCATATTTGAGCCTTACCAAGCCCAAATAGAAAATAGGCCTATTTGGAATATATATTTGGGCCAGGGCATTGGACCCTCATTACCCCAATAACGACGAGAATCTGGTGGGCCCATTATGGGACGATACGAGGAGGTTAAATACACGGTTGACCAACCAGCCAATATGTGGGTCGCACACGGAGTACGAATTCGCGGCTCAACCCGCCCACCATGTTCTCTACCACCTCAAGTTGAAGACTTTTCCACGTGTACGAATTCGGCGACCAAACCAAGCTGGTAGAAACCAACCAGATTCGCAGATGCTGCCACGTTTCTGGGCACCCCCAGTGCGGGGAGACCAGATGGGCCCACCCCCCAAATCTGGAGTGGCTCATAAATAATAGAGACCGAGGGGTATTTAGGAAACTGTCGTTTAAAAAACGGGTAAATCGTCAGTAGACCTGACATCCAGGTCAAAGCGGCGCTGTGCCGTTACGCATCGGCGGGCGCACCGACGCTTCGTCACTGTTCCTGTACGCGTGTGATCGGATGAGACTCGGTTTTATTAGAGATTAACCCCAATTAATTGAATGAATTGCGGATGGACCTCCGTTTCCCTCGGAAATGAAGAGTTCGGCGGAAAGAGTTTCCCAGTATTTACGGGAAGGAGAGAGGAGCCCCATTGATCCGGCACTGCTTAACGGGTCTCCTGACGGAACTCAAGACCGACTCTTCTTCCCCCCTACTCCCCCTTCCTCTTCCTCGTCTTCTTCACGCCGGCCAGGACCTCCTCTCTCTCCCATCCTTCCAGCTGCCGGCGGCGGCCGTCGGGATCTGCAGAGGTTGCACAGTTTTTGGAGGCGTATTGTATTTCTCCATTGCATCTCACTCGCCCAAGTGGTAGGATCTCAGATCCGCGCTCCCACCGCCACTACGCCTCTGGCAATGCCCCCTTCCAGATCCGCCCGGCTTCAGAACCCTATCCCTGGGTTGGTGACTATGATTTGCTGCTAGTGGGGGTAGGGGGGCGATTTGTAAACCCTAATCGTCGCCCTAGGGTAGCGAGGGGGAGGGAGGCGGGTGGTGTGGGTGCAAGATGTTGGAGAAGGTGAAGGCGACGGCTGGCACCAGAATGTTCACCGTGGGGCTGGTGGGAGCGTGGTACTTCTCCAACATCGGGGTGCTGCTGCTCAACAAGTACCTCCTCAGCAACTACGGCTTCAAGTACCCGATCTTCCTCACCATGTGCCACATGACCGCATGCTCCTTGCTCAGCTACATAGCCATCGCTTGGATGAAGGTCGTGCCCATGCAGTCCCTGCGCTCTCGCGTCCAGTTCGCCAAGATCGCCACCCTCAGCCTTGTCTTCTGTACCTCCGTCGTCAGCGGCAATGTCTCCCTCCGTTATCTTCCCGTCTCATTCAACCAAGCTGTAGGCGCCACAACCCCGTTCTTCACTGCCGTCTTCGCCTACATTATGACCGTTCGCCGTGAGGCCTGGATCACCTATATTACTCTAATCCCTGTCGTCACCGGTGTCGTCATTGCAAGCGGGGTAAGGGAGAAGATCGACGGAGATGCCAACCTCCTTTTTTTGTTTTAACCGTTGCTTCCCGTCCTGCAAGCATTCATTCTTTTTATTCCTGAGATCCGTCGAAGCAGAGTTCAGAACGAACCCACTCTTAAGAAGATCGCTGCTGACACGCGTTGGTTCTTTATAATTGCAAGACCGGCAATATTCCAGTTTCTTGGAACCTTGTTGTGTTATGCATCTTTTCTTGATTGTGTTCAGAGGCAGCATGATGTGCTCTGCTATTTATTTTCTAATCTAGTTCTCATACACCTTTTTGTTCTTCGGGTTCCTGTCACGTCTGGCCTTCGTTTAATTATTTGCTGCCTTTTGTTGCTTCTTTTTTTTTTCCTTCTTACTTTGGTGTGTTGTCCTTTTCCCCCAATGGGTTATAAATGGTTGTTGGTTTTCGTTATATCAAGAAAGATAATGCTTGAAAATGTTAAATTTAAGAAGAATTAGGAAGATGTGATGTGAGGCAAATAGGGCGTCTTTGCATTCAAATTAGTGTTGTTACCCGCTTATTAGTTTACAGCACTAGCGGCCTTCAGAACAAGAAGTCCTCCAGTGAAAACATTGTAGTTTAGTTTGTGATTTGGTCATGAAACCCGTCGATATTGAGCACTTCCCAAGGAATTTGGTTCTAAACTTGTCGATTTTTCCCAGTGATCGCCTGACCACAACCGAAACTGTTGAAATTTCTCTCGATCGTAACTAAATTTCAAAACTCTCTGTCTTGAACTTTCCTATTTTGGAGGCTATGATGCCGCAAATGAAAATTTCTACTTGCCATTATATTCCAAGTTCAAGTGGAAATCAGAGGTAAAATTCTTGATTGCAGCGATACACTCTTTGGGTTTTTTTCGACCTTATATCTTTGGCTCACCCCTCCTATTCTTCATCATCCTTTCCTAGTTGTCCATACACTACTTAGGTCGTTACCTTATGGTTGTCAGAGTATTTAGTGGTGCTGGCCACCCTTCCAACGCGAGGAAAATGAAGGATAAGCCAAGCTTTAGATCCTTTTGTCTTCCGTACAACAAGTATGATGCATTTTTTTATAAATACCGTCCACATGTGGGTTTGGATGCGTTACATAGTTTTTTCCCTTAGCTCTTAGCTTAATTTGTTTTCACTTCTCTGACTTGTGCTGTATTCGTTCATAGATATGCATGGGTTCTCATGAAATGTTGTATATGTGTAAATTCTGCCCTTTGAGAAGGTCGAACGGTATGTCATCTCGTTCAATTTTATGCCATGTTCAGGGAGAGCCGAGCTTCCATTTATTCGGATTCATGATGTGCATTGGTGCTACCGCTGCAAGGGCGCTGAAGTCAGTGCTGCAAGGGATTTTGCTGTCATCGGAGGGGTAAATTTTCCCTTTTATTCAGTTGTTTTTATCGTAAGTTTTTCTCGCTTCTAACCTTTAGACATTAGTTATTATGATCAGTAAGATTGTCTTTTCAAAGGTTTACTTGACCCGTGGATTGACCAGTCCGTTGACTCTACTCCTGTTCTTTTCTCAGGGAAAAGCTTAATTCGATGAATCTTCTTCTGTACATGGCTCCAATAGCTGTATTGTTTCTGCTCCCTGCAACGCTCCTGCTGGAAGAAAATGTCGTTGGCATCGCAGTAGCACTCGCCAGAGAAGACACCAAAATCGTTTGGTACCTTCTCTTGAATTCTGCGATGGCATATTTTGTGAATTTGACCAATTTCCTGGTCACTAGGCATACCAGCGCGTTGACCCTCCAGGTAATCAGAAAACCCATATGAAGAATAGCATCCTCTGACTCTCTGTTTCAGTATTAAACAAACAAGCATCACTTTTTTTCCTCCTTTTTTTTTTCCTTTTTTGATTTCGGCGATTTTATATTGCGTCCATTTTTGTATCGTTTTCTACTCCACCTGCTTGGTTTTTGCATCAAAATGATTCCTTTCTTGGTATGTGTACTTGAAATCCTCGGTGCATGCTGCTCAAATTTCTCAAGCTTCGTTTTTTCAGTTGGTCTCAAAGGGCATTGTAGACATCTTACCATATGATAATCTCCCGCATCATTCATACCCGGACCAGTCTAAGTTTTCAGGAGGGAAAGTCTTTGAAACTAGTGACTGAAAGAACGAAATCAGCGGTTCCCTACTCGGTCCTAGAACTGCATTCATCCTTCACTATGGCTCCGGGCGGATCTCTCCCCCGTAGATCTCAAGATAGGGTGGCAGGACATGTTGTGGACCACAGCTCGACCCCAGATCCATTTAGTTGTTGGCTTTTTTGCAATTAATTAATTTATTCATTAATCGGTCAGAACAAAGTTATGGCCCGAAACCCCATGTTAGGAGGAGGAACTTGCCCAGAGTCTTCGACAAGCATCGTCAACCATGGACGTAGATGATGATAGACACAGAATCAATCCACGTGGTTGTAGATATGGCTTTATTTTATTACTGCGTTGTTTGATTTGCTCAGCCCAAATGTGTGGCAATCTCCTTCAGGTTCTGGGCAACGCCAAGGGAGCGGTGGCCGTGGTGGTCTCGATCCTGATCTTCAAGAACCCGGTCTCGGTCACGGGGATGTTCGGCTACGCCGTCACCGTCCTCGGCGTGATCCTCTACAGCGAGGCCAAGAAGCGGAACAAATAAGGAAAGGCGGCGGGTGGCGGGTGGTGGCGGCGGTGCTGCCTATTTTCTCTAGTCGTCGGCTGGCGGGTGGGCGGCCGGCCGATCATTCTTTTTGGCCGGAGATCAGCGCGAGAGGGGGTTTTCCCGGCAGGGGAGGAGACGAGGAATTTCAGTAATAATAAAAGAGAAAGAGGAGAGATGACGACTGATCGAACGAAGCTCCAATATATATTTACCTATAGTCGCCTTCCTTTTTGGAGAAGAGAACAAGGGGGGGCTAGTGGATGCAGCCGCCGCCACCGCCGCCGCTGCCGCAGCCTCTCCTTTGAGCCACATCCCCCCATTCTTCCTGGAGAGAGGACAACCTTGGTTGGACGTGTTCGAGCTGTATTGTTTATTTTTTCCTTCAATTTATAGAAAAAGTTTTTGCTATCTCGATTATCATCTGCTCCCTGTGTTGCTGCTTCCCCCACTTTCCCCTCCGCCCCCATCTCCCTGCTACAAATGGCTGGGAGCTGGAGAGAGTTACACGATCAAGTTTGTGTCCATTTGTGGATGGATGCAAAGCAGATAAAAGTCAACACTCTAGTTCCGCCGCACCAGCCGCCGGCGACGCCGGGGCGAGAGCAGACTCTAGTAGTATTAAGTTAACAGAAATGGAAACAGATCCCCACGCGTTGCAAGAACTAGCCTGCAGTCAACGGAAAAAAAATAATCCGGCGTACCTCTGATGGAAAGTCTTCTGGTGCCTTTCCGTTCCCAGAAAATGGGCTTTCAGATCGTCAGAGGAGTCGCCAAGCCCATGCTTCTTCAACCGGAGAGTCTCGTAGCCAATCCCTCTCCCTCGAGCTCCATCAGAGTCTCAAAAGAATCTCAATCTCCGCGGAATTACTTACCGGTATGCTCTTCATGTAGATTCGATGCTGATTCTTCGTCCGATGCAGCCGTCAGCTGTCAGAAACCAGTTTTTACGGGGATTGGATGTCAGGTAACGCTTGGAGATGGCTTTCGCAATCGTCCCCTGCGCCTGCCATCTCCACCTTACTACTATTCTCAGCATGTGAGCTGGTCTTGGGGGTGATTTCACGGGAAGGGTGGTGGTCTCTCTGAATGTCTCTGCTCATCTCCTGGCCGTCCAGATCTTTACTTCCATCGACAGACGCCCCAGGAGATTCTTCAATGGCCCGATTCGTGATTCCCGTGTTCTGAGGGTTGTTAGGGTTTGCTGATGTGGCAGGCTGAGGCCTACCGAGCTTCTGTCTGTTGACTGCTCCAGCACCCGTGCTTAATCTGGAGGCCCTTGAAAGCATAGTACCACGAGAACTCTTCTGAGGATTCCTGTTGGAACCCTGGGGCTGAGATTTCTCCTGGAAAGGGAAAGTTTTCAGTCCGGGAATGAGCGGAAACAGAGAACAGATGAATAAAAATGATGATGATAACGCCGCCGTCACGAATGGGAGAAGAGGGAGGAGGGGTGGACTCACTGCATCGAAATATCCAATCTTTGGGGATGGCAACCGGAGCCCAGAGGGTTTGAGCTCTTTTGAACCAGAAGTAGAAACAGAGCATCTGACAGCATCGAAACATGATGGATTGGTCGCCAAATGGGTCCTGGAGGACGCTCTGCCCTCATGCTCAACCTGCGGAACCCTTGCGGAGGTGGGACGATGCCCATTAGGATGCGAAGGAGGTACTCGGCTTTGAAATGAAGGACTGGTCTGGAGGTCGGTTGGTGAGTTGGTAGGCCGTCTGGCCAACGAAGCCGAGGAGGAGGATGACCCCGAAGTGAAGCTCTCAACAGAGCTGGACGGAGATATGCTTGGAGAAACCTTTGGTTTGGACTTTCTACCTATAGTCCCCATTTTATTTCTTAGGTCTCTTACTTGGCATGTGCTGGCAGGCTCTGGGATTGAGGACCCAACTTTTCTAGCTGCTTTCTCCTCGGAGCTCTCTAAAGGGGCTCTGCTTAAACGATCATGTGAAGAGACACATGATCTACCACTTGAGAGAGAACCAGGTGGATGGGAGTTGATAGAAGAACCAGAAAGAGTGGAATGGGGAGTGGCTCTGCATGAACCTCCTGAAAGGAGTCTCCTTGTAGCTGTAACAGGCTGGCTGTTGCCTACATCCCCTGAAACGGAAAAAGATAAGCCACTATATTTATTTTTTAAAAAAAGAATAAGCTCCAAAATTGCAGGAAGGGGTGAAGTGCTCAGGAGCCACCGACGTATGGCACAAGGGAATCTCTACCAGGAAGATCTTCGGTCTTTTTTCTGGTTTGGAGACTTGATTGGACGTTTCCAGAAGGTCTGCTGTTTAGTACTATGGGAATTCTCGCCGCAGTCTTTGGTGGCCTTGGTGAAACCTTCTTCGCTCTACTTTCATTGGCAGCCTTTGTGCAAGCAAATGATGAGTTAGATAATCCCATCCACTAATTCGTCGGAAGCTTTTGAGGAAAGGTATTTACATACCACTCGCGTATTACTAGCAGCTTCTTCAGGTACTGCCACTGATTGTTGAGCACTTAGGCCATGCTTAGGGGAGGCGATTGAAGGCTTCATCTGATGTTTGTAGGAATTTTTAATGATCACGTATCCAAAGTACTAAGAACTGTTGATTCTCTGTTTTGGGTATAAATTACCTTAGGCCGAGGAGAATGACGCCAATTCTTAGACGCTGCACGAACACAATCATGAGAACAACGAGCTTACATTATTTTTTTAATAGCAAATTACTAAAGAAAGGCGGGAGATGAAATATTGAAATTTACTATAGCTAACATATCTACACTAATAGACCAGAAATTCAACGCTAACGGCAAAACCTACCAGAGTTCAATGAAGCGCTGGAACGTGACAACAACGAATTTCTAGCATGGTCTGTTTGAGACTTTTGAACAGAGGACTGTAAATTCTCAACCAGATTGGCCTCACCAGATCCAACGCACCACTTATCCCCATCCAAGTCAGCGTTTGACTCGGATGATTTTCTCGCATATTCTGGAATTCCGGGCAATGATTGTTTTGGTATATTCCTGAACGTATTATTCGCATCAGCTAGTTCTTCAGGATCAAGAACTCCTGAGACAATATACGCGATTAGATTATCCACTTTAATATTTAAGTAATAAGAGCAGGTTTTCATCTGCACAATAGCACAGTATACCTTCACTAGTGAAGAATGCGCTGTCCCATGCCATACTTTTGCGTAAATTGTACCTTCGTGTACAATTTTTTGGTTCTGGAGAATCGGATGGTAGAGGAACTGGGTCCAGTCGGACGCTAGATTTATCTTTAAATTTTACTGGAGACATGCTCTCCTCAATATGACCTTAAAAATAAAAAAAATCCAGATAATATTATATCATCCATACAATAGCAACACAAGTAGCATGTCATAAACAATGAACAATCTCTACATTGATACTGGCCAAATTGAAAATACCTTTTAATGTTTTTACAAAATTGGTCTTCGAAATTATACAACTCATATATACATGCGACGGAACGCTCGACCCAACAACAGTATCCTATAGTAACCTTTTTACGGGTATAAGAAGTGAAAAGGAGAGAGAACAATTCTATAGTACCAATGGTATAACATGACCTCAGAACCCAGTAATTAGCATTATTGCGACAGATAATGTAATAGAAGGAATATTGACTCAGCAAGGAATCAGATATGCCTAACTATCATGCAGAAACCTGTCTTGCGAGAGGCTGAAACTCAAGGAAGGCACATTCAGGCTCTCAGAATTAGTCCACACGTATATATATATATATATATATATATATATATATATATATATGAGAGTGATTTGCTCTGTTTTCGACCAGTTGAAAACAGAACTCAACGAGGATACAGAATCCATACCGATTGTAGAAGTATGGTGTCTTCTGGAGCCGGAAATTAAGAAATCCAATACCCGAGAAAATAGTTTAAAGACAAAGACAGTAGTCCACCCAGCTAGGGTCTCCACTGAGATAGAGATGTACCCATCATTTCTGGATGGCTAAGAAGTAGAATTTCTACAGAATATAGAATCCAAACATATTACAGCAAATGATGCTTTGTGGAAAACGTAACTGAGAAATTTAAGCCCTTTGCGCTAAATCCGAAGACAGAAATACTTGCCCATAAAAATGTCTTACTGTGTAAGAAGGCAAAAGGACAAAAACATTTTTCCTTGGACGCCAGTAACAACTCGAAGAAACTTTCAATCGACAAAGATATGAGGCGTGAGAAAAGGTTACACTTCGAACAGATCGTAAAAAGCAATCGGTTTCACGCTAAAACTAAATTATTAAAAAATAAATCTCGTAGGGAGCTCTAAACGGCAGTACATGAGACAGGAAAGAATAATCCTAAATGTTGAATCAGCTACAGATTATTATTCGCGTCTGAATACATGGACTTCATTATAACAAAAGAACCGAGAAATGACAAATTAGTTCTTTTTTCATTGGAGGAGCCAGGTTTGCAGCAAGCAAACGGTAAGAGGAAGAGCACTCAGAGTTGAAGCTTATCCATTAATCTATGCCAGTTCAATTCTGCGTCCACAATTTCATAAGCTGGAGTTGCTGGCTGCCCGCACTCCGAGACCTAGGCAACAGTCTAGTATGCTCAAAATTCTGACCTATAGCACGTGCTACAAGAGTGCAATATCATGTATCTAAGATTTTAACTCTACAAGAGGTATCACTAATCGCAGTAATAGGTAGTGGAATTATTATCTCAAAGTAGCCATAACATGGGATTTACTCCGTAGAAAACAAATTTCCTGCTTAAAATTGTCCATGACGACATGATAGCAAAACCGATAGAATCACCGAGTAATCCTTAAAATTTCCATAATGACCAGCTTTGAATGCATGAACCATCGGCTAATTCAGGGACAATAAACTACTGGTAGATGGCTCATGTATGTATGACTTAGAAATGACGCGGTATACTTTGGCTTCTTGCCAAAATCCACCAATAGTACAATAATACTCAGATCAACGAAATATTTGTAGAGCGATAATTCATGAGCTGTAAGCGTGCACGTAATAATTAAAAGCTGAAATATTTTTAGATGTTTCATTGACTAGCCTTCCTCAGATTGATTGGCAATGCATGCGATCTCACTCTTCTATGTCCCCGCATATCCCTTTGTATCTTTGGGAAGTTCCCGTATAAAGATGTTAAAAAACCATCTCCAGAACGGCAACTGCAAGTAACAAGGACGATGAACTAGCTATTTGATCTCGCTGGCTCTTGAGTTCATCGTGCAGAACACGCCTCACGATCCCCGAATCTTGAGAAAATTTACCAAGAACTGGGAATTTGAGGCGAAGTATCGAAGACGAGTGAAATACGAGGACAACAGTATTCTGATTTCTGAAAGCCGGCGACATCAAATGATCAACCAGAGAAACTAAGAGAACTCTCGGGATCTTTTCCCACAGGATCAATCGAAACGCGGCAACATCGCCATAGCGGAAAAAAAAAGAAGGTCCATCAGGTATCATGCAAGCCCGAGGAGATGATTACCGGACTCTTTGGTGACGCCGGGCGGGGAGGAGAGGAGGATATCATCCTCGGAGAACACATCGATGAGAGAAACACTCTCCAGGTCCTTCCCGTTGTCCATGTCGCCAGAGCAGCCGCCCCAAACCTGGCTTCCGAAATGAGAGGAGCCTCGGGGTAATGGGGCTTCTGGGAATCTTGGCCCAGAGATTTGAACTAAGAATTGGAGGGCAAATGGGAGAGAGGAGCGGGAGGGAGCTTCTAGAAAATGTCGCCTCAAGATGTACCATACTCCGCCGGATCAACGTAAGCCCTGGTCGGGCCGAGCCCGACACGAAGCCCGTATCCGCCTGATTGACGTGGGCCCGCTATGACGTGGAGAACAGAGATAATCCACGCAATAATTGTCCCGCTAATGGGCCCACCAACCATTATAGCCTACTCATGGATGTATCCTCAAATCTAGAATTTTCTTATTCCTTCCTTCCACAGTCCATCCGGAGAAAAGACACAGGAACTGGCTCTCCATGTAGAGAGAGAGAGAGAGAACCAAAACTGTTTCCTACGAGAAAAAGGTCTCCTCGACCCACAGCTTCGTAATATTTAAAGAAAAACCCAGCTCTAGAATCATCCAGAATCCACATCGTTCATATGAACCCAGAAAGTCGGCCGTCTCCGTGTCCAATGGAAAAACCAGGCTGTGCACATATAGACCCTTGTTATTGAAAAAATAACGGCCGTCGGGGAGGTCATGTCTGGCTGATATCCTTCGGGTAGCTCCCTAGAATCCTCAAGAAGGTGGCGATTTCCTGCATAAAGCGAAAAAAACTCAGAAAAAAAAATAATAATCTGATTTTTGTGGACCAGAAGCATTTCCATGGAAATATGTTTCACGATCTCCCTCCACCTTGAGATGTCTGAGGGCATTCTGGGCATGTAAGGACGCCATGGATGCTTCGAAGTCCACGTAGAAGAGATAGTCAAAGTACCTGTGTCAACCATACAACAGTGAAATAATTGTCTTAAAAAATATTAAGAACTATGTGTTTGACTTCTTGGAATGAGGGACCGACTTTTGGGACCCATTGCTGCCGTCATCGGAGACCCTCAGCGGCTTCTTCCTCAGTGGGCGGCTCTCAATCTGGAAACAGATGAAACACCCTGTAAATGCTGAGTCGTTGACTTTTCCAAGGTCAGATGATGGGGTTTGACTATTTGCCTTCGTCAGGTTGATCTCCCGCATTGAGAACACAGCGAGTGCCTTGAAAAGCACGCCGGGCCCTTCTTCTAGAGAAAAAACTATACTCGTCTGAAAATGGAGCAAGAAATGACGCTGTCTCCAATGAACCAGGGTAACAGTACTTTCCATAGGCGGCCAGAGATTACCTTGAATGACCTATCGATGCCCGGGATAATGGGTTCCCTGGCCAACATCAGAAATCTAGTAATATTATCAGGATCATCCTGTAGAGTATGGAGAGAACAGTTAGATACTATATATAGCAGGTGATGAAGGAGGACTTATAGAAAGCTGGCGAGAACCTGGATATCTCGGCAAAGAATGTTCAAGCCATAGATTGCAGCAGCCCGGGAGCTAGCCACAGCTCCTGTGTCCAGCAGCATGTGGGTAGCCACATACTGCAGATGCATTTCAGGGGAGTATCCATGAATGCGTCTTGTGAAGAGAAGAGTCGTTTATAGAGAGATACTCAAGAGCTTCACCTGGGCAGCACCGGCGGTGTCATCCGCAGATTCTCTGACGACCCCGAGCTTTGTCAGGGTCTGCTCACACTGCGCAAGTGCCTACAGTCTTCGCGGATCAGGAACGCTTCCATGGCAGGATACAGAAAGAAACTGGGAAAAGTGGGAGATCTTCAGCAGGAAGTTACTTGAGGATGACTGAGGACTCTCCTCAGGCTGTTAATCTCCACACCGTGATTGGCCAACAAGCAATGTCGTACTGCAAAATAGACTTCCCCGACGATGTGCAGATTATACTTAAGTAGAAGATCGTAGTTACGATGGATGCTGCCCCCCAGCGAGTTCTCAATTGGTAGAACAGCTCGATCAACGAGAAATCTCTCAACAGCCTACAGAAAGATACAAATAAACTTTTTAACTAGATGAACGAGAGGAAACTGCCATTGGTTGATCAAAAAAGAAGAAAAAGTTTCTTAAAAAGGCTGGGCAATCACCCTTCAAAGTTTGAATCGCCCAGGAGAATTCTCCCAAGGATGAGCTGTACCATATCAATTTTACCTTAAACAGGTATCTTCCATCAAAGTCTAGATAAGAATGACTGAGTTGTATGTAATTCGCTGTGGGAATCCAGGGCCTCTTACGACTGTTTATGGGAACTCTAAATAGAGAAGCAAAACACAAGAGCAGCCATAAATTCGGTGCTTGCAGCTGCATAACAAGTAGCAATGAATTGGGTATACGTACTACTTCTCCCTTTTTTTGTTGGAGTCCGGTTTCTAATTCTCCTACTTTCAACCTTATGAAATTTTAAACACATATATTTGAAATAAATCAGTGACGATGAACATCTTACTTCAGTATCTTTAAGTCAAGGTCCCCCTCTGACAAAACGGAAGGGAGATCCCAAATCACATCGGTGATGAAAGGGGGACTACATTCATGGAAAATTTGCACAATATCCACCATTCTGTGGTTCGATCCGTCACCTCATTCATCTCCTCTTTGATGTATGATGACAGCATATGCACAATCATGGGTGTCGGAGAGGGCAGCATGAGTATCCCCATGGGTATTTAGAAGGCCTGAGAAAATAAGAGCGCTCTAGAAGCACATTCATCAAAACTCATCCCATTCATGAGTTCCCAATCAGAGATATCCAAGAGAGACAAGTATATCTCAAATCTTTCTGACTGGGTTATGAAAAAGAGAATCACTCACAAATAAGTCCAAGAAGCCACGATATTGGCATTTAATTGAAAAGATGAGTATCTGCTTACGTCGAAAGCAGTTTCGAATAGCTCGCATGGGACTGCTTCGCAGTTGGGATATGCCTTTGCGGCCGCAGACTCACTGTATGCTCCCGGAACACCCTTGAAATGATTTCAGACACAACGAGAGTGATTACCGTGAGACTAGGGATGGGATGAAGTAGTTCACAGGAGAAAGGAACAAGTGCGGCTAACAACCTGATATGCAACGCGGAGAGGAGATCCTTCTACGGAACCAGACAGATCCGTTATCGACAGAGGCTCTGGAAAGAAATAAGATCGTCACAAAAAACTAAGAACTGAACAGAAACAACAGGCGGAAAGGCTTGCGGCGCGTCAGAATTCTCAGTTCATTCACATTATCTGATCCTCGTGCTGCACGGTCGTTCAAAACTCTAATTTCCACTCACTTCGGAGAACCTGAGACTCCTTCCCGCGAAGATCACCCGCCGGAGTCAGCTTCAAACCACCGGCGCCCGTCTCTAAGGTCCGAGCATCCTCTAGCCCCCCGTCCTCTTCCGCCAGTCCTGCTCTGATGCGGGGAGTCGCGAAGGCCTGCGGCGGTCGCCGCCGAAACGCCACCTTCGGAGAAACTCCGGCGGGTCTCCTCGGCGCCGCTAATCTACACGAGCAAGATGACGAGGCAGACGGCCCCCCTGCCACAGTGGCGGCCATCAGGGGAATCGGGGTTCTACGGGCCGTCAGGGTGAGGAGAGTGAGGAGAGAGAACAGCCTAAGCATCAACTAAACGGAGAAGTTCCTTCCCCTCTGCAAACGCCAAAAAAACTTTCAGTACCTCGCTTCAGCCCGACCCAATATAGGCAAGCTCGTTTGGCCCAAATTACAAAAGCCCAAACTATACAGTAGACTTGCACTGTTGGCTTTCTATGCGCCAATGGAACCGTGACTTCTCCCTTGACCCATTCACTTGACGAAGAACGAAAGTCAAAGAAAAGCGGCTGAGGATATGAGAGAGAAAGAGAGAGAGAGAGAGGGAGGGCACAAAAGTCAGCTTTTCCGGGCCCAGATACCTCCCTACGCCACCAAGAGGAAGAAGTCAATACATTTATTTTTGCTAGTATCTTAAGATCATGGAAAATTAAATCCAATTAGGATCTGCTTGAGCATCATACATTACGTCATATACATTTATTTTCCCCAGTGACCAGCCCAAGTCAACCCCATTAAAACTGGAAAGTAGACGGTGCGCCCAAATTTTATTAACAATAAGAAAAAGCAGGGGAGTCGGTGGAGTGAGAACCCAAGTGATCAGTATAGGAGGGCAGATGACCAGCAGGAGGAATCTAACCTCGCATCAAAACCTGTTCAAAAGTCAGCTCTCAATCTCACGCTGACCATCTTGAAAGAATACCCAGACAAAGAATCAGCCAGAGAACAAGCAAACGGCCATTACCAGAGGAAAGTACTGCGTCTGACAACAGCTGAGCAGTGAAGTAGTGGATATGAGAAGGCCCCACGTCACCTGATCCAGGAGAGAGGTGGGTTCGATGGAAAGAAGCTAAGGAGAGAGGTGATCCCCAACCCCCGCCATCCCCGAAAACTCCCAACTCCAGGGGTAGAAGATGAACAAGATCTCAACTCACTAGAAGAAGATAATTACCCCATCTCTCTCCGTGTCCACAGACACCAGCCCCTCTTCTTGGTGGTGATTTTGATTTAATGGGTTGTATTCGTTTCCTTGCCCCTCCTCCCTCCATGGCAATAGACGGCGCTTGTGGAACACAGCAAAATGGTCTGCTCCAACCAAATAATAAGGAGAGAGATGCCTTACACTACCAGCCTGCGAAGACAAGGGAAGGTGAAGTGGACGTCATATGGTAGCCTTTATGAAGGAGAAATTGGCACCGTTTTCAAATGCAGAAAGAAAACCCAGTAATTTTTTTCCAGGAAAAAACCGGAAGAACAGCTGACATTGATGCTCAGATTTATGAAGTTTGTGAAAAAGAACAAGGCAGAGTTGACCCACGCAACCACTTGTATGAGACAAACCAGAAGAAGAGGGCCCACTTATAGACTAGACTACATGTAGGTGTCAAGTAATAACAAGAGTCAGAATATGATCGTCTTCTGTTTTTTTTTTTTTTTTTTTTTCCATGAGACATATGGGGAAAAAAAGTAGCTGCTGGGGAATATGTAGGTAGTTTGCCCATATAATGAATTAAATAATGTCAAAGCAAATTTATATCAGGAATCCAAGGCAACTTACAAAGAGGGTCAACCAAGCAAATTCCGTCAATATTTTGGTAAAATATTTATGAAAAAAAGAAGACGGTGCTCCACGAGTGCTCACCTGACGGCGTGCAGATGTCCCAGAATGGTGCCAGTTGTCCTAGAATGCAACCCTTTTTGAGTTATCTCAGTGAGACAGAACCGCACGTTGACAACCACATTTAGAAACGTCTCTGAAGAATCTATTACCGCGAATGGCCACACACAAACAGATATGGTACTGAGGGGAGCACGCTGAAGGTTTCCCCAGTAGTCACATTCCAAAGTCTCTGTTGTACACATCACCTGCCCGAAACTTTTCTTCGTTTCCAGGGAAGTATCTGTTAAGCCCGAGCCTCTTGTTCCTCAGTAACTCACCCATGCCTGGGTCACTGTTAGCCTGGATGTCGTTCCAGCCTTCCCACTGTGCATTTCTGGAGTGCTGGATTGACATCAAATCAAAAGGAGACAGTGGCGGGAGATTCTGATGTAGGTGTCTAGATGGGACGTATGAATCATTTACAGGTAAAAATCTGCCCCCAAAATTCTCCGGGATTCTCAGCTCTTGTTGAGCGGAAACGGACTGCTGCATGAGGAGCTGAAGTCTTGGGTCAACATCAGAACCGTTGAACTGTGGAGGCGGAGCATATCTTAAATCAAAGCCAGAATTGTCTACTCCATGTGGTAGTCTCCCTTTGCCAACAGCCAAGATAGCTGGGTCAAGAAACTCTACATCGCCACTGTACCCAGCGGATGCCATCGGATACTCCCTCCTCAGAGAAGGCCCTCCTCCATACATATGGTTCTCTGCAAATGGAGAAAACGCATTACATCGAGCTGGTCTTGCTGATGTCCAGAACACTAGCGCAATGAGACTATCAAACCTGAATATGTGCTATCATAAGCCTGATCCAATTTGTCATGGGATGAAAAACCAGGAGGAGGCGCCTGAAGCCTGTTTGGGACTGAGAATCCAGGAGGTGCCGAAGTCTTAGCCCTTGAAGCAGCTTTAATAAGACAAAGGAACAAAATGGAATCAGAAAATGTCTGTCAGATCAAAAAGTATATGGTAAAGCAATAGAAATCAATAGCTACATGCAGTGACAATCGAGTGATGGAAAAAACGTCAGCAATTACAAAAGTACTAACTAGTGAAGAATTTCCTCTTAGGTGATTTTGAGGATTATCGAAACCATGCTGATGGTCGCAAATGATTTTATAATATATAAAAAAATTGAAATGCCCGGGTTAAGTTAAGCTAAAACGATATATCCGAATAATGAAATTTGCCATGGATGATGTGACAAACAGTTAGAGTCAAGAAGATGGTGCAAATAATAAATCCTAAACAAAAAACAGAACCAAGAGAGACACGTAGAAAACAAGAAATCATGTGGAACAATAATAAAAACCTGAGAACGATGTCTGAGTTTAAAAAAAACTGAGAATTAGCGGTGAGCACCAGATTTCCTTGGCAGACTAATATGGGTCTCAAAATCCATGATAAAAAAAACATTCAAATGTTTGTTCTTCTCATATGAAGAGCAGGAAAATATGACAAAATTGCACTGGTAATCTTCCCCCTCAAATCAATCAGCCAAACCCGCATCTAGAATTGCCTCACTATCAAAAGCATGTTGATCTTTTAACAGAAAATTACCAGGATGGAAAATCAACTTTTTGATGTTTTACAGGACAAAAGATTCCAGGAATTCTACCGTCACCTGATACTTACCAGCAGATTTCTCAATCAAAACCGCGGATTGGTCACCGCTGAATCCCACTGGATACCTGGAACTACTGGCCGCAAAACCATTTTGGATATCTACAAGCGAACCATGCAACCCTGGACCGTTCGTCTGTACATGTGCAAACTCACTGAAAGATGGTCTTGAGAAGGGTGTCTGGCTTTCTTGCCTTGCAAAAGAAAATCGGGACTGATTATTGCTTTGCCCCTTCCATAAATTAGTCATTTTCAACCCGCTATTCTGTTCATCAGTTTCACAGAGAAATTTGGCAAAACTATCTGTTGAAACCGATGTATCATTCCATGGATCAAAGTCCATTGACAAGATGTTGGAAATTATGTTGCTTTCTCCCGTATCTACACTGACATTTTTCCCCACAGGTAGATTATGCAATCTTCCAAAATACTTTTGGTTCTCCCCAATAGAGACTGGGTCAGGGTATTCCACAAATTTCCCCACTTCTTCCGAACAGCCAAACTTCCTCTCAGCTTGTCCATTAGACAATGTGTTATCACCTCTAGATTGATGCGGTGTTCCATTCAGCTCTACATCTGACGTTCGAAAATCTTCATTTGCTAAATCACACACTTCACGACGGAGAGTATGATTACTTGGAGCATCAGAAAGGAAGAAAGGCCCAGAAGAATAAGGTAAATGCGATGACTGAGTAATAACGTGTGAAGCACAATGCTGGAGCTCAGCGTCAGAAGCTTCTCTCGGTGGTTCCAAAGCCCGATCCGATAGTTCATGTGTCTCTTCAGACATACTGGTACTCCCACCAGAATGTCTCAGATATAGATTTCCAGTGCCATTTTCAGTGCACCGCTGCTGAAAACATGGAGGCGATGTTATAAACTCGCCAAAAGCGTCTGAAACTGAATCACGAGCATCCATACTGGGGAGGCCAATAAAAGATTGGTTATCCAAGTTAAGTATTGACAAATGTGAAGACAAATTTTGTATGTTGAACCCATTAACGTCAGTGCGAGAGCCGGCAGCTTTATCGCCAGGAACAGCCTGAGGTAGACGATCAAATTCAGAACTGTTTACCATGTTGAGGTCACTAGACAAAAAGCCTTCTCTATCGCCCTCCTGTGCAATTAGACTAGATGACTGGGCCTTAGAAGTCACAAAATCATAAGGTCTAATACTGGCAAATTCTGCTGACAAATCTGAATCAGGCACATAAGGTTTTGTATCAAAAGAAGTTTCTGGTGCTTGCACAGGACATGATTCAAAGGAACCTGCATGATTTTCTACAGACGCCAACAAGGTAGCACCTATATCATCATCCCAAGCAGAGTTTTCGTTCGTCAGAGAACCATCTGCTGATGGACCGGAAATTGTTTGGGAGTATTTACCAACAAATATTCTGGACGAATCTGAAGTTCTAGATGAACTAGATTGCGTTGCATGGTCTTTTTCTGATATATCGCTGGGCGTATGCACATCATCATACCATGCTGATGCTTCTTTTATCGAAGAAATCTCTGGCAAGGAATTTGATGGAGCCGGATAAGAATTTTTCCCAACATATTTGAAAGCCTCCAAGAGACCAGATCCACTATTTAATCGTGTTGCTGAGCTCTGTTCGGTACTATTGACTGGTGCAATGTCATCATCAGACCAAGCGGATGAACAATGTACAAGGGAAACATCTGCTGATGAAATAAACACAGATGTCTGTGAATCCTTGCCTGTAGACCTATGAGATTCTAATGGCCTACACCTGCCATCCACATGCACTGTCTGACTCTCTTCAACAATTCCTGGAGCTGAAACTATATCGTCATGCCATGCAGACATACTTGCACCAGTTGATGAAGGCACAGAAGTACTAAAGAGTGTTTCCGGTTTTTCTTTGGCAAGGCCTTGCACAGATGATACAGTCGAAGATGGTGGTCGGGAATTAGCTCGGAGTCCCCTAAAAATGCGAAACTTTTAGCAAAGGAGATAGTAACCGCATTCAAAGTGAAAAGGGGCAGGCAACGCATACCATGAAGCAGCAGCTGGAAGACCGGCGGCCTTTCCAGAACCGCCAATGTCAAGAGAACCTTTAGCTTGAGAAACAGAAGTCTAGCAGGAAAAATACATATACATAATCAATACAACAGCACATAAACAAGCATCAAAAACTGCAAAGCCCTCAGCACAGCCAAAGTGGAGATACATTTGTTTTCAATAAGAGAATAAAAATTTCCCATGTAGGAGTCCATCAAATCCACAACAAAGAGGGTATAAAATAAAAATAAAAGAAAATTTATTAAGGCTAGAATATAAATCATTCTCACATTCGAGGAGACCTTTATCACAATTTTGCTAGCTGAAACTGTCGTAGAATTGCAAAAGTCATCTGCTGGCGGAGGTAGCACACTACCAATACGTCGATGCACATTACCCGAAGCCATTGGAGGGACTCTACTCCTGTAAAGAGGCAATGATAATTAAGCCATTAATATAAAGGTATTGAGCAGTTTGAAAAAAAGGAAAAATTTACCCGGGGAGAGATAAATTAAGGCATAAATAAGGTCAATAATGAGGAAATGATTCACAGGATCCAGGTAGCGATCCCTTTCACATGACAACCCTCAAAGATTAGGTAACCGTAATGCATTCCTTTGTCACGGGACAGCAGAAAACACCTACCCACCAGTTCACTATCTTGATTCTCCTCATTAGTACAAGCCAATTTCAACTATTTTTACGTTAAACACTCAAAGAGAAATTGGAGCGGACGACCAAAAATAAATCGTCATTACGAAAATCTGATAAAAGTCTATGGATCTAGTTCATAAATATCGAATCAACGGTGTAAGTTTTATCTTCACATCAGTTGAATTTGATGTATTCAGTAACAGCTATGGAAGCATAGACCATTAATCAGTGGATAAGATCAAATATCTCTAACTAGGTTATATCAATGGAAATTAACGAAAATGAACTGAACCGGTCAGTAGATTTGCGAATTGCCTGTTTTTACCCATCTTAAAGTTTTGTCAGCCTGAGTGTCTTCTTCAGATTGTTATTGAGATCTTCTCATACCACCATGAGCAAAACAACCTGAGGAGTTTCAGATACCTTATAGTTATATATTGACGCTAAACATCTATTTCCACTACCAGCTTAGATAACAGTTGGACAAAAAGGGGGGAAGACAGTAAGAAGATTAGGTAGATTGACAATAGTTCCTTTGTACTTCTCTGGCTACGATCTAAACGAACAGTTGCCCATGCGTTCACCCTTTTGTGAGAACGACAGAAGCTTCTCTCCAGTTCATTGCCATTTCCAGCACTTTGTTTCATTTCCTTCCACCTCAATTCTTAACCTTTTACTTTCAACTTCCCATGCAACAACACAATGGGAAAGAACACAATGGTGATATGACATCAGGACCACTTATGCAATCCCTCTATGAAAGAACTGAATGTCACGGAAGCCTCGGCAGGACATGAGATTAAACACTGGGAAAGGCCGTCTCCTAGCCGCCATTTACCATTGAAGCCTAAGAATGGCCGAATGTCATTACCTCTTTTCCCAGCAGCAAGGATTGTGATCAACTTAGACATGGGACGCAGGCTGTGTATGTTCTGCGGCAGTAACTTGGATGGATATCCAAGTATAAAGCCTGGACAGCGTTACACATGCAGCTGATATATTTAATTCATATGAATGGCAGATAAAAAAGGATGCAGAGAGAGTAGTCACTGAACAAGCATCAGCCCATTTAGTGACAGAATAAAAAAAACGGATAATTTTCATGTTCCGATCCATAATCCCTGCATCCTCTGAGTTTTTCAACAATAGTAAGTAGAATGCCTCTTATGCTGGAGGGTGTGAGGGCTAGGGCAGAATTAAAACATTACAGGAGAAGTAAAGGATGTCTGTTAACTAAAGGAAGGTGGGGAAAAGGGGCTTGAAAATTTTTGGGCATCCGCATTGTATCTCTGTTGAAAACACCCTAATAAAGAATATTATGGACAATTTAAAGTGGACAGCCATAAAAAGGCTGAGAAAGCCAAAGTCATATCAGCTGGTAATAAGTTCGTTATTTACAAGCTGGTGCGATATAGCCTAGACATTCATTTCCAGGCCACATCAAGAACTCCCACAACTAGGTAGCTAATTAAGACCAAAGACTGCCAATTTGACCAAGGCCTGCATCCAATCGCTGAGGAGCAATGGGATTAGCCAACAGTAACTCCATGAAAAAGACCGAAATGTCTTAACAAAGTTTGAAATTAGGTAACAGAGAAGAACTCTTGTGGACCAAAGTTGAATAAAACTAGATGTTTTAGAAGCTTAACAGATGTAAAATGTATCAGATAACAGGTCAGGAATCTGAGCTTCATATGGGAATACTTTCACCCCGCTCTGATCCTAATACGCTCTTACCCAGATTTCAGACAGGCAATGGGAGAGATATTCTGATCTTGGAAGACATTTGAAGCAGCAACTAGCATTTTACGGATTTTCTTAAGGGCATATATAAAGTATCCCGGGACAAAGACAGGTGTGCGACATGAAATCTTAGTAAACGGTTAAGCAGATAAAATAAATCAAGCACATTTATGGCAAAAGTTATGCATAAACACATAAATTGCCTTCATAGCATATAGAAACACGAAACTATAATTGGCACGCATTCCATATCAAAAGAAACAAAACTTTCCTCGCAACAGGAATTTTGTTAGAAAAACAGCGAAAAGATATAAACGGTATAAAAAGAATATTAAACAACAACAACAAATAAAATAAAATATAGATAATGTATGAAATATATTATATACCCGCTTCTTCAAACATAAAATTCAAGTTGAATGAAAATCACTGGTTCTACTAACAAAGCATACGCATATACTGAAACACATTAAATAATTATACTACTTTGAAAAAATCATCACTCAATATTAAATAAAATTGCAGAGCATTTACCTCGTATAAGCTGAGATAACTTCATCTTTTGTGAAGCTATCCTCTTGGCAACCAACATCATGCAAATACAAGCAATCTGGGTTGTTGCAAGTCTGCATCAATAAACAAATCCTCTGAGTCTCAAAAAGAAAATTAATCAAGCACCCTTGAAACAAGAAGAAAAGGAGTTCACTAAAATATGCTGAAAAGATATCCTCACATACCATATTTCTCAGCCAAGCACGACAATATTTTGTGGTACCAAAGCAAGCTCTAAAAAATACAATAAAATCAATGAGTGTAGGAGAAAATAATTAAGAAAACAACCAGAGAACATAGAAAAAAAAACATACCTCAATGTTTTACCTTCTAAAACAAAATTGTGTACAGCTTGAATACATCGAATGGCTTCCTCCTCTTTAGCATATGTAATGTACCTAAAACAGCAAGTATGAACAAGATCGAATAATCAACAGCCAAAACTATAACAGCAAACAAGGACATTAGCAATGGTCAGGCATATCCAAAGCTTTATTCATGAATGCCATGGAGGAAAACACACAACCCATTTTCAGGATTGACAACTTCAACGATGAAGCTCTTTAACAAGTGATTTCAACCAGCGAAATGATGATGTGGCGTGAGGCATAAAGCATGATATGAATAGATCTTCCCTTTTCAAGAGGCAAGAAGACAGAAACAGAATTCTCCCCAGGTTTCTTGTTCTCCAAAAATATTTTAAGATCCATTCTTTGACGCTAACTTACCTTCCTAATTGAGGCTGGCTTACCATGTCATCCATTTAGACGACACTTGTCAACAGAAGGGACATAGCAACTGACGCAAACTAATCATTATGTATGGGAACACGAACAGTGAAATTACCATTCAAAATGTAAAATGACTTCACTGGCGCATGAAAGCAATCATTTTGGTAGTACTTGAATAGAAGAACAGGGGAGATTAGCAAGTACATTGGAAGTGATAAGAAAATAATGCTGCATGTTGCAGGAGACATTTGCCTTAAGTCCATAAACAATTCCACAAATTAGTCTTTTATCATCTAAATCCTGTTAAAAGCAAGAAGAGAACTACGAAATCAAGGTTATCACTTACACACTAAAAGTACTAGCATTAGATGCTTGCTGAGCTCCCCCAGTTGTGCGAGAAATAGAAACTTTTAAGACTCTACCATACTGGCCAAAGTATTCTCTGCGTTCAAGTAACTGATATCCAAAAGTACAATTTTAAATGAATTATATTCAAAAATAAATGAAAACAGATCTTCAAGTGTAAATAATGAACAAAATGTCCAAAATAGGAGGCATCAGAGAGATGTAACGCACATTTTCATCAGCCATAGTTGAAGGTAATCCAATTATATACACGAGATTTCGCTGAATTACGCGAACGCTGTTCAGATGTTTTCTTGCTTCTGAAGATGTCTTCGGCTTTGCCTTTGGAAACTTTTGCTTTTTCTCGGCATTTACTTCAGCAACCACCCTATCAAGGTAGCAGTCAAAATTTGGGAATTCACTAGGATAATAAATAACTTAAAAAGAACGTCATATAATGTCCCCACTACCTTTCACAATTTGCAGCCGTCCCAACAATCCTTTCCTTGTCATAAGGGGTACGACATGCAGGACACCGTGCCTCTGAGTCATCCTTTTCAGCCATTTCAACAATATGATGCCAACACCAGACACAAATCTGAAGGGGAAAAAATAACGATGTTGAGTCTCTTACACAAGTAATAAAAAGAAATAGAGATCCGTAACCATTTGACTGTGGTTCATATGTTGTCGTTAGAGTTTTTGGGGTGCTTGATGATTGTTGACCATGCCAATGGGAGAATAGTGACAAGGCCGGAATTCAGAACCTCGTAGCCACATCTGCAGGGCTTTAATTGTTGGTCAGTCAAGTCCATCTCCTCCGCACAGAGAGGGCAACTTCTTTCTCCGTCGTCGCTCATGGTAGTCCTAACAGAAATATAAGCGATAAGATTTAGCATTTGCATGGAAATGCATTGTAAAAAACAGCTTGGGGTAATACAAAGAACCAAGGCGTAAAGATAAAAAGCCCTTGTTCCTGAAACTACGAAACCATTACGCACAGATGCCCAATCCATTTGAAGCTACGAACTATTATTAACCACCTACGTCGCTTAGGATCCTTCGCAGCCCTAGTTGAAGAATCCGCACGTATAGAAGAGCACGACCACAAAAAAAAAGGAAAATCCCACCCCGAGCCGGCGAACCAAGGAAGCCGATGAGGGCTCCCCCGAGACGACGACGAAAATTTCGCCCCAACAGATCGATTAACCTCGAACAACCAACTAGGGCAACGAAAATCAAAAGCTTTGATAACCCAGACTTACATTAGGAGGCCGGGGGGGGAGGATTGCGTGACAAAAATCGGGGAATCGGAGGGAGCAAGCGGTGGGAGGACGGGAGCCGACAGGACGCCGAGGGTGCCGCGCGAGAGATATGGAGGGTGGAGAAAGCCGAACCACGGGGACGTCGATAACAAGCACCCTCCCTCCCTCCTCCTTCCCCTCCCAAATTATTTCGCCTCCCCCACCCCCCGCTTCTCCTCCCTAATTCGCCGCTGTCACTTTAAATAATCCCTAGGTTAACCTGCAAACGTGGTCTCAGGGTGGACGATAAAGCCACCATCACTACCCCTCAGCCACAGGGCGCGGCGTCTTTCTTATCCGTGTTGCTCCTAACCGACGGTGAGACGGGGTTCTGCTGCTCCGTGGGAGGGCCCCAATGGGCCTCTAACGTGGTCTTCCCTTTACCTACTCATCCCGCCGTGCCCCCAGTGGCCCCCACTTTCTAACAGAGGATGGAATATGGGTGTTAATGGCAATTAAACTATTAATAAACTCCTCTTAATGGACCGGTGCGCTTCGGCCCAGTTATTGTTTGGGCTTAAATGTAATTCTCTTACACCCAAATTCATGAGCATGAAACGGCCAACGACAAGTTTCAGCTGCTTCGTGAGAACGTGGTCCATAATGATCCCTATTTTCTATTTTTTGGTCGATTTTAATAAAAATTAAGCATGTCTTGAGGCCTTCGTTGACTGCTTCCCCACGACTAAGTATAGTATATGGTCAACCCCGAGAAAAAATGCCCCACTTCTGTAACGGCTCTCTATCAGCCCTCACCGTCTGCCCCTACGTTACTATTTTCTGCTCATTGACACGCTTTCTCGTCTCCTAATATATGCCTTAAACAAGGGGAATTAATGTAACATTTTAAAGATAATTAATTTAATCTGAATCCATTAAATATAATTAATGTATGTTGATGATCAACCTCATTGCTGAATTTTAGACTAATATAAAACTTAATATGGACACTACAGGTGTCAACGCATCCAAGAGTTAAATCCTCACACCCGAACTATAAGGGCATTTGTTTGTGTTTTGGATGGGTTGACCTGATGCGTTTAAAAGTCAACTATCAATCCCATAAAGGACTCATAAGTTTGAACTGCCACGGTGAATTTGATTATGGGCAGGCGTGGGCCAATTCATGATTATGGGCCTCGGAATTAGCCCAAGTATGGCTGTTGGGCCCTGTCTGACCCATATTGGTCCAGGTAGAGATAACCGATTCGATTACCAATTACGATTAACAACGTTAATTTTTCTTGACCATCGCTTTGACCACCAACACTGCTCTATATCCATCTCTCTGACACGCACGTACACACCGACGCATACGGAGGTTTTGTATTAATTTTATTTTCATTTAGAAAAAAAACAAAATTTGTACCACTCGGCATACGAACAACATTTGATATAACTTTATTTATATTTATACTCTAATGGGGACTCACGTGACTCAACTACAACATAACAATTATTTCTATTCTTGGACATTGGCGATCCGTCAGCATTGCCATCTCAGCTGGTGGCACCACCATTTTCACATAAAACTCCTCATTTTCTTATTCCAGAAACCCACGAAACGTATTATAATTACCACACATGGTAGATATTATATTTTTAATTTATATTTTTTCCTTTTATTTTTTAACTCGATTATTTGGAACTATGATAGATTCGTCGGGCGACGGTTTCTAAAAATAGATTCATCGACCACAACACAACGGGGGATGTCGACCCATTAAAGGCACATCCCCCGCTATTGGTGGGCCCAGGCCCATTCATGTACCCAGATAGCGGAGATTAGATAAGACGTCCCGTTCGATAGGAGGGACGGCTATTAAAATGCCGGAACCGCTGTGCGGTGACCGGAACCCGAAGTAACGGGTTTTGCTGGGGCCGGATGGTTCGTCCAAGGAAACCACTACTCTGATCGTGTGCCCCCCCCCCCTTCCGCCGGGCCCACCCGGATAGTGCGCCGCTCTGTTGTCGGATGGGGCCCATTGGCGGTCTATTAAGTTTTAAAAGAGTCCACTAACCGGGGAACGGGAAAGTTCAGCCTAAAAGAGGCGATCTGACGGGGATCACACGGAAGCACGCAAGTGGGAGGTCAAGTTGGCCCGTGGACATTTGTTTAATTTTCCCACACAAAAATTATATTTTATTACGAAGCTCCGTCGCCGGTTTCACTCCCGGAATTTCACAAAAACCCCCTCGCTTAGATTACCGTGTATGGAAACCCGAACGTTTCTGCGGCGCCGCAGAATCCTCCACAAAAAGTCTGCCGCTGACGTAAGAAAATCAACTGAACTACCGGGTAAAAAAGTCAAATTTTCGGTGAGAAGAGGGGTGGGTATATAATATTCTCCCTTATCGGAATTCAAAACAATTGTGGTATTTTTTTAATGGTCCCACTGCACTGTCACGATCTTATTATATCAGTCTGAATTACATAAATGGCATGTTTAGAAAATATTTAATTCAAACACGGGCGAATTGGGCCAGCAGTTATGAAACCGAGAGAGGTAGTTGCGCAGAATTTTAGATAAATTTAGAGCACGTTCTAGAAAAAATCGTGCCCGGATCTCGCCACGTCACCACTCTGGGACGTGTACGGCTTCTGTCCTCACGTAGAAAGACCACTTCCGGTGACACTCCTGTATCGGTCATTGAATTCTCGTCCGGAAATGTCCTCACGATGGGAGGAGATAGAGAGAGAGCGAAAGAGAGAGCGAGAGAGTGGGGGCAAAAAGGACTAGGATATTTGTTTTCGTCCGACAAAAGGAAATTCCCACGAGGTTCTCGCAGGCACACACTCACCTGGATTCGACCAACCGGAAGAACCGGGTTATCGGCGGTCACCGGTTGGAGGCTAACATCGTCGTTTCCAAAAATGTACACGTACGGCTTTTCTCTAGGACTTTATTTATTTCGGGGATGCATTTGTTTGACGCTGCTTCATATCGGGGCTTCTCTCTTTCTCTTTCCTCCCTCATTTCAACAGCCTCTTCCCTCTTCCCCTTCCTTCCTGCTCGGTCTGCTGCAACTCTTTCGCTGTAGAGGGATCCTCTTTCCCACCTTCTTCCTCGGTTTCCCCGTACGCGCGTACAGCCCCGCTTCCTCGGGTTCCGGCGGAGAACTGGGGTATTTCTTGCCGACTCCTCCCCCTCCTGTAATGTGACGTTGGACTGTGATCGATTCGACACCCGCAGGTTCGTATGCGGATTCTGAAATTCTTCCTCTGCTGCTCGTAGACTTTGTTGAGTTCTTCCGTTTGTTCTTCCTCTGGTTTATATGTATATATATATACATTTTTTATCGTGCTTCAAGTCTGTGACAAGTGGGAGGATTACCACCCGATGCTCACGGGATTGCCGATGATTTTTCTCCTTCTTGATGCTCACTTTTTTGGCTATAAATTTCAGGTGTTCGTATGAAATATAAAGCGAGACGAATTGAGAATAATGATCGTCAGACAGAGAGACAGAGAAAGATGAAGAGTTGTAAATGCCCAGTAAAGGCGGTGTGGTCGAAGTTAGCAAATGTTCCGTAAAAACGACTCCGCTCTCTCCTGCAAATATTTGTACCTCCTCTGGTTTTACTTCAGAAAGTAATTCCTCGGAGAGATCCTCCCCCCATCTCTTGGGATCTGGGGAAAACGGAGTAGAGGAAGAAGAAGGAACGGCGCAAGGGAAGAGGAGATCCGAATCGGATTTGTGTTTGACATGTCCGTCGTGATGATGCTGGATCTCAACCTCGTCTCCACAGAAGACGTCGCCTCATTCCGGGAGGAATCAGCAATGGGCGCTGACCTCCAGGAATCTCGTAAGAATGCCATCGCCGATGACAACGGCACGTCCAACTCCTCCGTCCTCAATGGGAGCTCGAGCAACACCGGCGACGAAGAGTCGTCCTCCACCCGCTCAGCGAGGCCCGGCTTTCGGCTGGGGATCCGAAAGGAGGGGAGCTATGCTGGCGTGGAGGTCGAGGGAGGGGAAGATTTCGTGGGAGAAGTAACGAATAACTCGAGTTCTACTGCGGCTTCCCCCTACTCCCAGATTGTTACGAGGGAGTTGTTCCCTCTGGCGACTGTTCATCCAGGAGGAAATAAAGGTGGCTACGGTCAGATGCCCTCTTCTTCCTCAGGACCAGAATCGCCATGGTTGGAATTCAGCTTCCACCAGGCAGATTTGTCGCGACAACATGAGAACAGGATGAAGCAGCAGCAACCAAAGAAGAGTAGGCGGGGGCCTAGATCCAGGAGCTCCCAGTACAGAGGCGTCACCTTCTACCGCAGAACAGGCAGATGGGAATCCCACATCTGGTTAGTCCACGGAATGACTGTTCCTGTTTTTTTTTCATCCCTTCTTTTGATATGGCGTGCCTGACGAGAGATTCTCTCTTTGCCCAGGGATTGCGGGAAGCAAGTGTATTTGGGTGAGAATTTTTTCATGCTCCCTCCCTGCTTTTGAGAATCCCCTGGCATCTCGTTTGATGTTTTTTTTTTTTTTTCCATGGCGTGCAATCGGATCCTTTTAGGAGGTTTCGACACTGCTCATGCTGCAGCAAGGTCAGAAAACTGGGAATTATCGCCTCTCATGGATCTATATCTCCTCACACACAAAAAATTATACCGAGTTCGATTGTTTCAGGGCCTACGATCGAGCGGCGATCAAGTTCCGGGGTGTCGATGCGGACATCAACTTCAATCTCAGCGACTACGACGAAGATCTGAGACAGGTGTGCTTCACTTCTGCAGCCACCGCCCATTTCAAGATCCGTTTGGGCCCGGGCTCGGGCGTTTTATGCGCTCTCGCTCGTCTGGTTTTCAGATGAGGAATCTGACAAAAGAGGAATTCGTCCACGTCCTCCGCCGCCAAAGCACCGGATTCTCAAGAGGAAGCTCCAAGTACAGGGGGGTGACTCTCCACAAGTGCGGTCGGTGGGAGGCTCGGATGGGACAATTCCTCGGCAAGAAGTAAGTGGTCGATCAATGGCTTCCTTTTTTCTCGTCTGCATGTTGTCTGATTATTGTCTGGATCGATCCGAATGCTTTTACGTCGGGGTTATTACGAGAATTAGATCTCCCTTTATTTGTCAACCCCGCTGGATTTTTGGGGAGCTAGAGACTTGGAAAGAGAGTGTTCACCCTTGAGAACACGATGCTTCCATGCAGGTACATATATCTTGGGCTGTTCGACAGCGAACTAGAGGCCGCAAGGTTGTATTGACGATGATGGATTTTCTGCATCCTGATGACGAAGTTTCTGAAGATTGATCGACCTTCTCATCGGCTTTCTTGTCCAACAATTTTTCCTTCTTTGGAAATCAGGGCCTACGATAAGGCTGCCATCAAGTGCAACGGGCGGGAAGCTGTGACCAACTTTGAGCCGAGTTCCTACGAAGGCGAGCTGGCCTCGGAGATGGATCCCCAAGGTCTCACTCGACTCCACCTTCAAATTTCTCCCTTATGATGTTGCGTTGACTTTGAAAAAACTGAGCGTTTGATGCGTTCTCAGCATCCGGCGGCGCCGTCGATCTGAACTTGAGGATTTCTCAACCCGTCTCTCATACCCCAAGGTCCACTGCCGAGATGGATCGAAGCCCATTTCACAGAGTCCCTGCAGCCCCAGATAGCAGGAAACCAGCAGTAATCATCATCTCTCTCGACCGTGGAAGTTATTACTATTTCTCGCAATACCCCGCGAACCCAGGAATCTCGTGCTCGAGCCGACGACTTCTTTCTTATTCACCGCCATTAATTAGCAGATCCGACGCATCAGACGATGATGTGATCGAACTGACGGGCTTTTCTGTGCCTTGCCTTATCAGGAAAAACCTGTTGTCATGGCGGCTGCGCCCCCTGAGAGTCCCCCAGTCTTCACTTCTCTGTTCCCTGCTTTCCTCCACGGCGTTGAGGTAACTAAAACATTCCGTCCATGTCTTCTGTTGGCGACTAAAACCTTCCCGTTGCGCCGGGTTAATGAAATCCTCCGTTGATCGGCAGGGCCAGGCGAGACCGGCGGCCGTCTTGCCAACTCCCCCTAGCTGGACGTGGCAACTACGCGGCCCCCTCCCGTTGCCGATGACGCCTTCTGCAGCATCATCAGGATTCTCGTTGACCGCCGCGCCGCCGCAGCCAGCTGGCTTCCGCCGCCGCCACCACCACCTAGCTCCGCCGCCCGCTTCCCCATACTACAGGAACTAAGTTACCGCCACCGGACAGGTGGCGACTGTACTTGCTCTTGGGAATATGCCCCCCGGCGTTTTCTTACTGTTTTTAACCTTCGGACTTGATCTACTTCTGAACGCATCATATAAATTCCAGAAGGGGAAAAATCAAAAGGCGATTCTTTTCGCCCCCACCCATGTCGTACACGTGGCGGGGGAAGCTATTAATTCCCCCATCTGGACGCGCGTCCAAGGGGCCCTCGCCAATTATTGAGCCGACTTGCGCCGTTGCCCGATCGGGGGGACGGCGGGCGTCGGATCGCTCTCGACGGCTGAGATCGGACGGTGCGGAGCCATCACGCCACCACGGCGGGGCCCGCAGGCCGGCGGAGACCCCGAAAGGGCAGGGTCGTGTCGGAGGGCGGAGAAAAAATCACGAGCTATTTCTGAATTCTTAAGAGAGGACCCCCCGACAAAAGGTGCTTGAAAAGTGTATTAGAAAATGGACGGCTTGACCGCAAAGAGCCAACAAATACTCTTACCATTTAGGCACGAATAGGACGTCTTCACCTTTCAAAAAAACTCAGATAATAATGATCCATGACCAGTAGCGGTGGGAGTTGAGCTGTCACTCGGCGGAGTAAGTACGATTCCCGGCGGAGGACAATATCCATTCGGACCAGGGGCCCATGCTTCTACGGTCAAACACTATCTGTTCCACGTGGCTGTCCCTTCTTCGTCACCTTGCCTCCCCCATATATTTTCTTCGCCTCCTCTCTCCTTCCCAATCTTCGATGTACGTTAAAACTCATTTTCTTCGAATTGGGTTGACCCGTCGACGTCGAATAACAAATTGACATAAGAGCACAAATGAACCACCGATTCAGCTCGTCGGAGAAACTTAATGCTACCAGCCAATTTTCCAGTCTTATTAAGGCGGCGAGACTGGAATTTTCAAGTGGACAGTCAACGGGAGTACTAATTGCACGAGTTAACGCATCTTTTTTCACTTTTTAGCGACGGACGGGTGTCGCGGAAGAGAGGAGGTCAACACGGAGATGGAAGTGTAGACTTTTAATGGGCTGATATCTGGCGCGGTCAAAGATTTCTACGTCGACGTCATAATGATATCAGCACAAGAGTCCAACCCTCCTGGTCAAAAGGTCCCAACTTTCTATTAAGCATTTAATTATATTTATTGCTTAAATATCGTTATCCTAAATCATGATTGCATTAGATATCCAATCCGGTTTCAGCAAATATGGCCTCGCGATCATTTCCCCCAAACCGGATCTTTCTCTCTCCTCTCACGTACACGTGTCTGTTTTCCTGGTATGTAAGCCAGTGGGACGCTGACTCTTTTGTTGCGGTGGATTCCGTTGCAATGGCCAGGTTGACGCGGCGGCAGCAGGTGGGATAGTTTTTTTTAGAGGATACGTCACTGCATACGCACGGCCGCACCCAGTCAATTTTTCTTAGGTGCTATTGGTGGCCATTATTGCAATTATTATTTAATTCCCACGTGATAGTTTTCTCTAAAGACCACTTTTGTTTTCTTTCATCTCGTTCCTATCCCTCTCCGAGAACCGAAGAATCGCCGCGTGGATGGCCCCCCCCCCCCCACTTGGAGACCCCACATACTTATCATTGACAAAGATATTATGGGAAAATAATATAAAATTAGTAAGGGTTCGATTGGTTGGTCGATCCCATGCTTTTCGAGTGTACGAGAGAGAGAGAGAGAGAGAGGTTTCTTTCCCTTCTGGGCCAGGAACTGTTGTTTCCTAGAATGGACGAACGCTAGAAGACGAGAACTGCTAATGGGCTGAGTCAAGTAGTTGCGTATATTGGGCCTGTCGTTAAGTGGGCCAATACGGTCTATTGGGCTCATCGACATGAACGCCGAGGCGGCGTCCGTATCTTTCCCGCCGAAAATGTTATTTTTGGAAATGGTTTTCGGAGTATTAGTTATATTTTACAAAAAATATCACTAAAATGCCAAATTAAAATGACAAATCAGGTCTTTTTTTTTTGGGTTTAATTATTATTCATCCAGGCGTACTTGTCGAAAGCAGCGTTAATCTGAAGAGTGGATATTTACGTAAATGTCTAAGGTCATCGGGGAAAGAGATATTCCACAGGAAGTGGGGAATCGGCGGAGCACTATCTCCGTATAAGAGGTTTCCCCTCGGAGGGAGAGGCAGGATGAGCGGGTGGCCGAGAGAGCATGAGAGAGGTGGAGGTTATCATCGGGTCCCCTCTCGTCTTCCTTCCTCAGAACTCCGGCTACGTTCATCATCTCGCCGGGGGGCACCAGCTGCGGCGGGGGAGGAAAACCTCGGCTACTGGATCATGGCCGCCGAATCTCTCCGTCCGCGGTGGCGGTCTCACCGGCATCGGCAGGATCCCGGTTGTCCCTGCGAACACTACAACCTCTCCAGCCACCAAGACCGCCGACGTAGCCAATCGCAGCCTACTGAAGTACTATGCCGCCCTTGCATCGAAGCTTGCCGGGAGTGGCAGATTGCAAGACTTCCTCATGATCGCAGAGAGTGTGCTGGCATCTGACGCCGTTTCCGCTGGTCAGTCTCAGTTCGTGGCTCGGCTCGACACCCGGTTGGTCTCTAAGGGGCTGTCTTCTATCCTCCGCCGGGGGGAGCTCGAGGAGGTTATGGAGTTTTTGACGAGTGTCGATAAGCTGGGAATCCGGCCGTCGGCCTTGTTCGACAATGTGGCAGCAGAGGATCTCGCTGTTCAGTGCCGCCGGCTAGTGCACAACAGCAGGGTGGAGGAATTCGTTCATGTAATGGAGACACTTGCTGGTTTGTTCGTGGACGACGTGCTTGATAATATACAACAAACATACATCTCTCCTTCATTGTCTGAACGTGAAAATTCCGTGCTAAAATTTCAGGATACCAGTTCTATATCAAGCGTATCGTGGATCCAATTCGGGTTCTCAAGATATTTGTCGAAAAGCGTGATCCAGATATGGCTGTTAGGTACAAGACATCAGTTCGCTATTTTTATTATTTTCGGGGAAAGTGTTTGGTTCTTCTGTTTGTATATCTTTAATGTAGTTCCTTGGCCCACAAGTTCTTGTTGAAGAGCTACATTTTGAAAATAGATCACGTCGACTTAGTTGGCTGAAACTGAACAGGTTCATAGGTAATGTCTGATGAATAGATTCACAGAAACATCCAATAAAATGCTCTAATTGCTTATAATTATATGTCGACTCTAAACATTAGATGCCCATTTAATAACGCACGTGAACTATGTAAGATGGAAAACAAATCAGCTTGAGAAAGAAAACAGTAAAAAAAGTGCAATGAGAAGTATTACTGTGATCATATGTTTGAACCTTTCAGAAACAATAAGAACTCTACATTTAGAACACAAAATTCATCTTTCAACATCAAAAGATACGTTTTTTTGAAGTGGATTGTTCTACGACCTCAATGAGTACAAAAAAATAGTTTTAAGGGCTCAAAAAATGCGTGTGGAATCATCTCAACTTTGCCAAGATGATGCAAAGTCATCTATGATATCCATACTCTCGAGATTTTTGGAACCATCCCCTTACTCTTTACAAAACACTCATGTGTAAACAAAGAGGAAAACTAGTCTGTTGATTGACTCTCCATTGTATAATAAGGAGGATGGGACGTGATCAAGTTGTCTGAACATTGAGTCTGAGTCAGCCAACCCTGGTCACCTTAGGGAATGATGTTATGTAATTGATCTTACCTGGATTGATGAGCGATGCCAAACATAACTCTAAAAGCGTATTTTTGTCTCGAATTTCACTCATATTTAAATTTCTATATTATAACCATTTTAATTTAGTTTAAGATTTCAGAATATACTGTGACTTTCGCTCCACATTTCTAATTTTCAAATGCAGAGATAAAAGATGAATATACTTTTTTTTTATGAAGATATTTTTCAGTATTACACGTCCTAGGTTTTCATTCTGACGATTGCAGCCGTTTGTTTTAAATTTCAAAAGCATATTCACTAATTAGTTTTCTGGACCTTAAGTGTTAATTTATGGATTTATGATGACATTTTTCAATAGTTTGATTGTATTTTGAGATCTTTACCTTTCAGATGATACTTTCCACACAGATGTGACATTATGGATAGAAGCCTCCTTGTTGTGGTGCTATGCCCTAGGTTTTGAGGGTTTAATTCATCTAGATATGGTCTTAGCTGCTAAGTCAAGTAGGGCGAAAGATCTGTTGAAGCCTAGTGGATCTCTATGACACCAACGCTTCCAAAATTTATGCAAGAGCATTGGTGGGCCAGACATTCATGTTTGGCGAACGTCCACATTTCATGTCTGGTATGCTTGGATAGTTTTATAACGATGTTATGATGATGGTGATATTATGAATGATCATAGAGAGTGATCGACATAAGTTTGATAACATTGTATAACCTTCTGAAGAAGATGTTGTAGATGTATAAACTTTGTTTAGTCTCGGTATTTTAAGAATACCACTGGCTTGCCATGATGGTACAACGGACGAGGAGTTGGATGCTTTGTTGGAGAGATTCACTGAATTTAAGATGTTTAAATCTCAAGACTCCCGTGATAGTTGTTCCATGGAGAAAAGAGGATAATATTTAGATATAATGTTTTAAAGAGACCTGGCTTTTGTTCAGGAAGCTCTGGTTTTTGTTCAGGATGCTTCGTTGTAGAGCTCTACTATTATATTATAGAAATATATTTGATCCCGAATTTTTATCAAGTTTGAAAGGAAGTTATCTAAAATTGTTTCCATTCACTATTATGCTAGTTTGGATCATTTGATTGAATACAGTTTTCATGGTTCCTCACGACTGTTTTGTCCTGTGGTAGCTGAGGGACAAATAGCTGTGGGAGTGTTGATGTTTCTAGAAAATTTGCCAAACAACGTTTTGAATTTTGAGCTCGATCCTGGTTAGTCAAATTGGCACGTTGAAACTTTGACTAGAATCATGTTCGAATTTCTTAGGACATTTTTATCCTTCAAACAAGAGTATTCAATGACCTGATTACACATTCGGACATCTATTTTTATTGATCCTAATAAAAACGTAGTGCTAATTATTCCTTTATTTTAGATGACTGCTCATGCATAAATTCATTGCTAATAGGTGGACGTTAAAAATTGGTATAAAACTCTTCACAAGTAAATTTTGTAAAGAACAAAATAAATTATGGCAGTGAATATTAAATTGACTAGCGTACGGTTACTGGTTACTGAACATTCTATTTGAGGGAGGCCTGAAGAAGGAAATAAGAATAGTCAAAGCCCAGGGTGTTGCTAGAGGTAAAATGGTAATGGTTCAGTTACAGAAAAGATGCTGAGAGAGCATTAATGGCTGTTTCTCTATCAGCTGGCCTTGGGCTTTCAAATCACTGGTCATGGGCTGAAGATAGATTCATCAGATCTCTTCGTTCTCACTAGTGCACGGCATCCATACTCATCCTTAATCACGAGTCTGAACTATAACTTATGAGTTTATTTCTTCCATTCATATTTTCTCTATTTTAGATTTCTCCTGGCCAATACTGTATTTTGAGTGTTAACATATAACATTTGTACGTTTTAAATTTATGAGACATTGTATCTTTTTTTTGGTTGGTCGTTCATTTTCAACTCAAGTTGCCAATTTGCAGATATGCCAGTGTTCTTCCACAGTCACAACTTTTGTTCTGTTCCATCATCCAAGAGTTCGGAAAGAAAAAAGATATAGTTTCTGCCTTGAGTGCATTTGAAGCTGTGAAACATAAATCAGGTGGATTTAACATGTTTGCTTGCCGGAGCATGATTGATGTTTGTGGCATTTGTGGCGACTATATGAGATCTAGGTCTCTTCTTAAGGTAACGAGTTCTGATCGTTTCATATAATTCTGCGTTTAACATACGCAGAAGCACAGTACATGTTACCGTTGCATCCGAGGACACACACTATTAATGCACATTAGTTTCCTTTTGCGCTATGCATGTGTATAATTGAAAACTTTTCTAAATATTTGGGCACTTCATGTTTCCTCTTCGTTATAAGAGGTTTATGGTCAAATAGTAAATTTTATATTGAAGTGAGGAGCTATTTTATTGATCTTGGAATATCACGAAGGATTGTGGCATTTTCCTTTTTGGAAAAACTCTGGCCTCTGGCTTCACCCAGTCAGATTATGTGTTTGATTACGTTTGCAGAAAGTGATTGTGATTTGCTCACAGGGATGCATAGTTTTTCTGGAAGTGAGTCGTGCTTAACTTAAGGGGGGAGAGTTCTGTGTCTCGTCTAAAACCTGGCTACTCACGATGAAACAAGGGTTTTGCATCGATCAACTGTCTTTTCATATGAAATGATAGATTATTTATGATCTGGAGACCTTAATTTATTTTTCAAATGAAATTTCCTGGAGGACGACAACATATATTAGAAAGAGATGGGTAAGGATGATAAATTTTGAAATACTTATCTTTTCATCTGGATGATTAACTAAAAGTATTGTTGTCTTTTCATCCTGGAATAAGAATAGTAATTCAAAAGGTGCTATAAGATGTATAATAGAGGGCTATGCACAGCAGAACGGGAAAAAAGGTTCTGAAGAACATCATATTACAGAAAGGGGTTTCACGTAGTTGACTTTTTTGTGTTGTTCATCATCTTGCGCTTTCCAACTTTTGATTAATGATAGGAAACATTAAACTCTACTACTATTTGGGGTGCTTTTGTGGATCGAAGTGCTCTGTTCTATTTCAAACACAGTAGACATATGATGGAATATTAGGAACCATGAGTGACTTCTGATCGAAATATAACAGGAGAACATAGATAAACAGAGTTTGGGAAGAATGGGGGAAGAACGAGGCCCACGAGGGAACCCTAATGATAACAGGGGAGTTTGAGAGGCCCCCCGGCTCTCTGCCTGTTCCTGGAATGACATTTTCGCCCTTCTTGCGGCAGCAAGAAACTTGGGCTGGAGACCCAGCAGTGAATATGCCCGGCAAGGGTACAGTACTGTGATGGACTGGGGGCCCATCAACATATTTCTTAATCTCTTTTGCAATGTATATAATTTAGCTCGTAAGGTTTAGAGCTACCGTACCTTTTCATCAAGCATGTGTGAAACTTAAATGGGGGTTACAGAAAGAGGGCGAATTCACCGAATCTTTTTGATCCAATACTGTTCTATCCTGTCTGGTGATGGATTTATTGCATTATAGAGTATTGCTGTGCCAAAGTATTGCAGGAGTATCTATTTCGCATATCTCTATATAGATCTGCATCCAAGTTACTAACTACCTTATTTTATGGGGAGTATGTATACTACTCGTGGCTTTCCTGCCTGCTATAGGAATATTGCTCTTAATCTTCCGCCTTACCATTCTATTATCACCCCTTCAATTTCTCCTTGTTCAGACGACAACCTTACATTCACATTTATTTTAATAACTTGCGGGGTTGCAACTTCCAATCCTTGATGAACTCTTCATTCATTAGGCTCAAATGACATTCATTCATTCTTTTTCTTCTTCAAAGTGGTCAAAAGGTGCGTCTTCTTTAACAAAATCTCTTTTTTCATTTTGCTGTCCAAATATGTTATATCAGTGACGAATAGATGTCAAGTCTCTCATATACCTTCCGGTTTCTTGAAGAGAAAAGTGTGGGGACGTTTGCTAGAAATTTTCTTCATTTTTGGTTTTCTCATTTGTCAAGTGAAAATTAAAGGGAGAGCTCTTCTAAATATCCCTTGTATGTATTTCGTTTAAGAGGTGTTACGGAGTCTGACCTTTTTCTCCTTTTTCTGTGTCACTAGTGAACCCTTAGAGGAGGTCAAGGTGCATGATTATTTGTTGGGATAGCATTGATGAGACCTTTTCAAACAACGTGAACTAATTGTCTTGGATCTACCTTCTTTAGAGTGGGTATGCCATATAATTGTCTAGAGAATAATTTTTGTTAGTGATGAAATGGGGGGGCTTTTCCCATGAAGCTCATCCATGCCAATTTTATAGAGAATCCAACGAAGAATTAGTGGTGATATGCGCTGACCTGATTAAAAGCTTGTTTTAAAAAATATATTTGATAATTTATTATACAATTAGTGGACCAATTAGGTCGGGAGTCCTCTTATCCTCTTATACCTATTAGTTTTTTTTTGGGCAGGGGCAAGTTACTTTCTTTTTGGTGAAGTTGTTGATATTGTTTTTAGAAGATGCCGGAAACAACTCAGATGATAGCATACTTTAAAATTACTCTCCTAACGGAAGTTTATATGATTGCTTTTGGAGCATTTGCTTTTACACCGTATTGAATCTATACTCGGACATATGGTTTCATTTATAAATCTACTTTGTTCAACTAAAGTAGAAGTCTCTAAGGTTTTGAAAAATATTGAAAGGTTCAATTTTAGACATCTAGATTTGACATTCATATTATTTTCACATTGTCTTGAATGTGATAGCCGCATACTTGCATAATTTTTACCTTTTCTACCTTAATCACTTGAATGCCGTTCTAACTGCATCCTTTATTGCAGGAATTTCTCACACAGAAGCTAATTCCGAATACTCATGTTTTCAACAGCCTTATGAATGTGAATGCTCATGACTTGAGCTACACCTTCTATATTTACAGAAAAATGCAAGTAATACTATCACTTTTTTTCCTCATATCTTCATAGGTAGGTTTAGTAACTTCGAGGAATTGCTAATTAATAATATTTGTAGTTGCAAAAGGTATTTAATGCATTCTTTTTCATTCAATTTTTCTCAGACGCATGTGCTTGTAGAATTTTCATAGAGAATCAATGGCCATACTAATATGGCTATTTATGGGCATGGAAGAGTGAAAGAATGATTACGGTAAATCGTAATTTTTGTATTGTGGGTAGTTTTAACCGGATAAAAACTCAGATTTACCGAGTACTCCGGTGTGGGGGGAGAGAAAAGTGCAATTCATTATGGCTGCATGCCCTTTTAAAATGCTTTTATCACCTTTCAAAGTTTACCTTCCCATAAACTCTCCTTTGGTCTCCTTCTCCGCCTTAATTCTCCATAAGAAAACATTCAGTAATAAAACTATTTATAAAGTGGAATAATCTCATGGTGAAATGAGAGATTTCCAATATTTGGGGATCTCCAAGGCTAATTCACTCTCGAGGCCTACTGTGAGGTTTTCGCTACGCAATATTCTCTCGGAGCCAGTGACCTACTTAATAACAAATTTACTCTTACATTAAGGATAACAAAGAAATCAAAATTTCTAACTTATAAACGCACATAGTAAGTTTAGAGAAGAGCTTTAAGGGCATAGGTGGCTTCAGAAAGTCTTAGAAGAGGTTGATACCACACCGCAAGAGCTTAAGTTTCACCTTGTACTTGAGGAGAGACGTGAATCTTTAGGGTAAATAACCTTTGAATCCCATGCGTGTTTCTCACTCCATAGTGACTTATTAATAACCTGAAAGAACGACGCGTTGTGATTAAGAAAATCTCGTTGGTTGCTGATACATGCCAATGAGTGATCCACATCTTGTTCCAATAGTTAAATGTGTGGATAATGCTGTTGACTCTGTGCAATTTTATTTTGGCTTTAAATAGAAAATGCCAACAGATGGGGCGATTCTGTGTATCTTATTTCTGTCCAAGATCAGTTGCCAGCACGTGTTCATGAGTTATCAACAAGTCTTCTTCTGCAGTTGTCAACTACAATACCTAGTATCATATTTTTTCTTAGTTCTGCAAAGTTGTTCACAACTGGGTTGAAATTACTTAAATTTTTTTCAGTAGTCCAGTTTAGGTGTTGATAACTGGCAAGACATTCAAGATTTAAAAGCTATGATAAATTATTATAAAATAATTATTTTAAATATTTTGTCACTTGAATAGTGAGCATTGGAATCTGACCAAAAACTTGCCATTTCCTTTTGGATATGTAGTTTGCGTCTGCAGAACCAATGGTTTTTTGTCCATGACCTGAGAGCTGCACAGTGTTAGAAATACCATGGAATTATATAAACTTCAGTGACTCAACCGCTCTTTTGCTAGTGGCAAAATAGTTTTCTTGGTTTATTCCTTTCTTATGCAATGCAATTTCTAGTTGAAAGATGATGCATGTAACGTTATTACGCTCTTTCTGGTCTACTCTTGAATCTGATGCCTTTTTTTCGCATTCCAGAGCATGAATGTTAAATTGGATGTGGCTTCTTACAACATACTCCTAAAAGCCTGCTGTCTAGCCAAGAGGGTTGACTTGGCGCAGGACATTTATGAGGAAATAAAGTACATTGAATCGACTAGAACTCTTGAACTGGATGTCATTACATATAGCACGATGATCAAGGTGACTACAAATCTGATATAATTTTCTTAGTTTCGTCCAAATCTCTGTAATGTAACCTCTCACTTTCAGTCCTGCAATAAAGCAGATAGATTAATGTTTAAACCTAGCTCTGTCTCATAAATCATCAACTACAGTTGAATTCCCCAATTGGATTTCAGGCATTTGCAGATGCAAAAATGTGGCAAATGGCCTTGAAGGTAAAGGAGGACATGCTATTGGCGGGTGTCAAACCAAATATAGTGACATGGTCTTCGTTAATCAGTGCTTGTGCCAACACAGGCCTAGTTGATCAGGCTATCCGAGTGTTTGAAGAAATGCTGTCATGTGGCTGTGAACCCAATTCACAGTGTTGCAACATTCTACTAAATGCTTGTGTCAAGTCCTGTCAATATGACAGAGCTTTTCGTTTTTTCCATTCCTGGAAAGAGACTGGGTTTAAAGTTTATTCTAACGTTGGGAATAGAAATTGCGTTGATGAGCTAGGTAGCATTCCAGCGATAACAGGCAGTGAATCAACTCCAGGAATTGGCTTATCTAGTGATCAAGTTATAGGCCACACTAAGGTGGTGGCTTTCAGACCAACAACTGCGACATTCAACATCTTAATGAAGGCCTGTGGTACGGACTATCATCATGTCAAAGATCTGATGAATGAAATGAAAGAGATGGGTCTTTCTCCAAACCGCATAAGCTGGTCTGTTCTCATTGATATGTGCGGAAACTCGTGCAACATGAGCGGTGCTCTGCAGGTGACAGGCTCTGCAACACAGTTTTTTATTTATTACTGACTATTTTGTTCTCATAGACTCTTTATTCCATGTGAACATTTTATCTCTAGTAATTTTTCTTTTTCTTGTGTATCCTAGTGTATGTATCCATGCCAATGGGTGGATTGAAAAAGAATGGGCTATTGTTTCCGTGAAAACTTCGAAGCACATGGCGTTAGCCGTGTGCTTATAATCCCTTTGGCCAATAACACGTCAAATAACGAATTTTATATTTTTCATGGATGAATGCTTCATAGGTTGACAATTGATTTTTTATTTAGAACTCACTGTGCATGTCTCATTTTCGTCTGTTTCTTGGAGATTGTGAACCATGAAGGTTATCTTACAGGAATCCGTCGTTCGTGTTTGTGGCTGTGTGAAAGCATGAAATTCTGGAATCAGTTTCTCTGATGAGAACTGATTTTACAGAAGCAAAAAATATTCAGCTTGTAGGGAATCTATTTTCCTTCGATTGGTTTTACAGAAGTGCATACCCATTACGCCTTTTTTATTTTAACTTAAACAACCCATTACGTCGCCATAGTTGTTTCCAAGTAGATCAGATAGCAAGCAACAAGTCGGTGGACACTTTCAATCATTCTGGCTTAGTTCATACCTGAGGGAGTTTTTGAAATATTTCACTGCATTATCGGTTCACATTTTATTATTCGAGACTACCACGTGTGAACACGATTTGTTCAACAGTGAGATTAAAGGTCTCATTCTCTTAGGTACCCATGTAGAAGTAGAACATGACTCTTTTGTATGGTAAACAATCCCACGGTTGGTTCAGTATTCTGTACGCTTGGGGGTATTGCACTATTCATGTCCTTGTATATGACTCCATGCATTGCATGCTTGAAATCATCAAAGTCTTTCTTTCTTTTGTGCATCTGTCCCGTTGAGTGATGACATTTGAATCTTTGCTTTTCATCTTCTGGTTGTAAATTTCTTCCAGAAATCGAGGGCTGAGCTATCCTTTTCTTCTGGTGCAGGCCTTCAAAACAATGCGCGGGGTTGGAATTAAGCCTGATGTTGTAGCATACACCGCTGCCATTAAGGTTTTCTGCCGTTTATGTATTATATTATATTTTTATTTCGGTCAACTCTTGGTTAGCGTTCTGTTTCCTCTGCGACTTTGTTTCACAGTTAATATTTTGTCCAGTGAATATGCTGAATTGACTTCAACTAAATTATGACTGCTTTGTCTTCTCATCTCTGTGATTTGACAAGTTATGGATGATCACTATGCAAGTATCATTGTGGCTCTTTCTTTTTCGCTTGTTAATGATTATGACAGATCACTAAGATGGCCGGAATCATTCAATGTTCTTAATTTGATTTCATGTTCTAATTCGTATGTTTGGATCCTTTTCACTTAGGGTCTCTTCAACGTCAGAATATCTAAAACCAAGAAATGAAAATAAAGTAAAAAAGCCTACAACTCACTTTCTTTCATTGATGATCTTGGGATGCAGATGGTGGGCCTTTTGGGCAAGAAATTTTTTATTATCTCAATGACCTCATTTTATTATTCCTGGCAGAGGCTCATAAATTTGAATAAAATTTCAAAAGGAAATTTGAATAATCCAATTGCTTGGTTTCGTGAACAGATGGTGGGCCGTGAAGTTGGTGTTCATACGTTAGAATTCTATTGTCAGTAGGGTTGAACGTCAGCTAGTCTCTTCTCCTAGATCATCCGTCATCCTTCATCTTCCTTTGTTAGGAGCCTCATCGATCTTCTGCTTTTCTAGCTCTTCGTTCATCCTTCCCTTTTTAGGTTGACCTGCTTCCGGCTCCCTGAAGGGAGCTCCCTATGTTTTTAAGGGCTTGGCGACTATCAAGAGGCCACCCATGTGTAGTAACTTCCTCACCGGGGATTCCCCACTTGGGGAGAGCCACGTGTGGGCCTCTTTCGGACTGCCTGGCTGGGCCATGTAGGAGTTGCATGTGATCAGCCTGGGTAGATTGGCTGCTATTTTTAGATATTACCATGACGTGTAAATATGAGTGTAAATATTTATTAAGAATTTTAAAGTTTAAATGCACGAGCATACATGCACCTTCACCTTCCCTCTTTGTTGGGTGAATATGTTCTATTAAATGGCAACCATTATGGAACATCCGTGGCAAAGGATTCTGCAATTTTCGTTTGCCACTGGTAATAAAGAATCACAGAAAACAAAATTCTGTACAAAGCGTTAATGGGCTTTACCATCTACCATCTGTTGAATCTTTCTGTAGTCTTATGAGTATGGTTTCTTGCGTGCAGATGACTGTGACGTTGTTTTTCCATTTCTCTCATAAATTTGTCTTCTATATAATTTTCTCGAGAACACCAGGTTACCCGATTAGTTTTTTCTTGAATAACATAAGCTCGTTTTTCTCTGTAGGCGTGCGTAGCGAATAACAATCTGAAGATAGCGTATTCGTTATTCGAAGAGATGAAAAGATACCAAATACATCCCAATTTGGTAATCATCAGCAACTCGTGTTTATTTATTCAATGTCTTTCTCAAGGGTTACTATTAAATTGATCTCTAACTGCCATATAATTCTCATGATGAAGAACTGTCATGATTAAAATTTTATGTTGATGAATGTGATCATTTTCCCATTATTTGGCGACCATTTAAAGAAGCAGATTGGGGGCTACTCGGATTAATGCTCTAACAGTCTGTTTCGCAGACAGAAGACGTTGCAAGTGTTTAGTCGTTTCTCTTGAATACGATGAGTCCCACGATAAAACAATTAACTAATCCGAACCGGTTCTTTGCTGTGGAAGAATCCAATGAAAAACAAGAGTATCCTCTCTCCTACACATTTGGCCTGATGAGATATCATTCTATGGAAAAATACCCAGTCCAAGGTTGAGTATCCTGTCCCTTACCCACGTCGCCACTTCCATCCTGTTGCCAAACGGGGAAGTTTGATTTTGAACTACCTCGCAGAGAGCAGGGAGATTTACACCGATTCGATTCTTTTAATATTTTGACTTTTTGGGTCCAGTGCCATTCAACCGATATCCATCGGCTCTGGTTCAGTTTGGGCAGGTCAATGCCTCTTTTGTCCATTGTTGTACCACCCGGGTTCCAAATTGTGAACTTAGAAAATAGTGATGGTAATCAATCTTTCAAAAGGGATGAGACATTTCAAGATCATTTTTTCTTTTCGAATGTTGATACTTGTGACACCTGGGGGTGTCAATGAGCCCAACGCCTTGTCCAGTGGGGCGGGGCTTTGATTCTCTCTCTCTCTCTCTCTCTCTCTCTCTCTTTCCTTCTCCCTCTCTCTAAGGACAGGTGCTTTGGGGGTCTTGTTATCTGTGGTGTGCCAGACCATTCATTGTGTGGGTCTGGTCAAAAGCCTATATTTTGCAATTCTTTAGGCCCTCTTCTGGTCCAGACCTTTAAATAGATGCCCGGTTTGGGCTGGACTTGCCAAGTCCCCAATCCGGACCTGGGCCCACCCGGGCCATTGACTCCCTAATCGCACTGCAAATAACTTGAGGGGTGATTCCCGGCGATACATTTATGTACTTGTGGTAGCCTTTCGTAACTCTTCTAAATGCTTAAATGGCTAATCCCTCCCTCCCTCCCTCTCTCTCTCTCTCTCCCTCTTTCTCTCTTAACGTGTGGTTATCCAGGTCACATACAATACTCTTCTCAAAGCTCGTACCAGATATGGTTCCTTGCACGACGTTCGGCAATGCCTAGCCATGTACCAAGACATGCGTAGAGCTGGGTGAGGATAACAAACAAGCGCTCCTTTTGTTCAGTGAGGAGTCGGTTCTTCACCTACCGTGGTTTTCTCGTTTGCAGGTACAGTGCAAATGATTATTTTCTCAAGGATCTGCTGGGGGAGTGGTGTGAAGGTGTTCTGGGCACCGCCACCGGAAGCAGAGGGCTCCTGGGCTTCAACGACCATCTCCCTGAAACTTGCGAAAGCAGGGCCCAAAGTCTCTTCATTGAAAGGGTCGCCGTTCTCCTGCAGAAAGATGTCAGCGAGAACCAGGTGGTCGACCTCCACGGGCTCACAAAGGTAAAATATTTTTTCTAATTTAGTGTCAATTGTGGGTGGGTTTTCTAGGATTGGGCCAATCTGCTCTCTATCCCACCCAGTTCTTGGCGTCGTCCAAAGAGGCTGGCTTGCAACCGTGGTGCCCTTTTTCTGCCAAACGGGGCTCGCGAGGCAGTCGCAAACTTTACAGACCGTTTCCAGTCTTCTCCTTTCGGCCTAGGCCCAATGCAACCCTAAACCTGGATGCATATCTCATCCTTTATATATCATAAATTCAGTAGGTGTTCCGTCATATTTCCCTCAGAATCTGAATCTCGCCTTGACCGCAGGTCGAGGCCCGGGTGGTGGTTCTTTCGGTTCTAAGGATGATCAAAGAGAGCTACGGGCCAGGTGACCAGACTCCCGAAAATCTCCCCTCACACAAAACTCTTCCCGTCAAGCACCTCGTGATCTCTCCTCCGATGGCTGTCGCAGGCCACCCAATCGACGAGGATCTGATCATCATCACCGGCATCGGCAAAGAGATCCCAGGCGAAGTCCACCGTGAATGGGACGTGAAGCATGCGATCGTCAAGCTCCTGCAGGATCAGCTGGGTCTCGAGATCTTGGTCGGCCAGGGGAGAGTACCGGCCGGGGTCAAGGACGTGAACCTTTCCAGACCGGGCACGAGCTCTTCCGCCACTCCCCAGAGGAGCGGGCCCTCTGAGAAGAAAGCGTCCTTCAGGAGACCGGAGGACATGGGAATGCTAAGAGTCACGAGGGAGTCGTTACAGCGTTGGCTACAGAACAGGCAGTAAGGCTCGATCTTCACTCCTACCCTTTTTTCTTCCCCCGATCAAGCTTATGTAGGCTGAATCTTCTATAGCAAAAATATTATTACTCTGCAAGGTTTTCTTTGCCTTACTAATCGAGAGAGCAGATGAAGGTACGTCTTTAGCTAAGCGCAGCACGAGGGGGTTTTTACTGCCGAGGCTCTGACCCACTGTGGGTTTAGCGAGAGAGGCCTATAAAAGACGGAACCCCATGAAGCCAAGCCCATGCCAGTCTGTGGTTTAAGAGAGATAAGCCCGCGAAGACGGACCAGCCCTGGCCGAGGCCCAGGCCCAATGTGGTTTTGGAGAGAGGCATGGAGTGACAGGACCCTTATGAAGCCCAGCCCAGGTGTCACACGGTTAGGCTCTTCTGTGGCAGCTCTTTTACACGTCTTTCGCCCTTTTACGCGTCAATTGTTGCATAGCAATCACGTCTATTCTTGGTGTCCATGACAATGCATGTGAACGCACTTTATAATGTTCTTGCATCCTTCTCTCCACGTGCTTATCTGGCCGCGTGCCCCCCCCCCTCCCCCTCCCCTTAAAACTACAACGTCTCACTCGGCATAGTGAGGAACTCTTAGGTGAAGAACTGCACCGAGTCATTCTCTTTTTCCTAGGTGGTGGCTTTTATTGACTTGTCATTCAGGTGGACTGTAAATGCGACGTGGCGATGTAAGTGACCACCACTAGTGATGACTGTGTTCTAAGATGGCTTGGGCGTTCTTGATGGTAAAGGGGGAAGTCATTATAGCTTGTTACATTTAAGTTTTTTGTTGATCTCTTATACTATTTTAGGAGGAATTGTGGAAGACATGATTTATAGCTGGTATTATGGTTAAGTAGGGGAAGTAGGTTATTTAGTCCATGATGACCTCGAAGGGTATTTCATACATAATCAGGAAGCCGTGATGTCATTTGGTGCTGTGCATGCCAGTCCGTGATGATGACTTGCAAAAGCACTTTGTCGCTGATCTCCAGCTCCATCTCGTGTTGATTGCAATTGACATTTTTCTTCATGTGGTAGATGGCATGGACTAGAGCTTTCCTGATGTCTGTCAACATCTCTTGACATTACTTGACCATTTACTATGTCATTGGACAATGAATTGCTGCCTCTAACAAGTTGATTAAGGTGGTTGGTTACTTTCTAATTGCTAGCTCAAAAGAAGAATATCATATGGCAGAACTTTGGCTAATGTTGTAGGCAAATTGGGATGTTTGATAACTCCACCTAATTCTCTAGTGAGGTCATCACTTAATAGCAAATACATTTATTGAGTAACACACTCACTCATTATTTGTCTATGAATGTCAAACCATTGAGAAGTAGAGTTTGATGCCAAGTTTGGAGAATAAAGTATCTCGATGCTGAATATGATGACTAATGTAGTCCCTAAAATTTGATGACATGAATTAAGAAGAGCTTCTTAGCTTTATTTAAATTACAAGTGACTTGGATAATGGTGAATATGATGTACTTGGACAACTTGTCGACAACAATAAGAATGTTCTAGTTGTTAACTTGAGGACAGTCGGTGATGAAATCTATGGTGATTGTCCACTATAGTTTATTTGGGAGGGGAGAGGTTGAAGCATCCTTGTCCTTTTCACATAGTGCGGTTTTATCTTGTTGGCAGATGAGGCACAATTAAATAATGGCTTCTACATTTTGCTTGAGTCTTGGCTAAAAAAAAGACCAATTGATGAGAGCAAGTATATGTGTTAATGATGTGAGTGATCTAATCATGACATGTTGAGAATTATAACAAGCCATTGTTATGAGAATAGTATACATGTTTTCCCTTAATATAGAGAAATCTATTTTCTCCTAGAAATGTCATCTCCTCTATATGTACTCATCATAGGAGATGTTATGTTATTATACTTTCGTATGCTACTTATATTTCTCATACTAGGTTGGAGGATGTCGTAATGATGCGAATGTGGTTATGTACTCTATGTTAGTTTGTTTGCTTGTGGGTTTATGATAACATTCTCTAGACTTAATTTATAATAAAGTGTGAAATTATATTATATGAGGTAATATTGTCACATCACATATTTAGGTGACAATCATTATTGAGATTAAAATCAACTATTGACCACATTGTTGATTTTGATGTCAACGTGGTTGTCTAGGAGGTAAGGTCTTCACACCAGAAGACAATGGATGATAGTGGTCATTTCCTACTCATGTGTTGAGTATCACTAGTTGGTGTTATTAAGCTTTGACTCTTGAAAGTGATGGGGTTTACTTTCTAGCTTAATATTGTGTAAATTACTTCATCAGAGTCATATGTATACCATAAATTATTTGGCAAAATTTAATAATCTTATGATGACTTCATTAACAACATCATCTTATCTTAGTGTCATATATTCTTTTTGTGGAGAAAATTAATAAGAGGCACTACTAATATTGAGAAACTACAAATAAATTATTAGTAATAGTTTGAGAATCTTAAGAATGATTGTACTTCAAAAATATTATCTAGCACCACCTAATCTTTAATGACCTAAATCTTGGTGTGATGTTTGCATTATGTTAAGTTTAATTCTATGACTTAAGAATTCTACTTTAGCAACAATGACATTATAGCTGGGTTGGATGGAAGAACAAGTTATGGTTATCAATAGTTTTTAAGATTGTCTATAGATACTTCTTATAGTTTGCTATTGTGTTAGTGTAGATAAAATTATTGTGTAATTTGATGATCACAAATTGTTTTAAGTATTATTGAAATATGTAATTCATTGGAGTGTAAAAAGATTAATTAATCAACTCAAAAGACATACATATGAAATAGAATAAGTTATAGCAAGTCACATATGTAGTCTTATATTTGTCTCCTCTTATACATACTTAATGATACTTACTTTGGAGGTCAAACTAAGAGAAAACTCAAGAGCCTCTTATTCGATCAAATAACTATTCCTCATTAAGGATCAGGTACTTGTCTATGGTAGTAATTTTGTTAATGGCCTTATAATTGACGCAAAGGATTAGTGTGTCACATTTTTTCTCATAGAAATGAATTAGAACTTCAAGTGATAATTTAAAAAACTAGATATGTCTACCTTAATAGTGCATGAATTATCATTGAAGTTCTTCTAGGTATGCAAAAGTTTTTTTGTGATACTTTTATTAGTATGACTTCTACAAGTAAAAGTTTATTGATATGATTGATATCATGTCATGATGTACTATGAAGGCAACTTATTCAAGAGGAAATCATTATACTCTTTTTGTACTCATTAGATGAGTTCTAGTGATGCTGATTTTGCTTCACCACCCTTTATTGCCCTTTCATTGTGACCAAGTATATCATGTTGTAGATTAATATACACAGAGAGAGTTGAGATAAATTATAAGTTTAATGTGAGTGGTTGTGTATCTAACATGAAGTATGACCTTCCTTCATTGTATATGATATTAGGACAATGTTGGTTGACAGATGCTTATGTCTTACTTAAAAAGTCAAGGTTGAATATGGTATTGAAATCATCCATCAACAAGATAAGAAAAATCGTTTATCCTTCTTGTGCTCACACCCAACAGACTTAGTCATGATGATTAAGAATTGGACTGAAATATTTATTGTCCATCTGGTGTGCTCGTACACTTATTGTGCATGGCACGTAATCTCACTATGTTGTACCTTGCTAAAGTATCTATCAACTATAAGGTTTGACATGAAGAATCTCACCTCTCACCTTACTATGCTTGATAAGTCTTCATTATCATGAGTGAATAATTAATAAATAATATACTTTTAGTTTTAACTCATGATGAATAGACTTATATTTGTGTTAAATTATGAAAAGTAGTTTTCAATTGATTATGTGATTTTATATAATTATTATAATTATATTTTTGAGATAAATAAAGAAAAAAGAAATAAAAATAAAAAATAGAAAAAAGAGAGGACCCTCTAGCTAGTTGGCCCCACAAGTAGGTTGGAAGTGCAATCAAGGCAGAGCTCCGAACAGAGGCTCAAGTGACTATGGATAGATGGGAGAATGTGTGTATCACTCCTCTTCCACATCACCAGTGGCCAGCCAATTGTGAGGCAAGGAGTGATCCTACACACACAAGAAAAGGACTCATCGCTTCTAAATGTGGCTAACTAGTGTATAACTAATGTGGGACTAAATCAATGGTCACACCTTCTGTGAAATATTTTGATGATTGTAATACCTAAAATATCCTTTATTTATAACAACGAGATACCATGATGACATCACTTTATAAGAGTATTTGAATACTTATTCACTCTCTCTCACAAAGGCAGGCGACTGATGCTGATTCGAATCTTATCAGAGCCAAAATTTATATTTTTATGTAATTAAATTGTGATTTTTTTATAGTTCAATAGTGAAAGATTAAGTCGTCAAAATCGTTCGATCATCGACAAAAATCTTGTCAATGTGATTCGTGAAGCATTGTTACTAAAATTATTGAACGATTCGTGATAAAAAGATCGCAAATCTATTGAGTAAATCATCTTCAATTAATTGACGAACAAGTTGTCATCGAGAAGAGGACGATCTACTAAGAGACGAGTCACTACTTCTTGAGAACGTATTAGATGTGATGAAGAACCTCTTCTTGCTGTGCAGACTTAAGAATAAGGAGTAAACTCCTTAACATGTGTCTTACTTTTATCAAACTTTTTTCTATTTAGTGACAACTATTGAAGAGTCATAATGTCATCGTTTTTCTGTTCTATCGAGTGATAACTATCGAAGATGATTTAACGACCCATTTTATTGATCTCTAGACTTTGCAAAAAGATTTAAACATTACCTACGTCGTCTTTAACTAAAGAGAATCTTCGAAGCCATAGACACTACACGACAATCTTTCCAAACACTCAAAATTCTAACACATTATCAACGTATCACCGTTGTGACATTAGAATTATATTTTATTATTTTTTAATTAATTTAACTTTTAGATGAAACTTTATTTTACTCAATTCACATTCGTTGGGTGCTAACATCATCTTGACACTACATCATTATTTCTCTTTTTTATAAATTTTAAATATATTTTTTTATTTATAAACATAAAATTTATAAAAAATCATATTATTCAAAAAAAATCTAAAATATTACTTGATATTACATTACATCATACTTAAAAAATTATTACTTTTATTTAATTATAATTAATTAAATAATTTAAACATAATTTTAAATATCTAAAAATTAATATTGTCTAATTTTATAAATTTTAAAATAATTTACATGATTTATTATACAATGACTAAGTCAAGTCACAACCTCTCGTGTGGATGTAGAGCAAGTGGGCATTGAGGAAGGAAGATGCCAAGTCTAAGAAAATGGGGAAAAGGGGAGAAGGAAAAATAAATCATGAGCTTCCAAACTAGATCTTTTCTTGGGCCCATTAAAAGCTCAATAACAAGTTCATTTGTGTTAACACGTTACCATTTTAAGTAAAAAAAATAAAACAAATGATAGCATGATGGCGAGAAACAAATAACACACCTCCCAATATATCAACTAAAGTGGAAGCTCCCTCAAGCGAGTGTCCACTCGTGGCAGAATAACCTCAAGAGTGGTCAGGCTTACTTATATAGAAGACAGTTGGCGTGGATAGAGAAGGCCTCAGGCCCACCCATGTAGAGAGCTTGCCCATAGATGGGCCATCTACTCGCCTTCTCTGTATAGGAGCACAAACTATGGGCCGACATATCATCTGTCTCATATTCTAAGGTAGGATCTATACCAAACTTATTGTGAACAGCAAGCATTTATCACCTCTTGTATGTCTGGGTCGTCTCCAGCTTCTTTGTCCTGAGAAGGTGACAAGGAGAAGCTGGAATAATTTAGAGAGAGAGAGAGAGAGAGAGAGGACCGGGCCGGCCCACCCAATTTTTTAGGCCTCGAACCTTAAAAAGTGTCCGATTAGTGTTCTCTCTGGGTCTAGTCTAGAGTAGGGGTGAGCCAGGCCGACTAAAGGGTTTCATAAAGGGGCCGGTCCAGTCTGTACTATGAAGGCTGGATAAGGAGTGAGGATGGGCCGGAGCGAGCCCTGAGGCCCGACCCAGAGTGACTCTTCTGGGTTTGGGCTGAAAAATGAGGCAAGAAGGGAGATCTTGGCAATAGTTTGGACCAACTACTGAGCTCCCTCTCCATTTATATTCTCGGCCTGGGCTTCGGAAGACTGGTTCCAAACCTCACCCTCAGCCCTTGACCAGGCCCGGCCTCACAAATAACCGATTTACTCATCACTATAAGATAATAAAATAAAATACTAACCTTGTGAAAATAGGAGATGTTACTCTTTCCGGGGCCCGCCACAAGAATCCCACCTTGCTGCCTGAAAAACCAAAAACCCCACGCTTAAAAAGAGGAGAGCAAGGCTCCTGCAGACTCTTTCACCGGACCACTGGAAATTAGCTATGAAATTAGGAGCCTACCAGCCACCTCTCGCTACGGTGTCCTTCTTAAACGAAAGCCCCCAGTCTTGTCGGTATCCTTGCATGTACAACTGTATGATCTTCAAGCCGGCCTGTCAAGACTAGGGAGACGACTGAGCCATGAAGAGAAGAGGGAGGGGGGGAGTGCGAGGGGTTTCCTTCAGATTATTATATCGAGGTAGTTCTTGGGTACCAATGGGGTAAACGTCGTTGTTACTCCAGAGACGAAGTTCAGAGCCTCAAAGGATAGATGCCCGGGGTCTGCATAAACCTCTGCATCAGAGCAAAAATGGTTAGAATCGATTTTTTTTTAAAATAAAAAAAAACTTTTTAGGGTTCAGGGTGCCCCAGAAACGAGAGAAAATATAGAAGAATCTGGGGCTGGCCTCAGTACAACGTGGGGAGGAGAGGGGATCCTGGCCTTTCGAATCTAAGCCAGAGAGAGTTTCAGATGACTGCTGTATAAGGCAGGGGAGATGTAGAGACTCAAGTGACGGGCCCAGAGTGGAGAATACTCTGAAGGACAGAAGTGAGTAGACGTTTTCGTGTGGCAAACAGCTCTGGTTATTGGCCTGTGATATTTCTCCCACCTCTGTGGAGGAGTTTCTTTGGAGGACTAGGAAAATATTTTTTCTCTAAATCACGAAAGAAGGGATTAAATTTAATCTAATAGAATTTTTTGAACTTATGAGAGTGTACCAAGAATATTTAGGTGTGTCAATGAAAGAGATAAGAATCAACCTTCTAGAAATACGTGAAAACTGTCAAAAGAAAAAACCAATGGTGGATTACCGTACGAGTCACGATATTAAATACCATTAATCATGAGATTACTGTGTGTAGAAACCTATGTGAGGCTCAATCTCGAACGTACCTCCCTTGAATTTCGTTTGTTGTGAAAATGCCTTCGCCTGGACCAGGAAAGTCAGAGTAATAAATATGAAGGCACCAAAAAGAATCAGAGAAAATGGGACGAAAAAATATTGTGGAAAAGCAAAGACAGAGCATTCAGGCTTGAAATTTTAGTCTTGTCAGTGAAATTAGACAGATAGAACCCCAAAACGCCCTATGCTTATGAAATTCTCTCGACGCACTTTCAGGAACGTTCAAATCAGTTTAGCTACATAGTATTTTCCAAAGAAGATGGATATTAGTAGGATTTTTGTGAATCATTTCAATGGGCTTACTTATGCTAGAGAGAATATTGACAAAGAATCAAAACAAGAATATCTACCCAGCAAATGAGCTTTTGAATATTCAAAAATATTCTGCTAAAAGTGCCTACTAGGATAAGAAAAATGGGCTCCTATATAAGTTGTGCAGAAAAAATATTTTATATCCTCAAAAGGTGGAATTCCAGGACTTCTATGGAGATCGGCCTTCGAAGTACGATTTGTTCTGTAGGCTAAGCAACAAGGATGTCACATACCTGATCAACACTGCCGGGTCCAATTAAAACAAGGGCAACGCCAGCTGCATCCATTACCTCCTACAAGGGGAAACCATGGTTACATATATCTTCTGTTTTTATACAAGTTTAGTTCATAATACTTATATGCTTTTTAATAGTCGTCTTATTACCTTCTTGGAAGCCAGAAGATCAGCTTTTCTTCGGCAAAAAACGCACCTGAAACGTGAGACCAAGGAAGAGGTTATCTCTTCCTTCATCAATCCTATCTTATAATTCTTTTACAACAAATCTGGGGATCAACTTAGATGAGGGGAATCCACGATAAATTCTGCGCATTACCCGAAATGTCGAGCAAAGCCGATAACGGCCTTCCTATCCTTCCATAGATCAATTATCGGTATCGGTCTCCCTTCCAGGTCAAATACTTCCACACCTTCCAGCAAATTGGCGAAATCTTTAGATGTCACAACATCGGCGCTTGCTGTGGAACAATCACTTGCAGAGTTACGACTGAAGGCCGCAGTGGCCTTCTACTGATATGGAAGGATATTCAAACAGGCTAGTGAATGCGCAAAACTGAGTAACGTTTGCACAAAAAACTGGCATATACACATTTTTATCGAGATAAAAATAACAAAAATCTGAAGAAAAAGAAGATAAAGGGTCTCATCTTCGCAAAACAATAAATCCAAACCATTCATATCGTGGAACTCCGAATCGACCCCACTTTAACTTCCTTGTAAAATCTTTCAGGATTCCAGACAGAATTCAGCCGGCATAAATTCGAAAACTCGGAGAAATTATTCACAGCCGGAGAAGAAACAGGAACAATTGAGGAGGTCATCGAGGCAGATCTCTTACAAGGGGAGCCGGACACTGCCGCTACGGGAGCGGGAAGCCGTCCCGATCGATTCCTCTGCGCCAGAGGAATCCGCAAGTTGAGGGAGACGAGGCCCCGCACCGGTTTTGCGGAGCGAGCGGCCACAAGAGGAGTCCAGCTCTTCCGCGGCAGAGTTGAGGTCGTCGGAGAGGGAAGGGCGTGGAAAGCCGCCGCCATGCTCACTGAACCACCACCACCACCACCACCACCATCACCGTCGCTTCCTCCCTCTTGCGTCTACTTATTTTAGAACTTCAAATTTTATCCAAGATTTATCTAGCGCTCTCGACGCGACACTTGGGCGATTTAGAGAATGCCACGTTTGAGACACGTCATTCTTTAACTTTTTTTTACAGGTACGCTCTCGATTACTAAATATCATTGCGGTATTATCCCGACATAAATTCTGCATTTACACGTAGTTATTATCGGTAATGGTTTTTAACCATTTAATATATTTGTAAAGTTCAAAAGTTAAAGGGAAATGCCACGTCACTGTGATCGATGTTGTGCTTTCTACGTCGACGTGGTGCGCATGCGTGGCGCTGTGTACCTAATCTGAGCTCCCCAGCCCCATCCGCTTGGATGAGAGTTCGTATCGAAAGATAAGGAGAACAGCGCGAAGGCTTCAGGTTCTCCTCCTCCTCCTCTTCTTCCTCCTCCTTCCGCCATGGAAGCCTCTCTCTGTGCATTCCCCACCTCGAAATCCCTTCCTATCCACTCCCAATCCCAGGTTCTGACACTAAATTTCACCCGGATCCCCGACCCCAGTCGCCGGAGGCAGCCCGCGTTAGGGCTTAGGACCCCGTCCCTGCCGCTCATCCGTGGCGCCATCAGCCGCACGAAGAAGGAGGCCACCGTGGAGGTCGTGAAGCAGCAGCTCGAGAATTGCTACCTCGTCGCCGGCATCAAGTACAAGGGCCTCACTGTGAAGGAGCTCCAGGAGCTCCGTAAGAGCCTGCCGGAGTCGGTGAAGCTGGTAGTCGCCAAGAACACGCTCGTTGGGAAGGCCATCGAGGGGACTCCCTGGGAGGCACTGAAGCCTTGCATGAAGGGGATGAATGCCTGGATGTTCGTGCACACCGAAGAGATCCCGGAGGCGCTCAAGCCTTACCGCAGCTTCCAGAAGGAGAAGAAACTCGAGGACAACGATTTCACAGGAGCGGTGTTCGAGGGGAAGTTCTACGGGCCATCGGATTTTAAGGCTCTGGAGACGATGCCGTCGCGAGCGGAAGTGTACGCCAAGTTGCTTGGGTCGTTGCAGAGTCCCGCAATCTCTCTAATCTCGACGCTGCAAGCCCCGGCCAGGGATCTGGTGCTCCTTCTGAAGGCTCATGTCAAGAAATTGGAGGAGGAAGGCTCTGGACCCCAATAGCCGACGTAAGTTTTGCTTCTATTTTTTCCCCTCCTGATTCAAGTCTTCTGTCTCAAGGATGAGTGCTTCTACGCGTTTTAGTGTAAATGGGCTACCACAAACTCGTGAATTCTTCCAATTTGTCGAGAAAATCATCGCCCTCCTTCTGTGAATCGGTAGTCCTCTTTCTTCTTTAAGTGTGACATTCTCTCGAAGCGTTCAGCTTGCACGATCAAATGTATGTGTGGGAAATGCTCGCCTTCCCTCTGTGATATGGTGCCCCTTTTTCTCCCGAAGCTCTGGTATTCCTCTAATGCATTCAGCTCCAGCATCCACGTATATCATGCTTTTCGTCTTTAGAACCCTTTGGAATCTCTAAGTCAAACCATTGAAGCAGCATAGAAATCAGTCGACTATTTGCGCGGAAGGCCGGATCTATCCCCATCTCTCCACACCCAGTTTGCAAACTCTAACTCCCCAGGCGTCGATTTTCGACAATCTTGAAGTCTCCAATATGAGATCAAAGATTTCTTGCTAGGCAACATGTCATATTCTCGATCAAACTACTGATCCACATTCCATGAATAGCTTTACTGTTGGCCAGTTGGGTCGCGTTCTTCGTTTTCTATTTATCCATGTATCCTAGCTGTACTGCTTTAAAAACCATTATCATGGGAAGTAGAGAGTTCGAAGCTTTCATCTATTTCTTGGAGAGTTCAGTGTCTTATGGGTTGTGCAATGGCGGATTTAAAGCTTGTTAATTACTGCGATAACCACACAATTCTATTTTTTTCTTCCTTCAACCTCTTGCTCCACATCTAGTTTTCCCTAAGTTCGTCTACTTGCTGCAAGTAGCACCTCATTAAGGTTCCCATCTCTTACCCGTGAATCTGATTATTTTCATTAAATTCATGCTTAAAGGATATTTTAAAAATATTTTCCACATATGTATATGCATTTCCACTATTTTTTCTAAATTTAAATTGCATTTTTACGAGAAATACTGATAGGCACAAGAGACTGTGGTACCCAGAATCGTCCAGCTTCAATGTCGGTCTGGGTTCGCAAACCTTGACCTGATTGCGGGTTGGATCGTGGTGTGGAGTCCAATTCCTTCCTGATTAGTCCTTCAATGAAACCCAAGATTACAAAAAATGCGCTTTTTTTGGGACTGAACCGCCAAGAAGTGGCCTGTTTTGGTTTGCTCAGCCGAAAGTTGGCATATTCCCAGGGGTTTGACCTAGTCGAGTAGACCCGAATGGGTTTCAGAAGGTTCTAGAAGTCTGTAATCTCCACAGGATCAGTTGATTTGATCTTAAACCTGATGTTAATTGGGTGCAACCTGGCCATTTGTCTCCTGATCCTATTCTGAGTACCTCCACTCTAATTCCTCGAAATTACCATGGTGGATAGTTGTCAAAGTGCCAGATGGGCCCAAAATCAAGCCCGAAAATTAAGTTAGGCCCAGCCCGGTCCCTATTGAAAGAAAGTATCAGGGTCCTTTCCTGGCACGTGCCTGTGTTACGATCATCCACGTGTCACGGCGTGGCTCTACCTTCTCCCTTCTTCCGTCTCTTATATCCTCTCAGATAGGTGCCAGGGGAGAACTGGGGTGGGCTAATTTTCGGGCTTTTCTTCTGGCCCGGGCTTGCTCTGGGCGCGGCCCATTTATCTGTGGCCAAAGATCAATATGCGATCTTTTCCTTCCAATTGTCTGTGATTTTCTACAATCTCTCAGTATTTTATTTTTTCCTTCGGCTTCTGGTTTGTCTTGTCTTCTATTCGGCTCAAGAAGTAGTCAATGGATGGCCCATTGGGCCACGAAAGATAAAGAGAGTCACCTCTAGGCCCGTCAACCCACGAGGCTAGAGTAGTGTATGCCAATTGGGCCTCTTTGGATGTGTGTTTGTCACTTTGTTGCGTTCCAAGGACAGGGTTAGATAATCGTCGGGGTTCATTCGTAGGAATAAAAAGGGCATGTGCGCAAATATGGTTACCACACAAAATGTTTTGCCTGTTGAAATTCTAAAGGGAGTGTGTATCTGGAAATGTCTTCATACTCTAGTTGATATAACCGATTTAATTTTTTTGAGGGGGCTTTATCTGCAAAATTCATAGAATGTATGAACTCAAGTGTCTTAGTAAAATGGCCATGAAGAAAATAAAGGTATTTTGGTGGATTTAATTGTGATTTGTTTGATAAGTAGTTGATATGCAATGACATGCCAGAATAAAAATAGTTTGAATTGTCACATGTGAAAACAAGTTTAAGTTGGTTATATCTTGATGGAAATTATTTTGAAATAAAAAATTAGTTAATGTTGGTTATAGGATACTCTAAACTCATGGATGTCTAGAGTTTGGTAAGATGTTGTGAGTAGGTGTCAAGAAAATCCTCTCTCTATGCTTTTAAGAAAGTAACATTTAGTTTCGCCCCTCCATACACTATATGAATTAAAGATAATTCCCACTCTTTTTTCACTTGATCTTAAGTCTTCATGTTCACATTTTGGTATTTGATCTCTTAATAAGGTTTTCTTAAACGATGTGGAATGTTCAATTATTATTTTAGTAGTAGATATAAACCTAATATTATTTTTTGCTAAGATAATAATACCCTTTTATAAGTAAAGCAGTTAACTCTTTCTTTGTCTAGTCAGCCACCCTTGTCAATTAGAGAGAGAGAGGGAGTGAGAAGGGAGAGATATTAAGATCTTTGAAACAAAACTTGAGATGTTTATAGGGGCAATGAAGCTTTTTTGTGAGGTTGAGTTACTTGGATACATAAAATTGAATATTAATTAACCTAAATAAATTTAAATTGAATTAATGATGATGAAAGAGATCTAAGAGACTACCTATTTTAGTAATATTTAATGAACTTAAAGATTTAGAAAAAATAGTAGTTATGTAAAGTTTAAGTTCATGTGTTGGTTAACATTAAGTAATATAGGATAATAATATAAGGTTACTTAGGAATAAGTTATGGGATAAATATAAGCCTTACATCTTTTGCTTGGATGGATGTATTGGCCTCAACCATTGCTTATATAATGTGGAGTAGCATCACTATAAAAAAGTTACATAATGACCCAATGAGACATTCTTCATATTTTTAAAAAACATTAGGAAGAGAACCCATCCCATCTAACTTGTAGTTTCTGACCTTTATTTGATCTTCAACCATTAGAATTATGCACATAAGTACCCTAAATGTTTATGTAGTGGTGTTGGTGATGTTGATGGTTGTAATTGACACCATAATCATCCCTAACAATTTATAGTTAATATTGATGAAACAACACTCCCATTTATAATGGTTACTGCCCACATTGTACCCAATCTCATACCTATTTCTTGCATTATTCAATTCACTATGTCTCTTGCATTGTGCTATGTTGCACAATATTGTTATGTTTATATGTGGGTAGTACACTATGCCTGCATTATGTCAACATGGTGCCTCTAATGCAGATTTGTGCATGTGTGAGTATGGTATCAAATCATCCCACATCATGCCAACAAACACCTCGTGTGCATGCATTTGTGTTGATGCATCTCACATAAGACAATGGCATAGCTTCATGTATGTGACAATATTATGTGCTTGAAACTACATTCCTTTAAGCAAAGGATGTCACAGTATGACCTTTGTCTAAGAAGGAAATGATGAATTCGTTCATTTATCAGCATGTCATTAATTATTAGTGATTAATCTAAGTTGCAAGTAGTTAATCTTCATGAAAAAAGAGCTTTAACTTACCATTAGCTCTAAACCCCCAAGTTCATCCACCCCATTTACTTCTCCCCCCTCTCTTACTCTTTCTCCCCTTTGTTCTCAAGTAGTAGTGCCCACCCTCCTCATCAAATGAGCACCATCACTCCCCCTCTCAATGTCTATTCCATGCTTCAATGGTGGTGCCTCCCCTCCTCTCTCTATCTCTATCTCTATCTCTCTCTTTCTTACCATTTCTCTTCCTCCTAGTAGTAGTCCCTCCATCTGTCCCCCTTGACCTCATAGTTTTTGCAATAAAAAGTTAGAATGATAATGGATAAATATGCCAAGAACTACACGATCTCTTCAAATGTCTGAAACAAATATCTTGGCATAAATCAATAATTTATTGAAATAATTATTTTATTTATTTATTTACCCCTATGAGGGTATAATCATTTACGACAAACTTATGTTGTGAATGTTAAAATTTATGATGTCGTCATTTTACTAGGGAAAAAATTACCTAAACTCTTAGTAGTTTACAAGGGCACGAAGGGCAGATGAAAACAAGAGGGACTAATTGTTAAATGTACCCTTCTTTATTTTATTTTAAAATATAAGAACATAAGGATACATATAAAAATAGTATATTTACAAGGTTATACTTATGATATACAGAAACAATGCGGTTTTTGGGTTTTTGTACATTTTAAAAAAATAAAGGCGATATCCAAAAGAATCTATGTGAGTCGGATGTAATCTGAAAGATACTCAAATTTATATCCCCGCTCTTGTTAGTAACACGTGGGCTGTTCAATGACGTGGCGTATCGCTTCTCTGATACGTAGTTTATGGAGCTTCCGGCTTTTGATTCGCGCCCCCTTCGGACATAAGGCGAGACCACCGGGCCGTCCACGTCGGACAGCTCTCGGTCCCACCTGGCTCTACGTAGTCGTAACGTCTGCAGTTGCTCCCCCGTCACAGCCCATCTTAATATCTTCTCCTCCCTCTCTCTCTCTCCCTCTCCCTCTCCCTCCCCCTCTCTCTCTCTCTCTCTCTCTCTCCCCTCTCTCTGGATATTAATTTTAGGAATGGAATTTGGTTGAAGTCTCGACCAAGTACTGTTATTCTGCTCACCCCATCTACGGTGACGTGAAAAAGGAGGAAAATTGATAAAGTCTGTGGCGCCCGCCCAATATTGTTCCTCGTCTTCGCTCCCCTTGTGCGGGGGGAGCTCCGAAACCCTAGAATTTCCAGGGGTTCCCCCTGGCACTAGTGCCGAAAGCTTCTGTCCTGGTCGGATACGAGATTTGGATGTGAAGGATTTATCTTTCTTGCGCCCGAAGGTGAGTTCTCCTCGGCTGCTGCTCTGTTCCGTCAATTACCCCGGAACCTGTGTTGCCTGGTTTTCGTTTCTGGCTTTGTCCCAGAAATTCGGTTGTTTCTCAGTTATTTAGAGGAATCTGGCCCTTGTTGTTTATTTTGAGGTAATTGGCACTGTTTTCTGCTATCTTTTAGTGATAGCTAGAGTAAATCGAAGTACTTTTCTCCACGTCGTAGAACTGCCGCCTGTTAGAGTGATTGAAGCGTTTCATTTCTTGATTGATCTCTCGTACTCTGCTCCCCCAACCGTTTCACATTTTCCGGGTCGCGCTTGTTCTTCTTCCAGCAATAACATGTGTGATATCTAGATCTATCGTAGAATCTACAAAATTAATGGCTTCCCGTACCTTCTGAGATCATCGGGCTTCTAATCTCCAGTCTCTGGGAGCTTGTAGCGAGCCTTGGAGCGTGCAAAAGTAAAGGGCTTCTTGAACTGTAGAATGACATGCAAGAGGAGGAAGACAACGAAGATGGTCACAATGTAGTCGGTGAGGACCAAAGGCTGTTGGGGGATTACGAGTTAAGGGTTAATGAAGCCCCTGAAGGTGTAAATGTTGGCCCGGGAAGCGGGTCTGAGAACCCAGCTCGTCAGGATGAGGCTCACAAGGCACAATTACAGCATCGGCAACAGAAGCAGTCAGTGCTGCCGCCTCCCTCGCCTCCTGTTCCTGTTGTCGGGTGGGAAAGATTTCTTCCTGTCAGGTCTCTAAAGGTTCTATTGGTGGAGAATGATGATTCTACTAGGCACGTGGTCAATGCCCTACTTCGCAATTGTAGCTATGAAGGTTAGTGATTATTTCTTGTCTTGCAGGTTCTGCAACTTCTTTTGCGATGTGGCAATTATTTATTTTTATTTTTTTGATCATGAGGTTCTATGTGCTGCAGATCTATATGTATAGTTTCTCCTCAGTGACATAATAAACCACATTCTCGTCTTATCCTAGGAAGTTCGTCTTTCTCTCTCTCTTTAGCATAGGCTACTCGGTGTAGCTTGTGAGCCTGATTGGCTTCGTCATGCTCACGATAAGTCTGGGTGACGGCATTATATGCTTAAGATAGATGGCTCGTTTTCTAATAATTGGACATATTGCATGGGATGGAATATCTAAGTATGGAGATGCCAAATTGAGAACCTTCAGCCTCAACAAGTGCCTTGCCAAGTTTCAATCTTTTTCTAATCCTGCTCATTCTATGTTTCCAAGAAAACTAGGATTGAATTTGTTATTTTCGATTGAGCTAATAGTTCATGATTGTTTTATCTGATAATGATTATAACTTGGCAATTGAATTTATTGTTCCCAGTTAGCACCGAACTGACTCTAGCTCTCAATTGCAAAATCATTTCATACACGTGTGAAAAGAAAACGGATGAATTTCTCACGTCATATAATTATACATTTGTGCATCATTTTCTAATAAACTGAAGTTGTTCTTCGGCTTTCCTGGATCAATTGCTACATGGCTTGCAATATGCGTCCGAGTTTTTAGTGTGCTAAGCCAAAACAACCGTAGGTAAGATGCCAAAACCGACCGTCATTAACTCAAAAATATGATGCACCAATATATAAACATATGGGATGATAACTTTCTAGCGTGTGGATGACAATATGCGACTGCGATATCATTTTACTAGCCTGAAAATACATGAAGTAGGAGCAAAAGAAGTTACGAAGGCAGAGGCATATTTGATGTTAGGCCTATGTGGCTGCCCTACGACTTCGAATTACATGCTGCCTCTAATCTAAGGTCTTATGGGTTTCTAAGTCACATATCATTTGTTCTGTTTTGTATGTTCCTATAACATTTAAAAGTTCTTCTCTCACGTACATCTTTATGAGTTGTCTTTTCTGGATATGGATCCCAGCTCATGCTTCAGTTCCATCATCTTCATTCAGTCCTCATGTTTTGTTTTGACATGGCAGTTACTGCTGTTGCAAATGGCCTGGAAGCTTGGAAAATATTGGAAGATCTTTCCAACCGTATAGATATTGTGCTGACTGAAGTGGTGATGCCTTTTCTATCAGGCATTGGGCTTCTAGACAAGATTATGAGCCATAAAACGTTGAAGAATATTCCTGTGATTAGTGAGAATTTTTTTTATGCGCTAGTGTGACAATCTCTTTCAAAGATTTGGTCTCCTTTTTCTTTTTAGAGGTTTATACATTTAACCACACCGGCTTTTCATGCAGTGATGTCATCTCATGATTCTATGGGTATAGTCTTTAAGTGTTTGTCAAAGGGTGCAGTTGACTTTTTAGTGAAGCCAATTCGAAAGAACGAACTCAAAACCCTTTGGCAGCATGTTTGGAGGAGATGCCACAGCGTGAGTCTTCTTGTAATCTCCGTCATATGTTATTTTCACAGATGGTGGGCTCACTGTTCATATAGCTTCTCTTAGTTGGTAAGACAGTAAGGTTTACTTTTACATTGCTTGTGATCCTCACTGAAATATGCCTTTACATTGAAAGGGGAAAGAAATCTGTGGCTTTGCTCATAAATTTGATAATGGGGCAATCCTAGCGACATCATCTCAACTTTCCTTGTTCACATAACCTGTTCTTCGACGGTTTCCTGATTTTTTTATTTTTTGGCATTATCTCTCTCCATTTTTCATCTTATTTCGTTTAAATAAATTATCCCGTACTCCAGTCTAGTGGTAGTGGCAGTGAAAGTGGCGTGCAAACTCAAAAATCTGTCAAGTCAAAGAGAGTTGATTCTGATGACAACAATGGAAGCAATGATGAAGATGATGACGCCAGCTTTGACTACAACGACAAGGATGGCAGTGACAATGGAAGTGGAACGCAGGTAGCATAGCTTGAACCTTGACCAATTTAAAAATGAAATTTTGGCCAATGAAGATATGCGTTCAGTATTTTTTTCATTGGGGAGCATGCACACCCATGCACATATTTATGATTCTATTTTATTCTGGGAGTTTTTATGTGAGTGTCTTTTTATTAAATGAACGTGTCTATTATCGTATGGTTTTATTTGCCAGGATGGTCCATTTTCATGAGGCAATTCTTGTTCCTCGCCCTCTTTGGCATAGGCATAGAAAAAATATAGAATAATTAAATTGTGTTAATCTGGTTCGTTCTTAATGTGTTTTTGGTTTCCACTTGGGTTCTTAGAGTGCTGTGGTTGGGGTTTTGGCTTGGGCATTTTTCTGAATTTCTATTTATTATTTAATTCCTTCTAATTAGAAACATTTTCGGATCCTCTGATGAGAGAGATTCCTAATTCATTTTCTTGTTAAATAGTTCTGGACTCTTATGGTTTCTCGTTTTTCCATCCAATTTTTACACTAATCAGTTTTATTTCCAAGTTGGGAATATCCCAACATCTAAGCACGTCAGCTAGTTTAAATCATCTCTAGAAGGTCGTTATTGTTCCTTTTTAAAGTTCTACGTATTCCTCACTTCACTATTGGAAAGGGTCGTAATTTTGGAATTGATTTTGGGGGCGGGGGATGTTGAGTACAAGACTCTAATATGTAGCTAATGTGATGTCAATGGTGGGCTACCAAGTTCCAATGTGATAAGAACCCAGATCAAAGAACTACGAATAATTCGTATTAGATGAAAGAAATAACCTCTAGAATAGAAATACCAAAGATAAAGTACAGTAAAAGAACTCAGAACAGATGGAAGGTCACATACAACCCTAGAACCCAAAACAGATAGAGGTTCACATGCAACCCTCCAACCCTTTCTCGTAGATGCACGAGATACTAACACCGATTTCCCCCCCTTCCTTCCTGATCCACCCACCCTTATATCCTCTCATTTCCCTCTCTTATTTAGGCAGTTAGTCTCCTGCCATAACCGCTCTTTGCCATAACTGTTCCTTGTCATATTGTTCATTGTCATAACTGTGCCTTCCCTCAATCATGCTAACCATTATTGTCTTATTAGGCTTTGGGCCTTCTTCCTTCTAACATATGTGCAAGGAGCCTTATCACAATGATGGGCTAGAGATAGGGAACCCAATGCTAGGGTTGGAAGCTAGTAACGTTGGGCAGCGTCCTGCATTCTCTCTCTCTCTGAAGTCAACCATTTGAAGCCTTCTAAATCTACTAAACTCTCTTCCCCTAATTACCCATCTCCCGTCTGACGGGAGTTAGGCAAAGAGAACAAAATGTCACGTGTTGCTTTTTCATTGGCAGAAATGATGATGATGATGATGATTGACGATATGATGACCATTAGCATCTTCCTAATGGTGGATTCTGCACCACAGAGTTTCCTTTTTGAGAATGGGGGCTAGACAGAATCCACTGCACAGGAACGCAAGAAGCTGCATCATTAATCGCCTGGCAGATCAAAATGTTGTCTTTTTTTAAGAATTGACCCATTATTTATTTATTTTTATTTTCATCTGCAGAGCTCTTGGACAAAGCGTGCACCTGACAGCCCCCAGGCTACCACTCCATGGGATCAGCTAGCTGAGACGCCTGACAGTACTTGTGCACACGTTATCCATCAAAAGCCAGATTACGTCCCTCCCTGTTCTGAGTGCTCTGAAGAAAAGGACCACCGTGGTATGACAGAAAGGAATACAACTCACTAAATCGCTCTAAAGTATTCCCGTGTTTTCATTTTTTTCTAATGTTAATGCAGATGATGACCTCCTAGAAAAGAACTCCGAGAAGAATTTTCACCAATCAGATGGCATCTTCGGGACACTTGACGGCAGTAATGCTGTTGGTGAATTGACCATTCAGGGGGCTGATTTAGTCGGCATATTTGCTGAAAGCACAGTGGCAACTATGAGCGTTCAGGCTTCTAATTCCCTTAATAGAGTCACAGAGGAAAATGACAAGATTATTGCTAACGAGTCACCATCCTTTGAGCTAAGCCTGAAGAGGCTAAGATCTATTGCAGGGGACGGGATTGGCTGTAGTGATGATCGTTATGTGCTGCGACGCTCAGATTTTTCAGCCTTCTCAAGGTGGGGAACCGGGAATGCAGATATTCATTATTATTATTTTTATAGAAGTAATTAAATGAGTGTGTTTGCATCTATGATTGCGCAGGTATAACACTTCTACGGCGTCCACTCAGAAGGCAACAAGACATGGAGGAAATTCTTCTGCTCGATGTAATGTGGGTTCGGATGTGGTGAAGAGAGGATCAGACTGCAACATGAAATCTAAGACAGCTGCCATTCGAATCAGCCAGGGTTGCAATAGCGGTACCAAGGTCGACGAAGTGGGCCCCACCAATAATTTCATCAGCAAGTCAAAAATATTGAATGAGAATGAGTCTTCCTCATTATCAGTTAACCCCATTCAGCAGCGAACTGACGCAGCCCAGAATGAGCTACAAGAGAAAAATGATAATAAGGGGTCGAGCACTATCATGGAACGGCCAAGAGGTACTCGCCAAATTCAAGTGAAGCACCATCACCACCAGCATCACTATGATAGTCAACATGATCATGTAGCACGGCACCAGCTGGAGCTGCCATCTGAGCAGGTTGCAGCTGTTCCACCATGTGGTTCATCAAACATGTTCAATGGGCCAACTGAAACAAATGTGGGCAATTACAGTATAAATGTGAGCATTTCGGGCAGTCAACATGGTAGCAATGCACAGAATGGAAGTAGTACGATGAACCCCGAGAGAACAAACATGGAAAGTGAGAATGTTTTGATCGGAAAAAAAGAGGCAGGAGGCTGCAATGGCAGTGGAAGTGGGAGTGGCAGCGGTATGGATGAAAACCGATTTGCGCAGAGAGTGGCGGCCCTGACCAAATTCAGACAGAAGAGAAATCAGAGATGCTTCCAAAAGAAGGTATTTGCCTTTCGATGAGGATGATTAAACTTATTTCCTCATGAAGATAATTATGTTAAATATTTGCTCCAGGTAATGAATGGGCTTCTTATACACCTTTAGAAACATAATTTTTTACTTGGGTTTTTTGCAGACCTATTCATGTATGGATCGAATAATATCCTGTTTCGGTAGGACCCACCGTTTCATAGCACCATATCCTCTTTTTTTTAATGAAAGACTTCTTCTTGCCCAAAACTTTTCACGAGTTGATGATCTGACCAAACCAGCGCTTCTGGAGAGAGAGAGAGAGAGAGAGAGAGAGGAGAGAGAGAAAGGTAAGAACTGGGGAGTGGAGTCGGCAAAAGTAGAGAAAACAGTGATTTAGGGAGAGGAGAAAGGTGCATGGAAGGGATGAGAGATAATGAGAACTAATATTGCTCATGTGATCCCCATTCTCCCTTAGTTTCATTATTTGAAGGAGACTCTTAGTAATGATTGTCCTGACTTGATTGGAGTTGGATTTCATCGCCATATTGTCCTGACTATGCTGCCATGCACTAAGTGGCCGTTTGTCTTCCAAGCGTGAACTCCACAAGAAGAGTCCTTTTCAATGGGGGGGGGTAGAATGATTGAAGGCATGATTTTCACCCGTATGGTTGGCCCAAATTCTAGAGATGATATATTATCAACACCCTCCATTATTATTATTTTTACTTATTTTCTCAAGGGTTTTCTTTCTTTTTAATTGATTGAGCATGAATTTATATGATCAATTTTTTATTTCCCTTTGAAATTTATTTTCTATCAGATCGATCCTTCCTTCTTCTGTTTCATTGTAGTTATATCTCACATGTGGCCCACTATCATAGTTGGAATATGCTGATTCAGTCATTATTAGATTATCCACGTGGAGAGTCAATCATTGAGATGTTGTGACCCCTTGTGATCTGCTTGGGAAGAGGGGGGGGGGGGAGATTCTTCTGTCGTGGGCCCTTTCTGTACTTCCCTTTGCTTGAACATTTCAGGTTCGCTACCAAAGCAGGAAGAAGCTGGCAGAGCAACGGCCACGCCTCCACGGGCAATTCGCCAAGCAGACGGCACACGATCATGCCGATCCCGAGGCAGGCGATTAGTCAACTGCTGAAGAAGCAATTGTGAGACAACCCATCACCACCACCATCATCGTCATTGCCATAATTGTGCAATTGTTGATAAATAAATAATGGTGTTGACATTTGGTTTATGGCATTCATCGTTGTTTATTTACTTTCTTCTATTGAGGACTTTTTAGGCCTTTCAGATCAACTTACATGGGAAGGCCATCGCCATCAGCTGCCAAGCCAAGATCTACAATTCGATGCAGATTCCCATTCATAGTACTATGCAAATCTCTATGTTTTCCAACAATCTCTTGTTATTTCCTTGTAATCAGTGGTAAATTGAGCACTTTATTCCTTGAGGTTGCCATAAATACTTGAAGATTGTGCCCTACAAAGGCAACCATCTTCACTTTGGTTTTTATTTGGTTTAAATGTTGATGTTATATGTTGTTTCTCTGTCTAGCCTATTATTATTATAGAGTGTGATAATTTTGGGAGCTTTTTTTTTTTCAAGCCTACAAAAGGAATACTCTTGACCCACACAATCTCCATCTAGGTTGGCTCTCTCTCTCTCTCTCTCTCTCTCTCTCTCTCTCTCTCTCTCTCTCTCTCTCTCATAAAGATGGAAGTTAATCACATGAAATCATTGATCCTGAATTGAGCAAGCCCCTTGACTTCAACTTTAATTAGCACGGAAGCACATGGGTTTAATGAAGAAATCGATTATTCATTAATTGCATGATATTTGGCATTATCTTATAATTAATCTACAAGGAAATGTGCGAAACCTCTTTAAAGTAAAAAAATAAATGCAGAGAGATTAGGGGGGTCGTCATATCATCGCCCCCCCCCCCCCATCTCTCCTCTGATGAGCTCTTCATTCCCGACAGCCCACGTGCGTGCATGTCACGTGTCTGGGAGAATCTCTCACTTGGGGAGGGTCAAATCGTAAAATAACCATATGTAGAATATGCTGGTCGTCTAAATTCGCGATTCCACGTTTCGTTGCAAAAATCGACGGGCAGAAATCCGATTTTAACCCAAACGCTGCCCAAAAAGACAGATTTTGGACGCTGCAGGGGCGATACTAGGGAGGGATTTTCCAAGAAACTCTCTCTCTCTCTCTCTCTCTCCTCTTGTCAGCAGCGGAAGAATACGAGGAACGGTGTTGGGGGAGGGAGGGCATGGGTTGTTTCTCCTGCTCCGGGAAACCCAGAGAAAAACAGAAGCACAGAGTGGATGATCGGATCAACGCATTGCCGGGTATTCGAACATATATCTTCCCTTTCCGGATTAATATACGTTTGCTTGGTCTATTAGAGGAGTCGATCGATCAATTCTGCACCCTTTTCTCCGAAAAAAGATGTGAGAATTTATCGCTGCGACCTCTTCCGTGTATCCTCCGTAATCTCCCGGATCTTTGTGGATTAGGGTTCCTCATTCGCACTCCTCCTTTTCAAATTTGCGGTCGGATTTGTTATGGAAACGCAATGGCGGCGGGAAGGAATCACTGGGCGCATTCTTTTCTTCTTTTTTTTTTCCTTCTTGATAGGTTTTCCTCAATCGTAATTAGAACTACGAACATTTGATGGAGCTCTCTTGTCGTATGATTAGAGTTTCTAGAGGCCGCGGGTTCAAAAAGTAGTCGATAGGATTTGATAGTATTTGTCTGATCATTAATTATCGCTCCCTCCGTCTCCGTAGATGTAGATTGTGCGTGAATAGTCAGATGCGCATTCGAGAAAACGGAATTGCGAAGGCCTCAACATGCTCTAATTAACAAATTAATTAACTTAGTTTAATTGTACAATATTGTCTGCAAAATTCCAATTCCAAGGCGTCCTGTAGTTATTTCTTGGGCATTTCACACCAATTCTTCACATTTTGGTCGATTAGTCAACGAGCATTTCATCTGAATTCCTAATTCTGAGGGTGGATCCTCTCTGTTCATAGTGGGAATCTTTTATTTTCTCGGATGGCAATTAATTCCTGAAATTATTTATTTCGTTTTACATAGGAGCAACAAAGTCTGATGAAACATTGAATGTGCTGAAAGAGAGCTCACTAGATGGGAAGGAGATCCCGAAGAATGGGCTGGATCATATCTCTGCCCAGACATTTTCATTCCGTGAACTGGCTGCCGCCACCAAGAACTTCAGAGTGGATTGTCTTCTGGGGGAAGGAGGATTTGGTAGAGTTTACAAAGGAAGACTGGAGAATACTAATCAGGTCAGAAAAAAAGTTTAATCTTGTTTGAAATACTTGCGGTTCTTGGGTCAAACAATAGTGTGTTTTCAAGGTTTCTTTCTTCTTCTCAAACTCAGACTAATGGATCAGAGGTGCCCTCTCTCTACATTGCTGTCCTCAGGCATCCTAAGTACGTTACTGGTGATCCTATGAGACAGGCCATGGTCGCTTCATTTGAATGTTCGAAGTATATGGTTCTCGCAATATCAACCAAAGTTCCCTTTTTCCTCTCAACTTCCCTATTTTTTGTAAAGGGAAGTTCCAAATTCTGCAAGACAGCCATGAAATCCTAAAATTTTGATTTCTTTTCCATAATCACTTGATATCATTCCCCATTACTTGCATTGCCTTCGTTTCTCGTGACTTTTAGAGGTTTATTTCAAATTTTTTTATACACGCCACCTGAGAGAAAAACCCAACCGCCCCAAGGTGTTCAACAGGGGCACTATTTTTTTTTTCTCTCTCTCAAGCTGGTGATTAATATGCATCTCTTATTTACTCGTGAAGTTTATTCTTTTTACTCTTCTAAACCGTTTGTGTGTGTGTTGGTGTGATCTCACCAGAATGCTATGTGTTCATGTAGATTGTGGCCATTAAGCAGCTAGATCACAGTGGATTGCAAGGAAACAGAGAATTTCTTGTTGAGGTTCTCATGTTGAGCCTACTTCACCATCCCAATCTGGTGAATCTGATCGGGTATTGCGCTGAGGGAGATCAAAGGCTCTTGGTCTACGAATACATGCCATTAGGCTCCTTGCAGGACCATCTCCATGGTAGTATATATGCATCACTGCTCCACTCACGTCGATTCTTCCTTTTGATTTTTTTATTATAAAATATTCATGACTCGATAATTCCCTTCCACTACATATTTATTACTCCTCACAGTCGAGTATTTATATTGATATATTTTATAAAATGTGCATAATAATGCTCTCTTGATTTTTGCATTATTATTCCCTTATAATGTTATTTTTCTAAGTGTTCCCAATCTTTTGTTTTCTAAAAAAAATATTTAAAAATGCCTGCTGGGAAGGCCTCATTGTCGATTATTCATGTGGAATTTTTTTTCTGTAATATATTCGTTTAAAATATTAATTTTCTATAATCTTATCAATAATAATACCCCGGATTTTATTTTATTTTATTTTTTCTCTCGGAGTGTTTACAGTAACCCGCCTTCTTCCCCACTGTGCCTGCCGCACGCAGATCTGCCCCCAGAGAAGAAGCGGCTCGACTGGAACACCAGGATGAAGATCGCCGCCGGCGCCGCCAAGGGCTTGGAGTACCTCCACGACATGGCCAACCCCCCCGTCATCTACCGCGATCTCAAGTGCTCCAACATCCTACTCGGCGATGGCTTCTTCCCCAAGCTCTCAGACTTCGGGCTGGCCAAGCTCGGCCCCGTTGGGGACAAGACCCACGTCTCCACCAGGGTCATGGGCACCTACGGCTACTGCGCCCCCGAGTACGCCATGACCGGGCAGCTCACCCTCAGATCCGACATCTACTCCTTCGGCGTCTTCCTTCTCGAGCTCATCACCGGCCGCAAGGCCATCGACAACTCCAGGTCCGCCGGCGAGCACAACCTCGTCGCCTGGGTCTGCCCCATCCTCCTTCCTTCCTTCTGATCCTGATTTTCACTTCCTTCTTCTTCTTCTTCTTCTGATTGTGATTGTGATTGTGATATTTTTGGGTGGGTGCAGGCAAGGCCGATGTTCAGGGAGAGGAGCAAGTTCGCTCAGATGGCGGACCCGGGGTTGCAGGGGAAGTATCCATCGAGGGGGCTCTACCAGGCGCTCGCCGTCGCCGCCATGTGCGTGCACGAGCAGCCAACGATGAGGCCGCTCATCGCCGACGTCGTCACCGCCCTCGCCTACCTCGCGTCGCAGAGGTACGACCCGACGGCGCTGCCGCAGCGGAGCCCCCGGGCAGCGGCGGCGGCTCCGGGTACCCCCCCTCGACCTCTCCCAAGGATTGATTGACGGAGCCCAGCGGCGGCGCAATCCCCACGGCGACGAGAGGCTTGCCGTCCTCTGGAGAAGATCAAGAAGACGCTCCTCCCTGTACATCCCAGCCTGTTCCCCAGCCGTTGGGGCGAAGACCATGGTTCCCTGCTTTTGTGGAGAGGATAGTTGGTGGTGACGTCATGTGGCCCCCCACGTCCCGCCGTGTCCGTCTCCGTCCGAAGCGCAGCGTGGCGCGTGTGGCTTGTGGTGCGCACAACGACGTTTCTATTAGTTCTCGTCTGTGGCGCCGTATAACGCCGGTCTTTTTACGTTGAGGCGGCCTGCGTAAATAAATACATAAAGAAATCAAACAATAATACGATTCCTTTGAAAAATACGCGGGGTATCTTTACGTACAAAGACGTGATAAATGGGACCTCCTGAGAACGCGGGTGCTCTCGCCCCCGTCCAGTTCCCTCTCTCTCTCTCTCTCTCTCTCTCTCTCTGCGTGTCTCGATGCCTTCTCCCTCAATCGCCGTGACGCTGCTTAAAGTCGTCGCCTTGCCGACGCATCCTCACACTTGCCCTGGCCCCCATCGGCATCTCATATGTGGTAGGAAGGGGAAGAGCAGCAGCCCATCTTCCTACGGGTTGGACCGTGGATGGCTGTGGAGGATAGCAGCGCCTTCCCCCCTCCCAATCCCAACTTCAGCGACTGCAGATATTAATTCCGCGAGCACGCGCACGACCAGCAGGGGGATTCGTCTGGGGAACGGTGGAGTCTTCAACAATGGCGGCATCGCCGGTCGCAGGGCTTCTGGAATCGTAGTGAAGGGCGGCGCGGCGCGGTTCTCGGTGGAGTCGTGGATGAGGATCGGATCTGGGAGCGGTCTTTCCGTGGTGGGGGAGAGAGATTTCACCCGGGCGCCGAGGAGATGGGCGGGTGGCGGTCCGGATAGGGGAGGAGGAGCCGGCGACGCCCGGATTGGTCTTACCGCCCAGCAGCAGGAACAGGAGCAGAGGCAGGAGGCCCCCGTGATGGGTTTTCTTGACCATCAGGGGAACAACATCCGCGGAGATGAAGCGGATGGATGTATGGGTGTTAATAATGCGAATGGCAAACAGTCACTTCTGGAGCAGCCTCCGAAATTGCTGACGATTCCCACCGTGCTCACCCTCGGAAGGGTGGCGGCAGTTCCTCTTCTAATCATGAGTAGGTTCATCTGAATTGTTTTTTTTTCTCATTTCTGTATGCTTGAAATATGCAACCGTTTATCGTGTGTGTGTGTCTGTAATACGTTACATGGATCTTTTGTTTCGGTAGTTTACTCTCATGGCAGAATGCGGGATCTGAGATGTGGAACCGGCCTTTGGCTTCTAATCATCGAGTCTCTCTGATCTCTGTGTTGCTTCTTAGTTCTTCGGGCCAGGCTGATTTTCTTGATCTCAAACTGGATTGTCGACATTACTTGTTGACCTCTTTTTGCATCCATTTCTGAACCTGATGCTGATTTCCTTTCGTCACATACTTATCTCAAGCGTGGGAAAGCATAAGCGAATCATACAATCAAGAAATCGTTGCCATTGAGGAAATACTTGATAATCTCAAGCTGAATTACCGGGTGATATGGTGCTCTTTTAGATGATAGTCCGTTGGAACATTGATTGTAACATAACAAGGGTCAGGTATAGGACCAAAATTTTGAAGGACGAATGCGATCTTGTTTGAGAAATTTCCCTTCTTTCAGGGACTGCTAACTTTCTTCCAAAAATAAGATATTTCCATGATTGTAAGGAAAACAGAAATTAATTAACCGTTTCAACTTAGGGTAAAAGACCCTCCTGCTGAAACGGTGACCACCTGCCACTGGTTCGATCGATGTTATGGCATCTGCAAGGTTTCAACTTAGTTACCAGGGAAAATCCATGGAATGGAAAACAGGGGGTCAAATGGTGAGTAAAAGTTGAAAGATGGATTACGTCTCTGCAGGGAGAGAACTATATACACATGGAGGACTATGCCTGTTTGTTCATGCCATCTCTTGCAGACATTGTGACATATCGTGGGCTTAAGCAGATGGAGATCCAACCTCTGGACTCTTTCAATTTTCTACAAACGTACAATCGTTTGACATTATTTGATTTCATTGCATTCCAATTGGAATACATTTCAGTCCTGCTGTATCTCCTAAGTTGATGGTTCCTACACACTGGCCATTGTACATGCTGGCCTTCAAAGTGGTGAATAGATGTGGGCAGGTGTATTTTTTATTTAATTCTACATTACCTTCTCATGAGATTCATAGGGGTCACATATTCGTGTCTATTTTTTCTTTTCTTTTCTTTACCAACTACCCATTCTTTATGGCTCTGAGTAGGGAAGTATGACCAGAATCTTTTCAAAGGTTGGCCTGTCTTGTTGCGTGAACACGTGTAACACGTCATATTTTCCTCCTTTAAACAATTTATTTCATGTTTTATGAATCCTTCAAAGTAGTTTATATGCCAGGAAAGATGGTCAAAATGAGAACTTGAATACCACTAAAATAATGAGCACAGGAACTTTGAAGTTATCTCTGTTTTGTCATCAATATTTAACATAAAAGTGGAAACCAACACAAGCGGCTAGGGATTGTGCAGGAAAATTCTCTGGTCTGGTGTACAGTCTCTCTTCTTCTACTGGATGCATATCTACTTTCTGCTATTCAGAGAAGGAGAATTCAAAAGTCCATGTTCCTATTCAATGAATATATATATATATATATATATATATATATAGATATTCCAGTATTTTTACACTTACATCATGAGACTTTTTTGCATAAAACAATGAAATATTTGTGGTTTTGCAGTGTGTTACTTCAGTTCATAAAAATGATTTTCCCTTGCCTGTTTGAATTCTTCCCGGAAATAATGAAGCTTCACAGAATGATAGATTCTCTTCCTAGTTCGGATACGCTCTTTTACTTTCAGCAGAAGCATCTTGCCTTTTTTCGTGTGGTTTATACGGTTGTGATTCTTTCCTTTGTTAGCTTTCTACATGGATGGTCGGTGGGCGACAACTGCCACAACTAGTATATTTATTGCTGCAGCAATTACAGATTGGCTTGATGGTTACATTGCTCGAAGGGTACGGATTGGCATCTATTTAAGTTATTGTTCCTGGATTATATTTATTCAAATTAATAAAGCTGTGATGTGTTACTTAATGCAGTTAAATATTGTCATTCATTAATTCGTTTGCATTGTCAGATGCGCTTGGGAACAGCATTTGGTGCTTTTTTGGACCCTGTAGCCGACAAGGTTTGAGTTATTTTTCGTTCATTTCTTCTTTTGTGAAACCCACTTTAACTCTAGCATGACAATCGCATGTGATAAAAGCCATTTAAGAGTTAACTTATTATCCCTTATTAATTGTAGCTTATGGTGGCTGCTGCTTTGGTTTTATTGTGCACCAAACCTCTGGAAATTGCTCTATTTGGTCAAGCACCATGGCTGCTGACTTTACCTTCAATTGCCATTGTTGGGAGAGAGGTAACTACTGATTTATGCCCCTTTTCGCCAATAAAATATTTACAGAATTTTATTTTCTCTTCATCTAAAATATTTATTAGCATGATTTTTTCTGCAATATACAATGTCGAATATGGCTTTCACATTATTAGAAAATGCCAATGTCACTGAGGCTTCCAATAGATTATGATAAAAATTTGGTTCCCACAGTAATTGGATTCCGGTTTCAGCTCAGTCATCAAGACAATTAGTCGAGCTGAATGATAGCTAACTTCTTGATAAAATTGCATAGTCTAGTCCACATGGAAAGAAAAAGGAAAAACTGATTTTGAGATTTCACGTGAGATCTCTTGAGCTGGTCTCCTTAATTTGGCAGTTCCTGGCCAGAAACAAGGAGGTCCACATTCAGATCAAGCCGATCATGATAAGATCTGTTTCATTATCCGGCTGATCCCAGAACGGATCATGGTCATTTTAGCCCGGACTGATCCAAGAAGCCCATCTAGCTTTTCCTTCTACTCTGAGCTTTGCTTTCCAGGAGTAGAAAACATGATGCTTTCTTTAGAGATGCAAAAATAAATAAATTATTGGGTTCCCAGATTCCATAAGTAGATGGTACCATATAAGTTTTCAATCGATTATATGACTAAGAGGTATATCTAAAATTATGCGCATTCTCGTCCTCCTGGTGGTGATCGCAGCTCGATCCTCTTGAGGCATAAGCAAAAGTTTGTTAATCTTTACATTCCTAGTTCCTCTTCCTGTGTGTGTGTATTCAGCCATTCATCCAGCACTTATTCAACATGAGTGGGTCCTCATTACATGACCTAGCCTTCAAATTTCGCATGATACTGTCAGAAAATAGAAGGATAACAGATCCTGTGTGCCTCCCTCCTCATCTATTCATGGATAGAGAGGAGAAGGGCAGCACACATGAGATCTACTATGGGCCTAATTGGCCCATAGACTAAACCACTCACCACCAAACTACGATAGTAGTGGGCCTATTGCAATAAATAGTCCAAGAGGCACATCAGGGCATAAATTCTTCCCTGGCTGAAGGGTTTAACCGTTTTTCTGAGGCCCATTTCTACAATTTCAATACTTTAAACAGTAATACCTTCTGATGATCCTCTTTTCCTTGTAGATAACCATGTCTGCAGTTAGGGAATGGGCTGCATCTCAGAACAGCGGAGTTCTTGAGGTTTCCTTTCGTTCCTGACTCTGAAGAGGCCAAGTCGAAAGCCTCCCCCCCTTCAACCATCTTAAACCATTTGCCTATTTCCATCAGGCTGTTGCTGTAAACAATCTGGGGAAGTGGAAGACGGCGACCCAGATGACCGCGCTGACCATTCTTCTGGCTTCCAGGGACTCCAGGTTCCTCTCAAGCGGCACTTACTCTCACTCAAACCCTCTTTCTTCTTTGGCACTTAATTTTTTTGTTGTCTTGTGGGCAGTCTGGCTGGCCAAGGCCTCCTGGTTGCCTGTGGCGTGACCCTTCTAAATATCTCCGCCGCCCTTGCGGTCTGGTCACTGGCCGTTTACATGAGGAAAATATGGAAAGTATTGCTGAAGTGATCGCCTCGCCCCCCACAGTTTAAGAAGAGTTTGCTGAGATCGAGGTAGCTCCTTCATGGCGGTCACCACTGGGCGGTGGCCTGGGCTTCAGCTTCATGGTGACCTGTGTCCATCCAGGTGTCAGAGAAGCTTCTGAAGGGGGCGGGGATGGAGTTGACTTCCTCTTCTTCTTCCCTTAGATGTGGTTACTCCTCCAGGATGAGCTCTCTGGGAGTATAAGGGTCTGCAGAGGAGGACCTCGTCACTTGCTCCTACCAGCTCTCCCGCCAAGCCCTCTCTCTCTCTCTCTCTCTCTCTCTCTCTCTCTCTCTCTCTCTCTCTCTCTCTCTCTCTCTCTCTCTCTCTCTATCGATAGAGTAAGTATCGTTTGCCAAGTGGGGCTATATTAGATTCGATCGCTTGCCCAGGAGCAGGATTTTCTATACTATTGTTCCTTCTTGGACTGGGACTGCAGGTAGGTCACATGGTCCCACAGATTCTCTACTAGGAGGAGGAAAATATCTGAAAACTATGAATAAATGTTAACAGAGTACCCTTTTCTTCATGTGAGATAAAAGTCCCTCTTTTTTTTTTTTTTAAGTTGGCTTTTGGGATTTTCTTGGTGGTATCATTTTCTCTTCATATTTGCAATGGAACTGAGAGTTGGGCCGCCTTTTTCTCCTCTGAAAAGAATGCTCGTAATGGGAATTGGGCGCGGCCCATTTTCAGATGGGCCAGTTTAAGACATTCGTGGCCCATGGTGGCGAAGGTGGCGACCACCCCCACGAGATCATGGCTTATTGGCCCGGCCCAGGCTTAAGAGACCAATCCCCGGCATATTCGGGCAGGCTGGACCTCTGTTGTTCTGGCCCGAGCCTCGGGCCCTACTGAAAACGGGGAATTCTGGCCCGGTCTTCCTTTCTATTATTTATACACTGGATGCCAGTGGGCTTGATTGGGCCGAGAATTATCAGGCCTAGCCTGATCCCAAAAGTCAACTGTACGGCCTCATCTGGCCCTCCGTACTTTTCTAGAGAGACAAAGAGAGGGGGGTTCAAACCGGCCGGCCCATAATTGGTTCTCTCTCTCTCCCCCTCTTTTTTCGTGTATGCATTAAAGAAGATGGCTAGGCTTAGTTTGTCCAAACAACAATCAGAAAATGAGGAAGGAGGCGTGAATTTTTTGCCAAAAAGGGTAAAAAAGTTGCAGGGCAGCGGACCAAGCGAGGGGCACAGAATGTAGAGAGAGAGAGAGAGGGTTCGAAAACTATATGTACTCTTCCTTCTTCCAGGACAGAAGCCACGAAGATTTTATATACAGTAAGAGCCGAGGCGGATTTGGCGAGACCCCTCGGACCCCCTAAAAAAAGAATGGATTTTTTTCCCCCCCTTTCCCCAGACCTCAGAACAAAAGACTCGTGCTGACGAGACCAGCGGGCCTCTCCCTGGCAGCACCAAACCCCTCGTCCTCAAAGTCCTCGTTGGTAGAGTTCTCCCTGCACACCATCCTCTCCTCCGCCGCCGCAGGCCCCACCCCGAGCACCTCCCACCCCATCGGGTGCCCCTCACCGGCGGCGGCGACGCCCTTCTCGATCGACTCTATCAGCGGCGCCAGGCTCTCCTCCATGTTGTCCCCCATCTCGTCCTGGAACAGCGGCGGCGGCGGCGAGAACTCGTCGAACCCGGCGGCGGCGGCAGCGCCATGGTCTCCTCTCCTGGGCCGCTTCCACTTCTTCTTGGACGCGGTGGCGTCGTCTTCAAAGTCCTCCTCCTCCCTGTCCCTGTGGAGATACACCCAGAGCTTCCTCTCGCCGTCGTACTGCACGCAGGGGTCCTGCTCGTAGTGCAGCCGGTCGAGGGCGCCGCTGACGACGGAGTTGATCTTCCCGTCGGGGACGTCCTCCACGAGGAACTGCGAGTCCCTCATCAGCGTGGAGACGTCGGCCCTCGTGCCGATGCTGCCGGGGAGCCTGGCGGCGGCGTCGCGAACCAGGCAGAGGATGGTGACGTGCGGCGGCCGGTCCTGCTTCAGCATGAAGTGGTCCCTGGCTTTGGAGGTGGGTTTTCCGCCGCCCCTCCTCAGCGGCGCGACGGTGGATTTCCGGCCGTCGGCGGCGGTGTAGGAGAAGGCTCTGTCGGGGACGGAGTAGCGGAGGAGCTCCTCTTGCCGGAAGTAGGCCCTCGCCTCGTCGGAGCTGGGGCTGATGGTGACGAGGCTCTTCTGGGCTCGGAGGTCTTTGAACCTCTCCTTCTCGTCCAAATTCGGTGGCGGCAGGGCCGGCGGCGCTGGTAGGCTTCCGATCTGCTTGAGCGTCTCCTGTCCGCTCTTGAGCCAATTGGCGAACGCGTCCACCAACTTGACCAGCATCTTGTGAGGGATCCCCCACGCTTCTGAGGAGGTCTCCTCCTCTGCGGCGGCGGCGGCGGCGGCGGCGGGGGGGCCGATCCAGGACCAGCTCTTGGTGGGTTTCTCGTAGAAGACGAGGGGCTTCCAGGCTTTTGCTCCCAGAGGCGCCGTCTTGGAGGAGAGGATCTTGAGGACGCCTCTGACGAGATCTTGCAGAGGCTCCTGGGTTTCGAGAATGCAGGGGTCGCCTGGGTTTGTTCTAACTCGGTTGACGATCTCCTGGACGGTGAGGGAAGGCAGGTTCTTGGGCTCGTCCTCGTCCATGTCCTCTGCGCTGGTGCTGATCATGGCCTTGCGAATGGCAGAGAGGAGATGCACGACGGAGAAGGAGAACCCGGTGTGTACAGAGGGAGTGATTAGGGTGAATGGCTTCTTCACGGGAGACGGTTCTGGCTCTGCCTGCAACGGGTCTTCCTCCGCCATGACGGCTCCCGCTGCTCCAGGTGATGCCAGAGACAGAGAACCAGCTGCAGACACGGCTCTCCTCTTCCTCTTCTTCTTCTTCCGGCCGGGATCATCATTTGCATCTCCCTTGGCAGCTTCTTCTGGCGGATTAGTGTGACCATCATCACCGGCCCTCCTCCTCCTCCTCTTCGTCGCTGAGTTGCATCCTGCGAGGGTCACGTTTGACTTCCCGTTGTAATCGAGCCCGGGCCCGATGCTTTCATCTGCATTGTTTTCCTGAATTTGCCCAACATCCGTTGACCTGAGGCCTCCATCAGCCAGTCCCTCATCCGCAAGCCCATCTTCATGGTGAACAAGGCCAAGGTTTTCCTCAGAGACAGAGTAGTGAGAACCCACCATAGTCGTCTTCCCTTCTGGCTCCACAGAGAGCATATCTGGTATTATTGCCAGTCCAAGTCCATCTCCACGGCCGCCCAGCAACTTCCTCCTCTTGGTCAGCTTGCGACCATCTGGCGGATCACCCGAAAGCTTGCCCGATGCGGGCAAGTTCTCTGCAGCTCCGTCCAGATTATTGCTATATTTCCCATTTAATGGCGCATCTGTGTCGGGCACGATTGTTGCAGCAGCTTGATCCAGATATGGGCTCTGCTTCCCCCTGTTCTTCTTCACATTCCTTTTGATCTTACTGCCCCTGGATGTGACTTCCGCAGCTTTTGACTCACCATTTACCAGAAGGCCACCCGGACGTCTTGATTTCTTCTTCTTCACAGGATTCAGATACACATCATCCTCGCCCAGCTTCGATGAATCAGATCCTGGTTCTTCAGATAATTTTTTTACTGCCCTCGCCGGAGTTTCTGCTCTGTCACCAGAGAGAGCATATTGTTCATCCATATGTGAGAGGAGAGGCCTACGTGCCTTGATTTTGGGACCACCTTCTCCCCTCCGATTCTTGGTTTTACCTCTCAGGTCATGTTCCACGCTCAAGGCTTCAGCTTGGGGTTGACTTTCAAGAGAGGACTCCCTTCCTGCCAACTGGGTAGGCCGATCCCCTCGCGGCATTGACCTCTGAAGATAGCCGTGTGTGCCCTTGTCTGGAGAATCCCAATAACGCTGTTCATAAGGAGGCAGTGCGTCCAGAGATTCATCATAAACTGGATGCCGGGCGCCCTTCTTGTGCCTTCCAAGGGAGATCGCCTCCTTCCCCAGCTTCTGGGAACCTCTACTCCTCTTCTGCACGGGTATTTCGAGCAACTGTTCTTCTGCATGATCATCATCAACATAGTTCTTCTGGGTCCTCCCCCTTCGGGAAGCTCCAGAGTCAAACCCTGCAGTGTCCCTCCTGGGAACGACGAATGGCGAAGCTGAAGGCCTGTGTTTTGCGCCCAAACGGCGGGTGAAGGATTGAGGCTTGGTCGCTTCCAGGGCCATACCACTTCCGGTAGACTTCAGCAGCTGCATAGAGTGCCGACTCTTCTTGTTCCAGTGGCCGATAGGGTAGAGATCATTCTCTGAGTCAGTGGCCGAGTCCCTGTTGAGATTCTTCGAGTGGCCCATAGGCCTCTGACTCCTGAGTATGTTCAGCAGACGAAGCCTCTCCTCGATGCCATAGCCTGTGTAATTTTCCCATGCATTCCTCATTCGGACGAGACTATCAACCATAGAATTCTGATACTTTTGCAGCTGATGGTAGTGCTCGCTCCTTTGGAAAAAGTTCAAGCACCGACGATGGAGATCAACCCTGGGTTCACACAATCCACCCTTCATCCGGCTGAATAGCTCAGATAAAGGGCTGCTAAAATGGAAGTTGCTCCCGGAGAGAAGCTCCCTAATCGTCTGAGAGTAGGTCTCCTGGTCCATATCAGGGAGGTACTCCGCCAGGGAGAACCGCTCGTCCTCCGTGAGGCAGTTGTTCCATGTATCCAGGGACAGGATTGAACTGAGATCTGGAAGATCATACAATTCCAATGGGACAAGGAAATTCTGGCTCCCGACCTGGCAATACTCAGAACCGGCCTCTCCGAGCTCGGACACGTCATAGTCATCGGATCCCATGCCAGAATCCACCTCCGATCCTTCGGTATTTTCTGATTCTGATTCCGGCCTGTGAGACTGGAGTTCGTCGTCGTCGTCCTGACTGGAAACACCATCTCCAATTGGCGCCAAGACATCACCATCTAATCTCGAAGCCCTAGTGTTGTTCTTCATAATTGCCATGGAAACGAGATGAGCTATCAAGGAACTATCTCAATCTCGAACCAGATGGATAATGGTTAAACACCTATAATGCAATGACGAAGACGAACCTCAGAAAGGAGAAAAAAACAGCCGAAATAGGTTGAAAAAGAAGAGAAAAGCCAGGCGGTAGACCAAGCCGAAGAAACCCTAATCTCAGATCGATGGGCAGGACAAGGGAAGAACAAAGCCTTACCTCAACAATACGCCCCGAAGTCCAAGCCTCCCAAGCGGGAATCTGCAGCAGAGATCGGACCTCGGCGTGGGCGCCCTCCTCCTACCCCCGCACCGCGCAGACGAGGCGAAAGAACCGTGGGAACCCTACGTGGGAGCGGGGGAGAGGAGAACCAGTCAATAAATAGCACCGACGATGGAGCAAGGAAGACGACGACGACGTGGGCGCGTTCGGGTCGTCCGATGGGTAGATGTGGTGGCAGATAGATACAAAGAGGGAGAGGGGGAGGAAGACGGCCGGGAGGAGAGAGCCGATGGGGGGAGGAAGAGGGAAGAAGGGATGGAGGAAGAAGGGAAATAAGAGAGAAGAAGAGGGGCAAATTGCGGGAGAGGAAATAGGGTCGGCTGTGGAGGAGGAGACCAGGCGGCGTGTACTTTCTCGCAGATCGACGGTGGCCGGTGGGAAGAGAGAGAGAGAGAGAGAGAAGGGGGTGCAGGATAAGCGAGATGAAGGAGAGAGATTACCTGGGGAGGGGGAGGGCATGGTTGCAGGGAAACCCTAGGCAGGCACAGATAGCGCTGAGGCTGTCACTGGCAGAGAAGGGGATCTCGGGGAGCGGCGCATTTTAGCCTGACGGCGGAAGGGGCCGGGGAAGGAGAGGGAAAGGGTTATCCAGGAAGAGGCGCATTTTAGCCTGACGGCGGAAGAGGATGGCGGCGGGAAGGAGGCGGTTCCCGACGATTAGGAAGCCCCGCCGGCGCCGCGATATCTCGGGACGTTACCGTTCATCTGATCTACCCTCAAGTTTCCCGATCTGGCGGTGTTCTAGGGTGACACCTGTCGGCAAAAAATTCCAGCGCAGACCCAGTGCCACGGAGCCCGAGAAGCAACCCCGCACCTAACCCTGTTCGCACGTGCAAACTGACACGCGTATGAATATCCATGCAACACAACTCTCGCACGTGACCCCATCCTAGATTATTGTCAATCGTTAATTACCAAACGTCATTTTAGTGTTAATCACGCAAATATATTATTCAACCAATAATTCTGAATTGACACTAATAGGTTCTCTCTCTCTCTCTCTCTCTCCACTCTCTCTCTTCCCAGTATTCGACTCCTTATCAGAAATTTCCTCTAATTGAGCCTCAGAAGACTCGGTCAACTGTCCAGCCAAGTCAAACCCAGATGGCTGGGTTATCTGAGATTAAAAGCCAGAGAACCCACCTATTCCAGTTCTAACCAGATGTCAACCTGCTACCAAGGGAATCTAATGGTTACGAGAGAGAGATTCAGCAACGAGAATCCAGTCTCGTTGACTACCGGGACATCAATCGATCGGATCCTTCGCCGTTTCTAGAGCTCTTGCCGCAATATTCCTCTGACTTTTCTTGTTCGAACCTCCTTTCTTGGTCCACCGACGGCCAGTTGCCGCAACTAGGCTCTGACTTTCTGGGGATAAACCCACCTTGGTTGACTGAAACTGGCGCACCGTCCGGTCAACGCCCTTCGATTTCCGTAATTCCTCAGACTCTCCTCCCAGTTTCCCACGGTGCCAAACGTTGAGGAACAGCGCCTCCAACGGGACGAAAACGTCAAGGGGGAGCAGCACCTCCTCCAGCTCGTCCTGGTCGAGGTCCTCAAAGTCGCCATCCTCATAGACGACTCTGTACCACTTCATCTCCGAGTCAAAGTCAACCACCTTGCCCCAATAATATCTGCCACCAAACAACTTGTACACCTCTCTTCCTTCGAACCACCTGCCGAAATACGGCTCCTGGGGTGCTTCTCCATGATTCATGGAGCTCGGCGGAGTGGGAGGGGATCCATCTGTGGACATTTCTGGCAGCCCATTGACGCAGACGGCTGGTTCTCCAACCACTTGGAACACAGATGAAGATGACGACTCCGCCTCCCCCATTTCACTGGTTCTTTCTGGCTTGATAACTGATCACCGATTGTACCCCGGCGTCACTGCGGACAACATGCCATTAAAAAGCATCTGAGGCGGAATAATGAGAAGAAACTGTAGGGTGATCGAGGCCATTAATGGGGTTCCTCGAAGAACTGAAACTACGGAATGGAAAAAGATGAATAAATATTTTTAACAAAAATCATAATAAACTATGATCTATAGAACGCAAATGAAGAACAGTGAAACTGCTCGTATAAAACAGTATAAAAATCTGATCTTCAATGAAATGGGTACATATTGATCTGGTGCCTCACTTGACATCACTCAAACCCAGATTCAGCATTCCCATCCATCTCCTCCTCACCACCATCTCACTCAAAACGCACATTGAGAGAAATTCTGATCTAAGAAAGCCAACTCTACACAGTACAAAGATGGTAGAGAATCCACAGAAACACAGGGTAAAGTCTGAACCATCTGAAAGTAGATAAAACCATGTCCTAGTATAACCAGCCATGAAAGTAATCCTATGAGGCCTGCAAGAAATAAATGCTAACCCAGCATTAAATCTGTCCCGGGTTCATCCAATGCAGCTAGCTTTCCGAATAAGCTTCCCTAAATCTCCTGCATTTTTTACACAGCTACAGTGTTCAATTGATTGAGTAATGTTATCGGTGTGAAACTGTGCTGAGCCCTGAGCAGACTTGAGTGATTCTGGCAAATACCTCCCCTTTATGTGTTTCCAGTGTTCTAAGTATTAACGATCGTAGCGCGATGATTAAGAAATAAAGATTAAAACATTATGATTCCTCAATTTTTCGGATTCAATCCGCCACCACGTTTCCATGATTTTGACCTGCTGATCTACAATAGATACAGTCGGCGAGATGAACAGATCGTCGATTACATCTAACAGGAGAAAGGTCAGATTATCAGTCTTATGTGAAAGCAGCGGATAACTAAAGATCGCCGCCTTACGCTGATAGCGGAGACGATTGAGCAGCCAGAAACGTCCTCATGTGGAGGCCTCCGTCCACCGATGAGGATAGGTATCCGACAAACAAAAACAGAAGGATGCGAAGTGGTAAATGACGATGAGAGGGCGGCAACCTAAGAAAATGGCATATTAGGGAAGAGGAAAGGCACAGAGAAATCCGCAGACATCACCGACAAGAGTGAAACCTTCTTCGGCACCGCAGACTAGAGAGAGAGAGAGAGAGAGAGAGAGAGAGAGAATTAGGGCTTCATGGAGTACAGACCTTTGTCATCTGATGCAGTCGTACCGTAGATATGATCCTGACTGCCTGACAACGAGTGGAGATCGGGAAGGGCCAATATCTTCCCGAGAAGAAAGCTTCGCCTGAGGAGGTTAGAGTCTCCGGTTACGACCGCGGCGGCGGCGGCGAACCAGGGGCGGCAAGCGGTAAGGTGTTCCGATCTGCAACCGCCTACCCTCCGTCCCAAATACAGGATCGGCCCATTTTTAAAGTTGGGCTTTTTAACGGCCCACTGGGAAGAACAGGCCCGGTAAAAATTCATGTGCTTAATAATTATTCTTGAACTCATTATCACTACCAGAAATTAAGCCCATTCTAGACGGCTATCCATTTTCCCGGGAGTCTCCATCCGAATGGATGCTTACCTGGCAATCGACGTGGCTAGCCACGTGGGCTCCTTTTGCTACGGTCAGGTCGGGCCACATGGAGTTTGGACTCGATTTGGCCCATTTGGCCCAATAGTGACCCGCCTAAACCTTATTTAATAATTCAAACCCAGATTAAGCCAAGAACAAAGGATCGGCCTTCATGACCGACTGCTCAGCTGGAGGCAAATCCAGGACACGTGGAAAGGGCCACGTATTTTTATAATGCGCATCCGGCCCATTAAAAAATTGGCCCATTTCCCCAAACTCATGTCCAGCTGGAGATGAAGTGGTTAGATTTCTCTTCTCTACCCATTTATTTTCTCAAATACATTAAAATATAAATAATCGTCGAGAAAAATCGGACCGAATCGTAAGTACTTTAATAATTTAAATTACATTATTGGGCTGGATTTTCAGAATTTTAGATGGAGTGATTCTGTTTGAAAATTTTGGTCGGAAGATATCGTCGGTGGCGGATTCTGTCTTCCCGGCAGGATCATATCTCCGTCCGGCTCATCTAGCCTCTCAGAGCCTGCCGCTCAGGTTCCGAGGGCTTCTCTCTCTCTCTCCCCATCTCTCTCTATCGCTATCTATCTCTTTCTCTCTCTCTTCTCGCTCGCCGTGGCCTGTACGAGAGGTCGTTGGGAATGTGCAGATGGAGCTGGATATAACGTGTGGGGGAAGGGGTAGTTGGGTGCCGACGCTGTGAGGGACGACGAGGGGGAACGTCACGTCAGCCGCGATCTTCACGGAGTTTTCCTCCATCTCACTCCTCCCATGTCCTTCCTCCCGGCGCCGCTGTCACGTCCCCTCTACTCACCACCCTTCTCTCTCTCAGCATGCTTACGTTTACATGATGTCGTCTCGCTTCGGCCCTTCTCTACCCTTCTCTGCTCTCTATGCTCCAATGCGCAGGCGGGCTATGAGAGGTCTCCTCCTAGTGAAAGCTGATGCCTTCGGGCACCTGGAGGAGATGGGGGCGGTGTTCTTCTCGGACCCCATGACAGTGACAAAAGAATCTACGATGCGGGTATCATATAACATATAAAAATCTCTGGCACTGATCACGGTGCTCTCTCTCTCTCTGTCTCTCTCTATCTCTTCTCTCTCTTCTCTCTCTTCTCTCTCTTCTCTCTATCTGTCTGTGCTCCTCGGCTCTAGGTGCTACGCTCCGACGGGAAAGGTCAGGTGCCTGCTAGTGGGTAGACCAGCATGCTTTCACAGGCCCTCGATCGAAAGAATGCCTGCCGCATTTAAGGCGTGGGTACCATAATATCGTGCGAATTCTGATAAAATAGTTATCTTGGCATTAATGCCGAGGACCCGAGTCGGGAGGTGGCGAAACTCGGACGAGTGTGCTGAAGCGAGTTACGCCTCACCGAAGATGAGATCTGGTGTTGTGAGAAGATGTTTTGGAAGATTTTTTTATCCCCGCTGATGCGGGGGAGTACGCTGATAGATCAATCGGCTCGTCTTTGACCGGACGTTGGGCGTTGACTATGTTGATCACGTGTTCGGCCCTCCTTGGTGGTGCACGTCTCTGAGTCACCAAAGAGAAAGTCCCCCCCTCCGTCATAATCCGGGTGCAACCGCATCGTCTCTCTATACATATGCCTACATCTCTTTCTCTCTCTCTAGCTAGGGAACTATGCCACAACACTGCGTGGAGAGAGAGATCACGATAGGAGTGCGGTGAAGAAGAGAGCGGATAAGGCGAGATTCGCTTTGGCCAGGGCAGTCAAGATGAAAGCTTGAGGAGGGAGTAAGAATGTTTCGCCGCTCTCGTGTGAGGGGGAGGCATGCAAGATGAGAAAAGCCGCCGCCTTTTTTAATTCTTCACTTTTCCCACGGCAAACCGACGAGGAGCCGCCTGCGTGTCATTCCGACCCATCAACGACCCATCCATAAGCCTACCTCACTCTCTCTCTCTCTCTCTCAAAGAGGGGGGGGGGGCAGGAGCCAAAGGGCAAAGAGTGTAGCACAAATTGAATGGCAGTTCAGAACAACATCAGCATGACAGAACCAGACCCGCTCTCTCTTCCCCCATTCCCACCGACGTTTTATACTTCCCCAATTGCACCTCGCTCTCCAAATCCCTTTTGTCTCTTCGCCCTCCTCCCCTTCCTTTCTTGTTGTTTCCTCTCTCTCTCTCTCTCTCTATCTATCTGTCTATCCTATCTGAGATCTACCTTCTCCATTTCCATCTCTAAAATAGTAGGAATGCCTCAGGCTCCTTCGACAAGGTGGTGCCCGACACCAGAGCAGCTGATGATGCTGGAGGAGATGTACAGGGGCGGCCTCAGGACTCCAAATGCCTTGCAGATACAGAGCATAACTGCCCATCTCTCATACTATGGGAAGATAGAGGGCAAGAACGTGTTCTACTGGTTCCAGAACCACAAGGCAAGGGACCGGCAGAAGCTCCGGAAGAGGCTCAACAGACACCACCAGATGCTTCCACAGCAGCACTATCTCGCCCAACAGCCCTTTCCTACTAACCACCAGATAGAGGCGTCCTATGGATTTCTGCGCCAGGCCTCGCCCCAGTTTCTTCAACAGGTCTTCACCTCTCTCTCCCCCCCCTCTCTCCATCCCTTTCTTGCTTAATGATAGATAAGAGACTCTGCAGTCCGTTATTTTAGGGTTTTACCTCTCACGGGTTTTCATGTCCATCTATCGAGATCTCCTCGAGTTATCTGTCAGCACAAAGAAGTGGAAAGGGATTCTAGGGTTTCAGTTGCCTGATAAAATTTTGCGCTTTCTTATAGTCCGCACGAACTCCTTCCGTTTTCCTCTCCATCATCATATTCTTCTTCTTCTTCTTCTTCCGTCGTCGTCGTCGTCGTCGTCGTCGTCGTCGTCGTCGTCGTCGTCGTCCTCATCGTGGACATGGGGAAATTTATTATGTATTCTTTCCTGGATGCGTAGGGTCTTCGCGAGGAAGTAGCCGAGGCGATGAGCCTGATTAGCAAGCATGGAAGGTGCGAGAGAGAGGAAGAGCAGCAAAGGTCAGTGGAGACGAGCCCCATGACTTCTGGGTACGAGTGGAGGATGTTGACGGGAGCAAGTACGGGAGCTCCCTCTTCTTGCAGGCCTCTGAGAACCCTGGATCTTTTCCCCACCCGAATAACTGGCCTTAGAGGGGACGGCATCGGCTCTAAGTCCTCTTCCTGCTCCGCGTCGACTAAGTAGATGCAGCTTGCGGATGCCATAGCTCGATGTCTTCTCTCTCTCTCTCTCTCTCTCTCTCTCTCTCTCTCTCTCTCTCTCTCTCTCGCTCTCTCTATCTATCTATCTATCTATCTATCTATCTATCCATCTTTCTCTCGTAGCAACAAGTGCATTCGGCCATGTGATTGGAGACTCTCCTTTTCGAGCTGTCTATCTAAATGTAGAATTAGATAGAGATATTTTTCTCTTTAGTTGAAGAAATCAATCAACCTGGCAAAACTCTTTCTCTCTCTCTTTCTCTTCTTCTCGCTCTACGGGGGCGTAGCCGTCGTTCACGCAAAAGTTTTTAAATGGACGTCTTCATCTGCTAGCCCTCGACATTTCTCTGTTCGTCTCGTTTCCGCTGTCAGGCCTCCAAAGGCTGCCGGGGAAGCCGATAATTCTGCCGACCGTGGACAGAAAGACTGGCATTTCAGGTCAACTAGATTTCCCACAGACACCATAACCCCGATGGCAGCGCATGAGCCACCTTGTTAACATCCCCAGTCTTTCCTTTCATGGCAGTGCTATACCGTTTGAACCCTAAGATGGTCCTACAAGGGAAAGAACAAATCGTTTCTCCTAGAGGATCGCCATATCCTTGTCCGTATCTCCCCAGTACTTCGATATCCTGTCCCTATCCTAGTTTGTGGTAACTTCCCACAGAGGAGGAGAAGAGAAAGAAAGACACGAAGGGGGGAATAGGGTGGAGAGAGAAAGAGAGAGAGAGGCAGGAATAGTGAATTGTTTTATTCGAGTGAAGGCGGAACTGATGCTGAAACAGAAAGGTGTGACCTGCCGAGCTATAAAATCGTGTTCGTCTTGTCTTGGACGTCGAAACACCGTAAATTTTATCAACCTGCGCCTGCATTTCGGATCTCATGTCTTCTCAGCCATCCATCGGCCAGAAGCTCTTTCTCCATCCGTCCTCTTCAACCCCCATGGATTCCATCTTCTTTATTCCCTCTGTGGGGGGAGAGAGAGAGAGAGAGAGCCTTCATTCTCTCTTCTTCTAATCGGGTAGAGTTAATGCCCGTCCTCTTCGTTCCCCCTTCCCACCATTCCACACACTGCAGACTCTAGTCTCTATAAGAGATTTCAGACGCAGAGCAGGAGCAGCAGGACTTGTAGAATCAGCCTTTATTATCCCTTCAGACTAGTCAACACGAAGGGAAAGGGGCCAGCACTCGGCATGTAAGCGAAGATTTCCTCGCCTTCGAAAGCTGCCGCGGCGGCCTGCGTATTTACGCCAAGGCAATCGTTCAAGAAGACAGTGAGAAGTTTTTCCACAGAACATTGATTACCCACCTGAGCCGTCACCGCTTATTTATTATCTGATCCACGGCGGCCTCTTTATCCCCGCCGACAGATGTGAGTATTCGTGAATCCTTCGTGTTCAAAGCTGACAACACCGCGAAGAAGAACAGGAGGAAGAAGAACACGAAGAAGACAGATCGTGATGGTTTGGGGCGAGGAAGAAGGCTGTGAGAATCTAGGAGTCGATCTTATCCCGGTCGGTGGTGCCATTCGGCTTATTACCCTGTTTGTAGTTTCTAAATTTAGCCTAGACTGCCGGAACGGATTGAAGGCATTAATTTCACACGCGTTCAAATCATCGGGCTTAATGTAAAATTACTCAATACAATAAAACCTTTGAGGGGTTGATTTAATGACATCCTAGTGACTATTTTAGTTCGATTGGGTCACCAAACTCGGACCCAATCTTAATAGCAATATTATCTCTATAAAAATGTCCTTGATTTTAAATCAATCAGTATGGAATTGTTCACAAAACCATCACTAAAACGGAATCCACTTTCATCCCAAAGTTTGGTTTCTCCTCTTGAATTGATGATGCTTGGATGTATTGGCTATGTCGAAGTGTTCGAGTGATTGTTATTTTCTCATTTGGAAAATCCGTCACCCCAAACCCAAATGACAATAAGTAAATTAGGCATGTTTTTATGACCATTGGTTCATTTTAAAAATGTAAGTGAATATGAAACTATTCACCATATAACTATTTGATAACTGGTTAGTGTTTGATAATGGTATCAGACTCCCAACCCACTAAGACTTATTACTTATCTCTCCTTCTCATCTCTCCTATATAAGAGTCATGTCTTTTATCTTTTGAAACTATATAGATTTTAGGATTTTGCTATTTAGTGTCAACATGATATCAGAGCTCTAAGTCCCTTCATCATCCTCCTCTTCTTTGATGCGTCGTCTCTGGTGCACCGCTCTCTTCTTCGTTGGCTTCTTCTCTCTTTGGGCGGCTCTTTAGCCTCAACCCTCTTTTCTCTTCCAGCATTGTCATCTTTATCGTTACTCTACTTCTCTTTTTGGTGTTATCTCACCCCCCTCTGTCGCCTACCTCTAAGTCCTTTGAGCTTCTTCCAACTAGTGTTCTGTCTTTTCTAGTGGTTCTTTTGACTCGTCACTCTATCATGGCACAACTTACTCAATCAACGTACAATTTCAACGACTATAATTATACGTCATGGGTATCTAGCTTCGAGCTTTTTCTTAGATTTCATAGTTTCCTCTATTACCTCTCAGATGACCCACCTGGCCTTCGAGAACCCCTCGTACGTGACATAGTCATAGCTCGACTTAGTTGTCATTACATGAATGCTTCAAAACATTGAGCCAAATATTGTCAAGCTACTAGCATGCATCACTTCGATTTGTCTCCTAAGACTCACTATGAAGATCATGTACATCAACCGAATGAACATCAATCAAGTTGTGGAGATCTTTGAGTTTATTCTCTCTTATAAATAAGGCAATCTCTCTCTTCAAGCCCACTATAATCACCTCCAAGCCCTCATTTAAAAGGTTGATATCTATCAACCCCATACTATTGATCTTTTCAGTCACCCTCTAGCAATACCCAGGAGTTTTATATTGGGATTTATCTTAGTAGACATTTGTCCGTCACATCTTAGATTTGAAGGGATGTTCTCTCTAAAAATCATGTGTCTGATCTCATCTCTATCTTCTTGGCAGCCCTTCGGTCACCACTAATATGCCCGTCCACTCCTTTTCTTCCTCTCTAAGCACCACACTTTACTCCTTCGAGGCTTTTGCCATTGCTACTCTATGGATGCAACACCTTTCCTCCATGTCCTTATTATGAGAAGTAGAATCATCCAGTTACTAAGTGTTATTCTAATTATCTGAGATGACCCATCAATCAAAGTTTGATAACCTTAGATGGTTAAGTTATTTGAAGCCTAGTTAGAGATAAATTTGAACTAACTTGTGTAAGCTTTTTAAAGTGAATAATTGAACAGTAGGACTCAACCCACTACACTTATCTATGTTATTATCAAATTGAGAGGGACTTATGTCAATTTGAACTAGATCCAAATTTAACCTAATTAATATACATTATTACGCTCTACACCAAGTGAGTTAACTCACTTACGATAATAAAGTAAAAAAATGTCAATTTTATAAAAAACAATTCTTAAACACTGAAAAATATTTTTTCAAATGTTAGAATAAAGTATTGACAATTTTAACAATGGTTTTTTTTAATTTAGTATAATTTTTTATTTTATGATATATACTAATACCTTAATTTTATTTGTATATTAATATATAAATATAAAACAAACTAAGAAGAAACCATGTACTCTGAATATTAAAGTGATTCAATCAAACTCTTTTACTCTACATCCACTTTTAACGACTACACCTAGATTCTTCTATTTAAATACTAGAATACAATTGACTTATGAGCTCATGTCTCCTTTACACTATAAACTCTTAAAATTTATGTGAGCACATCACATGTCACACTCGATGTTTAACACGGAATAGGTGTTAAGAAGGACTTGAGATCTCCACAAGAGTTGAATTAATCAACCAAATATATAACGTGTTCATTGCAAGATGGTCATCCTAACACACTATAGATTTAAATATAAATGAAGAACGAGTTTACCACAAGGTACAAAAGTAATTTTTGTGCAACAAGAGTTGATGAAAGTCTCAAGAGGTGCTGGGCTGAAGGAGGAAGCTGTTGAAATCATGGTAATGTCTATAACTCATTTGAAACAATCAAAATTTTCCCTTGATCCTCAAAGAGTTGAAAAAGTTGATGGATATAAGAGACATCACTAGAAGCAACATGCTTCATCTAAAATTCATGTCTTTCTTTCATACCCTAATTTTAGGTGAAATGTAATTTTTATAAACAGGCTATATCACTCTTTTTTTGACATGATTGGTTCAAATGGTTAAGTTAAAGTGGGTATAAATAAGACATACACATATTCTAGAAAATATAAAGAAACAACCATAAAGAATGAAAAACTCATAACTCTCTTAATACTTAAAGTTTTTATGAATTATTTTTAGCTCTATATTCCTCTTTGGATGAGCTTTTCATATAATGGTCAATACCTATAATTATGACATATTTTATAAGATAAAAGATATTTTAGTAGGAAGGGTCAACTTACTATTTTACCTATGTCCAAACATAGTAAACTAATAATCTTGTAAAATCAATAACAAATCAATAAATTAATTATTTCTCTAAATTTCATTTTATTTGACTCATTCAATTACCTTTTATTTGTTACAAATATGATTGTATGTGTGAAGTCATTTGATACATAAAATTTAATTATTAAGGCTTACATGTAGGACTATATCATATTCACATCACATATTTTTATTGTCTTTATACTCACACGATGTAATAATTATATCATTGACGAGAATTTGAAACATAATTAAATATTTCTTATAATCTAGATTTTAGTTTGAAATAATCTATACTCTTTAATTCCATATAATGCATCAATATCTAATTAAATTTACATGACATGTTATCAATTTCACAGTTTATGAATGAGTTAGATTTACAATGCTGAAATTCTTACTACAACTTTAACTTAGTTAACACTAAATGGAATAGTTTCATCTATGTGACCTCTTCCCCCACGTAGTTCACATCATTTACAAAGTTTTCACTAGGTAGATTTGTATCATCCAAGTGGCCTTAATTTGTGTTATAATCAAGTAGGCCCATTTTTGTGATCATAAGTTCAAATTTAATGTGATATATTGATTGCAAGTTGGATATTTTGGTCAAGGAAGACAATCACAGATTTAATATATGTAGTCAAATAACGACCATTGGATCTCATTCCATCGTAAACCCATTATATCAACTATTATGTGGACTTATTATGCATTTATGAGCGTATCTTGATTCGTAATGTGACCCATAGAAACGGTGGGCCCTCCTTTCTGGTGGGCCTCTCTTATTTTGGGCTCTTGCTGATTAAATCAGCCGAGTTGAACTGGGCCTCGATTAGGTTGCTAAGACACAAGAAGACTCTCACACCCAATTTCAATCGTTATTTGGTGCTAAAGATTTGGGCTTTCATGTTTGGGCCGGGCTCAATCTGGCCAGAAATTTGTGGGCTGACAGTGAGCGCTACAAGCCCGCAAATTGTATTTATTGGATATTTTCAAGCCGTTTGCTGGTGGGCTTGCCACGTGTATGCAAGGGTAAAAATGGAAAATGAGGTAATGGCACGGCCGTTATCGAGTTTAACAGAAAAAACTAGGTAAAGATGGCGACGGCGTTTTACATCTTCTCCTGCGTCAGAATTTCCATGAAAACAGAGCATCGGAGGAGCAAGAAGACGGAGATGAAGGCTCGATGGGTGGTCATCTGTGACTAATGCGGATGGATGGGGCTGTTCATGGATAGCATGCCGAGGCAATGCCCCCAAAATTCTGGGTCGCCGGCGTGAAGCTCGTCCTCCGGCGACGGCGAACCGGCGGCGACTTTCCTCCGCTTCTCCATTCCTCGCGAAAGTCCCTCTGACGCGTGGCCGGAATTCCGCTGGCGTCTTCTTGTACGCGTAGTGGTCCGAAAAAGAGGTACGGAAGAGGAAGAGGAGAGGGGAAGAGAAGGGGGAGCGATGGGCACCGTGGTCTTCTTCTGGAAGTTTCTCTGGTTCTGCCCACTTCTGTACTTGACGATTTTCTCCTTCCTCTCCTCGTCGCTGTACCGCCCAACTCTCCCGGCACCAGCCGCCGCCGTCGCCGGCGGTCAATCTCCCGCTTGCTGATCTCCTGTGCAGAGAGAAACGCCTCGAGTGAGGAAGCCAATTGGCCATAGAAGTCGCCACCGGCGCCGGAAGAGAACGGACGCCATCCGCCGCGGACGGTGTGGGCTAACGACCTTGGCTGCTGGGTCATGGCGGTGTGGGATGGTAGCAAGAATGGAGGGGAAGGAGGTGCGGGCTTTATGCTTCTTGTCCCATGGAGAGGCCGTTTTGACGATGACATGAGAGAGAGAGAGAGAGAGAGAGAGAGAGAGAGAGAGAGAGAGAGAGAGAGAGAGAGAGAGAGAGAGAGAGAGAGAGAGAGAGAGAGAGAGAGAGAGAGAGAGAGAGAGAGAGAGAGAGAGAGAGACAGAGAGAGAGAGAGAGAGAGAGACAGACAGACAGACTGAGAGAGACAGACAGAGAGTATACGTATAACATATTTGAGTGGGACCCAACGATCAAGGAGGACGCAAGTATACTCCAGAGAGAGATAGAGACAGAGAGCATACGTATAATATATTTGAGTGGGCCCCCAAAAATCATAGTTATCAGGAGGCGAGGAAAATGAGGAAGAAAGCGACAGAGAAATAACTTCGGAACCAGAAGAAACTAAACAGGACGGAGAGTGAGAGATTAGCCGAAATTAATTTTTAAAATAAATAAGGTATTTCATATAAACTAATGCGCGAGTTGGGTGAATTTGAAAAAAAAAAACAAAAACAAAAACCAAATAACGATAGTAAGGGGCAGGGGAGACAAAGGCCCGGGATCTCTACACAGGTCGTGATAAAAGGCCCGGGATCTCGATCCTTCTCGGGATCTTGCTCCTCCGACGACGATCTGGGCGGGAAACCCGTGGCAGACGACGACGGCGGCGGCGGCGGCGGCGGCGGCAGAAATTGGCGGAGGCACAGAGAGTAGGAGGAGGCCGCCAGAGTTGACCGGAATGGCGGAACGGGTCATCGAGCACAGGACCTACGCGAGGGTGGGGCTGATGGGGAACCCCAGCGACGTCTACTTCGGGAGGGCCATCTCCTTCTCCCTCGGCAATTTCTGGGCGTCCGTTCGTCTCGAACCCTCCCGGGACCTCGTCATCAGGCCGCACCCCGTGCACGACCTCGTCTCTTTCGACTCCATTGATCACCTGGTTCGTGCCCCCCCACCTCCCTTACATCTCAGATCTTGATCCACCAGCCCTGCACATCCTCGTCTCCTCTGTCTCCCAGGTCAACGAGGATATTCCCTTCATTTATTGATCGGACATTACACCTCTGCGTGTTCTACATAGAGAATTTCTCAGCGATCTACTTCTGCCGATTTTTTGTTTCCTGCACAAATGTTCCACGAGAATTCGGTTGATAGCACGATCAAGTATATGACTGAATGTATGACGTTGGTGCCTCAACGCAGACGAGCCTCAGATCTGAATTCCCATGTAGTCTACTGCTAAAATGATTGATTCGAAAGGAAAACAGAGAAAATTGAAGCACCAGATCGTTCAAGCTACCCCGGATTCATAAATATGGAAAGCATGGATGTTTCACACAGGCCATCTCGTTGTCGATTTATCCTTTTTTTTCTTAAATGATGCCCACATCAGATTACCTTCAATTCTGATTTTTTTATATTTTATATAGCATTTATATATATGTACAAAATTCCAAGGTGTTTTTTAGCTATGCTGTTCCTGTTTGCATCAATATATTGTACCCCATTATCAATATGTGATGGAAGAAAATCCGGGAACGTCTTCAGTAATCAAATCCCATTAACCGAATGATATTAGCGATCCCGTCACCCAGACATTTCAGTTAAAGAACATACATGCGGCCATTATCGCATTGATGCCCATCTTCTTGCTGCTTGGTGTTCAACTGCGTACCCTTCATCCTGCAGGTGAATCGGTTGGAGAACGAGGGCTATTATGGAGGAGCGCGTCTGCTCTTGTCCATCTGCAAAGTCTTCCGCAAATACTGCAGTGACAAGCAGATAAATCTGAAAGGAGGAAACTTTACACTTTCATATGAGACCAACATACCTCGCCAGGTGAGCATCCTCTGGAACTAATCAGCAGAGCTTTGGGGAACATCGGGGGTGCTTTCTATAAAAGGGTGTTGGGTCAGTTGATCAGAATGTCATCTTCTCATCTAAATGTGAGCTGTTTTAGCTTTGCGCTCTAGTCTGCCAATTTAGTCTCGAGTTCATCTAAATCCTTCAATAAATTAGTCTATGTATATATATATATATATATATATATATATGTATATGGCAACTAAGTTGGTTGAAGCTATTTTCTTGTCAATATTCACGAAGTTGTCGTTGATTTTCTCTCATTATCTATGTTTTCCACGCATAGAGCACGCATAGATACCTGACGTCAGAGAGCTTGCTGGGAATTTGTTCGTAGTTGACTGTTTTTTTTCCTTCTCCTTTTGGCATCTTCAGACAGGACTTTCGGGTTCCAGTGCAATAATCTGCGCCGCTCTGAACTGTCTCCTGGATTTCTACCAAATCAGGCATCTGGTGAGCGTCGAGATCAGGCCCCAGCTAATCCTAAAAGCAGAAAACGAGCTCGGAATCGTCGCCGGCCTTCAGGACAGGGTGGCGCAGGTCTATGGAGGACTCATCTACATGGTATTACCTTTTATACGTCGCCTTCAGCCTATCATCATCTCCCCGCCAGTGTCTGAGAGAGTCAACGATTTTTGATTCAATCCTTCAGGATTTTAGCAAGGAATACATGGATAAATTGGGCCATGGAAAGTACTCCCCCATGGACGTCGGTCTTCTTCCTCCTCTCCACCTGATCTACGCAGAAAATCCCAGTGATTCTGGCAAGGTCTGTCCTCTCCTCACATGTTGATTCTCGGTGCACCAATGCGATTAATAATCCGGAAATGTAGTCGTCGTCAGAAATAATCTGGCAATTGAAGGGGGATTTCCTTACCTTTTGATCTCATTCCGCAAAACCTTCGGTTGCAGGTACATAGCTCTGTTCGCAAGCGATGGCTGAACGGCGAACAGTTCATAATATCCTCCATGGAAGAGGTCGCCAACATCGCTCGCAGAGGTCGCGCCGTTCTGATGGAGAAGAACTACGAAGAACTCGCACGACTCATGAACCGCAACTTCGATCTGCGCAGGTTCGATTGCCGCCTCTCTCACTCCTCCTCTCTGGTTTCTGGAACACTGACGCTTGACTTGATCGGGGAGAAGCGTTCTTGACACCGGTGCGGCGATCTGGATCTTTGCAGGCAGATGTTCGGAGACGACGTTCTCGGATCGGTGAACATAAAGATGATCGAGGCGGCCAGAAGCGTCGGCGCGGCGGCGAAGTTCACCGGTAGCGGCGGCGCAGTGGTCGCCTTCTGCCCCGAGGGACCGGCGCAGGTGGAGCTCCTCGAGGACGCTTGCCGGAGGGCAGGCTTCATTGTCCAGCCGATCACGGTCGTCCCTTCAGTCCTCCGAGACGGGGACCTCGAAACACTGTCGAGCTGACGATCTCTGAGGCCCTTCTTTATATTATTATTTGGTGTTATATATTTTTCTTCTTCTATTTTTTACATGCGTTGTAATTTTTGGATACTTTTCTGCTTTACTTTTTTATTATTTTTCTTAATAAAATAATTGATCTCTGAGGGCCCCCCAGTGCTAGATTTTGACAATTTTACCCTTTTATATGTTTATTTGGTGCCATGCTTTTAATTTTTTCTTCTATTTTTTACATGCACCCTAATTTTTGGATACTTTTCTGATTTTATTTTATTATTTTTCCTAATATAATGAATTTTGTGAAAAATATTCTATGGATAATAAGAGAAACATATATTTTTTCTTTTTTCTACTGAATTAGGGGGAATATCCCACAACGGTTTACAGCAGTGAAGGTTACGAGAGAGAGGGAGAGAGAGAGAGCCACGTCATCGATCCAGAATTCAGACATCTCATCACATCAGCCGTCCATCGCATTCAATCAACGGCAAGGAATATATCTGGGGACGATACGAGGATCCGTAGTTGGCATCGGTTGCCCGATCGGTAACACCATAAATGCCGCCTTCCCTCCCCCTTCACGAGAAGTGACTTCTTTGCCGTCTCCCTGGTTTCTAGTCCAAGAGCTCGTTGTTGTAGGTAGAGGGCGGGATTCTAGGGTTAGGGTTTCTGAGATACAATGTCTGGCAGGGGGAAGGGAGGCAAGGGCTTGGGGAAGGGTGGCGCGAAGCGCCACCGCAAGGTGCTGAGGGACAACATCCAGGGCATTACGAAGCCGGCGATCCGGAGGCTGGCGAGGAGGGGAGGAGTTAAGCGCATCAGCGGGCTGATCTACGAGGAGACGAGGGGAGTTCTCAAGATCTTCCTCGAGAACGTCATCCGCGACGCTGTCACCTACACGGAGCACGCTCGCCGGAAGACCGTCACCGCCATGGACGTTGTGTACGCCCTGAAGAGACAGGGCCGGACCCTCTACGGATTCGGTGGTTAGGAAATTTGTTCTATGAAAAGTCTTGCTGTCAAGAAAATCTCAGGGGGGGTGGGGGGAGGAAAAGTGCTGGAGGGGCGGGGGGAAGAGCGGGAGCGGAGGAGGAAGGGAGAAAAATTGTAGGGCGGGGTTCTCCCCGACGGGAATTAGGTTTTTAGGCTTCAACCTGTTTGTCTTTTTTTCTCCCCCATCTTCGATTCGAGTTCCCATCATAATGTATTTGAAATAGCTTCTCGCTTTCCATCTAGATACTGTTCGAGTCTGAACTTCATGCTGCAATTATCTCGTTCTGTTCTTTATTTTCGGTTTATGACGAGCGTTTGCGATGTGTGATGCGGAATCCGTCTGCGATTGTGCTCCAAATGTGGGATCGGCCATTGGCAGTCGTACAATTTTTTTACATTGAAGACTCGGGAAAATATAGTTTTAATTTATTTTCAAACTAATATCGAGCTTTTACTTGGGAAAAATTGTGTAGTGGATCGCATGTGTGAGTGTCATCTCATCAATGGCGTCGTAAAAATGATCTCCTTTCATATTTATATTAATTTTTAAAAGGAAAAATGTAGTGGTCACGTCACTGAGCTAGTGTATATATATGTAAGAACTTGGGGACGTTAGATTGGATTCGTAGTTCCCTTCGGCAGGAGGTTGCTGGCCGGCAAGGAGGAAGGGAAAAGAGCTTATAGCATGGAGGAGCTCTGCCTGGAGGATCTCCAGCTCCTCCGCCAAGATGCGTTCATCGATTCTCCTTCGCCACTTCGAGCGTTGTTCTCCTGCCGAGCCATAATCTGTAACCCGGCCTCTTCCGAAGTCGCCTTGCGCTCTGTTGTCGACGCCATCGTCCATCTTCTGGGACGCGATCCTTCCCCACCCCTCCTCCGCCCCGCGGTGAAGCTGATCGCCGACGTCGTCGTTCTTCACCCCGCTCTCATGCCCTCCGTGTTTGCCGCCGTGCGGCCGCTCCTGAGTTCCGGCAAGCGTCCCGCCGCAGAAGCTCTGGCTGTTCTAGTTTCCGCAGCGCAGAGCGGCGGCGAAGGCTCGTTCATGGTCAGATCGGTAATGGGGGAAGATCTCATCCTCTCGCTCGCCTCCAGTCGTGCAGTGGCCGTTCGTTCGCAGCTCCTCAGATTGTTGGCTCTCGAATCCCACTATGTCCGTGAAATGAGCTCTGCCGACGGTCGACTAGTCGCTGTGCTCCGCGTGTTCTTGGGCCTGACTGCCGATCTGTATCCCTCGGTAAGAAGTGCGGCTCTGGACGGCTTGCTGGTGCTCTGCGGGAACGCCGTCGCGTGGATGGAGATATCGGTGATGCAGAGATGCTATGACGTTGGGGTTGAGCTCCTTCACGACGTAGACGTGTTCGTTAGAATGTCTGCCATTCGACTGGTACTGCTTCACCTCTGAGTTAATGCCCGCCGTGTCATTTATGACCTATTTTATGTCGCTTGTGATAGTTGTTACCCTTGTTGTCATCGCGTTCTTGATCATTTCCATTTTCACAGAGATGTCTGGTTATCTTTTTCTTCAGGTGTCTGAGCTAGGCCAGATGCTGATGGCGACAAAGCAGGTGACAGACAATGGCAAGTTTTCAGACGCACAATTCCTTATGGTATTCTTCAGATGGTAGCTCTGGGCTGGATTTTCTCTTTAACTATTATTTTTCTGAAACATCAACTAGATGCCATTTAACCCTCCATACCATTTGATGGATATTTCTATCGCGTTGTCTTGTCCGTACTTTGAATGCTCCTGATTGTATCCAATTCATTGGATTCAGTGTCACTTTTGTTGAGGTATCTTGGCTGGTGTAATTAATTGGCATCTCCCAGATATGTTCACAGTTTGCAATCGATGAAAGATGGTTTCTTTTCATTTAAAACTGGAATCCTGCATGAGGAACGCGAATTTTAATAAACTGAAACGATCGTCAAGAGCTGGGCCTGAAGCGATAAGGAAATCAAATATTTTTTGAAGCTAGATGGGATTACAATCCTCTTCAATGGCATTTAACCATATTTGTTGCTTCAAAAATCGGATCTGTCTGGGAAATTTCTTATCGATGTTCCTACTGGAATGAGGAGCTTAGACTGTGATTCTTATTTTTACTTTCTTCTCTTGTTCGTTGTTTTCACATCTTCATATGTCACATTTTATAAAGTTCAAATCAATAAAGATTTCTTTTTCGATTCATCTCTGGAGTCCCTATTGAAGAATGTTTTTTGATCCAATCCGTAGGAATCACTAGAAAAGGCAAATCCTCTATGATTCACCAGATCCGGCTTCGGTTATTGATAGAGTGAATAGATCCGCCATTTCTTGAAATCTCTCTTCTGATTCAAAATCGTGGTGTAACGTGTATCCCCGATTGTTCCGGTCATAGAACAGATGAAATAAATCCAACAATGGGTTTTTTGTTCAAGAAAGAAATCTTATTGGAACCGTCCATATCCGGTTCATCCTTCGGAACTATCATATCACATCCCGGATCTGATGACATATGATGAATTAAGACGGTATTTTATAAATACGTAATTATCTTGAATGTATCAACTATTTCTTTATTTTCTGATCGCCAGGAATTGACAAAAGAAGCATCTCGTTTTTTCTTTAAAAAAAATCTGATTTTTATTTCATCCTTTGTTCCTTCATATGGGCTTCGTAATTTAATAGAGATTTACTTCTCCCAGCTATGCTCTGTTGCCAGAGATATGGATATGAGGGTCAGAGTTGAAGTTTTCCTCTCACTTGAAAAGATAAAGCTGGTATCGGAGAATGTATTGGTACAGTCTTTGTCTAAGAAAGTCAAAAAGGGCAACAGCGGAGGAAAATCTCTTGCTGAATTCAGTGAGGAAGGATGTGGGTTACCAATATCTTGTGCTGCGGGGGTATTTCTTCAGGGTCTGGAGGATGAATTCCATGAGGTATATTGATGCTCGTGAGGTTGTCTTCCTTCCATGGCTTCCCAAATATCGACACTTTAGTTGTATCAGTGATCTCTCTTTATTATTACTGTTATTTTTATAAAGATGAATTTTCTGACTAGATGTATCTCTGTCGAAGGTCCGAAGAGCTGCATGTTTTTCCTTGGGGACGCTCACAATTTTATATGCCAAGTTTGCTGATAATGCCTTGGATTTTCTAATGGACATGTTGAACGACGATTCTGATGCCGTTCAACTTCAGGCGCTGCAAACATTGTTTCAAATGACGAGCAATGGCAATATGAACGTGCAAGAAAGGCACATGCATATGGTTTGCTTCGGAACTGCTTTTGGATTGAACAGGCCAAAGAATCAATATCAGTGGAAACCTTAGTTCTGGATCATAGATTTCCCCCGACCTACATCTTTCCTCTTTTTAGTGGGGTTTATATCGCTGTTGGTTTATTTTACACCATGAAAAACCTTCGATGCTTTCTATAATTTTTTCGTCGAAAATCTTCACAACCGCTTGCATATTTTATTAACTAAACTTTCATCTGGCATTTAGTGCTGCAATTGACACATTCTTGGCGGTGGTTGTAGGTTCATACCTGATTTTATATGTATTTTACTGTGAAGTAAATAAATGCTTGAGGTAGCGATGCTTTATTTCTCTTCTTTGATGAATCAGCTTGGGTATACCAAAACTAATTTTACGTGCCTTCTCCACAATTTTGGGGAATCCTATTCAGTGACACTTACGTGCTTACTTAATGAGGATGAACATTGTGTTGAGGATGATCCATTCCCAACAAAGAGCAGAGATAAGAATCGCTCTCTTTCTTATTCTGTAATGGGTTGACCATTTTGATCACCATTACAATCATCCCAAAGCAATACTCGATGGATGTCGTTCCAGGTCCTGAGGCATCTTAGGATGCTGTTAGCAGACTACCTGAAAATCTTATTAGCCTTTTATATTCAATCCAAAAGCCAAAGCTTTTAGTCTAATTGTACCCACCACAAACTGCTGATCCATGTGATCCTCGAAAGTGTTCCTTTCCTTTCAAGAGTTGTTGTGGTCAGATTTTTATTAGTTGAAGCGTGGAATTTTTTTCGCATGGGTTCCTTGAAGTTTGGTTAGTATGTGAACCAAAGGAAGGATTGTGAGGATGATTGACTGTGGGTAATCTGGGTACTCTGGGATTGAAGGATCCTACTAGTATCGGTGGGAAATGACCTTGAGTTGATGATTAAGTTAATAAGAAAAATCTAGGGTGGCTTCGTCATGGAAACTTAGTACTGCAAAAATGGATTGTATCTCCCTACCAAAGTATAACGGTTGTAGTTAGAGACCGCTTTGGGCTGGTAGTCAAAGAGAAGTAATCTGATGCTCACATTTTCTGGTAGCTTGTTAAGCTGTGGCTTTTTTGCCCACGAGAACAAGACAATTGTTTGACGCTACATTCTATAATATTTTTAGTTACTTAGATCGATGGTGAAGAATTTTCCATATACATGGTATCATTCATTAATCTGTTGAATTTCTATATAGTGTTGCATTGGGAACTCTGTTTTTTTTTTCATAAGAGTATTCATAAATAAGTTTCTATCATTTGATATGGCACACGTGATGTTCTTCACTTGATCTCTGACTTGTAGCAAAATTGATACTGGTGACTTATCTCCGTAGGGATGTAATATGACGCAATCACATTCGTTTCTGCCCCTCATTTCTCTTTCCACCCTTTGATTATGATGGTTTCTAAAGTATGGATGAATATATAGATGACATGGATGATACAGAGGTGGTTTTGGTGGGTTCATACGCTGCTAAAATTGGCCAAAGACATTGATGTGGTGGCTATCTGAATCCTAGGTTCTTCTATATATTTGCCTCATGTCCCTTTTTGCACTGAAGCCCTGGACTAGATTCCTCATAATTTTTGCTCCTTCGAAGATTCTAATTTCTTCAACAAATGAAGTAAATCGCACTTCTGATAATGCTCAAAATGGGCAGAAGCCTATAATTTTTCTTGTATTTCTCTCTGATTTCACATCTATCTTATTTTCCCCTACTGTTGGACGCTGAACAAGCCTTAGGCATGCATCTGTGGTCTTCAATAGTGCCTCTGCTTGTGTTCCCCGAACCATTGTATACACATCTGTGTAAAATGGTTGCGATGAACTTGATCATCTGCCTTACATGTTATTTATTGATGAAAGTCTGAAAACTATGTTTTCCCGATTATTAATTGTACATGTTCGACTTTTGGCCTCTGTCGGGCTTGCAGTTTCTTGGGACTTTAGCCAACAGTGGTGCTCCAATCCGATGTGCAGCAAGAAACGTCCTCAGGTTAACAAGGTTGCCAAATATGGCGTTATTCAGGTTGTCAATCAACGGGCTCCTTGGGAACTTGGAGGCATACGGAGAGGTTTGATCATCCATTCTCCCTCACTAATGTGTGTCAATGTTGTACTACCTAGATTCCTATATTTTAATATAGTTGTCATCTAATGCGTGTGTACCCTATATGATTATGATTAGGGTTCCTTCAGCGTGTTATTATTCTCACCATTTAAGCTTTTCTTTTAGAGAATTTTCCCTTGCATTTCTATCCATGTTTAGAACACGAACCATTAGTTCCTCACACTTAAATTCTTGTTTCAGTCTTCTCTCTCTCTCTCTCTCTCTCTCTCTCTCTCTCTGTCTTCTGTGTCTACAGATAAACCATCTCTATCCATATGACGCCGTTATCAAACCTTCCTCTGCCTGTGGGTTTTCTTTGTAACACTGTTTTCACTACCCAGGATGAAGAGGACATATTCGCTGCCCTATTCTGCATCGGCAGGGCCCATAGAGAACTCGCAGCTAGAATCACGGCAGAATATGCTCAAGAGGTAACCACCATCTCTCTCTCTCTCTCTCTAGACAGTATCTATGTCTGAAAGTCTCATGCTATGGGGGGGAATTATGTAAATATCCCAACTTCCTCTTTTAGAGTTTCCTCTTTTAGATTAATCACGGGTTATAATTATTTTCTCATCTCCCTGCAGATAGAACCTCCGGGCCCCGGGGAAATGAACCTCGACAGGCCTCGAGTTGTTGCTCTTCTGGTCCTGGGTATCGCTCCATCTCTTTCCAATGAGGCGTTGACCCAGACCCTGCCAGCAAGGATGTTCTCATATGCCGTTCCATTATTGGGCAGGATCTCACGCTCTTTGAAAGATTTCATAAGTCAGGATGCCCTTTTATCCTTTTTATGCAAGCACAGTGGACTTCCCTTCTTAGAGACTGAGTCAACCTCTGAGCAGCCTCAGGTACGGCGGCATGGGCCCCATTTTTGAAATTTTTGTTGACCCAGGTGAGTTGACCTCCCGTGTTGACAAATTTCAGGCGGGAGGAACTGAGTCCGACTTATATGAGATGCTGGCCCTCTCCACAGTCCGACGAGCTCTCAAGAGAGCCGCAGAGGCTTGGCATATGATCAAGGCCCACTCCACCCGTGACGCAGTGGAGACTCTAAGGTGTTGGCCTCTGAACTCGATGACACATCGTGCCCATGATGCTCACGTGGCATCCACAAGATCTCTACCTTCTGGCAAACAATTGAGTGAAGATTTGTTCTTTTATGCAGTGCCTGCAAGGAGGAGCTGGAGATGGTTGACCAGACCGTGAGTGAGGCTTCTGCGGCCTGCTTGGTCTTCGCCCTGGAATACGTTCAGCTACTCCTGCTGGTAGCCGAGGTGTGGGGTCAACTGCAACAACCCAAGGTACCACATATTATGAGAATAAGGAAATTAGATCTTCTTCTGGGTAAATTGGAAGTCAACCTTGGAAGGATGAGATACTGCTTTCTGGGGTTGGGCAAGGCGGCGGAGTCCCATTTGCTGGAGCTCTCCCTGCTTCAGTGTGTGCTGAGATTATCTACAATCGGAACCCAGGAAGCCCTCATCGTGAGGAAGATGAGGTTTCTGATCTCAAGATTAGAACTACTGGTCAGTGAAGAAAAATTCGAGATTTCTGCTTTTGTCAAGGAGTCAAGAAACTTCTGTTCTCAATGGGGAGTTCATGAGATCTCTGGGTCAACTCGCATCGTTGACTTACTGGAACTCTGCAGCTTGGGTCAGATGGAGATAAGCGGAGGAGGACTCAGATGCCGAAAGGCCGAGCTTCGATCTCGAGCTGACGATCCAGACCAGCTCCCTCTCCCCTTTGTTCCAGGGCTGCCCATTGGGATCCCACTTGACATTACTCTACACAACATCTCAAGCGACGATAGGGTGTGGCTCAGGATGACTGCCGGCGGGTCAACTCAGTATGCCTTTCTCAGCTTGGACAGATTTGTCGGCTCCGATGTGGAGAGAAGATGTGCCGCTGACGTACCATTTTATGCTACTCCGACGGTCCCCTTTCTTCTGAAGGCCTGTGTCTGCTTGGAGTGCTCCCGTGGGTATCTGACGCGGAAGAGTAAAGGTCAACGGGGGCCGAGACGTGAAACCGTAGATCTAACTGAAGAGATGGAGATTTATCTCGTCGATGTTGGTCAAACTGTGTTCTAAATATAATCATAAGGTCTCCTCCCTCGAGGAGATTTCCACCAGGTAGACTCTGTTCCTTGAGATCGATCGCCTTCTCACTCTAGTTTTCTTGTTTCCTCTCTCATTAATTGGCCCAGCTACCCGGTCAACCTCTGTCTTCTGATGGTTGCCTTCCTTTGGCAGGATTGTGGCAGTTGTCGGAGCACGAGTCGCCGGCGGCGGTCAGCTCCGCCGTCGGCCGCATCTCAGTGGCGGCGAGGGGTATGGTCAGAAGAGTCCACCAGAATAGCCCGTCGAGGAAGTAAAAATTACAGTCCTGGGAAAGGTCTTCCGGAAAAGAAGGCGGTGGCGATCTGCTCTTTGACTGCCGTTACGGCGGCGCTTTCTCTCTCAGCTTTAAGAAGGGAAGAGCAACGGAAGGAGGGGGGGCAGAGAGAGATGGGTACCCGCTGTGGCAGGTCACCCGCCACCGCCGCTCCGCCGCCGGCGAGGGCGACGTACGTGAACCTGTACAGGTGGCCGGAGTCGGACGCCGAGTTCGTCAAGTCCGTCGGCAACGGCGGCGGCGCTCCGCCGCGGAGGGCGGCGCTGCGCCACCAACCACCGGTGGTGGACGGGTACTCGTGCCGGCAGATGTACCTGCGGAGCTACACCTTCTCCAAGAGGGAAACCCTGCCGGAGCGGGCCAGGAAGCGCCTCGTCAAGATGAAGGAGAGGGTCGCCGGCGCCGCCGTTTCCGCCACCTGCGGCTTCGCGGGCCGCCGTAAGAAGGCGGAGAAGAAGTGCCCCCCGGTCGTCTCCGCTGCCCTGAACTCCATCTCCCGCCGGCTCCTCTCCTGCACCGCCAGCCTCAACATCGCCGTTCAGTAGGAGAGAGAGAGAGAGAGGTACAATCGTCCACATGATAAGACTTCAAGGGTTCTGTTTGTCATGCCGAGATGCCGGCGACTGGTTCCTTCTTGATTTCCTCTGTTTCTTCTCTGAGAGGTTGTCGCCCCAGTGTTCGACACTCCCTCTCTCGCTCTATTCTCTCTCTACTGGTCGGCGGCGCCGGCGCCGGCGCCGGCAGGGGAATCTGCTTTGGGTAAAGCAAACAGGGGTCGTCGCTGCGGTCAATAATCACCCCACTTAAAGGATCGATCTTTTATGCCTTTGGGCTCCCCTTCTGTTCAGGCCATCAACGCCGGCGCCGCTATCTCCCGCCGAGTTGGGTCCCACTATAGTAGCTCAACCTTCTTTAACCGCTCCGTCAGGTCACGTCGAGGGATTCTGCCTTTGGATCGACCCTCCGCGAATAACGTCACCTTTCGGTTTTGGCAACCCGGCCCATTAGGAGCCCAGCAACTTAATGGGGGTTCTTCCAGAAAGTTCTCTAACGCAAAAGCAACAGCCAACCAATCAGATGGTCCGGTTTACGTCACGAGCAACGGCTAGCGCCGTAGAACCCGCCACGTCATGGCCAATAAAAAATATATTAAGCGGGATGGTCGGGCGGAGGTTTTTCCTTTTAGGGAATCTCACCTCTCTAGGGAGACAGCAGGAGGTCGATGTCTCTGGATGCCGCGGACTGCAGGCGGGAGGCTGTTGCAGTGGTGCCGCGGAGGGCGAGGGGAGGGTGGCCGGATCCTGCAGGGCGGAAATCTAGCTTGCTGTTCAGGTTTCCATCGATTAGTTTAAGTTTCTATCTATTAGTGTCTTTGTTCGTAGGGATATTCGGGACGAGGTTGGTCGCCAATTTCTAAGTGTTCCAGCGGAGGATTATTTTTGGATGCTGGAGGGTTGAATCTGAAGGTATAGTTGGAGAATCTGTTGTTTCTCATCTTCGGACGAAGTTTGGTTCGTTCCGGAGGGTGGATTTGGCGTCATGGAAAAGGGGACCCAAGATCCAGTTAACGGGGAGGGCGATGTGGAGGCATCGCCGGCGGTGTCAACTTTCCCGGCGTGGGCAAGAGATGTGCGGGAGTGCGAGGAGGAGTTCAAGGTTTCGGCCGCGCGGGGGCTCTCATCTGATGAAGTCTTGGAGCGGCGGCAGATCTACGGTTTTAATGAGCTCGAGAAGCATTCCGGTCCCTCAATATGGCAGCTGGTCCTCGAGCAATTCAGTGACACTCTTGTTCGGATCCTCCTTGTGGCCGCGGTTGTTTCCTTCGTCCTGGCTTGGTATGATGGAGACGAGGGAGGTGAGATGGGGATCACAGCCTTTGTCGAGCCTCTAGTGATCTTTCTCATTCTCATCGTCAACGCAATTGTTGGAGTATGGCAAGAAAGCAATGCCGAGAAGGCCCTTGAGGTACTTAAAGAGATCCAATCTGAGCACGCGACGGTGAGGCGAAATGGGGAGTTGATTCCAAATCTGCCTGCTAAAGAGCTCGTGCCGGGAGATGTCGTGGAGCTGAGAGCTGGGGATAAGGTGCCTGCAGACATGAGGGTTTTGCACCTGATAAGCTCCACTGTGAGGGTGGAGCAGGGATCTCTGACAGGAGAGACGGACGCCATCAACAAGACACACCACAAGGTTGACTCGGAGGATATAGAAATCCAAGGGAAAGAGTGCATGGTATTTGCTGGTACTACTGTTGTTAATGGGAGCTGCGTGTGCTTGGTTACTGAAACAGGGATGAATACGGAGATTGGGAAAGTTCATTCCCAAATCCATGAAGCTTCCCAGAATGACGATGACACACCTCTGAAGAAGAAACTGAATGAGTTTGGGGAGGTCCTCACAGCTATAATTGGTGTGATTTGTGGTCTAGTTTGGCTCATCAATGTAAAGTACTTCTTTACCTGGGACTACGTTGATGGTTGGCCGACGAATTTCAAGTTTTCCTTTGAGAAATGCACTTATTACTTTGAGATTGCGGTTGCTTTGGCCGTTGCCGCTATCCCTGAGGGTTTACCTGCGGTTATTACAACTTGTTTGGCTCTGGGGACCAGGAAAATGGCTCAAAAAAATGCACTAATTCGAAAGCTTCCTAGTGTAGAAACTTTGGGCTGCACAACTGTTATATGTTCCGATAAAACGGGCACCCTGACGACGAACCAGATGTCTGTGGCAAGGCTTGTGGCAATTGGACGCTGGACTGATGCAGCACGGAGATTCAAAGTGGAAGGGACAACATATGATCCTCATGATGGTCTTATTCATGATTGGCCATTTGGCAATATGGACCAAAATCTTCAGATGATTGCAAAGATTGCTGCGATTTGCAATGACGCTAGTGTCACACATTCTGGTCACCAGTATATTGCCAGTGGAATGTCCACTGAAGCAGCTCTAAAGGTTAGTCTCTCCCTTTCTCCTTTGCTTTTCTATTTCTAACGAAAATGCTGTGATTTTCTGTTTGTAAATTTAAATTTGTTTTTTTTTTTCATGACTAAGATATTTGTTCTTATTGCAAAGATTCAACGTGGGACAAAGGGTGATGTGTTTATCTGTTCTTGGAGCTAGGATCCTTTTACTTAGTCTACAACCGAGTATCTCTTTATTAAGACATTTATAGGAAAAGCTACGGCCACTTTTACTGTCTTCAGCCGGGTATTTCTTCATTACAATAGATTTTGGAAAAGCTACGGCCACGTTTTGAAGACATATACCTCAAGAATCATAGACGAAGATCTTTTGGACTTGGAAAACCGAAAGTAGCTGAAAGTGTGTAGCACATGGTATCATCTCGTGTGTTATCCTTGTCCAGGGGATGATATTTATTCAATATCTTGTCACAGAAGGACATGGGGTTGATGAATACATAAATAGATGTTTTCCTGAAAGGAAAACTTTAATCTGGAGATTTGTTTTTCTACCACTTGAGGGACAGATTTAAACCTGAAATCAGTTGTGCCGACATATGTTTTTGTCAAACCCTGTTATACCGTGTTCATTTTTTAAAGGTTTTTTAGCATAAATACGGAAACCCCAGTAAAACCAGTTTCCCATAATTTTAAAGGCTATTTCGAGAGGAAGGGAGAGAGAGAGTTCGAATTTACGTCTGAAAACTGCGGATGATTTTTTACTTTACATGGACATGATTTGGTTGATATTTTACGAGCACCTTTTATCCATTCGTGTGCAATCATACTTACATTGCCATCATGAGTTGACTTTCATGCTTGCATTGTTGACAGTAATCATATTTTCGCGGATTTTTCTTCATTTTTCTAATGCATATCTCACCCAATGGTGGTTTCGTTTTTCTTGAATCAGGTTTTAGTGGAGAAAATGGGATTGCCCGTGGGATCTGATAACTCACACATGCAATCTACTGAAGTACTACGTATGTTTACATCTTGTTTACTTGTTTTTCTGTGCATTTGCTTTCCGTCTCTTGATTTGTCTTATTTTTATGAACACGAATTTGTTTGTCATTGTACTCATCACTTTTTCCTTTAATATTTTCTTGTAAATTAAGGTTGCTGCCAGTACTGGAATTCAGTTGAACGTAGGGTTGCGACCCTTGAGTTTGACAGAACACGCAAGTCCATGGGAGTAATTGTGAGATCAGAATATGGAAGCAATATGTTGTTAGTTAAGGTAGTGCTTTTTCGTCCTGTCTACACAATTGCAGTTACAATTGATGCTGTCTTTTGTGGTCCTGGTCAGAAATCTTTGAAAAATGCATGTTTAGATTGATGAGCATTTTGAAAGGTTTATGTAATTCAAAACATGTACGTTGACCGAAGAAATGCCTTTTTTTTTATTGTGGTCTACATTTTATTAATGAAGTTTGATTTTGATGCCTTTGGACACGTTTTCATGGAGAAATTTATTTTACTTCGTGATTTTTGCTTCCTAATTTTGAATGCTCCGACCTGTAAATTTTTTTTGTTGTCATTGCCTTGACACAATGCTACCATTGGTGGATGATGATGGGATATTATGCTTGTTTGATTTTGATTAATTGTAAACAGTTCGTTTACAATTAACACGACAAAAATGACAAAGAAATTCGTTTTTGAGCTAATGCATCTAATGTTAGTTCTGTTTAAATGTTGTCTTTGTGATTCTCAAGAATCACTTTTAGTTTAGCTATGTTGAACCTTGTAGTTCATTGTTTGGAACTTGCAACTTGTTTAGGTAAATTACCTCTTGAGATTTTTCTTTTAGAAGAATCTAGTAGTGTTTGTTGACATGGTAGCCGAAAGTGTCAATATTATGGACTGGTGGAAAATGGGCACAACCACATTGAATAGGAACTGTTGAGAATAGAGAAAAAACCTCGTGACGAAGGACAGGGGAGAACGGCCGAAACCGCCTCAAGATTCATTCAACTGTAACCCCCATTATATAGGGAGTAATGATACACAACTTTTACCAAAACACCCTTAACTAATTACACTATTTCCCTACAGCCTAGAACTTCGAACACTCCCCCTCAAGATGAACTTTGAAAAATTCATCTTGACTAAATTGGTGATGAAAAAAAATCTTGCCCTCTGAACATTCACTTGTTGGTGATGACAAAGATCTGTTGTCGCAGCAACTCTCACTTTGATGGTAATCACAGATGGCCACCACTGAGGTTGTGGATTTGCCAACACCTTTGGCTCCTCTGATGTTGTCATGCCCCAAAGACAGCACACCATGAATATGATAGCACCAAACACCTCTGACATGTCCCAAGGCTGTAGAGCCTCATTCTTTTGACCACCCAATGCCTTGGCCAAACCATCGACCTCCACAATCTTCTGTGCAGCGAAAGTCAACCATGACTTGATTTCATCGTCCAACTTAGTCTTATTAATGAAGTCCACGGTAGTATGCAGGAGCGAGCATGAGATAGAAACAACAAGCTTGCCTTTGCCTACAATGGCCTCAAGAGATCCAAGAATGCTGAGGGAAGCAGCGAGGTCATTAGCCCAAATATTCCTTCTGTCAACAACTCCTGCGAACGGTATTTGTTGGCAGGGAAGTCGCTCTTAATCAAGTCCAGCGTTTTGGTTCCACGGACAAGATCAAACCCAAATCCAGAGATGCCACTCAAGCTCGTCAGAGTCTTGTATGCTGCTTCCTTAAGCTCAGCAATGACTTCCTTGTATACAGGGAGAACATTTGGCAGCAAAGAAAGAGGAGAGAAGGATTTCTCAACTCTTTTTGCTGGCTTTGAGAGCGATAGGTAAGTCACAGGTCCAATGAGCACTGGAACAGTATCCACCCCAAGCGCCTTGGCCTCTTTATACTCAGACACAACCTTGTGGGAACCATAGGAGAACTTTGTGTTTGGCCCAAGTTCAGGGACGATGAAATGGTAGTTAGTGTCGAACCACTTGGACATCTTCATAGCAGGCAGAGTGGCATTACCCCTAGCCATGGAAAAGTAGATGTCATGTCCAATCTCTCCACCAGTGTAACGATATCTGTCAGGAACGGCCCCAAGCATTGCCGTGGTGTCAAGCACCTGGTCGTAGAATGAGAAGGTGTTGCTGTGGATGTATTTGATCCCAGCATCAGGCGTCTGCTTCCAGATGGAGGACCTCAGATCAGCAGCAACTTTTTGCAGATCCTCAGTAGCAACTTTCTGCAGATGGAGTCATGAGGTAGTTGACAGGGTGGCACCAAGCATGCGGAGAGTATTCCTCTGCTTGGAGATCCGCGTAGTGCCAAGATCTGATGCAAAGGCTTTCACCTATGACGATTGATGTGATGATGGGACTTAGCTCTCAGGAGAGGTGTAGCCCAGTTACCCTTCCACCGATCGAGTAATGAACTCGCAAAGGAACTGGAAGTGAAGACCATTTCGATGAAAGCAGAGGTGAGCAGACAACACCAAACAACATAGACTGTAGCAAAGTGGACTGTGGAGAACCTTAGACTAGGGAAGACATAGAACTGATGCTGAATAGAGGGAGACAGACTGAGGAGGACAGAGTACGACACTGAATTGAGACAAGCGTGGATAAGAGGTTGATTTTACCTCTCATAAAATGTTGATGAGGTGGAAACAACGGTAATGGACCTAGATATTTATTCAGCCTCTAGACAGAAGACTTTATGCAGACAGAAATGATGGCAATGAATTTGAAGATGTCGCTGACGAACCTGCTACTGATGAACTCAAATACACTGTCAAATGACGGATGAAGATCAGTGCTCTCTTGTCGTAGAACTACCTCGCTGGTAGAGAACCTCGCCGGAAGAGGAGATGACAGTGAACTCGTCGTCCTAGATTAGAGGACTGATGAAAGTATAACCGCTCTAAATGGCGGAAGGAAAACCTGCTCGAAATGGCAGGATATTACATCACGCCTTTAAACGGCGGAAAGATAACAAGCCTCCAATGGCGCAATAAGTGCATCAAGATGATGCCAGAAAGAAACTCGGCAGAGGCGGAAGGCCTCGCTGGAAAGACACTCAGTAGAGGCAGAGTGCCTCGCCGAAAAGATACTCAGCAGAGACGGAATGCCTCGCCGAAAAGGTACTTGGCAGAGGGGTAAGGCCTCGCCGGAAGGATACTCCGCAGAGGCGGAAGACCTCGCCGGAAGGATACTCAACAGAGGTGGAAGGCCTCACTGAACAAAGAGGGGTTTGAAACCCTAACCTGTAACCTGTCTGTCGCCAGCTGTTAGTGGTGGCGTCGACGCTCCCCTAGACAAGCGACGTCGAGCAGAACCGACGCGGAACAGAGCTGGCAGCAGCAGCAGTGGTGCTCCCTCAGGTAGGAGACGCCAAACAGAGACAGCAGCAACAGTGGTGGAGGCGATGGTGCTCCCCGAGATGACAGAAGTCGGACAGAGCCGACGAACCTTAGCGGAACGAATCTGGTTCTGATACCATGTTGAAAATGGAGAAAAAACCTCGTCACGAAGGACAGAGGGGAAAACTCTCAACTAATTACACTATTTCCCAAGAGGAACCAATACGTTTCTCCTAATTCTTGTCTTAGGAGCTTTTGAAGTTTCTATGATTATTGCTAAATTCATTTCTTCTGTAGTTTGAAGGTGATCATCCACAAAGTGTGAGGCGTTCCAGGTTGAATCATAAAAAAACTACTCTTGGATTTTTGCTTCTGCTCCCTGCATTTATATTCCTCTATCTATATTACCTTATTACTATCTTTTTTTAGTTTTTTTTTTGTGATTGTGCTTGTGCTTGTTATATAATTTCGTGGCCGTTATTGTGATTCCTTTTCATTTGATGTTTATCCCATCTGCTATCCACTCATGTTTCATGACCTTTGGCAGGGAGCTGTAGAAAACTTACTAGAGAGGAGCACCCATATTCAGTTGCTTGACGGTTCTGTTGTGAGGTTGGATGAAACCTCAAGGAGCCTCGTTCTTGAAGAACTTCTCGACATGTCATCAATTGCTTTGAGGTGTTTGGGTTTTGCATACAAGACTAACCTTTCAGAATTTGCTGACTATGATGGAGAGAATCATCCGGCTCATAAGCTTTTACTTGATCCAGCAAATTATTCATCAATAGAGAGTAACCTTATTTTTGTAGGCCTGGTTGGGCTGAGGGTACGGATGCCTCTTTTTTTTTTTTTTTTTGGGCATTTGTGGCGCTTCTGGTTCCTTTATGGCATGATTTAGAGTCTTTCTTCATACCCGACTTGCTAATCTCTGTAGGATCCTCCTCGAGAAGGTGTTGACAGGGCAATTGAGGATTGCAGAGCAGCAGGCATAAGGATTATAGTTATAACAGGAGACAATAAGGACACGGCAGAGGCAATTTGCCGTGAGATTGGTGTATTCGAGCCCAATGAAGACATTAAGTCAAAGAGTATTACAGGAAAAGAATTCATGTCTCTTCCTGATAAAAAACAGTACTTTAGTCAACCGGGTGGACTCCTTTTCTCTAGGGCTGAACCAAAACATAAGCAAGAGATAGTGAGATTACTCAAAGAAGAAGGTGAGGTGGTTGCAATGACAGGTGATGGTGTGAATGATGCCCCTGCTTTAAGATTGGCGGATATCGGTATTGCGATGGGCATAGCCGGGACTGAGGTTTGTTTTGTCTCATCGTAATAACCTTATATGACTATTTTAAAGAACTGATGTATGCTCTTTCATCCCTTGTTGAATGATGTTATTTTTAGTAATATTCATTCATTACGTTTCTATCTAATGTCCACAGCTTTTGTATTTTTTTTCTGAACATTATCGAGTTATCATCTTTTCAAAAATGAAAATTCGGTCTAAATCATGCGATCTCATTCGGACCTTCTGATTCTGATCTGCATTGGACGGTGACAAAGATCTCTGGGCCTTTGGGCCGTTGACTCTTGAGTCGGCTAGATCTTGACCCTTCATATCATTGGACCTTTCTCCTGTTTGTTTATGCATCACGGTCAGAGTCCAGATCATCTTCTAGCCATCTGACGTTACGCTTTCTGCCAACAGCCCAGTGGCTTCCCCCATGGCTTCAGCAGATGCATATGTGTACTGGTGATCTTTGGGTTTGGACTCCATATCAGATAGACAGTCTAGACTAGTAAAGGTTTTCGGCAGTGGGATCCGATTAGTATGTATCCACAGGCTTTGAATCTATTGGGTTCCTGCGAAATTTTATTTTTTCGGCATTGACTAAAAATTATGCAAGGTTCTCTATCTATTCTGTTCAATTGAAATTATGTCATTCAGTGAAGTTCTTCCAAGATTCCTGTTTGTTCTCTCTCTCTCTCTCTCTCTCTCCAATAATGTTGGATGTTAACTTATCTTTGCAGGTTGCGAAAGAAGCTTCTGACATGGTTTTAGCCGACGACAATTTCAGTACCATAGTTTCTGCGGTCGCAGAAGGAAGATCCATTTACAACAATATGAAAGCCTTCATTAGGTTGGTCCCTTTGGGCTATTTTTTCTTCTCTCTCTCTCTCTCTCTCTTTCCTTCTCGTGTCTTTTAACGCCTACTTTCGCTTAAGAAACTCTGTCATTCGTAATGATAAAAGTAGTTGTGGTGTTCCGATATGTATGCCTTCCGCCCTAATTAGTTTCTCTCTCTCTCTCTCTCTCTCTCTCTCTCTCTCTCTTTCTGCATGTGCTGGGTGTCTCTTGTTGTCTATATTTTTTTTAGTTTATTGCCAGTCGATGATTATTTTTCGATTGCCATGCAGATACATGATATCGTCCAATATAGGGGAGGTGGTCTCCATATTTTTGACGGCGGCCCTGGGCATCCCCGAAGGATTGATACCCGTTCAGCTTCTGTGGGTCAACCTCGTCACAGATGGGCCCCCTGCGACGGCACTCGGATTCAACCCTCCCGACAGAGACGTCATGGAGAAACCTCCTAGACGCAGCAACGACTCCCTCATCAGCCCGTGGATTCTTTTCCGTTATCTGGTAATTACACCCTCCCCTCTCTCTCTCTCTCTCTCTCTCTCTCTCTCTCTCTCTCTCTGCCCTCCTTATGTCTAGTGACTACTCTCACTACCACCTTCTCATTAATGGGTAATACCCACTCTCTCCCTCATGTCTAGTGGCTACTCTCTCTCTCTCTCTTTCCCTCATGTCTAGTGGCTACTCTCTCTCTCTCTCCTTCCCTCATGTCAAGTGGCTACTCTCACTACCACCTTTTCATCAATGGGTAACACCCTCTCTCTCTCTCTCTCTCCCCCCCCTCATGTCTAGTGGCTACTCTCACTACCGGGTAATACCCTCTCTCTCCCTCTGTCTCTCTGCCCCTCATGTCTGCTGGCTGCTCTCACTACCACCTTCTCGTCAATGGGTAATACCCCTCTTCGCTCTCTCTCTCTCTCTAACTGCTTGCTGACGATGGGGCGGCGCAGGTCATCGGGCTGTACGTGGGCATTGCGACGGTGGGGATCTTCGTCATCTGGTACACGCAGGGGTCGTTCCTGGGCATCGAGCTGACCGGCGACGGCCACACCCTCGTCTCCTACTCTCAGCTCTCCAACTGGGACCGCTGCGCCTCCTGGCAGGGCTTCCAACCCTCCCCCTTCACCGCCGGCGCCAGACTCTTCTCCTTCGACGCCGACCCCTGCGACTACTTCCGCGCCGGTAAAGTCAAAGCCACCACCCTCTCCCTCTCCGTCCTCGTGGCCATCGAGATGCTCAACTCCCTCAACGCCCTCTCCGAAGACACCAGCCTGTTGACCATGCCCCCCTGGGTCAACCCCTGGCTTCTCCTCGCCATGGCCGTCTCCTTTGGCCTCCACTTCCTCATCCTCTACATCCCCTTCCTCGCCCAAGTCTTCGGCATCGTCCCCCTCTCCCTCAACGAGTGGCTCCTGGTTCTGGCCGTGTCCTCCCCGGTCATCCTCCTAGACGAGATCCTCAAGCTCGTCGGGCGCCTCACGGCGGCCCACCGCCACCGCCGCCGCCGCCCTAGCAAGCTCAAGGACCACTGACTGGATCTGCCCAGGTAGCACACCATGGTATCGTTCATAAACATTGTTTATTAGAGACAGTGCGAGGCTGCTCTGTTCTCTTCTGCCCGGAGGAACCAGGTACATGGCCGAAGATTTTTTTGATCTCCTGCATTGATTACTCTGTTTCTTCTTCCTTTTTTTTGTTCTTCACTGTAGTAACTTGCGCATCCTCGCTGAACATTATGAGACCTCACGAGGCTGTTATTAATCCCCCTGGGTTCGAGTCAACCCCTGCTAAAATCATCTGTAGTCATTTGACCCGAAGTGAGGCTCTACAACATCTTATAAGAAGAGGAAGAAGAAGAAGAAGTGAGCTCCGTGCCCGCCATAGAACCGAAGTGAGCTACCCACTCTCGCTGTTCTTCCTCTCTCGAGGCCATGGAGATCCGGGGAGAGGAGGAAGAAGAAGAAGAATTGGGGGGTGGGGGTTAGATGGCGTAGAAGGCGTCGTGGTCGGAGTCGGAGTGGTCCGGGTGGCGGTGATTACGGGAGATGGAACCCCTTCTGACCTTCTTCCGGAAGGAGCGGCTTCTCTTTGACTTGATCACGTAGAAGGTCATCATCCCCAACACGCCGCCCATGATGGCGGCGCCGATGGAGGTCACCAGCACGGCGGCCCATGGGAAGCTCCGCCCCACCACGATGTATGAGGAGGCGATGAAGGCCACGGAGGTGCACACGGCGGCAAGCCACATGAGCTTGTTGATCACCTCCACCACCCTCCGCTCCGACGTGGTCTCCCCCCTCACCAGGGTGATCTGCACCACCACCACCGCCAGGGAGGTGAACAGGGCCAGCGCGTTGAAGACAAAGAAGATCTTGAAGGAGGTATATCCCGCCGCCACCGCCACCCCCTTGTTGGTGTTCCCCCCGGGTACGGTGAACACGGCGGCGAAGGCCACCGTCGCAAAGAGCACCGCCACCACGGTGACGGAGTTGGTGGCGTTGTTGATCCCCTCCCGGTGGAGCTTCCGCAGCTCCTTGGCGATCCCGCTGACGTTCTTGTTCGTCTTCCGGGTCTGCTCCAGCTGCGTGTGCACGTCATTCTTTATCTCCGTCACCGTCTTCCTCAGCTCGTCCCTTCCCGCCGCCGGCTTGTTCAGCTCCGCCGCCCTCAGCCCCCCGCAACCGGCCAGCAATTCCTTGATCTCCAGCGCCGCCTCCGACGCCGGCAGCCCATCCGCCACGTCCATCGCCGTCTTCCCCTCTCTGTTCAGGGCGTTGACGCCGCCGCCATCGGTCACCACCCGCAGCAGTTCTTTCACTATCTAGTGGCATCCAAGAAGAACAGAGTCAGACGGAGAAGACATCGGTTGCTCGACTTCATGCAGTCAAAGGGACGTTTCGTACCTCCACGCGCTTCTTCCTCGTAGCGATGTGGAGGGCGGTATTTCTGAATTTATCTTCCTGGGTCGCCGTCTCCGGGGCGACGGCGAGCAGGAGGTTGACCACCTCGGTGCTCTCCCCTTTGGCGGCCATGTGGAGCGGCGTCTGGCCCTTACTGTCGGTCCTCCGAGCGAGCTGGGGATCCCTGCTGAGCAGCGCCTGCACCACCTCTGCGTGCGGGTATCTGGCGGCCAAGTGCAGAGCATTCTTGCCCTTGACCATGGTGAGCTCCAGAAGCCCCGGGTCCCTCGACAGCAGCTCCTCTACGACGGGCAGGTGGCCGTTCCTGGCGGCGCTCATGAGCGGGGTGACGTTCGAGGGGCCCACCGTCTTGCTCAAGTTCGGGTCGTAGTTCAGGAGCAACTGCACGACAGCTGCAGCAAGCTAGTAAGGAAATGGCGGCCAAGGGTTCCTGGGATCGTCGTCTTCTTCCTCGAGGAGGATGAGAGCCAGAGATGCAGACGGAGATGGAGATGGAGATGGAGATGGAGATGTTCTTTGGGTTCAGAGGAATTGCAGAGAGGCCAGATTGAGAAAGCGGAAGCGAGAGAGGATTATTCGCCAACCTTGGTGACCTTCTTTTGCTGCGACATGCAGAGCGTCGAAACCTGAGATGCTCCTCCTGGCAACACTGTCCCTGTCTGCGTCCTTGAGCAGCTCCTCCACCGCATCGAGGTAACCCTTCTCCGCGGCGATCATCAAGGCCGTCTCTCCCCGCTCGTTGACCTCGCTGACGACGGCTGCCCTGATCTCCGCCACCATGGCGTCGAACTCCTCCCCTTCGGCCGTCCCGACCATCTGCGCATCGATGCCGCTCAGAATCTGCCGCACCGCCGCGAGATCCCCGCGCTGCGCCGCCAGATGCATATTGGTGTCGTTGTGCCGCCCCGTCACCTGCTTCACGTACTTCTTCTTCCCCGACTGCTCGATCTTCTTTCCCGAATTCGAGAGCACCAGCGCCGACGCCGTCGACGCGGCCGTCGGAGACGGCGACGGCGACGGCAACGACGATCCGTCGCCGCTAGGGCCAGAACTCCTGTCCATACCTTCAAAAACCACAGATCATCCACAGGCACCGTCACCGCCAGCGGATGAACTGAATCAAGGAAAATGTGGAGCAATTCGGAGAACCAAAATCATCCGACAAATCGCAGAAGACGATAAATACCTCCATCGATCCTCATTCCGCTCATGCCCTCCAGCTGATCACTTGGCCGAACGCTAGGGAAGACGGGGGAGACCAGCAACTTCCTACGAAGTGACCTTGCTGCGCCATTTGAGACCTCCGGAGGCGAAGAAAAGGGGAGGAAGATAGGGGGAGAGAGAATGCGGCCGTGGCCCAGCAGAGGAAGGTGGGAGGAAGGAGGAGGAAGAAGAAAAACCAGGACTCTCACTTTCAGCACTCTCCTCCACCCGCCATGGACGTCGTAGACCTGAGCCGCCGGGGCCCACATCAACGTGCTAACCCGATAATGCGATTCAAATCACTGCCCACGTGCCTAAATATCTTCTCTTTTCTTTTTTTAATGTAAAAAATATATTTACGCAATAAAGAAAAAAATAAAAAGGAAAAAAGAATAGGGGGTTTCATTAGAAGCCAGGGCGCGGAGCCCGCTACGCTTTTTGAAAAATTGAAGGTCGTGAATTTACAAATAATTTTCGTTTTGATCTTTGTTAGTGCGGAATCGGGTTTGACTCGGGCCAGATTCGGGCCCGGTTTTTCAGAAGCGATATAGGAGAAGGGCCCCCTCGAATGTCCCGCCACGTGGGTCTCTCTGCGACGTGGTGGGCGCACCGTAGGCACAGGATAAATTTGAAGATGACCACTGGCGACGGCTTCCACCCCCCACTTCCTGCCGGATGGGAGGACGAGGGAGCCGCCACAGCAACAACGGAGCTGCTCGTTTCCCGGCCGTCAGTCCACCAGAGAATCATCGGCCGGCGCCTCTCCGGCCGCCTAATCTCTCCCACCCGCCGGCGGCCCCTCCTCCTCCTCCTCCGAGGAAGGACCAAATGGCCGCGCTCCTCCCTTACGCTAGCGCGGACCAGTGCCTACGGTCGCTAGCCGGCAAGGCCGAGGGCTTCGGGAGGTTCGCCATCGGCGGCCTCCACGGGGCCGTCTACCGCGTCACGACCTTGGCAGGTACGCTGTCCTTCTCCCTCTTCTCCTGTACGGGAACGCTTCTGCCCTTGAGATCGTAGATGGATCTGAACCGATCGGTGATCCCTGAGAACGGTTTTGTCCTTCCATCTGTGTTCCGAACCTTCGTCTGCCGAGGAGATTTCCTAGAATTCTCTGCTCATAAGCAAATCTGCTCGTACGGCGTGGACAATCTGAGGCAAGCGTTTCAGAATCCCTAATGCTGGTTATCCAATCTTCCCCGTCTCGTAGATGATGGACACGGATCTCTTCGCGAGGGCTGCCGCAGGAGGGAACCCCTCTGGATCGTCTTCGAGGTCTCCGGAACCATCCATCTCTCGTCGTACCTGAGAGTTTCCTCCTACAAGACGATCGACGGCCGGGGGCACAGAGTCAAGCTCACCGGCAAAGGCCTGCAGCTGAAGGAATGCGAGCACATCATCATCTGCAACTTGGAATTCGAGAGCGGCAGAGGCCACGACGTCGACGGCATCCAAATCAAGCCCAATTCCATGCACATATGGATCGATCGCTGCAGCCTCAGGGACTACGACGACGGCCTGATCGACATAACGCGCCAGAGCACCGACATCACCATCTCCAGGTGAGAACAGAGCACCACCTTCAGACCTATTCCAACATCGATCGAGATCATTCAAGATCACTCAAGATTATCCATGGGATTCCGGCAGATGCCACTTCTCGATGCACGACAAGACGATGCTGATCGGAGCCGACAGCTCCCACACGGGTGACCGGTGCATCAGAGTGACCATCCACCACTGCTTCTTCGACGGAACCAGGCAGCGTCACCCTCGCGTCCGCTTCGGGAAGGTCCACCTCTACAACAACTACACTAGGGACTGGGGCATCTACGCCGTCTGCGCCAGTCTGGAATCTCAGGTGAGGACCACCATCACATTAATTCAAATATATTGATATATATCTTCATATATATCTTCTTCAAGAGGTCTTAGAGCTAGTGGATTCTTTCTCCTGGGCTTATCTGTAAAAAAAATATTATCTGGCAGATCCTCTCCCAGTCCAATATATACGAGGCGGGGCAGAAGAAGATGGTCTCGTGGTACATAACCGAGAAGGTACGGTCACCGCCCCTACCCACCTCGTCTTTATCAACTTGCTTGTTATTTAATTGATATCAAATTCGGAAATTAAAAAAATGCTTGTAATTAAAATTGCAAGCGGATAAAATAAGCCGTAAATATTTATGTATATGTATTTATTCGCTTATGATGGGATTGACGGTGAGTGGAACCAGGCCCCGGACAGGGAGGAGGCGGATACCGGCTGCATCCGGTCGGAGGGTGACGTGTTCCTGAAAGGAGCGGACGCGTGCCTGTCGAGGAACCCGGGGGCCGTGTTCAGGGCCGAGGAATTCTACTCTTCGTGGACGATGGGGCCCGCCGGCGAGGCGCTCAGGAAGGCGGTGTCATCGGCCGCCGGCTGGCAGAGGATCCAACGGCCACTGGATAGTCAGAAGTGACTCTTACTTGAAGCAGGAGGACCCATATTTTATGATAGTTGGTGCGGAAGTGATTTAATTTACTTTCTTTGTGGACACAAAGAACAAAAAAGCAATTCGCGAGGGTTCTAATGACATTCAACGCTTATTATATACGGACGACCACAGTGGGAGTCGAACCCACGACCTTTTGATCCGAAGTCAAACGCGCTAATCCACTGCGCTATGCGGTCATACTTTTTTAAAAAATATTTTAATAAATAAAGGTTTATAAGAAGCCCAACTTCTAAATTCACCGGAAAGTAGACGGAGATCTCTCTCTGTCTCTCCGGCGACGACACGATGCAACCCGCCAAGGGAGCTCCGAAGCATCATCATCACCCGTCCAGGGCATCGTTTCCCAGATCTCTCCTCGCCTACGTTCTGCGAGAGCAAAGGCTCGGCTTCATCGTCGTTGGCGTCCTGATCGCCTCCACTTTCTTCCTCCTCCGTCCTCACAGCTACGCCCTCTCGCGGGCCGGGCCGTACGTTGACGATGGGCAGGACCTGCCCCCGCTTCCTCGGATGCACATGGAGACCGGTGGAGGGGAACAGAAGCTCCCCGTGGGATTGCGGAGGCAACAGCGACGCATCGTGGTCACCGGCGGCGCGGGGTTCGTCGGGAGCCATCTGGTGGATAAATTGATGGCGAGAGGGGACAGCGTCATCGTGATCGACAATTTCTTCACCGGGAGGCGGGAGAACTTGGCTCATCACTTTGGAAGCCCTAGGTTCGAATTGATCCGGCACGACGTCGTTGACCCGATTCTGCTGGAGGTGGACCAGATTTACCACCTCGCTTGCCCGGCATCTCCAGTCCACTACAAGTACAACCCAATCAAGACCATCATATCCTCTTTGCTTACCCTTTAGGAACTACGATTATCATTCTTCTGGTTAGCTCAACCTGTTGAAGCCCACCTAGACCTGCATACCAGGCCGCTTATATGACATATGCGTTTCATCTCTTTCGGTTTCCTTCCGTGTTTTCTCCGTCTTCCTCGAACCACTCGGTGGAGGGGGGATCGGACTCATAGAATAAGCATGCCGAAGGAACAGTGTGTAGCTGCATCAGTATATGACTATATTAACGCGTTTATGGTATGAGTTCATGGTTCTTCTTTGTAAAAGTACTCAGTTCATCATTTCAAAAGGTTTTCTGTCCGTTCTTAACTCGTAGTACAAGACAAATGTGATGGGAACCTTGAACATGCTGGGTTTGGCGAAAAGAATTGGGGCACGATTTCTATTGACGAGTACAAGCGAAGTTTATGGCGATCCATTGGAGCACCCACAAAAAGAGACATACTGGGGCAATGTCAACCCGATTGGTAGCAATCTTCTTGCTCTTCATATCGTTATGCATTCACTTATATTATTTTATTTGAAATTTATTTCGTGGATTTATTCACTCTGGCCACACGCTGTGGAGGATTATAATCATACCTGTAAGAAAACATTTGAAAGGTTTTCGAAGGCTTTAATGATTTCTTGCGGAGTTCCTTCTGTATGTCTTCTTCAGGGGAGAGGAGTTGCTATGATGAAGGAAAAAGAACCGCAGAAACTTTGGCTATGGACTACCATCGAGGTGCAGATGTAGAGGTGACTTTTCTGACCTCTCTCTCTTCTACTGAAAGAAGACTTATTACTTCTTCTTCAAGCTATGGATTTCCCCGACTCGTAGAATTAGTTCCTGTATCTGCATCGCAGATGGGGGATAATCCTACGTGAGAACAGATTTGCTTCTCCTACTTTTTGAATGTCTCATTATCATCATGAACACACTTTCCTCACCTTTTCTCTCCCTTTATCTATCCTTTTAGCTCTGCTGTACGGGTACACGTATTTTATTGCGTTGAACAATGCATGCCAATTTTTAGCATCACTACAGATGTTATATTACCTGTGACGATTCAAAATGTAATTTTTTTCCCTTAGTTTCTGCCATATGTGCTAATCACATGTGCGTTCCCAAATAGTTGCTAGGCTTATTTTCCTCTTAGAATGTTCTCATTCATTGTTAGTCTTTTTTTTTCATTCTATAATTTTTTGAGATTTTTCTTGCTGAAATCATCAGTTTCAGTATTCTGCAATTTTTTATGCTGCAATTTTTTTTTTATTGACAATATTTTCTCTTTTGAGATGGCGGACTCTGGGTTTCTCTGAAACAGCATCTTTGAAGTTCTATCTGAGCACGATTTCCCCAAATGTTCTTTTTGGGTATCATCCGATTATGCTGCTCTAATGACTGGTCTTTCCTTCGTCACTCTACCAACTTTAGGGGTTTCCCATCACCCATGTGAAGACAACGCAACCAATTGGATTAACCCAGGCATTAATAGTTTTTAGGGTTCAGTATATGCTAAAAAATTTCATATCATAAGTCGCATGTTGGATCATTATGCTATTTCTCCAGCTTCTGTGCTTGAGGTTAGCCTCAATCAGGATGTGAGACTGATACAGTCTGCGACATGGAATCTTTCCAGGTGCGAATCGCACGCATATTCAATACATATGGGCCACGCATGTGCATTGATGACGGACGTGTTGTGAGCAATTTCGTTGCACAGGTTTCTCACAAACCGAATCCTTCGTTAATACGCCAGTTGTTCCTTAATCGACAAAGTACCTCGCTGTGTCTGTATTCCTAACAGGCAATCCGCAAGCAGCCACTCACAGTCTATGGAGATGGTAAACAAACTAGAAGTTTCCAGTATGTTTCCGATTTGGTATGTACTCTTACTTCCTCTTAGGCCTTAAATTTTACTGTTTTACTTTAGTGATTACGATGCACTTTGCACGATAATTATGGATGAGATTTAATGAGGTTCCCAATCTATTGTTTCTGTTGGACTATGAATGAATAAACCCCAAATAGTGTTAGGTTACGCTGACTTTTCCCATTCATCAAACATGTTAGGTTGACGGGCTGATTTCCCTCATGGAAGGTGACTACATCGGTCCATTCAACCTGGGAAACCCCGGGGAGTTCACCATGCTGGAGCTTGCCCAGGTTAGTGGGAAGAAAACACAAAACAAAAATCGCCCTCTTTATTATTATTATTATTATTATTATTATTATTATTATTATTATTATTATTATTATTATTATATGCAGGTTGTGAAGGAGACCGTCGATCCGAGCGCGAGCATTGAATTCAAGCCAAACACGGCTGACGACCCGCACAAGAGGAAGCCGGACATCACGAAGGCCAAAGCGCTCCTGAACTGGGAGCCCAAGGTTTCGCTGAGAGAAGGGCTGCCCCTGATGGTCTCGGATTTCAGGCAGAGGTTGCTAAATGGGTAGATCCCGCCGCTCCTTCTGTATAATGCCGGAGAGCATATTTCTTCCATTTCTGCAGCCATTCTTCGTCTCCTTGTCCGAATACCTTGATGTTATAGTGATTCTTCATAAGGGTATTTATTATTTTCCGAACCCAACCGTGTGACTCTCTCTCTCTCTCTCTCTCTCTCATTACCTCTCTACCTCTCTCTCTCTCTCTCTCTCTCCCTGCCTCTCTCCCTATCTTCTTCTCTCTCACACACTCTCAGTCACCCACTCCCGCTCTCTATCCCCCTCTCCCTCCCTCCCTCTCTGTCTCTCTCTCTCTCCCCCTATCTCCCTCTTCTCTCTCACACACACACACACTCAGTCACCCACTCTCTCTCTCACTCTCTATCCCCCTCTCCCTACCTCCCTCCCTCTCGCTCTCTCTCTCTACCACGATGCTTAGATGAGTTCTAAGTGTAGCCCGAGGAAAGCGGCCCAAAAAGGGAAACGTCATCTTAACTGAGGATTCCAGGTGACCCAATGGCAGGTCGCCACGTATCATGAGGGTTTAAGGGTACATGTCATTTATGGAAATTGGTTCTTCCCTGGTACTTATGGGAAATCTAGAGTTGACCAAGTAGAAAATGCATTTAATCAACAGTCCTATTGACTGCACCACTGATTTTCCCCATTTTTCCTGTTTTCTCGTCTCCAGATTAAAAAACCGTTGAGTGAGGTCCGTTGACCCTTCTTATTCGAAGATCAACTAAAATCCCTTTTATGGAAATTCAACTCTAAAAAGTCACCGTCTACGTGCGGTCAACCCGGATAATAGTGCAGGTCGTTGACCGTGTTATATAGAGACGGAGGAAATGACCTCGTGGTGTACGGTGATGGGTCCTCATGGTGATCGAATCTACTACAGTCGGCTTACCGATGCGGCCCACTAATGAGAGGCCACGTGGTTCGTTGATGCATCTGGGAACACGTGCAGACGGACCGCACTCATCTTGTTCCTCGAGGAGGGAGAACCCAGCCCCGTCTTTCTCTCTCTGCTCGCCGCCCGCAAAGAATGTCTCGAGCGGTTAGGTTGTATCTTTTGGCGTATAACTCCGCCCAGTCTATTGGATGGTAATCCTCTCTCTCTCTCTCTCTCTCTCTCTCTCTCTCTCTCTCTCTCTCTCTCTCTCTCTCTCTCTCTCTCTCTCTCTAATCTTATCTCTCTGCATCTCTAGGGCGATTGCTCTGACCAGGATTATCAGTAGCTGCCTGTCCTCCAAGTCTATCCATGGCGCCTATGCTGCAGCGGGGGATCTCATCTGTAATCCGCTTCTTGTTTGTTTTCCTTCTTCCCTGATTTCTGTCCTCGAATCTGTTTCTCACTGCTCTCACGTTAACCGTCTCCTCGTTGGAAGGCATTCTCCAGACGGCGTCCTTCCTGGAAGTTCTTCACGCGGCGGTCGGTAGGGCCTCTCTCCCTTCGCCTCTATCTCCCCCGCTTTCCGTGATCCGGTGCGGATCGGTTATGTTGTGAATTTGTTCCTTCGATTGGAAGGTATCGTTCCAAGCGGAGTGTTGCTTTCTCTGATGCAATGGGGTGGAAGGACTCATTTCTTGCTGGCGATTGTTCGTCGGATTGAAGAGGTACTCATCGGAAAAGATCGAATTCCCATCCCCTCTGATCTAACTACTGTTAGCGAGTGATCCCACTTTCTTTATCATTCTCTAGAATCACGTCAGTCCTACGCCATTCCTTTCTGAGTCACTGATTCCTTCCCCGTCTACAGGTCCAGGAGCTTCCATCCGTTTTTATAACTTTCGTAGCATGGTCCATATCTGAGGTGAGTTTCTTATGGATTCAGTGAGTTTCTGCTCTGCGATTGATGGAATGGGGAGGAGCTGTTGCTCTTCCACTATTGTGTGTATCCTTGTGTAGATCGTATACCCTTCCCGGCTATTTCTGCTCTCCATCATTCGATCAGTGACCTTTCTTCCTCCTTTGGCAAGCTCATCACCAAATCAGATAATTTAGTTTCTAATACGCTGTCTGGTTCCATGAGACCTTTGGTTGGCTCCTTCTGATCCAAAGATTAGAACCGGTATCAGGAGGTATTTCCTTGGGAAAACTCTAAGCGCGTGTTGCAGTGATCATGAAGAAGAGTTGAGGAAAATATGAAGAGCACTGCTTGAATGCGTACGTTTTCCCTAAATAATGCGTACATTTTCCTCCTCTCCTGTTGGACAAAGTTCAGCAGGCGGCCCATGAAATCTATGAGGCTGCAAAGATGAGCACTCCCGCTCTCCTTATCATCTTATCCCAGGTTATGTTTGACCTGGGAAGCTACATGTACTACATGAAGGGAACAGGGAAAAGTCAAGCCCAAGCTCTCTCCAAAAGGATGCCAAAAGAGGAAAAGGGATTATGTGAAGGACTGATACCACCACTTTGGTCTTCGCGATTCACCAGATGATGCAAACATTTTTTGGGTCGTGGAGCCTCAGATGTTCGTTATTATTTGTTCCCAGATTACTGACATCCGGCTCTTCGCCCTTCTCATTGTTTGACTTTTTTGTTCATCGTGAACTTTTTCTTCGATAAACAAAAGTTTTCATTTCTCCGTATTATAATGTAATGCAGGTAATCAGGTACCCCCATTTTGCCCTCACAGGATTAGGATTCAAGCCTCACTGGCTGATCTACCTCAGGTGCGTCTCACGAGCATCTAAAGGACTTGTTTCTGTCTTCTATCCACATGGCAGCTTGCTGGGTTGTAGAGGAAATTGAATTATAGAAAATTGTCCTCGGAGTCAACTAAGCAGTGAGAGGATCTGCCAGTTTGTCAAGGGGCCACCCTGTTTCTTTCTAGTTTTGTCTATGCATAAATCTGGGATTCTGGGTCGTTCATGAATCAACTTCGGGATCTTCCTTTGAGTTCCGTTCTTCAGTATAGAACTGGAGATAGACATGGCCATCCATCCACATCCGAACCCATTGTATGGAAAGAACGACTACCCATTTCATGATTTTATCCGCAGATCATTCAGACGACCATACAATCTTTGTGCCTCTCTCTCTCTCTCTCTCTCTCTCTCTCTCTCTCTCTCTCTCTCTCTCTCTCTCTCTATCATTTAGACATTTGCATAAACATGTGTATGCCCGTGGTGATCACAATGTTAACGTTCTCTCTCTCTCTTTCCCCCACCCCTCAGGTATACAGCCTTCATCGTCTTGTATCCTGCTGGTCTGGGTCCTGGAGAGAGTGAGTATTCTCTTCCCACTGGGGCTTGCCAGTTCCCCACATCGCACACTAAGCTGCGCCCAATTTGCGTGCAGTGTTGCTAATGTACCGATCCCTTCCCTTCATCAAAGAGAAGGCCCTCTACTCGTCCTTCTTCGCCCCTTTTCCATTCACCTACCATACCTTCGTCACGGTTAGTACCTCTCTCTCTCTCTCTCTCTCTCTCTCTCTCTCTCTCTCTCTCTCTGTCTCTCTCTCTCTCTCTCTCTCTCTCTCTGACGGTCGTTTTACACTGGTGGGTGGGAGGGAACAGGTTCTGCTTCTGTCTTACCCTGTGATGTGGCTGAAGCTGTACCTGCATCTATTCAAGCAGCGGAGAGCGAAACTGGGGAGGCGACGACCCAAGAAGGACTGAAAGGTCCGTCCCCCAATTCTACCTCTCCACATTTTATTATTTACGAGGAACCTGTCAACCTTTCAACCTTTCTTTCTTTATATTTGTGGAATTCTCCATCTGTTGTTAAGGTTGGGTGGGCGGAGCTCCCTCCGCCGGGTTCGTGGAATCGGAGGTCAGGGGAGGGAAGGGGTTCTGTTCTCTGTCTGATTTCCCTCGTCTCTGCCGCCGTCTCCACGGCGGCGCCGCCTTCTTCTACCCGCCGAGACCGGCAGAAGAATATGGGAGTAGAGGATTTGTTAAATAATAGTATGAAAAAGTCAGATCTTTTTTATATATTCAGGATATATAATATATATTCATTTCATAGTTTATTATACATTTTATATAAAATAATTTATATACTTTTATTTTGACTCCATTTCTTCACCCCGGGCCTTCCAGCGGGTGATCCGATTGCGGCCCGGCTTTTGACCTGGCTTTTGACCTAGCTTTTGACCCACCCGTGTGGCACCGTTGAAATAATATTTTAGACATTATTCTTTCATTAAACTACTGACTATCTTCAAGCATTTATGTACTAAAAGTAGATTGGGTAACAGTCTAGAGAGAGAGAGAGAGAGCCAGCTGTCCTCTTCGCCCGCAATCGCCTACCATTCTCTTCATCCTCCCCTCTACCCTCCTCTCCACTGCAAGAAACCCTAATTTTAGAACGCCTGGCCAAGTCGGATCCTGCCTCCGTGCAAGCTCCAAAAATGAGGAGCTCTCGATGAGCTCCGAGTTCTGAACAATTCTTTGATGTTACAATGGTTTGCCAAAAAAAGAAAAAAATTACAGGTATTAGACTCACCCATGAAGCGGTCACTACCCACACAGCCTTTCTTCTTCAGTAGCATCACATGATGGGGGAGCTGAATGGGTCAGGTCTGCTGGTTCTTGTGGAAGTCAACGACTGCATGCCATCTCAGATTGAAGGAATATACGATCTGGCATGGGGCGCGGCGAATTTAGGGTCTGGTTGACTGGTTCTTGTTCAAGTCAACCACCGAGTGATATCATACATTTGATGAAAGTCGATGCAAATGAGTATCGTAATCGATTCAGTGTGGGGCGCGTGACCGATTTAGGGTTTGTTTTGATGGTTCTTGCAAAAGTCAACCACGGCATGGCCGACAGTTGCAAGAATCGACTCAGCATGGACAAAAGACTTCCATATCGAGAAATATGAACAAATCGAACTAAGGTTCAGATTTTTTCAGTATAATTGACTTCTCAGAGAAAATAATTTCCTATTTCCAGAAAAATAAAGAAATTAAGGCATACCAGAGTTTAGAAATTTCCAGCGTCATTTGGGGATCAAACGAGTAGGTCAACATGAACCAATCGAATGACACTAAAAAAATTCCAGAATTTTCAGTATAGTAATTGAAACAATGGAGGGAACAAGCAGGAAGGATCTTCAGGTTACCTCCTTGTGACCATCTACCTCCCCTTGGGATCCATAATCTGAGAAAAGGCTGCACTGGTCGAGGCCATCTCCGACCCACTGCCGCCGCCAACAGCAACAGAAGGACGATTACCCTCGACGGCTTCCTTGGTCTGAGTCCACTCAGGGAGATCCTGGATTCCTTTCGTGCTGTTCTCTTCCCCCGGAGCCTCCATTCCTTGGAAGCTCAGCTGAAGCCGGAGAGCGTACTCCAAGCTCCACAGCACCTCTCCCATGGTGGGCCTCTCGATTCCGTACTCACCCAAGCACTTCTCTGCCGTCTCGCCGTATACCCGCAGAGAATCGGCGCTCAGAGATCCTGCAAGATGGGGATCGATTATCTGCTTCAGTTGACCTTTCTTCTGCCACTCCATAGCCCACTCCGCGATATTGACCTGCTCCCTGGGGAGAGATGGGTTGATGGCCGGCCTGGCGCAGAGAACCTCCATGAGAACGACACCAAAGGAATAGACATCAGATTTCTCTGTGAGCTGCTGTCTCCTGAAGTACTCGGGGTCCAGGTACCCGAAGCTCCCCTTCACGGCCGTGCTGACGTGGGTGTCATTCAGAGAAGGACCGATCCTGGACAAGCCGAAGTCCGCAACCTTGGCGACGAACTTCTCGTCCAGTAGTATGTTTGCCGTCTTGACATCGCGGTGGATGATCGTTTCAGAAGCTCCAGTGTGAAGATAGTGCAGACCTTTTGCAGCTCCGATGCAGATCTCGAGCCTCTGGGTCCAGGAGAGGGAGGGCATGCCTGAACCGTACAGGTGCTTCCGGAGGGATCCGCCGGCCATGTACTCGTAGATGAGGACCATCTCGTCGGGCTCCTGGCAGTAGCCGATGAGGGAAACCAGATGCCGATGGCGGAGCTTGGACAGCATCTCGATCTCGGTCCTGAACTCGACTAAACCTTGTTGAGAACGAGGATTCCCCCTCTTCACAGCGACGATCTCGCCGTTCTCCAGCACCCCTTTGTAGACCTTCCCGAAGCCGCCCATGCCCAGCATAGAGCTCTCGTCGAAGTTCTTCGTCGCCTCCCGTATTTCTGAGAAAGCTAGAAAACGGCCCAAGGCGAGAGAACCTGAAGAGGCAAAGGTGTTTGCAGAGGCCTTGGTTTCTGAGTTGCCCCCGATGGAAGGAACCGCCAGCCATGCCGCCGTATGGTTTGGTGGCTGCGGCGTCTTCATCTCGTGGCGGCGGCGGCGGCGGCGACGGCGGCGGCGACGGCGAGAGCATAGAATAAGAACTGCCACCCCTAAACCCAAGAGCACAGACGTCCCCAAGGCTGATCCTACAAGCACTACCGCCATCAGTTTCTTCTTCGAGGATTCTTCACCTGGTCGATACGGCAGATGAGAAGCACCGAGGCTTTTGTCTGCGTTGCTCAGCTTCATGATCTCAAGACCATTCAAGATGGCATTAGTCTGGATGTTGGCCAGGTCTGAAGGTCCGATCTGAACCAGTAGCTTCTCCGATTCTATCTCGCCCTCCACAGTGAAATCCATAAAGAAAGCGGCTGACAGTTCCATCGTCCTGCTCGAAAGATCAAAATCCCTCAGAGCGGACTGGTTATTGATGTAGACATTGAAAACCAGATGGTTGAGGGCTTTGCTCACAATGTCGCAGAAGTGGAGCCTCACCAAGTAGGAAAACGAGGAATCCACACGGAAAACCCAGGAGATATTAAATTTCTGGTTCCCGACGTTGGCGTCGGCCATCTCCTGCGCCGTAGCATAAACCCATCTCGGCGCTGTCTCGATGGACACTCCTGGAGGATACTTCACCACGTCAAGTTCGGTGGAGACTGACCGGACAGCTGCGGTATTAACCAGGAACGGCCGATCGATCTCCCAAACTCTCCACAAGGTGTCGTTCTCAGAATTCACGAATGGACCACCGACGTTGATCCTGTAGAAGGTTTCAATAGCCCTGTCAAAGGGGATCACCGGTGGCGCACCTATGGGGATCGGAGCAGCGGTGGAGGGGAGGAGGTGGTCTGGCGCGGATATAACCTCTATTCCATTGATGAAAGCAACGGATCCATCTGCAGGAACCAGTATCAGAACCACGGCATCTGAATCCACACCGATCAAGTACTCCTTCATCAGAGCGGAGTAGGACCCCAATTTCGCGAAGGAGAAGTCGCTGAGCAGCGTGAAGCCACCGGCGGTCACAGAGAACACCGCCGACCTCAAGTCATGCCCTGCGCCTCTAACCGGATACAGATGAAGCCTCACGAAATGCCGGCCCCTCCGCCTAATCCCGAACCTGTAGCTCGCCGGCGAGGCGAAAAGACGAGCACTGCCATAGAGGCCAGCACCGCTGCCGGCGACGGCCTGCGAGTTGGAAGAGACCACAAGAGAGGGAGCATCCGTATCCGGCCGGAAAGCCCTGCCATCCCCGAAGTCGACAGTGCCATTGCCTCCGCAGTTTATCAGGAAGTTGTCCCGAGGCCGGAAGGACGCCCCTCCGGCAGATCGAAGAAGGCAGACGATGAGCAGAAGAGAAGCCGCTCTCTCCGCCATTGCATCACGCCGGAGAACCGCACCTCATCGGAGGCGGCCGAGGACGAAGAAGATCGCTCGGCCACGAACGAAGAAGATCACCGGAATCTCCCTTTCCTCGGGTGGGGTTCGCCGCTGGCGGGGTGGGCAGTGAGGTTTCAGAAGCACAGGACATAATTTAGTATACCTTTTTAAAAAAAATAATCTCTTTTAAATAAAAATATACTAAATAATACTGGCGCCAATCGAGGAAGCCCACCCCCCTTGGGTTAACGGGCCCGCACGCTCTTAATGGGCCACGGGGCCCAGTCACCCGGCCAGACGACGACCCGACGTGCGCCGTATCTGTCTGCCGATCAGTTGAAAACGACAACCACGTGATTCGCTGGAAATGAAGGAGAACACTGCTCTCCTTATTTACAGTTAGTTGGCCCGCGCGGCACCGGACCGTCTCCAGGGCCCCAGCACCGTCCACGTTAATGCCACCCCCCTTGACCACCACGCCTCCATCTACCTATCTCTCTCTCTCCTCCCTTCTCGGACTACATTACGTTATAATCCTCAATTGGGCCTAACGAGATGGGCCCATAGAAACAGGGGGAAGACTCCGATTTCCAGACATAGAAGACAAACAAGGGGTTGGGGGTGGATTCTATGAAAGTCAATATGGTCAAAAAGATTTTCCGAGCATAATCTCCTCGGGAATCGGGGTACAAGCACGGAGTCTACTCCTCTAACGATAGTCAAAACCCAAAACTTTATGGACCCACCAGCAGTCCCGCTTAGATTATGCCGATCTTGTTTGCCACGTCAAGAGCGTCGTAGTCCGGGGTCAACCTCACGTACGCCTTCTTGGTCCCGTCCGGCCTGCGACCACCACCACATCACCTCGAAGATCAGATCTTGAAAGCGGGGGGGAGGGGGGTAGAGGGGGTTGGCTGACCTGATGAGTGTGTTGACCTTCTTCGCTTGAATGTCGTACATCTTCTTGACGGCGCTCTTGATCTTCTTCTTGTCGGCGCGGATGTCAACGATGAAGACGAGGGTGTTGTTGTCTTCGATCTTCTTCATGGCGGACTCGGTGGTGAGGGGGAACTTGAGGATCTGGAAGTGGTCAAGCTTGTTCCTGGGGGGAGCACTGATGCGGGGGTACTTGGGGGCGCGGTCCTTCTTCAGGGTCTTGGGCCTGTGGAAAGTCACCGAGGTCCTGATCTTCTTCCCCTTCTTGTTCAACGCGGAGGTGCCCGACTTCACCGCCTTGGCGACCTTCAGAGCCTGTCCTTTGGCGTCGCCCTTCTTTACCGCGGCTGCTGCCATTGCGAAACGTTCAGACAACACGATGGGAAGCCCAAGAGGGGCAAACAATATGAACTGGGAGACCTGTGATGAACGGTTTCCAAAACATGAACGAAAGTAAAGCCAGATTATGAGATGAGCAGTCAATATACTTATTGATGATGCACATCAAGAACATTATAAAAGCAGTGATGAAGACTTGTTGGTGCCAACATAGAGTCAACTCGACACAAAGAGTAGCTCTGAACCTGAGGAGCCTGCGTGCCATGCAACTGAGAACTCCGCGATCTAATGCAAATGCATTCAAAGAAGAGTGAGGTTGAGTGTGTACGAGCCCACAGAACATTAACTCAAAATATTTATTCATCGCAATAAGTTTTTCCACGCGATGTGAATTCAGAAAAACATAGGCACCAGCTTAATATCGTACATATCAGGGAAATCAGATTTTATTTTATTTTTAAAAAAACGTGAAATTTAAATCAATTAAACCACAGAGGACGCGTTGACTCTGAGGGTTTGCCAAAGGTCGCATGAAGTAGAAGTAAATTACACACATCCATGGAAAAAGGGAAATCCTGGAAATGACGAGGCTTCAGATGACATGAGAAAAAGAAAAGTCAATAGGAAACGGTGCTTCTAGCAGCACGGTGCTTCATGGCTTCTCTCACCAGCTCAGTGGGAAACATCAATCCCATGAAAAAGTTCAGTGGGAAAGTACCTTTTGCTGGGGGCGCCATGGCTTCTCTCACCAGCTACGGTGCTTCTAGCGGCTAAGCCTGAAGAAACGCTATTCATAAAGTCAATACCTCACATCGATAATGAGAATCAACCTCTAATAGTTAAAAAAATAAAGTCATGGAAACAGCCAGATAATTGACAAAAGGACGAAACAAAAGAGTATACTTTTTCTTCAGAAAGAAATAGATGTAAAAATAATCTACTCGTGCTCATCCGGTATCCATGGGCAAATGACTAAATTATCAAATTATGACATTTAAGAACATGCATAGATAATAGACATTCTCATTAATTTTTCAGTTTCCCCAAGATATTGCAACAATCGTTTCCCAACTAATTTTTTATAGCAGATATGTAACAATGACGAAAATAATCACGAGATAGATTTAAGGTGCTCCTAAGCCCTCATTAAAAAAATTGGGAACAAAATGGTTAGATACTGATCTTCCGCCAGAATATTTTTTTTTGTAGATAATTTAAATGATGGCACCAGAATAAATGAAATTATGTGGAAGGCCCAAAGTTCTTGCGACAAACAACTATAGGTCTTCTGAGTGCATCGGGCACGTTATCATCGGCCTATGTTTAGCATGGACAAGGAAGCCTTTCATTGATCGTAGATTAGGGCGACAGAATGCAAGATATCTCAAGAATCAACTACAAAAAAAACTGAGCTACTCACTGCAGAACATATTGCACTCTATAAGATCTAGAATGCACCATAGATGAGATGGGGAAACGGTGAATAGATAGTAGTAGATGTGGCGGGATCAATAAGAGCAGCGAATTTGAAAGGACGACGGAGGATAGAAAACCAGCGATTGTGGAACCAAGAAAACAGAGCAAAAAGCATCAGACACGCATAAAACTGCCGCCATCCCTTCTACTCGGTCATCAGAGAGACGGATGGGCGAGAAGACGAGGGCGACGCACCTGGGAAGCCCGGAGAAACACCGCCGTGTCGGCTGCCGCTCTAGGGTTTCCTCCGAGGCGACTAGAAAAACAAAATATACCTACGAGAAGAACGTGAAAGTACACAATTATCCTCTCCATGCCGAAACACGACAGTATTTGGGGCGTGATGGGCCCTTTAGAAGGCCCATTAGTATACAATATCAATTTCTCCGGCCCACCTGCAGCCCCATAAACGCTTCAACTGAAAAGGCATTTCGTGGGTATAAGTACCCGCACCCCCCAATTAGTTCCTCGATTTCACCCCTAATTCCATGGTCTTGAAGTTTTCGTGGTGAGGGAGTCGCTGGCTCATCTCACAGGCGAAGCTAGGGCTGTCCTCGTGCAATGGACGTGCGCGCAGGGCTTCCCCGCTCATCGAGGAGTAAAGAATGAATTCTATAGATCTCCATTGGTTTTGGAGTTTCCGTGGTGAGGGTTTGGCCGGCTCATCTAACAGGCGAAGCTAGGGCTGTCCTCGTGCAATGGACGTGCTCGCAGGGCTTCCCCGCTCATCGAGGAGTAAGGAATGAATTATATAGATCTCCGTTGTATTTCTTAGTGCGCGCCCGTGGTTGCGCTTCTCCGTTCTTCTCTCTTTCTTCCTCTTCTTCGCTTGTATTCGGTCGGAACGGTTCGAGATCTCCCGAGCATTGTTTTCGAAGGGATGATGCCAAGTGTGAGATGTTAATTCGATGTTTTCCCCCATCTTTAATCTTTTGCGCTCATCAGTTTTTCGCGAGAAGTACAAACAGAAAAGTTTCCAAAATTTCTGAATTATCGTGTTCCAGTGCGTCTTCATCTGGTTAGATCTTTAATGATCGAGAGAGAGCTGCCACTGGGTTATAATCAATAAGACAATACCCTGTGTCGGCCGTTTGTGTGATCGAGTTTTCTACGAGCAAACCCTGAATCTGATCGAGTTTTCTAACGCGGGAGAAGAGGGCGATTCAAATGGCTGGGAAGTGTGTGGACCCAGAATTATTCACTCGGGCACGGTAGAGTGGATCAAAACCGGTTTAAGGGGATGGAACACAATCTTCAAGGAAATCTCATGGAAAGAGAATCACGTTATGAAGAGGAAAATCATTTACTCTTGTCATCAAGTTCTACTGTGACTTCTCACAGATGAGATGAAAGCTGTAGCCATGCATCAGGGCGACTTCGTAATCGAAAGCTATTTGATCATTTCCCACAGGAGCAACAGCTGCACGGATGTGTTGAAAGCTTGTATGCCTACGGTTGGCCTGTTGAATGCTGGGGCAACTTCGATCCCTCGCCATGGTTCATTATATTGCTCTGTAAGGGGCTTTATCTGAATGAATCAAGCAAGAAGCAAGCTATCCGATCCAAATAGCACTTTTCTCGACAGATCCAGCACGGTCTAAGCTTAGGATCCAAAGATGGCCAGAGGATTCCTTTCCGACATGTAATAAATCACTGTTCATCAAAATTTTGCATGTTTACAGGTTCTAACCATAGCCATCCCGATTAATTCCTACCAGTAAACTCTGATTTCAAACATGGTGAGAAAATTTTTCGGGAAAATCTCAAGCTGATCCCTTTGACACGAACATTGATTCGTCTATGGTTGAAACGACTGAGAACATCTTCAGATGAATCAACAAATCTGACGAGCATGCACATACCAACCAGCGGCAAACCTTAATCCGTGATGACGTGCCTTGATCTTCATTGACATATAATAAGCGGAGCAGATAGAAGTAAAAGAGCAGGCATGTCGGCGTTCCGCAGATGCTTGACGCACCGATAAAGGATAGGTACAGAAGGTAGCAGAGAAAGACGCCAGTGAGACACAGGAGACAAGGCGCGGTGTAAAGACAACATACACATAGTTGGAAGAAATTGTCCAATTTTCAGAGAGAAAGAAGAGTCGATAAATTAAACCCTAATTCTAATTTCCTTTTCAAGAACTGGTAAACTTAGTGACAGCTTTTGTGCCCTCGGAGACGGCGTGCTTCGCAAGCTCACCAGGGAGGACGAGCCTGACGGACGTCTGGATCTCCCGGGAGGTAATGGTGGGCTTCTTGTTGTACCGGGCGAGACGGGAGGCCTCCTGGGCGAGCTTCTCGAAGATGTCGTTGATGAAGCTGTTCATGATCCCCATGGCCTTGCTGGAGATGCCGATGTCGGGGTGGACCTGCTTGAGAACCTTGAAGATGTAGATCTTGTAGGTTTCGCTTCCCTTCTTGATCTTCTTCTTCTTCTTCTTCTCGCCGGAGGCAGATGTATCCTTGGCGGGGAGCTTCTTCTCCGCCTTGGGCTTCTTCTCCGCCGGAGCCTTCTCCGCCACCGCCTTCTTCTCCTCCGCCGGCTTCTCGGCCGCCGGCTTCTTCTCCGCGGGCTTCTTCTCTGCTTTCGGCGCCATCGGGGGGACTATACGGTACAGATCGGGAAAGACCCTATCGAGAAAGTTCACGAGGTCGATGTGGAATGTTAGGCTCTTACGGCGTCACTATATATATAGACGAAAGTAGGCGGATCTTATTGGGCAGCACCTGTGACGGGGATCGCTGAGCTGGCTATTTCTAGATCGTCGATTTTTTCAGAAAGGCACCTTAAATGACGGTAGAGATGTAACATCGTGGGGATCGCCGACGTGGCGTGGTCCCGTTACCCGTCCCGTACCCACTACGGCAGCAAAGCATGACGAAAGAAAGAGAGGGGCGCCCGTCTTCCAGCTAACAATCTTCTGTCTGACGTGTCAATCCCAGGGGACAAAGCAATAGTTATAAAATGAAGCTAAAAGCCCCTCGTTACCCATAAATATTATATATTAGTATTATACCCACATGTCCTCGAGAAACTACCCAGCCCTCGTAAGTTGGCTTCGGTTTGTAACGGATATTCGTGGAATATTCTAGCCCATAGCTCTAATTTTCCTAATATTACTCAATAATTATAATTATATATATATATTTAATAGGAACATTGTAGGTCAAAACCTCCTCCAAGATTATTAATAGCTTTCATGGGCTTACTGATGCTATGTAAGCTCTGATTTTGCCTCATTAAGTTACATTTGTGTGGGCATGAGCTCCACTATTAGGTGCATTATTTTCTTCACGTGATTATTTGCATGAGCTTTATTTATTTGCCCAGATTATTTTTTACTATAACATCTCACTTTTATACAATTTGACTAATATTTATCATATTACTTTGTAATGTAACCATAGTATTTTTTTTGCTAGTTTATTATTCACGTGAGCTTACTATATCTGCCCTTTTCTTTCTAAGATTATATGTGCATGGAGAATTTATGAAAGTCTATGCTACTGTCCCTAAAACTTATGTGCATAAGAAGCTAGCATTATTTTTCTTATTATATATTATATCTGCAAGTTTATTGCTTGATAACATATTTTTATTTGCCTCAATAATTTTTATTGCAGTAGTTTTTATATTTTCCACATAAATCGAAAAAAATAATTGCAATAAGTAAAATATTACAATGATTGATAATCATGGTGTTTCACATGTAAATTCAAGCCAACATATTACGTGGAATGCCATGCTAATACTTAAATAATGTCATGTATACGAGGATATGTAAATGAAATTAATATAAATAAAAAAAATATTTTATTTTTAAATCACATAAGACGTCAAACTAAAGTTATTTCTAGCCCAAAATAGAATGTAAACTAGCTAGTAATTATAAAGTAGGAATCTAATAATAATATAGTGTTGTGGAAAAAAATCAAATTGAGAGAAACACCAAAACCAAAAATCTGATTGAATATATGTCTCTTTATAGTATTTATGTCCAAGAATATCAAAGGTAATAGAATTCAGATGGCATGATTGAGCACAAATGAAAAATAATAGTGATAAGTGTTGCACCAAGATTTATGTGATTCAAAAAAATATATCCTACATCCACCAAGAGAGCTAGAGCTATTTCCTTGACATAATAACAGGTGGAAAATGAGCCTTATAAGACACCTAGATATCATTTTATTGACTTTATGTATACTATTATCTATTTTAGAATAAAATGAAGACCAGATATATATGAAGTGGAAGCCTCTCTCTCTTATTCTCTCACATAGCATGATTTTTTTTTTTCTCATCATTTTCCTACCATGTGAATTCTCCCAAATCTGACCAACTTATAAGATAATACCTTATCCCACTTCCCTCCCCCTTTCTAAAGCCCCTATATAACTCTCGGGCTGTTATAACGCCCCCTCCATTTATTGGGCCGTTATAAACGGCCCACTAGGTGAACTAGTGAAAAAACAACGTATAATTCCTAAACGTTCGATGAGTCCACCAATAATCTTGCAAGTTGGAGGGAATGAATATTGTTCTTCAAATGAGAGCATATTTTCACCTAATTATCATTAAAAATGCTTCATAAAGTTCTATATATTAAAATACATATTTATTTTTTAAAAACATATTATCTATATACATACAAAAAGTAAAGCAACAAAGGGAAATGTATCATATTGGAATTATTCATTTACCTTAGAGATTGAGTTTTAATTTATTTATTTTTATAGGAATTATCAAATAAAAATTATAAATTATTTGCACGATTTTTGTTTTAATTATCATGTGGATAAATCTACAACTCAAAGTTTATATCATTTTGGTATTATTCATTTTTATTGCCAATTAAATAAAGTAGATGGCTATGTATATGCTTAGTGCCCGGATCAACAAGCCCGATTTATTGTTTTTTCCTCCAGCGTCGGCTCCTATAAATCCATTTTAAATAGAAATAATTGTTTTTTAATCTATGTCCTTCCTCTGGCTGTGCGGTCTCCTCACATCTCGGACATGGAAAGGGGATATATGGATGGACCGGGTTCGCCACGTGGCGACGACCGAATGGCGCGGATGGATTGCTACGAACAACACCTGGTCCGGCCTCGAGGTGGAGCGGTGGCGCCTCGGCCAATAGGAGCCGTTATCCGGATTCTCCTCAAGATCTCACTCCTCCTTATAGCCGCGTTTCCTTCTGTAGACTCAGATCTATCATCACCCATCTCTCTCTCTCTCTCTCTCTCTCTCGCTCTTCCAAGTCCCGACTCCGGCAGAGAAGAGAGGGGAAGATGGCGTCGGCCACCCTCAAGGGCTGCCCCGCGGCGGCGTTCCCCGGCCTGCTTTCCTCCTCCAGGTCCAAATTCGCCGTCGCTCTCCCTCTTCCCGCCACCAACGCGGCGGCGTCCCGCTTCACCATGTCTGCCGAGTGGATGCCCGGCCAGCCCCGCCCCCCCTACCTCGACGGCTCCGCCCCCGGGTAAGAGAGAAACCCTCTCCTTCTCCCTCCCATTCTCCTTGGTGTTCTTGTTCTCGTTCTCGTTCTCGCTGACGATCCGTGCCGGATTGATGGCGCAGAGACTTCGGGTTCGACCCCCTGCGGCTGGGGGAGGTGCCGGAGAATCTTGAGAGGTTCAAGGAGTCGGAGCTCATCCACTGCAGATGGGCCATGCTTGCCGTGGTAAGTAGCTGCAACATCAGCAGCTCATTCACCGAAAATGGGCCACCGTGCCGTGCCGATTTCTGACGATTTGCTGGGCCACTGTTCGTTCTTTCTTTCTGTCGTTGCAGCCGGGAATTCTGGTGCCGGAGGCGCTGGGGCTGGGGAACTGGGTGAAGGCCCAGGAATGGGCGGCGGTGCCCGGCGGGCAGGCCACCTACCTGGGCAACCCGGTGCCGTGGGGCACCCTCCCCACCATCCTCGTCATCGAGTTCATCGCCATCGCCTTTGTCGAGCACCAGCGCAGCATGGAGAAGGACCCCGAGAAGAAGAAGTACCCCGGCGGCGCCTTCGACCCCCTCGGCTACTCCAAGGACCCCGCCAAGTTCCAAGAGTACAAGGTCAAGGAGATCAAGAACGGTAAATCACTCCCCTCACCCCCGTAATTTCCTCCTTTCGATCTCTCTCTGCTGGTGCTCACCGAAGCGATTCGCACAACCATCCGCAGGTCGCCTGGCTCTGCTGGCCTTCGTGGGCTTCTGCGTGCAGCAGTCGGCGTATCCCGGCACGGGGCCGCTGGAGAACCTGGCGACCCACCTCGCCGACCCGTGGCACAACAACATCGGCGACGTAATCATCCCCGTATCTCTCTCGCCCTGAGCTCAGCATCTTCTCCCCGGGAAAAAAAAGAGCAAAATTTACACTGTATAACATCTTCTCCGTCCGTCTGTAAAACCGCGTTCCGTATCTTGGTTGATGATGCCTTAGAGCTTCTCGAATCAGAGCTCCCGGGTCTCTCTCTCTCCGATCCCGTTTTTCTCTCTCTTGATAGCCGGGGACGCGTACGGACGGCTGAGATCGTCAGACCCGTGAAGGGTATACACAGCTAACGGGCCCATTTAAATGTCAATTTGATGGACGCGAGAGGTCATCCATGGTTGCCGCCGCGGCACATGGCGCGGGAGGGTCGCACGGGCGACGTGCGAAGCGCGCGCGAACGTGCTCGCCAGCAAGTTCCCTCCGTGGATAAGCGCCGGGAGGGGGCGGAGCAAAAACGCACGAACCGTTTTCGATCTGGCACGGTGCCCATTCTCGGCGCGCGCGCCGTGATCCTCGCTCCGGGCTTGCGAGGTTATCGCGGTGGTCTCCCCAGAACCTCGCGGCACCACGCCGCACGGGGCCTCCCCGAGCCTCGTAGCCGCCGCGGCCGCGCGCACACCGCGGCCGGAGCGCGAGCGAGCGGGTCGGAACTCCAGGGTGAGGTTCTCGCGGAGGCCTCCCCCGAGCCTCGTTGCCGCCGCTCGCTGCGCGCGCGGACAGCGCGAGTGGGGCGGCTCACTCCGCCGCAGACGTGCGCGGCCTGCTGCGTGCCAGGCGCGCACAGCGCCCGGACGACCCCGCTGGGACAAGCTGAGGCTCCCCCGCTGACGCGCACGGCCTGCGGCGCGCGCGGGCGACCCGGCCCCCCCGGTGGGCGAATCTCTCGCCCGCGCCCTGGTAACCTCCCGCCCGCGCGCGTGGGGAGGGACGAATCTGTGCGACGTCTGCAAAGGATTCTGCCCACCGCCCGACAGAAATAACACTTCGGGGCGGCCGCGCCCCCGACACCGGACCGTGGGAGCCGCGAGGGCTCCCATTGTTGGACGGAAATTGGGCGGCGGGGCGGGGAGCCGCTGTTAGTTGGGATTCCGACGACTTATAAGTGTTCAGCCGTAATTCCGACGCACGGGAGCTTTACAATGGACGATGATCTAAACCATCTCACAATGGGCGGGGGCGGCGCGCTCATTCGTAGGGTAAAACAAATCTATTTCACGATGATCTAAACTCAACTCACGTTCCTTATCGGTGAGTGAACAATTCAACACTTCGTGAATTCTGCTTCACAATGATAAGAAGAGTCGACAACGATTCCGACCGTGAATTCAACGGAGAGTTGACTGGTTTCAGAAATCTTACCGTTGTCAAAGTCGGGTATAATTAACAAAAAAAGCCGAACTCGTACGCGCGCCGTGCGTACTGCTTCGAACAAATATTTTTAGTCTGACAGAAATCGTAGAGGATGATGAAAAAGCTAATTTTTGGAGATGGCCACGTCAGCATCGTTCTCTCTCTCTCTCTCTCTCTCTCTCTCTCCAGCCTAGTTTTTGCCTCTGAACGGAGATGGGAACCTGCTAGAACGGCCGTCGGAGGGATACCTCTCCCCGCTCCTTTCCTCCTCTCTCAAACTTTCTCCCACGAACTACGATTCCAGGATCTCGCGCCTGGCCACAGGATTTGTCCCGGCTTTGCGAGGTCGTCGGAAAAGGAGGGCCGGATTGCCACGTCGGGGAAGGAAGAGAAGGAAGAGAGGAAAGACGGAAAGGCCGGCAGGATCTCCTCCGCCAGGTCTCTTTCTTCGTATCCGATCTCGTCCATTGCAGATTGTTCTTCTATCTGCAGGCTTCGGGCATTTTTGTGCATCGATAGAGCGGCTGTGGTCGTCCACGATGTACGGGGGCGGACCTGATGTTCGAGTGATATTTTATATCGGTTGGCGTACCATTTCTTCACTTGCTGTTTTCTGCTGTGCTGCTGAGCGCAGGGCGTAGTTTGTTGGATGGGCTAATGGACGAAATGCATCTCTCCCCCCTGAAAGAGAATAGACTGTTCAAGTGTGCCTTTGCCGTTGTCGGCATAATGAGCACTCTCCTCGTCTACGGGATCTTGCAGGCGAGTTCCGTCTCAGAGCTTTATTTTTTACGCAGATAACGCTTCGTTCCACTGATTTTGATCCTTTCCCTCGGGAGGAGGGGGATCGGTGCCTTTCACCTGTCTTCTGGGACTAGTTCATTCATTTTGTGGGTGGATGCTATCTTGGGATTGAGGTGCGGGATTAGTCGAATCAGCCAGCTTTGGGTTTTTTTTCCTTTCTCCGCAGATTATTTTGATGAGTTGGGAACACGTTCTCTCATATTTAAGAAGACAGAAACCGATCTTGTTCAACAAATGTTTAGATTTTTCAGTCACATTTCAGATGTATCCAATTTTCTATTTTACACCGTCGCTATGTAGCTCACTATTCTGGTTTCCGACAAGTATTTCACATCTCGTGTACTTTCGGGAAATTACCTCAATGATATTCTTCAGCGTAGCGGTGCCCTGGGTGAAATTGTGGTTCTTATTTTCGCAACTGAAAATGAACTTGAATTTATGCTTCAGAGACTTTACACGATTGTTTCTTGTTTGGATCCGTAGGATCTTATTACCGCTACTGAAAATTAACTTGAACTTGTTATACAGGGATGATTCAGAGTATTTGCACGATTTTTTCTTGTTTGGATCCGTAAGATCTGCGTGAAACCACAATTTGCCATTGCATAGGTGTAGTAAATGCTCCACGTTTCTTTTTAGAGGTTTGGACTTCAAAGGAACCCTGAATGGATTGGCATAAATTATGCCATTGCATGCAAAACGAGACTCTTTTAAAGGCTCTCATCTGTACAGAGTATCATCATATGTGACGTGTACGTTTTATCATTTCACTGCAAGCCTAAAACAAAGGACCGTAAAGCTTTGGGTGTTTCATAGAAATTCATCGCCGTCATGATTTTGCTCTACTTTTCATCCTAACAATCTGATGGGAATCTAAACATGGCCACAAACGGTCATGCATATTTCTCTACTAGACTGTCAGTATGAAGTCTATCTGTTGTACTAAGGCATGACCAACATAGGGCTTTTTCTAAAAGCCCTGACTAACGCTGCTTAGTGGACCTCTGAAGGAGTATAATAATCAAGTTGTCAAACGCAATAGAAGTAGTATTGTTAGCATACGCGAAACACAGTGTAAATAGGTTCAGGTGAATTAGAAAGGTACGTGGTGGGAAGAGGACGTATTAGGAAATAAAAGAAGTGGAATATAAAAGGAAAACTAGTCTATGTCGATCATGGCAGAAATCTAGCAGGAAAAATCATTTGAAGGGAAAATTCTGAATGGGAGCATAGGAACGTAATGAAGGGAAGGATAAATCATTTTTTTAATCCTTTGAACAGCCTTAGGGCACTTTCCTGTGGCGTTGAATCAATCATGCACTTCTTAATCTGGATATTTCTATTAACTTCTAAATTTTTGTAGGTTTTTCTTTTGTGCTCGCTTAACAACTTCACTTATCTAAATCCTTGTGGGTGGGGTATGCACTCAGATGGATAATTCTCCAGTAATGTGTTGTTATTTTTGGTCTATAATCCACGTAGTCAGGCCATTTTGACTGGTTTGGCAGTATGTGCCATTTTGGTCCCACTCTCCCTCCATGGTTTTTAATCTCTTCTTCTATCATTCTAACCTTTGGAGTCTTACACGTCCATCTCAACACCACTGCCGTTGTTGACTTTTCTTTGCTCTTATTGGCCTTTTCTTAAGTCCCGTCTCCAGCCCCCACACCGTTTTTCCCCCTCAAGATTTTAATGCTCTTAAGGTGTGACCGGAGCTCTATACCCTTCAGTGGATTTGTATTTATTCTTGTTCATGTCTTTTCCACAAGTGCCCATTTTCCTCACAAGTGAACTAGAAATCTTTGAAGTCTTCAAGTGACACTGGACTAGACAGAGTTTAGAAATCCTCAGCCCTTTGACGTCAATAGTTTTCTTTCCATTGTGTCTGTTGATATGAATGCTGATATTTTAGTTTAATTATGAATCCCTAATATCGTTATATTTCTGCTATTGATCATGCTTAACGAGCTGGCTGTAGCATTAACCTACATCTTTTTTGGTTTATCCCGCTAAACTTCATCATCTTCCTCTTATGTTTGATGAAGAAACGAATCGGTCAACTCTAAGGCTTTTAATGTTTTCTCTATGCCTCTGCATCATCGGTCAACTCGGTCATCATCTTAATGTTTTCTCTATGCACCTTTATCATCTTTGCAGCGTTATGTTCTGGGACGATCTATCTCGTTATTCCAGGTTCCTCAGTGCTGGGGCATAAAATTCATTGCCCTGATTCCTTTTCCCACACATATGTTGTATTTGAAATTTTCTTCCTTTAAACTCCATCGTATTCCTAGTCTTGAAAAGTATGTTCATTCGTCAACTAGATTTTTTAATTTATAATTGATTAATATAATTTTCTGCGAAGTTTTGTGTTAAAAGTTTCTTTAATATTTGTTTCTCGGTTTGAATAGCTTTGATAATCCTATCTTATGGTGTGTAGAAATTAGTTTAATGTATCACCTTGTGGATTTCCTTCTGGAGACAACTAATTCCGTAATGTTGAGAAATGCAACAGGCTTATATACAACTTATTTCTTGCAGGAAAAGATCATGAGAGTTCCATATGGTGAAAATAAAGAGTATTTTAGGTATTCATTATTTCTTGTATTTTGCAACCGTATTGCGACTTCTGCTGTCTCAGCTGGTGCGCTACTGGTAAGAAGCTTATTTTTCTGCAATTGTTCCAATACCTGTGGAATCTAATTCTTCAAACCTCGATGCTTATACAGGCTAGTAAAAAAGACTTACATGCTGTTGCCCCAATCTACAAATACTGTGCAATATCAGTCTCTAACGTTCTTACCACTTCATGCCAATATGAGGTAATTTCTGTTCATTTTTAAGTTAACATCTTCTTACAATGAGAATCAACATGAGCGAGACTTTTCTTGACGCCACATGTTCTTCATTCTCTAATCAGCTTTCGATTTTTTCAGGCTCTGAAATATGTTAGTTTCCCAGTTCAAACGCTTGCCAAATGTGCGAAGATGATTCCTGTAATGGTGGGTCCACTCATTGCTGCTCGATATTTTTTGTTATTATCTCTGGTTTGGGCATCTGTCCTAATTGTTTGTTGTAGATGCCATATTCCATTGATCGAATGTAATTTCCATTTTCTGTTGGAATTTTAAAAAGTGTCTGGACGTAGTGCTTTTTCTCCTGTTTGTTTATATATTAACGGTCATTGTAATACCAAATAATTTATTTTTTCTCTAATTTCTCCAGTTTTCTTTGTTAGAAGTTCTAAGAGAAAAAGGGGAAAAAGCATGCAATGATAATTTTTTTTACGATGAAACTGTCATTTGTTGCTCCTTCCAGATATTACTCTCATGGCAGGATATATGGGTGTATTTTCTTTCGTTGACATGTGAAGGAGCTATAAAGTTGCTTTTAATAACTAATGGTAGTGTTGGGCAGGGAAATGTTACAAGAAGAAACAAACAAGCGATTATACTGTATAATGAAGGTGAAGGAAGTACCCACATGATGATATCCTTGGAACTTGAGATCTCATGTGAGTTGGCATTCGTGTGTAGTTGAAGGATAATTTTTTTTCCTTCAAAGAAAGGTGGTCTTCAGGAGTTTTCACTGTGAATGGTGGGAGCCAGTTAAATCAACTGAAGGATAGAGAAACTGGACGATTTAAATAAGTAATCCCCAATACATTCTCCCAGCATTAATGAGGAAAACTCCTGGTTATCTCTTGAATTTTTTAGAACAATTTTAGCTCAGATTTTACGAATATTTCATTTGGAATACGATCACGATCATCATGCTTGTGGTTTTTATTGTCTGCTGGTGATTTCAGGTTTGGGGAATCCTTATTATGCAAAAGAAGTATTTTCGAAAGGACTATATCTTTGCTTTTCTTGTGACTTTGGGATGTTCAATATTCATTCTTTATCCGGTAATGACTTCTTGCCCGATCATTTTGAATTCCATATTTTGTATCCTCCCTTTTGATGATGCATTAGTGCTAGTGATTTCTCAATTTTTTCACATTCTTCCAAACATTTAATGTTCTTCAGGGATAACAACTAAGTGATTATATCTCCCTTTCCCACCTCTGTTCATGACATGGTTCCTCACAACTTTTTTAGTATAACAGTGTCATTTAAATTATGTACACACATCAGCTGAGAAGTACCAAATATTGATAAGTTATACATAAGCCAGACGAATAAGACCGATGGCATGCCGTATCTTTTCTTATTTCAGTAGTAATGGTAACTTCCTCTTCAGGGAATCACCATGGCGTCTGCGTCGTCCAAATTCTCTAAATGAAAGCTTCTTTTTGAGTTTCTCTAACTAGTAGGTTGAAAAAAAGTCAGTAATTGGGATTTTTTTGTCTTTGGTTGGTTCGTAGTAGTCATATGTGCAAATGCGCTTTTGATTCTTGTCTGGTTTCTTTCAGTTTCAATTCTATTCATCCTGCGGTTGAGCAAAAATCGGCTTTACTTGTTTCTAGGCCTTACAGTTGGCTGGAAAGCCTTTCATTGATATCTGATAATTTGAAATTTCTGAGCTATATTGCGAATGATTTCTTTCCCTTTCCCCCATAAAGTGCAGGCCTCAACAGACATTAGTCCCTACAACTCGGGAAGGGAAAGCACTGCCTGGGGAGTTTTTCTAATGCTTGGCTATTTGGGGTATATAATTTATGTTCGTTGTCTATTTTTGGTGTGTGCATTAGCTGCATCTTTTATCATCAATATCTTGTGACTATGTCTGATGATAGATCCTCACCACTCCTGGATGTTAAAACCAGAGGATAGATAGAGTTGATTTCCTTGTCCTTCTGAGATCAATTTCTGTAATGAGTGGAGGCTAAGTTATTAAGTACAGGGTTGTTCTTACGTACAGGCTAAATTATTTCTGCACTCTGCTCGTCGTGAGCAACTAAGTCATGCTCCTCACTGACCTTAGAGAAGTACCGCATTTGTTTTTGATTATTTCTTGAAACTTGTTGATATCTCGAACTAGGCTTTTTTTTTTTGTTGCGCTCATTATATTTTGAAAAGGATGCATATTATCTCACCCAACCTCCGTACAGTTTGCTTTTCCTCTTGTGCGAATAGTTGAGGATTTTTTGTGAACTGATTTTGAGTTTTCCAATATTTTCTATTAAATCCAAATAATGGGCTACTTATTTACACCATTCTTGTGCATAGTGGAGCTAAGCAGGCCGCTTCAAAGAAGAAGACTGTAAACTAGTTCATTCTAGATCACATGCGTTATACTTACACGCGATTTCATGGAATATGCTCGTTGCCCATAGAAAAAAGGAAAATCAGATCCTTATGGTTTGAAGTGGGTAGGCAAGAATGAGGAATGTAAGGCTTGCTTGCGTATTTGTGGGTCTCATTTAAGTAAATGATTTTCATTTACTTAAGAGTATTACAAGTTAATAAGCAAGTATCATCCCTTTGTTACCAATTATATCTCATATAGATGCAATTTTATGTTATCTTATTTTCCGAGGAATGAAGTGACATTCATTCCTGGGGAAAAAAAACTCCCAGGGGTTCTTGGGTTTCACCAGCCACAATTCAGTACAGCAAATAGTTCAGATCCTACTCATCTCTCCTTTGGATTTACAAGTTCAGATCAGCATGCGCAGCTTACTTTCAATTTTATTTCTATTTTTGCTCATTAGAAATTCAAAAAAGTACTATTTTACATCATTAATCTTCACAAAGTCAATCCTGTAGCGTGGTTATTCTCTGTCTCTGTCCAGGTTCGATGGTTTCACCAGTACATTCCAGGACAAGCTCTTCCGAGGTTATGACATGGAAATACAGAATCAAATATTCTACATGACCCTCTGTTCCTGTATACTCAGCTTAACTGGTACGTTCTTGCTGACATAATGGCGAAAGGTTTGGCCTTGGTATTGTCAGAGAAATGGGCCGTCTTCTGGGGAGCTCAATGAGCATCTTCACTATTGGTGGCAAGTTGATTCTTGAATCGTTCCGTTGACTATGGTCGAGTAAATTTGCTGCATACATATGGAATGAAGATGCGCATTCCCATCGAAAACCTGCTATGAATCCTGAATCCCTTTTGATAATGTGACCAGATGTAGTGGGGCAGTGTGCCCTTGTTTTCCTTGGGTTGGACTGATGCTCTTCTTTCCGAATTTGTCTAGGGCTTGTACTACAGGGGCAACTTCTCTCCGCAGTGGAGTTCGTCCTCCGCCACCGAGATTGCCTATTTGATGTGGCCCTACTGTCCACTGTGAGTGAAAATCCTCTTCTTATGGATCACATCTATGGAGATATCGAATCATATGCTCGTCCTTCTCGCAGGTCGCCACGATCAGCCAGTTCTTCATCTCCTACACCATCCGCACGTTTGGTGCTCTCACCTTCGCCACCATCATGACCACGAGACAGGTAACCCCGATTCCTTCTCCTGGTCTCTCGATCACCGTCAAGAAAACCCTAAAAACCCTAACACTCACAGTGCCGGTGCCCTGCTTGCCGACTCTTGACCTTGCAGCTGGTGAGCATCTTCCTGTCGTGCGTGTGGTTCGGGCATCCCCTTGGCTTCCTGCAATGGACCGGAGCCGTAAGCGCACACCGGCTCCTCCTCCGTCGTCCTCCTTCCCTCGATTCAATGCGACTGACGGGCTCCGCATTTGGACAGGCCATCGTCTTCGGTGCTCTTTACACGAGCAACTTGCTGAAGAGCAAGCTGCCGAAGCCGGCCCCCTCGGGCGGCGACCTCGACGGTCCGAGCTCTGAAACGGGGAAGCCTTGATCTTCTGGCGTCCTCTCGAAGGCGCTCAAGTCCGGAGACTGTTACAGGCGAAATGCTGACAGGACGGAATTAGGGAAATATATGGAAATTAAATATAATCCCTGCTACATTATTTTTGACGTATATTTAATTTAGGAAGATAAAATTAGTCAATGAATTTCTTTTAATTTTTTTGGGAATAATCTAATATGTGTAATTTTTTCCTTTATGTTAATACCCAATTGGGGTAAAACGGGCTTTTTTTGAAAGATTTGACTTGTGGATCCCTGTCTTCGGGGCTAATGGGCCGCAAACAGGGTGCCACCGGCTCAAATAAGCCCACCGTGTGAGAGGTTCCGTTGTGGGCGAGTTCAATCCAAGGACCTTGTGGCGATGTCGATGAGGGCCCATTAGCAGGGGAAGGCCGAAGACCGACGCCCACGACAGCAGCGGCTTGGACGACGACACGTCGCAGGACCCCATGTCGGCTACGGGGGCCGAATTATTTAACTCCGGAGTACGTAGAAAGTCCGAGAGGGGGAAGGAGAGCCGGCTACGGAAGCTCGTTGGGCCGTTGGATGGGCCCCGCTTCGGGCCTACATTCTAAGTCCTCTCTTTCTCTCTCTCTCCGTGACAGCGGTCCCTTCAGAATCTCCCTCGTCGCCTCCGTGTCCCTTCTTGGAGCCCCTCTCGCTGTTGAGCCCTTGGAATCTCCCCTTTTCTCTCTTCTGGGAGGCAACATCGCCCGGCCTCTTCTCTCCCATGGGAGACGCCTCTGCTTCCTACATCCGCATGGTGATTCTAGAGAGAGAGAGAGAGAGAAAGTTTGAGTGGTCTTTCCCATACGCTGGCTGATATGGTTCTGGGTGTTTGGTTTCCAGGTGCAACACTTGATCGAGAAGTGCCTCGTCTTCCGCATGAACAGGGAGGAGAGCGTTGAAGCGCTTTCCAAGTACGCCGGCATCAAGCCCGTCATCACTTCCACCGGTGCGCCGCCGCTCCCTCTCTCTGTCTCTGTTTCTGTTCTGAGACTGCGATTCCGGTCCAGTTTGGAAGGAGCTGGAGAAGGAGAACAGGGAGTTCTTCGAGGCCTACGAGCGTCAAATGGAGGACCGACCTTCCCGAGAGGAGCCTCCCCACAAGATCCAGGCTGTGCTCTCAGACTTCGCCTCCAAAGCTTCCGACGACTGAAGACCTCTCTCTCTAGGTGGAGAATAGGGGCACCGACGGCGTCCCTCCCGCTGGCGCAATGAGAGGATCCCGTGCTGACTTGTCATTACCTCCATGTACGGAGGGGCTGTGGCGCTGGCTCAATGCCGTCGTAATCAAGGGTGACGTGGCTGACACATTGGCCCTTTTTTCCGTATGAATTTAGGAAATATCTCCCTTTTGATCAGTCGTCCGGGGGTGAGAAGAACGTCGGCGGCTGGGAAGGCTCGAGTTCAGAGCTCGCCACGTGTCAGATTCGAGTTTGCCCACGATGGAATGGCTGGTGGAGGCCCCCCGGCCGTGATCAACCGTGACCGCCCGCCAGAAAGTTCCTCTCTTTTCAGCTTCTGACCGTCCCGCGTCTGCAGGACGTTAAATCATATCGCCACGTCAGCAACATATATACCCGGGACATATATTTTAGGATGAATCTAATCTCAGATATGCCCTTCGTAACCTCTTCGCCCTCGGCCCGGCCCAAAAAGGGTGTTATCGGTCCACATCCAGGAATAAGGCCGGCCCATTAATTTATCTCTGACAGCCCTCCTCCCCCCCATTGGCGACGTTATCTTAATTGTAGCTCAACTGTACTTGGGCCGTGGCGGGTAGTTCCCCGTGCATTGACGCAGATTCCGAGGACCCGACCGGCTCCCGCGACATCCGCGTCTTTGTCTGCGTTCTCACGATATTCCCTATGCCTACGGGCAGCGGTAACGGCACCGGCGGGCTTCGCAACAGTGCTCTAACAGCTAGGCTTTGACTTTTTGGTCCCCGGCTCTTGTCCTCTTCTCCGGGTGGTCATGTGTATCCGTTAATGAGATCAGTCTAATAAAAACAATGGGCCCAGGAAAGATTCTCACCGGCCCAAATAGTAAGACTAATAATAATCATAATAACAATAATAAACTGGCCCGGGCCTGCCGCTGCATGTTAATGGGCCCGGTAGAGGCGAGTTGGTGGGCCCACTCCGGGACCGCTGTCGTGTTCTGCTCCTCCTCAGGGACTGTGCTGTTTTTGGGAACTTATGTTTGGAGGCACGTGCCACACGTGGAGCCGAGGCGACGGTTGGCAGCTTCTCCTTCGTCTCGTCCGTTGTTGTTTTGCGCCGTTATTTTAATGGAAGCGAGACAACTCGCCGGAAGCGCCCGTGACCCGGCCGGAGTCCCGAGGCAACTCGGGGGGTGGGAGGGGAAGAGAGCAACCGAGTCCGCCCACCGAGTTGCACCCCGGACAATCTGCCGCTGACGCTAAGGTAAAGCGGAATCAACGGAGGGGATCCCTGTTCGGACGATTATTTTAATCGTAGCCGCATCAAACAAGTACCTTTTTATTGGAAAAACTATAATTATATACAAGTATTTTAGAAAATTCCCGAATGGTCGTCTCGACACAGAGGCGGTCAACGGAGAGAGAGTCCGCGGCTGTTCTACCGTTCACCTCAGGGTGGGGCGTTTACTGGTTAGTCCGCCGCCGTCTGCTCTTCTTCTTCTTCTTCTTCTGGCGGGGGGGATTCTGTGGAGCTCGAGTTTAACGGTAGAGAGGAATTGGGGCGGCGGAGGAGGAGGGAGGGTGGGACCAGGCGGAGCTCGAGGCTTGGTGGGTCGCGGTCCGCTGTCTTTTCCGGCGGTGCTTCCTCTGGTTCACGTTTCTTCTTCCTCCTTCCACGGCGGTTTGACTGAAAGGCCCCTGGGGGCTCCTCGGGATCCGCCGGTTGCGCCACGTTGCTCGCCCGAGGTTCACACGGGGAGCTTCCAGTCTACGGAGATGGGGGGGATGGGGGGGTTGATGCAGCATCAGAAAATGGCGGAAAGGAGCAGGCCAGGGATCGGGCATGGCCGAGATCCTCTCCCTTTTGCATCGCCGTCATTAATGCTTGCTCTCTTTCTCTCGCTCTATCCGTCAGCCTCTGAGGATGTCGCGCGTCGCCTCAGTACTTGAGCCCCTCCTCGTGATGAGTCCCCCACTCTCTCCGTCTCTCTCTCTCTTTCTCTCTCTCTCTCTCTCTCTCCCTGGGTCGTCTCTCCTGACGGAGGAGGTTTTGGGCGATAAGCTTCCGACTGTTGGTCTCATCTTGGAGAATCCGGCCGACTTTTGAGCATTTATCGCGTTGCAGTTAATCTCTGGCTTCCACACATTTTTCTCTCTGATACTCGCCGGGTTTCCTGGCTGCGCTGCTGCTGGTGGTGGCGGCGGAGGCTCGTTCTCGTCTTCTCCGTCCAAAATGCTCGACGTGGATGGGTACCGGGGCAGGAGCGGCGGCGGCCGCCGCCGCAGCGGCGCTGGCAGTGACAGATCTAGGCGCAGGGACTTACTGTCTCACCGCTCGTCCTTCGAATGGGAAGAGGGTTTGCGGGACATCAAGCCTCGCGGGGATCATTCGTGCTCCGTCCACGGCGGTTGCCTCGAAGGTGCGGATGGCTGAAAACTTTCGGTTTCTTAAGGCTATCCTCTCTCACACGATAATTCGCCGACATTCTCTGGAAATCGCCTTCTGTTCTTCGACGCGCGTTCTTTCCTCAAATCTCGCCACTGATTTAGCTCGAAGCCGTTGACTTCCGTCGATTCGTCTGTTTCGGTAGTTCCTCTGCTTCCAACCGAGTTCTTCGCTTCGACCCTCTGCTCCGCGCTGCGTTGACCTTTGCGCGATTAAAGGAAAAGGAAAATCACCATACCCGATTGGGTACCCTCGCTCTCATCTACAAGATTTCCCGCCAGAGCGATTCAGAAGAACGAACCTGGAGTGGTTCAAAACCTGTGTTCCTTTTTCCTTTCTCCCTTGTCTCGGTCATGGGCTCTTCTCTCGTCATCATGAACGGCACAGAGCCTTTTGTCCCCAGAGCCAATGTTGTCCCTTTCAGGGGAAGATCAGGCTGGCCCTGAACCATCTTTTTCTCACTGGTCTTATTTTCCTACCCGGAAGGTGATGAGTATGCTCTTGAATTCTTTTGCTTTCCCCTTTCTTTCCGTTTGAAAGCTTCTTGACTATCACCGTGGGTTGCATCCTTTCAAACCCTTGGGGCGGGTAAGATGGTTTTATGCACTGTTCCTCGTGAGGATTAGAGCATTGTGGAACTGGGCAGGTAGGATTTTCAGTGGTTACCACTGCTGAAAGATTTTCGTCTCTCTCTCTCTCTCCCTCTCTTTCTTACTCTACTCCCTCGTTTGTGACCTCAGTCTAATGGGACAGTGGTGGGTAACCATGGGTAATGGGCTCACTGATAATCAGCCTTTCTGAAATTATATTTTTGAGATACTGGGGCAATATTTATCTATCTAGATGTAAGTATTGATGTGTGTGTGTGTGTGTATGCATGCTGATGGTGGATGAATCTAGCGATAATCTTTTGATGATATGAATCGATGTATGTAGCAGTATCTGATCTTTCTTGGGCAACTTTACCAGTCATGAGTGTGGCGAATCCTGCCTTCCTAGCAGGGATGGCCCAGATATAGAAGCCCTCCCTCTCCCTCTTCTACCAGTCCTGAGTGTTCTTGGTTGGGTTTTTTGTTGTCTTGGGTGTTGTGGGGTTGGGTGCCAACTACCGTAGGGGATGTGGGTTGCCCCAGTTTCATCATTCTCAGGACATATCTAGTTGGATCCTGATGTGTTATTTGGTTAATTTTTTTTATACGATCTGCATCATTCAGCTCTAGATTTCATCGCAATGGCTTTGTTTGCTGTAATTGTGCTTTGAAGACAGATTAACTGAAACTCAACGCATAGTGATTTAGAACAAGTCAACGCTGACTTGTACAGGTTTATGCCTACAATTCCGGTGATTTATTTGCTCCTTCGGAGGAGAGTTTCTTATATGCATCCTGGTGGACCTCACCAAACGCTGGATCTGTGAACCATGAAAGCGAGCCAATTTCTTGTGAAAGACGGCCATAATCACGATTTCAAGTGGTATTTAAGATTGAAACGTGGATCTCATGTTGACTTTGCCGCAATAGTTCCATGATTCTGAACAGACGTCACCCATGCTGTTGCACTGTTCACCATCGTATTCCCTGGAAAGCATAAAAAAACTTGCAGATTTGTATCACATCTGGCAGAGATTCCAATTTCTTCCGGTTTTTTGTATTTTTAAAATATTAAATCAGAAAGGTACTTGCGCGGGGTATGATGGTCAACGACTCGGCATCTTTTCTTTTATTGATTTCCATTCCTTGAGATCGGATGAATGGTTAACGGTGGTGGTGATTTTCATCATATTTTCTTGTTGCTTCCCCTGAGTAGCGCTGTTCCTGCTGTAGGCCATCGCCCGATCAGAAACCAAACGAACACTGCGACGATGGCATCAGTTTGCAAAATGAAAAGTCAAACTCAACTAGATATGGTAATTCTGCTTCCTCCCCCCCTTAGTTTCAGTTCATCAGACTTCCACAAATAGTAGTATCATGCTTGCAGCTTAAGAAATTGTGAGCTCGAGCGGAAGAACGGTTTATGGCTGGTACTGAGGAATTTAATAATTTTTGACCAGGTTGCTTATGAGCTCAAACGGGTTTCCTCGAAGAAACCCAGTGGGGCATCGATCAGAACGCTGATAGACGAAGAAATGTCGAAAGGCATGCGCTCCGGGAGGCATTCACCCGGTGTGATTGCGAAACTGATGGGTCTCGATGCTCTACCAGCCCAGCAGCTCTGTTTCATGCAGGATCCATCGGCTCGCTGCTGTGAAAGACCGTCAGAAGCGTTGGCCGAGAGGCGGTCGCGCCATCAGCAGGAGGAGGAAGAGTTTAAGGACGTTTATGAAGTTCTAGAGGCAGATGTGGCCGAGGGGACCAGTAGCAGACCCATCCGTAAGGGATCATCAAAACCGAGGCGGAGAGATGAGGAGATGAATTGCACGAGGCAGAAGTCAACGGAAGGAAACAGGCTGCAAAGCTCCAGGCAATTTTCTGAGACTCTGGACGCCCTTCAATCCAACAAGGATCTCTTCTTGAAGCTCCTTCAGGAGCCCAGTTCTTTATTCGTCAGGCACCTGGAAGAGTATCAGTCAACCTCGGCCTCCTCTGAAGCAAGCCAGATCGTCGTTCTCAAGTCGTCTAACCTCAGAGAACACGATAATGGCGGCGGCCATTGGGAGTCTGATGGAAAAATGGACCGAAGCATTCGCATCAGAGAGCGTGCTCTCAGTAAATACGAGGACGATCTCGTCAGTCACTGCATAAAGGAGCACAGCCTTTCTGTTTCGAGGAAAAAATGCAGTCTTGGAGCTGAGAGGCGCCCCACCCGGATCGTCGTTCTGAAGCCGAGCCTGGACGACGTTCTGGAGGCTACAGGGCAAAAGTCAGCGGCTGGTCACTCTGGTTATGCCAGACGCAGGGAGTCGAGGAGATTTGGGGACTGGGAGATGCTGTCTGAAATGAAAGAACGGAAGAAGCTCTCCGGCGAGATGCTGGCGACAAATAGAACCAGAGGCTCGAGGGGAATCGCCAGAGAAATCACGGACCATATGGAATCATTTGGCTCGGGACATGGTAGATCTCTCCCTGGGCGGCGTGAGAACTCCTGTGGGTCATCCAGGAGATCTCACCGCCTAGATAAGACCTGCGACTCGTCAACATTCAAGTCTTCAGTCAGCAAGGAGGCCCGGAAACGCCTGTCGGAGAGGTGGAAGACGACCCACGAGTTGCAGGATGCTGGAGCTCCTGGTAGATGCTCGAGCACCCTGGGTGAGATGCTTGCCCTGTCCGAGAGAGAGGTTCCGGAGATGCCTCTCAGATCGCTCTCCTGCCTGGAATACTCCTGCGACATGGTATCAAGGGAGGAGATCCTCGCCAGATGGGGCAGCCCATTGGGTATCACCAGTGGGAGGTCCCGCAGAGATGAATTCTCCTGCAGATCGCCATCCAAATTCATCCCCGAGTCAGCTTTGACGCATGGGAGGTCGAGTTCATATGATTTCACCAGTCACAGTGGCAGCAGCGCTTTGGTCAACGACGACACCAGTCTTGACTCCCTGAAATCCTCGGAGGGAAGCTTGTTCAGCCAGAGACTGAGCCCGCCTTGCAGAGCTGAAAAGAAGCGGCTCCTGAGGGAAAGCTACGGAGATCGCCATGATTTCCAGAGCACCCCTGATTTAGTTGACTTGCCTGAGGAGAAAACCATGGTCGCTGACCCTGATGCCAGCGCCGGATGCGATGCAAGTTACCCAGTTGACTTTGTGCCGGCTGTGTGCACCGAGCTCAAAGAGCTCCCTTGTGTGACCGACGATCTCATGCCAGCACATCCGTTTGACTCTACTCCGCCGAGAACTGAAGGTCGCCTGAAATCATACGTCACAGAGGTTTGACTTTATCGCCTCTCACGTTCTATGATAGATTTAGACTAATCTGATGCTGCTCTTTTTATTGCTCTCCTAATCGGATAATTGCTTATCTCAGGAAGTAGCATCATCTGATGAGTGCCGAACGGAGGGCCTTCCGCCTCTGCCCATCGCCAAGGGACAAGAATTCTCTTCAGCTCTTGAAGTAACCGAGCATCCCAGCCCCGTCTCTGTACTTGAGCCGCCTGATGAGAGCGAATCCAGCTTGGATCGCTTAGAAAGGGTCAAAGGGGATCTTCAAGGTCAGCTCCTGAAACCGTCGCCAATTATCCCAAAGAGATGGGGCTTCTGCTTCCATTTCTCACACTCCTCTCTCTCTCTCTCTCTCTCTCTCTCTCTCTCTCCCTCTCTCTCTCTACAGAATTCCGGCCACAGCATCAACTTCCGACGTCAGTGTCTGAAGATGCTGAAGCCGAAGGGATCCGACTGACGTTCGAGAATGAAGACAACATGGAGTTTTGCTACCTGCTCGACATTCTTATAGACTCTGGTTTATACAAGGCCGACGGGGACATGCTCTTCTGCGCGTGCTTCTCGCCGGAATCCCCCGTTGACCCGGACGTGTTCGAGAATCTGGAGAGCATCTACAACCAGGTGGCATGGCCAGGAATGGACCGGAAGCTGATCTTTGACCTCATAAACTCCATACTTGCAGAGATCCTGGCCTTCACCTGGGTCGGAGCTGGAAGACTCCGCCCCTCAGGCTGCCGCAAGCTCCTGATCGAAGAGGTCTGGGAGTCGTTGCTCAAGTCAACGGTCTACGATGCCTGTGCTTCTCAAGGGAAGGACGTTGAGGAGTTGACCTGGCGGGGCTGTGGAGCTGACTTTGATGGGGTGGGGAGGGAGATTGAGAGGATGCTGAATGACGATCTCCTGGAAGAACTGGCCACCGAGGTCAGCTCCATTTAGACAGACAACGAGCTGCCAAGAGGGCTATGGTTTCCGGGTTTCCAAATAAGAAGTCAGCCTGCAGGAGATGATCCCATTCCCAAAATTGTACAGGGCAGTCGATCCAATAAGGCAGCAGGGATTCCGGAATTAGAATAGAAAGATGGAGAGAATAAAAATCAGCACAACCAAGGACTGAACAGAGACTACAGCCCAATGCCAGGACCGCCAGCTGTATATTATCACCATTTGTTTCATCAACCATTGGGGGGGGGTTGACTCTCCCCCATGAAGCCTCACCCATCTCAGCTGCCGCCACCCACCGCCTGCCACCGCCAAGTTACCCTCCATTCCCCAGCTGATGGCGGCTCAAGAAGTGCTGCAGCAGGCTGATCTCTGGGCAGTGGCGCCACCCGCTGCTGCCTGGTCTGCCTTGTTCATCTTGATTGTCCGATCCTGCGGCGGCATAATCTGCAGGAGTTAGTTTTGATGATCTTTGATGGTTCTGCTGGTCAACTAATGGGGCAACCCACCTCAGGCTTGGCGTCGGTGTCGGCGAGCCTTTGCTTGATATCTCTGGCTATTGAAAAGAAGACATGCTCCACATTGAGATTCGTCTTGGCACTCTGGAGAAGATAATTTTCAGACAGATGACCCCCACAAAACCAGCAGCTTGGCCACAAATTTTTAACCAGATATAGCAATGGCACAACTCACAGTCTCGAAGAACTTGATGCCATATTCGTCAGCGAGGGCCTGTCCCCTTGAGGTCGGCACAGCCTGGAGAGGTGGGTCTCTCTTAGGGTTATATTGTAGGAGGTGTAAGAATCATCAGTTGCAAGGGTCAGAGCCCCTGGGGCTTACCCTCTTGCTTTCATCCATGTCCGCCTTGTTTCCCACCAGAATCTTGTTGACATTGTCCGAAGCATGCTGCTCAATGTTCTGGATCCAATTCCTTATATCTGCTCAATATTGGGAGATTGGGGACGATGGGTAGTGAGAGAGAGAGAGAGAGAGAGAGAGAGAGAGAAGGCGCATGCACAGGGAGTAGCAGAGGGACTTACTGTTGAATGATGACTCGTCGGTAACATCATAGACCAGCAAAATGCCCATTGCACCTCGATAATAAGCTGTGGAGAAGACACAGGATTCAGTGAAGAGAGAGAATACCACTGAGACGCCTTCCACGAAGAACTTTAAAAAAAAAAAGAGGAAAACATGAAAAAAAGACAAAATTAGCACAAGGATGGGTAAGAAGAGCACACCAGTGGTGATTGTTCTGAACCGTTCCTGGCCAGCGGTATCCCAAATCTGGAGCTTGATCCGCTTGCCATCTAACTCTATGGTCCTTATCTTAAAATCAATGCTGCAACGTATTGGTCTTAGAATCTATGCCCATATGGTCTTCAAAATGGCACATTAGAACTGCGAACTATATAAGATCATATTGTGGAGATACAAAAATTATCTGTACGCCGGTTGGAAGACAAACCCAATGGTAGTGATGAAACTGGTTGTGAAACTCCCATCAGAGAAGCGCAGAAGCAGACAACTTTTTCCGACACCTGCAACATAAAACTCATGAATAAATAAAGAAGCCTATAGTTACATACGTCTTAAACCATATGATTCCCATCTCTGATTCACATCCATGTTTCAGCTCACGTCTAGAGTGGTTGAGGGGTTGGCTAGTAATCACTGACCAATATGCTGCCACTGCTTCTTTCTAGCAACATGGTAATACAAAACAATGCTCACTCAGCATTCGTGGATTCGATTCGTTTACATGTCCTGCCGTGCATAGATATTTGCACAGCACAAAGATACCATGCAATCAGCACAAGAAATTCTTCACCACCTATTTGGTTGAAACATCATTTCTAGGAAATAAAAACTAAAAATTACGAAGAGAGGAAATCACAGATAATATAAAAAAGGGAGACTGAGATGTGACACAATCAGAAAGCGAAGGCAACCAGTAAGGATATTGTAGAGAGAAAATTGAGCTCAATTACACATAAATTTACTCCCTGATAATCATATCTCTATTTTCATCATTCAACAAAAGCTAAAAGAAGTATGGTATGCGCAAAATATACTCCACACGTGCTGCCAGTTTCCAATGAACACCGTTACCGTCACTAGCAGCTATAATTTGTTACTTTTTTATTTCAATGACGGAGATACCTTATTCTTTGTAGGAGGGGCCATTTTTGTCCTCTTGTTCTAGAATTCAAAACAAAGGTGGTATTCTTTGCAGAGCTCCCCAAACATACTAAACACCATTACACGTATACCATTCTTCTTTCCCCATTCTCTTCACCACGATCCCGCTGCTTTCTTGCCTAACTTCGTTACAATGACCTCACTTTGAAGAGATAGAAAACTAATGTGATTAAACGACATGCCTACTCAACTATTTGAAAACTAATCACCATTTAGCCAACCTGATTTTCTTAACACTTTTGACCCATCTTTCTGTGATAAATTAACGATCTCGTTTCACTCCTAACCAAGCTATCACAAGCAGGTTAAAGCCGTGCAACTGGCTCAGTGTTGCTGCAGTAAACCTGACCAATTGTCCCCAATAACAATTTCAATCCAGTCCAAACTGAAGAAGAATTAAATAGTTGCTTGGGTTACAGTCTACACTATCACCGTTCAAAATGTTTCAAGATATAGACGCCAGAACTATTCCCTAACTTGGAGCAAGAAGATAAATGGCTAATGCCAAATGTTTTTACCGTCTATTTCCTCACTTCTGTAGCCAAATCAAGATAAGCCACAGCTTATTATTAAATCTAGAAATTGGAAACGCGACAGGGTAAATCACTGAACCACATGTACATAACTGAAAGGTACAACCATTGGATAGAGGAGAAAATGTCAACTTCTCTCACTACTGAAAATACTCCATATCTATCTTTTTTTTCTTCTTCTGAAACAATATATATATATATATATATATATATAAATTTACTCCACAAGAAGCCAAACCTGTAAACATTGGTGATTATCATCAACAATTGATGGCCAAAAAAAAAAACTGAATGCATTTTTTAATGATAGTATAAAAGTGCTTGTTTCTCTCGGATAAGTGCCCAAAATGATTGAAAAGATGACAACCAAGGCTACCAGGCGACGATGTTGATTGAGACAAGCATCTGACAAGATTGCTTGCCTAGGCACCTGAACACCAGGCCTTCCGAAAACCCCAGTCATTTTAACAAATGGACGACCAGTCAGTATAGGCAATTCCTAGAGTAATATAAGAATATGCTAATGGTTCCAAGATCAAACAATTTTATAGTACAGCATCCGGCATATGTTAATTGGAAGCAAAAAGAAAATGAAACTAGAAGCTGTCGAAACTTAAAAGAGCTGAATTACTGTCACTCGGAATATGACCGTTGGATAGAGCACCCAACCTTTTGGATTGTCAACCATTCTCCACGGACAAAATGTTTGATGGTAACCATCCTTCAGGGAACTTAGGGTATGGTATATAAGCCTTAATTAGACATGACTCACGAACAAAATATAAACCTTGCCAATTATTAAATATCGTAAAATTATTAATGGTATTAAACATCGTAGAATGAGACCCGAGCCCGGGATTATTTTCACGCGTAATTGAATCATTAATAATCCTAGATACGACCATCATCACCACGGAAGCCAGGCATAAATTTTTGGAAAACCTAGTTTGCGAACAGATGAGTGAAGGTAAGCGCCCCTATCCCAAATGGGCACGTCATATCCTACTTAATCGGATGCCCCTCTCAAGAGTAAGCAGACGTAAGAGAATGTAAACGCAGAATCAGACGAGGGGATTCTAATCAAACCAAGCATATGAGAACGAAGACGATACGAGCCTCGAGTGGGGTAAATTCACGATCCCACCCGATCAACACCTCCAATAGTAACAACGACGCGCGAATAAGACCGACGAGTGAAAACCTCGGGATATCGATTTCGCACGGTGCCCACATAGACAGGCGGACGAGGAGCGAGCACGAAGAGCTCCATCTCCAAGAAACAATGCGCAATCAACACCGACAAACAAAAGTCCCCGCCAGGAATTGGGACCAAAGGCGAGCATAGACCGTGCATCACTCACCGCTGTCGCCGATGAGAAGGAGCTTTATGAGGTAGTCGTAGTCCGCCCGAGCCCTAGCAGGAGGAGCAGCCATCGACAGAGGGGAGAAGACAACTAGGCAGCGGAATGGAAGAAACGAGCCCCGACAGACTGCGAGCTTTGGTCTTCCCTTCACCTACTAAACGGAGTCACCGTCACCGTTAACTCCCAAAGTCTCCGCCGCCGCGTTCCATTCAGTGCCGTAGGTAGCGGTCTGCTCGGCCGCTGGAACATGACAAACGAACTAGCACCCTCTCGCTGGGTCAGCTCGACCCTTAATCCCGCCAGGAACATAGCCCCCGAATAGGCTTTCCTTATTCTGATCTGGCAGACACGGATTAGCTGGTGTCAACTACCGTGAACACCCAATGATTGGGTTCTGACCCCCCCCCGGCCCCACGGATTGTCAGGCCCATTGAGAATGACTCACCTCGGCCCACAACATTTGGAAGGAAAGCCCATAAGTATGATAAAGTAAGCCCATTAAATTGACGATTCGGCCCGTTGTGGATAATAAAGCGCCCGATAACGGTGCTATATTCAGCCCATTAATGGACTTGATCGGCTTTATATTGGACTGCAGTCCAGTGGTCGCTGGAATGATAAGAGGAGGATAAATGGACGTGATAAAGCAGCCAATCTGGCATATTGGGCCGATAGATAGGTCAGCTGCTGTCGGTCATTCCAGACTGATGTCCAGCCCACTAACACGGGTATTTTTTCCGAAAAATAAATAAAAATAGGACGGGAATAGAAAACAGGCCCATTAAAGTCATATTGGGCTTTTCGTAGGTAGTTGACGCCCATGTATTGAATTGACCATTTAAAGCAGGCCCATTAAAATATGGGCCGGCCCAAAGTAAGCTGTTAATATAAAAACAAATAATAAAAAGAGGGGAAAAGGGAAAGGAAAAAAGGAGGGGCCGGCGGCGGAAAGGTAGCATATACTGGGAAGATGCTCCCCACTCTCCGCATACAGAGTGGCGCGGCGATCGCAGCCTTCAAAATTTTTGAAGTGCCTCTCTCGGAGTGCGCCGGCGTCCTCTTCGAGAGGGGGAGGGCAGCTCCGCTGGCTCCTCCGGCGATGGAATAAGCAGGCGGAGCCGCCGACGGTTCCGGCGTCGACGGAGAAGATGGAGATGCGCCGCTGGCGATCCGGCCGTCCGAGGGCAACTTAAGATCTTTGGCAAGTTTGTACGCGTCGATTTTGTTATCTCTCGCTATCTCACTTGTTCTTGCGAGATCCGGATCCAGGGTGGCCGTGATCGAGGAAGATCTGTACCTTATTTTTTGCTCCCGTTCACGCGATTTGGTTGAATTCTGTGTGCATCGTTCTCCGTGATATCGAAATTTTGCTCGTCCGTTCACAAATTCGGATCTACATTCGAGAAATCAGGGAAGATCTGAAGGTAGCCTCCAATGTGGAATGATAATCGAGTGGCTGAAGAAGGGATGGGGAAGTGGAGATCCATTTTACATCAGCTAGATGTGAAGATCGATGCTCTAGAGCCACGGAGAACAGTCTCGAGAGTCCGGCAAATGTATGGGGAAAAGGAGAGGTCTCCTCTCTTCTTCCCTGCATGGTGAGTGCAGGAATCTCTCCCCTTCATCCTAGCAGCTTCCCAAACTGGAAAACATTTTCCGTTCTACAATCTGCAGTCCGATCCCACTTGCCTTCGATCATTTTTTTTCCGAATTCTACTAACACTGAGCTATCTCAAGACCGAAGATGACTTCAATCATTTCCACCGCCTTCTCTCAATCATTTATGGCAAATGAGACACCTCTTATCATTCCCCCAGATATCTCAAGACTGAGCTATCTCAAGACCGAAGCTGGTCAATCCTTTCTCCTGGCTTCTTCGTTGGTCATTGCGCAGAAGTTGTCGGCGCGATCTGACCAGGAAGACTTTCTTTTTTTATATCTAAACTTAGCATTCAACTCCGATCTTAAATTGATATGAAACTGAGCATTTACTATGAGCTGATTGCTCATCGTAAAACTGATATTAAATTTACCCAATATAAATGGAATTTTTCGTTTCAATATTATACGTGAAAAATCATTATAGCTAAGGTGACTTAATATTCGAAAATGAGAAGTGTGAGAATTAGGAAGAGAAGATATTATCCGATTTAAGAATTATGATTATACCTCGTAGATTAAAATCATATGATCATGTTCAAGCAAACCCAACATGATAAAATCGAACGATATAGATCATGTGATTCCAAATCGCCCACATACATTATAAAGTAAAATTATGTGTTTTAAACCTTGAAGTAGCCAAACTCTATAGATAAAAACGGTAATAAGATTGAAAAGAATTGACCTGCTTGCCGAATATGAAGGGAGGTAAGCCGGTCAAAAATTCAAACTCAAGACATCTCATTTGTTAGTCAATTGTCAACCCATGTAATGGTCAACGTGGCTATTTGATATAGGACAAAATAACCACAAGTTCCAAACAAGGTAAGTAGGGCATTTACGTCAAATCACCCTATTTGATAGAATGAGAAAGTTCGCATTGAGACTGGAGAGTGGGGGTGGTATGTCAAGTGTATGCACCGTCTCATTAATCTTAATCATGCTCCTGATTCAAATATGATCATATTATTTTGGGGTTTTCTAGTTCTATCTTCCCACAAACTATGCTAATAATTGATAAACACGTGTATTTGTCTCCGTACTCATATCTCCCTAAAACCCCTTGTCAACTTTATTTATAGGCTCTAGGGTAACTAGGTGTTATACTCATTTAATATTTTTTAATCTTCCACTAATATCATCAAAAAAGTTTTAAAGCAAAGAATGCCCTCTTATTAATAAAGGGAAGTTACATAATTATAATTAAATCATTTTCCTAATGACTATATGATTAGAAAATCAATAGCATGATATGTGCTGATAAAATATTTGATTCATTAGTGATTGTAATGAAATCATGCTATTTATAATTTTAAAAGCATATTTTACTGACAAAAATTTCTTGCTTTTTTTGGTTCCATACATAATTATTAAATGATGTATATAACACCCTAATTTCAACCAATTAAATGATGGAATGACAATACAATTACCCATTAAATGATGCAATTATTTAATAAGTAAGAAGATATCAAGATACGTTAAAAAACATATATACTTATAGATTACAACTTATACATATAAAATGAATGATGATGCATGACTCCAACGCATCATAGACATACTTAAAACCAAAAATAAAGTCACAAAAAGTTAACTCCAAATGTGTTGAAACCCTCAATTGCCACTGGGTCTAAAATTGTTGGCTCTTGTAGTAAGATAAATGCCCAAATATAGACACAAGGAAATAAAACAAAGAAGTGCTTTTTTTACCATTTACAGGGACGAACTGCTTCTTGCATGCTCACCTCTTATGGTCAATGAAGTGTTTGATCTCTCACTAGAAAAAATGTGAGTGACGATCTTAAGGAGAAACGCTGAAATCAACAAGTTATGATATTCCTAGCATTAAATTAGAACAATGCTACCCATGCATCAAATTGTCAATGAACGAAATAAATAATAATGTTGGGGGCCTATGCATTAATTATTAATATTGTTGTCTGCTCACATAGTCAATATGTCAACACTTTCATAGGCAATGGTATCTCGTCTAACAATGCATTTCATTTAGTATAACATTTTTTGTCACCACTGCATTTCACCATTACCCAATCTAGTAATTATCTAATCGGTAGGATATCGTTTTGACTTTTTGCACAATTTTAATGCACAAATAGGAACAACTTTCCCTTTCAATGTCGTTAATTGCCATCATGTTTCATAAAAAAACGCCATTAGTTTTTCCTAAATAACGTCATCCACATATTGAATATCAACAATCTGGAATTGGTATGTTGTTCATGTTCAAGTCCTCTTACAATGACCACAATAGAGAAAATAATTGCCTAACTTACTAGTTTTATCTTTCCAAGTGTGCACATCATATCATGGTGCCCCAATATTGTTGATAATTATAAGTAAATAATCAAAGTGATGTGGTGTCAATACCAACTTGTTGAACTACTAACATCGTATTTACTTGTAGATATGATTTTCTAATGCCTCACTCTGTGATGATACTCTTTTTTTTTTTTACAAATGTCTATAAAGAACACATTTTTTCCATTCATGTTGTGGGCTGATTTTATTGTCGCTAAAAGATGTGTATAGATGTTACCCAAAAATGCATTTTTTTTTTCTCTCTGTTCTTACTTTGGGGAATTTATCTCTTTTCATGCTTTTCACTTAATCCAAGCAAATACCCCGATGACGCACGTAATCGCCGGTGTAGAAAGGAGTTTTCTCCACAGAGAAAGCACCCTCGGAAGGCTGCGCTGAGGTTCTTGGCCACTTCAGCCGCGGTGCAGCCGTGTTTCTTACCATCTCCGAGAATCTTGGTCACCCGAACACCGGTGAAGGATGAGAGCTATATGCTTGAGTCAGGGCCTCCTGTGGACTGGTCCCTCGGATGATCGCCGGCCAGGGAAGGTGCGACCCCTCCCGCAGTTCGTCTTGTTCGATCATCCCCCTTCCCCTTCAGCATTCTCTCTTCCGTTGCTTACCTGGTTTATTACTTCCGTTTTCCAGCTGTGGAGTTCGTTTCAGTGCTCGCGGCGGCATCAGCGACACCTGAAGTTTTTCTCAGCTGTTTCTCTTGACGCGGGCACGATTTCTGCCAGCCACATTCCTGCAGCTCCCATTCTTCTCCCGGAGGGGCCCTGGAAGCAGGTTCGATCCCTCCCAATAAAAACGGCAAAGCAAATAGATTAGTTAGCAGCTTAAGAAAGTTGGGCTTTTGTGGCTTATACTAGACACTGCGTCAAACTTGTTGCTCATCTCTTCTCCAATTCCTCTCGCGTAGCTTCCGGGAGGCGTGACAGCTGCGAAAGGATTTAAAGCGGCAGGCATCTACGGTGGTCTCCGCGCAAAAGGGGAAAAGCCTGACCTTGCTCTCGTCACATGTGATGTTGATGCCGCCGCCGCCGGTCAGATTCTTGTGTTTTCGTACATACACATCTTGAAATTTCACGGTAGAATTGAGAAGAAGAAAAAGAATATTACAGAACATGTATCTCTATTCATATTTTTCTATTGTTTTCGATCTACTTTTCATCATAAGCTTTAGATTATATTAAATGAAAACCCTATTGAAAATCATACTAGAATCTGATTATTTATTTACTTATCACTAATAGTCATACCCATCCTAATCCTATAACAGAAGTCCCTTCTTGCTGCATGCAATCGCATAGCCTTATTCATCAATATGTGTTTTTTTAATGGATTCTGAATGAATATATTGACCTTAATCCCTCGATCATGTCCTTGCATTTTTCTTTGTGTTCTTCAATGCGAGCATGGTTAGCTACACGTGATGAAAGTATTCGATGATGATGTTGCATGCTTTCAGGAGCATTCACTACAAATATTGTTGCTGCTGCACCTGTAATCTATTGCAAGCGCATTCTAGACACTTCAGAGACAGTATGTAGATTTTATTTATTATGCACCAATTGTGTCTGCGGTTTGTCATATGCGTTTCAAATGATGTATAATTGAATCACTCTTTATCATTCTCTTATTTTTTTTCGAATTAAAGGCTTGAATATAGGATCAAGCATTCTTTGTCATTTTTTTTCTCGCCATAAATGGATTTGTGGGCTTCAACACTCTCAGGGACGTGCAGTGCTAATCAATGCTGGGCAAGCAAATGCTGCTACTGTAAGTTTTTTATATATATATATATATATATTGTGCATCTGTCCTTAACTTATTTAGCATGATCTGTTATTATTCTTGGTCGCACACTGAAAATGTATTGATTTCTATGCCACGTTTAATTTATTTTTTGAAGAAAAAATACAGCCTTTTGTGAACCCTCTTTTCTATCTTTTTTCACACACAAGTAAAGATACAGATATATCTGCACCCGAACAAACCTGAGAAAAGCATGGTTAAGGTAAATGAGATATTCTACGTCATTATTGAAGAGAAGATAGGGGCTGCATATATGTTGATGATATTTATTTATTATTTATTTATTGTGTGTGTGTATGTGTGTGTGTGTGGGTGGGTGGGTGGGTGGGTGTCGGTAGGTATGGGTGTGTATTTGGGAGGGGGGGTGCGGCTGGTAGTGATTATTCTCGTCTGTTCTATGATAATCTATTTATAGTTTTCTCAATATTTATTTTGATTAGGTGACTAATTACTGGTGCATAAGGCATGAAGCTACGATATCTACACCATTTCTTTCCTTTAGTGGTCGCTCATGGCCTGTTGAGCTCGTTATAGGTCTTCATATTCGGTCTAACTTTAGTAACCTTACACCAAAAAAGTTCATATGCACTAACTTCTTGCTTTATTTTTAAGAATTTATACACTGTAAAAATAGGAAATAATTTCTAAAGTTTCTGTTCAATGCAGGGCGACGCTGGTTACCAAGATGTCATAGAATGCTCAAATACTGTAGCTGAGGTCTCTTTGACTTTAGAAATTTTGACATCCTATTTTCCTGTATATAACAAAAAAATTCATCATACGCTATGGTTGTGATTATTCCTTTCCTGCTTGTGCAGCTCCTCCAAATCGGGCAAGAATCTGTGCTGGTGGAATCCACTGGTGTTATTGGTCAAAGAATAAAGAAGGTAACGGTTGTACAAAGAAATACTGAAATGTTCCTTCGTCTTATCTATGTATCTCTCCCTTCCAGTCTGTCCTCCCCGTGGAAACTGGACGATGATACTTGTTCGATGGAGTTTAGGGCTTCTGCTGCAGCCTTTCGTCTTTCTACCATCTCAGTTGGGTCTAGTTCTTCTTGTTGACCTCACATAATGCAAGTTCTCTTTTGCCATTTGTTTTTGCAGGAGGCCCTTCTTTCTTCACTTCCAACGCTGATTGCCTCATTAACATCATCTACAGAAGGGTATCTATGTGACTGCTGTTAATCGAGCTAGTTCTGCTAAAATTTATGGATTGGTTTACTTTTGGGTATTTTAATGTCCAGCATTTTCCATGTCTGGAAAAAAAAAATTCAATCTTTGTCTGGTTGTATGCGCCTGCAGAGCAGATTCTGCTGCTGTAGCGATCACAACGACTGATCTTGTCAGCAAGAGTGTAGCTGTTGAGACAAAGGTTTACAATTATCCACTTATCACTATTACTAAGAACGTGCTGAATTAATAATTATTCTGTTCTTCTCATAGCCTTGTTTTCGGTCACTCCTAGCAGTTCATTTCATCTATGATCATTGGTTCTGTGGACTGAGCAGGTCGGCAGTTCACTCATCAGAGTTGGGGGGATGGCGAAAGGTTCTGGGATGATTCACCCAAATATGGCGACTATGCTTGGTGTATGCCATTGTTTCATCTCTCCCCACCCCTCCTTCAGTAATGGTGTTCCAGTTTTCTCACATCGCTGAAGATACTGTAGGTGATAACAACTGATGCTTCGGTTGCAACAAGTGTCTGGAGAGAAATGGTGCGGAAATCTGTGGACAGAAGCTTTAACCAAATAACGGTAACATTCTTTTCAGCAAATCTACTCTCTGTTGTTTTTCTATTGTCCTGTTGCAGAAATGATCAAGGGACTTTCGTGTGAATTTTACTAAATACTCCTTAAGAAACTTATTTTTTGTGCACAATCCAATCTGAATGCGGCAGGAGAAGCATAGTCCATATAGCAGCTCAATCTTTGCAAGAAATGGGCTTTCTTGATTTTTGTACAAATCTTTCAGGTAGATGGAGACACGAGTACCAATGACACTGTTATTGCACTCGCCAGTGGGTTATCTGGGTCGACCAAGATTTCCTCCCTCGAGGGTTCTGATGCTGCGCAGCTTCAAGCATGCCTTGATGCTGTATGCTCAGTTCTTAACGGCACACTTCAGTTTTTCTTATCTTTTTATTTTTTGCGTGAAAAGGGTTCCATTCATAGCATTTATTGCTTTCCAGGTAATGCAGGGCCTTGCAAAATCTATAGCATGGGATGGTGAAGGCGCAACATGCTTGATTGAGGTATTATCATCCTTGACCATGGTACATAAACATATATATATATATATATATTATGTATGTATAAATATAAATATACATGGGATTATGATTTCTTTCAGAAAAAAAAAACAATTTCATAATTATTTGCCGAAGTTGTTCTTCATTCTCAGGTCAGTGTTTCTGGAGCGAAAGATGAGACAGAAGCAGCAAAGATTGCGCGTTCAGTTGCAGCCTCATCGCTCGTCAAGGTATCAATCCAGAGGGCATCATGGACCCTAGCCTGCATAAAATGGGAAGTTTATTAGTCTGAGAAAATGGAAATTTCAATGATCTTGTAGAATCCTAAGCTTTCCATATCCTCCCTTAGGCTGCTGTTTATGGAAGGGATCCGAATTGGGGGCGCATTGCCTCTGCTGTCGGCTATGCTGGCATTCAGTTTGACCTGAAAGACCTTTGCATCTCTCTTGGGAATATCGAGCTCATGAACAGTGGTCAACCTCTTCCATTCGACAGGTAACATCTGAAAAGCTCCAGCATCAGGCAGAAGCCCACTGTAAGGCTTTGCTCTGATTGGTATAGAAAGAAATTCACATATTATATATAAATATTTATTTTTGAAATATTTTAGAATAACTTTTATTGATGTCATATTTTTCCCCCATGGCAGAGACAGTGCAAGCTCTTACCTCAGGCATGCAGGAGAGATCCATGGGACTGTTGAAATCCGTGTTTCTGTGGGTAAGCCCGGCTGTACTCTACTCTATGAGGATTGAAGGGATTGAAGGGGGTGGGGCCCGTTTTCAGCTTCTCCGGGCTTTTATTTATTTATTTATTTGTTCCACTTAAGCCCGAAAAAAAACCTTCCCACAATGGAGAATGATCACCTTCCTGGTCTGGTTCCACAGGGCATGGAGAAGGAAGCGGCAGGGCCTGGGGCTGCGATCTGAGCTACGACTATGTCAAGATTAACGCCGAGTACACCACGTGAGCTTTGACCGTTGACCCAGGGTGAGAGGTCAAAAAGCACACGCATGCAGGTGGACCCAGTCTCATGAGCTTTACCTTATTATTTCCTCACGTCTACTGTCGTAGAAGCATTGATCTTCTAGATGGGCCGGGCTGTGATGATGCGGATGCTGGCATCTGACGTGTTCTAACTGGGAAAACCCAAGCAGAAATGGCTAGGCGCTTAGGAATGTTAATGAGCCGGGCTCCTGATGGGCTTTGGGCCCGGCTCAGCCTCTTGACTTCATGAAATGTCGTCTTCCTTGGCTCATCAAAGGTTCTATTTTTAGTTAAATGAGTTTCTTTTTATAATTTCTTATTTATATTATATTATTATACCATTTTTGGTAAATAAATAAACAAAAGAAATTCCGCAGGGGAAGTCGGTCTGTTTTTGTGGATTGGATGATGATAATAGCAATTTGCCATTTTATGTAGAGGTTGACATCTCCCCTAATATGTTATAAAATATGTTTTCTAGTACCACACGGGGAAGGTATATACGTAAATACGAATTAAGAAGGGATGAAATCACAATTGTTACTCGAGAAGAGTCATTTTTAATGAAGGAGAGAGATTTTTGCGCGTACAGCTAGGTGTCTGGTCTCTACTGGTGGACGGGCCTTTGGGCGGCGTGTGGAAGAGCTTGCGTGCTCCGCAGGAACACCGTAAACCACTTGCCCATCGATAAAAGCAGGTGGAATTTGTACGGAGGCAGACCGATTGGGGGAAATTATTTGGTATTTATGTGATTATGATGAGGATAGAGGGTATTCTAGGTATCAGAGGGGAAAGGAAAATCGGTACGTTGAGCCGCCGGGCTATCGATAAAAAGGTAGCCTTATGACGTGGCATGGAATTATTGGAGGGAGATCCTTTTTCTGGCCGCAAACAAGAGGTATCATGATATTTCGACGCACTACCTAAAGTCCAGGTGGGGGAGTCTTTATGTAGTTGTCTCCCCTTCTTCTTTAGCGGTAGATGCTCTTCGCAGGCCTCTGATTTCGGAGGCCGTCCGCTACTTTCCGAACCCTATTTTCTGCTCGAAAATCTGCACCAATCTCGTCTCATAGGCCGTCAATCCCGCTGGGCGGTCCGTCTTCCGATCCGATCGAGCTACGCCGGAAAAAATGGTAACGCCTCTTACCCTTTTTCTCCCCGCCGTCCGAGATTCTTGACGTAGGGCTTGTATTTCCGGAATTGTCTCCGGGCTTTACTGATGATCGCTCTACCCTCCGAGTTTGCTCATGCGTGGTGTTTTATGGGGGTTGCGTGATCGGAACAAGCTCCTCCTCCCAACAGATTGATTAGATCCCTCTCGTGATTATTTTCACCCGCGATCTAGGCTTTGATTTTTCGGCCTTTTTGTGTTTCTATGTAGTGCTCGTGCATCCCATTGTCTGCCCGTATTTTCGATATTCATGGAGGGGTCTTTTTGTGTGCCTTTAACTATTTCTGCCGGAATTATTTGACACAACTTGCAGGTTGTATCTGTTGGTGCCCATTAGATCCTAGAGGTTGGGGATCGATTGGGTCGATTCTTTTTTTGGCACATGGAGTCTGTTTTTTCCGTGAACTTTAACCATCCCTGATTGATGCGGTGGACGAATTGTGCATGTCACATTTTTGTCTGTGGTCAAAGAATTGTGATGATTTGGATTACCGTTGCCTGATTTTTTTTCTTTTCGTAATCGTTTAGCTTTTTTTGTCGTGTTGATAATTTTGTTGGATTGAGAAGAGAAAGTCATTTTCATATAATCCATTTCGTCGGATAGGTTTTTTTCTTTTTCTCTGTTTTTGAATTTCTTTGGCAAATTGCCTCACCCCGTCAAAAACAACAATGAATGAAACGGGTGTCTCAAATCTTTAGTTTTCTTTATATCGTGCGATCATTGTTCTTTCCTTATATTTTTCGCTAATGGATTTCTCAAACAACCGTGTAGATATGATCTCCGATCCTCCGTACATTCATGTGTCTCACTTTACAGGCCAATGCAGCGTCTGGTATGGCTGTGAATGATGACTGCAAGCTGAAGTTTTTAGAACTGAAGGCCAAGAGAACCCACCGCTTCATAGTTTACAAAATTGACGAGAAACTGAAACAGGTTATAGTGGAGAAAGTTGGGGAGCCCGCTCTTACTTACGAGGACTTTGCTGCAAGTCTTCCTGAAAATGAATGCAGATATGCCATTTATGATTTCGATTTTGTGACTGAAGAGAACTGCCAGAAGAGTAAAATATTCTTCATTGCATGGTAATATTCCCATGGCCCGATTTAGTTGATTTTTTTGTATCTTCTTCTCCTTATTAATCACTGTTTTTCTCCCCATCCTTTACCCCTTTTGATAAAGGTCTCCTGATACTGCTAGAGTGAGAAGTAAGATGTTGTATGCAAGTTCAAAGGACAGATTCAGGAGGGAGCTAGATGGCATTCAAGTGGAGTTGCAAGCTACTGATCCAACAGAGATGGGGCTTGATGTCATCAGAGGCCGGGCCAATTAAGTGTGCACATCAGCATGCATTGCAGATTTACTGCTTCTTTACTTGTCGCGGGCTGGCTCTTTAAGTGGTGTTTATATTTTCCGTGGAGGGTGGGTTGGTGGCTACATATGCTATGGGAGTGTTCTTCAGAACGTTATTCAATGAAATCCTTGTCTTCCTTCAAAAAATTGGTGATCTTGGATATATTATATGATTTGTTTTTTTGTGGACCTACGTGACGACAAGTGTCTACAAGCTTAACCCAATGCAGAATCTTTTGGGTACTCTCAGCCGACATTACTAGCCTGATGATTATCTTGATTCCGGATCCTGGAAAGTGTCCCTGATGATTATATAATCCTCGTTGGATGAAAATCCATTTTCCCATTTTAAAGCTTCATGATTCGTGTGAACTATATATATAGGATCCACACTGCTGTTCATGTCGTGTTCATGTGGAGTTCTTCTCCAATGTTCTTGATTTGAAATGGGTCAGCAACCCGGAGAAAAAAGTTGCTCTGTTTTTGGTCACTCGGGTTCTGATTCCAACTCATGAATCGGAACCCACCCTTGAAGGGGGGGCTTCTTCTGTGTTCTTGATTAGGATTGGGTCAGTGACCCCAGCGATAGTTTGCTCTGTTCTTGGCGGATAATGCTGAATTGGTCTTGGATCTTCTTCACTGTGGCATTGAAGGTCACAGCCTCGAGGGTGTATCGAAGACAGTGCAAGAGAACTCTGCTGCTTATATATATGCTGTATATCGTGTTTTTCTTGCAAGAGAAGTTATATTTTTCTTGCATTGAAGGTGACATGAATTTTGATATTGCTAAGTATTTACCTGATGAGAGTTTCGATGAGTCAGCTCGGTCTCGGGTCCCTTGCCTAACCCGGTCTGCAAGTGCCCGGCTTTAATGGGGTTTGACTTTACTTGGAGAGCGGGCTTTTATATATATATATATATATATATAGAGAGAGAGAGAGAGAGAGAGAGAGAGAGAGAGAGAGAGAGAGAGATCATTGGGCCGGGCCAGATGGGCTTCGCAGCTTTTGGGAAAAATTATCTTTTTTAATATCTCCTTAAATAAGCGGACATTCACCTGATCCACGAGGCGCATTCGCGTGGTGGTGGAAGACGCGCGATAATCCGCCGAAAGGTAAAAGAGCCAATAGCACTGGAATACGTTGCATGATATGGTCCGTCGATCTGGGACAGTTCCAACGGGTTAGATATCGCCAGCTCAGCCATCCGCGTGGGTGAGCCTAACCCAGTGCACTCACTCTCACATTTCCGATATAAGAGAAATCGTGGCGTGTTCCTCTGCGGAAGGTAGGTGGTGTCTCTGAACTGCTGTAGCTTCAGTCGGTCGGTTCCACGATGGCGCCCAAGGCAGAGAAGAAGCCCGCGGAGAAGAAGCCGGCGGCCGAGAAGCCGGCGGAGGAGAAGAAGGCGGTGGCGGAGAAGGCTCCGGCGGAGAAGAAGCCCAAGGCGGAGAAGAAGCTCCCCGCCAAGGATACATCTGCCTCCGGCGAGAAGAAGAAGAAGAAGAAGATCAAGAAGGGAAGCGAAACTTACAAGATCTACATCTTCAAGGTCCTCAAGCAGGTCCACCCCGACATCGGCATCTCCAGCAAGGCCATGGGGATCATGAACAGCTTCATCAACGACATCTTCGAGAAGCTCGCCCAGGAGGCCTCCCGTCTCGCCCGGTACAATAAGAAGCCCACCATCACCTCCCGGGAGATCCAGACGTCTGTCAGGCTTGTCCTCCCCGGTGAGCTCGCTAAGCACGCCGTCTCCGAGGGCACCAAGGCCGTCACCAAGTTCACGAGCTCTTGAATCCTGCGCTAATACTGTGTAGTATAAGCAATCGGCGTCCTGGATTTGTCAGGAAATTCGTCAGTGTAAATCGGGTCCATAGCTCAGTGGTAGAGCATTTGACTGCAGATCAAGAGGTCACCGGTTCGAACCCGGTTGGGCCCTCCCCTCCCTAAAACTCGCTTTTTGAAATGAATCTCAACGAGCTCCATCTCCATTTTTCTAATTTACTAGAAATGTACGGATAATATTTCAGTTTTCGCGCTAAGAAGTATGTTAACTAATTGTTCGAATTTCGAGGTTAGTCAGTTATTAGTAATATCATTTGCAGTAATAATATCATTCCCCACCAGGGTAGATATTAGTAGGTGGAGGCGGTGAGTTCTTTGAACCTCTGTATTCCTCACTGGCTCCCTCCCCGTCGAGGTCTGAGCCTCAGAAGTGGCTGTTGACCTTCTCTGCCTGCCCTGCCCCCTTCGTCGGTCCCGATCGCTTCTGAAACCCTAGGAGGCGACGGCTCTGGTCTTCCCCCCGCGTAAGCCTCCCTCTTCTTTCCACTGACATGTCGAGCGCGTTGGATACGTCCCTGGACGAGCTGATTAAGAAGAGCAAGAAGTCTGGGAGCGGAAATTTGCGACGGCAGGGCGGGCGTGGATCCGGCTCTGGACCCACTCGCCGGGTGTCCAATCGATCGGGGAGCCGGGCAGTTCCTTATTCTGTCGGAAAGGTGAACCTAGGGCTTCTTTTTCTGGATCTCGAACAGATTGAGCGGGTTCGGAGATCTAGGTTTTTCCTTTGACGTATCACGGAAACATAGTTTATGTAGATCTGAAAGGATTTCCCCCCTCCTCCTATCGTGGCTTCTTTGAACAGCCTCCTCAAGCTCCCGATACAGTATGGCAGCACGATATGTATTCCGATCCGGCGGCATCATATCCAGGGCCATGTGTGGCTAGGGCTTCTGCCATAGAGACCGGGACAAAACTCTACATCTCCAATCTGGATTACGCCGTATCGAACGACGACATCAAGGTCACTCCCGCCCCTATTTCTCCTGTTCCGTCATTCATGAAACTAAGCTCCAATCGTTGGCCTTTTTGTTCTTCCAGAATTACCCCCCTTGTATTTTCCCGTATATTTAATGCGCACATTTGTGTACAAGCACAATTCTTTGCACCTGCCTGCGGTGGGTTTTATTTTACTGGTTAACATTGTATCCATGTTCATTTTAATTGAGCTGTGTAGTTTGAACCAAGTGAAGAGCTTTTAATATCTCCACGAATCTGAAATATTTTTGGCTTTGGCTGAGCTGCTGACTTGAAGCTAATTTCTTGTGGTACAAAATTTTAATTCACATAGATATTTCCTGTAAACGAAATCTTAAAATAATGTCCTGATTTTTTTAATTTTTTTCTATTATGCATGCTCTGTTTTTAATCTGAACCAATTTCTATGTAGAAAGAATATGATGCTCTGTTAAATTCCTGCTCTTCTGTGCAACGTTTTTTGGGTTTTTAGTTTCTAATCGAATACTTATTTAATAGAAACTTATTCCAACTCGCTGCGCTGATTGTCTCTGATGATACATCTTTGCCAAGGGGAACTATTGCCTCCCTCTGATGCTTGATTTACTTTTCTCGTCCCTTTTTTATGGCTCTATTGCCTCCGCCTGCCTGTGGAAGCTTAATTAGTTGTCATCGATATTGTTATATCCTATTCGCAAATGACTTCTTACTCAGTCGAACTCATGCAATCCAAATAAGTTTAGCTGGAGAAATTTTCTGATGTTATTTTGTTATTCCTTCCTTTTTATCTTGGATCTCTGTTTGCAGATGGAAAGGGACATTTCTAAACAATGTTTAGCTTGCCTTTAGAGTAGTAGGAAAATAGTGCACATAGCAAACAATGTTGTTCTTTCGATGGTTGTACATGATTTATTATTATTATTTCCTGTGATTAGTAGTTGCTACCTTTCATTTATTTCATATTTACGATTGTGCACTAGCAGTGTCTTTCGTCCCCATGCGGTGGAAATATGAATTTCCCTGCATACCTATCAATCTCGTAAATGGTTTTGAAGTCTGCCACTATATTCTTATCTTCTTAATAAAGCTTTAGCGTCATATATGGAAGTGAAACTATTTACAGGGGCATCGTAGTACAGCTCAGAAAAAAACTCATCATGGCGGTGTTCACTGATGTGAAATTGTTTTACTGTTGACATCTATTCAGGAGCTCTTCTCAGAAGTTGGAGATCTGAAGCGATTCTCAGTTCACTATGATCGGAGTGGAAGATCAAAGGTATAGCTGAATGGACCATAGAGTGGTTATTTAGTGTCAAATATTTTTCGCATGTAACGTAGGTTTAGCTCAAGAGGGTAAGTTTTACAGGGAACTGCTGAAGTTGTATTCTCAAGGCGGGCAGATGCTGCAGCTGCCGTAGCTAGATACAACAATGTTCAACTCGATGGGAAGCCTATGAAAATAGAGATTGTTGGAACAAATATTGCGACACCTGCTGCTCCAGCTCCTCAAATTACCACTGGCTTGTTCCGAAATCCTAATGGTATTTCTAAAAGGTTCGTTCTATGGAGTACAGTTTTAAATGTTCATGCTACAGGAACGGAGTTTCTATAGTTTAGTTGCGTTTGAAGAGGCTTTGGTTGCCTTCCTATGTTTCTGTACGATGTAATACAAAGCTTCATGCTAAACCAAAAAGGCTGGTCTTGTTTGAAAGATTTAAAACGATTTATATGTCCTCACGTCATAAGCGGCATGCCTTAATTTTTAAGCTAATATCTTATTGAGCATAGCAATACCACTTGGGTGCGTAGATACGTGTCTTCGTGGTTATTTAATATTTTGTGATTGGTGGCCTCGTGTGAGATTCTCCACATGGTAAAATGTTTCCTTCATTGGGGTCTTTATGTGCTTTATATTGTTCTTGTGTGGGAATGGGGTCTTCTTGCTATAAACATGTAAGACCGTGGACGATTCTCCTGAGCTATGGACAGTTCCGTATTTGCTGATTTGTTTCACTCTTTGCTGGGTGTTGGGATTCTTGTGCGATCATCTTGCACCTTTTATTTTTTGTTCCAAAAAAAAAAAAAGAAAAAATGAAGAAGAAGAAACACAACTTACATATGAGACGCGCAAAGTGGGTAAAGCGAAGGGAAATAGTGTAGTTTTGCACTTTCATATGTGCTAGAATACTTAATTTTGACTTCGTTGTGATCAAAAGGACCATGGTGGGGCTTGTCTCTTTGCACTATTTCATTTTGCATCATGTGATACTCTGTTTGGAGTTTTCTGATTTCCACAATAATTTTGGAACAGTGGGCCAGCAAGGGATAGTTCCGTTGGGATATCTCGTCGTGGTGGTGGTGGCCGTAGGCGTGGTAGAGCTCGCAAACAGCCAGGGAAAGAGCGGAATGAGGAGATATCACCTGCAGACCTTGATGCTGATTTGGAGAAGTATCATTCAGAAGCAATGCAGATCAACTGAAGGCTTATGAAAAAACTTTGGCGTTATAAATGTATCGTGCCCATGCAGTCTTTCGCTTGACATTTCCGAATGCTAGTGTATTTCATCTATCTTGGCACTGTAGAGAAGGCTCTGCTATTCTATTTTGGGATTCGGGTTCGTCTGTAGCCACTTTTTTAAATTTTCAACTTGCTACTTCCATCAAACTGGACGGCAGCAGATGTCATGTGACCACGACTTCATTTCGTTCGGCTCATTTCTCACTTTGCTTGCTGTGGAGATGTGCCTTCATCACTCCTTCCTCAGCAACAGATTTCCCACTGCGCAAAGTATTCCGGTCAATTTTTTCTCCACCCTGGAGTGTCCGGAGTGTCTGAGTTTCTATTGCTTGAGAGCTGAAGCAGCAACTATGGTAGGTTCTAGTCTTTTTTCTTCAGTTTTCATTCTTTCTTTACATTATTCAGCATGATAATGCTATTTATTTAATGTCTAGCCGAGTCGTTCAACATGCTAGTAAAGATACATGCTTTCTTGTCTGATCATGATCAGGTTGCTTGCACAAGCTCTTCCCATTGGGAAACTATGGCAATATGTGTCCCTCATCCGATTGTCCACTTTGAAGCCATCAGTTATTATTTCCATGGTACGATCAAGTTCTTGGTTTCCAAATGCTATCTGCTTTTGTATCATTTTGTGTTTCTGGTGCAGATGGGTGTGTTGGGTCTTGAGTGAATCTTGTTTATTTCGTATTTTCTTGGCACCTGGAGCAATGAACTGCAGATGATCCACCAGAATTATTGCTCAAAGCATTGACTATTGACGTTCAGATAATTCGTCACCCTCTCCTTCCACTGTCTGTTTCACTCCTTTCTTTCCCCTTCAGGAAAAGCTTGCAGAGAAGTAGGGCTGGTCTTGTTTAGTGGTAAGTGGTGCGTTCTTTGGGGGATGCTTCGAATGGCTCTTCTAGTTACTGGGCAGAGGAAACAATGGCCGAACTTGGAGAAGGAGATGGATTTTGATGGGGTACTTCGTATCTGAATGAAACGGGTGATGGAGTGGCAAGCTCATTGTCCGAGTGGAATGCATTCTGTGAATGGCTAGCCTTCAATATTATCTGGGGATGGAATGGGAATGTCATTTTCAATAATATCTGCTTGCAGCCTCCTGCGGTCCTAAGCAATCTACCCACCCATTATAAGCGGAATGCATTCTGAGAAAGGTCTCATATATCCGAATGAAATGGGTGCAGCTGCTAGCTCATTACCTATGTTCTATTTTTTTATATTTTTATATATACGAGTTACAGTGTTTCCATTCACAGTTAAAATGTGCTTGCAGGCCCCTTCAGTGCTAAGAAAACTACTCGTTCTTATATCTTAGCGCTCTATGAATGAAACACTGCAAATCCCGTCTAGAACACTGCAAGACCAAATCCCTCTTGGGTCAGGTCTTCTGAATTGGCCTTCTCCATACCTAATGGGCAGTTGCCACGTGTCACATGATATTTGATTATATCTCCTGATCTTTGTTTATATCTCCTAGGAGCAATCAGATTTTGATTCATGAATATGAAGTACTGCCATCGCTCTCTTTCATCTACTATGTTACATGCGTATGAAGGTCTTCTTCTGACGTGGTTAGGCACCCTTCTGAGCGAGCCATGGGTTCGGGTCCAAGCGCTACATGGCGGCGGCTGCAGGCTCGCCATCCCCTTCGAGTAGGGTTCCCTTCATCCACCTCTTCAGCATCTCCAGCGCCGCCTTGGGCTGGTCCATCGGAACCATGTGGCCAGCGTCGTGTACCTGACAGAAGAAGAGGTGGCCTTGTGATGAGCAAAGCCAGCAGGTGGACTTTTTGAGGGTTAGCTAGAAGTCCATTGGGTGCAGGACTAAAGTGAACCATCCTCCGTCATCCCTGGCTCATTTGTCGGTAGAGTCAATCCAACCAAAGTGTGAAGAGAAGCGAAGGAATCTCACCTTGAGGAAGGTGAGTGAGCCGTAGGTTTTCATCCTGCCGGCCTCTTTGCCATCCACGTTGAATGATACATTCCGAGCCTCCGCGAACGCCGGTTGACCTGACCATTCCATGGAGTCGACCCACCTGTAGTTCCCTGTGAGACAGATTCGGTCCACATGGGTCAATTTTGTCGGATTTTTTTATCACACGCAGCCACCGATTTTAAGAACATTCGAGATAATAAGAACATAAAAAGTCAACGAATAGTACAAGGAGGCATAGTCTCGTAAAACACTAGAATTCAGGATCATCGGAGCGGAAGCAGAAATGGTTATTTAATTTTTTTGTAATGAAATAACAATTTATTTGAATTGAAATAAATTATCTCATCCCAAGAAAAAAAAAAAAGCAATTCGCAAAAAACGTGTATGAAGATTTCATCCTGGGGTAGAATACCAAGAAGGAAGCTACTAATAAGGGTAGAGAAACGGAGGATTTACCTAACCAGTTGCATATGAGATCATATTCTCCAGCGTAGACCAGAAGCTTGATGTTATCCTCGATTAGGGCAGGAATGCCCACTTCCAGGTTCTTCATCCAGTCTGTGAGCATGGCCTCATAAACGACGGGGCTGCAAGACACAAATTTCCTCTCGCCAACTCCGAGCGCGCCCCTCACAGGCTTCAGATTCAGAAACTTATCCATGTTCGAGAAGTCGTAGCAGAGGTTTCCCTCACATTTCTTTCTGACATCATAATACTGCAAAGCGAACCCACAGATGCCGGAAGAGATATGAGCGCAGGAACAGCGCAGGCGACGGCGCTCTAAATCTTCCGGTGGAGGAGGGAAACTTACATTTATGTCTCCGGCAGTGAGTAGAATAGAGTTGAAAATCGAGTTGCAGATGAACAAGGAAGCAAGACATCCAAGCGCTCCAGAAGAACCTGGCCGAGTTGAATGGCAGTTCAGGCAATTCATATAGTAGAAATTCTGTCCACCCTTTTTAAAAGACTAAAAATCCTTCGAACATGTGAGAAACGGCAAGAAAATTTTATATTACCGCAAAATTTTGTTGCCAATTCGCATACAGGTACGATCTTGTTGATTCTATTGTACTCGTCCTGCTTGATTATACCCATCTCCAGTGCGTAATCAGGATATGCTCTGTACTGGATTCCTGGATTTGTGAGTCCATTACCAATCGCAAAGCCCTGTAGGCAAGAACGAAGAAATTAAAATTTACAGCATTTAATGAGAGAATTTTGGCGTTACCAACAATACATGGTCAACCTGGACCACACGTTGACTTGTTAACCTCTTGGTTCAGTAGTGGGTGAATCTCATACTCAAACTGGTCTTGTTCTAGTTAGATTATGCTAGTTGGGTCACCATACCAGCCTAGATTATCTGCACTCCAAAAACCATGCTCAAACTGCCTACCTTTAGATTTATGTGCAGACGTTGATTTTCTTTATTTCCTCTATGGATCCTTTCCGCAACAGCTGGTATATAGTGGCCTGCATATGATTCTCCAGTCACATAGAATTCATTTTTTGAGTAGCCTGGATGTGCTTCAAAAAAAGCCTGGGAATCAAGGGGAAACAAAATAATCAGGTGGGGTTGGGGGGGGGGGGGGGTTGAATTGAGGCTATTAGGCGAGAAAAATATGCAAGGAAATTCAATAATGATGAAAGAATGATCTATTAATTTCCATTTACCTGCAGAAAATCAAAAATATCATCTCCAACCCCTTTTTCATTATATCGAAGATCTCTTACGTCTGTGCTGTAACTGAACCCAGTTCCTGTCGGCTGGTCTACAAATATAATGTTGGATGCCTGAAAGAATCACTCGACCCATAAGCATTAGATCAGACAAAATGTGCTTAATTATTTCAAAGGATAGTCTACAAATATAATCTTGGATGCCTGAAAGAATCACCCGATCCATAAGCATTAGATCATCCAAAATATGCCTACCTATTTCAAAGGATATCGTAGAATGTATTACTACCTACAAGAACATGTAACGATTGACAAAAGCATTTTAGCAGCATTATATTTCCCCTAAAAAAATGATTCAAGCAGTATTTTTCCCTCTAGGTCTAAGACGAAAAAAGAAAATAAAACCTAGCAGATAATAAATTTTCAGCCATCCCAATCTGCACCTTGTCCCATCCGTAATCGTTCCAGATAAGAGACATGTTGTCCGCAATACTGAAAGGGCCGTTTTCATAAAACAGGGCCAATTCACTGCTGCATCCTGGACCTCCAGTCAACCAAAGAACAACAGGATCATCACGTCTCCCACGCGATTCAAAGAAAAAATAGAACATTCTGCAAGATAAAATAACTTATCTCAGTAAAAGAACAGGAAAAACAGTTCATCTATCCAATTTTATACAGTTGAAGCATTCAGATAGTATATTTAAATTGAATTATCTGAAGCCAGTACTAAAAGGGGAATATTGGAGCTCCCGTAGATGGATCCGAAGACCCACAATTAAGTTAAAGAATAAGGCCATAGAAATCAATAAAGCCTTCGTGGTATTTGGATGTCAGCAACAGAATTTTTCAGTAAATATCTCGATAAGCAACGATGATTTAAGTTTTTAATTTCTATTGGTGGAATTTTAGATCGAAGGGTAAATATCATACTTCCTGATCTACCCAACATAATTCAGTTTCCCGATCTGAGAATAGATCAAAGTCAAGTTACTGTTTAATTGAAGTAAAATAAAATCCTATAAGATTATTCCCACAGTGGCGAAAACATCAGTATTCGATGTTTCACATAAACTACCACTGGTAAATAAATACATGAGCGAGAGAGAGAGAGAGAGAGAGAGAGAGAGAGAGAGAGAGAGAGAGAGAGAGAGAGAGAGAGAGAGAGAGAGAGAGAGAGAGAGAGAGCATGGCTATATAAGGAAGTAATTTTATGGGCAACATCCACGGACCAGAGATAATTTACCTAGCAGCATGGGTGTGCTCAAGACGGTAGTACCCCGCGTGGTGTCCGAGGTCCTCGATCGAGTTGCTTGATCCACTCACCCCCAGTATCTCCAGGTTCAGCTTCTTCTCAACAAGTCGAGGGCCACCGGTATCCGCCTCCACCTCCGTTTCGACTTCTCCAGCATCGGGAAGGAGATTGAGGCCCCTGATGAGATCCACGGCCAACCTCCGCGAGGAGGAAGCAAATCCATCGCGAAACCTGGAGTTCGCACTGGAAGAAGAGAAAGAGAAGAAGAGAGAGAGGCAGATCAGGAAGAACCGCACCGCCGGAGGACTTCGACTACCCATGCCGGCGTTGGGACTTCGGTCGGCCACTTCGCTTGGGAACGGTTATTTGTACTTGAGAGGAGGAACCCACAGGAGGATACGTGGCGCTATCCCCATCGAAAGCGTTCACCACAGTGTCAACCAATGTAAGATCACCAGCTGTCAAATGCCAAGTGGCTTCGCCCCGAGGTCAACCTCACTGATGATTGCACGTCTCGCCACCCGAGGTTGACGTTCCTGCCGTGCGATGGGTGACATACGAAGGTCCACGGGCGACTTTATTTCTCATTTTCCTGGCAATTGAAGGGCATTTGATGAAACAAATAATAAACAAAACTCACATTTATAGCAATTTCCTCGCGAAATATTATTTCGTAGCTTGGCGTTCCCATTAACGGCCCAGATCCCATTCGTTGGGGTTTTTTTCTTGTTTATTAGGCCTATTATATAAAATGGGCCCATTCATGGCCCAAACCAAATACCGGGCCAACCACCAGCTATCTGGACCGCCAAACAGCTGATAAATGGAGACTATGCAAGATTTATTTATTTATACCCATTTAACATAATTAAAAACCCTTATCAGGATTTACAAACTTCTCTCTCTCTCTATCTCTTCTACAGACAGACCACTCCATTGGGCCATAATGGGCCGATATGGGATTTGAAATAAGGCCCGTTGGCGATCATATTGGGCTACATGATATTGGGCCAAATCCAGTTCCACGTAAAAAAGCCCAAGACGCTGTCACTGGGGCCAGCCCATCAAGGTGCTCCTCACAGCCTCCACAACTCGTCTTCTTCCTCGGTCATTCGACATGGAAACCTCGCCGGCCTCGTCGAGCAGGAATCTGTACACCTCCCACTGCCTCCCCATCGCCGACTGACGGCCAATCTCAGCCTGCAATTCAAAACCATTGAGGATCATATAAAGAGGAGGATCAAGGAGGATCTAGGAGGAGGAGGAAGATGAAGATTCATACGGAGAAGATGCAGATGCCGAACATTTTGAGGGCGAGGGTAACGTCGTAGAAGACGCGGGGGCGGCCCTTGCCGGAGAGCTCGACGGGGTTGACGACCAGGAGCTCGGCGTCGGGGCCGCGGCTGGCGATCGTCACGCGCAGCGGGTGGAGCATCTCGACGGCGAGGCGGGAGCACAGAGAGCGCTGCTCCTCAAGGTCCACGATCTTCTTCCCGTCGCTCCGCTGGACGAAGAGGTCGATCTCGCGGAATCCCTCCATGTCCGATAGGAATCGGTCGTAGGCGATCTGCAGAGGAGGAAGGAAGAAGAAGGCACAAAGAAATCGCTGAGTGAGCACTCCAGATCCATATCTGCATCTTCATCGTCATGCCTGGATTCATGGCTGAGAAACATAACCAAAAATGCTATTGATTATGGTTTTCATCAAAGGCATCTCAAGCATCGAGATATTTCACATTCAGAATGTCCCTTCCGTTGACCTATTCTCTGCCGACCCATAAGCATCCGGCAATCTACAGCATCAACCCCCTCGGTCGCCATGTTGTTCAAAAGATGCAGGTCGAGACGGAGGGGGAAGGCTCACCTGGATGTTGCAGTCCTTCAAGGTCCTCAAGATATCGTAGAGGAGCCCCTTCTGATTTACGCAGTGGATATGGAGCAGGGTGTAGGCGGGGCTCAATGAATTGTCCACTGTGATGACGGTCTGCTTCAGCTTCCTCACATCCGGGATCGGCTCGGGCCTGAACAGCTCTTCAGCAACGGCTGGAGAAAGAGAGGAGAAGCACTGCTGGAAGGCTTCGTATTCTATCCCGGGGCATTGGATCTCGCACGGCTCGCACGATTCTCCCAGCACTGCGTTCAACCGCTGGCAGGTCTCCTTCTTCCTACTTTTGGTATGCAGCAGCTCCCTGTGGTCAACGCCAACACCACCTGATTACTGAAAGAAGACAATGGATGAAGAAGGCAGGCGCCGGGGGGGGGGGGGTGTCTGCTTGCTCACCTGCCGTCTGTGATGAAGAAAAGGTCAACGACGCGGCCGCCAGGTGTCGTCGAGACCTTCACCCTCTGGATAGTGAACTCGAGCTCGCAGAGGACTCGGGTGACATCTGAGAGAGAGGCGAAGTGGAGCGAGTCAAACCATCGGAATGAGAGAAGAAGCTGATGATCGAGATGAGAGATGGAAGGTCAGCTCACCGTGAAGCAGGTCCCTCCGGTCAACGCAGAGGATCTTCAAGAGGTAGACCTGGGGAGCCGCTGCATGGCGGCTGGTGGGCACATCGTAGAAGGGGATGAGAATGGAAGGGCACGTCGAGAGGAGGCGGGTCTTGAGGCTTCCCCACTGAACGCTCCCAGCGTCGGCGCTGGGGAGGACCCAAAAGACGCAGTAGCACCACCTTCCATCGGTCGATACGTCTATCGTCAAAGCGGCGGCCATGGAAAAGCGAGACCCATAATTGAAGCAGAAAGAGGCATCATGCGTGGAAGATTTGAGCAAGAACAGGGCCCGGCCGAAGCTCGAAACCCATAAAAAAAACATGAGGATTCTCACATAAATTCACGAAACCCAAATCCGGGGAGACGATGGAGAATCCGCGGCGGAAATCAGAAGGAAGATTTTAATAAATTCATGATATTAGGGGGGTAACTCAAGAAAGAAAGAAAAAATTCCCATAGACCTCGGATTATTCGCCCATCGGCTAAAAAAACTGTTCAGAGGAAAGAGGAAAGAGGCCCAATCGACCAGTGTCAAGGAAAACAGTATGATCGCAAGGGGTTGTGTAGAACAATGCCTGCTCAGAGAAACCCAGAGACCAGCAGTCGAATGAAGCAGCAGGGAAACGAAGACGATGATGAGAGAGGAAGACCAGAAACGCGAAGGAGTGAAGAGAAGGGGCCTTCTCACCGCCTTTGGTGATCCGGAAACCAAAGTCGAGGATGATCCAGCAGAAGTCGCAGCCCAGGCCAGTCCTGTCTGGACAGTTGACGGTGATCTTGCTCGGCTCGCCTGCCTTCTCAGTCACCCGTATCACGACGGCGTCCTCATTCCCGACACCCATCGCCGCCGCCGCCACCGCCGCGTCGCTACTGCCGCCGCCTCGACTGCGCACCAAGAGCCGCCTCTACTGCCCTCCCATAAAGAAAAACAACGAGTATTGGCTGAACATGTGGTGAGTTTTGCTGTTGACAGCGCCGCACGTTGCAGTAATCGATTTGCTGGCGGCAAGGCCATCAAAACGGACGGCCAGGGGGAGGTGGGTCTCAATCATGGCTATCCCACCTCTGAGATTGTGTCGGATTTCGTGGACCTGGCGGGTTTCATCGATCACCGTCTGACGCAGTCGCGTCACCATCTGATGGGTTTTTTTGTTTTTTTAACCTATTGATTTCAGTTCACTGAACTCGGCGGCCGCCGTGCTCCGTCGAGAACAACCAGCGCCGCCACTGCCGCCGCCATCAACCCACAAACAAAGCACGGCAAGACGATGGAAGACGAGAACACCCATGATTTTCTTTCCCAGAAATGAAAGTCAAAGTCGGTCTACATATTGCTCGAGGCGGCGATTGAACCCCTCCCCACCCGGGAGACGCGAGGTCAGCGTTGACCTCCCCCCTCCAAACCCTGCCATCTTTCACACCGCCTCAGCATCGCTCCATTTTCCCTCCTTCCTCATCATAGCATCTCCTGCGAGCGTCTCACGATGCGGCTCACCTTCTTCCGGAACTCGTCCCTCCTATCTCTCCATTCCTTCTGCAAGTCAACGAGCAGAACCCAGAGTCAGTCTCGGTCTATTCCGACGGAAGGAGTCGATGGTTAGACGGCGGAGATCACGGAGGGTTGACTTCGACGTACTGCGGCTTCAACATTGGCAGGAGATTCGTCGTTGGGGCTCGAGAGCATCGAAATTATACTCAGCACTATACTCTCCACCTGCACATAGAACATGATGATCATATAATAATCCACGGACGGAAAATAAATAAAATAATGTGGTAAAATGATTTAAATAATGGAAGGTGAAAAAGAAGACGACGGATCCCCGCCATCACATGTGCTCTTCCCGGCGGCTGAAAACGGTCCAGACCATGGCAGAGATGCTTGAAAGCCGAGCACAAGCAGCTGCACTCATCTGAACGGTGTCTGAAGAAGCAGGCAGATAAAGATCATGGAAGAGTACCGTGTGGACAGGAGTCCATCGCTCGCTCGCGAGCTCGTAGCCATTGGGGTCATCTCCTGGTGCATGAAGGATCGATATGCAGACACGCCCATCGGGGTAGACTGCAATTGTTCGGAAAGGAATGGAAATGTTGAAGCTAATATCCCAGGAGAAGAAGAAGGTTCTATTCGATGAGATTAGCTTACCGTTTGGGTGCCACATGTCTGATGTGAATCTCACAGAAGGTGGGCTGTTGGGATAATTTGATGGGAAACTCATTATGGCATTGAAGTAGCCTCCCTCGCTGCACTCGAACAGCAAGCAATCGGCGTCAATATCACGCGAAAACTTTGTTAAAAAGTAGCTTAACAACTGAGAAATTAGTATCATCATGGCAGTCTGGAGTACAAAATTTAGAGGGAATGAAAGGAACTAAAAAAAAAAAGAAAAAAAAAAGGAAAAGGTGACCGGAAAATATTCAGAAAATCTGAGGGTTCCCAGCAAATATTCAGCTTGTTCGAAAATGAACACTCGGCAGCCATCGAGTCGGTCCACGGTTTGGTAAAGAAAGCAAGTACTTCGGGACCCATTGTACCCTAGGGCTCAGCTTTTTCCCCCCTGACGCCCAACTTAGAAAAGACTAATGATCATTCTGGTTCCTGCAGACAACCAGGAAGAAGACGGCAGACACAGCCATCTTCTGACCTGAGATGCATACCTTGTGTTTGCATTGTGCAGACTAACTACATTGACCGTGGTAATGGAGAAGTTATCACAGCCAGTTCATCGTGGGAACTTAGAAAAAGAGCATTCACCGCTTATAGTCAAGAGAAAACGCCAGTTATGAAAGCCCTTTGGAGACAGGACCCTGAAACATGATCTGCTTGAATATTATGCTCGTGCAGCAGATCTCAGTAATACAGCTTATAGTCGAGACCGAATAACAGATTCCAGAGTGAACAGAAGTTTGTAGCTGGTGATTAACGGAGTTCAGAGTCTAAATGCTATATATATATCCCATATTGTCCTGTTGACCTAGCCTCCTTGTAGTCATAATTCCTTCGAGAAGATCGACTCAGTGTGGTTGTGAAAATCATTGTGGTGCGTTTCGATCTTCTCTTAACCATCTCCCAAGGGGCGTAGGAGGGGGGGCTATGCTGCTTGCAGCGATTGGGTTAGGTCAGTTGCAGGAAATCGAAAGCACCTGGCGCCAAGGTTGCAGAAGGTGGGCCGAGAAGAAGTGCCTGAAGGCAAGGAGGCAATTAGACCCTCCACTAGGCTAATGTTTGTTGACGTAGGGTTGACCATTCCCCTTAGAGGAGGCAAGAATATGATATGCCCTTGAAGTTAGCGCTTAAGATAATCATTCCCCTCCTCTGTTAAGTAAGTATAAAAATGCACACTCTGATCGTTCCCTTCCAACAAAGTGGTATCAATGGCATTGCAGCTTGATTAGTCCTCTGTTTAATATTGTGAACAGCAGTAGTTTATCTACCATCGATAACCTTAGGGCTGCGGGCAAAGAAGAAATCATCAAATTTGCATATAAACATATAAAGAGTTATTTACAAGCAAAAAAAAAAAAAAAGGTGGGAGGGTTGTTGAGATAAAGAAGCCAGCTGAGGCGTGCCTATGTGAGTCGTCATATCAACCAACGGCGAGGGAAAAGAGAAAAAAGGAAAGGGATCTTTGACATGATTCATGGTGTTAATCAAAGCATTTATTTTTTGAAAAGCAAGGCGGAAAAGAAAACCCTACGACCCCAGGAAACTTTAGCGGCCCGAACATCGAAAGCCAGCCCCAATAGCAAGCTCCCACTGATGATTCCCCGTAATTCTAGACCCGGATTTCAACCAAAAATAAAATATAATTATAAGAAACCCCAATCAAAAAGAAGATGCGGAGAAGAAAGAACAAACCCCCTGCGCGAGAAGGAACGATGCGAAGAAGAACACTCACTACAGCGTATCGGGAGGCCCTATGATCGTGACGCTCCATTCGAAGATATTGCAGTCATCAACGAGGCCAGCTGAGAAGCCATCTACTGGATTTTTGGTTAGATCTGATAAAATAACATAAGAAACCACAGATCGTCAGGGGAGATACCGGGAAACGTTTGCCTCCCCGCTTCGTTCCGAAAGAAAAACCCTAACCCGCACAAGAGACGATCGATTAAATCACCAGCGCACCTTTTAGCTGCTTCTGGAGCAGGAGGCTCGCTTGGCTCTGCGCCGCCATCAGAAACGGGAAAGAAACAACCCACCGAAAGGAAAAAAAAAAGAAAAAAAAAGGGAGGCAAGCGTCTCTCCGACCGGCTAGACAGGGAGAGACGGAGAAGCAAGAAAGACGAAGAGACAGAGACAGAGACAGAGAGAGTGCGTAAACGGTGGGGAAGGTTGGAAATGCCTGCCAGCGCCACCGGAGGTGGACTACGATGATGGAGAGAATATTTATAGGGCCACGAATACCTTCACCATCCGCTACGCTCACCACCTCGGCCATGGCAAATGTGAGCATATTGTAGGGGTATTTCAGTCCATTCACTTGCGGACCAGGTCACCGTAGCCAGCTCGAAGTCCCCCACTGCAGAGACGTGATGTCGGACTGATCGAAATTTGGCAAATTTTCAGATAAACCCAAAAACAGAGTCTTTTGTATTAATTCCATCTGAATTCTCATTTTTCAACGGACCTCAGGGGGGGGGCGGGGGGAGATGACCACGTATTTTCCGATGAAACCCTTTACTATCTTACTATTTATAAATCGTGTCTTATATTCATGCCTTTTCATTTAAATTTCTCCTCCGTCCCTGTGGAAGATGAGTGCGTCTTTTTCATAAAACCAATTAAAATATTATGTTTTGATCCCTCACTAATTCGTAATTTTCCTCATAGTTCAGGGGTAAGACGCGAATTTTAACGATGCGAGGGAGAGAATCGCGTCAAGGGTGGCAGAGGGGGAGTGAGGAGGAATAAGGTTAATATATTGGGCTGGCCCACAAAATAGATAATGCACGAGACGGTCACTAGCTGAAAGCCCATCTCGGTTTGCGGGCCGAAGTGGGAATATCCCCTCCTCGAGGGATGGTCCAGTTAGGCGGCCCTTCAGCTTCTTTTCTCGAAGTTATCTGGGTGCAGAAAGCTGCGGGCCCGGGCCGGAGCCCGCCAGAGGCGGGGCCTTACCTGACATCGGCCTATCCAGAGAGAGAGAGGGGGGGAGACTTAGATAGTACTGGGCCCATTTTCTTTCGGATCATGATTTGATGAGGGCCCAAAAGAGTCGTAAGAAGCTAGGCGGGCCAACTTTTTCCAACCGGGCTTGATTTTTAGGGGTTGGAGCCCATCTGACTCCCCTAAAAAGGGGAGCTCAAATCGTATACGACCGGGCCGGAGAGCTTTCCCTGTCTGAAACAAATGAATCAGGCATACCCAGTTTATTTCCCTAAGAAAGAAAGATAACCTTACCTTTTCTGGACAAGCAAGACTTTATTTATTTATTATTGGTTATAAAATCGTCATCAACTTCTACCTAGCCGTTGAAACAGTGATCATCCATCACTACAACCTCTGTTGACTTTCTTGCTAAGAATAGGCTCACAGTGGTTAACATAATAACACGATGACGATAGTCAACCTGATCACAGATACAGTGGATGGCATCATTCACAGAAAGATATCAGCCAGCCGGCCAACGCTACCTAAAACCACGACGTGACGCTGATTCAGCACGATCATCAAAGAATCATTATAAAACAAAAGTCAACGGAGCAGAAGGGTTCTTCAGCAACGCCCCCTCCTTCATGGATCTTGAACCGGGGAGGGGGAAAAATCTCATCTTTGTGAGGTCTAGATATTAAATAAATCCATAGAGTGTACCAATCTATGGTACCCTAGGAAACCTAATAAAAAAAGGCAAGGAGGCTTCCATCTTCATCTGCGGAAGATGGCACACGCCTCAAGACCCTTCCGGAAAGAGATACCTTACGGAGGAGCTGCTATGATCCTTGTATGATTGGCATGAGAGGATAAGATTCCATCGAAAGAGGAAATATATTGCAGAATCATTCATTCATGGCCGCGATAACCATGCTAAGGGCTTTTCATCGTAGCGATTCCATTGCCCGTAATTAGGAAAGAAGAAAAAAAAATTCTCACCTTTATCTAAGTCAACGGCTACTCATTAGCTCCAAGACGATGAGGACGAAGGCACACACGGACCTCGTGTTCTTCGGGTCCAGCTCTGTGTTTCGGAACCATGATCTCCAGCATTGTACCAGTCTCGTCGTAGTAAGCTTCTAGCTTGGCATCTTCGGGGATTCGGGTCGCCAGAGGAATCTCCCTGATGAATTCCCCAGGCGGGCAGTGCTCGGGGGAGGGATCCGAGAGCTTGAATGTTCGATCGTGTCTCTTGATGTACGGCGTCCGAGCAGTGCTGGCGCAGAGTATCTTCACGATTCCATGGGTGGGGGCGTTCTTCCAGGAGACCTTGACCCTCCGCAGGTCTGAAAATGGCAGGCTTACGAGGATCAGGTAGCCCTCTTCGTCCTCGTAGATGGTCTTCGCGGCGGTGACAGGCCCATAGGAATGCCTCATCACGCCGCTGAATTCATTCACCCAGGACGGAACCACTTGGAAGCGATCTTCGCAGGGATTCATGGGAAGAATGCCGTCTTCGTCCAGGCCATGGTGGAGGAATTCCTTCCTGCGCTTGCTGCATAAGGGAGAACGGTGGGTGGAAAGATACAGGTCGGAACCGTCGAGGAGCCTCTTAGGGCAGGGACTGCAGGAGCTCTTCACCAATGAAGGAGGAGGAGGAGGGAGGGGCCTCACGAGCTCGAACTCCTGCGCGGAGAGGTTCCTCCAGGAGCTGAAGTCGCTGGCCTCGGGGGGGACGGAGAAGTTGAGCTCCCTCCCCGTGAGCGCCGCCCACTTCTTCCGGTCGGCCTCTGAGACAGCCGTGAGGAGGGGCTGCCTCACGATCTCGATCCCATGGAGGCACTGCGGATTGGAGAGCCCTCTGTAGTGCTTCCGCTGCATCCGGTGGGACCTCACGAAGCCCTTGTCCGCGCTGAAGGGAAAGGGGGGCTCCCCGGGGCGGGAATGGCCGTTCATGTAGCTCCGCAGCTGCATCTTCCCGAGGGCGTTCTCAGGGCGATCCTTGAAGACCCACATGTACATGTTCTCCATGTCGTGCTGCACCAGCAGGACGTCGTTGCGCAGGTCCGACTTGTCGAAGCCGGAGATGCCGCCGCCGGCGTCCTGCGTGATCTTCGCCTTGGACTTCTCCGAGAGGACGGGCTTGAAGTAGAAGGAGAAGAAGAACCAGGCGCCCCAGATGCTGTCCACCCGCTTGGACATCTTGCGGGCGGCGCTGGCCGCCCTGGGGATGCTGAGGAAGGACTCCGTCTCGTAGATCTGGAGGCCGGCGACGGCGCCGGCGCCGGCGCCGGAGTCGAGGATGTCGCAGAGGTCCAGGTTCCACGCCGGTGGAGGCGGCGGGGAGGGCTCGCCGGAGAGGGGGAGGTTGATGTCAGGGGGGCGCCGCTGCGGGAGCATCATTTCCCGGTCGCCGTCGTCGAGGCCGAGCAGGGTGAAGGGCTGGTGGTTGTTCTCCATGGACAGCGTGGTGAGGAGGGGCTCCGCCATCTCTCTCTTCCCTCTCCCCCTTCTTCTCCTACCTCCGCCTGCTCTGCGCTGCTATCCCCTGCAGCTCCCTCCGCAGTCGACGACGACATCCCAGAGGATGCGCTCACAGGACCATTCCATAGAACCGAGAACCTCGAGGAGGAGGCCCCCCCCTCCCCCCCTCCCCCGGAGGAGACGATGGAACAGCTGGAAATCCCCCGTCTCAGAAGAAACCAGTGCCAAGATGGACGCAGAAATTCATCAGAAAACGAGATGATAAGGACTCGGGGCTGAATCAATGTCGGATGGAAGAAGGAATCTGACGCCGGTTGACCCCCATTCTTCGACCCAACTCAGCCGCCGACGAGACGGAAAAGGCGAATCGGCGCGAGGAGATCCGTCCGAAATCGCGTCTCTGGAGAGACAGCGAGGAACACGATGGACCAGAGAGAGAGAGAGATGTGGACGGGGCAATAATGGAGTAACCCTAACCCTAGAAGCCTCGTGGTCTTGCCCCTGCGGTCGCTGCCGTCATCCTCATCGCCATGGAATCTTCGCCCGTATTTTATTCTGGTCAGAGGGAGAAGAAGGTCACAAGAGGACGAACCAGGTCGGCGCGATAAGGAAGGAGGGGGAGAAAGGAGGTAGAAGACGACCACCAGTTCCCGATCTTCGCTCTCTCCTCTCTTATCACGAAGCAGGAGTCGCCTCCACCGGGTGCCGCCCTCCCCCACCACCTCGTCCTCTGATGGCGACGGCGGTATAATGTGCCGCCGGCCCATTCTCAGAAAAAGGATAAAGCCGCCGCCTCGACGGAGAGAGGCACCACGTTGCGGGGACCCGAACCGACCTTGGCGGCAGTACATTGTAGAAAAGTCCATTTATTTTGATGAAACGGATTAATACCCTTACTGCTGAGCACATCTGAAACCAAACACTAGGGATTCAACCCATAATATCTAGAGAGGGAGATAGAGGAGAGAATATTGTAAAAAAGTCCAAAAAAATGGATGAAACGGACGAATACCCTTCTCGCGAGGTGCATCTAAGAGAGAAAAACCAAGAATTCTGTGGGGGTGAAGGAAGCCTCTAAAGACAACAAAACATTAGCAGAAAAGTCAACAGACTGAAGGTCAAGTCAGAGCGCCACAGAGGGCAGTTATCCCGAGTTCAACCTGAAGCTGGGCCAATCCTGGTTCTCCTAGCAGGCTGAACGCGGCAAGGCCGTAATAGGAATGGTACAAGTCCGGCGGTGGGCTCCCAGGGAATTTGGTAAAGCCACCATACTAAAAAGGAAATAAGTCAATAAAAATCGACAATATATGTGTAGATATAGATGTATACACGTGTATATATTAATATAGTAATCATCGATTAATCTATAATTGGGAAATGGCGGGCAGTCTTACTTCAGACTGGCAGGAGAGTAAGAAAGATCTGAGGGCGTCCTTATCAAGGAATTGGTCAGCTCCCAGTATCCTCAGCACCCCGACGACCCTGAAATAATCCGACGTGGCAAGATACGTGGAATATGTCCATTTTTGGAATAATCACAAGTCCCACTCACCAGAAAGCATAGCACGTGTCGCTGGCCTTGTTGGGCCGACCTTGAAACCCGCCATCAGCTGCTTGCCTCTGAAAGAGATCGAGAAGGGATGAAGAGCCAGCATGGCATCTGGTTATGAGAGGATTAGATATTTCCCAAGGTCTAGTATGCCATATTTAGCATTATTTAGATATGAATGAAGAGAAGGAGCCCCCCAAAGGCCAGACCTGCAAAGCCCACTCCAAGAGTGCAGACACGTTGACCACAGATGATCCTGTGGATCTGCTGATATAGTTTGCTTTGATATAACCCATCAGCTGGAGAGCTGCGACAGCACAGTAAGTCGCTCCGCCTGTGACACTAAACGATCGTACGAGTTATGCACGCGCTGTAAGAGACGGAGCAATCCACATTCTAAGCAAAGAAAACCATCAGATCAAGATAAATTAAAAAAAATCAAGCAGTACGAATAAGGAAACTGATGAGTCATTATCACACTGATAACATGATTTTTCAGCTACAATTAACTAGATAAAAAAAAAGGAAAATCGGATCTTCAGGTCTTGGCTGGAGGTTGGTCCAGGCATGTGCAAGCATATGGAGTAGATGCTGGCTGACCTTGTCAAACGATTTCGCTGTACGTGTACTTACCATGAGATTCTGAACCAGGCACCAGTCCGAAGCCTCCATCATACGACTGAAGTCAACAGCTTCTGGATAAGGCAATATTCGAAGAAGACCAACAATGAGAATGAACGGGATCAGACTAGTCGCTGTGAGTACAGACCTGGCACTTAATGATGTAATCCGTGGCTTTCTCTTTGTCCATTCCGCACCAGTTGTTGAGCATGGAAGAAATGGCAGCTGAGATATTGAACGAGAGCTAAGATATAGCAAATTATAATAGTATAGTATAACCTCCGGAAAGCACGTGCAATCAAACAGGCTCTCACCAGCGCAATAAACAAAACGGAGGTCCCTCTCTGCTCCAAAATGAATGGGAATAAAGCTGTAAAAAAATAGGTGAAATAATTACAAATCCTGGAAAGGGAAACGTATGATTTAGAATTTAAGTCATCAACTTAGTCGATTTTCTGATTAAGGTCGACCAAAGATACAGCTTCTACGCCAGGATGGTGAGAGTCTCAAGCATATTCTATGTTCTCGGACCATGGATGTTACTTGAAAAGCAGCAAGGCCCAAGAGAGTTATTTTTTCCACATAAATGAATACTAATGCGGTATAAGATAAAATACAGAAACAATGCACTAATATTATAGAAGTCCAGTGAAACATATTTCATTAATTTATGATCAGGTTTCTCAAGCACAAAAGGTTAATTAAGAAAAGTGCATCAGATACAGTGATCAATCATGAAACTGGTGGCCATTAGATCATGATTGTCTGACCTTTGAGCAGCCCAAAATATTTCCCTAGACTAGGAAAGAACAGAGAAACAAAGGGGAAAATGGGCTCAGGAACTTATGACAAGATAACGGCATTGGGAAAAGAAAGCTACAATATTCAAGATGATCTCTATAATCCAAGACTTAACTATGTATGTGCATTGCCATCCTTGCCCTAGAAAGAACACGAAACCTTATTCCCACTCTGTCTGGACTCTTCCCACCCTCTGGCCAAACTTTTTAGCAATGTGTTCTGGTTGCACAAGCCCAAACCATGCAACCAAAAGATAGCTTCCTGTGAGACTTTTAGCAAACGCTCACTAACTAAAATTAATGCAGTTAGACCCTTAGCATCACCTTTTACAAGTTTAACGTTCAAGAAGAGGGGTTATAATAACAGAGTATAACTCCTTGGATAATTCATTTAATCTAAACAACCACTTACTGTTTTTGACGCCTAATAGTCACTAAAACAGGCTGGAATAGAATCAGATTAGTAAATGCGGATCATACTGTTATGCCCGATCAAGCAAACGAATAATTGGGAATATGAATATATTTATGGAAACTGAGTGCTGAGGCAGGCTCTGAATATGCGAAAACATGATAAAATAAGAAGGGGAACATAGTTTATTCTACATCCATTGGTTACACAGATGTTCAGTAGAAAATCACAACTGTGCTAGATCATTGTACCTTGCTTCTGTATCTCTACATCTACCAATATCAGTCTACAAAGATGCGATGAGTGGGTATTTCAAAAAAAAATAAATTGGGCCCTTCTGCCTTGGTTGAGGAAAAAGTTAAAGAATAACTGACGTCAACGAGTAGGACATGAAAAAAACATATTTTTTAAAACTATATCAAAGATGCGAAAAATCACCATTCTGAGACTTCCTCTATACCTCCCATCAGGTTGCTGAAGATTTTTCATTGACAACGAAATTGAATTAGAATCTAAGTTTGAGAAATCATATCCTATGATCTTCAGTATTGCTAGGGCACAGTAAGTACTTGCTAAATGACTAGCATTGAAGCTTAAATCCTGCAAAAAAATTACAATTTTTTTATCCTGTTAGCCATAGATGGAATTCATTTCTAAATTCCACATGGGGCTATAATTTACCTGCTTATCTAGAGGATATTGCGATGTTCTGGAACCATGAAAACCATAAAATTGACCTGTACAAGTGCAAAAGGTTGGTAACAGATTCAAAATAACAGTAAATAATAGATAGGAACTCAAATGGAACACGCACAATTACCTGGCTCAACTGTGCCAGAGCGTGAGTAGAAGGATAAGACCCACCGTGCCACCTGATCCTTGTCGATCTGCAACATTAATAAAACAAAAAAAGGGACGCCGTATAACTAAATGCTAGAATGGCATAAACAGAAATAATCAATTACAATGGTTGATAATTTATTCACTTAAAAAAAATAAAATGCAAGCGGCACTAAGAATGATACAACGATTCTGTAAATTGCCAATATAGTAATGTGCCAAAGACACGCAGCTTATGCATAAAGTTGAATAGCTCTGCAGTAGGTGTCTGCAGAGAGCACCAATATCTAGAAGAAACGTTAACATTTTATTCCTATAAAATCAAGAAGGCTTTCCTCTATCTTGTAGAATTACAAACGCTAAGCACGCCTTCACAGCCGTGCATCACAGCGTCCTATAATGGACTACTAACAGTGACAGAATTAATTTTTTTCTTCAAAGAAAAGGAACCAGACATGGCGTTGCCTTGAGGATTTCACAAACTTGAGCATTTGGATAAAAAGGTCGATCTGCCGCCGGTATTCTGGAAAGTTTTGAAGATTCTGGATGCTTATCGTGTAAGTTTAATTATACGACGCATTTATTTTGGGGAAAAGCCTAGCAAGTCAATCGATCCAAAGAGATCGCAATCATAAACTCAAGGGTTTAGGTCACGGCGTTTCGATCCTCTGATATGGTTTTTACGACAGGGACGGGTGCCGAAGTAGCAGCGTCATGGGGAATCCGATTTCAGAGACAATCGAAAGTAAGAGCCGAGAAATACCCGATCCAAGGCGCCAAGGATGTCGAGGCCACAGACGACGAAGTACGCGAGGGTCAGGCGGTTGATCTCCTGAGACTCGTATTCCGAAGGTAGCAATTCGAGCATCATTTCCATGAACCGCACGTGCCTATCCCTCTCAAAGCGCCCGCGAGTGCACTCCATTTCCCCCACTCCCGCTCCCCAGCTTTGAAACTGGGCCAGACCTCCTCAAGCCTTTCTCCTAAGACTCCACTCTACAGAATGACTCAGAAGCCGGAACCGTTCATGCCCCTTTATTTCGCAGTCACGCAGTCACGCAGTCAACGGGCCGGGCCCAGCCGGTTCCTTGTAGAACCAACCGGGACCGGCCCGGCCCGTTGGCTTGGAAGAGAGAGAATGGCTGGTGACTTTACTGGGCTTAGAGGTACCCGCCTCCGGCCCGGACCAACCGGGCTATAGTTCTATAGGATCGAACGAAAATTTAAAAAATTCGAGAAAAGTTTGAACCACAAGAATATACGGCATTAAATGCCGGGAAAGAGAAGAAGAGATTAATTATAGGGACGAACATAGAGACAGAGAGAGACAGAGAGACGGGTAAGTTAGCAGCATAGAGAGAAAGAGAGAGAGAGAGAGGATCACGAATTGTCAGGTTCCTCCGGGCACACGGGAGCTCTTCAGATGGCTTTACTTAATCGACCTCCTCGATCTTAGGGCCCGCGCCGGCGCCGGCGCTGGCGCCGCCGCCCCCGCGGGTGAAAGACTCGTCGTCGACATCGGCGCCCATGTCGGCGCCGGCGCCCTGGTACATCTTGGCGATGATGGGGTTGCAGATGCTCTCGAGCTCCTTCATCTTGTCGTCGAACTCATCGGCCTCGGCGAGCTGGTTGCCGTCGAGCCAGTGGATGGCCTGGTCGATGGCGTCCTCGATCTTCTTCTTGTCTGCGGGGTCGAGCTTGGAGGCGATCTTCTCGTCCTTGATGGTGTTCCGCATGTTGTAGGCGTAGTTCTCGAGGCCGTTTTTGGATTCCACCTTCTTCTTGTGCTCCTCGTCCTCAGACTTGTACTTCTCCGCCTCCTGGACCATCTTCTCGATCTCGTCCTTGCTCAGCCGCCCCTTGTCGTTGGTGATGGTGATCTTGTTCTTCTGGCCTGTGGTCTTGTCCTCGGCGGACACGTTGAGGATGCCGTTGGCGTCGATGTCGAAGCAGACGGTGATCTGGGGCACGCCGCGCGGCGCCGGGGGGATGCCGGAGAGCTCAAACTTGCCGAGGAGGTTGTTGTCTCTGGTCCTGGTCCGCTCGCCCTCGTAGACCTGGATCAGGACACCGGGCTGGTTGTCGGAGTAGGTGGAGAAGACCTGCTCCTTCTTGGTGGGGATGGTGGTGTTCCGGGGGATGAGCACCGTCATGACGCCGCCGGCGGTCTCCAGACCCTGAGAGAGGGGGGTAACGTCCAGTAGCAGCAGGTCCTGCACCTTCTCGTTGCCCTCGCCGCTGAGGATGGCGGCCTGGACGGCGGCGCCATAGGCCACGGCCTCGTCGGGGTTGATGCTCTTACAGAGCTCCTTGCCATTAAAGAAGTCTTGGAGGAGCTGCTGAACCTTGGGGATCCTGGTTGAGCCGCCCACGAGGACCACTTCGTGGACGGTGCTCTTGTCCATCTTGGCGTCCCTCAGGCACTTCTCCACGGGCTCCATGCACTTTCTGAAGAGATCCATGTTCAGCTCCTCGAACCTGGCGCGAGTGATGGTGGAGTAGAAGTCAACGCCCTCGAACAGGGAGTCGATCTCGATGGTGGTCTGGGCGGTGGAGGAGAGCGTCCTCTTCGCCCTCTCGCAGGCCGTCCTGAGCCGCCGCAGGGCCCGGGGGTTGCCGCTGATGTCCTTCTTGTGCTTCCTCTTGAACTCTTGCACGAAGTGGTTCACCATCCGGTTGTCAAAGTCCTCGCCGCCCAGGTGGGTATCTCCGGCGGTGGCCTTGACCTCGAAGATCCCCTCCTCGATCGTGAGCAGGGAGACGTCGAAGGTGCCACCTCCGAGGTCAAAGATGAGGACGTTCTTCTCGCCGACGCTGGTCGCCTTCTTGTCGAGTCCGTAGGCGATGGCGGCGGCCGTGGGCTCGTTGATGATGCGCATGACGTTCAGGCCCGCGATGACCCCCGCGTCCTTGGTCGCCTGCCGCTGCGAGTCGTTGAAGTAAGCGGGTACCGTTACCACTGCGTTTTTTATGGTGGAACCCAGGTAGGCCTCAGCGATCTCGCGCATCTTGATGAGGACCATGGAGGAGATCTCTTCGGCGGCGAACTGCTTCTCTTCACCCTTGTACTGGACGATGATCATGGGCTTGTCCCCAGGTCCAGGGATGACCTTGAAGGGCCATAGTTTGATGTCGCTCTGGACGGAGGTATCTGAGAATCTCCTCCCAATCAGACGCTTTGCATCTGGAACAGAAAATGAGAATCCACGTTATAACCCAAGAAATTCGCGCGCGCGTGTGTGTGCATGAGAGAAGAACGATGTAATAATTCGTAGAACATTACATTCAACAACAATGTACGTGAGATTACTGGATATAAAGGAGTTCGTCCGGGGTACATTAATCTGAGAATTTTAGAAGAGAAAAAGGCCAAATCATTGGATCAGGACAGAACTTCTTTTTTGACGAGCAACACAATCAGGATCAAAACCAAAGACTCGATACAATAACAACTAAGCCTCCCTCGCTATTACCTTGTGAAGGGTGGAATGGGCGACTACTGACAGAAAAGTATGGATAAAAAGTATGGATAATATAGAACGGGATATTATATTTCGGAAAAAATAAGGATAAAAAAGATTGGGCGGATAAAACCATCAGTTAAAAATAGATTAACGCACAGAAGAGAAAAACCACAAAAATAGATAAGAGACGACATATATTCAAATGCAAAAGCAATGACAACGAGGCTTTTACAAACTTCTTTCCTAAAAACTCGTAACAGATAGTCGAATACCTCACAGATTTAGCTGACAGGAGTGGAAAACAGTGCTGAACAGATGAGGTCACTAACAACAGGGAGAAGCATACCGAACACGGTGTTCACCGGGTTCATGGCAACCTGGTTCTTGGCGGCGTCGCCGATGAGGCGCTCGCTGTCGGTGAAGCCGACATAGGAAGGCGTGGTGCGGTTACCCTGGTCGTTGGCGATGATCTCCACACGATCGTGTTGCCAGACCCCGACGCACGAGTAGGTCGTACCGAGATCAATGCCGATCGCCGGACCTTCTCCTTTTCCGGCCATTCTGCCGGGAAATCAAGGAGCGAGAATCTGAGAGACGCGAAGGCACCCCTCCCCCCCCACCGCAGCTCAGATCAGTCTCGCTAGGGTTTTGGAATGGGAGGTTGAGAAGCGGACGAGTGGGAAATACAAAGTTGAAGGGAGCTTCTGGAAGGTTCCGTCATACCGTAGCCGCCCGATCAGATGAACGGTCAACAACCCACCTACCTTCACACCTCCGCACCCACTGGTGGCAGGCTTGGCGGCCGATTAGCCGGCCAATTGTTTGGTCACGTATCCTTGTCGATTACCCCGCCTAAATGGGCCCCCATCAGCAAAATGGGACCCCGTTTTTTCCTTAAAATGGGTCGCATTAAACCAGGCCTATTAGAGCGTCACATGCGGACATGAGCCTAATGGGCTGCTATTTTCAGGCTGGAATAGGACAACTAAGTACAGTTCTACGTTGGGCCGTACCAGGAAGATCGAGGCCGTCCATTCAGTGTTCCCTGTGGCAGTGACCAACGATCGTGATGGGAAAATGAATCCATCAATCGGACGGTCAGGACCAAGGGGCCCATTAGGAAGGCGACGGGCATGTCGGCCCAGAAAAGGGACGCATGTGAGTAGGCCCAACTGGCGACGACCTGCCGGGGGATCCATCCGTCGCCGACCAATCCAATCAGAGCATTCCAGTGAAAGGAGGATTGGGCCCATTGGGGCCATCTGGTGGCGGTCGGAATGGGTCCAGCCACGGGCCCCGCCCGGATTTCGATAAGCGGTTCGGTCGGACCCGTGCGCGAATGTCGGCGCCGGACCGGGTCAACATCTACGGGCGGATGGTCGGCGACTCTGTCAAACTACGGCGGGCAAATCGCTGTCTACTGCATCCCCGATACGGCGGCGAGTAAACTCCCCGGTCTCGGAGAGAGAGAGAGAGAGAGAGAGAGAGAGAGAGGGACGGAGAGATGAGAAGGAGAATATGGAGAGGGGTAGAGAAAAGAGATGTGACCGATAGGATAGAGAGAGAGGAAGGGAAGGAGGTGGAGGGAGAGACATTCCCCGAGGCTAGTTCCCCGGGTACGACTTGCAGAGGGAGCCATTGACAGTGAGAAGAAGAAAGCTCGGGAAGAGAGAGAGAGAGAGAGAGAGGAGGGAGTAATCCTTCGTGATTGGATTTCTAAAAGAGCCGGAATGGACAGGAGAAGGTAAACTAGCTGCAGAGGGAGCCATTGACAGTGAGAGGAAGAAAGCTCAGGAGGAGCGGAGGGAGTAACCCTTCCGTGATTGGCTTTCTAAAAGAGCCGGAAGGGACGGGAGAAGTTAAGAAGCTATTAGCGTATCTCATCTGCCGGACGGTAGAGTGGACATATCTCAAAAGCAGTAAATAAATAAGAAAATCAAAAGAAGGAAGGCCTCCCGTTGGCCCCGCCTCCCCTCCTTTCTACGAGTAATGGATGCCCACTTTCGAGCTGTATACCCATACCCATATTTTTCTAGACCCTGATCTCAAAACAAGGTTGAAGTAACAAAACTCTTGCTCTCCCCACTCTCTCTCTCTCTCTCTCTCTCTCTCTCTCTCTCTCTCTCTCTCTCTCTCTCTCTCTCTCTCTCTCCTCTCTCTCCCCTCTCTCTCCTCTCCCTCTCTCTCTCTCTCCCTCTCTCTCTCCCCTCCCTCTCTCTCCCTCTCCTTTCTCTCGCTCTGCTCTCTCTCCCTCTCTCCCCTCTCCCTTTCTCTCTCTCTCTCTCTCGCTCGCTCCCTCTCCTCTCTCCCCCTCTCTCTCCCTCCCTATCTCTCTCTCTCTCTCTCTCTCTCTCTCTCTCTCTCTCTCTCTCTCTCTCTCTCTCTCTCTCTCTCTCTCTCTTTCTCCCTCCCTCCCTCTCTCTCCCCTCTCTCTCCCTCCCTCTCTCTCTCTCTCTCTCCCTCCCTCCCTCTCTCTCTCTCCCTCCTCTCTCTCTCTCGCTCGCTCCCTCTCCCTCTCCCTCTCCTCTCTCCCCTCTCTCCCTCCCCCCTCTCTCTCTCTCTCTCTCTCTCTCTCTCCCTCTCTCGCTCGCATGTATATATGCATGTCAACACAACGACATTCAATTTCACAATAATATATGAAATATTATAAAAAAAAGATAAACTTGCATGCAATGAGAGGTATTATGCATGCAGACGTCGATAATTGGTGACTTGCAATCTAAATAGCGAAATGCGGTGGTAATTCATGCTGAAAGTAATTAATATGCGGATTTCGTCCTTCGAAACCCATTTTTCTAGAATTTTTTTTGGCAATTATAATCACCATCAATTGGGCCATCTAGGGCTGACCGGGTGTCAGACCAGCTTGACCTCATGTTGTCAGACCATTGACTCCAAAAGACTCCGTAAATCATTTTAAGAGTTGAAAAATTCAAAGGAAAATAAGTCTAAACGACCATATTCACATTGGTCAAACGCACAAGGATCAACAGCCACAGATGACGGGTCAACGTTAGAGGTTGGCATATCAGCCAGCCCGAAGGCCGAATTGAATATCCTGAAAGGTCAACATTTAGTCTAAGAAACTCGATGGCTTGTAGAGAAGTGGCACAAAGATTTATCTACCATTTTTGAGGAGCTAAATTGTGAAGGGTTGTAAGTGATTTAGTGAATTTTGGAAGTGAGTCTTGGAAAACATGTCTTGGATGAGACCAAACGACCACAAGATCTTAAGAAAACATGCCCTCGCCGCCATAGTGTTGTCCTAAGAAAGAAGCTCGTTTCCCTCGGCACATCACAATCCAATTATTACTTCATGGGGCAGCGCATCCATCTCTCTCTATCTCTCTCTCCCTCTCTCTCGCACACCCCCACTATCTCACTCTCTCAATCGGATAGGTTGATACGGAGGGCTGACTCATGCCCAAGCGTCATACGGATCCTGTTTGGAATTCATTCTCTAGTCTCTATCTGGCCTATGTCTAGGCTATGATGAGATTCAATTATAAAGACGAAATCCCATTTTTTGATACGTGGCTACCCTATGTCCATCTCATGTCACAATCTCTCTCTCTCTCTCTCTCTCTCTCTCTCTCTCTCTCTCTCTCTCTCTCTCCCCTCTTTCTCTCTACCTTTTATGTGTACGTTACTTCTATTGCTATGCAGTATTATTACAAGTGGAATGCCGGGCAAGGCCAAGGATTCATGTGGACCCCGGGGTACAAGTATTATTCCAAGCTTTGTAGAAGACACGGGCTCGGGTTGGCCTCGATGACGCCGCCCTACAAGTGCTTGAGAGGAGACATCGAGGTACTCGGATAGAATTAGGCACTGTTAGAGCTCACCTTCTTTGTAGGAATCAACGGAGACAAGAGGAAGGTGAGAGATTACGAGCCGGTTCTTCTCCTAACCCTCCTCTTCTTTCTAATTTCTCTCTCCTCTTGACCCACCATTCTTCGGACGCTCTTTTTGTTTAAGGTTTCCACGAAGTCCGCGAGTCCTCTTTGCATCACTACTTTTCATGCATAATCGGTCACTGACACTCGGGAGAGCTTCTCACATCAGCACGAAGTAGCTTCAAGCCTAAGAAATTCCCCCCACATACCACCCACCCGGATTAGCGTGAGAGAGATAGAGAGCGAGAGAGAGAAAGAGAGAGAGAGAGATAAAGATAGATAGATAGAGAGCGAGAAAGAGAAAGAGAGAAAGAGAGAGATAGAGAGGGAGAGAGAGAGAGAGAGAGAGAGAGAGAGAGAGAGAGAGAGAGAGAGAGAGAGAGAGAGAGAGAGAGAGAGAGAGAGAGAGAGAGAGAGGATGAAAATAAGAAACGGCTGCCCCTCTTTTCCCTTGCTTTCTCCTTGTCTTTCTCTCTCAAACGCTTACCTCTTGCACCCTCTTTCTTCCTCCCTTCTCCCTGCAACTCCTTCTGGATGTGATTCGACTCCATCTTCGAGCCCCATCGACCTTTACCAGAAAAGAAGGAAGAGAAAGACCAGACCATGGTTTTTCCGTCTGTTCCTGCCTTTCTAGATCCACCCAACTGGAACCAGGTGAGCCTTCTTCCCACGACGACCTCCCCTATTTTCCAATTTCTTTCTCCACTGCTTCTTCAAAGCCAAAGCACGATGTAAAGGACCCAAAAAAGGAAAATATTCTCACTCCCCCTCCACCCCACCCTCTCTCTCATATTTCCTCTTGAATATGCTACTGATTTCATCTCTTCCTCCCGGTTCCACTGGATCTTCTTCTTCTTCTTCTCCTTCTCCCTGACGACGATGATCTTACTTTTTGTTTGTTCGATGTAGCAACCGAACTATCAGCAGGAAGCCGGAGGCCAGGTTCACCAGCAGCCCCCAGCACCGCCGCAACGTCCCGATGACAAGATCTCAGGCGCTGCCAGGCCGAGCTCCATGGGCGACCGTGCACGCCTGGCGAAGCTCCCTCAGCCGGAACCTGGACTCAAGTGTCCTCGATGCGATTCCACCAACACCAAATTTTGCTACTTCAACAACTACTCCCTCTTGCAGCCCCGTCACTTCTGCAAGGCCTGCCGCCGGTACTGGACACGTGGTGGTGCCCTCCGGAACGTCCCCGTCGGCGGCGGCTGCCGCCGCAACAGGCGGAGCAAGAGCGGAGGAGGCTCCAAGACAGCGGTGGCCGCCACAGAGCGGCAAACGGTATCCTTTGCCGCTGCAACTTCTGCCGCCGGTCTCAGCGAGATTCCCCCCAACATAACCACTCAGACGCAGCAGCTCCCATTCCTTTCTCCTTTACAACCCTTGTTCGATTATGGAGCAACCGCGGCGAGTCTCGGATTGGCTTTCCAGGGCATCCAGCCGCTCGAAGGGGTTGACTTTCAGCTGGGGGGCAGTTCGAGTGTTCCTCTTGAGCAGTGGAAACTCCAGCAATTTCCCCCGCCACCAGCGCCGCCGGCTATGGGGCTGTTTCCATTTGACGGAGAAGGGGGTGTAGGATGCTTCGCGGGGCAGCTGCATGGGAAGCCATCGTCATCGGGGCTCATCTCCCATCTGTCCTCCGTCAAAATGGAAGGTAACCCTAGAGGGATAAATTTGCCGAGACAGTATCTGGCAATCACTGGTGATAACCAGTACTGGAGTGTCTCTGGCGGAGGGGGCGGCGGCAGCAGCAACGGCGGTGGAAGCGGCGGTGGCGGCGGATGGACGGATCTCCCGGAGTTCAATTCCTCCTCCACCGGTAACATACTCTAATGACAATAGAGCATTTGATGGATTCCGGCGACGACTTTCGACCTCGAAAGCTTAATTTTTGCGGCGGCTTGGAAGGAATCAACGCTCGAATTCTCACCGAGGAAATGAAGTCTATCGCAGAAACAGCGAAGAACATCGCATCACCATAGGTAGGGTTTCCATTTTAAATTAATATGGGGCCGTTTCTTTGTCTTTCTCCCTTTTCCCTCTGTTCCATAATGTGTTTACAGTCATGGCTGCATGAATTCAGAGACGCTGTTCCTTTCTGGGGATTTACCCGTTGGAAATCGCCCGTTAGTTTGTATTTTATGGTCATCATCTGTGTATTCTTGTTCATGTTATATGACTCTAGGTGGGAAGTTTAATATTCTTTAGATATTAGTCTCGATTCTGAATCCAAAATAACTCAGGTTTGAGAGAATTTGGGTGGATAATGGCACTGTTTTTAGTGGATTTGTGTTCTTCGACGTTACCAGGCTTGGGGTAGCCCAGGTGGAAGATTGATACTCAATGCATTCTCTCTCTCTCTCTCTCTCTCTCTCTCTCTCTCTCTCTCTCTCTCTCTCTCTCTCCCTCCCCATCCGTCTGGGGATCACTAGCAGAGAAATCTTTTTGTACTATCTTCTGCGTGAAGCTTTAAGATCAGTGTCTGTTTTAAAATAGAGATCCCCCGTGGAAGATTTTTCTCAGTTCTTAGCATCAAGATCAGTGTCTGTTTTAAGTTAGTGAAGCTTTAGAACGTAAACTGTCATCGATCTCGGTCTCCAGCTCTGGGATCATCAGATATGAAATCTCCTCCCGTCTGTCTAAACTTCTTCCGATTCCTCAGGAACCGTGAGCTCCCGTGAGCTACACCAAACTTCTCATTGCACGCTGAAAATAATCTGCTCACGGCGGAAGACCTCTCTCTCTCTCTCTCTCTCTCTCTCTCTCTCTCTCGCTCTCTCTCTCGTCCCCCTCTCCCTCTCCTGCGGATATAACGACCAAGCGAGGGAAGGAAAGGTAGAAAGGGAGAAGGGAAGGAGGGAGAGAGAGACGGGAGGACTTCGCCGTCTTACACGAACCCGTGCAGCTAAAGAACTCGTTAGGATAAAACCTAAGACCGCAGCCAGAGCTAGTCTCAGTAGCTGCAGAAGCAGCAGAAGGAGAAGAACACATTCAGTGAAGCACAGAAGAAGAAGTTAGAGAGATAAGGGAAGGAAAGCGAAGCTTCCACTAGACAAGCCCATTGGATTGAGCTGTCCCCGCGTCTGAAGGAATCTGGTTTCTCGTGCACTTTCTCAATAACCAAGGCAGCAGTCCCCTCCCTGACGGAGAATAAAGGAAGAAGGAGCCCTTCGTGAGCTTTGCAGAGGGGAATGTGGTCATGGAAATAGGAAGCCTGAAGGGGACGAGGGGGCGTTTTGATTAATCGGCAACACCGGCAGCAAAGGGGAGAGAAAAGCAAAAGAAAGGAAGACGGAGAGAGAGAGAGAGAGAGATGTAGTTGTGCCCTTTGTTTAACGTTGCAGTCAGTAGTGTTTCAGAGAGCTCGGAATTTCATGCTTCAACGTGGTACCCAGTCGTGGTGCATGACGGTCGTTGGGACTGTGGACTGCCTTGCCCTACAGTGGTTGGGATATGGTAGCTTGGGATCACAGAGAGAGAGAGAGAGAGAGGAGGGGGTTGGATATTATGTAGAATAGCACGGTAAATCTGATGGCTTCGAGAGTGGAATGTGAGATAGAGAGAGAGAGAGAGAGGAATTGGCACAGATTAGATGTATTGTATTACAATATAAAGCGCAAGGCTCCGAACGAGGAAGGTGGGAGAGGGAGAGAGAGAGAGAGGAGAACGTGAGGTGTGATACAAGACGCACAAAATTAGGCATATAATACATGGTGGAGCAAATGGTTTCCAGAGTGGGATACGAGAGAGAGAGAGAGAGAGAGAGAGAGAGATTAATCAAGGAGAGGAACATGCAATGTGGATGTGGACACAGATATCAGATCTATGTAAGGAAACGTGGGAGGTGGTGGGGGGGGGGGGTGAGAAGGCTCACTACTGCAGATGGGGGACAGCAGGAGAAAGTCAGCTTTAGCCCTTTTTTTTAGAGAGGTTGGAAGGGGCCTTGCTTTGGTATCGATCTCTCTCTCTCTCTCTCTCTCTCTCTCTCTCTCTCTCTCTCTCACACACACACACACACACACACGTAGCTCTCCTATCTCTGCTCGCTGAAACACCGAAAGGGAAAAGGAGGTGGCGACCCACCTCAGATTCCCATGCTTCCCTGACCTTTCCTTTACCTGTCGTGATTCATAGACATAATCTCCCTCTCTCTCTCTCTCTCTCTCTCTCTCTCTCTCTCTCTCTCTCTCTCTCTCTCTCTCTCTCTCTCTCTCTCTCTCTCTCTCTCTCTCTCGCTCTCTCACTCTCGTTCTAGTGTTGATGCGGATAGAGACGGACAAGTAGATCTCTAAGATGCTACTACAGCCTGATTTGCAGAATATCAAAGTTAGCGGAGAGCTCCTAGGATTCGAGCGGGAGGAGAGCCAGCAGCTCCCCCTTCTTCCTCAGCGAGGTTCCTTCTTCCAACCATTCTCATCTCACTCCCCTGTGAATCAGCGAGGGCCCATCACCCCTCCATTTTAAACAGATCACTACGACAGAGGACTCGTTTCTCATGAACGTTCTCCTCTTCGGAGAAGACTTCTCTCTCTCTCTCTCTCTCTCTCTCTCTCTCTCTCTCTCTCTCTCTGCCCCAAGGTTAAATATGGGGAAGCTTCATGCCTCGTCTCTCTCCTCTCCCTTAGTGCAAACGCCGACGTGAAACTACTGCATGCCGTTTGTACCACGCTTTTCAGGCGCAGAAGGAATCTAGATGTTCTTCTTCTTACGGGGATCTGACACCCACCGGGTGTCTAGAGAGAGAGGGGGGGTAGAGAGAGAGAGAGGTAGGAAATAGCGGTGACTCTTCAGGTGGCTGGGATTTCTATAAAAGACGGCATTTTTGTCATAAAATGGGCTCTGCAGGCCCACTATCCGAAAGGAGCCCAGACCAAATCCGACGTAGTGGGCTCGACTGATTCGCTGGCAGACGGTTGAACCCACCTGATCAGAAAACCTTGCTTTACGGTTCTCAGCGGGAAAACGAGTGAGGATGGAGAGGAGCGAGGGAGAAGGCGACGGCCGCCTGAATGCTGTTCCCATCGTGGCCACCGTCGAGGAGATTCAGCAGCGGCTGACCAGACCTCCTCCCCCGTTCCCGCTCCGGAGCACCTACGACGAGTCCCGCTGCCTCTCCTTCAGGTTCCTGAGGCTCCCTCCTCTGATTCTCATCTCCATTGCCTTCAATATTCGTCAGACTTCGGAGCTCCTTTGATTTGGTTCAATCTGCTCCCAGATCTCCCCTTGGGATCCAGATGGGAGCAGACAGGGAGAAAAGGCTGGATGATTACTTAGATCCGGTCCTCCTGGCCGTAGTTTCATCAAAGATTTGGGGAAGAGGAGGAGGCGGCGGAGAGAAGGCGGTGAAGCGGCGGGGAAGCAGGAGTCCGGTTTTCGAGTGGCCTGTGGGAGAGTGGGATAGTTTTCGCCGTGGTCCTCGACCTGTGAGGCTGAGAGTAACGCCACCTGATGGAGATACCAATCCTCGCGGCGGCAAGCAGGGAGCAATCAGAGACCAGACCGCGGAAGAGGAGGTTGAGGAAGTGATGATGACGAAGAAGACAGTGGCTACCTCTTGAGACGATGCCTGCCGGCCGTTCTGCCATCGAAACTCTGTGCTCGATTGCTGACAGAAAGAGTAGCATTGAAGAACCGATATCCGTGATCTTTGGATCTTCCTTAATTGGCGCATCGCCATCACACAAAATCTCTTCAAAAACGAGAAGCAAGGTATGTTTCTGCTCGTCGCGAAACCCTCTGTGGCCCGTAAATCATTCATCCCGCATGCACAACTGAAGTAAACATATATGATCTGGCCGCCATTTCCGCCCGATCCATCGGAATAATCGGAATGTGATTCAAAAAATGGCAAAAAAATGCAAAAATAGCACATATAAACTATACATCATTAATTTGATCATGATCTGAGTCTGTTCAAGAAATAGCTCTTAGAACATATACTCTTTCAAAAAATCCCTCATACTTGTTGACAGCACCGCAAGAGTCATTTCATCAGAACATCAGCTAGCTAATTGTCGGTAGATCATGTCATTATTTCGTAGCATCTTGGTGTTTTGGATGCCTCCCGTTTAGATAAAGCAACGGTCAACACGATGTTGACAAAAATATATCATATTTTTTGAAGAAAAACGAAGAAAAATAAAAAGGGATGCCAGCTTTCATCTCCCACTTTTGTTTAATACTGAGATTCCAAAATGAGTATGCGTCAAGGCTCTTTCAGTCTTAATGAGGATCTGTTGCAGTGTCGACTTGTGGAGATGCCAAGGATATAATAGTTGACTTCTTACGGATCCAATGGTCACCTTTTGCAACTCAATGGGAATTTAAGGTGGCACAAACATGACCAGGGACTGGAAAATATTCACGCGCTGACTTTGACATCGAGGAGAAGTCAACGCTGGTTCTAACATAGACAAGCATTCTCCATCCAACTCTTGTTTAAGCCATTCTTGGTCCTTATCTGCATTCCACTAGACAATGACACGTGTACAAGCCTACGTGGACACGAGATTTCGGTCAGCCGCAAGTGCACTATTTCATAAAACCCCCTACCCTCTTGATAATTTTCATAACAATTTTTAAAGTTAACCATCGTACGGGCACACTGTCTCAGGCGGCACGCCGGCCGTGAGTGTTATGAAGTGTAGCTGTCCCCGGTGGGCCACATTCCAGATTTGGGATCACGGCCCATTAATGAACGGCTGCTGGCTGGAGCGGGGTCGGCCCAACTGTACTGGACAGCCGATCCCCATGAGGACCACGTGGCTCACGTTCGTTGGGACGGCCGTCGGCTCGTCTAACGCCGTCGTCGTCATCGTCCTCGTCCTCGTTGTCGCCGCCGTCTAGAGGGATCAGCTCTCCTACCTCCAACGGCAAGACATTAACTGCCACTGGAAGGCGACTGTGAGGCGCTCAACTGCCCTCCTCCCCTGTCCTCCCCCTCCCTCGGGTTCGTAATAAATTCGGGGGAGAGAGGGGCGTATTTGCAGAGAGGGACGAGACGGAGGAAGGAGGCCGGCCGCTCGCTGTAGATTCCATTCTCCGATCGGAGCCGCCGGCTGGACTGCCGCCGCCGAGCAAGATGAAGGTGGTCGTCGTTTCCCGGAGCGGAAAGGAGGTCGTCAAGGGCGGAATCGTGATCAAGGACACCGTATGCACTCGCTCTCCGCCTTCTCTCTCCCATTTTCTGTTGTCCTCCCGGGATCTTCTCGCTCTCCAAACTCTGCTTCGAGTTTCTAGGGAGTAGTCCATGCAGGGTCTCCGTGACCGGATCTGTTCTGAATCCACCTCGGCCTTGGTTTTTATGGGGAAATCTCTTCGCGGAATCCCCTCTACGAAAGCTCTCCGAGGGATGGAACACGTTTATTCTTTCTCGTCGAGTAATGATCATCCCCGCCGTGTTTTCTGCAGGCACTGGTGAGCGATCTGCAGGAGGCGATTTATTCACGAGGTAACTCTTTGAATGCCGCCGCGCCTCACCTTTACTTCCCCAGAGTGGAGTAGATTTCTCTTATCAGTGGCGTTTTTATCCCTCCATCTAGGTCATTTGCTGTTCTTCCCTTATTCTTTGTTTCTTCGTGTTGTTGCAGATCAATAGTGCCCCTAATATGGTGGCAATTTCTTTAATTTTCCTTTATTTGTCACATCTCTCTGTGCTCGTCCAATCATCCATCTCTATTCATTCTTTACCGAGAGCTTCCAAGGGAAACCGACCGTCGTTAGACAAGCCGATCTGGAAAATATTTCATCTCAGAGCACTTCTTCTTGCTATCTGATTTATGAAATAGTAATATGCCCTCCGAGAAATAAAGATGTAATATGAATCACGATTTTGATACTGTACGAGAAACTCGGCGTGGAACCCCATGGGAATGGGAGAGTAGCACCCCAACTGTGGCTGGCCCTGATGCTTTGGAGCAACCCAGATGATATCCATGGCTCTTACATTGGAAATAGAGCTTGAGACTTATCGGTATCGAGGAAAATACTGTCACCAAGACATATTGGTGGGTGCCTCAGCCGCGAATGAACCACTCATGCGATCAATTTTCTTCTAATTTTAAGTTTGTTTCAGGTTTTACTCGCTCTGAATGTGATCAATATTTATCATCTAAATGATTCCATGCCCATTCGCGTCTTGGCGCACAATCAAGTTTGAAGGAGGCTTTCCTAAAATTCGTGGCATGTTTTTTGAAGTTCAGAACAGCCTGTAATCTTCTTTAATTTTTTACATTCATTTCACTGAATCGATCTCTTTTCTGATCCAATGGCAGCATTTCAGACAAGTGAGTGAAGATGATTTTTTTTGTGACAGTTTTATGTTTGCATAAAAGCATTGTCTTTATTCTCAAGCACATGGATATTAATTATTCTCAGTAGAATCAGGTTGTGTCGTTTTTCTTACCTGAAGCGGTAAAGCTTGATTCATCAAGTCTTTCACGGATTTAGTGCTGTATCCTCCTCCCATTTCCCCTCCAGCCCTCTGGCTGAGGTCTACAGCGCACATCTTTACTGTTTATTTCTGCCCAGATGGGTGTGGTTTTCTTGAATGAAATTAGATTCCTCTCAAATATTGATTTGATCTTCATCTACCGAGCAGCTCATCTTTTTCCCGTTGCGTTCCTTTTGTGTTATTTCTAACCGAGATGGCATTGATTCTTTAAGAAAATCCGATGATTTTCTTTCTAATCATCCAGCTTGTGATTATCGGCGTTTCTGTCCCTGCTCTTGAAAAGCTCAACCCATGGCTGCTTTCCTTTTGACTCCACAGCGAAGAAGTTCTATCCTTCCAGACAACGTCTCACCCTTCCACTGCCGCCTGGGTCCAAGGTCAAGCCCACAGTCCTCGACCCAAAGAAGGGCCTCAAGGAATACACCGAGGGGAATGCTGACTCGTTGACCGTGGTGTTCAAAGACCTGGGCCCACAGGTCGCCTACAGCACCCTTTTCTTCTGGGAGTACCTGGGGCCCCTGGTCATCTACCCGCTCTTCTACTACTTCAACGTCTACAAGTACCTCGGCTATGGCGGCGAGAGGACCATGCATCCAGCTCAGACCCTCGCCATGTACTACTGGTGCTTCCACTACTTCAAGCGGATCATGGAGACCTTCTTCGTCCACCGGTTCAGCCACGCCACCTCCCCTCTCTCCAACGTCTTCAGGAATTGCGCCTATTACTGGTCCTTCGGCTCCTACATAGCCTTCCACGTGAATCACCCCCTCTACACCCCGGTGAGCGACCTGCAGATGAAGATCGCGTTCGGGTTCGGCCTGATCTGCCAGGTGGCGAACCTCTACTGCCACCTCCTGCTGAGGAACCTGAGGGGCCCCAGCGGCAGCGGAGGGTACGTCATCCCCCAGGGTTTCTTGTTCAACATCGTCACCTGTGCGAACTACACCACCGAGATCTACCAGTGGCTCGGCTTCAACATTGCCACCCAGACCGTCGCCGGCTACGTCTTCCTCGTGGTCGCGGCCTACATCATGACCAACTGGGCTTTTGCCAAGCACCGCCGGTTGAAGAAGGTGACTCTCTCTCTCTCTCGCTAGAGAGTCCATGGTCAACGGTCAACGGTCAAACATCATTCACCTTTCTGTGTTATTCGATCCGAGATTCTCGGTTCCACTATGCATCTCTTTTTCTTTTATTATGTAATATATGCGTGATATATTTCCTGTTTGTCTTGCAGCTGTTCGATGGAAAGGATGGGAGGCCCAAGTATCCGAGAAGATGGGTCATCCTCCCTCCATTCATCTAAACCCCACCCCCTCCCCTTCCTATGGCCCAGGAAGAGTCAACTATCCATCGTGGGGATCACTCGAAGTAGGGCATTGCTGGTCAACTGCGGACTCTCAGAATCATCAGAACTGCCCTTCTCATTTTTTAGTCTGCACTTTCTTATTGTTTTATCCGAATGGACCACGAGCAAGGTCAACTCTTTTCAGTTTCATATACACGCCTCCTGGATCTTGCTTAATATTCCATATATATATATATATATATTGTATTTTATTTTATTATGTGCTGATGTTTGTGCATATGCCAATAAGTTATAACTTTGGTATGAGAAAACAATCGGCTTTAAGGGAGTCAGCGGCCCGGGCCCATCCGAGGCCATGGGCCTCAAAACCAAGGACGGAAGGCAAAACACGTCTTCTTGCGTCGTTGCGAAGCGGACGAAGAGAAAGATGATCAAAAAAGAAGCAGAGAGGCAGAGAGAGACGAAGAGAGAGAGAATAATGGAGGACATCTACTGTGAAGCTTCTCTCGGACGGGCATCTTACACGCGGGCGGGACTGACCGTCGTTCCTTTCTTTGTCGATGCGGCGACTTGCCGAGTACCTGGAATCTCGCGAATTCTATCTAATTCACGAGAAACTGGAGGCGCCGCCGCACGCTCCGGCGGCATCCTTCTCCGACGGCCCTTCTCCGCCGGCAGACCGGCGCCGGTGGGCACCGTAGCTGCCCCGCTATCCCCCGCCCAGGAGAAGACGGCGTGCGAGAACCATCTCCTCCTCTCTCTCCTTCTCCTGCTCCTTTCGCCGCCGGCCGCAGCTCCCCCTCCGCCGCCGCGTCCTCGTGGGGGCCGCCAACACCTTTCGCCATGCCCGGAAGAGAAGCGCTGGTGAGCTCGCCGCGCAGGGGAGCCCCACGAACCAGGGAAGACCCCCCAGCGAAAGTGCAAGAAGCAGAGATACGGACGAGAATCCGCAGCGAGATTCCCCAAACGGGCCGTGATTTGGGGAAAGGGGCCCGTAAATCAGATATCGATCTGACTACGTGTCTTCTCTTTCTGGCAAAAGAGATCCGATTTTTATGAACGGATTCGATTATTCCGATTCTCTCTATGCAATTAAATACATTATTTCTTAATTTATCCGATGTTCTCCATTTTTCATGCTATTAAATTATCAAACATAATACCGAAATTGGCATGTTTTATATTTTGCTTACAATCATTCGCCGGTTTCAAAGGCCCAATTATATAGGTCCCCTTTAATGGCCCACTGAGCGAAGGGAAAGCCCCGTAATGTGGTTACTAGCCCAATATGACGCGGACAATAATGGGCCCAATGTGAGCCTATATCAGAAGTGAGACCTGGCTCGATGGGATACGACTGAAAAAGCCCAATTAAAAAGTAGGATCCTAAAATTGTGGGTCAGCCGAGGTTGGAGTCTGCCGGAGGCGAGATCTTCTCCTTCCTCAGAACCAGCTCGCACGAGCTCCACCCGCCCTCCGGGTTGAGGACGACGAGAACCTTCCCTGGGAGGCGGGGGTCGTCGTGGGGCTCACCGTCTGTGGCGCCGGCGCTGACCTGCGCCGTCGTCTCCTTCTCCATCAGGAAGGAGTACCGGAAGAGGGTGAGCTTCCATGCCGCCGGTGGAGGCCGTTGACTCTCCAGCTTTCTCGCTCCTACCCCTCCCGTTCTCTGGAACGCCTTCTGCGCAGCGGCAGGGAAGAAGCCGGCCGCCGCCCATTGGTCGGCGGCGGACTTGCCGCTGGCCGTTGACTGCGGCGCGTTCCAGCGGCTGAAGGCGACGGAGTCGCGAGCGTGGCGCTGAACTCCGCCGTCGGATTGAAACATGCCGGCGGACCTGCGAAACGGAGCTACAGAGGGCTCTTCTCCTCTCCTTGGCCTCCTTTGTCCTAAATAAAGCTCTTCTCTCTCTGTCTCTGTCTCTCTATCGTGTGGAGACATTGGAGAGGGATCTTCTATATGGTTTAAAGAAGGGGAGGTGACCCCACAGTAGGTTTGCGTTTAACGGGCCACTTAGGTCACCGCATTATTGTTTTATCACGCGCGCATGCAGTGGCGGCCGTAAACAAATCCCGTTGACTAGACATGAACGGTTGTTTCCTTTTTTTTTTCCTCCCAACCCTAATCGTTTCCTTTCACGCGACTGGAGCAAAGTCAACGCCAAGCCTACAGTACGCTCCTCGTCTGTGGCTCCAGGGCGGGTCGATGAGCCCCCGCATGTCTTCCTGGGGGGTTTGAAAATGGTTCCGAATTTGCGAAAACATCCCTTAATCCAAGAACTTCCACAAAATAACCTCGACTTTTCAGAAAATGGGAAGACTTTTGCAAAATAACGCCCAGCACTCTCATACGTACGATCCAAAGCTCTGTTTTTTATTTCCAATAAAGGAAAAAGAAGATGAATGGATAGAGGAGGATCAGGAATATTCAGCTACTTCTACCACAGTTCCTTCAGAGGTCAACTCATTACAAAATCTCTTACGTCATCAGACCCAGTGGACGAGCAACCCAAATCCATTGGCGATGAGTTCAACATTCTCTAGATGCTACCAGATGAATCTCTGGATTCCTGGCTGGTGCGCCCACTGGAAGGGCCGGAGGAGGAACATCGACATGGTGAAGACATCCGTGGCGACAAAGAGGGCGGAAGTCAACGCCCACGAAATCTGGCTGTCGACTTGGGAGTTCAGAAGAAAGAGGATGATGGGCACGGTGTAGTATCTGAACTCCACCAGCGGTGCGGGGACGAGGGCCGCCGAGCAGGCCAGGAAGAAGGACAGTGCCCAGGTCCTCCCTCTTGACTTCCCTGTCCGCAGAAGTCAGCCCAGAATATTTTCAAGGTCAGAAATCATGGGCTCTGACTTTGATGGAATAAAGAAATTAATGAGAACATGAAAGCATAGACTTTGGCCCGGACCCAAGATGCTGCCGATGGAGAACAAGCAGTAGATGCAGAGCGGAATCATCAGGTACTTTGAGGCCCAGTGAGCTCGGATAATCTTCCTCCAGAAGTAGAATGTGTAGTGGCGGTTATCCGCGAGAAGGTACGGGTGGGCGATGCTACGTTGACCAGATCCACTAAGTCAGACACATGAGAAGGAGAGTGAAATTTTACCGCAGCTAAAGAAAGGACGACTTTATCCTCGGTTTCAGATTTACTTGAAACGGGTGTCAATAAAGCGTCCAATCATAAGTCAACATTTGCTTCTTTTATTTACTTATTTAAAAGAGAAGGGGAATAAGGAGGATGTGGTGGCTATCAGACCTGAACCAATGGACAGAGACAAATCCCACGACGAGAGCAACCAGCCATTGCAAGATGCCCGTCGTTCTCTTCTTCCAGAAAGGTTCCAGCAGATATGTAAACTGGGTTGAGTTGAAATGCAGAGGAGCAGTGGCGGCAGCAGATATAAGACCAAAATACATCATCTGAGCAAAGTGTGGAGAAGCAACATGGTCTTCTTTGGCTCCTGAAGGAAAATCAGAACAATGAACAATTACTTTCGTAGTCATAATCAAACTGGAAGTGTTCCCCATTTGATAAAATAATCATCGAATGGCATTCAGTACCAAGAACTATGCTCCCATTCCAGAAGACAAAGGTCATGAATCCAGCCAGTACCAGGATAAATGGGAAAAAGGATATCAGGAGTCTCCACTTGAAACGCCACATCTTGAGAATAATTGCGTAGAGCTCATGCACCAAACCTGCCCACATATGTTTTCTCAAAATCAGAGAAAGAGATCACAGCCGTTGACATTAAAAGAATTGTCAAATCTAAGTGAGATGCATGTTTTGAGTCAAACTTGAACCTCTTAGTGAGAAGCTAACAGAAAGAGGGTTTCAACCAAAGCAGCAGAAAAGATTACCCACAAGATCAGTCGAGATTTGAAGTCTTTAGGCAGCCCATGCAAACCCTCCGTTATAAGATTATCACGAGCAAAGGAGATCGAAAATATTGACAGAAGAAAATTGGAAAATTCTAAAGTCGATGTGCGGGGACGGTGCCTATCAATGGCCTATGCATACTTTTAAGTCAAAGGCTAATAAAATGAGCCTCAACAAGAGCAGTGCATGAAAATGGCCAAGATTTGATGTCTTTCGGCGCAGCCAATTAAATAAATGATGTGGTGAAAGATAAGGCTCTCAAGTCGCGTGGACATTGTAGATATGATCACCAAGAGGAAGCCAAGACAAAGATCCAGAATACGAAGTAAGTAGACATGGGCCAGGTATACATGGAACCGGGGAAAGCGCATCAGCATTCATAAAATGACATGTAGCAATTGGCATGAATCCAACAAAACCCTGCAACGAGAACAAGAGAAACCATCAATAGAAGAGGAAGAAAATAAAAACCTGGATGATGCCTCAGGGAATTACTACTTTTTTCGGAAATAGAGGGGCGGACGCTCTTTGTGGAATGTTGAAATCTTCTTCTCAACTTTGACTTAGTCTCAAATCTACTTTCATTGAGTACCACCTCATCCTCCATTAGTAGCGATGCGGAATCGCCTGATTGGAGGTTATATTTTTGAGATATGGCTTCTACGTGATCAATAGCGGCATTGAAAGCAATAAAAAGTATCCATATCACATTTGTTTGACGAATAAATACTGCAATGGCACCAAGCTGTTCAAGGAATGAACAAACAAGTCAACTACTGAATTGAAGAACCAAAAAGGCATGATTTTTCGGACGGAAACTATTATAGATTCGCTCCTAGCAGCATGTGCAGTGCCATGCTATAAGTAATTCACACTAAAAAAGAACTGATCCCAAGGACTGACTCTGTTCGGTATGGAAGATTAAATATCCCAACTTAACTTGAGAAAAGCTCCTAATCCCAAGGATTCACTCTGTTTGGCATGGAAGATTGAATATCCCAACCAAACTTAACGGGAGAAGTATTTTCTCATTTTTGGTTGCATCTGGACCTTTTTTATGATATTATTAGAATTTTTTAAAGTCAAAGTACAATCAAGGAACAGGTGACTTACTAAAGAACTGATCCAATGGTGCCCCTTCAGACTGGCCAGAAACATAGCCAAAACTGCGGTTGTTGAAGCTACATCTGTGTAATACAGGAATGAAAAGAACCAGTGAACTGGGTACAATGCCACACAAATGGCATATATAGTCACTCTTCTGTCCCCAACGTTAGGCCTCAAGTGGATCAGTATATCGTAAATAATAATACTACAAATGACCGCCAGAACACCATTGGTAGCACGAAGGAATGAAGTAGAACAAACTTCAGAAAATGTCCCAGATGGTTTCATGAACGAAATGCCTGGAAACAAAGCGCCAATGTAGGCAAGCGAAAGACAGTACCTGCAGCATTATATATATAACTAAGAGGCCAATATTTCTTGAGCTGCATTTTAAAAGAACATACGAATATCTATAACGGTTGTAGCATTGCCAAGAGTACAGATAGTAATAAATTCATGTGAAAAAACTCACAAATCAGGGAGTTCTGTATAACTTACAGGCCAGGAGGTGTGGTGATCATGGGATCCCAACTTCTCAAGTCTCCGCCGCAGTACCTTTGAGCCTGAGGGATGTGAAATATCTCATCCTGCACAAATGCAATGCGTGCGGGGGCAGCGTAAGCAAGAAAGCATTGAACAGCAACGAGGAAAACTAGGGTTCGCTTACCATGTACGGGTCGGGAACGATCCGATCCACCACGACGGAAATGGAAACGACCCAAAGGGACACCACCGCCGCAACCGCGCGTCTCCCCATCTCCCCCTCCTCTCTGCCTCTCTCCCCTTCGAAGCAAATCGAGGGCGATCTACGTGATATATTTCTGCTGCGGGAGCGACTAATGATCCATTCGCTCGCTCGAGCTACTCAGCCTTGATCTAGACTCCCAGATCCGCGGAATTCCATTGGGAGTCAACTCCAGATCGGAAAAGTCCTCCCCCGAATCATGATCGACCCGTTTCCCCGTCCACTTCTTAGGTTTCCGCCACGAATTCGTCTCCGTCGAACATCTGCCGGAGCCGGCGCCACCCTCGACCATCGGTCGCCATCGTCGTCTCCCTCAGCGCGAGCCAGGCCATAACGTGGGCGACTCCAAGAAGAAGGCCCACTCATAATGGGCCACTAATGGATTATCAAGAGGACGGATAATTATGGGCCACGTGACTTTATGAGGCCCAATATGTTGGAACCCACGTCGGTTCCAGTATATAGTGATGCAAGTGATCCTAAGCGACTTCTCCCCGCTTCTCTCGTTGGAGATCCGGTCCCTGCGCATGGTGAGCCTGCGGAAGCGGCGGAGGACGGGAATCCGTTGGATAGCGGCGGTGATCGAGCAGTGAATCTGCTGGAAAAATTATTAAATATACATAATGTATATATATATAGAGAGAGAGAGAGAGGGGCTTGAGAAAAGGCGGGAACGTCGGACTCCTGTGACGCTCCCCGTCTTCCTCTCCACCAGGAAGAGTTTCAGTGTTTTCTCTGCAGCGCGACGTTCGTGGCGATCTGCGCGCAGCGTCAAGGAAGGAAGCTCCAATTCTATCCGGTGTGTCTCGGAAGCAACATGTCGTCTCATTGCGAGGTCCGCCGCCATCACTTTACCTTGTATCACGCCTGCTAAAGTCTTGTCCGATCATTTGATCGATCGCTCCAATCCCCAGCATTCTCAGCGTCATTCTGTTGTTATGAATGTGGATTGGGATTAAATGATTCGCCATTTTCTCTGTTTCGATCAGCTTTGCGATTCCATTGTAATATATTCCCATTTCGCAGCTAAATCCCGGCATCTGTAGGATGATAGAGATGATCTGTTGTAAATAGATAATCCCGTGCGATCAGAAAAGTAAACAAAATCTACTCGATTGACTTACATTATTGTGTCCCAAATCTGTCTCGAAAACGTTAAGATATCGTAGTTCCCCCTCTTTTTGTTAATCTTGTTTAAATTTAACAGTCTCAGGTGGAAGATAGTGCTGCTCACTCTGAAAATAATGACTCTGGTAAGGCTGAGACGAGATCATTAGTTGCCAGAGAAATATCAAAAAAACGAGGAAGGTACGAGAAAGAGGACCAAGAGAAGGGAATCCGTTTTCCATCCATCGCCTGGGATTTTATTATTATGAAGAAAAGAAGTTTCCCCACAGCAGCAAGATTAAGGAGGCCTCTCTCCAGTTCGCTGTAATTCTGGTTCTTCCTCAAGCAACAAGCAGACGCCACCTGCACCAAGAACAGCTGATGAGGCCAGCAGGGCCAATAACCCGTCTGAGCCCCGTCCAAAGATCATCGGTGCGGTGCCCGGACATTTCTTTGGGACAACCATCTTGATGTGCTGGAGCACAGATAGGCGGAACCCTAGAAAATTGGCGGCAAGGAGCTCCATGAAAATGCTCCACTCAGCCACACCCAAGAAGCTCTCATGGATGTTCTACAGCTGTCCAAAGCCAACAGAGAGTTCTTTCTGAATATCCTTATAGAACGAGGTGCTACATTGGCCGGTCATGATCAAGGTGAAGAGGGCTAGCAGATTTCTGGCCAACTCTGATCCTTTTCCTGCAGCAAGGTCCGCAGGTCGAAGGGATAAGTTTTGTACGCAGTCATGTTATCAGAGACGTTAATTATCTGATGTTGACATTTTTGACCACAAACTTTTAATGAATCCCTAGAGCGCAAGGCTCTTAACCTAGAGGTCGTGGGTTCGAGCCCTACGGGGTGGGCGTTTCGATATTCACCATTCAATCCAATCTTTGATGTATTGGGTTATTATAATCCCATTTCAGATTATCGTGATCTATAATGTTTTGAAAGTCTTGCATCTGATTTTTCTCACCACTCAACCAATCTCTCTCTCTCTCTCTCTCTCTCTCTCTCTCTCTCTCTATCTATCTATCCCTGTCCTTTAGACAAGTGGACACTATCTATTCATCGGACTTTTTCCCCCCAAACCCGCGTCGTCTTCGGGACCGATTATGTGGCGACAAGGCCTCAACAAAGTTCATTCTTTGGGTTTCCAATCATGATCTTAAAAAAAATAAAATCTCGAAATGATATTTATGTACATCAATGTAAGTTAGCCCGTGAGAAACCACGGGCCGGACAATCATCGGGATGAGTCCCACTCGGATCCGTGCCCGAGGACGTCTCCTGACAGTAATCCCCTGGGGAACCTGGTGACGTGGGCCCCTCTAATGGAGCATATATTTTATCGGCTGTCCAAATCCCTCTGCCGCTGAGGCGATTCTTGTCGGATGCAGAGAAATCGCCTCTCGGAGAGATTGGTCCGGCAAGCAATTGGCGGCGCACGCGACCATCCTACCGCGCCCGATGTTAACTTTTGGCCGGACCCGTCGGGGCGGGCCCCGCTCGCGTTATGCGGTCGCCTCCCCCACGCCTCCTTGCCACAGACCCGCGGACCCCCATCGTCCTCGCCGAGACGTTGATCACTGCCGCCGCAAAGCACCACTAATCACCACCTTCAGTCATCTAATGGGCCCGTAACCCCGTAACCCCGGCCCGACCTGGAAATAAACCCAGCCCACAGCTCCCTCTCTCCCTCTCATATGAGATGTACAGTCTTTGGTAATCGAATCCGGCGTACGGCGAAGATCTCCTGGAGAAGAAGAAGAGGAAGAGGAAGGGGAATAGGAAGAAGAAGAGGGAGGGGAAGAGTAAGAAGAAGAAGAAGAAGAAGAAGAAGAAGAAGAAGAAGAGGAAGAAGGTGGGGAAGAAGAAGAAGAGAAGCTTTGAATAATTCTCCCCTCTTCTTCTTTCAGCGGCAATGGAGGAGAGGGGAAGAGGGGCCACCACTCACAGAAAAGGGCGTGGGCGATGCGAGAGCCGCCGTCTGCAACAGTGTCCACGGCGTCGGCGGAATCTTCTCCGCCTAGAACGGCCCTACGAGGATGCTTAAGCAATCAATGGAGGGGAGTCGCCCAGGCGTGGAGCCTAGGGAGTGAAAGGTTCTTTTTACGGAAAAGGACCCATGTTTCAATTAATTGGTTTTTATATCGTCAATCTCGCTAAAAGAGAGTGAACTTTATATTGGCATAATTTATAGGGGTCCTTTGATAATAATTCACAAGCTAGAAACGTGGCAACTTTATAGGTGGGGTCAAAAAGGAAATTTCGAACATGATGTTTTACTGTTACATGACACATTTACCCCTCCACGTTCACGAAGCCCAGCAGACATGGACGTTGATATGGCGCGGATAACAACGAGCGGGGTCGATGGGTCGTCGAGAGGATAGCAGTCGATACGTGGTGGGAGTGGGATCGGATGACGTAGATTCGGACACGTGTAAAGCGGCCATGAGCCTCTCTATAAATTTGGGGTTTACTCCGCAGATATCTTCCACCTTCGAGCGTTGAGAGTGCCGGATTTAGAGGTCGATCAGTCCCCTCCTTCTGATCCCGTCGTCCTCCCCTAGTTCGAGAGAAGATGTCTTGCTGTGGAGGAAACTGCGGCTGCGGCTCTAGCTGTGGCTGCGGCAGTGGATGCCGCGGGTAAAATCGAGTTCCGAGTCCTTGATCGTTCTCTCCTCTTGTTTAGATCGTTCTCGTCGTCGTCCCATTTTTTATGTTCTTACATGCGTTTGCTCGTGATCCGTGGATCTACTCCATCTTGCTTTCTTGTTCTGATATCCTCCCTTCCGTTGGCATAGTCGTCGTTCGACTTCGTAGAGAAATTTTATTGTGATCTGAGGTTCTCTTGCTGTTCTATGTCGGCTTTGATGTTGGCGTTCTTCGCTTGTATCCTCTGTCGGTGGTATATTTTCTCCGCATGTCCTGGAAGCCGATTTCTCTGCGCGGATAGGATCTGTATCACTGATTGTTTTCTGTAATTTTATTAATGTTATTTTACGATGACGGGATCTCTGCATTTGGGGGGAGTCGCAGTAGGCGTTGTCCCCTGTCGATCTCCCAAACCGCCTCTCGGGCGCAGCCATCTCCTAATTTCCTCAAGTTGGTGACGAGCCTGATGAGATTCGTAAAGCTGCACTCGCCTCTGCTATATGTTATATATTTTCTGTATAATTTATCGATTCGGCAGCTGGAGAGGAACGTTAGTTGATCGTCTCGTTCCCCTCCCTTTACTCCCCTTTGCGAAGACTCCCACCCTTCCTCTCTATTCTACGTGATCACTCACTGCCTTGCCTTATCCGACTGCCCGGAAAGATGCCAATAGAGTTTTTTATTTTACTGCACCGCTATAAAAATAATCGGTTTTTGACAATCATTAGTTAGTGATGCTGACATGGCGTCACGGCGGCATTTACCTGTAACTAAAATTATCCCCTGCTCTCGGTCAAGTCCACGTAGTCATTTCTCCGCCTCTTCTTTTCTCCGACCGCAGGTGCAAGATGTTCCCTGACTTGGATGACGAGAGGATGACCACCACCGGCACCTTGGTCCTCGGGGTTGGAACCGAGAAGGCGTACGAGTCTTCCCGCTGAACTTCCTACCCTCTGTACTTCTACCCACTTCTCGATGTCCGCTTCCCCACTAATTGCCCTTTTGTTTCTGCGAATGCTTCCTGCAGATCATTCCAGGGATTCGAGATGGCCGCCGGCTCCGAGGGCGGCTGCAAGTGCGGCTCCAACTGCACCTGCGATCCCTGCACCTGCAAATGAGGACGCTTCCTGTTAGAAAGGCTCTCGAAGCCTTTATGCCGAGGCTGCGGTGGTCCTGGCCGCCTGCGTGTCTCTGGCTTTCGTCTTTGGAATAAAGAGCCATGGATGGTCGGCGGCAGCACTTACCCCCCATGGTCGTCACCCTGTGTCTTGGATTTCCTTCTAGGCGTCAATCTGCTCCGTGCCTTACCCTCCCGAATGTTCTGAATACCTGAACTGAAATATATCTAAAGAAATCTCTCACCCCAGTAGCACGTCTGCAGAGTAGTACATGCTCCTCTGCTCTTCGCCATCTCTGCAGAGTACTAGCAGATGAGCCCTGTACTCTTCGATCTGGCGATGTGAGGGGAAGCCCGCCCTCCTCCTCCAGTTCTCCGTTTGAAGTACGCCATCTTGTCGTTCTCTACCCGCGATGGACAGGACATTGCGGGGTGAGAGAGTGCTGACATCTGGTGACGTACTCCTCTTCTCTCCTGCAGATTTGCCCACGGGGCCTTCTTTATCCGGGCCGATCCTTCGGCCCGCCCTGTAAGAGATTTTTAGTTATGGGCCTGGCACGATCCTCCATATGCCCTTATCAGAGAGACAGAATGAGAAAATAGAATGATATTGGGTGCAATATCATTTTATGGTGAGATGTTGGCGGTGTGGCAAGTAAAAAGGCCCGGTGGACTCCTCGAGCAATAGACGTAACTCGGTGGGCCTGCTTTGGTAAGGCCCAGTTGCACTTCCACGCTGTCTTTGGGCCATGCTAGGCCAAATTAATGGGCCATGCTGGACCACCCTAGGCACAGTATTGTCTCTGTAGACCCACCACAATCATCGTCTTCTGCGACACCAGGATTGCATATATATTTAGAGAGCGAGAGAGAGAGAGAGTCAACGTAATCATACGGATGAGGAATTGCCACGTGCCGTTCAACAAACAGGACAAACCGCTGAGGCCGAGGGAAACAAGACGGCGCTTATTGATTTTATTAAGGGGCGAGGGAGTGGGGTTACTCCATTCAGCCGAGGTGGTTGATGAACCTGGCGGCGGTTGCCACGGCGCCGCCAGTGATGGCGCCCTTCACCACCTCGTCTCTGCTCTTCTTCGAGGCAGCCGACACCAGCGCCCCCGTTATGAACCCCCCAAGCAGCGCGTTTTTCTGCCCAAAAAAAGAAAAAGAAAAAGAAAAATGAAGCATAATAATTTAGTGTAGAAGATCATAGCACGAGTGATTCGGCAGATTTGGATTCCTAGCTGACTTTTCATTAACCCACTTGGCCTTAAGAGATCCCTAATTTTAGCATCTCCACGATCCGTCCTCCTTGTTCGAGCTTCCATTTATAGAAAAATCTCTCCACATCAAGAAAATATGGTGCCAAATTTACAATAACGGGAACGTAAGTTCAAGCTAACCCATGATAAGGTAATCACTAGATGCGCGATCTCTACAGAGAGAAGATGGTATGCTCCTTGGCAGGGATTGCGATGAGTTTTAAGAGAGAGAAGGAACTCTAGAGAGGAGACTGACCCAGTCATTTCTGTCTCGGATCCTTCGAATGCTGTACTCCATACCGGCATACGTTCCACCTACGGCTCCTGCGCCATTGAATTGCATTGAAACGAAGACAGTCAAACGCCGAGGTCAAAACATTTGACACGTGCCACGGATTTCTAAAACCAGCTGATTTAGTGGAGGGTCAAAGTCAAAGATGGGTCCCTAGACAATGGGGGCACCTTCAGAAGCAGGAGAGACCCCTCGATATCAATCAGGAAGAATGCCATGAGAAAAAAATTGGCAATTTTATCCTTGTAAGCTAGCACCAGTCAGCCACTAGAAGAAAATATTTTGGAGTGTTGAAAGTCAATATCGGCTATAAGATATGGATTTACTTTCCAAATACGTCCAATGTTTAGAATGCCAAAGATGAACAAACTGATTCAATCACCCGAGAAAGAAATTCGAGCTTACCCCAGTAGGCACCTTCTTTGCACATCTTCTTGAACTGCAGAGACAGGAAATTACCATCATGAATAATAAAAATATTCCCTTCTGAAGAACAGAGCTTTTTAAGCGACACAAAGTTCTCAGGAAAAGCGTTTGAAGATATTGGAAAGGCGTTTGAGGTTCCTCTGGTATTACAGAATAGTTCAAACACTGGAAATCTGTAGATTATTCTATTAGTATTTAGTGTTAACACTCACTGCTATGCAAAGAGGCAAGAACTATGGTATGGCATATGATACATCGTGTAGATAATGAAAACCATTTCAGAATATTCAACCTAATCTTTATCATTTACTTTGGCGATATTGAAGAAAGAGAATGGCCTCCATTGATGAGTTATTACACTTTGTCGCCATATGTTGATGCTCCTGATCGGCGAAAAATAGAGAATGGTTCAGTTAAACACACGCCATCAAATCCGGAATCAAATGATTGTTAAGGAAAAATTTGTTGTTTTCTCTTAGCATGGAACGAAATCGTTCGAGTCTCGATAGGAGTATGAACAGATGGTGGGTGGGGTTGTAAAACTGCTCGGGGCCGTCACCACCGGGTCGCAACATTGAAATGGATGGCGCATGGATCTGCAGCATGATGAGGAAACAAAAGGACAGATGCCGCAGACCAAGCTAGTCAATACTTCCGTGGGTTTACTTGGTGTTTAGATTCTCTTCAAACATTCTGACCCCTTCAGTATGGGAGAGTATGGAAAATATGAACTCAATTATGATTAAGACTCTTTAGGGAGAGAAAGCGAGCGAGCGAGCGAGAGAGAGAGAGAGAGAGAGAGAGAGAGAGAGAGAGAGAGAGAGAGAGAGAGAGAGAGAGAAGGCCCGAGCACTCACTGTTTCCTTCAATGTGTGCTCCGAAACGCTCCCTGTGACAGATCGAACAAAGCAGAATTAAGAAATGTGTTACCCAATAATTTCATCATCAGACAAAATAAAATAGAGAAAACGTGAATGCAAGCCCATTCCAGTTTCAGAGGGATATTTTATTCTGAAGCACCAGAGATATGATGTTCACTAGATTCGTCTTCGAATATCTTAAAATATTTTAGCAGCTGACGAGAGAGATGCATGACCGCAGTTCCCGTCAAAAAGAGGAATTCCTGTTTTGTCAGCTTGCATAGGATTTTATGTAGGAACGCTTCACGCCTGATTGACATGCCTGCGCAGAGAATTAGAACAAACAGAAACCAGTAAACCTTGCTTGTTCCTTCCTGGTCTGCACGATCTGCGGTTTGAACATCAGAACAGCTCCACATACAGGTGGACATTAGATAAATATTTTAAAAGAGCTCATATACATCCTCTCTCTGGCCTCTGAAATCCTACATTTCGTCATTTCTGAACATCACTCATTCTTTTGTGTGGTAAACCGAGCCACATCTCAATGAACTGTGAACGTCAGGCAAAGTGAACCGTCGATGGAGAAACCAGATGCCCCATCTAATGATTCCAGATCGGGAAAGAAACGAGGAAAACAACCTTTCCGGAGGCAGTGATAGGTGTCCTCCGCCACAACCTTGGTAACCGCCACCTGCGAAAGAGGGAAAGATCGCCTATCAAGGAAACAAAAAATGGATTCCATACATCGGTAGAGGAGGAGGAGAAGGAGGTGCTGCCGAGACATTACCGCTCCGATCGTCAAAAAGCCGTCGGCGGCGCGGTTGAGGAAGGGATTCCCCATATCGACATGGAAGTCGACCCTGGGCGAGCTTGCGGAAAGGGAGAGCTTGCCTCCGGCCATCCTCCTCTTCAGTCCTCACCTTTTCCCGCCACCCGTCGCTCACCGACGCCAAATCTACTCGATGGGAGAGCTCAACCAAGGAAGCAATTATCCACTCTCCCACAGCGCGCACAGAAGGAATCCCCAGGTGTACAAGAAGGCGAGCTTTGCTAACTGAGAAAGCGAACCGCGCACAGCGGGCGCTCCGGTAGTTTTGCCACGTGGAATCGTGGGACTCGCCGTCCTGCCAACGGTCGAGCGCCCGCCAGGTGGCGGGCCCACCCATCCGATTTAGCGGTTCGGGTTTGGCCCGATTTGCTTTTTTTTTTGGGAAGGATGATCAGACGGCTAGATTAAGATCAGATCGGCTGCGCCGTAAAGTAGGGTGGTATTCGTTATATAATTTATAAATTGTATTTAAATTTAAGCTTTTAGAGTATAAGACTATTTTTTTTAAAAAAAGGGCTTTTCACAAATAAGCGGGCCGGTGGAGATCGTGACCGTCCGGTTGACCAGAGGCAACAACTACCCTCTGATCAGTTCATTTCACATGCCAGATGTCAGGAGGCGACACGTGCGTTTATTCGTCTCGCCGTCCCCCCCCCCCAGATGACACGTGGTGAAAATGCACGGGTCAATCTTGCGGCGCCGAATCTTGTTATAAAATTTGGTAGTGGGCTAGTACGTGATGGGCCTGGAGGGGTGGGCCATGCGAGATTTATCCACAGGAAAAACGTGGACGTTGGGCTCCCGAACCGTTGGGGTTTGGGCAGCGCGGCACCTCTGAGAAAGGTAATTCTCGATGCGCGGCGAGGGCATCTGGCTAGAACGAGCCCTCCACCTCCCCATCTTCCTCCTCGCGAGGCTTGCCGACAGATCTGTGCGTTCTCTCTCTCTCTCTCACACACACGCACACTCTCAACCACTCTCTCTCTGTCTCTCCTCTCTCTAGTTTTCTCTCTCGTCTGTGTGCAGGCGAGGAGTCGGGCCATCCAATGTTTCTTGCTGAAGATTGTCGAATTCCGGTGACTTTCGTCCTTCAATCGATTGATTTTATGCTGATTAGGCCAGGGTGTTTTTTGCAGAATGCCCCAGCGGAGGCGCGTACATCTTGGGGTCTAGACCTGTACTCTGTCTAGGGATTTGGAACTTTGTTTCTTCTTATTACTCAGAGTGTGGGCATTCTCGTGGCCTGTTTGGTCTGCTTGGCTGAGATGGTGACTGCAACATGGGTACCTGTTTCCTCCAGTACTTTGGTAATATCTCGTCTTCTTCCTAAACGAAGTGATTTTCGCAATGGTGGCCCATATCTTCTCCGCCTACCTTCGAGGGGATTCGCACCTGCACGGGCCTGTTCCGTTGACTGTGATAAGGATCAACCGTCGTCTTCCAAAGAGAATAACCCGGTGGCTGCTGTTCTGAGCATCCCCCGCACAATTTGGAGTCGAATACTGAATCCCCTGAGCGACTTTGGGTTTGGCCGAAGGAGCATTTGGGAGGGCGGCGTGGGGCTGTTTATTGCTTCTGGAACCGTCCTCATGGCTCTTACTCTGGTTTGGTTGAGAGGTTTTCAATTGAGATCTCGATTCAAGAAATATCAGGTGGTTTTCGAGTTTGCTCAGGCGTGTGGCATCTGCTTGGGAACACCAGTGAGGATAAGAGGGGTGACTGTAGGAACTGTTGTTCGTGTCCATTCATCTTTGAAAAGCGTGGATGCAGTAGTTGAGGTTCGTACACAGTGGCTTTTTAATTTCCTTTTTTTCTTTGCTGTTGAAACTAATAGAACAATTTTTCTATCTATAAAATGTTGTTCGCTCGAATTCAAGAATATCCATCTCTGGTCCGGGAAAATAGGCGAGGGGCAGAGGCTTAGGTTGGAAAAAGTTGTAAATGCGTCGCTATATTAGAGTAAATTGGAAGAATTTCAGGTAAAGAGAAGTATTCAATTTATTGATCTGATGCTCCCTCTTTCTTTTTTTATTTTTTTTCAAATAATTAGGCTTTCAACCTTTATAAAAAAAAAAAGAGAGTGGGGAATCAAATAAAAGGCTGCCTATCATGTAGGATGGGCCCTTGCTGATGAGATGCACAAGCACATGGTAAAACTATATGCACGCATCAAAAAAAAATTATTACTTAATGTATAAAATAACTGAAACATTGGTACAATCTTTGAAATTCGTCTGATCAAACCTTCTGATCATGTGGTAGTTTTAGTCATTCAAGTTAAAAGTCTTGTTTTTAAGTCCAACATTGCTGTATGACATAGGAGCACTGGAGAAACTAATCGTAGAGTTTTAGTCGCCTCTGTAGTCCAATTGCCATGGCAGAAATGGAGAGATTTAGATTGCGGTAATTGGTTTCTTTTTCTTTCTGGCAATGGAACCTGACTTCTATCATTTTGCCTTTACAGGTAGAAGATGAAAAGGTTATTATTCCTCGAAATTCGTTGGTCGAGGTGAACCAGTCTGGACTTCTTATGGAGACTATGATCGATATTACTCCCCGAGATCCACTTCCAGGACCGTCAGCTGGTCCTCTCGATGAAGACTGTCATAACGAAGGCCTGATTGTTTGCGACAGGGAAAAGATCAGGGGAAAGCAGGGGGTAAGCTTAGATGAGTTAGTGGGGATATTCACCCGTCTGGGAAGGGATATGGAAGAAATAGGTGTCGCCAGAAGCTATGCATTGGCTGAAAAAGTTGCATCAATTGCACTGGAAGCACAGCCCCTCATCTCAAAGGTATGAACATCTTTTATTCTCTCTTTATCGTATCTTTTTTGTGCCATCGTCTACACTAATAGGGAAAATATCTGGATTTCTTTTTCACTTACATGTCATTTTGGCCATGCATCTTGGCCGAATTCGCGAGTATCATCAATGCTGATCTATCCATCTACTATATATATATATATATATATATATATATATATAAATATCACAGTGGCCACGCCCTTCGCAATTTCTATATTCTCTGGCTTTAGCTGACATTCTCCTTACCTTGATGCCTGCGCATGATACATAATATGTGAGAAGTGGGTGGCGCATTTATCTTTCATTCACACGAGTGTCTTTGGTGGTCTACCTCCCACATGTAGCATGTGATGTAACGTCTTGCTTAATTGCAAGAGGAAAATGAGTCAACGTGATCACTTTGTGATCCATGAGATGTGAGGCGCATTTTTAAATGGATGTGTGTTGAGATGAAGGCAATTGGGACAAGCAAGAAGGCTTCTACTCATGCTGGGGGAACTCTTTGAAGGGAGGAATCCTGATGGTCCATTGACTTGACATACGAAAAATAAACCCAAGGAAATCAGTTTAGGCCTGACCTTTTGAAATGACCAGGGGTTTCTCTGTGATGAGGAGATAAGTGCTGCCTTATATCTCGTAAGAATGAGGATCAGAGAGAAAAGATGGGATGCTCACCTTCACTGATGGTCACTGACGATTTCTTCCACTCCTCACCAGCAGCTTTTGACTCTTTGGCAGGTGCTCCTGTCCGTTGCTTTCTCTTTCAACTCCATTCTTACGCTCGACTGTATTTATGTGTATACATATAATAATGAAAAGCAGAAGATGATGTGTGATCCAAAACCCTTTTTCTTTTTCTTATGACAAAAGGCAATCAGAAAATTCATGGATTAATGGCTTGCGGCTTCAGTGGACCAGGGTCTTGGCCTAGTAGCCTGGGTCCGGCTAAAAGTCGATGAATAGTCTCTGGGCTGGACAGACATGGACTTCTATCATTGGCCTGACCAAACCACCCACATTGGCCTGATTCTATCATTTTGCCCTCGTTTTGTCCAGAGTGGCCACCCAATCCCGTCGACTTGTTTCCCCAATTTCTGATACTAAACTAGTCCAATTTTTTTTCTCTGGTTAAAAAACCATCTTAGAACCCAATCAGGAGATGAGTTTCCTTACCCACAACCTCATAAATAAATAATTAAATAAGCTTTAAAGAAGGATGCGAGTTCTCTGAGCTTATTCTCTCGAAACATGGTTTTATAATCCGTATGTTCTTATGCAGCAATTGAACATCATCGATATTAATGTTTCTGATGTAGTGGGGTAACAGATTGAAGCCATGCTCGAAGATGTACAGCCCATGCTTTCCGAGGTTCGCAGCAGTGAGCTCCTGAAGGACGTTCAGAGCTTGACCAGAACGCTTGCCGATGCTACTCAAAATCTGAGGTAAGAACAGGGCCATCTCGCTCAAAAAATCTTCATAAAATAACGAAGAACACGAAGAGAAAGGAGAATCGATCTACATTCATTTTTCTCTTCCTGTCTCCTGTAGAACGGCGCGCTCGTCCATGATAACACCGGAAAACACTGATCTTCTCAGAGAGTCCATCTCCACGCTAGCGGAGACCCTGAAGAACATTGAGGTGTGGTGCTTCTTCTCTCAGGGTTACCCTCTGATACCGAGTGCTTGGTTCATCTGTTTGCCCTAAATTCTCCCGAATCGCAGGGAATTACCTCCGATATCTCTGCTTTCACCGGCGATGAGGTTACCAGGAAGAACTTGAAGCTGCTCATCAAGTCCCTCAGCAGACTCATATAGTGACTCCACGCTGTATACGGCCATCAGCAGATCGTAAGAGCTCTCTCTCTCTTTCTCTCTCTCTCTCTCTCTCTAGAAGGTCTCTGGAAGGAATCAACGTGCTTGATGCTGCTGCTGTGCTGTTCACGAGGGAAATATCTCCTTTTTGTGGGCTTGTTTAATTATTGGGCTAATTTCTGTCTTGGGTTTTGGAAATTATATGGGTTTTTGTCGATCATTTTTTTTTTCATCCCCACTCTCTTTTTGTTCAGGTCAAGGAAATGTTTCTTGCAATCGCGTTGTGATGATATTAAATTTTTTTCTTTGTGCGAAGACCTCGCGGAAAGTCGGCGCTCTCCGTGTGATGTTGACTCTTCGCCTCGTTTGACCACGCGTCGGGTGTGTTTGGCCCATGTGACTCTCGGGGAAACTGGGCCGGGAGCTTCTTCCACCCGCCCCACGGAAGTGATGGGCCTGTTAGACCTATACGTGGGCCATTTACTTGATCAAATTCACGTCCCTGGGCCCGCACATTATTAGCCAGCGAGGAAACGGTTGATGCCCAGTTTGGCACTGGGTCCCCCACTGTTTTCAGTCGAGATTCTTGTCACGTGCCTTCTTATGATCATATATGATGAATGACGGTCCCTGTCATGTGCCACTTGCTGTCACACTCTCTGTCTAAAGTTTTGGGTACCACAAGGTGAAAATCTTGATTTGTCTCTACATCATCAGATTTTACAACTATCAGTCTTATCATATCATAGTTAACAATCAATCCAATCTTAGATGAAGACGGAGAATCATCCTCTTTGTGAATCCCCTTCTAGTTCTTATATAAAGCAGTGAATATCAACAACTAAAGATCAGATTGATAGATTGATGAATAGCTTCAACAGTTGACCGCAAGGAAGTCCTAACACCTTGAGCACAACCCTAACTAGAGCTCTAGGTCATCTCCTCCATTCTCCTTTGAAAACCTCAAAGAAAGAGTATCGCCCCCAAGGGTCCTTATTACCAGGGTGATTTTGTAAGGACAAACCTTAGCAATAGCACACTATGAATGGTAGACATACATGTGGGCACACAGGGCTGCATGGCATGGAGCAAGCATGTGGCAGCATGATGAGCATGATGGTGACACAACATAGGCACACAACATCACGATGTGAGCACATGATGACGAGGCATAAACATAGAGATACATGGTATGGAGACCAAAGGCCATGAAAACAAATGACATCACTAGTATGGCCTCATCTAGTGATTAGGCAATTAACCTTAAGGGTCTCTTTATATAAAGGGATATAGACCCCATGTATGAAGCACCTTGTAACCATCAAGTTAACTTCTTTGGTCACGTGAGATTGGCTGGGGACTGATTCACCTAACACGTCTTTAATGGAGCAACCCACATCCTTGTTATAGTGGTATTAGAGATATAAAAAAGTCAGACCCTTTCTACCCCTCTGATTATTTTTTCATTGTTAGTAGAGAGATAGAGGTTAAGAGAAGTTTGGGCAGTGTGACCCATGGGTAGAAAATTGGTCAATTAAAAGAGCAGCATAAGGTGACAATAAGGTTTGTCAAGACGCTTGCAAAAACAAATAAGAGAAGGAACGAGCTTGAGGGGCAACGATAATGATTGAGACCTTGTTTGATCAAATAAATGAAGAGCTTAGATCACTATATGAGCAAGCCTGAGACATGGCTATGTCATTTGTAGCTTATAAAGGAGAGATCTCACAAGTATAGGAGGAATTCACATGAGAGTTGGCAAGGTTGCATAGGTAGTCAAAGCAGGTCGTGAACAACCTTCAAAGCAAGATTGCGGGTATTTAAAGACATGAACATGTCATGTCCACATGACTCTTGAGGGTCAAGGTGCTTGAACCTAAACCTTACTATAGAAAGTGAGATGTGATGTTGATTGAGAATTTTCTTTTAGATCTACAATGTTACTTGATTGTCAACACATCTTTTGGGGAAGAAAAGGTCTCATTAGGATCCTCAACTTGGCGAGCCACATTAAGACCTAGTGTCAATTAAGGTTAAGGACATGTTTTGACCAACAATGACTTGTTAGAGTGAACTTATCAAAGTAATTTGAGAATAACTTTATCAATGCAACTTAGTTCAAGTGATAAGAACAACTATGAGGCAATCGAAGCACATCGAATTCATTTGCAAGTACATAGAGAAATTCTCAATAATGCTACTAGAGGTACTTAGGATGGACAAGGATGACAAGTTTCATTACTTCACCAAAAGATTACAACGTGAGCTCATAATGAGTTTTACGACCAAAGGGTGCAAGACATCCATGCAGTCATGACTATGGTGGACACACTAATAGACAATTAACACCAACAAGAGGTGGGTTGGGATACTAGCTAATGAAAATTATGATGTTGTTGGACAAAAATTATGACTTTATGATTCTAGCCTATAATTATTTCTAGAAAAATTAAAATTAAAATCAAAATAGATATGACTTCATGTTGTAAAGAAATATAATCATTGAACTATGATGATTAGAGATCCTCAAAATGATTATAAAAAAAAAGGTAAATAGATAATGGCTTAGACATTATATAGAAAATGAATACCTTGCAAAAAAAGAGATCTTTTATTTGAAATTTGAGATTAAGATTGATTTGTCTAGTTGGAGAGAATAAACTCAACATTGTATGAGAGGCAAATAATATTTTTTACTTCATTGATGTAATTTATTTATTTTTAATTTATGTTTAACATCAAAAAAATTATGTTTTTTCTTCAAATAAAAGTGTAGAAAGTTATCTTACTTTGATTATGTGTATTTATTAGAATTTTTAAAGAAATATTGAGTGTGGTAATGGCTTGCTTACGTCAAGCCCAACATTACGCTCAATGCTCATTGATTACAATGAAGTGATTTAAGAGAAGAGTGGAGCGAGATGAAACATGGGGTAATTGGTCGTGAGCTAGGGCACAAGATAGTGATGACCGAGATCCCTCTATGTGGCAAGTAATCTGACTTGCCACATGGAGGGAATCTGACTTGGAATGAATATCTTAAACTCCATTACTTTGATGCTTGCTCCTTTCCTAGTTAGAAGGAATTTGACTTACTTCTTGAGGTGTAGTGAAGGCAATCGTGAGTATCATTTGGGGGGACATATAGAAGGAGAGCCAAAACTATTGGTGGCATGTGATGATGCAATGATAATAGTAATGATTCTTGTAGCTACAGCAACGATGGTACAATGGTGGCAATGAACAGTGATGACATCAACAAACTCTCTTCTTATGTGACAAGCAAATGAAGAGCTAGGTCGATAATGGTGGTGCAACAACAACAACATGTAATAGTTGTAGTTATGAGCTTCTCCTCCAATGTGACAAGTAAATGAAGAATTGAGAATGGCAAAGGTAACTGTAGCAACAACAACAGTAATAATAGGTAATAGAGCAAGGAGTTAACCACAACAACAGATCTCAAGCCACGATGACATCAACCTAATTTCCTCTTCCACAAACCATACCCTCTTATTGAGTGAGAGAAAAAGTTTACAAATTGAACTTATTTTGTTTCAAATTGTGTACTAAATTAGATATTTCATTGTCATAGTAATGTGAATGACAGACATATAGCTAAGATAATTTTCTTGATTGTATTAATTATTATCATTTTATAGTGCCAAAAAATATGTCTACCTACGTAATATCTAATGTTCATTTTAATGTGAATGACTATTATAAATTTAAAAGGAAGAAAGTTAAGTGACATAGAGCATTAAGAGTCAATATATGAGAATAAAATAATAATTATTATATAATACTTACAAGAGTGACACTAATAATTAGGTAATAATTTTATTATTTACACTAACAACATCATCATCACCTATTTTAATTCTAAGAAATCGACTCCAAATAAGTACAGTGATAAAACTTCTTAACATAATATGACTTTTTACACTAGTACAAAGTAGGATGTATTAATAGTGTTATGAATGTATTGAATCATAAGGAATGTTACAACAATCTGGCCACCTTTTCAATGAGTACTGATAACTTGTTGAATGCCATACATGAGGCTTATTTTATGGATCTGACAACTAAGCATCTCATATAGCAAATCAAGATGGGTGAAACCCATTAGGTCTACATAGAAGATAATATCCTCTACATATAAGGATGATGCCCCTACATGTCACAGGGTTGATAATGTCGGCAACGATTCTTTTGGAGACAACAACACATATTGGCCAATTATTCTTGGCCAAAGATAGAGTAGGACTTCTATGTACAGAAGTCTCTATGACAAGGTAAAATCGTAAAATAGAATGGAGATTTTAAAATCTTTTCTCATTCTGAAAGAATCATGAGAGTCGTTGACAATAAATTTCATCATTTGACTCCCTAAGATCAAAAATCATGTATGATCTTAGTGGTGATAGACTAATTTTTTATGTACGTCATGTTCATTTCAACATAGTCTAACTACATAACAAAGAAAGTGGTAAGATTATTTTTGACACATATATCAAGTTTTGAGGCATACTATGAGACATCATCTTGAGATCCACACTTCATAGGGTAAATAGAATACATTCATGACATGTTTGAATAATATTTACGCCACTACGCGACAACATGTTAAGATAGTTAGTTAGATCTATTAGATATCACTCAATTCACCCACATCTAGTAGTGCACCTCCAAAAGCACTCACCTTTTTAGCTCATCACATGTAGCTAGTATTTGACACTACTAGAGGTTGTAAAGTGATTGGGATGGAAATGTTTCTCAATTACCTACTACTTTGTCAAATAGTGACAAGACATCATTAAAGAAGCTCGTAAGACCTTAGCATGGGTCATATGTAAAATAAAGAAGAATATAGATTGCTACTAAAAGAAGTCAAATATGATGTCAGTGATTGAGTATTATTATAGATATATCCAAGACACAAAAGTCTTTAATAGCATAAGGACCAAAATAGGTTGGTCTCTTTATACAACGAGTCATTCCAAAGTGTAGCACACATGGGATGTTCAACATATTGACTACAACTCCCACAACATCTTCTTATACACCTAATCTTTCAAGTCTCACTACTAAAGTCATATCATGTTAATCAAGAAGATCTAAGAAGGAATAAGCCACAAATGGTGTAGTCCCACTATTCCACATAAGTTGAGTTGAGGATATCTTTTGAAACATTAGTTGGTTGACTATGTGAGGTAGTCACTTGGAAAAAAGACATGAACCTATGATAGTTTGAGGAGCCGATTAAAAATTATTGTGTCCATTAACATATGATGATGATGTTAGATCAAACTAATGGGGGAGAATGTTATGAGGGTCACCTTGCAAAGACAAATCATGACAACAACACACCGCGTATGGTAGACAAGCATAATGCGATGAGAATACACGACATCATGGCATGCAAACATGGCAGCATAGAGCAAACATGCGGCAACATGATGTGTGCACATAACATCATGGCCCAAGTGCATAGTAACACAATACACACACAACAACAACATAGTAAAGATTCACAACATCTATTAATTATATTGTTATTCCCACATCAAAAGTGGAATTAACTTCCCCAAGGGTCCTATCTATATAGAGGGACTCATGCCTCATGTATGAAGCACCTTGAAGATATCAAGTTAACCTCTTTGGTCATGTGGGGATGGCTAGAGACTAACTCATCTAACATTTGGTAAGAATTACATGTGGAACAATCAACATCTTTGTTATAGTCTCAGTTGGGGGAGCTTCTCCTTCCACACAAAGTTTTATGTATGGTGTTGAAGGTTGATTCCATATTGGTGAAGAATAAGTAAAACTTTTTTTTTTGTTGAAGTGTGATGACTCACTTTAGACCCCCCAAGTTTTTTCTTTTCTATTATTTACTTTTATCATATTTGTTTCTCTTCTTATGCTCTCTATATAAACATACTTTATCATTATTTTAATTAAGTTCATAAAAGTTATTCTCTCTCTTCATTTTAGGACTTGGAAGACATCAACATCATCCTACTTCTCCTTTCTCTTCCATCACATTCTATTTTATTTTTGGCATGATTTTATCATCAATCTATTGAGTTTAAAACCCTTTGCACTATAGAGAGAGATATTCCTTATCATATGAGTTTATGTTGTTTTTACAAACAACATGATATTCAAAAGCAATTGATAATTAAAATACTTCATAAAAAAATAATATAATTAAATGAAAAAACCAATCATTAGTATAAATTTCATGAAATATACTTAGTGAGAAGCATCTTCTAAATGATATTTAAGCTAAAATAGTAAAAAAAAAGTAATAATATATCTTTATTAGTTCTAGTGATGAAAATAATTATAGAGATTTTAATAATACTCTTATTCATCAAAATATATATTCTTTCAAAAATATATATAAGTTGACGCTATTAAACAAGGGACAATGTTTGATATGTCTTCTTCATCAAGCTTTACAAGAAACTCAGTCATTTTGGTGGATATGGTAGCCACACTAATTATAGTCTTAAATTCATCCAAGAAAATACATTCTTTCAATAAGATATAGGAGTCATTATTTTTTTATTAATTATTTTAAAACCGAAGAACTATGAAGAGGTTCAATGAAAAGAAGAATGGGATAAAACTATGAACGAAGAAATTGCCTCAATTGAAAAGAATAACACATGTGAGTTTGTGGATTTACTAACCAAAAATGATGCTATTAGTGTGAAATATGTTTTCAACATAACAATATAACAAATATTCAAGTATAATTCAGATGAAAATATACACAAATATAAGATAAGGCTAGTGACAACATGACATAAATAATAATTTGGTACTAATTATTTTAAAATATTTTCCCCCGTCACTAAATTTGAAATTGTTAAAATTATGATATGGGACTGAAGAGAAATATCAATATAAAAAAGGAAGTTGTGATTTAAGATTGACCTTGGCTAAATTAAGGAGGATTGTGAGTAGACTAATCATGTTGATTTTAGAAATATTAGGATCATAATTACCTAAGAAGAATTGTACTTTCGAAGGTTTAGATAAAGTTTCAACCAAGAGTATTAAGATCACCAATAAAAGCACAAGAAAGGGTTATCATATGATTCACTCAATTCTTATAAGGAGTAAGGATATAAATTATTATCACTCTACAAAGAAAATTGAAATCAAACTACTTGCTAAAAGAGATTCTTGATTAATTTTCTTGACTCTAGTGACTTAAGATTCACGATTCTTGAGTGATTCCCAAGAATATTAGAAAATGGAAATACTAAGGGTGCAGAGGAAGAATTAAGAATGGAGGAGCCAGATAGAGGCGGAATAGGAGAGAAGAATGATGAGAGTCAACGAAAAGAAATGAAAATGGAGGAGTGGGAAGAGAGAGAGAACGGCTGTATGTGGCGATGGTGGGAGAGAGATAAGGAGAGAGAAAATGGAGGGGTACGTTGTGACGGCAGGAGAGAGAAGAAAGAGGGTTCTCGTGAGGACGAGAATCGAGGGTGAATTTAAATATTGAGTAAAGGGCGGATGGAGAAAAAGGGGCGAAATGAGAGAGTATTGGTGGGAGAGAGAGAGAGAGCAGTCTCGTCGAGACAGGAGGCTAAAGTCGGTAGGTGGCGATAGTGAGAGAAAGAAGGGAAGAGGGTTTTGCGACGACAGGACAGTCGGAAGGGCGTCTAGTGGCGACGGCAGGCTGGTGATGGGGCGGACGACAAGGAGGCGGAACAGCGGCGACAGGGCGGATGAGGAGGAAGAGGAACGGCGGCGACAGGGTGGATGAGTAGGAAGAGGAACGACAGCGACAGGGCAGAGGAGGAAGAGGAACGGCAGCGACAAGGCAGATGGCAAGGAGGCGGAATGGCGGTGACGGGGCGGATGAGGAGGAAGAGGAACGGCGGTGACGGGGCGGAGGAGGAAGGGGAACGGCGGCGACGAGGCAAATGGCGAGGAGGCCGAGTGGCGGTGATGGGGCGGATGATGACAAGGCGAAATGACGGTGACAAGGCTGCTGGCGAGGAGGTGGAATGGCGGCGACGAGACAGATGACAAAGAGGCAGAACGACGGCAAGGAGCGGGCGGTGAAGATGCGGAACGGCTGCGGTGGCAGGTGAGAGGAAAGGAAGGGTTGGCGACGGGACAGACAATGGGCGAATAGGGGGAAGAGAAAGAGAAAAAGAAAGAGAGGGAGGAAACCCCAAGTCAATGGGCGATAGGGGGAAGGAGACGATCTTCTAATCCAAGAAGTTAAAATAAACTTCTTGATTAATTCCGCAAATCAATATTCAACTACAACATGAGTTTTAGATTTTATACAGTAGAGAAGAAATGGAGAGGGGTGGTTCTCCACGAAATAGAGAGAGAAAGAGAGGAAAGAGGTGAAGGAGACACCATTTCTCAAGAGATGCCATGTGGTGTCTCTTGGTTTAAACGACGCCCCACTTAATAAGAGGAGGGGCGTGAATCCTCTTGTTTATTAGTAGTGATCCATATATCCTAGATTTAATATTTCATGTTGAATTCAAGAGAGGAGAAAGTCATCGATTGACTTTGAGTCGAACTCTTTGAAGTGGAAGAATCATAATTCTTGCATTTCTCTTTGTAAGGGTTGACCTCAAAGGTTGAGCCTCTGATTAACTATCTTCTATTGAATTGAGTTAATTTTCTTGAATAGAAAATTCTTGATTGAATCCAGCGATCCCATCAAATTATTTTGATAATAGCAGCTCAAGTCAAGTGGTTATTATTCTAATTTGATGTTAAATTTATATTTTTGAATAGATATTTGAATAAAGATATGTATGTTGAGCAACCTCATGAATTTGTGATTAATGGCAAAAGTAATAAAATTTATAAGTTTAAGAAAGTATAATGTGAGTTTAAATAAACACCAAGGGCATAATATGGTTGATTGACTCATATCTTCATGAAAATAGTTTTTGTAGAAATAAGAATGAACCATCACTTAATGTGAAGATGAAATAAGAAAATACTTTGATAATGTGCAATGTGGATGATATTATTTATATTTATTCATATTCCGAATTGATATAGGAGCTCAAGATATCCATGAAGGTAGGATTTGATATGAGTGATTTAAGTTTATTAAATTATTTTTTCAAGATTCAAATTATTAAAAATGATTATTGCATATTTATTTCTCAAGATAAATATACTTTAGATCTACTTCAGAAATTTAATATGCTTAATTGAAAAAAAATGTATTAATATAAAAAATACATGACATAAATTATGCACTAATGATGATATTGTAAAGATGGATAAATGATTTTATAAAAGTTTGATTGGTGGTTTGATATATTTAACACAATGTAAGTTAGATATTATGTTTTCAATTAGTTTGATTTCAGGTTGATGCATTATCTTACAACATATCATTTGGAACTAGTAAATATTTTTTTTACAACATTTATGACACTGCTAATTATAAAATTTTATTTAAGCATGTACCTCATTCAAAATTCATTGGTTTTTCTGAGATTGATAGCGTAGAATCTCTAGATGACACTAAAATCACAGGCAAATTTATTTTCAACTTTGGATCAAGTATGATGGCTTGGGGTTTGAAGAAATTGGGAATCATGACTTTGCCATCATCTAAAACTGAATATATTGTTACATCATCAACTGCATAATAAGCTAAACAGATGATGAAGACCATGAAAGATATTAATCCGGCATTATATAGACCAATATTGATATCTTGTGGCAATATGTCAATTATATTAATGACCAAGAATCTGGTGTTCTATGAGAAAACTAAATTTATCATCAATTTCGTACACGATCATGTTGTTATAAATTAAATTGAGATGAAACTTTGGTTAACAAAAGATTAAGTTGTAGATGAATTTACAAAGGCCTTAAGCTAGTTAAATTTTATTAAGTTTTGTGAATTACTTAGCATCAGCAACTTTACATTGAGAGAGCGTGTTGAAGGTTGATATTGTGCTGGTGAAGACAAGTTACTTTTTTGGCTAAATTTTAGACAATTTTTCTTCTTTTTTTTATTTATTTCTGTTTGTCATGTCTGTCTCCTCCTCTGCCCTTTATATAAATATATTTTATTATTACTTAAATTAATTCGTTGAAGTCATTAGTCTCTATCCATTTTAGAACTCACGAGATATACTGGCGGTGTCTATTCTCCCCTTTCGACTCCAACACATTCTCCCTTATTTTTTGCATGATTTTATCAACTATTTCAGGGTTTTAGTATTACACATAACCGTCGTAATGATCCCGTCTTTCCTTTTAATCATCCGCTTCCACTGGAAGAGTTACACAACGACGACGACAAGGACGGTTAGATCCACAGGCGCAGATGTGGCACAAGGTAGAGCGCTTCAGTGGGCCATGGCGGAAGGAGACGAGAACGTGATGCTCCTCTGTCTTTGCAGGGGGGAGAGCATGGCAGCGAAATCCGTGAAGTCCTTGGCAGCGGCCACCGACTCCAGCAGAGCCCTCAGGTCGCTGGCCCTCCGGAAGCCGGCGGCGCCGGCGCGCCTCACGGCGTAGACGTAAAAGGTGAGGCAGCCCTTGCGGAGCTTGAACCGCGCCATCTCGCAACCGACGAGCCCCCGGAGGAGCTTCCCGTCGACCTCGCCCAGGGGGATCACCGGCGGCCACACCCGGTCCGCTGCCGCCTTCATGTCCTCCGACTCGAAGACGAAGAGGAGGGCCTTTGGCTTGCTGTCGTCCATGCCGAGCGTCAGCGTCTGCCATGCTCGGCGCGCGAGGATGGTGAAGCTTGTCGGCAGGTAGGCGGTGGCGGAGGGGAAGGGAAGCGGAGAGGATAGCGGGAGGGAGAGCAGGCAGAGCAACTCCACCGGCACGGCGCGGCGGACGGTGAACGACTTGACGACGAGCTGCCCGCCGAAGCGGATGCCCTTCACGTCAGAGCTCACCTTGAAGTGGGCGTCGCTCTCTGCCGTCTCTTCTCCTCGACGCTTGTTTTCCCCTTCCATGGATGCCTCTCTCTCTCTCTCTCTCTCTCTCTCTCTCACACACACACACACACACACTCTCCTGCGCTCTCTTCTCTACCTCTATCCCCATCTTATCTTCCTTTAATATATATCCATATTTACATATTCAGGACGTCAAATTTAATAAAACGGCATCTTAGATAATTGACTGTTTTCCGGTTAGTAAGCTAATGTCACCTTGAAGTTGACTTTTTTTTAGAAAAACGGAACGCAGATTAGGCTGTGAACGAGGAGGCTTTGTGAGCCTCTGCGGTAAATAAATAAAAAAATAAAAATTTGTGGCCCAATAAATGAACATGGGCTTTGAAATATGGGCCAATTTTGTGGCGAGGACCCCTGTCATGTATCCCGACCCAATAAAACCCAATAGTTCCCTCCGACGTTATTGGGGGTTCAGTAATGTTAGGCCCATAAACGACGTTATCGATGTATTTCGGGTGCACAGTGGGCTGTTAGTATTCTATTTGGTCTGGGCCGACATGAAGTAGTCCGGCCTATAAAAACTGGCCGCGCTGTATTAAACGTTGCATGCTTGGTCTTTCTGATGCGGGCTGGGTTGTGTGGTGGCCTTTTGTGGATGGTATTTGGGCCTAATGGATCATCCCATAAACAGGACTGCGGCCCATTTAAATAGGGTCGAGACAGAAGCAAATGCTCCAGAGGTGATCTTCCCTCCACAGGCTACCGTCACCAAAAGCCTTGTACCACGTACGTACCATCGTGGATGGTGAAATCCTCCGAGCAGGGTCGAAGCCCGTGGAATGTCATCTTCGATCTTCAATCGGATGATCCTCCGCTGCTTGAATCCCAAATCGAAGAGCGTCAGCGGCATCGTCTTCGTCGTCCTCGGATCTGAGCATTCCGCCGAAGCTCGCCGATTCCTCCACAGCAGTGGCCGCGGGGTGGTCGACTTCGATTTCCGGAGCTTCGGGATCACGATCAGGGGCTTGATAGGAAGGGGAGAGATTCACAGAGCTTCCTCTTATCTGGAACAGTTGGAGCGTAGAGGGAGGAATCCGGATGTGTTCTTGTACACGACCTTCGTCCATGGCCTGTGCGGCGCTGGAGATCTGGAAGAGGCAGAGAAGATTTTCCTCGAGATGAAGAGAAAGGGATTGCCGCCCAACGAGGTCACCTACACCGTGATGATCAACGGTTGTTTCAGAAATGGCCTCAAGGAGCGCGGGTTCCGGCTGTACGGTGAGATGATAACCAGCGGGGTGGTTCCCACCTTGCACACCTACAACACTCTGCTACATCAGCACTCCAAGGAGGGGAATCTCGACTCTGCATTCGCTCTGTTCGACGAAATGCGAGAGAGGGGTATCGTTTGCAATGTCGTGACATACAACACGCTGATTCTCGGGCTCTGCAGGCGGCGGAAGTTGTCTGCTGCGGAGAAGTTGCTCTCCGGGATGAAGAAGGTGGGCATAAATCCGAGCTCGGCCACCTTCAACACCCTCATCGATGGGTTTTCTAAGGCCGGAATGATGCCCCAGGCGATGACGACGCTGGGGAAGATGAAGGCCACCGGCTGCCAGCCGAACTGCGTCACCTACAATTCTCTCATCGAGGGCTTCTCTCGCAGCTCGAATCTCGTGGGGATGGCGGATTGCTACAGAGAATTGAAGGAAAGAGGGATATCCCCCACTAAGATAACCTACACCATTCTCATCAACGCGTTCGTCGAAGCAGACGAGATGGAGAGAGCCCTCGATGTATTCCGCTCCATGGGGGAGGCCGGCTTGGAGCCAGACGTCTGCACCTACGGCGCCCTGATAAAGGGATTCTGCAAGGAGGGCAGCATGAAAGACGCGTCCGAGCTGTTCGGAACAATGCCCGACAAGAATCTGCGACCCAACGACGCGATCTGCAACATGATGATCAGCGGGTACTGCAGAGAAGGCAGCTCCTTCCGAGCCTGGAGGCTTCTGAAGGAGATGAGGGAGGCTGACATGACCCCGAACGAGGCCAGCTATCGTCAAACGGTCCACGCCTTGTGCAGAGACGGGAAGCGGAGAGAGGCTGAAGCCTTGGTTAGAGGAATGGTGGTGGCCGGGATAGAACCAGGCGATTCCATCCACAGAGCCCTCTCTGACGCCAGCCCGCGAGCAGACAAGTGAAGGAGAAGAGAAGCTAGACAGAACCCACCCACTGAGCCGTGGAAACGAAGGGTACTTTTAGAAATCTGTGAAACCATTGATTTCTGTGGTACAAGGTATAATTGAATCAAAACAGAAGCAAAAACTGTGTTTATAATTCCTCACAGACAATGAACTCTATGTATGCCGAAGCACGAGCGACTCAAAACTCTTCATGGAGAAAGAATGAAGGAAATGGGAACAAATGCACCTTCGGCAGGAGGCTTTGCAGAAGGGCCACATTTTCCTAGCTCACCAACCACTCGATCAGTTAGAAGAATGGATGATGAACCAGGTTCTCTATATGGCATTCTATTCTGAAGTTTAAGAGGAAAAAATTGAGACCCCCACCGTTTTCTTGGGCCTCTCTCTTTATTATTTTTTTTTCCTAGGAAATGAAGTAGAATTAGATCTTCTCTGGGCCATTGCTATAAGTTTATGCTGAGCAAGGATCTGTGCCTGCGCCTCTCGCCCTTCATCCTCCTGTTGGGACCGTTTGGTATGGGCTTCAGCAGCCGTTCCTTCTCGATTTCACTCTGAAGAGACGACTTCAGACGCCTCAAGTGCCCAAAGCACTGATTATTTCTGCAATGAGTGATCCTCCGACCGCTGGCATAATTTGGGCTGGGTATTCTCTCAGAGTCAGACTGCCACTTTGCTTGAAGATACCCAAGAGAGCGCCATGGAGGAACAGGCATTGAATTCTGCATGAGAGAGCTCTTCGCTGCCTCGGCCATGACTTGGAGCAACTGCTTGAGCTTCGGCCAGTAGCCCGTGTATACGACTGGAAGGGATTTCAATATTGCGTCATAAGAATCAATCGCCCTAGCTATTTCAAAGTGGCTGCGGAAATCAATATCGATGATCATTCGCTCAGACCCAGTGGCGCCACAGTTGACCACATCAATGTATTCATGCTCCCCTGGAGAAATTACAGAGCCAATTAGATATTGTTGAATTTAAATCCAAATTTCAGATTATATTCAATGAATGTGCGTGAATGTATAAATTAGATATGAAATTTGCATACCTCCAGGAACTTTTCCAGAACCCTGCCATTTGGAGATGCAGATAGCAGCATCATAACCGCAGACTCTCAGGAGCTTAACCAAGGACCTCCGGATGCAGCTTGCATTGCATGGGCGATCCTTGTCAACGTGAAGATCAGCTTCACTGAGAGAAAGCACAAGAGAACGGACGACTGACGATAGATCACATTCGTATTGATCAACTGTGTGCCTTAGGAACTGCAATCCAGAAGAAGGGGCAATGAGGGAAAGTATTTGCGTTACCAATAAGTGCAGATCCTCCACAGAATATGAGAGTAAGATGTGATTTCCAGGAATGTAGATAATATGAGTGTAGCGCACGGGGCATGCACCACTGCCAGAAGGCTAAAACTCGAGAGAACCAGAAATACTTCAATAACCTAGATGGATATGGCGTCATTTGATGAAACCAAACTGTGTAAGAGCACCCACGAACAATCGATATTTTTTTTAGCAAGAAATGGGCCAAAGACAGTCGCGATTCTTTGCAGAAAAAAATTCACAGATTAATAATAATGTGAACTCTTCAACTTTAAATCCAAATCATGCCTAATAATTTAAGTCGTCAGTACACAGAACGTCAACATGTTTAGCACGAAAGCTGTGAAATAAAATAAAATACTATTACAGAAGCGTACAAATGATGCCTACTCTATTAGACCTTTCTTAACATGAGACACGATCAACTAAAACCAAAATTTTCACGAGATGGACCATTTAGAGCTATCAGCCAGAAAGAGAATGATAGAGAAAAGGACTAGATCACACAAATGGGATTTTAAAGAAAACAGTAATTTCTGAATAGTTCCAGAAACACTAGAGGAATGCATGAATCCCCCGAGACAAGGATGTGCATGATTTTCTAAAATTCGTTGAAAACATACATAAGATTTACGTCACCCAAAATTTGGCTAAACTTGAAAAAAAAAACTTTAATTTACTCAATTCCCGAGTAGCATTCATTTCCGCTAATTTTAAGTCTGCTGCATTAAAATTGGATCTTAGAAGAATATAACGCCGATCTGGAATGGCAAGGGAACAAGAATTATATGTAAATCAGGAAAATAATGCGCCATACATGGGTTCTTTTCTTCCATTGAGAAAGATGAAACTGAAGCGATACAACATCATCTTCGGATAAATCACTTTCAACGTCTAACCAAAATCTAAAGAATCTATTCCGAATGTGGTTGCAGATATGGCGAGTAGATTCCCTTCGTTGTTTAAGACGATTGGTCAACTGTATAAGTTTTGGAAATGAATGTTATTGACAGTTAAAATTATCTGGAAGCAAGTATAACTACCGAGGAGAGGTAAAACCCTATGGAAAAAAGGATGTTGAGGAACATGGAGAGAATACCCACCAAAATCTTCTCCGAAAGATGTTGGAGGTCAGGGACGACCGAATCGCTGTCACTGCTACACCAGGACAAGCTCCCTCCGCTCCCATTCTCCATAAAATCGCTAACCATGACAGCCAGGTCATGCTCGCTCTCATGGCTGAAACCCCCGATTTGACCAGCGTATTCCTGGAATCCCCCGCCGGACAAACTGATCCTCATATCCCCGCCCCCTGCATATATCCGACAACCCCGGTCCACGCCGCAATGAGCACCACCGACGGTGGCCTCCCGCGGTTCAAACGCCGACGTCCCCAGTTTAATCCGACAGCGAGGAGAGTAGGGATGGGACGAGTTCCGGAGCTGAGCCTCAGAATCCTCCTTCCGAAACACGGTGATTCCAAAAACAAGCTCCAAATCTGAAACAGATAAAGCCTATCTATTCCATTAACCGGAAGAACCTCGGCTTCAACTTCACCTCGAGAAGTCCCTGCTCCCCCTTTATCTGAACAATTCCCGACGAAATCCGAACCTAAAAACTGCCCTTCGTAAATGGAACGCCGCCTACAAACCACGATCGATCAGCGCTTCCTTGATCAGAGCAGAACGCAGAAAATCTAACCTAAATTCGATCTCGAGGGATGAGATCCGTCCTCGCTATCCTCCGACGAATCCTTCCTCCCACCTGCCGCGTTGATGCCGTAGGAAAATTCGCCTGCCGCCGACGCGTATAACGGGAGGCCGAAGCAACGTCGAGAGGACCACTTTTATAGACGCGCACATAATAAATGACCAAAATATCCCTCAAATAACTCTTGATTTTCCGTGTGCGCGGAAAGTGAAAAACGCTGAAACGGCGGATGACGACATAAGTTCACACGTGCGCCAACTGCCGTTCATGTTTAACATGCCAGTCGCCTTTAAGGACTTTTCAGAGCCACGATAATAAAAATTGGGGTATATGTGTAATTTTTCATAATGGTGGTGCCGGCAGAGCCCATTGGTTCCCCCCCTCCATGTGAGCCCGGCGGCCGGTGACTTGTAGACCATCGGCTACTGACGCGTGTCGATTTCTCCGTCCCCAACGCTCATATCTTTGAACCCCGTGAAAGAACGCCACAATGACAAAGACTAGTTATATTCTCTTTTATGCCCCTATTCAGCTACACTCTCATTCGTACAACAAATAGCTGACTTTAACGCTGGCATGTTAATCGTGGTCTAATTATTTACCCTGAAGAGAGGCAGAATATAATTATTAAATTAATAAAAATAAAATTACAATATGTTTTGAGATATGTGAAAAACTTGATGTCATAGTTTTAAGAATTAGTTTCGTATATGAAAACCAAATTGATGTGAATACGCACTGATCAGATAACTGAAATTTTTACATTTTAAAAATATATATATTTACGGGAATAAAATGCATAACTTCTTTTTACTTCACATGATCTAGAATCAAAGGCATTTAGTTACATTTAATTATATTTTTTTGCATAATTTTGCAAATGGATCAATACGTATCAAACACAGCTTAAAAAAACCCTTAAAATATCGTCATATTATTTTTATACCCAATATATTGGTGACAAACCACTTACAGTAACAAATACAGGGTCGTGCTCATAATGTCGACATTTCTTCAACAATAATTTAGCCACCAACCTCTTCTCGAGAAAATAAAAAAACGGAAAACTCAATGTGGGACCAATCTGCGACCACCTGTTCGTTGATTGAGAGGATTCCACTTGGCGTCATATGATCTGGTCAATCGAACAAAGATATTCGTATCAGTTTACCGTCCGCTGGAATAGTCAACAAAGAAAGTCCTCTTGAACCGATAAGACAAAATGCGAGTAAAATGACGGGGAGCGTGTTCCGCGATGCGTTTCTGCCCTTTGCCAATAAATGGTTGTTGACTTTGTGAGGAATAGCGTTAGAGAATAATCCGTAGATGAATGAACCATATGGTAGGCCTTGTATCTCCAGCTCATGCTCTTTCTCTCTCTCTCTCTCTCTCCCATATACGAACGTATAGGGGGGCAGGTGGGTCTATCAATAATGGGGCAAGCCTTCATGGAGACCCATCCCACTGATGTTTTTGGATTTTTTCGAGTCCACCCCTTCAAGTGGGGACTGAGCTTTGCTTGAGGAACGTTGGGCCCTTGATGCCCTCATTAGTAGAATATTGGATATGGAACATGGGCACATATCCAAACGAGTCTAGCTCTCATTACCCAAGTAAACGGCTAATGTGTCCTTGCTAAAGTCAATCAATTAAGATCGGTATCAATTGACGAAGTCAACCGAACGTGGATGATGTTCCGTCGTGGAAGTGAAGCCAAACGTTAAACCCAGATCAGCATCAATTCGGATCATGTCAACCTTACTTTGCGCGGAAGCATTACCTGGGAGAAAATTACCATTAGGGAGGGCTATTGACTAAAGTCAGACTTCATAAAAATAGATAAGTATAGTGCTCAGCTCCGTCCGGCTCAATTCATTTCCATGATCGTCTGTCCAGTTTATCCGCATTCAGACGCCGGCTTGGGTCGATCTAAATGTCTATGTCATAAGTTATTTCAATTAAAACGTCCAGCGATATTATTATTATTATATTACTTGGACCTTTCAATCCAATAGACTTCAGATATCCGATATTATGATTTTATTATGCTTAAATAATTATTTAATATATTTTAAAATCACATAAATACTTTAAATAATTAGGTTGACACTCTATCTTAAGGTAGATCCTATTCATCCGTGACGCTCAGCCCACGGCTGACTTTCCGCTGCGATTGGACAACGGTGGAGCCAAGTGGGCATTTCTCGCTGGCATATTCTTATTTTTTGACAGAATCTTCCAGATTAATTATATTTTGAGATCGCCAGAGGGGGACCTTGGCAGTGGGAAGATAAGGAGAGAGAGAGAGAGAGAGAGAGAGAGAAGTCAGACCAGACACGTGAAGCCCCTAACTCATCGGGACGGGGCGATCGTGGCCGCTGGAGCAAAGTAATATTATAGCCACTGGATTGACCTAAAATAACATAAATACCATCATCGGCTTCCTTCCAGCCTCTCTGCCTATGGTTAGGTTCTTCTCAAATGGCAGGTTCCGTAATTCTTTGCTGAAGAGAAGTCGCGGATGGTCACGTTGATCCAACAGACCCAGTATCTTCCCTTGTCTACTGGTTTATAAGCCCCTATCTTTCCCTTCCTCATCTGATCACCAGGCGAAACGAGGTCAGTCCATCTGCCATTCCAGTGTTCCGAGCCGGCGAAGAAAAATCGAAGATGGGGAGGAAATTCTTTGTTGGAGGCAACTGGAAATGCGTAAGGATCGGACGGTGTTCTTTTTCTCATTTGTTGCTCTTTTAGTTTGTTTTCTGGTTGATCTTTTACTTTATATTCTGATGATCTGCTAACCGCTGGGGAGCGACTGATCTGTTCAAGTAGTACTTGGTGATCGATTCTCTATGTCTTGCAAAAGGTTCCTCTGCCGTTTCTGTAGTTGACATCTTTTTCTAACGCGTGAAGCATTGGATCGTCCCATGATTTCTCTGTTAATTTTTGGCAATCCGTTTTCTTAAGTTTTCGTTGCGGATCTTGTGTTTTCATGTATTGAAGTCGGGTGAAAGCGTTTGATACAATGAGACATTTTGGTTAGTGACTATGATCGGAATAAAACATGACTGGTTCTTTATTTGCTGATCTTTTATGGAGTTCTCAGTGTTCTGGTTACGCCAGAGCCTGAGGTGTAATTTATTATTTAATTGCCGTAATTATCATGATTATCCACTATTTTCCTCTAATTTCACGGTTTGTTGGTTGCTCGTCTAATTGTGAGGCATTTGTGATTGAGTGCAGAATGGAACGAATGAGGAAGTGAAAAAAATTGTGTCTACGTTGAATGGAGCCGAAGTTCCATCCGAGGATGTCGTGGGTATGAATTCAATATTTCAACATTTCAACTGCAGTTTAGTTTTTCATTGTCATCTTAACATTTTTCCGGAGAACTTTCCAATCTATATTCATGAAATTCTGCTACGCTACTATAAGCGGCCCCCCCCGCCCCCCCCCCCCCCCCCCCCCCTTGATCGCATTCAATCCCGTTAAGCATCATCTGGTGGCAATCTGGTTTCTCTTTATAATTGGTTACCTTTTCATGCGCTACATAAGTCTGAACCCAGTGGATAAGAGTTTCCCTTTGTTCGGGCATAGTTCCATCACCGTTTATGCATCACCTACTTTTTTCACCTGATGCTTTGATGTGTACACGTTAATTTTACATAAATCAATTTCTATCCGATGATAAATTCATTGTGAACGACTTGAAACCATGGATATAAAGCATGCACCGCCCAATATTCTGTGAATAAATCGAACATTGTGTACCAGAAAGTTTGATGTGCGTGTATATATTTTGTGTTTTTCCCTTAATTGTGTATGCTTCGTGTACATAATAGAATGACATAAACTCGGACATATCAGCGTCATTAATTTTTCTTTTTTATGTTTTTCTAGAGGTCGTGGTCAGCCCTCCCTTTGTATTCCTTCCAGTGGTGAAAAGTTTGCTGCGTTCTGACTTCTATGTTGCCGCACAAAATTGCTGGGTCAGGAAGGGAGGTGCCTTTACTGGTGAAGTTAGGTAATTGAGAATGTGTTCTTCATTGTCAATCATTTCATCTTTAACTTGCGTTTTTTGCTTGTCAGCTATGAGCCTAAGATGAGGATTTCCGCCTTGCATCATTTGTGGAACTATTTTTCGTAACTTCAATCGTTTTTAATCGCATAAAATGCATATTTCATAAATGTTGCATATGCTTTTGGGGATTATATTTGAAAACGCTTGTGAGTGAATCAGCTCCCAGTATATATACGCACTTATCAGTGTAAAGGAACTGAGATTTCTTATTTCAATTTTTTTTTCTCTACTGCTCTCAGTATCTTCGATTTTTCTGTTCATTCTTCCTTTTTCCTATCCTTTCTGCATCTTCTTCGCAGTGAGTATGGAAAGACCGATCTGTTGCTAGCTGTAACGCTAATGATGCATTTTCTCATATCTACTATCTTTGCAACATAAATATTTTCTATTCTCATCTCCTGATCTTCTCGTACACTCTCTGTCTCAGAGGTGCTTGCTCACCTAGCGCTCTCTCTATCTCTCTCAGACTCCATTAAACTCAGAATTTTCCTCATTCTTTATTCCACCCATATTCATTTGTCCCGTATATGGTCTCCTTTGTTTTGTTCCTCTTTCTTTCCATCCCCCCTGTGATTCCACTTCATCAGTAGTCGTCATCCCTCAAATTTTCCGTTCTTGTTTCCTTCCCTATAGACGGGCGAGCAGGATGAAATATCTCCATATTAGGTGCTCCTAGCTGGGTACCCACTATCTGGACGGACATAATCTTACTGTGACATGTGATCTGAAAATATTTGTCCATTTATCGATCCAAACGCATACTTTCCTCATTTACTAGTCGCAAATCTTCTAAAAGGTGATTCATATCCTTTTTAGACTTGATTTTAGCCGCAGATGGTTTATCAATTTTTTGTTCTGCCTTATTATTTTTTCTTTATTAGCTTAGAAAGTCGTGAACAAGGCTGAAGAAGAATAACGATTGGTAATTTACAATTCGGCGTCGCTTGCATGTTTCTTACTGTTCAAGAGCATGAATTTCGCTCAACTATTTTGTTCCAATAATACGAATGAAGAAACCCATCCCGATCAACATGCTGGGATCTTATCTGCGCCAAAAATCTCATCCATTAACCTGATGCCACTTCTTTGACGTACAGCGCGGAGATGCTTATTAATCTGGATATTCCTTGGGTCATTCTGGGCCATTCCGAACGCAGGGCCCTGCTCAACGAGTCGAATGAAGTAAGACTTGTGTCATTTGCCTTTATTATATATCTGATTATTTGGGTGTTCTGTCCGTTCCTTTTTTGGTCAGCATGTAGGTATTGCTTACGTGCTTGAATTTTTATTTTTCATAAAAAACGTCATCATATAGCATTTCCCTGTGGGTTCTTGATATCTTTGTATGTAGAGGGTAATGCAACCCCACTTGAATATTAATTTGTCTGTAAACATGTTTCATCAGATAATCGGATTCTGCAAATAATTCCATGTCATATAAGAGCTGGATTCTCACCCGATAGAAAATAATTCCATTTTCCTGTGTCGTTCATTCTTATGTTCTTATTATCTTCTCAGGGAAATATTTTTTTTTTCTTGACCAGAATGCTATCACAGATACCTGTCTCGGTGTGTTGTGTCAACATAAAAGCTAGCCATCCATGACTGCAGTGTATAGATTGTATGGAATCATATCTTCTTCAGCTTGTTATCTCTGAACATTCTGTGTCACTTTCATTTTGAGTCCCGAGCATGCTTGGGACATCAAATTTTGACAGACTCATCTTATTATCTGGTATCGCTCATTCCTCCTAGTCTATTTTTCGCATTTTCACTGCCTAGAAACGTGCATCTAAATCAGCATATTTCATGTTGACAACATTGAATGGTTCGATCTGATCTTAATTATGGATCGTACTTATTCTATATTTTGGGCTTTTTTAACTTTTAAGCATTTGAATAATTTTTCGTGACATCTGTTTGGGATCGTGCCTCTCTTATCATGTTCGACCATTGATAAAATGTTCTCTCTCTGGCTAAATTTTGCTCTTCCTTTGATTCCTCAGTTCGTTGGAGATAAAGTTGCATATGCTCTCTCCCAAGGCTTGAAGGTGATTGCTTGTGTTGGAGAGACTCTAGAGCAGCGAGAGTCAGGATCTACCCTGGAAGTGGTAGCTGCACAAACAAAGGCCATTGCAGGTTTACATTTCGGCGACTTAGCCTATCCATTTCATTGGGAATGTCGAATAAATTAGTTGACAAGTTGAAAACAAATGCCTGTGGTAGAGTTTCACCTGCAAATAAAGCCCATAATAGTTTTTTTAAAAAAGGGAAAATAAAAAGAAAAGATAACTAACTAAAGGCTGGTTAAGGGTGTCAGTTTTATTTTCCGTAATTTATTTGTAATTTTTTGTTTCCCTCTTCCTCCCCTGCAGACCAAGTGACGAACTGGGCTAATGTTGTCATCGCCTATGAGCCTGTTTGGGCCATCGGAACGGGCAAAGTCGCCTCTCCTGCCCAGGCCCAGGAGGTAAACCCGCCCAACTTTCCTCTAATCCACGGGCAGCTAGCTAGACCTGCGGGCTCTTCATCGATTTTCACTAAAATTTCATTTTTGCTGCTAAGTGACCCTTTGTGGTGGCTTGGATTCCATCCATGTTTCCATTTATAAACGGAACCGATTTATATATGCTGGGATCCCCTTTCTCTTCTTTCCCAGGTGCACCAAGATCTCAGGAAGTGGCTGGCGGATAACGTGAGCGCTGAGGTCTCGAGCACCACCAGGATCATATATGGAGGTAGATGAAAAGAAAACCCGAGCAGTGGATCTGAGCAGGCATATGAACCGTTGGATCGTCGTCTTTATCCTCGTCTTGATCATCATGGTTCAGGTTCTGTGAATGGCGCGAATTGCCAGGTGCTCGCCGGGCAGCCTGACGTGGACGGATTCCTCGTCGGCGGCGCCTCGCTTAAGGTTTTTCCTAGCTCTCCCTTCCCTTCCTCCCCCCCTTCTGTGGGCCCTCTACAATGCTGACGTAGCTCGGCCCTGTTGATATCTAGCCGGAGTTCGTGGACATCATCAACTCCGCTTCAGTCAAGTAATCCGCTTAGGAGGGAGGGGGTCGCCGCGGACAACGGCCCGTCCGAGTTTTCAGGCTGTGTGAGTTTGAGGCGAATCGGTATTCTCTCTCTCTCCCTCTCTCTCCCTAAAAGTTTTCTGCCTTGAATAAGAAGAACGCCCCCCCTCGCCTTCTTCCGGGTACCTTTAAGTTGCATCAAGTGTTCTTGCTCTTGATGCTGCTTTCGGCAAATAACTTAATGCACCTTGACACTGCCTGTTTATGATTTGCCAACGGCCCCCCAGATACACACGCACACACACACATCTATATATATGTATGTATATGTATATAGATAGGTAGATAGAGAGAGAGATAGAGAGAGAGAGAGAGAGAGAGAGAAGCTTCGGCTGTCTGGATTAGAATATATGAACGAAGTCGGAATAGAGATTGGGTTAGGCGAATTTTATTTCTTCTTAAGGGGATAATTTCGATGGTAATACGCGAACGCATTAACGATGATCATGCTTAATAGGTACTTGACGACTTTAGGTGAATAAAACATTCGGAGGCACGTGCCTTTAGGGATGTCGATGGGCCGGTAAGCCAGAAGCCCAAATGGGCCCACCCAAATTTGCTTCAGCCTAGCCTAGAAGCCTGTAACTTATTCTTCCGGCCCAGAAGCTGAGGAAGTGGGAGCAGAAGCGCAGTCTCCTCTGGGGTTTATGATGGCACCGGTGTATCGCCAGTGGACCTAATGGGCCTTATTGGGTCGATTTTACACCCAACAGGCTGGGCAAAACTTCTTTGGGGGTCTGCTTGCGTGCCCGTTATTGGGCTTTGCCGTAGGTATCTCGCCCAGGGTACGCTTAGAAAGGATCGGCCCGTTGGTGTCAATACATGTCTATAATGGGCCTATACGTAATGGGTCAGTATTTAATGGGCCAACATTAAAGCCCAAATACTACTGACCTTTATTACTATGCAGTAGTAATTGGCCCTGCCCATTTAGGTGTATTTCTCTAGAAAATAAATCTCGATAGGTCGTTCGTATCTCTTTCAGAAGGAAGAGAGAGACCTTTGTAGGAGGGGGTGCGTTAGGGAGAGAAGGAGCCACTCACCATGTCGACGCTCCAGCACGTCTGCTCCGCCCCACTGGCGCGCGCGGTGCGGTCGCGGGCACGGGCGCTGTCGATATCCTCCGCCGTCTCCACCTCCTCACCGGCAAAACAGGCGTCCAGCGTTGACTCTCGCGTGCTCCTGGGCTTATCCGAGCAGGAGCTCCAGAAGCTGGCGACCGATTTCGGACAAGTAAGAGTTGGAGATTTGGGATTCTTTCCTCTCCGTTGTGTATCACGTCTCGTCTCCTTTCCAATTGTGTGAGTATTTGCTCAGCAAAGCTACAGAGGGAAGCAGCTCCATCATCTTCTGTACAAGACGAAGGCCAAGGATATCCAAGATTTCAGCCACCGTGTGTTCCCCTTTCACTCATATTTATTTACTGGTCATCGCATTCTCCCTTTTCCACACTTCTTTGACAAATTTCGCACTCTGCATTCGGAACATTGTCGAGCAGTGCCTCAGGCATTTAGGGATGGCCTACAGGAAGCGGGATGGCGAGTTGGGAGGTCTCCTGTTCATCGTGTTGTTGCTTCAGCAGACGGCACTGTGAAGGTAATCCCTCCACCATCTCTCCCTGGAACACTTTCGATTCCCTCTCTACTTCACGCTTTTGAACGACTGTTTTATTTTTAAAAGGCGATTTATCTCTTATCTCAATGTCATCCATGATCAAGATTTTTCTGAATTTTTTCCTTTGCGGTTGAATTACTTTCTAGTAGAATGCGGATTTTCGAGTATAAATCTTCATATTAGTTTGGGGTGTCGTTACATGGTAACCTACGATGCTTCCAGATACTGTTGATGCTTGAGGATGGCAGATTGATTGAAACAGTGGGGATTCCGGTTGAACATCAGAAAGGTTCCTTTCGTCTTACTGCATGCGTGTCATCACAGGTGAGGGTCTCACGACAGAGATGCCATTAACGGCTTGTCTGTGGTTAGATTCCATTTCCTCTATTGCGCCCCTTTTTTGAAGATGCTCCTTCCTTGGGCAATCTCTGCTCAGGTGGGCTGCCCTCTCCGCTGTGCATTTTGCGCTACTGGAAAGGGAGGATACTCGAGGAATCTCCAGCCGCATGAAATTGTGGAGCAGGTTGCCTTGGACCCTCTCAGAGCTGTTATGAGATAAATGTCGAAACTCTTTTCCACCTGTACTTAATGTTCCCCATATCTATGCTGTGGGTGCAGGTTTTAGCCATCGAGGAGATCTTCAAGCACAGGGTAACAAATGTAGTGTTCATGGGGATGGGGGAGCCGATGCTGAATCTAAAGTCGGTTCTGGATGCGCATAGATGCTTGAATAAGGTCAGTAGCTAGCTAATTATTATTATTATTTTTTGCTTCCTCATGTTAGCTATAAATTTGCCATCACTTAGTATGGTCTTCACGGGGTAATTCAAGAAAAAATATATAGATTTTCTTTGCGAGTGAGCCTGAAATCGGATGGGTTCCTCCCGCATCCTCCTTCAACTGTGTCCCAAATGTGCATTTGCATGGGCAAGTTCAAGCCTGTAATGGGTCTTTATTAGTGAGCCACTCTGTGGTTTATGGTAATAATCCGACAAAAAAGGTCTTCCATGAAAAGTCTGTATAAATCTTTAAATATGTACAATTATATATAATGATTTCGACTAGGAAAAAACTGGCTCACTTTGGTAGCTGCTTCTTCTAACTGAGGAAACAGAAAAACACAACGTATCTAGCATCCTCCGGAGTTGAACATGGGAGAACATACCGTTGGATTCCTCTCTTCCTGGCTGTAACCCAGCGCCATCCTGATAAGATCCATTCTTTTCTCGGGATTTAGATGGTCTCACCGAGCGGCTGGTTTCTCTGGATTCAGGGTGTTTTCTCCTGAGGATGTTGAAGGAGTGAGATATGAACTACTGTGGGGATGGCTCTCTCTTGATCTTCTGGTCAAGAAAATGTGACTCTGCATCCATACGCCGGTTTAGTAATCTTGTTCTTCATAGAATCAGTCATCTTTTTTCAGTGAGCTGTGGGGTGATCATTGCAGTCGCATAAACAAATAAAAACGGTCACCATGTAGAAGAGTCTCTCTTAGAAAGTGCTGGAAAAAAATGTGTTGTTCGTTGTGTGTGAGTAAATATAATAATAATGACGATAATTAATAATAATTATTATTATAATCTTCTGCTCTCTTGTGCTTATATAATCTTCTGCAGTGGTAGCTTTTCCCGGCGATGAATGCGACTGTTTATCGTTGTGATTGTCAGGACATAGAAATTGGCCAGAGAATGATGACGATCTCTACAGTGGGTGTGCCCAACACAATAAGGAAGCTGGCTTCTCACAAACTCCAGTCAACGCTGGCTATCAGGTGACCTCTCTGTTGACTCAATTCGCAGATAGTTTCTGCTTCTTATAAGAACCCAGTTGACCATGCCATCTCTGAAGGAGCTGGAGCTTAGATCATCGCTGCTTTTGTCGGCAGATTTTTCTGTGTTTTGAATCTAGTCGTTGTCCAGGGAGGTTGAATTATATCATATGCTCGTTCTCATAAGCCCTGATTGGGTTTTCTTGGAAGTCAACGGTTAATTTTAGTCTTCCTGCCGATCGACTCATCTTGTGTCATCTGTGAAGCCTGCACGCGCCGAACCAGGAACTCCGGGAGAAGATCGTCCCCAGCGCTAAGGCGTACCCTCTGGATGCGCTAATGGCCGACTGCCAGGACTATTTCCACGAAACCGGGCGCCGAGTATCCTACGAATACACGCTCTTAGGTCAGAGGGCTCGGTTCTCTTCTTTAAAACCACGGCGACGCCGCCGCCGCCGAACAGTCCGCTGACCGCGCCTCTCTTCCCTGGCAGCCGGCGTCAACGACGGCGTGGAGCATGCGGCGGAGCTGGCGGCGATGCTTCACGGCTTCTGCCGCGGCTCCCACGTGAACCTCATCCCCTTCAACCCGATCGAGGGTTCCGAGTTCCGGCGTCCCTACAAGAAAGCGGTACGAACCGACTCGTCTTCTCCTCCTTTTTCTTCTTCTATGCGTGCTCACCCTCGGCCTGCTTCCTGGGCCGGCAGGTTTTGGCCTTCGCAGCGGCGCTGGAGAGCAGGAAGGTGACCGTGAGCGTGCGACAGACGCGGGGTCTCGACGCAAGCGCCGCCTGCGGGCAGCTCAGGAACGAGTTCCAGAAGAAGCCCCTCCAGCTATCGACGCCTGCGCGGGAGCTCGGTCCCCTCTTGACCTGAGCTCCATGTCTCCGACGATACTGGGCTGGCTGATATGGAACTACCGTGAGCCCACCGAGGTGCACAGACGCAATTAGCTATCGAAGATGGCGGCACAAGCCTTAACGTTTCTTCGTCCTTACACGGCCGTCCTCCGGGTCGCCGCCGTGGGCGGCGGAAATACTTTCGCCGTCGGTGCCCGCCCCCCCCCCCCCTTACAGAAAGAAGCGACATCCGCAGGGGCCCCACGTGGGTTCCCTCGAAAGTCTCACCTCAAAAGCATGCTCCGGCTGGGACTCACCGCCGGAGTAAATGTCGAATGCATTCTTTTCTTTAGGGTTAGAGAGAGAGAGAGAGAAGGGTTGACATTGATCACGTGTAGTAGTAAAAAAAGGAAAACCATCCGTAGGGACATAATACGGATAATCAGCAGTCGCGGGCTACATCTTTGCTTACTTCTGCAGCCACTTCGACCACCGCCGGACGGGGGACTCCCCCGACCACATCTAAAGAAAAAGCTAAAGCAAAAGAAGCTGCTGCAGCGGCACATCACAGCAGACACACACAGGCCACCACACCTCTTTCTCTCTCCTACCTTCAGCCCGCCGCCTCCCTCACCACTGTAATTCCCCCTAACTTTCACGGGTACCGAGCCTACAGACAGACCAGACCTAACTAACGGAGGCGATCCAAGACGACAAAACGCGCGCAGGGGATTGTTTTCGGCTCTTCCCGGGTTCGGTTTTCAAACCTCCCACGGAGAGAAGCAGCCCGAGTCGGAGGGGACTCAGACGCGGAAGTTCTTGCCGGCGTAGGTTTTGCCGAACTGCCAGTCGGCCGGCGCGACGTTCCAGGAGGTGGAGGTGCGGTGGTCACTGCCGGTGACACGGAAGGAGAGCGCCTGGCCCACCAGCACCGCGTTGGACTGCCAGTTCTGGCCCCAGTTGCGGCTCATTGGCAGCCACCCCGTGCGCGTGCCCTTCACGCTCACCCGGACGATGTCGCCGGCGCCAGCTACGTTTGAGATGAGTACCAGGTTGAAGTACCGGAAGCCGTTGATGGTGAATCTGATCCCCCCGGTCTTCCTGCACGGCACCCTGCACCACCACATGGGAAAGAAATCAGGCGTCGCCGCCAGTAGGGAGGCGAGTAAATCGCAGCAGCTGTGACGGTGGACCCCGCGTCACCGCCACCGCCGCCCAGGTCACGTGGATACGCAGTGCAGTTATTACAGGACCGACCATGGCAGGCACCTCAGAAATTGGGAGAGGTAAATGCGCGTTCGGTAGGTACCCGCCCGCCCTATCGCTAGGGCAGAATGGCATTCTCGTCAATTCAGATGCGTAGGACAGGGCAGAGCAAGTTCAGAGAAAGCGCGGGATACTCGGCCGCGAAAGAAGATCGCGCCAACTTTTCGCTCTGGCCACCCAGATTCTCGGGGAAGGAGCCTCGTCCGTCTCCAATGGTCGTCGACCTACGCGGTCTCGGTGGCGCCTTAAGATCCGAGCCTAGCGAGTGCGCAGGAACAAGTGGAAGAAGAGAGGAGTGAGCGCAAACCTGCGGTAGGCGACGGGGACGATGCCGGCGCGGTACTCCGCGATCTTGAGGAACATCGGCATGGCCAAGTCGAAGTGAGGGCGCGGGGGATTGCACCAGCCGCCGTTGTCCGAGGGAAGGGCGAAGTTCGGCGGGCAGAAGTTGGTGGCGGTGATGATAATGGAGGGGCTGCCGCCGTGGCACCACCTGGGGTCGTCCGCGCACTTGATCTCGAAGCAGGCCCCGCAGCTAAGGCCGTCGTTGAACAGAGCCGTGCTCAGTGCCGCCGTCTCCACGCCGTATCCCTGGCTGTACAGGTTCCCGTATCCACACGCCCCCCCTGAAGCCACAGCAGACATCCGGAGTGAGAGATGGTGAGGAAGAAGAAGAAGAAGAGGCTATTCATGGAGGGATTCGGCCGTGGTAGACACAATGTAGGTGGCCGAAGTGAAGGAGGCTTACCCATGGTGCCGGAGGCGTCGCTTCCGCCGTAGAAAGTGGCGTGGGCGGTCTGCCATGCTCCACCAGTGTACACTCCCGGAATGCGAGCATCAACCATGGACATGTACGTTGGGAGAAGGACTGCGACGGCCAATAGGACGCCTCGGGACGCCATTGCCCCCAAAAGGAAGCGTGCTAAGGCGCAGAGGGCAAACGAAGGGAGAACGAACGAGTACGGGAGAATGTTTGGCGGGGAGAGACGATGGACGAAGGTGGGCTACTTATAGTAGATGCTTGAAGGGAGAGAGAGAGAGAGAGAGAGAGAGAGGGGGAGGGAGGGCTAGGCTGGAGGGAGGGGAGCGGTTAAAACGGAAAAAGTAGGGAGAACATTTTTGGATATTTTACAGATTTCCCCTTATACTTTCTGACAATGTCGCATAAATGTTTAAACGGGAGTGAAGAGAACGAAAACAAAAAAAACCGACAGGATAACGGCTGGAAGGTAACGCCGTTCTGTAAATCCACGACGCCCCAGGCTATTGTTCTGGACGCAGCCTGTCTCCGTCAAGTAACGGCGTATGGATGGACCCACCGGATCCTCGTGATTCCTGACGACGACGATGCCGGAGGGGAGGGCCTGTCCCAGCAGGGTCGTACGAGGACACTTTTATTATTGCTAAAATTTGGAGGGATGATTCGACAACTCCTATGGGGGACCCACCCCACGGATATAAGGGCTTCTGCTTTGCTTCCCTCGCAAGTTGTGCCTCCACCGACGGCTCCCGTTCGCCCATCGCCAAACAGGCAGAGGGAGAGAGAGAGAGAGAGAGAGAGAGATATCGGATCTTGGCCCGATGACGTCGCTATCGGATTTTGGAGATGACGCGGCATGTTTTCATGTGAATGAGAGGTTTCGAGGGAAAGAGGTTGAAATGGATTGCGCGGCCGCCGGTGGTGGGTCAACTAGAGTGGGGTCCAAAGCCACGTGGAGGGCATCCGTGGCCATTCAACCGCTTCGGGCCCATGTGATCGGAATAATTGGCAGAGGGGAAAGGCCGGCGGGAGGAGGGAGGGCCGTTGCGGCGTCCCCCTCCCAAACTACCCTTCCACGTGCTCCCACTTATTACCGCCAACCTTTCCGATCTCTGGCGATGGCGGCGCCGCTCGTCTTCTCCGGCGCCGGCGCCGTCCCCGTCGTAGAGACCTACCCTGGCTATGGATCCGAAGATAAGATTCTTTTCCCCGGGGAAGCGTCGCATTCCATCGTCCACGCACGGGAACGCGGCTCGCTTTATGCTTGTGGGGAGCAGGGCTCCACCCGTTCCTACCGGCCGCCGCCCTTTATCCTCCGCCGCCGGTGCCGGCGCCGAGGGCAGATGACCAACTAAAGCCGAAGAGGTGTCCCCGTCGTGCCGGAAAGGGTTTTCGGTTCCGCACGGCCGTCGCCATTATGCACAGTTAATACTCGACAAAATGTGTTAAAGAAAAAAAAAACAGCAGGACGGGCAATCGCCACACGCCCTGCGGACGCCGCACGCCGCAGGACAGAAGCGCGTGTGCCGGGCGCCGGAAGGTCGACGGCTGATGAGTCGACTCGAATTCTCCCTCCGTTCGCCGGCGGACTCGCCGGCGATGGCATTCTTTGTGCACGTGAAGGAGTCAACTCGTCGTCCGTTGACGATCCGACGGGCAAACCCTCGTGATTAGGCCAATATCTAGGCTTTCTGACCGAGACTAGGTGGCTTACTAACCGTGAACGTTGACCATTAGAGTAAGGTCTTATCCGAGCGTAGAATTCTCAATCCCACCAAACCCCCCACATATACATTGGCCACAGTAGTCAACACATATCGATCTGCTCGTCGAACCCGCTCGAAAGATAAGCCTTTTCTTTGTGGTTCATTGACTAGGGATGCTGGGATGGGCGTCGGAGTGGATCGTACGCCATTCCAACTCTCTCTGCGGATTGGGCCGAGTTTGGTCAACGAAGGTGTGAACTAGGAGAACAGAGCGCCGCATGGGGAGAGACCCCCGCGATGAACGGCGGTCCAAGTCAACTCATTAGTAGCAGCCAGCAAGACTGCCGGTGCCTCGCCGTTGAGAGAGTTTGGGAAATGGGGGGCCCACCGATGACGCCGAAGGCTTCTCAACCTGTCCTCTCTCCAGCGAGCAATCCCTGTCGCCGGCAGAGGCGTTGGCGGCGGCGGTGGCGTGATGTCGTCCGCACGGGGGACCGGCCCCCGGCACGCTCATTGCTCCCTTCGCGAGACCGCACGCTTCGTCCTTTGATAGTGGGCTTTTAACAGGAATGGCCCAAATAAGCGCAATTGGCCTTTTAATTGTTTTGCCATAATGGGCCTAGCCGGGCAACATCCTTTGTGGATCAGGTTGGACAATTCAGCCCGCTCATGTTGAATGGGCGATGTTGCACGGCGTCAGGCCAATCTAGGATGGATCTGGTGCATTTTAAGCCCATTTACAAGGGATTGGTGGAAACTGGGCTGATAACAGTTGTGGGCTGACATCACCTGTGTGGACGGTCCAGTTAGCAGGCCCAAACCTTCCGTCCTATAAGCTTCTCTGCCATTGAGACTGAACAGAAAGTCAGACTCGGTTCTACGAAAACCCTCGCACAGGATAGCACAAACAGTTGGTGGGCGGCCAGGCTGATAGCTTCATATGATTACCGGAAACCTCCTGCTTCGATTCTCCGGCGGGTCGGCGCCAACCTAAATGGAGCCTGCCGCAGGGACTCTGTGATCAATGCCCTGCGGGGTTCGAACGGTGTAGTGGCCGCAAGAGGAAGGCGTAGCGGCGATGAGCGGCGGTGGGTCGCCGGACTTCTTCTACAGGGAGGCCCTGCGCCTCGGCTACGTTGCGAGGTCTGCTTTCAAGGTCCGTCTTGTTCTTCACTTAAAAACATCGTGAGCCATTTTCCTCCCTCAAGCAAAGATCTTACGGGTTCGCCTCCCTGGCGCAGCTTCTGCAGATGCAGAAACAGTACAGGCTAATAACCCCGGGGGATTCAGTCCTCGACCTGGGCTGTGCTCCTGGGGCATGGCTTCAGGTATCCTTTCCCTCTTCTTGATCTAGTTACCGCAAATACACCTCCACCGCCATCTGCAATTTAGTCCTAAAGGCCATCTGGATCGTAACTTTGAGTATGAATAATGGCTACTAGGTGGCCTGCCAGAGCTTGGGTCCCGCGGAGAAGGGAGGCGTGGTCGTCGGCATCGACGTGAAGGTGAGTAGCACGAATCACGAGCTCAGTCAAGTGGCCAGTCGGCGCATTCGGGTCCCTTCTCCTTTGCATTTCATGCCCCTCTGTTGCAGAGCAGAAGGTGAAAGTCCCCAATCTCTACTGTGACTCCAGAGTGAGGACTGCTTGCGCCGACGTAATGACTCTCTTGAAGGCGCAAGTCAGAGCACTGTCCCCACAGGTGGTTTTATCTTGAATCACATCTTCTTCTCCGACCTCGGATTCTTTAAAATTGGATATCGTTGTGCATTCAACATAATCAAGATCTGTTTTCCTCCACTTTTGTCATGGTTTTCCCAAACTTCCAACGATATGTAACTGGCAATCGCAGCCTGATTCAATCCGTTTCCTGCTTGTGGCTTCCTGCAGTAGCTGCTATACTATGTTTATCTAGTATCCAAGCTATTATATTTTCCCATAACAGTCCTCTAGGCTATTTGTCATCATATGTATCGGAGATATGCCTCTATATGGACGTGTGAACTAGGAGTATAGACAAATTAGGAAGTTTCTAACCTGTTCAAGGATGTGTTCTTGGTTTGAATTATCCAGACATCCAAGTGTTTTCAATGTCTTCTGGGTTTCTTGTTCGAGTGATGAACTGATCATCTAAGCCAGCGCTCTTGTTTTCCAAGATTGTCGTTCTACACCTTATTGCTTAAATTTGCCGAGAAATATGCGATAAATTCTTCGATGTTTTCATAGATGCCTTGGCTCCTTGGGCGCTAGAAACCCTGTGTCTGTGTCTCACAGGCTGCAGTTGAGAATTCTCTTGCTTCACCCTTACAAGAATGAAGCCTGCTCACCCTCTTAAGCTGCAGGGCCGTGGATTTTCCGTGATATTGTCGGACATGTGCCCCCCTGTTTCTGGGATCTCATCCAAAGATGCCGCTTTGTCGTGCGAGCTGGGAGCGCGGGCCCTCTCGCTGGCTATCGGAAGCGCTGAACTGCCCAGTTTTGATGGTGCTGTTGAGGGCGAGAGCTACCTTGGCGGCGGTAGCGGCGGCGTGCTTAGAGCCGGTGGCAACCTCGTCATCAAGCTCCTTGAGAGCGAGGACAACCGAGGTAGTCGTCGGACGGCTGACTATTGAGCATCCAAATGAACGGCGTCCGTCGTGCTGACTGTCTCTCTTTGGGTCCTCTCAGAATTCGCTCAGTTCTGCAAGCCGCTATTCAAGAGGATGTCTTGGACGAGGCCCAAGGCGACGAGGTCGAGCTCGAGGGAGATCTATCTGGTCTGCCAAGGCTTGCAGTAGCACGCTGGTTTCCTGCTCATTGCAGCAAAACAGGAGGAACAATCGGCAGGCGAACCCGAGACGTCTTTTCTTGTCGCGAATCTTCTTTAATTAATTTGAAATTATCTTCATGAATGATGCACTCACAGAATGCCCACCTTGGGGATGAATGCTCCCCTGCGGAATGGGGTTCATAATGGTTAAATATGAGTGCCGCAGATTGAGAATATGAGTGCTAGATAAGCTTCCTATTTTGGAAGGTAGCACCGGTCATGGCGCTGCAGGAGGCCGCTTGGTGGCGGTCAAAGCCAAACGTCCAAGCTTCTGACGAAATTTTTTAAACCATGCAAAACCCAACAAAGATGGCCTTAGGCGTAGAAGATCGTCCACGCATCAGTTTAAGTATGCGAGGGCAGCAGTTCCGAGGATCTACCGCGCTTGTGGTACTCTTCAGGATTACTGTGGTGATCTTGGGGTTGACTTTACCAATTTTTAGACAGCTCCTTGACCGCTGACGTTGACGATAGTGACTAACATTCGCGCAGCTCACCCGAAAGGATAAAAATGCCGAACGGGTCGCACTGGCGCAGGGAGAACGGGGGGATGACTGTACATGAGCGAAGAATGAGAAAGTCCTTCCATGCATCTCCTCCCCGCATCTCCTACAAAAAGAGCCGGCTAAAACGGCGCGGAACCCATCCCGCCAACTCTCTCTCTCTCTCTCTCCCCCCCGGGGACCCATCGCCACCACCCCCCCGAAGCTGGGATCTCTTCTTCATGCAGACTCTCATCTTCTCCTGCTGCCGCGTACTGTCGGCGCTCCGGCAGTCTGCTGCCGGCGTTGACGAGGGCGGGGGCGATCGACGGACTTACATTGTTCACGTCAGCAAGCTCGAGGGCACCGGTCCTTTTCCCACTCCGGCGGCCTGAAGTCCAGCAGACCATGGACGGTCATCTCCTACGACAAGGCCATTAATGGGTTCGCTACGAGGATGACCCCGGAGGAAGTGAGGGCCATGAGAGATGTGAGGGCTCTTGCCGGCGCAACCGGAAGAACAGGAGGACACTTAGATGGACTTATTCGCCGCATCCTTGTTGAAACCGAATCCTTGTCGCAGCAAGATTATTGTTGCATCTATAAGTTAGTATGCAATGGAAACAGGTTATGCTAATATTGTTAAGCTTGTTCAGAAATATGTAATTGTATAGTGTGGCAAAAGAATCCTAGGTTGCACAACTCTCAAATATTATTGTTGGATCTAAAGCTAATAGCGAATAGATGACTAAAAGTTATGCTAACAGTGTTAAACTTCATTGTTATAATTTGTAATTATGTAGTGTGCCATAAGCTGAACTGTACAAATTTAGAACTGGGGTTTGATTTCTTGCATATTAAGTTGTCTTGTGAATAGAAGCCATTGAAACTAGTGGGGTAATAGTGACTTGGCAAACTATCTAGTGGGATAGAGCCAAGAAATCTGGTAGGGTAATTACTAAGAAGAAATCTGGTTTCTAGTTCTATGAGGATTTAAGTGGCATGATAATAAGAATGATCTCGGGCTAAGTTCTGATTATCTAGAAGGTGTAATCTTTGTATATATTAGTCAAAACCAAAGGAATAGAAAGTGTCTTGAACCAGTAGATTTCATCATGTTTAATTTGTATCATGCTATATATATCATCTATATTTTACACTAATATAGCTAAAATAATTTATTAAATAATCTTCATTCTCCCCTAGAGCATCATTCATGATGAACCTGAGGAGACCTAAAGTTGTCTATAGAGGGGGTATACTTAATCTTGAATTATAACGAATTGAACTTTCTATTCAATTTGGAGTTTTTAAAGGGACTAGACTATTTAATATATTGTATTGTGATTACTAAGTTCTATTTTAAACTTGTGTTCAGACATGCAAAGAAAGCATAATGATCACACTTAATCAAGGTATTTAGGCCACTTAATATACAATCAAAATAAGTACTATGATTGACTTAATTAGATTAACTTTTCCATTCATTATGGTGCCAAGTATAAGTGATATGGAAAAAATAAAGCAGTCAAGAGATGAAGAGACACATATATTTTTAGAGTGGTTTGGCTCTAAACTTACATCAACTATCTCAAGGTCTACTCACTCTTTGGATTTCTGATAATCTTTATAAATATTACAATTTGCTTACAAGCTTAATAAATATAATGCTTCTATTATAATTACTCATAGCCTTGTAGCTCTATCTCACTAGACATCTTGTTATAATTTTGTTGATGTGACTTAGTTGTTGTATAATAAATCACGTAAATTTAAAATATATAAAATTAGAAAATATTAATTTTTAGATTTTTAAAAATATTTTAGAATAAATTAATTATAATGTGATGAAAGATTTCAAAACTAGTAAAAAAAACTTTCAAATCGATTATAAGGATGCAAGATAATATCATATAATATTTTAATTTAAATATATATATATATATTAAATATTAAATATAAAAATTATTTAAAAATTCATAAAAATGAAAATAAGGGTGCATACATCATGATGATTTAAGCACTTGACGAATACGAATCGAACATAAATAGACTTTCATCTGGCGATTCTCACGTAAACGATTACAAACAATTTAATGAGGTCAAATTAAGTTTTATAAAAGTGAGAAGAATCGTAATTTAATGAAGAATAATTTCATAACTTAAAATCACACAAAGTATTATGAAATTAAGTAAAAATTAAGTTTTAAACAAGAAATACAGAGTTCTAACTTCACGATAATGATCGCCGAAATTCTGCGTTTGGAAAGATTATCTTGTAGTGTCTATGGGCATCGAAGGTTCTCTTTAGACATTGACGACATGGGTAATTTTTAGAACTTCTTGCGAAGTTAAGAAATTAATGAAGTGAGTCATCGAATCATCTCTAGTGGCTGTCACCCGATGGAGTGAAAAAATGACGACTTTGTAACTCTCTAACGATTATCACTTGACATAGATGAGTTGAATAAAAGTAGGATGCATCTTAATAAGCTTCATCTTCAAGTTCGTGCAACAAGAGGAAGCTCTTCATCGCATATGATATGCTCTCAAGAGGTGACAACTCGTTTCTCGATGAATCGTCTTCTTTTCGATGATGGCTTATTTATTGATCAATTGGAGATGATTTACTTGATACATTTACAATCATTTTATTCATAATTATTTAACAATTTTAGTAATAGTACTCTACGAATCACATTAATGAGATTTTAATTGATGATTGAGAGATTATGACGGTTTAATATTTCACCAATAATTTGTAGGAAAATTATAATTTAATCAGATAAAAATCCCACATTGTTATATCATTCTAATAAATAAGAGGTATTTTAAGTAATAAAATTATTAAAACTTTTCGGAGAGGTTGTAATCGCCAATTTAATCTCACATTGATTATATGCCAAATTTTAAGACAGATATATAGTAATACAAGATTTACCAATCAATATTCTATTTCTCATGTGTGTACAACCACTTTTTGCTCCACACTTGGCTGGCCACCAATGATGTGGAAGAGAAGTGATGCACACGTGTCTCATATCAATCCGTCCTTAGTCTCTCGAGCCCTTACTTAGTACTATGTCCTTTTTCTATCTTTTTATTTTATTTTATTTTTCTTCATTATCTCAAAGATAGTATTATAAAAATTATATAAATTTACATAAAATCACATAATTAATCAAAAATTCACAATAATTCACTAAATACTATATTTTATAATTTAATATAAATATAAATCTATTTATCATCAGTTAAGGCTAAAACTATATTATTAATTAATTATTAACTCATGATAATGAAGATTTATCACTTATCAATCCATTATTTAGCTTATAATTAGACAACATTTCATAATATTGTCCATCTTTCACTAGTTTTATGACTCTAATTCATGACAACTCAATATATTATCAAACATGTGTACACATATGTTACAAAATTCAACATGTTGCACTACAAATTGATGTTGTTAAAATGGTTTTGAAATACATACATATACAATTAGAATATACAAAGTTATCATTTTAATCAACTCATTCATAGACTACTTTTATGTGATTTTAGTAAAGTTTTTTTTTGGGTTCAACTATTTGGAATCCTTCTTTAATTGCATTGAAAACTGTGGATCTTGTGGTTAGTTTCTTACTCTTTAGGACTAAATTTCATGTAAGCTTAAATAGATGGATAAAATGGTGGATAGATTATTGTGGCAGACGGGTCGGATGGGGGGCCCGCCGGCCATCGCCTGGAGCGTGCGGGTGCCCCCCCCGCGAATCCTCCTTGTCTTGAGCAAAGTCTCTTATCTATTGGATGAGATTTTGGAAATCAGATCATTACATAATTTGAATGTATTTTACAAAAAACCAAATTGTAAAATATATATCAATTAAAATTCTTAGAAAATTTCAGCACCATTTGTTTCATTATCTTTGTCTTTTATTTTTTTAATTATTTATGAAATACTTCTATGGGAATAATTCATGTATAAAAATTATTTGAATAATTATGTGTTAAATTTTGCACTTATCCTTTGGTGCACAAGCTTATGACATAGCTAAAGTCTCTAATCTTAATTTATCAAGACTCTAATTTTGATTTAGGTATGTAAGAATCTCAATGATAATATATGATAAATTCATGGCTCAACTTATAATGGGGTCATCTATCAGATGTGCACTATGGACACTAAAATAATGTCCACACAAAATTTGGCAATCTAAAGTCAAGTAGTTACACTTTCTAGGTGAATTTCATCAAACTGGTATAGTGATTAAAACATTTGGTACATTGTTAGTAAAAACATTTAGAGATTGATTTTTAATTTTTAACCAAGATTTTAACTGATATGACATGCATAATGATATAGCCAATCAAAAGTATAGTAGTCAAACCTATAATCTTTTGTGGTGAATTAAAATCTATCAAATCTATCAATTAAAACATTTGATCTACGATCAATAAACTATTAATACATAGATGTTAAATTCATGTCGATTAAACTTTTAATCCTTGTCATCATTAAATCTAAGTTTTAACATTCCCCTAACAACCTTGATTTCCATTCATTTCTTGATAAACTTAAAACTGAGGATCACAAAGATTTGAATATTGACACTATCACACACATAGGAATGACGAAAAAATAAGGGCCTAATAGAAAAGTTAAAGTTGTTAGAATCATTGTTTTATTGACAATGATAATTAAAAGTTTAACCAATCTTATTTTAATTATCTTTGAATGTTGTAGAATTGAAAGTTTTAATTACTATATTTCAAAAAGGCTAATTTACTTTGTAGCTCACAATAGTTGAAATATTGATTAAAATGTTTGTTGGTTCCAAATAGGCTAGATGTGTGTCGAGAAGAAGGCTATAATTAAATTCGTATAATTTTGACTCTTTACTTAGGATTCTAGTAATTTTACTTGGATTATGTTAAGGTGTTTAACTTGTTGGGATGATTTGCTTGATGATGAATAAGACAAAACACATGTTATTTTATAATGGTTAAACTCTTTCTTTACATAAATTCATTTACTATCCTGCTTGGGGTTTCTAACCTACTTTTTGCTCTCAAAAAGTTTTGTTGAAAATAATGGGATCAGCAAAACCCCTTACTCGATATATTTCATTCGTCTAAGTTCTCTATGCTCAAAGACAATAATTTTGTATTTCCTTGTTACTAGTACTCCTTAGTAGCTTCACTTACAAAGATATGAAGTAGTTAACATAAAGACGATCCTCGTTGCTAGACAAGGTACATACACATTCAAGTAAACATTTGGAGTCTTGAATGTTGTGACAATTACTCTAAGAATCATTGATACAAATACATAAGTTTCAGAGTACAGATATTTAGATACAATTGACACTTGTCATGTGAAGGTTTTATATAGATACATTTATTGACTAAGTTACTCATGAGATGGAATGTTTATAAAACTCAAGAACTCACGTTGGAATTCAAACAATGAGATCTGATTGGTCAAGGATTTTTTTTGGTCTTAAGTTGACTTATTCAATACTTTATGTTGTCAATGTACTTGATCTCTAATTTTTAAACATTTGATTTTCTGACACTTGGGCGCTGTCAAGTGTCATTGAAGATGTTTAGGGATACTTTGACACTTGTGAGTAGTTTTTAGATTGAGTGTCAAGTCTTATTTAGAGAGAAATGTTTCTCTATCTCTCTCTCTCCTAAATTTGACTCCCCGTCAATTTCGGTTTTCTTATCAACTTTAAACATGCGACCTTGAAGATGTTGAACTTGGCAATTAAAATCAAAGATGTGCGACGTAGAAAAGGAAAATTGCTAGATGCATCTTACAGGTGCTTGAAAAATGAAGGAATACTAGTCCACAACATGTGGTATTAATAGATCCCATTTATGCAAATTATCAATCTTGCTCCCATGGAAACAGGCCTCCACTGGAGCAATCATGCAAGCGATCATGGGGATTATGATCTTAGTGATTAACGTCCTCGATGTGCAACCTAAAAAGGGAAAATTGCTGAATGTATAGTACAGGTACATGGAAAATGAGGCAATACTAGTGTATGTGTGAAAAATGAGAGAATCCTTCTATTAGTCTTCTCCTCATTGCATGTGGTATTTGTAGAGCCTGCTGGAACGGCAGGGAGAAACCGTTCCTACTGATCCTTACTCTCGCTCCCATGGAAACCCACCTCCGCCGGAGCTCGCCCCTCTTGTTCATGCAGGTTCTCCTCTTCTCCTTCACCCGTTTACTTTTGGCGAGCTATGGCAGTCTTCTGCCGGTAATTGACGAAAACGGCAGCGACCTGCGGACGTACATTGTTCACGTCAGCAATCCCAAGGACGTGGTGTTCACCAGTCCGGAGGATCGGGAGGCGTGGCACCGGTCCTTTCTTCCCTCCGGTGACCTGCAGTCCGGCAGGCCTCGGATGGTCTTCTCATATGAGAAGGCCATCAGTGGGTTCGCTGCGAGGCTCACACCGGAGGAAGTGGAGGCTATGAGAAATGTGGAAGGGTTCTTATCGGCTCTCCCGGATGAAGAACTGGAGCCTCTGACGACCTACACGTCGTACTTTCTGGGGTTGAATAGGGTGAATGGCCCGTGGAATGCCACCAAGATGGGCGCCGGAATGATTGTCGGGGTCATCGACTCCGGCATCAACCCCTTCCACGCTTCTTTCGACGACGCCAACATGCCCCCGCCGCCCAAGAGATGGCGCGGTAAATGCGACTTCAACAAGTCGCCCGTATGCAACAACAAGCTCATCGGAGCCAGGAATTTCGCTGCTTCGACTCACCTGCCCTTCGATGTGACGGGCCATGGCACGCATGTGGCCAGCACGGTGGCTGGGAACTTCGTCCAAGATGCCAACGTGAACGGCTACGCAGCAGGCGTTGCGTCTGGGGTGGCGCCACGAGCGCACCTCGCCATCTACAAGGCGAAATCCAATTCGGAGCTGCTGGCTGCCGTCGACCAGGCGATTTACGACCGTGTCGACGTGCTCTCTATATCTATGGGTCTTCCGTCGGAAAGATTCTACCACCGAAATAGCATCGCTGTAGGGGCTCTGGCGGCGACCGAGCACGGCATTCTGGTCAACTGCGCGGCTGGCAACAGCGGGCCGTTCCACGCAACGCTCCATAATGACGCGCCATGGGTCATGACGGTGGCAGCGACCACGACGGACAGAGCCCTGAGTGTGGAGCTCAGGCTAGGCAACGGGGTGATCCACCGCGGGGAAACCCTTGATGGCCTCCACAAGTTCCCCGATGTCTCATTGCCCCTGGTGTTCCCCGGAGACAGCGATAACAATGGCGAACGGACCTGCGTGGACAGGATGCTCGGCGGCATCGATGTCGCGGGGAAGATCGTCCTGTGTGTAGGGGACGAGATGGTTCCGCCATCTATCCCGGGTCAAGTCGTCGCCCGCGCAGGCGCCGCGGCCATGATTCTAGCCAACTCCGCCTCCAGAGGATACACGATCCTGGTGGATCCCAGCGATCTTCCGACGGTGAGGATCTCCCACTCCGACGCCCAGGAGATCATCTCTTACCTGAGATCTTTCCCCAACCCCGGAGTTCGGCTTATTCCGAGGGGTACCATGTACGGCCTACTCCCTTCCCCCGCAGTGGCGCACTTCTCTTCGAGAGGCCCCAGCACGGTAAACGGCGGCGTTGTAAAACCAGACATCCTGGCGCCGGGGGTCAACATCCTCGGCGCGACTCTCTCGGGCTCGTCCTTCGCTGTCATGTCCGGCACCTCCATGGCGGCGCCACACGTCTCTGGAGTCGCGGCCCTGATCAAGGCCGCCCACCCTCGCTGGTCTCCCGCCGCTATCAAGTCGGCGATGATGACGACGAGCTACGCTCGCGACAAATCGGGCAGTTGGCTCACCGATCAGACAGGCAACAAGGCGAGCATCTACGCGACCGGCGCCGGACATGTAAATCCGCTCAGAGCCAGCGACCCAGGTCTCGTCTACGACATCGACCCGAGGGACTACGTCGGCTACCTCTGCGGCGTCGGCTACGGCGACGACGAGGTGAGCATCGTCGCTCGCCGGACCGTCAACTGCGCCGCCGTCAAGACGATCACGGCGGAGCAGCTGAACTACCCGATCATCGCCATGACGATTTGGAGCGGTTGGCCACAGAACGTGTCTCGAACCGTCACCAACGTGGGGCAGTCCCCGGCGATGTACACGGTGGCGGTGGACATGGCCGCCTGCGTAGAGGTGACGGTGACGCCGAGCACGCTGTCCTTCACGAGGCCCAACCAGAGGATGACCTTCACGGCGACCTTCACGCCGGTGGGCCGGTTTATCCCAGGGATGACGTTCTCGGGGGAGCTCCGGTGGGTCTCCGCCAGCCACGTCGTCAGGAGCCCCTTGTCTGTTTTCTTCTCCTGAACTCGAATATCTGCCACCGAAAAACAAGTGTCCTGGCGGCCCGGCTGCTTCAGGCGCTATCATCAATCACTGGAGTTGCCGTTGTTTTCTTGAGACCGCGGGGAGGAAGGTTCCTTTTTTAATACTCACTCAAACGCAATACCCAGGGTGTCAAATGGGTACCACTCAAATGGGTACCACCCAGGATGTCAATAATCTAAGATTCCCCTGATTATATGAACGTGGAACGAATCATACACCGGCATATTGGACGAAGTTCTCGCCTAACACCCGAACTGAGTCGGACCCAAGCACGGATGACTTCTCTATTGTCTGAAAACCATAGCATTCGTTTTTTGCCCAAAACGTCCATTTTCTCTATATTTTTGTCGTGCTACTAACCTCAATTTTTTATAAACATGTAACATCGTCTTCATCACCATTACTATCATTATGAATAATAGCGCTATTATGCTCACCCGTGATGGAGGTTTTGCCGACTTGAGCGAGTCCTGGGCTGGGAGCTTGTTGGCTTTGGCCCTTGCGGTCGTAACGACCAAATCCAATAGACGCTGGTTTACTGTGGCGTCCACCCTTTTAGATGTCTCATTAGGCCTGACCCAACTTAGTGGACAAGGATATTCGCGAGAATACAGTCAGCCATTAAAGGGGATAATTTATTTCTTCTTTCCTTATCGGGCTATGCTATATTTTTCCTTTGAAAATATTAAATTATACAAAGCCCCTCTGCTCCCGCAAGCCTTATTCCGCCTTGGGCGATTTGCTCAGATGTCCTAATGGGCCGAACTGTTAGACTATCATCAGCCCATATCTCGTTCAATTCTCGCAGCACAAACCGGCCGAAACTCAGGCTTCTAAGTCAAGGAAACGCAGAACAATGGGCCCTAAATAGGACCACTTGTGGGCCTGTATCGGACACCCTAGTTGGTGGTCCGTCTATTCGAACACCAGCAGACCAGATGGTGTCCGCTCACCCGCAGGGATTAAACATTGCCATAGGTAGAAGGTGGCCTCTATCGCCGAAGACTTGCGGAAAGAGCAGAAATCCCGACGATGGCGGTGCTCGGAATCCCGAGAAGAGCGCCCCCCCCGGAGACGTCTTATATGTCGACGGAGGGAGTTTTCTATGCACGGAGGGGTGGCCTCGCGCATGCGCGAATAAACAATCACCTCGGCGAGTGGCAGAGTATAAAATGAACGCCGCAGACTCGTCGGAGCAATAAAAGAAAACGTAGGTTCCCTCTGTCTCCCTCCCAGTCTCTGTCTCTCTTTCTCTCTGTCTCTCTCTCTTTCTGTCTTTGTCTCCGTCTCTGTCTCTCTCTTTGTGTCGCTCTCTCTAGCTCTCTACGTAGATTATTTAGACAGCACTACAATAGTTTCCCATCGTTTCAACTATCCTTACGCGGGGAGATCAAGGGGGAGGGAGAGAGAGAGAGAGAGAGAGAGAGAGAGAGAGAGAGAGAGAGAGAGAGAGAGAGAGAGAGAGAGAGAGAGAGAGAGAGAGAGAGAGAGACGTAAATGGGCTGGCGTTCTCCAAGCACTCTCAGGAGAGAGAGAGAGAGAGTTATGCCGCGATTGATGGGCAAAATTTTCAAAGGCGAATCTTATAGAAGCCCAGACCGGTTAAGTGACGAGTCATATTCTAGGCAAGTTTCCAGGGAAGCAAGCTCCGATTTCTGCGCCATATCGCACTGCATGTCTAGCATGGCCGGAAAAAGGAGCGAACACTTGACTTTAACGTCTGTTTCCAATTACGCTCCGTTCTTACAGCCCAGAATCGAGTGGTTATATATGAAAATATATAGCATTTATATTTTCTCAATTTTATTTTTTTACTTGCGTACTCTTTTTTTTTACCGACATTCGCATTGAAAGTTACAGTTTTACGTGCGAATGTTGGTATTTATTTTCATCGGAAGGCTAACTTACAGTAATTCATGTCCCCCCTCTGAGGATCCTACGGGTTGATCCCCACTCTACGCCATGCACGAGAAGAGAGCAAGCTAGAAGGTAGGCTGGTGTAAACAAAGGAGCCTAAGGTGGTAGGTGCGGATCATTCACGCAGCGGGATCCCATGTTCCCTCGGATCTCTCGTCCGATTCTTCTCCCTTCACCTCTCTCCCTTCTCTCTTCCCTTGTTATTACCCCTGCAATTGAGGCTGACTTTGACCGGGGTTTTCATGGCTTCCCTCAACCACTGGGATATGGCGATAGGATCTTAAGGAGGGCTCACATGGAGCCATGTGGGGGATGATGCGGCCGCCGGGGTAGAAGGGCCCGCCGTTTCCGGGGGTTGCTGCTGTGACCTGCCCAGTTTTGGTGTTGGATTTACGTCCTCGCTAGATTAAGCCGTGGATTGCTGGAGGACGAATTCGAAGTTAAGTCGTCCGGCTCTGTCTCTGTCTGTCTGTCTGTCTGTCTCTCTCTCTCTCTCTCTCTCTCTCTCTCTCTCTCTCTCTCTTTCACACACACACACACACACACACTCCCCCGCCGTCCCTCCCTTCTCTCATTTGATGTTGGTCGGATTCCAGGTTCTGCTACCAGCGGTCTGCGGCAATATTCTTTTCTGTAAATCTCCGTTTGAGAGAGAGAGAGAGAGAGAGAGAGTGATCTTCTTACACGCACGCGGCCGCTGAGGTCTGGAAGAAACATTCCCATCGGATACGATACCAATCTCTGGAAACTGGGAAGAACACGATCAGCAAGGCTTGCGACGAGATCCCCGTCGATATCCCTTCAAAACTGCTCAGTTATTGTCTCTGTACGCAGAGTCTTGAAGCTCCAATCTTTAATGGCTGGAGACACTCTACGGCCGCATTGGCCGCCGGCCTCCCTGCCGGCGATCACCGGAGACGGAGAAGGGCCACGGCTGGGGAAGGGGGAAGGCGGGCACTCAGTGGTAGTCTCAGCCTCTGGATGTCCCCCCCCCCCCCCCCTTCCTTGGAGGTCCTCCTGCGTGCTCCCAGTTTTCTGTGCGCGGTCCCCTCTGTGCTCGCGCCCGTGCGCGCAGAAGTACGCAGCAGCCCCACGCCAGTCTAGAAGCTCGCCCCGTGGGAGGGCGTCCTCTTTAATCTTGACCGTTGACTGACTTTTCGGGGGACTCTGGTGAGGCCTTTTGGAGACATTTGGTCCCCGCCCCTGCGACAGACACGTTCGAACAACGTGGGAGTCGCATAAACCGGCCGCAGGGCCAGACAAAGCGCCGCTATTGTCCAATGCGAGACACGTTTCAGGGCCACGTGTCCTCGCCTGCGGCCGGCCGGCCCCACAAGCTTATTGGGCCGGTTGCGCCCTCGGGCGTGGTCTGGGCCTGAGACCCAGAAGAACAGTTGACGGTCAGCGATTTCATTCGTGGGAGGAGAAGTGTCCCCGATGGTGGGAGGAGGCACTTGCGGTTCCGTTGTGGGTGGTGGGATCGAAAGGTGCAGGAGGAGCGGGGATTCCTTCTCATGAAAAGGGGCCTTGAACGAGAGCCCGAACCCACCGCTGTCGCCTCTGGGCGTGGGATCAAATATATCAGTCAGAGGCGTCGCTCCATGTGAGGAGGCCACATTCGCCGTCCTCTTCGGAGCTCCCGTACCCTGAGGTCCAATCGGAGTTCAGACGGCGAATTGGTGGCCTCACCGACGGTCAGAAAGAGTGAGAGACATCTTTCAACCCCGGGTGCTCTGATCTGTCCCGGACCGGGAGAGGGGGCTTGATTCCGGCGTCAAGAGCCGCGGGGCATCTGTTTGGGAACGAGAGAGAGAGAGAGAGAGAGGGGTTGGTCTCGGGAACGCCAGAGATTTAAGTATAGTGGATTGTCGACAACATGTTGGTGATAAATAAGGGTTATTCCAAAAGATATGGGTAAGGGGCGAGAGAGAGAGAGAGGAGGGTGGTGGGGTTTCGATGGGCCCGGTGAGATGCTGAGTCCATTCTCTGCGTTATTATATCTTTTATCTTTTATCTTTTTATAAATAATATCTCGACCTACAGGCTGCTCTTCTTCCATCTCACACAGTAGCGCTACCATCCTCATCGCTCTCTCTCTCTCTCTCTCTCGCTTTCTACACACATGTACATATATATACCGTATGCATCTCGGAGGCGGAGTAAAGTTGTGCCTGAGAAGAGACTAACCTATTGAGGAAGGGGAATAGTCAGAGGGAGGGGGAGAGCGAGAGGTGCTGTAGAGATCTAGTACGAGATCTACGAGGGATCCAGGGTTCAGAGCTGAGGGAAGAAATCAGCGGGGATGGAGATGGAGCTGTACATGGACGAGAAGTGGAAGCTGTCCAAGAAAGGGAGCCGGAACGGATGCAGCGGCTGCGAGGGCGGCGGTAGGCGAGGTGGCGGGGCCGTCTTCCTCAAGCGGTCGCCGTCCTCGGGCAAGGGCGGCTCCTTTACCAGACGATGCGCCTCCCTCGTCAAGGAACAGCGGGCGCGGTTCTACATCATGCGCCGGTGCGTCACTATGCTCATTTGCTGGCGAGAGTACCGTGACAGCTGAGCTCTTCCTTCCCAGCGAAGCGCCGCCTCCTGGCCTGAGGATCGCCGCGCGGCGCCGCCAGTCCCCTCAAACCCTTTTCCGCGATTCCTGCGGCAGTCTTTCTTTCTTTCTGTGAGATGGGGACTTCCGTGCCGTCCATGGGGAAGGCCAAAAGCTACGGAAAAGGGAATAGAAACCAGGAGATGAAGCACGCGAGAAGATCCGGTGACGGAGACGATCCCTGTAAATACTCTTCTTTTTGGGGCCGCCGTATTGAATTTTTCCGTGGTTGAGGATAATTTTTTGTTCCTACGGGGAGATCTAATCGTAGATGTGTAGCAGCGGAGATCTCGTCTATCTCTCTCCCCTCCGTCACTCTAACCATTTCCGCAGAAAGCACCGTTCTCCGCTCTTCAGTTTCTTCTCTTTCTCTACCCATCTCGACACCTCCAGCACCCGATTGAGCTGTTGAGATGTACGGGATGTTTTATGGACGATCGGTCGCCCTCTGCGGATGTCAAAGACGAGAGCGAGAGAGAAGAGAGAGAAGAGAGAGAAGAGAGAGAGAGAGAGAGTGGCCTGGTGGCGCGGGCTGCATCAGTTCTTGGGAAGGGCAAAGTGATGGGCTGGCACAGGATGGAGAGAGGCTTTGTTGCACCCTTTTCAGCTCTCTCCCTCTCTCTCCTTCTCCCTTTTAATGCAAACAACTACGTTATTGACTACATACATAATGCTGAGGGGAATCCAGAGGCTAATGTGGTGCTGATTTCGAAGAGCCCACTGGTCTTAATTTTCCTTTTTGACCTAAATGCTTACGAGGAAACAGTCCGTGCCACCGGCTCCACCACCGCCCGAGAAGCCAACTCGGAAACCAAAACAGCACTGCGGTAGCCAGCCGCCGGCGTTTTCCGCGCCACCGGGCTCTGCCTTGCCATTTCTCACGCAGAGAATCTGAGATCTGAGCCCCCTCCCTCCCCGACATTTCCATCTTTGACTCGATTCCTCCCCCCAAGCCCAACCCCACGCTCCCCCCCGCACACTCCAATTCCTGCTACCTTCTCTGTGATACAGAAACCTCCCCCTCCCTCCCTCTTCCCCTTTTCCACTTCGAGGTAAAACCTAGCCAAAGGAAGAGGACGCAGCAGGCTCCCCAGTGTAGGGATCTAGCTACGGCGCAACTGAGTGTTCTCTTACGGTGCTCCGTTCTGCTACGTCCACAATTTCGTCGCCAAATCGACGGATGAGCGCTAATGGGTCAACGCCGACGTCCTCCACGGAAGGATGATGCCCCACTGTAAGCCCATCAGAGAGGAACAGAAGCTCCGGCCAGCGGCGGCGAGGAAGACGGGCAGATGCATTGATGGCGATGAACAAGATAACGCTGGCGGAGGGCCGATTTCCCCCGGTGCCTTCCATGCGGATGGCAGGGGTCATCTACAAACCTTCAAGGGACCTCACACATGCGATCTCTGAGCGCAGAGCAACTGCCGTCCTCCTTCGGTTGGGGCCCACTCCCTCTGCCATCTCATCAGGCGCTGACACAGAATTCCCAGTCAAAGACGACCGCCATTATGAACCCACCCTCACTCCTGGCCTTTATGAAGCGGAGAGCGGGTTAATAATCGCATTGAATCGTCTCCTGCGGTGAATCGTGCAGGTAATTACTGTTAATTCCCTATTTATGACGTCACACTTCATTAGCATTTTTTTTTACTGTATATTCTTTTTCATTAGTAATCATCTAACTGGTAAGAAAATAATATCTGAGAGAAGCTGATATTATTTTCTTACGGGCAGATGCCCCACGAGTTAACTCTAGACACGTGGTCGTCCGATTGCTTCCGCCGTTGGATAAGCTTCTAGGGCGGTTCGGACGACCATTATCAAGACACGTCACCTTTGGGGGACCGTGCCAACAGTGATCTGTCGCTATGGCGTCGCACGTGTGTGCATTGAGAACGTCGCATCTCGGCTTCCTCGAAGGTGGGTCTTCAGGATCGCTACAGCCACCGCACTTGGGCCGGTCCATCACAGCGATGTGACGGCCATAATGGGCCAATCAGAAAAGTTGACTAGCAGGCCTGGCCCAGATGGATTTCCGTAGGATCAATGCTCGATTGATCGTACGATTATCCGTGAGGAGATCCGACGGCCCTCGCGAGTTGATCCCACTACCAGGTCAACACTCACACTGACCCCCTCGACAGCGTGGGGCCGTGCAGCTATCGCTGGTTGTCCCTCAGGGCTCGGATAGTGCGACCTAATCTGGACACGTCGGCACCCTACCGCGGAATCGGGAGTCCAGATCCGCTCCAGACAGGGTCACGTGGTGCGTGTCAGTCTGACATGTAGACCCGAGCCAACGAGGTGACATGGACTGGGAACAGTCCGAGCTGGTAGCTTTCCTTTCTTCTCCGGGGTTTCACGGTGGGGAGGTTCTACCCGGGACGGCGTGTCAGTGAGCTGCCGGCGGCGCGTGGAGGCTCCTTGTAGGCGTAACTCGATTTGACGGACAGGGAGCTTGTTCGGCAGCCGCCAGTGGCACGTGCGGCGGGTCCCGTGTGGAGATGACGAGAGAGATGGATGACTCCGTTTCAGAGACGAGTAGATTGTTCCTGAGCTACAGTCTCGTAGAGAACCCACACACTCCCACCTACGTAGGGGAGGGTTTAAGAAACGGGCTTGTCGCCTCCAGGAACGAGTAACGGGCCAAACTGAATCAGCTTTCGTGAATATGGGCCGACTGGCTAGACTTGGCAGTGGGTCCAGATGTCTGGCTAGATTTGGCGATGGAAACCTCGATTCGAGATAGCCTTTTTGATGGGCTCAATTCTGAGAATCACAAAAGGCCCAGCCCAGTTTTCATGCACCATCCTTTGTCTAGCCTTTTACTTTGAGGTTAGTGAGATGACCCCCCGGATTAAAGACGCTGCTTCAAGGTGTGGCGTGAGACATAGTTGTCTCACGTTCGCATGTGTGGAGGGACCCTTTAGCATGATATAGAGTGCATGCACGGATGAGCGTGGTGTTTGCGGAGGCATATGGTGGCATGGGTACGGGACGCACCAAGTGATGAGACTCATGCAGGGGCGTGAATAACTCGGGTGAGCGACATTACTAAGAGTAAGGATCATGGGGTGGGGCTATGAGCTTTGACAGTGTGGCATGCGGTGGCACAAAATATGCTAAGCACGTAAGCTCAATCATGTACGTGTCGGGGATAAGTGGATGACTTGCCATCTCACTATGAGGGTTTCAGAGAATTTAGGTGTATGTGGCACAAGGTAGTTCACGATCGATCAATTCAAGTGGAAGTTGACATTCTTTCTATTTCAAGTTGCATCAAGATAAAGATGACAATGAATTAAAAGTTGACTAAGGATGAAGATGAGATCTGATCAATTTGATGTAGGGTCATACTATTCATTGGAAGCGAGATCAATAAAGAGGACATGAAATTTCTTGTTAATGTAGCATGAAGAAGTTGAATATGGAAAAATCCTTTATGCTGGAGAAATCTAGAAGAATTGTGTGGATCAATTGGATCTTTCTCCTCTTTCTTTTTTTTGAGAAAAAAACAATTCTCAAGAAATTTCAAAAGATTAAGATCTTTGATGAAATTGACATATATACTTATATAGTTTGTAGATTGAAAACCTTTTAGCTTCATTTGAATTTTAGATCTGATGCATTACAACAAATAATTTTGTTTACCAAAGTATTCAACAAATATAAGTTTGTGGTTGTTGTTTATTTTGGATCCACATGACATAATAGATAGATTCATTTACTTGGGTTTAAGTGATCTAAAACCTCTTTATTGTATATCTAACATGAGATGTAATATACAAAAGAATAGATACAATTTGCCTCAAAATGAAAGCCCAATAAATAGATCCATTATTCCATAGATTCAGGTCCAACAACAAATTAGTTAGACCTGATTCAGCTTGAAATAAATAGAGACAAATCTAAACATATAAATTTACAAATTTATTTAACTTCATCTTGCAATTTTTGAGATATTCATACTATCAAGTTTGTACATTCTCATAGAAATGAGTAAAGTACCAATCATATGTATTATTATTATGAAAACATTTGTGTCAAAAACTAACAACACCTCTAGGAAGAACGACATGAAGTGACTCGATGAATAAGTGTCAATGTTGTTTCAATGGTTTGAAGAAAAGCCAATACAAATATTCATTATAGTTGCATGACTTCAAATGACTTTTTGAGGTAGCACTCTATTCATGAGAATGAGACTACAATATTTTTCTACTTCTCCTAAGTGATGAACTACTTTCCTCAATGATGAACTGCTTTCAAGATGTAGAAAAAAATTACACATAAATATGTAAGACAACATAACTTCAACATCAAATACAAGATGATTGATACCATTAGTTGCAGAAAGTATGATACTTTGGATAGAAAAATATGTATGACGTTGACATTAAATTTAAAAGTGAAATATTTGAAGCAACATGTAGTTACAAACATGATGTAACACCTCTAAATAGAGTAGTGGGAGTTGTATACAAGAAGATACTGAGCATTAGACAAAAATGAAATAGTAAATGTCATAGAAGAATGTATTGAGCTATGTCCACTTTCAAGGAATCTACATGGATTCTATAATTAAGTGCTACTATATATATATATTTGTCATGAAACCTTATACTGCTAAATTCAGTGAGCTTGTGATTACTCAAACTAAAATTATAATAACTAACAACCCAAGATCTCCTTCATCATCAGCACACAATAAGTAACTCAGTGACTTGGATGATTGCATTACCAACACACCATATGTGCTTCAACAAGTCTACATGTCATCAATCAAAACAAAAATAAAATTAACTTGACAAGATGGTATCATTACATTCAATTATTATTTGATTTAATGTGAAGAATTGAAGATTTTGAGAAGAGTCTAATTAATAGCTGAAAAAACACTTGAGATCATGTTTCATGCACACCTCTCTTTGCGATCTTACATATGAATTCAAAACTTT